TTCGGAGGCGGGAGGACGGGGGGGTCAAGGAGTGTTTGTTAGTTTGTTAGATGGGTCGGTGCTAATTGCTGAGTACGAGTAATTGGACGAAAAGGAGCAGACAGCAGCAATTCCAGCAACAACAGGATGGGATTGAGATTGGCATGGCAATTGGCAGCCGTAGCGACTATTTACCGTTGTGGGACCAGGGAGATGAAGCAAAAGCTCGTCAGAGGAAGCTCGAGTAATCAATCAATTTGGTGCTGTCTGTGTGCAACGACGACGACAACGACAACTGAGGCAGAGAGAGGGGTTTGGGCCAGACCACCGGACTCGAGCTCACCCTGTCCATGTTGAGCACAGTCTTTTCTTGTCTTGGTGGTCTTGTCCCCACGCTGGCATGAGGCGGAGGGCGGCGCGAGCGTGTGTGGTCTAGCTTTTGGCTGTGCTTTGGTCGCTACTCGCTACAAAAACAGACATAAGTTCGCTATCTCTTATTTTTACCTATCCCTAACTATCGCCCATAATGTACTAGTCTGACTACAGGGGAGAGCTACCTAAGAGCTTTGTCCCCCTCGCCTCTGGGATTCCCCACTTCGTGTTGCTGGCAGAAAAAAGTTGGAAAGCTCTAGCCAACGACAATGCGCGGGACATGGGTACAACTCACCGCCCAGCCGTAAGCAGACTGGTCCTCAGAGGGCTTGGAGGACATCATTCGATTGACCTCCAGAACGTCGATCTCCACGAACTACTCCTCCATGCGCTTAAACGTTCTTGGCCCCAGACTCGCATGGGAATCAACACTCTGCTGTATGTATTCAGTACAACTTCTCTCCCCCAAATCATTAACTAGTATGGGTACGAGTACGGATTCTTCCTGGTGCTGCAAATCAATCTCCCCAAAACACAAGCTACGCCGCAATCGAAATGTACCCGTGTAGCAGAATTTGCCCATAGATACAGAAGGGCAATTGCAACATGGGCATTGGCCATCCATGCCCACGCCCACGCCCACGCCCACACGGCTCGTCTGGGTCGCCCTTCGAAGGAGTGGGAAGAGTGCTGCTGCAATTATTGCCTACCAACACCACCACCAATACTCCAGAACAAGGCACCAAACGTGGGTGAGACGACATGACGACTTGCCATATGCAATCAATCGTGTTCATATTGATATAAGGCCGCCTGCTGCGCGAGCAATCTCCCAACATCCTGTTTTGATCTCTTCGAATCTTGCTCTCGTCGTTCGACTTTGCTCGGTGCTGCACGCGGCGCACTGTACGCTGTACGATGTAAGCAATGTCGCTGTGCCATGCTTCGACTCCTCACCTGGGCGTCTCGAGTCTTGAGTCTTGACACACCAGGCCACCCCGTCAGTCAACCATTCGCCGACAGTCAGTCCATCAAACACTGCTGCCAACTTTCCATCCAATATCCCCAGTGAACATAGTCAGGACCTCCATGCGATTGCTTGCCAGGCCAGGGTAGGGCTTGTCGTTCTCTTTGATCCTCCAACCGGGCCCCGGATTCATGCAGTTTCCGACCAGAATCGCATCATCGTCATTCATTCCCATCATACGCCAGTAACACCACCCTACTGTGTATGTAGCGTAGTCAAGTCAATTTCATGGTCCGGCACCGCCCTACTGTGTATGTAGCGTAGTCAAGTCAATTTCATGGTCCGGCACCGCCCTACTCACGGGGATCTCGCGATGCCGAACCTAAGGGAGCCCCCGTCTTCGCGCTTCGGCTTCCGGCTCGACGTACTATCCCTCATTCCCTTCGTACACGTATCACCCACTAAGAATTATCGGTACTGAGTCCACTCCTGACACATCGTGGACTCCTCACTCATGGGGTTTTAACTGATGGGGGAGATGCGGTGAGCAGCACTGGGATATGGCCTTACTCATCCAACACAACCCCCCAACCCCATACGTGCTCCGTCGCGTGATCCCACAAAACCCACAGTCCGCCTCATGAACGAAAAAGAAGCGAAAATGATGAAGTCATAATTGCCACGACTCCCTCCAATTAACCTCTGCGAAGCTGTGCAATTGTGACAGTTGGTGTCAGTCCATTCGCTGCGCCGGGGGCATCGGCCGTTTGTTTGCTAAACCCGAACCTGAACCTCGCGACTGACGCCCCCTTTGAGCAATAATAATGAGGCTACGTACTCGTTCCACGTAAGGCAACGGCAACGGCCTCTGTTCGACCTTGGAACCATAGGTAAAGTTTAAACCGTGACCAGTTCCAAGGTCCCGGGGTTGTTGTGCGTGCGTCCCTGGCAGAGAAGGGGAAAAAAGAAAATTACCCCAGCTAGGTAGGTATGCCGCATGTATCACACACTTACTTACCTGCTTGCTTGCTTCAAGAAAAAAAGTAAATTGGAAAAAGTAAATATTGCCCGAGATTTCACACCGCATCGTCTGTGAGCATCATCATCACCACCACCTCCTCCCGCCCACTGATCGTCACGTCCGTGCATCTCATTCGATACCCCATGGACGATTCTGGCCAGCCACAATCCCGGTCCTGTCCTCGCTTACACGGCCAATCACCTCCTTGTTACCGGGTGCGCACGCCTCTTTTTGCCTAGATATCCTCTTCGGGGTAAGCGTCTGTGGCTGGGGTGTACCTCGCTTCAAACGCTGCGTTGCGCTGAGGCCATCGTTCTCTTATCCATTCCAAGTTGGCTTTTTGCGGGGTAGCATTATATAAGCAAAGGCCATGCATTACCCCCCATGTCAACCCATGCACTGATACTCGTGCTCAATAATGCTCATGCCATGCTGAAATCCAATCCAATCCAATCCCAGTCCGGCGGTGCCAGCCCAGCTGCCAGCCAAAACGGCCTGGCAGGTCGCTCGTTCTGTGGCCGCGCAACCACCGACTCAGCCTTCAGAGTGCGGGCGTCATGAAACAGCAGTCACTTTCCCATACAACACAACACAACATTCAAAGCACAAAACTTCTGATGCTCTCTCTCTCCCTGTCAGCCAATTAATGATCACGAGATGCAAAAAAAATTCAATTGAATCGGAAGTCACTAAATACTTACGAAAGATTCTCTCTCCGCGAGATTGGGGGAGGGAAGAGCGTTCGAAGGCCTGCAGCCAGTAAGCTCGGCTGCTTGCTTGCTTGCTTGACTTGCCTTGCCTCGCCTGCGTGCATCAGCACAGTTACAAGGCAACAAACCACCACAACACCACAACAACCACGTCCTTCGCTCACTCTACAGTACAAGAAATATTGTATTACTTCCCGGGGCGTCATCATCATCATCTCCAGACGTCCAGGTGACCATTTCATTATTACCACCCACCCGAGAACCCGAAATCCAGTCCCTCTCCCTCTCCCGCATCTCGGGATCTCCCCCTTCCCCCTTGCACACCTAACAACCATCGGCTTACCGTGGTGCACGCACTGTGGTGAGGTACGGTGCCCCGTCTCATCTCGTCTCGTCTCGCCTCGCCTCCTCCGCCGCCTAAGCCCCCCCCCCCCCCCCCCCCCGTTACTGACGTACAACAAGCACAAGTAATTAGGTGTTATTTCACGTCTGACATGAACAATGACAGGCGAACAAGGAGGACAACACGACACAACTTCCCCGCGTGACCATCTCGCCGTTCCAGGTTTCTCCCTCGCGCGAAGGGGGAAGGCGAAGCGAAGCGAAGGGCCTGATGTGAGGTACGCCCACGTACGCCCACGCCCACGCGCGCCGCAGCAGGGCTATTGTAAGTAACAAGAAACGCTCCGATGATGGTGGTGATGATGATGCCACGATGTATTCTCCAGCGAAGTACGGAGGTATGGTAGGGTCGGACATTAAGCTACCCTACGCTATGCTACGTATCGTGACTATCGGGGGATGGGACTATGAGGTCAGAGTAGCGGGTTTTGTGTAACTATCGTGGGCAGTGGGGGAGTGGGTAGGGACGTAGGTTAGTTGTTCGCGTAGCAAAGACAGCCGAATGGATTGAAAGTACACAGTCAGTACGGAGTAGGTAGGTAGGTTATGGGAGCCTTGTCGTGTTCGTGTCGTATCCCACTACGACTACAACAACAGCAGGAGAAGCGAGGACAAACACCGAGTTGGATTCCACGATGATAATGCTTCAAGGATACGCGCTGTACAGTCGTCTCCCTCTCCCACGTAGCCTCCTCCTGGCCCACGATTGGCCCAACACCCCCAAGTTCCGATCCCCGATCGGACGTCAGACACACCGCGGACACGCCCGGGGGTGTCCCAGTCTTGGCATCGTTGCAGACTTCCAGCTTTTTTTTCCCTGATACGAGTGCTTGTTTGTGACCTCAATCGCCGACCTACCTTAAACGACGAAAAAGGAGTTTCTGTTCGTTAGCGACATATGAGGACCGAATACGTACGCGTTGCTAGACCTGATTTGAGGAACCAACATTTGCGAAAAAGGGAAGATGAGGGTTTTTGCTAGATTACCCGTCGCCGCTAGGCTACGAAGATGCTTTTTTAGCTACGGTGTTGTTGCGATCGCGATGGGGGATCGCGATCGCGGGACGGGCCTGGTGAGCAGGCTGTGTGCGAAGGACGGATATTTTTAAGGGAAGGCAAATGCGTTGGAGGTGATTGGCGAATATGATTGATGACAGTTATTTTGACTATGCAATCTATGATCAAATATTGTTCTAATGTGCTTTCGTTGGATGTGTGAATGTACATGTCGAGTGCGTGCCCGGCAGAGGATGGGAAATGGGAATGGGAGTCGGTGATGGATGATGGGAATCCACTGTGTGCTGTTACCCCCCTGTCATGTCTGTCTGTCAGTTGTTGCTGCCAACCCCCACTTTGTGACATCTCGCGATGGGGCTCAATTGGAACTGCGAAAGGCAACGAGCAGCTACGTATCAATTGTCTTGAATATTGATTAATTAATTTTGGAGTACAGTAGCTGGAACATGCTATTGTCACTTGAACAATCTTATTAAATACCTTGCCGTCGTCTCTATGATTTATTGTTTTGATAGAAAAGTAAGCTCAGGTATACGTTAGGCACATAAGCAAAGACAGAAAAAACTTCAAAAATATCCCACAACCTCAACTCACCAATCCCAATTCCCCGCTATATCTTCGGAAGAAAGGGTAAAAATCCCGCCTCGAATCTTCAAATCCTCACATTAAGAGGCGGCTCTGCGGCCAGGATTGTCTGGTCCGATCGTCGATACACAGATACAATATAAAAAAAGTATCCCACGCGCGCACTAACACCTACCTCCCCCGCCGATCATGTCCATGTCGGGGCCATGGAGGGGTCTCCAACCTCCCCGATGTGGAAGACAGTGGATTGGAATTGGAATGGGGTTAGGAGGGATTGGGTTGTTTGACTGGATTTGTAAATCTGGGTTTTCTGTGTGTGATGTGGAGAATGTGGAAGGTGGATTTGATAGCAAGGGCAAGGGATGGCTGTTCATATCATGCATGTAGGTTGCTGTACCATGGCTCATGTACGAGACAGTAAACCCCAGCAATCGAGCTTGTCAATGTCATCTACGATCTTGAATAGTTTTCTTTTCTTTTTTCTTCATTGCTCTTATGTCCTGCGGCCGCGGCGTGGATCTCCTATGTCGCCGCCCACGCTATATGGTTGAGATATCGCATCGTACAATCGTACCACATCCCGGCCGACAATCATCCAACAGTGTCCGAAAACGGACCAAGCGATCTCAACAAACCCAAAGTCCCCTCCATACACGGAATCTGAAACGTGAAAGCATTGCTCCATGCCATCTGCCTACTATCTAGCCCTGGTAAACCCATCGCAGAAATCGAGCGGAGAAATAAAATAAAGCAGATGTCATATCAATCGAATCCGTTTGATAACGAAAATCAACCCACTAACAAATCCACCTAACCCAGCCATCCGCCAACTAAGTAAGACCCGTACCAGACTCGACTCGACTAGACCAAACACTAAAAACCACACCTTTACACACGCTAGCATCTCTCTAACATCCCAAAAGTAAAACATCACTCTAGTAAACTCGTAGCACGCCGACCAAAGAAAGTCCCAATACCACTTAACCCACCCACCTACCCACTGGCTAGATCCAAAAGGACAAAAAGGAAATCTCCCCACTACAGCCTCGCAATAGCCTGAGATATAACTCCACATACTTGGAAGGCTACGTCATAGAGAGAAGAGGGTTGAAGACGTCAAACGACGACAACGACGGCCCTTGGCGCGCGGCTGGAGCAAACGCACGCATATTCTCTATATAGATATTACTAGCTTGGATCGCCGTGAAGGGAAATCATATGCATCTACTTACACAATCACGCAGCAAGCATGTAGTATCACAGTCTTGTCGTGAAGATATTGATAGCGTCTAGTACTATCACCATTCACAAACCAAATCAAACCCTATCTATCTACCAATCTACCCCAAGTAGCACATACTTCTCAGCCGTACATCCACCTCCCATGGAATTGGAAATGCAAGTGAATACACAGGAAACCACGGTTATGAAAACGTGATCGCCGATGATCATCTGTACCGGTGGAACGTGTTCCAGTGTCCGGATTGGTGGTTTCCGATATCCGTGGGTCTGTCTGTCTGTGGTATGGAGGGTTTGGTACGGGGCATATTTGGGTTAGTTAGTGGACTGATTGATTGATAAGATTGTGAGGAGAATTTTGGGAGTCAAGGAGGTAGTTTGATAGCTTCTTTGAAGACGAGTACGTGATATGGGGATATCAATTTGATTGTTTAGTTTGCTAAAATTTCTACTTTCATTTCGTTATGTTGTTGCTGTTATGTGTGTGATATTATCAGTTGTATAGGCCTACCTCTTACGGCTTCATATATCGAAATTGATGCACCATGAGAGTAGTTATCAGCAACAGTGCCACCCCATACCCCAATTATCACAAAATCAGCAACTAACAACCCCTTCCCCAGATAAGTCAATCTAATGTACTCTGGGGTATTCAATTCCAATATCGCCCGACTCACCGCTATCAAGTACCCCACAAGTAAGAGGTACATACATACCTATCTGCGAAGCTGATAGCCAACCCCAAATTATGATTAGCCAGCCTTATCTCCCCCCCTCCCCCATATCAGCAGCCTTCGACGGCGCACGCAGGTAAGACGAGCACGCCATGCCGTTTGCAACAACAAAGCAGAGACCCCAAAGGCCAAGGTCACACAACAACATCCCCACCGACCCCATGCTCACCTCCGTCCCTCATAGACCGGTCTCCGATCCTGACCGCTGTCCTTTCGGGGCCAGTGCTTCGCGTGGAGGTGGAGTCGATCATGCCTTTCCGGTCCCTCCTCTTCGGACAAAACTGTTGGGAATGAGGTGGAAGTGTATCTGGTGAGGGGGAGGGAAGGTGGTGTGGAAGACGTCGCTGTCTGATGTCATGGTAGGCAAGCGTGTTGATCTACCGTTTGATGGAGAGAAGCAAACGGACGACAGCGCGCAGGGCTCGTAGGCTTAGGTATGCCAGCAGTTGTAGAGTGTGCCAGAGCCAGACCGGTGTGCGGATCACTGTATCGTCGCTCCATTCGTGGACCCTACATAGCCTACCTCCGTATACTTTCCATGGATGCGAGGCCTATGCAGGGCGAATTTGGCCCGAGATCTAGACGACGGGTAAGAAATTCGCACTTCTCGGCTCGGGATACCGAGATACGTGCTCTTTGAGGGAGGGGGTCTCTAGATATGAAAGAAGAGGGGGAGGCGTGGTAGTGCGGGCTGGGGGGTTCCCCCTCAAGGTTTTGTTGAGATCATGTCATGCGGGTCGTAGATTGTGTTTACTAGATTGAGAGGATGATGCGGGGAGCTTTATGTGGCTGTTTGCCTAGATTATGGTTTTGGATTGAGATATGGAGGTATGGTTTGCGAAGGTGCAGCTCATCGGTAGGCGAGCACTCTATGTGTTGGATGTTAGATTGCTTGCAGTTGCGACATGCTCCTCGGACAAGTGTACCGAGACAAGTAAGGAGCTGTTCTGAAATGATTCATACTGAAGACACAATACATGGAGTGGATGGTGGTATGAACGTGCCAATGCGTTGATCCGGCTCGTTAAGATTCGGAATTATTTCATATGGGCGTGCGATGATACAATGATCTTCGTTCCACGATCATTCGAGTCGATCATTTCTGTTGAGCTTCGTCATTGCTAGGAATCCAAATCGCGAAACATCAGAGATATCACGATATCGTTTGCCGTGTGCATTTTGAAGGTTTGGGGAGCTGTGGAGATGTTGATCAAGTGGAGATGTTTGTGGACCCTTAGAGTCCACTTCCCCGCCCCCTTGGTTCATTCCCTAAAACAGACATCACGACTTCAACACCAATACCTTTATCTACACAACCAAGACGAGATTATTTAGACGACAAGGGACAGGGCATGGATCCCTCATTCCACGACATGGACGAATCATGTGCAGAGCACGCAGTAAGCCACGCGTATGCAGCCATACTGTTGTGCAATGCCATGCCATGCCATGCCATGTCCTCTGCTCATCTATCAGCCCAGCCGTGCAACCATCCATAGGCGCCGTTCTCCACCTCCATTATCTTCATTCTGCAAGGTAGGAAGCCTACTGCGAGTTTGCGAGTATTTGGGGATGCACCGCTCGAACTCATCAGCGCCAAACCAAACGCCTAGACAGATCTACTGTATTCCTCTCTCCACTCCTTACCTCCCTTTTGCACTCTGAGCGGAGACGAAATCTCCACAAAACGGTGAACGGCTCAACCTCGCTCGCAATCCCAACATATCGTATGCACAACACAACACCACAAGAACTGTTGTGTAACTCTTCTCAACGCACTGATGCACGCACACATACAAAACAAAAGAAAAGCGGATAACGGCGCCCTGGTCATCTCTTTTCGACCAAATCCCCCCCTGCACAGAGCATGAGCTCGAGCATGCGGAGTGCCAAACCCATGCACAACGTTCTCCTCAACAAAAAAAATATTAGGTATGGTCGACCCCGGATAAGAACAGCCACAGGCCTGTAACAGACAGTGCAGACCGAACTGCGAGCGCTAATGCCTGATCGGTCCGAACCTCGAGTAATGGATGCGATTTGCTTGTTGACTCTTGTGTATTCGTTGCCGATGCTGAGATGAATTATTGTATGGCATGTTGTCACACATCATCTGAGACGAAATTCATACCGATTAAACATCGTAACACCACAAATGACACATTACACTTAACCGATCAAGTCGATGACATCGCCAATGACCTCATCGAAACGGTCTGTGGCGACTTTCAGCACCATGATTGCCATACGACGAGTTCACGATGCTTTCGCAGTCTTCGTAATATCGGATTTGTAGACGTTAGTGCGTTGCAACGGGCGACGGCGGTCAATGGACACTGCCTACTTGAAGCGAGTCCAGAACGCCGAATAGGCCATGATCCAAACTCTCTAGCCACAGAAAATCTCCGGCTTGTGCTCTGCGCGCCTCGTTATCGGTGCGTTACGCGGCTCAATTGAACGCTGGACTGCGGTTGTGCTGCTACGGGTGCTGTTTGTGTGTCACATCACATCACATCACTCGGATGTTGCAGCACGCCAAAGGGAAAATTCGCCATCTTCACTGTAATGCCGATCGCTTTTTTTGATGACACATTTTTAGATATGTCCCTTCTCGTCTCTCATGCGTGTTTACCCCGAACGGATTGGAGATTGCGTAAGAAAAGGCGAGGCCGAAGAGACAGGCGGAAATAAAATGATTATTATTATTTTTTAAACTGGGTCGTGCCACCAGGGTAGTTCTGTAGGCTCTGCAACTCTAACAGCGATAGGAAAGAGGAAAGAAAGGGTCCCAGCAATGCTAAGACATTAAGGTGTGGCGAGTGCAACTCCTGGTGTCTTGCGGGATGCTGCGTTCCTCCTCAACAAAGCCCCAATCCGCCGCCAGTTCCGTCCTCAAGCATCTCCATGAGGGAAGGATTCGACAGCGGAGCGGGTTCAATATACAGAGTTTTCCTCCTCAACCACTGGAGATTGTAGGATGGGTGGTGGAGGAGCGCGCGCGAAACAGAGCCTCCCGCTCCCTGGCGTCGCTCTTGTTCAAGCCATGTCCATTGTTGCGTGCCGTGTTGTTACTTTGTACGAGTTAAGAAGTAGGACCCCTTCTTTCTTCCCTTATCTCGTCCAGCTCTTCACACCCTCAGCAATTTTAGACAGTCCTGGTGGTTGCGTTGCGTTGCAGCCCCGGCTCTCCCGTCTTGTTCGAAGGAGTAGCCTCCGCTTAAGCCGTCCTCTCGCGTCGTCTCACCCAGACCCAACCAAACAAGGATGCCATCCTCGCGTCTGACGGGAACGTTCATCTCGTCAAAAAGGATGCTAGCATTTCTGAAGTCAGGTCAGGAAAAAAGAGGGGTTCAATAGAGTCAGAGCCAGAGTCGACGGGCGACGAGGGGGAGTGGCGCTAAGCGTCGGCATTATCGTTGATAAGGTATAGTACAGGCCGCCTTGGTCCTACGTTTGATATCGAATCAACCACATGTGTACTCGTACAGTTTACCTATGCATGCATGCACCCTGTTTTTAGCAATACAGTAGGTGTGTACTGCGTATGTACGCCTACGCGGAAAAAGATGAGTCTTACGAATAGAAATCGCTGGATGGGAGGTGCATGTCCATAACACGTTGGCGTTTGATGATCGCGCCGCCGCCGCCGCCGCCGCTTCTGCAGAGATGCCTACAAGTTTGAACCAGCCCATCATGCATGCAAGGATGGAGTGCAGACTGTCCCAGACTCTGCGAGGTTCATCCGTCCTGGACGCGTTGAGGTGGTGGTGTATGGCCATGGTGGCTGCACTCCATCATCCCGCACGATTGTTAATAACTGGACCCTGATGTGGGGATGTAAATATGAGGCCGCGGCGACTGTAAAATGGTTGAGGATGGCGACGGAGGCAATGCGGAGGGTGGAGAGGAGCGTTATGGGGAGACAAGAATGGTCTTTACACGCTATCAACCTACCAAACAGGGTCCACGGAGCGGCATCTATCTTCCTACGGCATAACTATCAAAGATGATTGACGCTCTAGTGCTTCACTGTTACATGACGCGTTCTCAACTGTTTATCTCTGCCGTAACCTCACAATGAACTATTGTAAAAGATCCGCTTCTGCTCGTTGTAGATCTCGTCTGGACTACATCCCGTCGAGGTTTCAACTACCTATAGAGAGTAGTACTGAGAGTTCACCTCCCGTGCTGAAGCTATACAGACCCACTGATGAGCCTGCATGCCTCCCCATGGGTGATCAGAATCTCAGGGTCTACCGGCATAAGTGATTGGTCGACTTCAAATACCGATCAGACTCTTTGGTGCATAGGGTTTGTGTATTCGTGTCCTGGGGGCCAACTGTAAAACATTGCATGGTGTCTAGAAGTCTGTCTGCCCTTGTCTCTATCATATGAAAGAAAGATATCGGGATATGTCCATTTATGGTATCCCTTTGAGGGGACAGTCAGTGTGTAGGCAAGGTGAATGGTGCCCATGATGTAATCTGATCTGATAGAGAGGGGAGTGCTGCGCAGATACGCGCAACATCTCCTCACGCCTTCAGCAGTCCGAACGGTCAATTAGGCACGAATGCATCACACATGACGACAAACTTCCAGTCGTGCTTGTGCTGAACGGTGGCACGGAACGCAAACTCTCTATTGTGTAGCATTGCAGACGAAAAACGTCATGCCAGGTTGAACCCTAGCAGTGGCACTGTTTGCCATGTTCGGGGGCCCGTCGATCAAAGGGTTCAGCGGCTTCGCACATCAGGGTCGTCGAGCGGCTGGGGCATGGCATCAAGGGTCCAGAGTGCAGCTAACTCTCTCCCTGCTTCATCTAGACCTGCAGGGCACTGAACGATGCCTACGCGGCAGTGATTCAACTTCGAACGGATTATCGTAGGAGGAATAGCGATCACGGAGATGATGCCCTGAGAGAGTAACAGCTCGTCTGAGTCCTCCACACTGTGCTACATGAGTGGGTCTGGATGTGTAAATATGCTGATTCTAAGACCAGAAACAGTGGAGACTTTTGTTGTGACTTTGATCCTCTTGCTGGAGGAGAGACAAGGGAAGGCGCGTGGCGAAGAGTCGTCCACTGCTGTGTGTGTGGCCACGGGTGCGTCTCACAAGTATGTAGGTATGACAGAAAGAAGGGCTTTGGTGGCTACAGTGCTGCACAGCGTCCTTCTCCACCTTGCACGGTCGGGCGAGAGGCTCAGAAGGAGTGCTTGCTCCTCAATCGGGCCAGGTTGGACTCTTAGCTTGACGCCACCAAGACTACTAGAGACATATACTGCATTCTGTCTGGGCATGGTCTCGTGTTGCATGTGATTGAAGTTGGTGATTTGAGAACAGAGAGCGTTGGTATGGAAGAGGTACAGGCACGACGGTGTGAGGTTGATATCGCTTGAACGTTGCGACGAAGGATTGCATCGTTGCGTTGGAATAGCACAGATGAAATGATATTGCCAAGTAGGTTGGATAATGAAAGAAATGTAAAGTGAACGGGACCTCGAGGTAGTATTGCAGCTTACTTTAATGTATATCTGTGCTACACTGGCTTTCTGAACAGCCTTCAAAAGGCGTCGACACTGCAACTTCCCCATGTATCTTTTCCTCTGTTCCGTCCAAATTTCTTTGTTCATGGTATCCCTTCTTTAAAATCGAAGTATTGGAACCTCAGTAGGTTCAGGTCGCACTCCAGGTCCCAGCTCGCATGGATGTTTGCCAGTGACTGGCGTGGGACTGAAAAGGTCGGAGCACTGGCAGCTATTAGACTCTTCATAAATTTACTTGTTTGTATCCTTCAACTTACCGCTCGAGTAGGCGACGGGCAGCCGTAGTTTGCAGAAGTCCAGCAGACCCAGGAGTGGTTCTCCTCGAAGTTGCATTTCTGAGAGTGTTAGCTGGCTGCAAGAACGCCCCTTGTCCGATTTTATAGGCGGTATCAATTTCTCCAGAATCATAAATGATTTTCCAGTGCTCCTTCTTGTGGATCCAAGGACATGTATCTCACCTCTAAAGCATCAGTGGCCCAGCAAGGGTATCTCACTGTTGCTAACTTCGGACAATCGCAGCTTCTGGAAAAGATAGGAACTGGCTCCCAATGCGATGGCCTCCTTCTTGTCCGTGAAGTACTAGTGAAATTGAGACCAGGCACGGTAGTCGGTAGAAGCGTGGGGAATGTCACGGGGATATTCAGAGACGTCGTGGGGATGACTGTAATCGTTGGGGTAGCAAACGATTCAGAGACAGAGATTGGAGGTAGGGCTGTCTCGACCTGAGCGTGAGGAGCTGCAGTCACTGCCGCCACGAAGGCTGCGAGCCAAACTTGATATCGCATGCTGCCTGGTAGCTGAGCCTCTTGGACTGAAGATGATGATCCAACGAATTTGAAGTGAGACAAGAAGTCTTGATCGTTGACAAGACCGGGCAAGACACCTTGTCGAACTGCGCCATCGTCTTCATTTTACCAATATGCCAACCGTATTCGAAGAAGGAACGGGCTCGTTTCCGGCTGTTGTAGATTGAATCTTCCTGGGCTCATGATTGCAATCAGTGGGTGAATTGATTGCATCGAGTACAAAACTCAATCTCAGACAGAACGTTTTCTTCTTTCGGCTACGAACGTCTATTCTTGGAGTGTTGACAGATTCTTCGAGTTTACGCAGATTAAGATTTCGACCTCCATACTGTATTATGATTGCCTGGACCCATGCTCTTCATTCTGATTGGCGAAAATATAGTATCGTCAATATGCCGCCTTATATGGCATTTCTTCAATTGCGATGCTTCGTGGTTGTAAATATTGTCCAAGTTCATGTTGTGATCCAACATGTCTCTAAGAAGCTTCTTGTTATTGTTTATTTGTTTACTCAAGCAAGAAGCATTGCGTATAGCCAATTATTGAGCATCATGGCAGGGGATATCCGTCGATCGGCTCGGCTATAGTCAGGTGCCTGTTCGAAATGAAGCCATTTGGCACCCTTGCTTACATATTTCGAACATCGGATCCCGAGATTGCTCCACGATTCGGAGGCCAAGAGAGAGCTTTGCAGTAACTTGCAAGTCTAGTGCCTTCGGATCACCTGGGTTGCGATGTGGCTGCTGAGTGCATTAGATACTTGCACTGCATCGTGTGTTCGTGAATCATGTCGAGCTAAGAACACGTTCTAGATAGTAGGATTGCGGCGCTGTGTGCCTACGCGATGCACGATGGTTGCAGCTCACTAATCTAAGCTTGCATTTTCACCGTACAAACTACATATTGATGAGGGGCAGAAAGAGGGGATCAGATTTGTAATGTCTAGACTTTCCCGACTCGTATTCTTGGAATGCAGCATTCACGGGAGCATAAACGGTGAGCGAGTAGGCGCACATATCTAGCACACATTCTGTTATGGAGGGTGAAATGCTCTAGAACTGCATCATTACGTTTGATATCTGGCCTGCTTGTTCTTCTGTTCACGAGGTTGTATCGCAGTGAAAGGACTAGATGCTCTGTCCGAGGTCTATCGTTGACTCCATATTCTACCTCTTTACCCCGGATTGCCCCTCTCGCTGCGGAGTATGCTAGTCTCGCATTAGCTGCTCAGTGTTCTGAGCTGGACAATCTGTTGAGGCCGCACATGACTCGCAGCTGATACAAGGGCGTAAGGAATAGGTGTAGAAGTCGAACTATCGGTGTAGAAGTCTGCACGTGGATGAAGATAACGAAGAGTCGATTGCATCAAAAGAGTAATGTGAGAACAACTGTGATGGGTAGATGAGGTCTGAATAAGCATCGTCATGTGATTGGCCGATCGGCGCCAGGTCGCGCCCGCGCCGCCCGTACATGACGAAACTTATCGAGATTTGGCTCTATAATCAACTTTATGTCAAGCTTCAACATCAACAATTCATCCTAACTTTTGTGCGTATGTCCACGTGAAGATCCACACTCTCAACATCAGATAGACTAATTTTCTTGATAGAGTAGCCAGACTCTTATCACAATGGCACCTTCAAGAGCTCTCCTTCGCTGCGTAGCAACCGTTCGAACTCGCCCAAGTCCGCACCGTCTCCTTACCACATTTTCTGCAAGGAACCAATACATTCGCCCCGCAACCATATTACATACTGCCCATTCAGCGGCTCCATTGCGGACATCAACTCAATTGCACCTCCGACGAGCATATTCACAGTCGCAGCCCGAACCACAGTCCGAACCACAAAGCAATACACTCGAGCCTCCCGACTACCTCTCCGAAGGAGAACTACACATATTCAATAAGATAAAGGCAGAGCTGGAGCCGGTGAAATTAGAGGTATGAATAATACCCCCACATACGTTGACATCATCTACACACGGCATATCCAGGATCTTGCTATGAAAGCATTTGCTATTAGAAGCTGACTCATGGCTTTTGTAGGTCCAGGATGTGAGTGGGGGATGCGGCTCTATGTACGCACTGGAAATAGAGTCCCCCAAGTTTAAGGGCTTGACAGTAATCAAGCAGCACAAGCTCGTGAACTCAATACTGGCCGAGGAAATCAAGAGTTGGCATGGGGTGCAGCTGCGGACAAGAGCTGTATGATGATCATGAAACCTTAATGACTGCCTGGCTAAGGCATCGTATGTTGCATGTGTTGCATTGAAGAGACGAAATATTGACTGCTTTGTTTGCGGCTTGTATTATTATCATTTGTATCAACTACCTATTTTTGGGGCAGGCAATTGTATATCATCATACATACAGTATCGCGAAGCGAACCATTTATGAATCTAGAGATTTTTAACAACTTTTCCAGATGGTGATGCATCAAGTCAACATCTCAAATGCTGGACAACATTCAACAACGTTCGTATTGGAAGCTTTCGCTGGTTAAAGTTGCAACCAATCTTCAAAAGCTTATAAATTGCCATTCTGGTCTTCCCTGTGGCAATCTGATCTCCGATTTCTCTTGTACAGCTGATATCCCCTTTGGTTGGTTCCGAGCAGGAAGTTGTATCTCTTTCATTCTCGTCCGCAGCCAAACTGCATCTGGGTTTCTACTGTCTAATGCCTCCCGTACCTCAATCCTGTCCAACACAGGATCAAGCATGTCGACAATGTCATCGAAAAATTCCTCTTGTACTGCCACATGTTGTGCAACACTCGACAAAAACCGAATGAGTGATCCGCGTATCATTCGGTTGGGAGTGTCGGTGTAGAGTTCCGGTCGGAAGCTGTCCAATGCACCATCCCTTCCCTTTACCACTGCTGAAGTATCGTGAGGATTGTTGAGGTTGAGTGATGCCAATGGTGTTTTGGTCGTTGCTCGATCCATTCCCTTCTGGCGAGAATTAACACGGCGGTGCAATTGTCGAACGGTGTTCCAGATATCTTGGATCCGGCTTTTCATAAAATCGCCAGCATAGGTACATAGTAATGCCATGATATCCAGTGCTCCTGAGATAATGTAGGCTTCCGGATCATCGAGACGAGGAACCAAGACAGGCCATAGAGTATTTATGAGAGGTAGAAATGAATTCTCATGCTTCGCTAGCGCAGGTATGGTGGTATGGAGAAGGGATAGGAGAGATGTCCTCAAACTTGGAGATGGCGACGTGAGGTAATATTGTGTTAGTTCGGATATCTTGAGAAGAATGTTGAAGGTCTCTGGCGCAGGCACTGGGGCATCAGCTACTGGTTGGACGGCGTTCTCTTCTTCTGGTTCATCTTCTTCCTCGTCATCTGCGTCTTTGTCCCCTCCATCTCCTGTCTTTTTCTCCAACATTTCTTTCCACGGGCGACGTGGAAATGAAGCTTCCATCCTAGATTCATGTTCCTCATCCTCCTGCGTAGAGTTTTCTTTGGCTGCCTTGATCAAATGTATAGTGTCGAGCATGCTTCTTGGTTTCCTACCCGAACTAACTGGCTTGTGCTCATTCTCCGTCAACATCAGTTGTGGAGATTTTACTCCTTCTTCCGCCATGACCTTTAGAGTTGAGAATAGTAACTCCACTAGTTTGGGATAACCATGATATCGTTCAAGAGCTGAGAATATGCTTCCCACTAGATCATCCAGGTAGGGCAGTAGAGACGGTCCGCATAGACGCATTGCCATCAAGAGAACCTGAGGTGCTTGCGGTGAGATGTCATGATAATTGAGCTTCAATCCCACAGCATTGACGACATAGTCAACATTGGCGATAATCAGCTCTCTCGCGCTCGTGTATCCGGATGACTTCGCTATTATGTTGAGACAGACAATTGCGTGGTTTCGTAAGCGGGGATTTGTGGTGCCCAAAAGATGAAGGACTGGGTACAACGCATCAATCAGTTCAGCTTGGAACTCATCTCCGTATCTTTCTGCTTGCAAGGCAAGAACCTCTAGGGACAAAGCCTGTAATCTCCAATCTGCATCGATATCTGAACTTGATAGGTTAGATATTGAGAATGAGTACATCTCATCGAGAAGTTCGGATTGAATGCTAGGTGTTCCGAAGCTCAGGAACTCGTCCAGTGCGGTATCATGCTTTAAGATCTCCTTGACCAGATTTACAGACAACCAAAATGAGGCTAGCTGCGTCTCCTGGTTTTCGGAGTATATAGCATTTACCAAATCCCGCGCAACAGTATTAGCTGACTTGGTTTGTGCTAGCCGTTGTAGCAGAACTTTATATTCCGTCATCATATCATCCTGACTCTTGAAGCGTAATTCTAAGACATCGAAAGAGCTGGGTCGCACACTGCCTAGGACAAGGCTTGTGTCAATGTTTGTGGCGGAGGCCGTGTCTACCACTTGTATTGCACCTGACGCGTCCTTTAAGATGGACGCAAAGCTACCTCGAAGATTCTCTGCCAGGATGTCATCGATGATAGTTGTGTCTACGCCTTCATCGTTCAATAGTCGGAGTGCTGTCGATATTTGATGCATGATCTGGCGTCTTGCAGAGTCATCACTTGACTGCATCAACCTTGGGAGGGAAATCACCCATCCGTATAGGCTTTCCCTTAAGAGTGAACAGAATCGAGTATCAGAGGAAAGAAGTAATCGGAGATCTTTCTCGGCCGTCGAATTTCTGTCTCCACGGCCAGCAAGACTGATGACAATCTCGATTGTCATACTGCTGCAATCGGCCAGTGACTTTCGGCAGTCTTGCAGTACTCGGAAGCACAGCCCCAGGAGAGCATGCCGGACTTCTTCCTTACTGTGATGTTTCAACTTATATACGTTGGCGAGAGCAATCTTGATCTGGTTTGCTGTGGCATGGAGCCATGATGTAGTTCGCATGACTTTGTCTGTAGATTCTTTTGCGCTAGGTACTTCCGAGGGAAGCTGCCCAACCTCTCCATCACTGAGTACTTTGAGGAGAATCAAAGAGAAGGAATTCAATCCACGCACAATAACTCGAAAACTTGACCGATTAGTGCTGCTTGGTGTGAGAACCTTTGTAAGAGATGATAACAGTCTTGGGACGAAGCTTGCAAGGGCATCTTGATCCGACACCCCCTCAGTGACTGCTTCGATAGCGCAAAGCGCTTGTAGCTTTACGTCGTTCGAACTCGCTTCTGCAAGGCTATCGACCATCAAAAGAACGGCCTTTGAAAGCGAGGGAATGTTTGAAGTGTCCGTCAAATATTCCCGACCCTTCAAAGAACGGCTCATTTCAGTGATCAGTTCAGCCATACACTGGAAGGCAGCCACCTGAAGCTCCTCGGAGGTCTCCGGAATGCCATTATGGGCAGACGAAGGGTTTGCGAGGAAAGTGAATAGTATGAGAAGTTGGCTGAAGAGGTCTTGGGATAGATTGCCTTTCCATCCGTTTTGGAGCAGAATAGATATGCAGCCTAGAGATAGCTCCAATGCACGCACTGGGACTCTCTGGGAGAGTCGAAGTACTTGTGATATGGGCACAAACACAAATTCGGCGAGTTTTTCATCCAGAGCATTTGGCTGAGCAGTGACTTCTTGTAGTTCATGTAGTAAAGCAGTAAGGGATTGGACCACTTCTGTCCTAGTATTGGGCCGCTGAGCAAAGCTGGAGGTGGCTTGAATAAGCTCAACGCATCTCTTCTTTAACTATAACTGGACTATCAGTCCGAAGCCCAAATATGATAGGTTCAAGGGCACTGCACAAACCCTTTGAAAGGTTCGTTGTCTCTCCATCCTTCCCCCATGCCAACGTATGGCCTATAAACGAGTTCCGAGATGGGATTCAAGAACGATTGTTTCCTCCTAATGGTAAAGAATTATGAGCAACGGGCTAGTCAGAACCGGGATTCGGAGTAGTCGACAAATGCCTTCTGATTAGATCGTATTGTCGATTGAAAAGTTCAAGATCTCGGAAAGATGTATCAATCTACCATGGGTTATGAAAGGCTAGGAAAGGCGATGTGGGAGTACCGCCAAGCCTGGCCAAAGCTTGCACTTTCTGATCGCGTTCTGAGTGGCCGAAGCGCGTAAGCTCGACTCTCCTACACCACCTCCGAGCGGCGCTACCACGACACGACACGACAACTGAGTACTTTCTCGACGACATCAACGATCGCATTAAGATTTACAACAAGGAGCCTATATTCCAAGCAAATCGATCATCTAGCCTAGGAAGCGCGGCTTTTAACGCGCAGCCACGCGATGGCAACACGAAGTCGACGAAGCGCAGCCACAGAAGTTGTAGAAGAGGAGGAGGAGCAGGATGGCGTCAAGAGACTACGGTTCAGGCAGCCTCTGGTTGGCAAGCCCGGCAGGCCAATTGGTGTTGGAGATTTACACACAAGATTGAAGGCATTGTCTGAAGAGTTGCGAGGTTTGGAACAGGAGGAAGCAGAAAGAGATTCCCTCGAGCCTGTCGCGAAAGAGCTCGCGAACCAGAGTCTGCTGCACCACAAGGACGCGGGCGTGCGCGCATGGGCTGCATGTTGTATTGTGGACATGTTCCGTCTGTGTGCGCCAGATGCGCCTTACACGGCTGCACAGCTAAAGGTAAGACATCGTCTGGAGTCCATTCCGAAGCTATGATGTAGTTGTTAATCATGCCACTAGGACATCTTCACTTTGATAGTGGTCAAGATCTTCCCTTTGCTCGCAGACCCTTCGCACCCCTACAACGGCCAACACCTTTATGTATTGCGATGCTTAGCTGAAGTCAAGAGCATTGTCCTCCTGACCGACATACCTTCGTCTGGCCCGTTGACATCTGCGCTTTTCACGAACTGCTTCGATGTGCTGTCAGGACCTTCAAAAGCGGATAACGGCGAGGAGCTAAGCAAGAACGTGGAACACCACATGACCGCGGTTTTAACGATCCTCATCGACGAAGCAGCAACCCTATCATCGGATGTCGTGGACGTTGTAGTCGCTCAATTTCTCTGGGCGGATCCCATTACTCTGCAATCTGGTACCTCGAAAGGAAAAAAGGCCGCACAGATCGATAGTAAGCAATCGACATTGCGTCGCAAGGAGGCGCCACCTGCCTATAACATGGCGAAGAACATCTGCAATGCTTGTGAAGACAAGATGGCACGCCTCATTGGTTCTTATTTCAGTTCCGTTATCGTTGACTTCACGTCTGGTGGATCGTCCCTGAAGCATCGCGATGCTGACGATTCCGACGATGAGAGGGCCAAGGGCCCCTCAGATGATGAACTAAATGACGCAATAAAGGCACATCGGCTGCTCCGTGAGCTATGGCGATGCGCTCCTGGAGTACTCAAGGACATAATACCGCATTTGCAAGAAGAATTGGGTACAGAAAACATCCAATTGCGCCAACTGGCGACAGAGACTTTTGGAGATATGATATCTGGCATTGGGGCCGCTGGCCCTCCTGCGCGTCCTGAGCTTAACCCAGCGGCATATCCATCTCAAAGCCTAGCATCGCCTGATTCGAACAAGACTTACAATTTCCTTACTACCCCGACTTCACCGAAATCCTTTCCCAATGAATACCCTGGCGCGTATCATTCGTTCTTACAACGCAAGCATGATAAAGCTGCTGCCATCCGTGCGGCCTGGGCGACTGCTGTGGGCCGTATACTCATGACTGCAGCCGGTGGGGTTGGGCTAGACCCCGACGAGGAGCAGAGGCTTCTGCGTTCGTTCTCTGAAAGCCTCATTGACAGTGACGAGCGTGTACGACTGGCTGCTGTCCGAGCTATCGACAATTTCGAGTTTGATGACTTGGTTCAGAAGCTAGGAACTAACGGGACTATGTCTGAGCCCGGATCAGTACTTTCCAACCTTGCAGACAGAGTGAAGGATAAGAAGAGTGTCATCCACTCCGAAAGCATGAACCTTCTTGCTCGTATCTGGGGTGTAGCAGCAGGGGCCATTGCGGAGGGCAACGAGAGAATCACTACACTTCTCGGACCAATCCCCTCAAGGATTCTTGGCGCGTGTTACGTCAATGACCCAGAAATTAATGTGCATATTGACTTGAACCTGTTTGAGTCACTTCTGCCTCTAGGCTATCCACCAATGAAACCCAGGGCGGCCGTTAATGGTGGTTCACAGATTGTCAGGGATAGTCAAGCAAATACCGAGCAAGGCTACACAGAGGCAGAACTTGACAAGATCCGCACAGAACGAATGCTGGTTCTGGTCCGAGGTCTAGACGAGAGGGCCCAGAAGGTGTTCTTCATCAAGCAGGGCAACCAAACGGCTGGAGTGACATACATGGAGCGATTCCTCAAATTGTGCGAGGATTACAATGGAGGTGTTATGGACAAGGACGCAAAAGAGATTAAAAACACCCTTGGGGGACTCATCAATTTCTACGGCAAGACCTTATCAGACTCTGGCCGTGCTGTGGAAGATCTATGGAAATTCGCGAAAGCTCACGACCGCCGGAGTTACCAACTTATCCGATTTTGCATGGCACCAGAAAGCGATTACCGCAAGATTTACAAGTCTATCAAAGAGCTTCGAAAGAGGATCGAGGACAGCTCGAACCCCGCCTTGATGGAAACTCTCACGCCTCTTCTTTATAGGGTCAGCCTGTTATGTTATAACAAGAGTCACGTACCCGCTATCATCGAGTTCTCACGCACCGACGACAAAGGCCTTGGAGCAATCTCGCACGAGATGTTGAAGGACATCTCAACGAAGCACCCACAAGTTTTCTCTACTCATGTCAAGGACCTCTGTAAAGCACTAGAGAGCGAAGCGCCCACGGCAACCACGCCCAACCCACCAAACGCAGTAGAGGATCTCAAGGCGTGTGCTAGTTTCGCGAAGAAGTTTCCCAAGGACGTTCCGCTGAATACGAAGGATGGACGAAAACTTATCCAATGCTTCATGAACTTTGCATTGTTCGGCTCGCCCCCGAAAGCCGCTAAACATGCCATTACAATTATCATTAGTAGTGATAACAAGAAAGAGTTGCACATTAAGGAAATCCTGGAGAAAAGCATCAAGGGTTTCGAATATGGCTGTCAAAACTGGCTCACAAGGCTTGCTGCTATCAGTCAGATACTGCTATTGGCTCCCCAGGACTGCGAGAAACACACAGATGCTATTGTTGACATCGCTGTGAACAATGTTCTCCTCAAAGCTCACCCAGTGGAAGCTGAAGCTGAAGTCGAATGGATGGAGACACCGGATGACGACATGATTGCGCGGACCTGGGCACTCCAGATTCTTGTGAATCGACTACGATCTTTCCCTGCGGACGAGGCTATCAAAGATACAGCCTCCCCCATCTACGCGATGTTGAACCGACTCGTAAAGGAAGGTGGCGAGGCATCGAAGAAAAAGAACACACCTCTAGGACACAAGAATCTTCAGCGCTTGCTGGCGAGCAATTTCCTGCTTAAGCTTTCGAGTGTACGACGTCTCGACGGCCTCTTGACAGGTACCGATTTCAATGAACTCGCTTTCGTTACCCACGACGCCTGCAGCCAAATCCGCAAGGGCTTCGCAACGAGACTGATGAAATATCTCGGCCAAAACCGCCTTCCTTCTCGATTCTACACGATCTTGTTCCTCTGCGCATACGAACCAAACTCCAGTCTCAAAGAGACAATACTGACCTGGCTGCGATCTCGTCGCGTGGTCTTCGCTGCTCGGAAAGAGATCATCCTCGAGACTGCATTTGCCCGACTACTTAGCCTACTCGCCCATCACCCCGACTTCGACACCGATGAAGATACCCTCAAGATCATGTCACATTACATCCTATTCTATCTGAAAGCCGTGGCGACGCAAGACAACCTATCTCTCATATTCCACGTTGCGCAGCGGGTCAAGGGTGTTGCAGAGGGCCTCAAGCCATCAGTGAAGGCGGATGAGAACTTGTACATATTATCCGATCTCTCGCAAGCTCTGATACGGATCTGGGAGGAACAGAACGGGTGGAGCATGCAATCGTGGCCTGGTAAGCTGAAGTTGCCTGCTGGCATCTTCAAGCCTCTCGAGAGCCACGAGCGCGCACAAGAGATTGCGGACAAGGTTTGGATAGACGAGGATCTTGTAGAGTCTCTCGAGCCGCTTGTACGTGCGGGACTGAAGGGTAGGAAGAGGAAAGCGACGGATGGCGCAGACAAACCAAAGAAGAGGGTGAAGGCGGAGAAGAAAGAGAGGCAGCCAAAGGCAGAGCGAGCTATCAAGGTGCCCAAGAAGAAGAGGAGAGCTGCAGGAAGTGACGATGACGAAGCTGGCGGTCGCGCTGGAGCTGCAAGCGGACCTCGCCGCAAGAGCGATCGACGCAGCAATGCGAAGAGCTATGTTGAGATTTCTAGTGGAGACGAAGAGGATGAAGAGGAAGAGGCTGGCTCTGATGAAGAGGAAGATGAGGAGGTGTCGGGCGAAAGTGATGCTGGGAGCCCCGAACCAGAGGCAGAAGACGTAGAAATGGCAAACACCGATGAGCCTGAAGAACAAAACGAAGACGAAGATGAGGCGCCAGAGTCTGAGCCCGAACCCACACCTCCACCAAAGAAATCAGCAGCGACCAGAGGACGAGGCGGGGGCAAGAAGTCCAACGGCGTAGCATCATCACCACCTCCAGCGCCCTCTTCAGCCGCAAAGCGCAAAACCCCTTCGAAAGCATCAACAGCAACCACTCCCGCCAGATCCTCTCGAACTCGCGTCCAGGAAATCGATGAAGCCGAATCAAGTCGCGCCCCCGCCGCAGCTACAGGTAGCGTGCGACGCAGCACGCGGACGAGGAGCTGAAGCCTTTCACTTGCCCATCCCAATCCCCGTTGATAACCCCTTCTTCTTTGAACACCACCATGCCGCTTGCTCTATAACCATGGCCGATGGATTTCAGACTGTACAGAATCTACCCGTCCGTTTCTTCTTCATATCTTTGTGCATGATGTCACCTCGGTTTCTTTTATTCCCGAGCACGTTTGTTAGTAATCTAGTCCTCCTTTTTTACATATAGTTATATCATGTACTTTCCAAAACTTTCTCAGTCCCCCATCCCGTCTCCGTCCCAGTCCCCGTCTCCATAATAAGCGGTCCAAAAGTCCAAACGTTGGTTTTTCTTCTCTCAACAATGTGTGTCCGTATAGCCAACTACCACCTTTTGTTTCCAGTTTACGCCGAACCATTGATTGACAGATTATACGAAGGCGGGTCGTATTTTCTTTCTTTTTCTGTGGTTCCGTGCGCACACACCAGAGCAACGGGGGGCGCTTGCTTGCTTACAACGGGGAGGCAAAAAAGTAAAAAAAATAACGACATGTCACTTGCCTAATCGGGCGAAACGCCATCAAACTTTAAATCCGCTCTGTCGTTCTGTCGGTTGCACGTTGAACAGATTGACGGGACGGAATACGAAAGGGGGGCGCCGCGGAAGGATGGGAATGGGATGGCGAAATATGCATGCGTGCATGTATGCAGGTTCAGAGAAATCCCGTGCTGGGCTGGGCTGGCTGTGAAAGCGAGTGGTGGGCGGACGGTTCGCCGTTTTTTGATTGATGCGTGTAGTTTGTCCGTTGTGTATCTAAGGTTTGGGAGTTACCTAGGTACCCTGTCACCCCGAGCGAGTGGTAATTTAATCTAGCGTGAATAATGAAAGGTCGAGATCGAATGTCTAATTGCTCCGCACTGGGTTTCAGCTTGCTTTCACAGAGACGTGGACCGGCAGGTTCCTACTGTGCTGATGTTCTTGTTGTGGATGTGATTGCTATCACGATAGATGACGAGCGAATGTAGAAACATACATACACCAACATAATACAACATAGCATCTCACACAAGATTCTCTTTCCCCTTGCTCTGACTGCCCTACCCTGCTGCTCGTTCATCACAGTTCTCTTGCCCCCTGCACCTTTTATGTTGGGGGCTGGATATCCAATTACCCAAAAACCCGCGCGTTCAATCCTCCGCGATGCAGGCAAGCAAGGCAACCCAGATCGATCGATCGATCGATCGAATAGCCACGCGCGCGTACGCCAGGGCTGGGTGATAAAATATGTTGTTTAGTTGTTTTGTATATTACGGGTTTGTATGAATGACCATGGTTCTTTTGATTGTCGAAGGGCAAGGCCAGTGGGTGGTCGATCGTTGGGATCTACAGTTGAAAGAAGGGAGTAGGGATGTGATCTCCGTCACGAAAAGTCTTCATGTTCTTGCACAGATAGAGTTCTTGGTGTATACAATTTTTTTGTATCTAATCTATTCGATTTTATATATGGTGTAGGTGTGTTGGCGTGTGGGAGGAGCTAATTACAAGTGATTGGGATTTTTTGTTCCACACACATTAACCTCTCACGAAATACGACTATTCTCGCTTCGCTGTAGTTCTATAAAGACGGAAGGGAAATGCGGATGTATATGAATGGATGAAAGTGTGCCGCTCAGATGGGTATGCATCGCTTCTGACTGCGCGCTATCACGACAAAACACGGAGTTGGGGGTATTATCTTTCTATTCTTTTCTCTCTTGCTCTCTCTTCGTTCAAAACAACGATATGAGGAGACGCTTACTCTCCCTTCCAGCCCTCGACGAGCACGACAGGGCCCCTGTACTGCTTCCTGGCGCGGATGTAGTAGTCGCCAACGCAGATGATGGCGACGGCGACGAACATGACGACGGCCCAGTTGAAGTTCTCGACGTCGGTGGGCGTGGTGTTGGGCCAGAAGCACCAGAAGAAGGCGTGGGTGGAGTAGGCGAGACCGCCGATGTTGATTGGGACGCCCCATCTTCCGAGGGACCAGCGGCAGCTGGGGAGGAGCTCGGGCTGGCGGATGCGGCGGTAGAGAACGGCGCCGATGGAGAGCATGTAGGTGATCATGAGGGAGACAACGTTGAGGGAGATGACTGGAGGCGATGGGTTAGTAGGCGGTTTCTCAAGGGGATATGATGTATGGTTAACTTACTTGCGTTAAAAGCGACGTCTGAGCCGATGTTGATGAGGGAGAGCGCGATAGTGAGACCGCAGGTGAATGTAACGGCATTGGCGGGGATGTTCATGGTAGGGTGGACCTTCTCGAGCCAGTTGCTGAAGGGAAGACCCTTGTCTCTGGCAAAAGCCCAGGTCTGTCGAGAGGTGGAGAGGTTGTAGGACAAAGTTCCTGCAAAGATGAGGATGGTGGGGATGACATTCAATGCGACAACACCGCCGGAAGAAACGGCCTGAGCGAAGACCCAGAGATGGGGGTATCCAGAGGGGTCGTTGAGAGCGGCCTCGACGTCGGTCATCATGAACATGTAGGAGACGAGGAAGACAAGTCCAAGCGCGCCGTTGATGATGTAGGACCAGACCATTGCACGAGGAACAGTCTTTCCAGCATCCTTGATCTCTTCAGACATGTGGGCGGCGGCATCAGAGCAAATGCAGGCGTAGATGGCGGAAATCTGGCCAACCATCAAAGACAATCCCATCGAGTTCCAGCCTCCACTGTTGGTGAAGACAGTGAATGTGTCCTTTGCGGTAAGCCTAGGGGAAAGGACCCAAAGTACAATGATGATGGCCAAAAAGCCGAAGACGTGGACGACCAACATCATGTTCTGGAAAAGAGGCATAGCCTTTGCGCCATAGACATTGAGCACCCACACGATGGCAGTGACAGCAATGACCATGAGGGTACCCTGCCAGTTGGTAGGAGAGTAGTCGGGGTACATGACGGTCGCGCAAGATTGGATGAGCGTTCCGACGAGGAATGGACCAGAGGCTGTACCTGCTTGCCAGGAGAGCGTAGACATCCATCCAGCGAAGTAGCTCGAGAATCTCTGGATGCTGGGTGGGGAGAACTCAGAGACCCAGTGGTATTGTCCACCAGCAGTGGGAGCCATGGAGGCCATCTCGGCCAAAGACGCGACGACGAAGCTGAAGCCAAAAAATGTCCAGACGTAGGACCAGATCAATCCTGCAGGACCGCCATCGACAAGACCTTGGTATGTTGCGGTCATCAACACCTCCCAAGTACCTTGGAGAATGATGACGAAGGCAATGGCAGACAATGGTCGGTAGTTTCTCTGATCATGACTGTTAGCAAGAGGTTTTCTTTCCAAATTGACAATGTCAAAAGAATGGGAGAGGAGCTTACCCTAAGTTCCTGGACTTTGCCCATGCGGTTCATATCATTACGGTCATTCTTCGTGTGACCCTTGAGGGAGTCATGGTAACCATCACCAGAATCCTCCTCATCCAAGCTGCGCGTCTTGGGGACGACGGTGTCGGTCTTGAGTTCGCTCATCATTTCACCTTGAGCTTGATTGTGCGAAGCCATCGCAAGTGTAGATCTTAGTAGACTATGGAAGAACGAGAGAGTGTAAGAGATTGGTGGTCAATTGCGACAGCGCTCGACCAGGAGCTGAATGGCGTAAGACGCAAGGCGCAAGACACAGGACGCAGGATGCAATAGCGATAGCAATAGCAACAGCACGAAGAAGGAAGGATGAACAGGCGATAGCAATATAAGTTGTATGCAAGAGAAAGATTTTAGCACCTCGAGCTAGAAGCGATCCCAGGGTATTGGACGCTTTCAAACACAGCGGCACAGGATGGTAGCAGCCGCTACCTAGGCCATGAAATGTTCGGATTCGCGAAGGAGAGTGGAGTAGAGGGGAGGGTGGAGGGGGGAGAAGCCGGAAGAGGAGGCGAGTGGGTGCTTAGGTGGAGAGAGAGTGGATGAGTGAATGGGTGGATTAAAGCAAAGGGGGCAAGACTGAGTGGAGAGGAGGCGTAGACGAGGGTAGATGATATGGGTGTAGTGCAGGGTATCAGCTTGTACTAAGTAACCTGAGTGGGTTCCAGTCCCTCGATGGGGGAAACTTGTATGCAGCGCGAGGGACGGGGCAGTAAGTGTAGCGCATCCGATGGAGATGGATGGTTCCTGGGAGTTTCCTGGGATTCCCACCCTCTTTTCTTCGTCTTGTTGGATCTTGGTAATAATTAATTAGTCTTCGCCTTCATCTTTTTCTGCTTCATCTAGACTATGCCTAGAGTCTGCTCCGTAGATTCCCATAGGTACAAGTACCTGTATGTACAGGCATACAACCTCGTTCCTCGGCCCTCGCTTGTTCGCAGTTCAAACAGAGCGAATACGCTACTGTATGTATGTATGCAAATGGCCACCACTTGGTCAGTGATTTGTAAATGGTGATACTATTATATTTTATTTTTCTCTTGTCTTCTCGGCTATCTAACTTGTTTTGAATGGGAACGACGCAAGGTGATTGGGAGGCTTTCTTAACAACCATCGGTTATCAGTTTCTCGAAGGGGTGGTGGCTCCGAGTCGAACTACTCGAGGTGACAAGATCTAGGCCTCTAGACCAATGGTCGACGGCGGAGAAAACATACGATCTATACCTGGACATTACAAAATGTATGCATCTGTCTTTTCATCATATATGGGGCCGGCCCTTTTAAGTTTTGACGAGGATGGAGGACGAAGAGACGGGCCGCTCCTTGGTTTATGAGACGGCCACGACGGCTACGCGGGAGTCGCAGAAATAGTCAAGATTCAACACAGAAGAGGCATAAAATGCTGGAGTCAGGGGCAGACTTGACTCGACCTATTTCGCATTGTTCCGTCCACAAGAGGCCGATTTTTTTCGCTCTCTGTTTATCCAATAACCCTCATCCCTACCCTGAGACGTGGAGCACTGTATCAAGAACTTACAGTACGAGCAACACTAGGTACTCTGCTATGCGACTTGCCTAATCCGCTAAATCCTATCTTCCAAACACGAGTGATCTCCTTCGTTTCGAGAGTATGCAGCCTGTAAAGCGTGGCGATCATGGGTCCGCAGTCGAAAGATGGATCGTTCCATCCCTTCCCTGGGAAAATTCTTTCCTAAACTCGAATGATCGTTATCAAACAAGGAAATCCCCCCCTTAACATGTAACGCATTCACTCGCCCACTGTACTCGTAGGGTTGTGCGTTTGTATACTTGTGCACATTAAGGTGTGGGATTCGGACCTGTAGGTAATCCCAAGTGCCGAAGGCGTGCCTCTCGTCTATCCCTTCCTTTCGCTTGCATGACACCGATCTCTGCACCAGATCCGTTCTGGAAACATACAATACGCCCATCGATGGAGCACGGCTGGCCTTGCTGGCATGGCAATGGCCATAAGTCCGTAGCAAGAGCAATAACAGCGAGAGAATGGTCGAGATTTTTTAGCCTTTCGGCGCTTCAGTCGGATGTCACACCCTACCCCTTGCCTCGCCTAGGTAAGGTCAATTTCTACCCGCTGACGAAGCACCGTCCGTCGCCGCCAATGATCTCGGAACACATTCCGGCAGATCGCTTCCACAGCATTGATACAGGGATGCATGGGTATGTGGCTGTAGGCTTGTGTATGAACCTGTGAGTCTGGTGCGTATCGGGATGATGAGGTAGCAAGCCACTGGCGTTCGTACGATTCCACGTGCAACCCAGCGCAGTGGATTCGATGCAAACCTCGGTGTCTTTGCCACCTTGGCCGAGTCCTTCTTACACATTAGAAATTGCCTTTTTATGGATGTCTCGCGAGGGGGAGGCGGGAGGGGGAACGGATGGGTACGCTTTATCAAACAAGCTACTTCGTACTCGTACTGTCAACATACCAAGCACGCACTACCAACGAGTACGAAGCTACGAATCGACAGACTCGAACTAATCAATGCGTTTGAACGCTACGAAGAAAGGTGGCTGATCCTTGCCCGTCCCTGTCCCCATACTTCGATGCTTGCAGATTGCACAGTACTTGTACATTATTGTAATTATCTACTCACCTAGTTACCTGCCTAGGTACTTAGTATACCTCACTTGGCCCCTACCAGCCCACCACAGCGCTATAACTGCAGTGTTAAGAGTTCCATCATCGGAAAGGGCAAATCCTCCCAACGTCTTTGACAGTGCCTACCCCGGTCCGTTCTACAAACCCTACGAAAGTTACCGTGCTTGCGGGACAAGCACACCTCTTGGGCTTGAATTTGGGCTTGTTGGGGGGTGTGTGGAAGAGCGCCGAAGGTGAGGAAGAGGCGCTCGCGCGATCACGACAGGACCGAACCGGCATATCCAACAGACTGGGCTTCAACGGAAGATACCATAGTTATTCCTTGGTATTATCATCTCGAAGCACTCATCTGATAGCCGCGAAAGACTAGACTGCAGTGTCCAGCAGAAGCAGATTTAGTCCCAAGCCGCCCGTGCCAAAGTCTCTCGTACCTGCTTCCCGCTTTTCATTTTTGCTCTCTGGACATACAAACCTATCATATTCCGTACTCCGTACGTATTTCGCCTAACCATCGAGAAAAGAAAAAAAAGAAGAGGGGAAGAGAGAGGGAAGCCTTACTTTCTGATGTTACCGTTCCGTCTGTGCATTTGATTCATCATCATCGTCCTCACCACCAGCATCATCCCCAACACTCGTCCCCTTCTCCTCGCCACCTCGTACATCAGATACTACAAGACCCGCCCTGTGCGTCCGTTCGCTCGTTCGCTCGTTCGTCCGCTGCTGGCTCGCTCTCACGCTCGCTCGACGGTCACCTCGCTGCAGTTTCGACGACCACGCAAGATGCGAATTGCATCGACTTCGAATTCAAATCCAAAATGAGCAGCAGCAGCAGCAGTCATGTCATACCGCCGCCGTACAAGATCTCCGGCGACGACAAGCGGGGACTCGTGGTGGTGACGACGGCGACAGTACTCTCCTTCGTGTGGACCTGTCTCGTGATACGGGTGTGGTTGAGGTGGAAGTTGAGAGAATGGCGATCGGATGACTATTTCCTTGCCGCCGCTACGGTCCGTCTTACACTTTTCTCTAACCCTCGTACACATTACACTTTTCTACACTACAGCCATTACAAACGGTGGTTGTTTTCGCAACGCCTTCCTCCCTCCCTCCCTTCCTTGGCAACGCCCGATGGCTCTGTCGATCATCATCGATCACCACATCTTACCATACCAAAAACCGTTGTACTGACTTGCATCCTTTTTTTGCGACATGTATAGGTGTTTAACACAATACAATCAGGACTTGTGTTCCGCGTCGCGGATGCAGGACTCGGACTCACGAAAGACGAGGTGGACGCCGACCATCTGCGCAGGATCAGCAAGGTGCGTAATGCTGCAAGCCATCGAACAGAGAGACATGGCCCCATGTCGTCGATCGCGAATGGATGCAAGACATCACATCACGTCCCCCGTTCCATATGTTTCAGACATTTCAGAATGTTCTGACATATTTCCCACTTGGGTTGAGCATTACATTTTATATATATGTTTACATATTTGTATATGTGAATATGTGTACATGTATATGTCTCACACCCATCCACGATCGCGACTACAACTATCACCACCCTTACCATCACGCATTAACAAACAAAAAAAAAGAACAATCAACTAACAATTTCAATACAGCTCGACCTCGCCTCCCAAATCCTCTATGTAATCACGCTCTTCCTCTCGAAAGGCGCAGTCCTCTTCCTGTACCTCCGCCTCTCGCCCGGGAAGAGCCACTCCATCGCATCGTGGGCGACGCTCGGTGTGTGCGGCGCATGGTGCATCATCGGCGTCGTCCTGGTCGTCGTGCCCTGCAACGCCGAGGTGCTGTGGCAGAAGGGCTTCGACAGCTGCAGTAGCATGGTACGTCGACCTCCCCTCCCTCTAGCCTCTGGTCCAAATCTCCCCCCATGAAGACACTGTCGTTGCTGGCAACATATATATCAACAACCAAACATGAACTAATGTCCAACGCAGTTCCCCCGCTGGCAAGCCATAACCGCCATCGACGTCCTCACCGAACTCGCCATCGTAAGCTCCCTCCCCTCCCCTTTCCCCCCCAACCTCACCCCCTTACTAACCACCCAAACACACAGTTCATCATCCCCCTCCCCCTCCTCATCCCCTTAAAAATGAACCTCACCTCCAAACTCCTCGTCCTCCTCGCCTTCTCCGCGCGCATCCCCGTCCTCGCCGCCTCCCTGACACGCCTACACTACATCGGCGCGCTCCTCTCGTCCCCCGACCCGACGCTCCAGGCGGCCTACAGCGTCGTGTGCACGCAGTGGCAGGTGGGCTATGCGATCATGTCGACGACGATTAGTGGGCTGGGCCCGTTCCTGAGGCCGTTTAGTAGGAAGCTTGGGGTGGGGAGCTCGCCGTATGGGGGGAGTAGTGGGTATCGACGGAACGGGGGGACCGGAGGGTATGCGAGTGGTGGGGGGAGTGGGGTTAGGAGCCATAATGGGGGACATGAGGGGAGTACTGGTGGAGGAGGTGGTGGGGTGGGCGATTCGTATCAGATGAATAAGTTGAGGGCGCGGAGGAAGGTTTCGAGTGGGTATATGGGGGGTGGGAATGAGGAGGGGGAGGTGGTGACGGGGAAGGATGGAGGGGTGAGGGCGTTTGTGACGGAGAGGGCGGTGGGTGGCACGGGGACGGCGAGGAGTAAGTTGAATTTGAGGCCCGATTGCGAGGAGGTGGAGAGGAATACGAATGTCATTGGGGGGGAGGGTTCGTCGGAGAGAGACGACGCGGATACGTTGAGCTTGGCTAGCGAGTCCAGTCGCAAGATGATCATCACGAAGAGGACAGAGGTCATGGTCGAGACGGATCGCGCGAGTGCCGTGGTTAGAGATTAGATTTCTCTTCTTTTTTTGGGTTCGATGCCTGTTGTTGTTATTACTGTTGTTTTTGTTCACTCTGGTTGTACCAAGAAAAATGTTTGTTTATAGATACGACAATACCCATCCTTCGTTCTTTTGAAGCATACGGATTCATTTTGGGACTTGGAGTGATCAGTGACGGCTCGCAAGAACTGACTTCAACAATATCTTGAACTTCTATCATACTTTCACCCAATCACGATATCCAGACAACAACTATGTATTTGCTACACGTTAGATCCATGAGTAAAGATGAATACTTAGGTCTATTGATTTTTGCAGCTCAATCTTCATTTCACAGCAGTAGATGAATTCAATCATTCAGGCAAGAAAAGTTTATGTAATGTTTGATTTATTGGTAGTATGGATGTTTACCATATCCCACCCATCTCGGGGTTCAGTGCGAGGACCTCAACTCCTAACCCATGATGATCCTCAATCTCCATCCCATGATGGACCCTGACTCCGGTTCCATGATGACCCCGAGGTAATTGCAGATTCCCTGGAAGACGCTCCGCTCAATGACATGAATTCCCGATGGACAGTTGTCGAGATTCCGAACCCTGCCCACCAGTACAGTATGAACGCCCATTTTGGTATCCGCATTGCCCAAACTCCTTGCTCTAAATGAATCATAATACACGGGCAGAATAGAAAAGTAAAGTAGAGTAGAGTAAAGCAAAGGACCGGCCATGACGAAATGCTCATGAGGGCACCCGGCTCCTCACTGATGTTTCCGCCGCATAACACATCGACCCATCCCACGACCACCGTATTGGGCACACTGTTATTAGCTTTGTATACCATAGCGACAACGGCGCACCTCATTAGCAGCTACGGTGCGGTCCAGCCCATGCCGTTGGGGGTCAAGCCGATGGCATCAGCGAGAGTCTTGCTTGCTTCGTCGACTTCGAGCGTGTCCACTTTCTTATGGGCCAGCCAGTTCTCCATGGAGTTGGTTTGCTCTTTATCGAGGACATGGGTACGCTTCACGTCTGCCCAGTCACTCTCAACCTTGCGGATCTTGTGGCGCAAGCGCGGCATGGCTTCGGTGCGAAGTTGGGAAAGTTCGGTGGCATAGTAGGCATCAGTTGGCTCGAGAGGGGTCGAGAATGACCTTTCGCGCTTCAGGCCGTCGAGGGGCTTGTTGGTCGGTGCGTCCAAGGGAGTCAGGCACATTGGAGAGACCGGAGAGGGGCCATCTGAAGTTGACATGTGCGGGGGCGAGCTAGGACCAAATGACGAAGAGGGTGACAGTGACTGGACTTGGGACCTGTTGCTTGAATCTGGCTGACTGCTTGACACACTATCCGTTCGAAGCTTTGGGAGCGTACGAGGGATGATTGGAAGCATGTCAATGGTGGAGAGGGCAGAGTCCTCCACCACGGCGCTGTCGGTGCTTGATTTTTTGGCTTCCCGACCAAGAATTTGGACACGCTCAAACCCTGACGGCGACGGTAATTAGCACTGATGATACATATGATAATCACAGTGCGTGCAACATAGAGGGGGTGGTGAAGTGATTTGGCAGATCACGTGGGGAGATGGAACCTACCGGTTGAGACAGCAGCACCAGCGTGCTGCATGTCGGTGACCACGGCCCGGAACTGCTGGGGTAGTGCATTCCAGAGCTTATCGGAAAGGTACCAAGCTGGGAGATGGCAGGGCTTGTAGCAGAATGCGTCGCCATCTTTGGGGCACAAGGTGCGAGGAGACTCGAGCCTGGGAGAAGAAGCCGAAGCACGGGAGGAGTTGCTACGAGCTCGACTGTCTCGGCGGAAGGAGGGCGAATTGTAGGGTCTGGTAGGAGGCAACTCGGCGGGAGATTTCCCGTCGTTCGCCATGATGTCGGGAGGTGAAGTGAGGTAAATTGAGGTTGATGGGTGTGGTGTCCGGAAAAGTGCCGCAAGTGAGAGATTTAGGGTTGGATGGTGGCGGCGGTTATGACGCGCGGGAGAGGTTTGGCGTAATTCTGTTTATAGGGCGATGAGGTGGTGGTTATGATGTGTTAGGTGCGTTTGAGTAATTGTGATGAGTGAGTGAGTGAAGTGAAGTTAGTAAGTGTGTGAGTAAGTGAGCGATCAATCGATTGGTCGATTGGGGCAAGTGAGTGAGCGAGTGGAAGAGTTGGAAATTTTGTTGATGTTGTTGTATGTTTGAGGGAGAGTTGAGTGAGAGAAGGATGGATGAGGATGATTAGGAGGCGTTGACTAGTAGGTACGGAGGACGGAGTAGTAGGGAATTGTACGAGGTAGGGAAGATTTGAAGGCGGAGAGTGGAAGGGTGGAAAGGTGCAAAGGTGGAAGGCGCGCGCCGAGTGTGGATGGAAGAGGTGATGCTTGGCGGGCGGGAACGGGAAACAAGAAGAATCAAGTGGAGACTTGAGACTGGGATTGAGGCTACTAGTAAGTAGTAAGTAATTACTTGTAGGAAAGAAGGAATAGCTGGGGAGTGTCGGGATTCGCACCGAAGCAAAGCAAAGGCCGTGTGGAGCGAGAGCTTTTGGATTTAAATACCTCTCGACCGAGCGTGCCTCCGGGGTTTGTTGGGCGCTGAAAGCAAGATGGATGGTAGATGGGAGAGACCGTAGACGAGGTGAGCTGACGTCCTGAGAAATTCAAATATACCTAGGTAAGTATTGAATGAATGGACCTGGGTTTTGTGTTTCGTGGCTGTGACGCAATGAGGTTGTAAGGCTGGATTGGGATGGGAAAGTGAGAGAGGCGTGTAGTGTCACTGTGTAGTACCAGATGGGTGGAATCCTTAGGGCTGTGGACGGTAGACGCCAGACGGTAGACGGTAGACGGTAGACAATATATTAGAACAGTTATTTTCAACTCAAACACACCGTGTTAGTTGGTTCCCAACCGGCGACGACCAAGTACCTAAACTATAGGCAATGGATACCTAGGCATCACAAGTATTGTATTGATCATCATTGCCTCTGGATAGTTATCCCAAAACAAAAGCGATATGAGGGGATTTTGTTGATACAATAATATTGCACACTCGTACTCTGTACAATTTTACAAACATGATACGCACGTTAAGAGTCGATTCCGATTGCGCCCGAGAGGGTCCGCGTCGAACGAGTAGTTATCCGCCTTCAAGGTTACCTACCAACTAGTACTAGTCTAGTCTAGTCTAGTCTAGTCATCCAGGATCGTCCCAGCACAGCGCGCGGCCGGTAATAACAGTTACAGTAACAGTAAAACACTGGATTCATTTCCTTCAATTTTTTAAGCCTCAAACCTCAAACCTCAAACTGGCTGGTGTCACTGGTATGGTATCGCGTGGCTGTCCGTGGTGTCTGTGTTATTGTGTGATTGATTCCTTCCTTCCTGTACAATGGCCGACGATGTTTGATTGCGCCTGCTATCCGTTGGTTTGGGGAAACGAAGGGAATTGGTCCGCCGACGAACGTATCAAAGTGAAGGCAAGACCACACCGGCCTGCCAGTCAGTGCCTGGTGAGGTGGAGAGAGGACGTTGCATGTGGCTTTACCAACCGTTGAGCAAACCGCGCTATCTGGTATGCGCGACCGTGCTGACGGGCAGTGCGATGCCAGTGCGATGTGATGCGATGATGACAGTGCGATGACAGCACGATGCCATTGCAAGTTACAAAGTATGAGTAGAAGGAGTAGAGGCACCAGCACCCCGTCGTAGTTGTACATACATACATACTGTGTACTATATAGTAGTAAGTACTGATAGCATGTGTGTGGCATCGCATCGCATCGCATCATGATGACAACAACGGGACTACTACGAACAGTGGAAGTCGTTTTAAACTCATAACGGGCGAGTGCACCCTGCGTCTGCCCAACCCAACCATCGACTATTCATCGTAGCAGCATTCTCGCGCATCCACCCATGGTCCCTTCACCGTCGCCTACACCGGAATCGGAAATTGCCTTATTATGGACAAAATCTGTCCATCTGTCAAAAAAAACTTAATTTTATCCACGGATAATGGTATTTCGTGCCCACAACAGTGCATTTGCGAGATTCTTGTTACAAGGAGTTAAGACTGTTTTACTGGCTACAGTACACTCTTGATTGAGGTACCTAGATTATAGAAGATACATGAAGATAGCAGGTGGTCAGCCCAACGTGCCAGCTCTCGATACTTACCTACTTGTACTAATTGGCACCCGCACGCAGATACACCTTACTCTTGACTCTGGCATTGCTCTGACTCTGACTCTACCTCACACTCTCCCACTCTCGAACGTCGACCCTATTTGAGTTTTATTCAATGCTACCGCTCCTTCCAGCCTAACCTACCGTTCCTTGTGGCTGCTTTTCACTTTGTGTCTACTACTCACGGAGTCCTAGGTAGTAGCTATGTTATGTTCTCTGTTGACGAATTTATAGGAGGCGTCTTCTCACGAGCATGGTTCGGTCAAGTCAATAACATATATTCATAACATTCATCTAAGGACGTGAGTACTGATATTAGTGCAATCCGTCGATCCCCCGGAGCCATCCCGACAAACGCGATCCTCGCATCGCGACCAACCAACGTCCCATCAAACTTAGTATCATGATCCATTCAACAAGCAACCAATGAGGAGGGATCATTCTTGTTCTCTGCAACTGCTTCCAACACCAACACCCCTATCGCAAGAGGGCGAAGCCAGTGGAGAAAGACTGGGGATCACCCTGCTCACGTTCCTCCTCCCACCTGTCCACTCCCCCGCTAATTGTTGTCGGGACGTGACGCAGCCAACTGATTGAGAACCTTTCCAAAGAAGCGGCCCCAGTACCCGTTTGGCCCTTCATCTGCCGCGTACTTCAGTACCTCGCCATAGAACCGGAGGAGTTGGAAGACTCCATGTAGATCCAATGTGTTGAATGTCAGACGGCTATGTGGCCCGAGGACCTGCGTGCCCCACTCACAAGACACCGGGTGTTTGCGAGGCCATGCAAAGTAGACAAAATGGTGGTGGCCAACAATAGTGAACACTGGCTCGACCATGTCGGCCCGCTGGAACGGCGGCACCCGAGCAATCGAAGCAAGTTCCTGCTTTTTGCGCAAAGATGCAGCAATCCATATGCTTATTTGTTGCTCCGCTTCATGTTGAGTTCCTAGTGGAGACTTAACCTCGAATCCAGAGAAAACAGCCGACTGCCTTGTCCATTGAGCAAGAGTAGGTCCAACCTCACTTTGCTTTGCTGCCTTCAGCCGCACATAGAGGTCGGAGTATCTTGGACTGCGATGAGAGTACGCCAAAGCATAATCGGCTCTTCGATCGACGACTCTAGTTCGAGACGCATTGGCAGGGGTCGGGGCGTCGATCGTAGAAAGGTATTGAGGGTCGATCGATTGTGATTTCCTACCAAACAGTTTAGCGCCATCGTCAGCTTAAAGGAGATGAAACATACACGTTATGGAGCTTCCATCGATCTCCGCCATGAATTTCGATTGCCAACTGAAGAAGAGGCCGGACTACATCGTCACTCCACGCATTCTCATCTCCTGTGTGAAGTTTGCAATCAGAAGCATTCTCATAGATGGTCTTGACCTTCTGCCACATATCAGACAGCTCTTCCTCAGTCCGCGTATCGCCATGGTCAAAGTCGCATGAACTTGTCCCCATGTTGCTGGTTTTGAACCCAGCGCCAGCCATAAGACCCTACACATAGTGGTAAGTCTTGTACGTTAATGTTTGAGTGGCGCTACGTACCTTGAAACCTTTCGGAATGAAGCGTTCATTGACAACAGCCCGGAGTTGGTCAATGAGTTCTTCAACTTGCGTTGGAATGTCTCCTTCAAATGCCGCCTGAGGTGTCACCCACACCGGTGGTCTCGCAGTGGTCATGTCGGTATGTGTGTCACGCGATGGGGTCGTGCGTTGATCCGAATCTAGAGGACTCTCAGCATCCGCTGAGGGGTCCAATGGGCCACTTTGACCATGAGACGGTAGGGAGTCGATCTTCTTTGGAGATTCGTTTTGGTCTGCTAGATCCGTTGGACGATCGATCCTGGCTTCGGGTGTGCCTTGCTCAGGGGCACCATCATTGCTGGTACTCTGTTTTTGCCGTTTGGAAGGGTGATCCTCATGAGATTGGACAGTCTCAGGAGCCATGGGGACAGATGCAGAGCGCTTCCGTCTCTGGTTGGAATCAACGAAATCGGTAGGAACTGTTTCAAGCCAGTCCTTGATGAGATGGCGGTTAAAGGCATCCAAGTATACCATTTTCGTGAATGGAAGCAGAAATTGGGTTTAAGTATCATGTTATGAGGTTTTCACAATCATTCACTGCCAGATGTTTTATGTCTGATGTCTAACAAAGGGCAATGGCAGTTGGGATTTGTTAAACAAACAGAACATACCAGACTATCCTAAATCAAGATTAGACGGCCCATAGAACAAACTAAATCCATTCTGGCAGCCTCTCCCCTTCCGCTCTCTCCATTGGTCGACAATTGGCAGTGGCACGACAACATGGATCACACAAACAATACGGAAGGACCCCAGCAGTAGTCTATGTCCACCTACCAGTACACTAAGTACAGTACACTGAGTACAGTACAGTATCTTCAACAGTTGACCCAAATAAAACCTTTGCGCATTAGAAATAATTCTGAACTATGTCACCGTGCATTGATTTATTGTAACACTACAACCTTGAAATACTTAGAAGTATACGAAGTATTTTGATGTTGTAGGAATAGTAGGTGGGCATATACCACCGCCGGGGCCTTCAGTACTCTGAGAGGCATGTTCCTTGGGTTTGCAAAACCAATCATAAGGGTTTCCATCCTACGATTGTGGATACAAACGTATGCAGGTAGTAAGTAGTCTTTGGATGTCGATGAGTGGAAATACAGAGGCAAGCATATGTCAAAGAAAAAGAGCTTCCACAACAACGAACAATCAACTCCACCCACACATCATGTGGCCTTCCCTGTGCTCCTCCATCACCATCTCCGGCACTGTACTGTAAAGCGTCCTTGAACGAATTGCTCAGCGCGGACATTTCGGGCGCAATCGGAATTGATTCAAAACGTATTGGAATTGTCACTGGACCAAATCGCTAGGAATGTGCGGCGTATGGACTGTTAGCGATCGGCGGGCATGAACTATGAACAGAATCCCCTCAAATCGCTTTCTTGGGATATCTCGAGGTATAAACGAGATAATACCTAGGAGTCCACTAGTAGGGGTATGTTCTATCCTGTCTTGCCTTGTCAGAAGCATGCAAGTTGCATGCGCATGTAACAGGCAGAGACTGCTCAAAGGGTGGCCCATGCATGAATCAAGCAACCCGTTTAAACTCAACTCTCCAGTAACACCTACTAAACAGACATTAGAGGCGCTCTATTGCATTTGCGATAAGAGTATTCCCCCATGTCACTCTGATGAAATCGCTACCACCACAAACACATTCACACGCACACGTTCAGGCAGAGGTCGCTCCATGCGTCATCCTGCTGTGCGGTCATCACTTTTGAGCCCTTCAGTTGCGCATGATGGCCCGAACAGAAATGAACAAACCATAGCAGGCCCTACCGAGTGTCCTTCATTTACAGGCCTTGACTAGAAATACCAAAGCACACGCAGGAAGCACAATTGGCAGAGAACTGACAGCAAATCGACAACCAACAGGCCCTGGCGGGGTTTCCCTGTGTCTCGGTCTTGGATCCGGCCCCACAGTGCGCTTCACTCAAGAATGGTATCATACGCATCAACACTTCATCTCTTTCATATATTTCGATCCCAGTACTTGGGAATTGCTATTCGCCCGCTGCGTATCTTAACATCAGTACGAGCACGTCCACATCTTACATAATTTTTTTTATTTGGTGCAACAACGAACGCCAGTGCTTTTTTGGTGGAAACAGACGTCGCAATGCAGGATCTCCAGATTATTTAATCCAACCTAAAAGTGTCATGTGTGTGAGCATCTGTGCGCTTTCTATGATATCTAAAGTGCATTTGTTGATCAAGAGAGTGCTTACCTTTGAATCAGATGAAGCCCGGAGGCAGTCTGTACGACTCCGCTAATTTCGCCTGGCTGCAAGCCAAATGCAGCCTCCTCGAACTCCTTCTGCATGTCGTTCCTTCCGAAGAACCCACTACGACATGTCAGTATGGTTGATCTCAAAGAGTAAAAGTTCCCAGCGAGTTCTTACAGATCCCCTCCTTTGCGCGCGCTGCTGCAGTCAGATTCTGTGGTCGCGAGCTCGGAAAGAGAGGCTCCACTGGAGATCTGGTCCTGGAATCCTTTTATGCGATCCCGCGCTTCATCCAAGCTGCGCGTGATCTTGGGCTCGCGCCAGCTAGCAGGGCGACGGCTTCCGTTGTGCTTCACCAACAAATGTGCCGCCCTGATCTTGCCTTCCGTTCCCGAGAGGTTGCTCGTCGAGATTCCCTTGGTGCTGTGATGTGCAGCCATGTAGTTCTTGAGCGCCTCAGGATCTGTACCTGCCGGTGGCTCCCATCTCGAGTCCTTGGTTTCGGGGTGGAAGTAGTAGGGGAGGTTCTTAGTGTTGGAACGGCGGACTTCCCAGCCTGCGGGCAAGCCAGTCTCTGAAGAGGACTACAGAGGCGTCAGTCAACGTAGACGGGGAAGCCCGTTGTGGGAGTGGCAGAAGTCAATGCAAGTGTGCAAGCGCGGGGTTGTTATTTCTAAGTGAGCTAGCTAAGCTTACCATTGTGTCTGAAGAAGCTTAAGGTAGATGAGGGGATGTCGTAGATGGAAGTGAGGGTTCTCAATGAAGTGTATTTGTACGACGAGAGAGGGAGATGAGGTGAGTTACGTAGTTGGATGATGAAGAGTAAGGTACGAGGCAGAGTCGAGTCGAGTTGGGTAGGTTTAGAGTGGAGATCAACAGGTCAGGTGGAGTGGGAGGTCACTTGCATATGATGGGTTTGTCGATCGCAGCAGCCGTGGGAGAGGTTGGCCTGCGGGCGGGGGTTACGACTGGTACAGATGCTTTGTTGGGTCGTTTCCACGGCTACAGCAATAATAATCAAGTAAGCGCATAGTCTTCGTCGCCCTCTCACCTAATCTAATCAAGTACTCAGTCACTCATTCATTATTATATTGTATGATCCAATGGTGTTCATCCTATAGGATCTAGAAAAAAGGTCCATCAACTGGTCAATGAATGGCTTGAGCCAGAACAAAGCGATTTCCATCATTGAACGTTGGACCAAGCAGTAACGGATGCCTTTCAGCCAATCAGGGCGCGGGTAGCTTGCTATGGATGAGTCAGCCAACTTTTCATGGCGGCGGTGACACTGTTAAGGCAATCTTCAACTGATACCTATCTCTCTCTCTCTTCATATTTATTCCACACTGCTTCACGTTCACATTTGAACTCGACCGCATCTATATCTTCGGTACAGCCTCACATCCAAGCGCCTTCCATTTTGCACACAGCGTGACCTCGCAAAACTGTCCACCCCGCACACTGTGACGACCCACCGCACCCAACAACGCTCAACCATATACCCAACCCGAAATTCAACATGGCAAGCCCAGCTGGCTTCGAAGATGGACAAAAGGACTCAGCCAAGAAGATTCTCTTCCGGTTCTGCTCCGAATGGTAGGTCACAAACATTTCACAATCATTTCACACTCACACCTCCCTGCCCATATGTACAAAGCTGACTGATATGGCGACAGCTCCAACCTACTTTTTCCTCGTGAAGACAAAGTAAATAATAAGCTTCTCTTCGCCTGCCGAACCTGCGCCTTCACCGAAGAGGCCCCCTCGTCATGTGTCATGCGCCACGAGATCGCCTCCTCTGTCGGAGACACGGCCGGTATCACCCAGGATGTCGCACAAGATCCCACGGTGGGTATCTCCCAAACCCTTTCCAACACTACGCTCTCCGAGTCGTTCCCCGGCCTGTGCACCATGTGCGGACAGGACATTGTCTGCATCGAGTGCGGAGAGGACTCGGCGCCTGGTCTCTGCTTTGAGGCCGACGATGAGGATCCCCTCACAGGCGTCGGCGAGCCAAGTTCAAAGAACTGAGCATTCTCGCACGTTCTCTCGTTGCTTGTACCGCTCGCTTCTCTTTGAGCCTGCTTGCTGATAATGATTCCTGCGTATAGTTGCCTCGCATCCAGAAGCCCTGCCCGGCATGTGGCGAGAACGAGGCCGTCTTCTTCCAGTCGCAACAGCGAACTGCGGAGACTGGAATGGTAAGCATCTTCTGTCTTGTCCTTGTTCTTCTGCATCACTCTGACCTAGATTAGAAACTTTACTATGTGTGCTGTGCCTGCGGTAACGTATGGCAGTAAGCCTCATATACCAAGTAGGATCATAGAAGAGAGTTTGATCCTTCACTACTAGATAGCTCTTTGACGGCGGACCCGCCCAAAATGCATCGATAAGCATGGGAATGGAGTTTGATCTTGGTTCATTGATCTATCGTTTGGCGCTGGTTTTGGTATCTGATACCCATAAATACTCGTACAATAGTCTTATACATCCTTGGGTGTTCTTTTTCTTCTTCTCTTCTCTCTCCCTAACATAACATCATGCCCACGTTCCTTTCCCATCTAAACATGCATCGGTGCTAGCGATAATATCTTGGACCACTGCTTCTGCTTCAACTCGGCCGCAACGATGCCGCTGACTCTCGTTCCAATTGGCTCCCCCGCCTTGTTGATTAACACGCACGCATTGTCATCGAACTTGACAACACTCCCGTCGGGCCGCTGCCACTTCTTCGCAGTCCGCACGACTACCGCGTGCCGCACATCTCCACGTCGGACCTTGTTTGCTGCGCTGACGGACACACTGTTGGCCTCGGGGCCGAAATTTCGCTGCTTCTGCACGACGACTACTATGCGGTCACCTGAAGATCCTTTGCGTCAGTATAACCTCAATCACCAGCCACTATCCTTTTACATCGCCCTTGTATTGGACCATATGGCGTTGGGGAAGCGGGGGAGTTTCCATACCGACTTTCGCAGGCCTTTTCGATCGCAGAACGTTCACGCACTCGACTATGGCGGCACCGGAATTGTCGATGCAATTGATGAGGGACTATAATCGTAGACCGTATGAGTATTTGTTCCTTATCATTTCCTTTCCCTCTCCGTTTTGTTCGAATCCTTCTTTTTTTCCTTGTGCAGCATGTCATAGGCATACCTTCAATTGAATCATGGTGTCCGACCAATTCTCGCTATTATTGCCTCCTTCTTGTCCCGTAAGAACCCTTTGTTTCGCTGCCGTTCGGTCGGTGGCTGGAATGGACGGGCGGTGCGGTGCGGTGTGGTGCGATGCGATGAAGATTGAATGGAATCGTACAACTGCTCGTATGTGAGAGGCACAGACATTCGATCTTTGGTGGACTAATTGAGACTAGCCCTCCCGGGATTCTCCGTCCGGATCACGTTCTCATTGGCCAGTGTAGCTCGTGCACCTCCAGGATTGCAATGTTTGTATGGAGGGCTATTGTAACAACTGCACTCCCTGAATTGGAATGAATACATGTTGCGCAAACACATACATACATGAGGAATTGGCTATGGAAAATTATAAATAAATCTCTCTGTCCACGTTTGATGTTGTTCCCTTGATCTTACTTGTATTCCTCTTTCGTCTAGAGGGCTGTTCGTCCTGTAAGATCCAGACCAGGCGGGAAAGCAATAATAGTACTTAGTACATGCGCTTACCACAACCCAACCCGGCACACACACGCACACACATTCAGCGCAGTAGGGTGACCACAACCCCCATAGGCCATCCCATACTCTCCCATTCCCATCCCCCAAGTCCACAATAATCGCGTCCCCCATCCCAATCTTCCTCTCCTCCCGCCCTGCCCGCTACCCGCCTACGCCTACGCCTCCGCCTGAAAGCCCATTTCTCTGGGCCGCCGCTCATTCCACCTCCACCTTCCTTTGGCCTAACCTCTTCTCTTGTTCTCTTTCAACACCCTCTCCCGGTTCCCGTCCGTTCTTCTGTCTTTTCCCTTCACAATTCTGCGCATGGCGTTTCTTGCTTTTCCCCAGGTTTGGTGAAACAGACTGGACTTTCCTTCCTTGGATCTACGTCACTCTCACTCCCAGCCTCCCCCTTTCACATCCCCCCGATCCTCTCTCCCGTACAGTACTGGCTCCTTCTCGTATTGCCATTGCTCCGAATATCGCGCATCTGCCAGGCCTTTGTTGCTGCCCCCGGATCAGTTGCTCTACGTCGTCGCCGACGACGACAACTTAACATCGCACAGTCATGGCTCCAAGAGCCCACGACAAGAAGGGCGGCCTGACTTTAGAAAAGCTCGCGTCCTACGACGACGTGATCACGGATGCGCTGGTCGACAAGGTACGCCAATGATCCCTCTTCCATGCATGCACACACAACAACAACCAAAGACAACGCATGAGACAAGTCGCAATACCACACCGAGTATTTCCGTCCCATGGCCTTACCGACTAACTCACCTGCGCGATCCACAGATTTACTACTGGGCGACCATCCGGAAGAACCGAGGGGGCCGATTCGCTGCGTCGCGTGGTTTCCTCGAGGAGGATCTTGCAGACATCATCCGGAAGAAGGTGGTTATAGACAAGGACCCGACTGCCGCCGTTCAGCACCTTTTGCGATTGCCCGGTTTCCGCAAGTTCTCCAACTCGCTGAGGGACGACAAGGAGAGGGATCACTTCATGCGACACCTTCTCAGATATGTTAAGATCTACATGTCCGACTGTCCATTCGAGGTTACCACGACGAACAGATACACGATTTTCGAGCATGAGGCGTCCATCACGGCGCGGAGGGTCATCAAGCCGCGCGAGGAGATCAAGTACCTGACGGGAGTGAGGGTCGCGATGACGCAAGAGGAGGAGAAGAAGATCGAATTGGCGCGCAAGGACTTCAGCATGGTCATCTCCAGCCGGAAGAAGACGCGCTCCCTGTTCCTGGGCCCCGCGCGCTTTGCGAATCACGACTGCGACGCCAATGCGAGGTTATCCACGACCGGCCACGACGGGATGCAGATTGTGGCGATCAAGCACATCGACGCAGGGGAGGAGATTACGGTTTCGTATGGCGAGGATTATTTTGGTGAGAATAATGAAGAATGTCTGTGTAAATCGTGCGAGGAGCGCGAGATGAATGGATGGGCACCGTTGAAACCTTTGGAGGAGGACGATGAAGAGGAGGGGAACACCGGCAAGAAGGGCGCCAGTTCCCAACCGAGTAATAAGAGGAAACACGATTCAGAAACTCTGGAGGGAAGCCAGACCCCAGTATCACCACTATCAGTATCGCCACCATCGCCGAAGAAAGTGAAGCTGGAAGAAGCAGGCGAGACACCAATGCGACTTGACGACATATCACTACATTCCCATAAGCGACGTATAGCCCAACCGCTGCGTGAAGCGACCCTCAAGAAAGCCCACAGCACTTCGTCTCTCCGCCAGGAAGAGCCAATTTCTAGCATTGAGGATCCCTCGTCTTACGTTTCCAGCGCTGGGTGTGTTTTTAGAGAAATCCGGACGCAACAGCGAGACGGCTGTCTTGTGGTGTCGATCGAAGAAATGAATGCGTCCAGGAGCACGACACCCCCTTCGTCTACAGCGGCGGGCTCACCGAAATCTGATCAGTCTACAGACGCGACCTCCGTTGACGAAGAGACGGCAATGCCACGAAAGCAAGAAGAGAAACCACACGATATACCACAAGCAGACGACGCAACGATAATACCCCAGGAGAATCATACTACAGAAACAACGGAGGAAAAGCCTACTATCGACATCAACCCCAGCATAGGCGTGGCCACCGTCCAGGTAGAAACGAACACAGTCACGACCACACTTCCCGCAAAAACCATAGCCGCGATATCCGAAGACGACTCCACCTCCGACCTCAGCGAGCTCTCCCCACGCTTCGAACTCGACGACAGCATCCGGCAAGTCGTGAAAACCAAGCGACACAAGCCGCCGCCTCTCCCGCGGCGCACGCGCGCAACGTCCCGCTACGAAGAAAAGATCCGCGTCCCGACGCCCATCATCCTCAACGAATCCCTGCGCTACATCCGCAACCACCGCATCCCCGGCGACTACATCAAATCCGACGCGCTGCTCTCCGCCAAGTACAGCAAATGGGTCGAATGCCACACGTGCGACGACGTCTTCGTGCAGCAGGACGGCTATCTCACCCGCAAGGAGTGCCCCCGCTGCGAGCGCCACTCCAAGCTCTACGGCTTCGCGTGGCCCAAGACCGACAAGGACGGCAAGCACGACTCCGAAGACCGCATCCTCGACCACCGCACCGTGCACCGCTTCGTCGACCCCGAGGAGGAAAAAGTCGTCAAGAAGTCGAAGAAATCACTCAAGGAGTCCATAGCCACGAGGTTCTCGACCCCTCGCTCGTTCAGAGATTCCATGAGCGCGGACGCGGATTCCGGCCGGAGTCGACGGCGTGTGAGGGAGACGATGTGAGATGATTCTGTACGTTGGGATGCTTTGTTACTGATGTTGGTCGGCGTGTTTTGGCCGACCCAAGGGAGGGATATAGGATAGATGAGTGATTGAGTGAGCGATTGTATTTGTACAAAACATGAATTGAAGAAGAGTACCTTCTCTGAACACGGCCCCGTTGAGGAATGTGATATGAGCAGCATCCCTTTCAACCATATTTTACCTTTCATCCTGTGCAAATATGAGATCTTTGATTATCTTCTCTGGATCTCATGGTGAGTTTACCTCACTCCGCATCCACTGGCAGCCTCAACTCACTTCAACCTGCCTCACCCTCCCACGCTCCAAACTCTCGATCTTGCATAAGGACACTAATCCGAAAATCAACGCAAATTCAGGCTTCCACAGCCTTTGAACTAAAATTCAAAGCCACATAGTGTAGCTACGTACAGCATCAATTGCGACCAAAACAAGAAGACGAAAAGCCCTCAGCACAACACCATCCCCAATGTTACAGACTCAGTTTCCGACCAGTGGTGATATCAGCGAGAGAGAGAGAGAGAGAGAGACTTGAAGACATTCGAAGAAGACTGGACGGTCTCACTACTTTTGCTTTTCTACGTGTGTCTGTGTGTGTATGTGTTTGTTTGTGTTTTTGGTGGGTACTTAAGTGCGGTGTTGGAGGGATGGTGGAAAGGAGGGTTTGGGGTGGTTTAGAACCTATGTATATTTTGGTATATAGCTGCTTGGATGTTTAGTTCTTTAAGGGGGTGTATACGGATGGAAGAGTTGAGGGGTGTTTGTTTTGATTTATTTTGTTCTTGGGATTGTATGGGTGGTGAGATAAATGGGAGAGAACATAGTGGCGTTTAATGCATGGATGGTGGGTCTAGTATGTATAGATATTATGAGTACGAATTTCTACAAGGAAAAGAGATTCTGTTACTATGCTTGTGAATTCTAATTAGATGTAAGAGAGGTGTCGGGCATATAGTTGGTTGCTCGAGTAGAATTGCGCACTGTTATGATGTTGTTGTTTTCTTAGACGAAGTGTATGTTCTACTATGTCACAACATACATCTATCATTTGCTTCTGGCCGGCATGGTGTATTTAAAGAGCCAATGAGTATTCATGCAGATAGGTGGTATTAAAGGTTTTATCGACATTTTTTAACGGTGCTTCCTCGACATACCAATGTCGACATTTCGTATCGAATCCGCTACGTACGAATACTTCACTTTTCGCAATGTCGATCATTCGCAATCTTCTCCAGTGACAACTCACACTCAACCTTACATTCCCATTCAAGCATGTTTGGCGAGGACAACAATAAGCCGACCCACGACAAACAATAACGACACGCATAACCCATTGCATTACCTCCTACACTAGGAGCCTTCCTCGCACAGTACTACTCGTATGAGCCAGTTCGCCCTACCCCTTGGCGCATTAGCCAGATCAGCGCGACCAATGCCCCACGGCCATCTCTCCTCTCGCCTCCCCCCGACACAATCCCGTGTGCTAGCCCTGCCGAGCCAAACCCAGAAAACGCATGTTTTGCGAAGGTTTGCGCCGGTACGGCCGTTCTGCGATGGGGTGAACCTTACCAGATGGCATTTTCTCGCGCGACGGAGGACAATGCGGTGCGGTGCGGTACGGTGCGGCGCGTCGTTGGTGTGGGCTTGGAAGGGGGTTTAAGGTTGCCGTTAGCGATTGATGATTGTAAGGGTCTGCTGGCATGATGATGGGGGATATTTAAGGCGGCCTCTGCCCTGTCGTTCGTGGGAGGATTTTTTGTCGCTTTTGTTCGTCGATGACGAGTTTTGGTTGGCAGGCCTGTTGAACTGCTATGCTTCTATTCATATGAATGCGATAGGGTTGCCTCTTCACCAATTGATCAAAGCTAACTCGCTACTCCTTGCCATCGTTCGTCTCGATGTTTATGTGTGTTGTACATACAAAAGACGAATTGGAACTCTCTCACCATGGAAGTCTTGATCACCATGACTAAGTGTATTCCAGATCCTCACCTGTTTCGAGGCATGCAATCAATCTTTTCTCACATGGATTGAATAACAATCCATATACCAGAACAGTTCGTCGTCTCTGGTTATGGATTCTTCTCTAACGGGCCGATTGGAACATCGCACTATGCCGCCGGTAGAACCGTTAGCCATGTGACCTGACGAGGGGCTGATACGAACGCACCTCTACCGCTTGGCAACGATGCCTCGGCCTCGTTACATCCAAGAATCCTTCTTATTTTCCCATCCTTCTATTGCATCATTCTGCGCTTGCTGTCGATTTCATTAATCTAGACATATCTTCCGGATTGAATTTACCCCGTGGAGTATTTTTTGTCATAGCGGCATAGCTTGCATCGCAAACCCGCGTCCCGTCCACAAATGGGCGTTCTAGCTTGTTCAGCTTGAAAAAAGGAAGATGCCCAAGCGTTCGACTGGCTGCTTTGAATGCAGGAAAAGAAAGGTTCGATGTGACGAGGGAAAACCAGAATGTAAAACTTGCCTTAAGCGTGGAACCAAATGTCCGGGCTACAGACCGACACAGTCATTCGTGCTCCATGCCTTTGACGAAAAGAGCGCTCGGCCAGAGCTCATCAAGGAGGACGAGAACCGATATAAATATTCCAACCACGCACCAGCAGCACAGAAATTAGACCAAAGCGGCAATCGACCAATTCTACCGACTCCTCCATCATCTGCACATTCACCTTCGAGATACTCTTCGTCCGACTCTGGAGATCGGACGCGCCGTTCGCAGGCGAATTTAGCAAATGCTCCGCTGCCCCAGCAAGTCAGCCCCGTTGCAATTGAGCGTGTGCAGCACATTGGAACTTTCCTGGAGCTTTATATGCCACAGCCGAAGAATGAAGTTTTTACGCCTCCAACATCGTTGATGTTTGCGCTTCCTAACATTCCCGCGGCGAAGAAGGTCTTCTCGTGTGCGCTTGACGCTTTGTCTGCTGCTCAGCTTACAGTATCGTACAAGAATTACCCCTTAATTAATAGAGCAAGATCTCTATATGGAACGGCACTAGGTCAGATGATGAAGACGATTATGCAGCCGGGGAGCCCGCATGATGACTATACACTGCTCGCCACCTATTTACTTACTCTTTATGAGGTACTTAACGCAATCTCGGCGCAGTGATTACATCCCAGAAGTGCTAACAGGATATGTGCAGGTATTTGTAGGCGTTTCTCAAGGCCATGGCTTCTTCTATCATGTCCAAGGTCTCCTTCACATTCTCAACCAACGCGGACCTGCTTCGATACGGTCGAAGCTGGCCATGGACACCTATCACGGAATCCGTTACAATTCGGTAGTGATGCCCCTTAAAACGTGACCTACATGCGGTTCTAACTTTACATATATAGCTGTCCCTTGGATACCACTTACGCAAAGCCTCCATGCTCGACACTCCCGAATGGCTTGCCGTGACCGCCAAAGCCGCCAAAGTAGACCCCTACGTCGCCTTAATCGACATCTGCATCTCGATCCCGCGCCTCCTCGAGCGCACGGACAAGCTCACTCGAGCCAAAGCAACAGCTGCCGAGTTCGAAGAAGTGATCAACGACTCCCAGACGCTCGCGGACCGGGGCTTCGCGTGGTTCGCTAGCTTCCAAGAGAACCACGGCCCTCTGTACACCAACGTGCCCATTGACACCGTCGACGGCTTCTTCGACCCGGCAGACAAGACGTACGACCCAGTGTACGCTTACAAGTCGTTCGCGGCTTCCAATATGTGCTCGATCTACTGGATGAGCATGCTGATCATGCGCTCCAACATGTTCCTCCTCGTCCGCACGCACCGCAAACTAGAACCCAAGCAACTGTTCATGTGGGACCGCGAGCTCTCTGGCTTTGCGGACAGCATATGTCGCGGCGTGCCGTTCAGTTGCCGACCAGCGGCTGGCTATGTCGGTCGCTTTGGGCAATTGACGCCGCTGATTGTTGCGAGGAAGTACTACACGGCGAAGGGGGCGGCGAAGGAGGCTGCCTGGTGTGAAAAGGTGTATTATGGCGCGAAGGTTCCGGGGTTGTATTCGCCGCCGCAGTATGCGGTGCCGCTTGAACAGCACAAGGGGTATACGGAGTTTGTACAGAATACGAAGAGGTATATATGATGTTGATATTTACGATTTGATGGCTAGTTTGTAGGTTTCATGAGCGTACATAAAAGCTCCACACTTTACCTTAGCGAATGTTCGTTCAGAGTTCATCTTTGGGGAGATATATCTTTTGTTTCTAGGCGACACGGTGTACATACATATAGCCATGTATGGCACACACAAAGCAAACATGTACAGAAACCACAAGGTGCCATCCTTGCACAGATACATACCTCAATTCACCAACCGCTACCACGTGGTCTTGAATCTTGATACAACGCATCAGGTCTTGCCGTGTTTCGCCGCATTCGTCCTCCAACGCGAGTCATGCGTATGAGGGACGACCACCCCGCCTTGACATCTAGAAGCTTGCAAGTCCACCCCGCCAACCCCCACCAATTGAAGCTCAACTGTCGCTTTCAAAGACGATTCGAGTCAGGACAGTCAGTTCAAGTATGAATCCAAGCACTGATATCTATTGATAGATGTTACTGATGCGTATATGCACATACTTTGCAGCATCTCAATTGACCACATAGTTACCTAGATTATACAATGTGAAACTATGAGCATCATTAAATACCAGGTTCTAGCTGTGCTCGTCCAACCCATGCATGGCATGATCTCAACACAAACAAACACGTAACCAGAAGATCCTACCTCCTTGCCCGGACGAAACCACCGGGGCGTAGAATGCACTTGTCATCAATTGCTGATCTCCTTAAACGCATGCGGCGACTACATTGCATGTCACTGTCCCATTGAGCGAGCCAACACCCTGGTGGATAGCTTTTTACCTCGGCAGCTTTTTGTTTGGTACGAGAGCTCACGACTAAACACTAAACCACGGGGGTTTCGAGCACGAACGAACAGAAGGATGGCGAAGAAAATTGGGAATTGCTTTGAAATCAATTGTCGTAACCATACATCCGGTTCCAACTCTACATGAAACAGTGATTGTGCATATATGAATTGACGTTGCCTTTCGTTCAACGCTTCCCACATTTGTCTGTTTGAATACTGTACTAGAACGTATTCCTACACCCCACACCGCACTATCCCCTCCACACTCTTCATTCCTCCTACAACCCCTCCATACACCGACTTTGAAGAAGAAGAAAAAAAGAACATCACAAACAACCAACATGTCCGGCCAACAAACCCGCCAATGGGTCCTCGCGAACCCGCCCAAGGCCGACCCCGTCCTCGACGGCCCCAACGCCACCTTCTCCCTCACCACGACCACCCTCCCCAAACTCGGCGCCGACGAAGTCCTCGTCAAGGTCCTCTACCTCTCCAACGACCCCGCGCAGCGCGGCTGGATCCAAGACGGCATGGACCCGGAGCGACTGTACACGGAGCCCGTGGTCAAGGGCGACGTGATGCGGTCGTACGCCGTGGGCGAGGTCGTCGAGTCGAACTCGGAGGCGCTCAAGGTCGGACAATTGGTGACGGGGTCGGCGGGGTGGACCGAGTACGCGGTGTTGAATGCGAAGGAGGTGCGTGCCGTCCAGGCGGACGAGAAGTCTGGGATCAGGCCTACGCACTTTGTCGGTGCGCTCGGTGGCACCGGGTTGACGGCGTACTATGGGCTTGTTGACATTGCAGAGGCGAAGGCGGAGGATGTAGTCGTGGTTTCTGGGGCTGCGGGCGCGACGGGGAGTATGGTGGTGCAGATTGCGAAGCACATTGTTGGTGCTAAGAGGGTTATTGGCATTGCGGGTGGGGAGAAGAAGTGTAGGTGGGTGGAGAGCTTGGGTGCGGATGTCTGTGTTGATTATAAGGCGGCGGATTTCAAGGAGCAGCTGAAGAAGGCGACGGATGGTTTCGTGGATGTTTACTTTGATAACGTCGGTGGTGAGATCTTGGATCTCATGTTGACGAGGGTCAAGAGGTTTGGTCGTATCGCTGCTTGCGGTGCCGTCTCTACATACAACTCATTTGGTGAGGGTGGAGTCAAGAACTGGTTCGAGGTAAGTCGATTGTTGCAAGTCTATGCCGAAAGAGCATCAGTCATTGACCGTGAGATCTAGATCATCGTCAACCGAATTACCGTCAAGGGTTTCATTGTCACCGATGCCATCATGTCAGGCAAGACTGGACCCATGATCCAGAACATAGTCCAGAAGATCAAGGAGGGTAAGATCAAGATCGGTGAGGACAGCGAGACCGTTGTGCCCACTGCTTTCGAGGACATCCCCAAGACGTGGACATTGCTCTTCTCTGGAGGTAACACCGGAAAGCTCGTCACACAGATTAAGTGAAGAGAAAGTGATACCCGTATCTAAAATCGAGAAAGTATCCGAAGACGGGAAAAGAGGTCACTTGACGTTGGATTAAGGCTTTTCGCATATTCCACTATCGGATACCACCCCAGCAGTCAGCACTTATATGTGCTTGAACCAATTAGCAATTGCAAAGAAATATAAACATTCCAGGCATCACCGTCTCACGGAGGGGTGAAATGATCTCATACAATCAAAACGACGTCTTATTTCAATCGCATTATGACATGGTGCATCAAGGCCTCCTCACTCTCTCGCTGTACCCCTCTTCCGATACAATCGCACGCAATCTTCAACATATATGTGATAAACCATTATCACAACCCAGAGCGATTCACCCTATCTTTTGTAAAGAGGTTTCAGATTACAATTATGGGTCACATGTACCAGATGTGCAGCTCGCCCACGTGCAGTAGAGTGAGCTTGTCGGCGTCGATCAAGCATGTCAGCGAGTGGTCTGTCCGACCTGCCAATGTGCGTGTAGGTATATCTGTTGTACCACCGGCAACCAATATGGCCCGCATCCTCCGCGGGTTAGAGTAGTTAACGGTCTAAGAGTTTTCCTTCTGGCTCTTGAGGTGATTGCGAAGAACGGAACCCATATGCAAACTGAATTTATCCGGTGGTCTCGTTGTTCCAGCTACTGGGCGCGAAGGTTCGCGCTTAGCAGTTTACCCGCCACGCCACGCCCGTATTGGCGTGGGACTGGAGGGGCAACTCTGATGTCCAACATGGGAAACCCCACCATCGACTTCGTTGAAGTACCGTAGTACACTTTCTTCTTCCATTCGCAATGTCAACACGCGCTACGAAGAAAAAAAGTCTTTTTCTTTTTCGGATTGGATACCAGTGACGTGAATAAATCATTCAGAATATGGAATTCACTCGACATGGGATGAAGCAATTGTTGTTGAATGACATACATGCTCCCCCTCTTTCTTATACACACTCGTACATACATCATGCAAACAGCCATGGCAAAACGCATCCCCAAGCTCGGGGCGAGATGTACACCACAGACCGATCCACCGGACTCGTGACAAGGCAAGGAACGTAACGGAATGAGGAAAGGTTGACCGGTGGCATTGGATGAAGACATAGCGAGTAGCCTGTAACAGAAACCGTGGCTGCGGGTTAAAGACGCAGGGTCGTTTACATCCGCCGCCGTGCGCCCGTGATAAGTCTCTTCTGGTTTGTTTATACGTGCGTGTATGTATAGGACAGGGTGGACGGCGCATTTCCCTATTCACTAGATCTGTATCGAGGACCCTGGCGTCTGCTGCTCTTATTAATTCCGCCGTTGCTGTTGCTACTGTTGCTTGCGCCCGTCAAACCTGCACTCGAAGGAGGATCCTTATATAAACCCGCCCATCCTCCCACGCTCCCACATTCGATTCCTCCCACTCTCTTCATTTGCATCATTCGACCTCGTTCGATCTTCCCGAAGAAATAGAAAAAGATACCCCCAGCTACATTAGCAATCACATACCGCAAACATGGTCAACGTCCCATCCATCGAGCTCAACGATGGCAACAAGATGCCCCAGGTCGGCTTCGGCTTGTGGAAGGTAGAGAACGATAAGGCAGCAGACATTGTCTACAATGCCATCAAGACCGGCTACAGACTCTTTGACGGAGCTTGCGGTATGTTCTCCTCCAATTTCTCTCGATTCAATCCGGCCTATGTATGGCTGGCGCAAACCGCGGCGTTGAGATCCGGATTCGAAGCTTAGGCCAGCAATTCGAAGGGTCAATTGATGATCGAGAAGCTGAAGCACGCACACACGAGCTCCTACCGGGCTTACTCGCCTTCTCTGGATAATCTCCTGCGTTGCCCGGCGACACAAAGTGCCGTGCTGAAGCTACGCTTGACTTGACGTTTACCACTTCGGCTTTCTGTCCCGCTAATCCGGGGAGGTTGCCTCGACCCCTGCAAGATCGCCAAACATCCTCATATGGGGAATGGACGTCACTTGATCGAACTCTTTTATTGACTTCTCCGAAATCGCGAGAGGGAACCGCACTAATTTGAATGGTTAGACTACGGTAACGAGGTTGAGGCCGGTCAAGGTGTCGCACGCGCCATCAAGGAGGGTATCGTGAAGCGCGAGGAGCTCTTCATCGTGTCCAAGCTATGGAACACCTTCCACGAGCCCGAGCAGGTCGAGCCCATTGTCAAGAAGCAGCTTGCGGATTGGGGCATCGACTACTTCGACCTCTACGTGATCCACTTCCCCGTCGCCATCAAGTACGTCGCCCCTGAGGTGCGATACCCACCGGGCTGGTTCGTCGACGGCGACTCCAAGGTCGAGTACAGCAAGGCATCCCTCCAGAGCACATGGCACGCATTCGAGGACATCCAGAAGAAGGGCCTCGCAAAGAGCATCGGCGTGTCCAACTACTCCGGCGCGCTCCTCCTCGACCTCTTCGCCTACGCCAACACCAAGCCCGCGACCCTCCAGATCGAGCACCACCCCTACCTCGTGCAGCCCAAGATCCTCGAGCTGGCCAAGTCGGAGAACGTCGCCGTCACCGGATACTCGTCGTTCGGCCCGCAGTCCTTCATCGACGGCGACATGTCCCTCGCCGAGACCGTGCCCCTCCTCTTCGACCACCCCGTCATCAAGAAGGTCGCGGACGCACACAGCAAGACGACCGCGCAGGTGCTGCTGCGATGGGCCACCCAGCGCGGCCTCGCCGTCATCCCCAAGAGCTCTTCCCAGGGCCGTCTCGAGCAGAACTTGGACGTGACCAGCTTCGACCTCACCGAGGAGGAGATTGCCGAGATTTCGGGCTTGGACAAGAACCTGAGGTTCAACGCTCCTCTCAACGTACGTCTTTCACATCTTTCAGTATTCATGACAGGAACATTTCAACTGACTTAAAAATAGTGGGGCATCCCCATCCCGCTTTTCTCTTAAGCAAACCTCGAAGACAAAGAGAGGAAGAGATGATAGAGAGACAGAGGAAGAAACAAGCGTTGGAACACGATTAACGACTTAAATCGCAGCTTTTTGCAAACGAACCACCGATCACGGAAATGCAAATGGAATTTTCTTCCATTTGGAAGACCTAGCTGGCGTTTTTGAAAGATTTAGCTACAATAGGGGTGTATGATGCATACGTCATACATGCCTCGAAACCCTATATACATACACACATATATATCCACACAGCATTTCTCCATGATCCTTGCCTCATGATGTTTCGTTCATATGTGACCCAGGTGAGATGTCTATCAATAAGGTACTGCCCAGTCCATGCAAAAAAAAACAAAAAACTTATGTACTCCCGAATCATCCCAAGAACATATAGGAACATACCTATAAAAGGTTTATCGAATCAATAAAACTAAAACTCCATACGCACTATCATATCCATCCTATCAATTAATTGCCACTCCTCTGCTAAATACGTTCCCTTTTATCGATTGTCATGTCACGTTTCTAAATAAAGCAATCCCCAATGCGTCATTGAACCAAAACCCAAGCGTACACTTATCCACTTTCGCTCGGGATCATCCACTGGCCAAAATATTGGAAACTCCACAAAAAAAGAAACACAGATGGGAGCCAAGAGAAGTTGAACGTCATGGACTGGATTGGTGGGTTATTGGATGATGGGTCGATGGAAAATACAATAAAAATAGTAATGGAAAGAGAGATGGAGATGGGAACGAGTTTATGGGAGGTGGTAGGTGGTCGACGACGATAACCGTGAGAAGATTGAATACTGATTTGGTTGAAAGCATCTTTCATTTCGTTTTCTTTTGTATGTCTTTTCCATGAAGTATTTCCTCAATAAAAAAAATGATCCCACCTACTAGCTTACCTTAACATGCCTTCAAAACCTCAGAAAGTGAATTTCTTCCTCGAAATAATATTCCCAGCCAACCAAACCAACCAACAATTAAAAACCTCCGAGACCTCAACTTCCAAAGTACCACCTCTTCCAGCAAAAAAACACTCACAGGTCCTCACCCGATGCCCCCATCCCGCAAACCGCCTAGACCGCCCCGACCGACCGCACGGCACCGCACCACATCGCATGGTCCGGAACGCACGCACAATAAGCCGCCGATCCCTCGCCCGGATTTCGGGGGAGGCTCTTTCGCGAAAGTCTAGTCGCTAGGCACCTCCATCGTATATCTACCTACGTTCGGCGATGCGGCGTTGGCGTTGTGCGAAAGGCCGGGCTTGCGGAGAAGAGTTACCTGCGCGTCGCGGGGGAGTTGAAGACAAACTACGGAGAATTGTTCATGAGACAGGTAACTACGAGGGGTGTTAGGAGTAAGGAGATTTGGTAAGGTATGTTGGTGCATTATTGTTGTTGGGTTTGGAGATTGGGGGGTTGGGTGACATGTCGTGACGAGTCGTCTCGTAAGCAGCCCTAAACGTGTTTTCGGGTGCACGTTTTTTTGTGTGTGGATCGATGGGAGGTTGGGTTTGGCATTAGTAGGTGGGGAATGGGAGGTTGAGTGGGTTTGTGTTTTTTTCTTTTCGTTTTCATTTATTGACCTTGTGGTGTTCAATACCTGGTATTTGCTTTCTAGGATTGTATGCAGCATTGGAGTGTTGTTGCGCAATGTGAGCGAGCGAATTGCGTGTTAGAGGGTATATGTGCGTAGAAGAGATATAATCGATTACGTGGAGACAATGAGGAGAGCAAGAAAAGAACATCGATACTGACGATCAACTATTGAACAATAAATCCAAGAAAAAGACGAGCAAGGCTGGGAATGGCCATTCTGCGGACTTTCAACATTCCTACTTATCCTTGTTGCGGTGCGAGTGCGAGTGCGAGTGCATTGATGAAAGGTACGCCACGCCGCCGCCGTACCGGGGTCGGGCGTTGAACGATTGGGCAGGACGCCTGACAGGATCGTGAAAATTCGAGGCCGAAGCCGATGGATGATCACTATCGTTATTGCTAGCATTTACGGAGTATACTTGCGCAATTGTTCACCTTCCCATCTTGTCTATGCGTGTGACTGGCCGAGGGAGGACAACGCGTGGCACTTTTGGCCATTGGACTTGAGTTGTCGCAGTGGCTGGTTGGGGCATGTTTTCGATTGATGGGGTTCTTTGGAGTTGTGCTTGGGGTTTACTGTGTAGAGAAGTACTTCCGTATGTAGTTGGGTAACTAAGTAATTATCAGGTCTTCAGTGTTTAAGTATATTAGTTAGGGACATTATTGATCAATGATAATGAAAGATGAAACATGCCGCCTGCACGCGACCACCACCACCATCGTCGTCTACTAGTTAGTAACGAAGATCATTTGCATCTCCAAGTTCCCTAGCATGCCTTACAGTACTCAAGGAACGGAGTAGGTAAAGTGTACGAGGTATTATCGACCTACTCTTATGCCCTTAGTTTCTTATGCAGGTCCCCCGTCCGTATTCCAGAGGAGTCTACTCTACCCATAACTACCCAACCCACCTGACTGATAAACGGCCACCATCTTCCCGCCCTTGCTCCATTATTCTGCTATCTAAGCACTTTATTCGTCCGAAAAGCTTCAAAGAACAATCACTTCCCCCTCATATATCTTTAAAGAAAACCCCTACAATTATTTGCAAAGACCGGTCTCAGCTTCGATCACCACCACTCCATTACGATTTATAATAACTCCCCGATCCATGACGTCGTGCTCACAGTTTAAACGTTGAACTGTGCTGGCGCCTGCGGGACCCGCGGGACCTCCGGAACACCTAGCTCACACGCTCTACAGAGACCTACTTAGGTTCACAGTAATCATCGTAATCGTCCCACTACTCAATACAGAAAGGGTCAGGATTGGACTGGACTGGATTGGAGTGGAGTGGACAGGTCAGGAAATATCGAATTCCTACCTAAATATCAGTCAGCACCCTTCCGCCTTTTCAATGCAATTCAATATCTACCTGCCTCACGCCAACGCCAACCTACCGTCCTATATCCTTCCACTATCACCAATCCTCACCTCCACGGACTCGACGAGACTCCAGAACCCCATCACACGCACGAGAACATTTCCCCTCGCCTCCGGGGGGATATTATCGACAATCCCCCGATGTCTTCCAACACAGCTCCCGCCCAAACGAAAGGCCGGTAAGTCCGAAAGTGCACATTGGTCACCATTCAATGCATCCATCCATCCTGGTACCTATCCCAGGGCCCCCATTCCTCCGCGCGCCGCAAATCAACCGCATTCACAGCAAATGCTTGCTGGATGCCTAAAACAAAACGACGAAACGCTTTCAGAGTCCTCATTTCACGATGATCTCGATCTTGTTCTTGCTCTCCCCCCTGTTCCCTTCTCCGTCGCAACCCGTATGAATTATATGAATTTGGTGGGAGCTCACATGGCTAATTTCCTCTTTCCTCCGGCGACATAGTGCTCTCGCGATCTTACTACCCTCGCTCGCATTTCAAATACACACACTCGTTCTCGTGCTCGCGCTGCACGAATCCGCATTCAACCACGTCCTCGACTGGCCAAAACAATACTTTGTCGCATATAACTTTTGCGCCGCGGGCGCCGCGCTGCTCGGAATGTGGGGAGCTACAAGAGTACGTTGTTGGACCCTTTCCCTTCCCTCTCCCATCCGCCATTTGTCCCAAGCAAACTATAATGCATCTACCCGTCTTATCTCCAATCACTCCACCACCACTCGTACTCAACCACCACAACCTCCACCGCTACAACATCATACCACACCACTCACCACCACTCCTCTCCCCTCCCAGACCACATCCTACAAAACCAACGCAAAACTAACCCACCGGCAGCTCAACCCCGCCTTCGTCTCCATCTCCACAACCCTCCACACAACCACGCTCCTCATCCTCACCCTCACCCTCCTCAACATCCTCCTCCCGGCCTCCCTCTCCCTCCACGCCCTCCTCCCCTTCATCCCGAACCTAAAGTTCGACGTCGCGGACTTCTGCGACGACGCCGACGACGCCTTCGGCTGGGACGCAGACTGGACGGCGCAGTGCAGGGACGGCTTCACGGCGGTCAAGTTCGGCGCCGTGGGCGTCGGGCTCGGGCTCATGGCGCTGCAGTGGTGGGCTGTTGTGGGCGTTTGGCGGTGGAATTGGGGGGTTGGGGAGGAGGAGGTGGTTGAGGAGGTGTGCGAGGTGCGGATAGATGTGGAAAAGGGTGCGGGAGTGTTGGTGGTAGAGGGGTTCGGGGAGGAGAAGAGGTGATATCCACGCGCGAATTTTGAAATCGATATACATTGGGAAGAATGGGGAATGAAGAAAAGAAGATAAGATGCTTGGATATGGATGGGGATTTTTAACGAATGTCATGACACACACACACACACCAACACCTTGGAATGAATGAATATAAAACGATAAATACCAAGATAACTCTACTTTTACAACCTTTTTTCTTGCTTTACTAGTGGGGTGATTGCTATGGCGGATATATTGTTTGCTATGTGTTGATGAGTATTTGACCATACGACCATATGGCCATTGCGGAAACATGGAAAGGTATGACGCGAATTTGAGTGCGATATCGTTTCGGATGTCAGAACTACGGGGTGTGAACGGCGGTGTTTGTCGGAAGCTATGGGAAAGGAGGAAGGGACTCATACACTCCCTCCCGACGACATGACAATAAACGGTCGCACATACTCCTGGGATGTGGTCCGCTCGACACTTCATGTTTCTTCATGTAGCTTTGGGAGTTCAGGTATGGGATGAAATGGTGGAGAGCGACGGTGTGGTATGCTTCCTGTGTATCTACATGGTTTGTGTCTTGATAGGTAGGACTGAGCTTTACATTTTGATTATATGTTTTATTTATACAGATCACGCGTTATCTTATCTCATCTCATCTAGTCTTGTCTATGTGTATGTAAAGTGGTCTTTCTATCGTACAAAATATGCTATTCATACATGATATACAATGCGTTAAATGATGTTCAACGCTGTTTAGATCAGCGCCTCGCCTCTGAACATAGCGTCCCTGACCTCCTTCACGACGTCTGCACGGTCGCCAGCGCCGACGAGCACGATGCCCCGGCCGCGTCTGCCCATTCGCCCCGTGCGGCCGAGCCGGTGGATGAAGTCGATGGTGGTGTGGGGGACGTCGTAGAGGATGACGTGCCGGACGGACACGGTGTCGATGCCGCGGGAGCCCAGGTCCGTTGTGACGATGACTTTGGTGTTGGCGAGCTGGCGCTTGTTCTTGTCGGCTGGAGCGGGGGGGTTGGGTTTGTCGTCGGTGGAGGAGGAGGTGGTGGTGGGTTTCTCGGTTCCGGTGAAGCTTGCGAGGGTCTTTGCCTGTCGGCTGGGGTCGGTGTCGCGGTGGAAGGCGAGGGCGTCGATGCCTTTCTTAACGAGGTATTGGGCGACTGTCTCGGTTTCTTCGCGTTCGTTGACGAAGACGAGGATGCGCTTGGTCTGGGATATCTCTTTGCCTTCGGCCGGGTCGTAGTCCCCGCTCGCTTTGCCAATCTGCCAGATGGTGTCGGCACATGCGAGCATCTTATTTCCTCGGTAGGGGTCCTTGTTGACGTCGACGACGCCTAGCTGGACACGGCGGGGGATGGCGTGCAGATTGGGAGTTACGAGGCGCTTCATGGATGGGTATCGTTCCGCGAGGTATTTGTCCAGGTAGCGAGGGATGGTGGCAGAGCACAGGACGAGCTTCTTGAGAGAAGGGGTTGCCCTGTCGAGGATTCCGGTAGTGAACGGCTTGAAAGAGCGGTCGAGGAGCGAATCGGCCTCGTCGATGATCAGGTGACTGACACGGCTCAGGATGTTGGGGTTGCTCTCGGCGATGCTCGACAATAGCGGAGGTGTGCAGATGATCATGTCTACGCCATTTTCGTTGAACAGCCTGTTCCTGATGACGGTGGCAGTGTTCTTGGCCGAAATTGGAGCTGCTCTGAACTTAACGGTATGCGACAGGGACTTTGCGACGGCTCCGACTTGAGCAACCAGTTCGGCCGTGGGGACGAGAATGATGGCTCGCGGACGAGCAGGATCCACGGCATTCGTGGTCGGCGGAGACTCGAGAGCGAAGATATCGTCCCTTTTATCCAACTCTTTGGCCGCAGCCAGCTCTGCCTCCTCGCGTTCCTTCTCCTCCGCTTCAACGGCCTCGGCTCTCTTGATGGCATCGATCGTCGGGAGGAGGTAGGCAAGGGTTTTGCCAGATCCCGTCTCTGCTGCCAGCAAGTATGATTCCAAAGCTTCTTTCTGAGCCGGGTTCCTGGTCCTCCTCTTTGCTTCTAAGCCTAGCAGTGCGGGGATAGCGACGGCCTGGGCAGGTGTAGGAATGCGATATTCGAGGCCTGGGAGTGCGTCCTTGATGGCTTCTTGCAGCGTGTCGAGGAAAGGTAGGCCTTCAAACGAATCCACTTGCTCAATCTTCCTCTTGATGGCGGACCTTGACCCATATGGTATCTCTTGTAAGCCCTTTTGCATTTTCAGCGCATGGTATGCATCTGGCTTTCCTCTCCGCTTCCCGTCCTCGCGGCGCCGGCTCTGGAAGGAACCCCTGCTGGAAGCCTGGCCATTTCTCTCCTGTTCCTGCTCTAGGTCCCGTGGCACACGGGTCTTGTTGAGGTACGAGAAGGGCTCACGCTTTTTTCTTGCTGGTTTGCCTTCGGGTCGAGTAGCAGGACGGTCGACGGTGTCGGAGAGGACCATGCGAGAGGGTCGATGCTTGTCGCGGGAGCGATTGAAGGACGGCCGGGGGGTTGAGAATCGTTGGTCGGAGGAGCCATGCTTATTGCTCGAGCGATCTCTCTGCAATTGCGCATAGAGCCGTACCTGTTGGTTGGCGGGTTGAAGTACTGGAGGTCGGACGAGAAGACTGTTGACCTCGCAGAAAGGACACGCGCGAGTGGCGCGACGTAGCATAGTAGAGATTTCAGAAGGGCGAACGAGGGTGTGGGAGATTGTGTTTCAGAGGAAGGGTGGTGATCATCGACGATCCAGCGATGGCTAATACTTTAAGTTGTAAGATATTGCAGAGAAAAGATGGAGACGAGAATGAGATGCGGGATGGAAATTTCATGTGCCACAGTTAATCCTAATCGGGCAATGGGGGAGTGTGGCGCATGTGACATCCGCTGTAGGTCGATTGGTCGATTGGTGGTTGCCCCGTACGACAGCGGAAACAAGAGAAGATCCAGGACATCCATGACATCCCAGCGCCGTTTGTTGATTGACGCCAAGAATTGTGCCTCTGTTATCCTCTACTGTGCACATATACATACGGCCTGTCTATACACAACCCTCTCTCTCTCCCACACTCTCACTCACTCTTATGGGATACACTCCTCCTCCTCCTCTCCTTCTTCCCTCCTCTTCTTAACATTATCTCTTCTTCTATACTTCCCAGCGCCTGCGCTTTTAACAAACGTTCGTTCTCGCCCTGCGCAATCACACCCTGCGCACATTCCTACCGTCTGCGCGAGCCCTCCTCGAGGGAGTTTCCGTCCCCATTGTTCGCAAACATTCCACACCAACGCAGATAGGCTTCCTGCATCGATCGAATACAATCGTTGCGGATCCTCTCTCCGGTAGAAATGTCGCGAAACGAAGCGGTAAGATAACCTGAACATGCTATCAGCCGCCCTCAAAGTGGTCCTTGTCGCTGATGTGGAATCACTTCAACAGGTATCGCCGCTGCGCATAAACAAAACGCCCAACGGTTCACCCACCAAGCCAGTATCGCGGCCGCTCTCTGAGATCGGTCCCACCGAACACAGAAGGAACTCTCCGAGCTTCAACCAAGCTACCAAGGTAACACCAAGCTTGCATTCCTTCCTTCTTCCCGGTAACGAGCGACTAACGTGGCCTAGAAGATGATGTTTACCAAAGAAGCTTCGCCTTTCGACACTTCCTCGCCTTTCACAAACAGCCCGCGTTTGTTTTGGAAGGAGCAGACCATCTCGCCAAAGGCCCGCTTCGGCTCAGAGAACGATTCCGACCGTGATCTGTCGCTCTCGCCCAAGCGCTCCTCCATTGAGAATCTCAAGAAGGCCTCTCGTGTAAAGAACAGCAGCATGTTTGCCCGTGAGCAGAAGAACGAATACGATCCCGCCTCAGTCCAAGTCCCTAATCGCCCTCTTGCTTCCGGCCGTCCCTTGAGCTATCAGGTCCAGGGCAACGCCTTCGGTGGTAACGGTCTTGCTGGCTTGCGCCAACAGAACGAAGAACACAAGGGTCACCGCCGTGGTGAGAGCCTGAGCAAGATCCCGACTCTCTCACCATCCAAGACATCTCCAGCCAAGCTACCTACTCAGTCATCTTTTAGCTCATTCACACAAGAGAACTCCTCACCTGCCGAGGGTCGTGCCTCGCCTACTAAGTCTTCGCTGGTCAGCCATGGCCGCTTCAACTCATTCGATTACAACCCCGAGTCAAGCATCTGGTCTGATGATGAAGAGCTCAAGCATCAGACCCCCCGTCCTCTGCGTCGGCATGCAAAGAGCGTTACTTTTGATGCCGCTCCACCAACCATCAACGAGTATGAGATGGTAACTCCAGACCCATCATCGATCGCATCCGACTCGCGAGAGGGTAGCTACGAATCAGACGAGGAAGACATGAGTTTCGATCAAGACGACAGCTTTGATGCCTCTCTCGAGGATACAGACAAGACACCTGTGGTGTTGCCCGAAGACTGGCGTCATATGAGTCCCGAAGCAGCAAACACGTCATTGGCAGATACGTGGGACGACGTGTTTGATGGCCGCGACAACAGCCCAATGCCAAATGCCCAGCCCATTGCCGCCACAAAGCCCAATGGATCGCGACACGGCTCCACAAACTCTGAAGGCGAGGCACGGCCCTTGCCCCCTCTGCCTGGTATGCAGGCATTTGACGACCGCAATCGACGAGATTCCAGCATTGGTTTGTCCGCTGCTGCAGAGCGCGCTAGTGGTGCTCGTCGTTCGTTGCCTCAGCCACCTCAAGCGGCGGGTATCTCCAAGGCCGATCTCCTTAACATGCGCGAGGGATCGATGTCTTTGGAAGACCGGCTCCGATTGATGAACTTCGATGACGAACGTGATACCCAAACACCTACCCAGGAGAGCGAGGATAAGAAAATCGCTCAAGTGGAGGTTGCTGAAGTGGACGATGTAACAGAGTCTGAGATCATTGAGAGCCCCAAGGTCCAAAGAATCTCGCGCGAGTCAATTCTTCGAAAGGTCAAGAGCCGTAACTTTGACGACTACGAGACTTATGACTTTGATCCTGAGTCAAGCCCAGAGCGTAGCTATGGCGACCTTGCTGACCTTGACCCGGATGTTCCCATTCCATCACGAGAGGTCTCGTCCAACTTTGACGAAACTGCACACGAGCAGGCCAACAACACTGAGGATGAGATGGACAGCGTTCTCGAGGCATACTCTATGGCCGAGACTACTGAGGTCTACGCAGAGACGTCTGAGATCTCTCAAATGGAGGAGTATGACTGCTCTGTTATCCATCATATTATTAAAGAAGAACCTCGCGAGGAAGATGAAGCGAGCCAATATTCTTCCCAACAAGAGGAGCAGCCAACATCTCAGAGCACCATTGACACCTCCGGACCTCCAACGCCAACAGCTCTGGATTCTTCACCCAATGCTGCGGACAAGGGAAGCAGGCGCAGTGAGCTGTTCGCTTCCTTTGCCGATACTGAGATGGATCTCCACCTCGATCCATTGAAGGCTTCGTTTGAGACTGCACCTAGCCCTCTCGACACTGCACCCAAGATTGGCGCTATGCGAGAGTTCTTGCGTCGACCGGAGACACCAGATGCCACCGAGGAAGACCTCGATGTTGAAGAACCTGGCACACCTGACTCCGTTATCCGCCATCCTGTCGTTGAAGAACCCGAGCAGGTCGAGCAGGTTGAGAACGTCGAGCAAGCAGAGGAGGCTGAGGATGCTAAAGAGGCCGAGAAGGAGGCTGAAGTTGAGCCTGAATCACCTGCCGTTCCTGATCCCGAGGCTACTGTTCGGGGCGCTGGTGGCAAGCTCAAGACTCGCCCATCTCTCATTCCCGCAGATATGGATATGGCCGCGACACGTAGGCAAGTAAGCGGCGAGCATCCTCCTCCAGTTCCCCAACGAAGCCCAAAACGCCAATCGTTGAGCTTGGACTTCGGTTATGTCGAAGAGGAGAGTTCGCAAGCATCGAACGTGGACAATTCCCGCATGCTTGACATTGCAATTGGTGAAGATTCCAACGATCTGAGCTTTGGTCTTGACAAGGATTTTGATAAAATCATCGAAGCACAGAAGGTAGACTTCCTATTTCCTTTACCCTCCTTTGCCCAGTTCCCAACATCATCGGCTGCACAAACTCATGGTGCGAATTTGATGAGCGGAGAGGGTTTTGTTTATACTCACGAACCGACAACTAATACTTCTGGACGGGAACAGAAAGGATATCTTATGCGACAAAATACCAAGGTTGTTGTTGCCAGCAGCCGCCAGTTCAGCGACGAGAAGCCACCTACGGGTTCTTCCGATAAGCCGGCCCAGTCAGCTGCCTCGCGTAAGACGAGTGCAGAGCGCAAGCCTGCTTGGACCACTGAGCCCTGGAATGGTAAGGCAAGGCGGAGGAGCATCCGAACAACTTCTGGGACTCGCCGCGCTGCTCCTTCCGGTCCAGCACCTCCCCTTCCTGGACAAGAATCCGCGGTTGCCGGTGGGCTTGACTCGGTTGAGGAACAGAACAGTGAAGAGTTTGAAGATGGTGCTGAGCGCGGACGCCTGTTCGTCAAGGTAGTAGGCGTGAAAGATCTGGATCTTCCCTTGCCAAAGAGTAAGTCGTCATCACAAAATATCTGAGCGTGTTACTGATTGTATCTGCAGACGAGAAGACATGGTTCCAACTCACTTTGGACAATGGATTGCACTGTGTGACAACATCATGGCTAGAGCTCGGCCATAGCGCACCAATTGGACAAGAGTTCGAACTTGTAGTCCTTGACGATCTTGAATTCCAGCTCACTCTCCAGACCAAACTGCAGCCACCTGCAAAGGCTCCGGTTACTGCAGCACCCGTCAGGGTTGTCAACCACAAGAAATCTCATTCCGCCTTCCGCAACCTCCTGTCTTCGCCCAAGAAGCGTAAGGAACAGGAGCGCAAGCAACAAGAGGAGGCGGAACGTCTTGCTCAGCAACAACAGCAACAGCAGGAAGCCCAAGCTAAGCGTAACCACCAAGCCACCGCTTGGGACCTCTTGCACGGCTTGGTTGGTCCTGACGGTTCCTTCGCTCGCGCTTATGTGTGCCTTAAGAATCATGAGAACCAGGCGTACGGTCGTCCTCTCAACGTGGACATCCCGTGCTTCAACGAGTGGGCAGTTGACGACTCTGGAGTGAGCAGTGTCAAGAGCAAACGAGGAGGCGTCGTTCGCCGCCCACCATACCGAGTCGGCAAGCTTGCACTACAGCTACTGTACGTGCCTAAGCCTAAGAATGCCAAGGACGAGGACATGCCCAAGAGCATGAATGCCTGCGTTCGTGAGCTGAAGGAGGCCGAAGAGGTGAAGGGAAAGACCTGGGAAGGTCATCTAAGCCAACAGGGTGGTGACTGTCCTGTAAGTGAACTAACTAAACTGAATATCCTGGCTGTCACGCTGACCATAATACAGTACTGGCGCCGTCGCTTCTTCCGTCTTGCAGGCACTAAGTTGACTGCTTACCACGAATCGACACGGCAACCGCGTGCTACCATCAATCTAGCAAAGGCAACTAAGCTCATTGATGATAAGAGCGCTCTGCAGCAACCCTCTTCCACAAAGTCCGGCGGGCGTCGCAAGTCTGCTTTCTCTGAAGAAGAGGAAGGCTACATGTTCGTTGAGGAAGGGTTCCGCATCCGGTTCGCCAACGGCGAAGTCATCGACTTCTACGCCGACAGCACGGAACAAAAGGAAGGCTGGATGAAGGTCTTGTCCGAGACTGTTGGCAAGGATCTTGCTACTAGCAAAGCCTGGACACAAATGGTCATCGACAAGGAGCGTCAAGACAAGGCACGTTCAAAGGGTGTAGCCCAGCCCGCACCGCCGAAGGATGCGTTCAATGGCACACAACAGCAACGCCCGCGGTCGCATGAAGGCCTCGCGAGCAAGTCAGCGCCATCAAGTCCTGTGAAGGGTCATTCGAGAACTAAATCACATGTGCCTATGTCCCAGGCTCCCCCACCACCCATCGAGAAGGACGCCAGGCATAAGATGGCAGCACCGCGGCAACAGCAGCAAGCTGCTTCAAATTCATCTCGCCGTGAACAAGTTCGTTCGATGATTTTCTAATTTCCTAGGACGGGTTCTGGTTCCTTCATCTAAGCCATTTTGTGGAAGCTCTCGCCACTCTAGATTCCATTCTCCGAGATGTAAAAAGGCATCGCTGCCCTGGAGGTTGCGACGACATTCATGGTCGCTCTGTCTTGCGACCCTAACTTCTTCTTACTCGATTGCAAGAACGACTCTGTTCTGTACAAACTACACTAGGTCTACTACCTAAATCTCTTTTCCTTGGTTGCAATTTTGATTCATAAGGGGCTCCATGAGGATCCAGCGCTGTTATTCATTGGTTTGTTATTGCTGAGCACTATACGGCTCCAAATGGAGTTTGGTCTTGGGCGGACATCCGGTACATGTTTATGATAATACCTCTGCTTAATGATTGAAGATGAGGTACGATGCAGAGAGTGTAAGACATTTCAAAACTTTCAAATTACAAATTTCCCAACTCCTTGCGTGACTGTGATACATCAGCCCTGAAATGGAAAGAGAGCGTGACTTTTCCAGCGTCCCGGTTGTTAGGATTGCGTGACACCCGGGTTCTGATGATAGATTCGTGGCCAAGTGGATTGCTACATGACAGTTGTGTTTGCCTGCCCATTTGGAAGAACTGTACAACTCCGAGTCATCAAGCAAACATATCTAGCGTCGGTTCTGTACAAACGGACATTTTCATCCAAAGTGTATTCCTTCCCTCATTATCCTCCCTCTCGAGAATTCCTTCTCCTTCTCTCTACGTTCGCCCTTTCAAATACTCATTATCAAGTCGTCAGTAGACATGGCTGATTCCACCACATCGCAACGCTTCAACACCTGCTGAGCGAACAAGAAAGCAAACACCTATCTCATTCTCCTTGAACCCTCAATATCATCATCCCCTAACCAGCCTCCCCCTCCTCAACCCAACTTCTCCTCCACGACACACCAAAAACCGACATACCAACCTCCATCCCCTTCCATGGGCCAAAACTACTCCACCTACCCCTACCACCACAACCACCACCCAGCACCCCTAATCCCCCTCCCAGGGCCCCGCTCAACCGTCTTCGTCCCTGCAACCTCGCCCTTCTCCTTCGCCCCTCCCTTCGCATCACCTTTCTCCCCGGCCTTTGTACCAGGAGTCAGGGCGAAGAAAGTGAAAACGCACCTCCACCTGCACGACCACAACCACAACCACGCACACTTACACAACCACAGTCGACGCAGCAGGAGAAGGCGGTACTATCCGAGATACTACTACGGCGGCCCAGGTGGTGGTGGTGGTTGGTCTGCTCCTGGCTTCGACACACCGGGACGGTACTACCATCCCCATCCTCATATACCGCCTCCGCCTCCGCCTTCGCCGTTCCTCAGTCCAGGAGACTGCGGCCCATTTCCGGATCCGGGCGGCTTGGAGGAGTGTTTCTCGCCCCCGTTGCCCGCGGCAAGTGTTCTCGGCTGCGCTGGTGGTGCCGTTGACGAAGACGGTGACTGCGGCGGTAGTGAATTCGACGACCCTGGGCCTGGCTTTGTGTTCGGACCTGCCAGGAGTCGTGCTCGGTTCCCTGGCCCTTGTGCTGTTGGCGGTATCGGTGGTAGGAGGTATCCCAGACGAAGCGCGTACTACTATCCCCCCCGTGGACACGGGGGATTCGGATCGAGGAGGCGGGTTGGCAGGTACGGGTACGGGCGTGGTGCTGGGGCGGGTACGACGTTTGATTGGAATTATCCCTTCCGTGGAGGAGGGGCGACGGCGAGGTCGAGGGCGAGGGCGAGGTATCAGAGGGGAGGAGGGGCACCGACGACGGCGTCGGCGGGATTCAGGGGGAGTAGTGTGGGTAGTGAGGGCAGTGATTTCGAGGGTGGGGGTGAAGACATGAGGAGGGGTTTTGATAGTAGGATGGGAGGAGGGAAGAGGATGGGAGGGTTGGGAGGGTTGGGGTCCCCTGGTGTGGGTGAGGGCGTGAGTAGGTATGGTGGGAGTCCTGTTGTGAGGCCTCATATCGGGGTGGCTCCTGGGTATCCTCCTCAGCACCACCACGCTGGGGCGGGGATGGCGTACACGCCGCAGGTTGCACCGGGTATGGTGACGTATTCTGTACCTGGCGGGGGAGCAGCGTATCAACCGGGAGGTGGGTATCAGACCATGGATCCGAATATGATGCCGGCAATGCATCAGCAACCACAACCACAACAACAGCAACCGTACCAACCCATCATCGTACCACCTCAACCACCCGTGGAAAGACCAGCAACAGCACCACAGCACGCATCCGCAAGCATGGCACACATACCCGCGGGCGCCTACGCAGCCGGCGTCCCCACGACCCCCTCACCTCACCCTCGACCACAAACGACAGAGCCCGTACCCGCCTCGCCACAGGTGCCAAAAAGAATGTTCAGACAGTCCGAGGAGACTGGACGAAAGGGGTCAAACGACACCGAGGGCCAGGAATGGATCCAGGGCCACCCGTTCCTCGATGCGTGTATCTGCACGACGAACTGCACATGCAGGAAGGGCCATAGAGTGCTGTACCGCGAGGAGAATGGCGAGGGCGGCCGCGCGAGCGGGGAGATCAGATATGTACTTAAAGAGCAGCTGGGCAAGGACTGCGGGGACCATTCGAAGTGCCGGGAGAGAAAGAAGGATGGCACTGGTGAGAGGAGGCGGAGTCGTGAGAGCGGCGGTAGTGGCAGTGTGAGGAGCAGTAGTCGGGGGAGTAGCAGCGAGACGACGAGTAGTTTGAGGTTGGGGAGGGAGATGTACAAGGCTGCGAGGAAGGAGGCCCAGGATGAGAGGAGGAATAGGAGGGTCGAGGAGGGGTTGAAGGGGATCTTGGAGAGGTTGGAAAAGATGGAGTTGAAGAGTAGTAGTGGTTCGCCTGCTGCTACTAGGGCTACACCGTTGGGAGGGAAGGCGGTTCCGAATGCTGGCCTTGGTAATGGAATTGGAGAGACGATTCAACAGCCGTTGGGACGAATGGCCTCACCGTTGGCCGGACCTACAACTGGAATGGGAAACCTGTATAACGGGTTAGGGAATCCATATGCTGGGGTCGATCATGGTATGGGCGCGCAGATGGACCCACGTCAGATGGGAGGTACTACTGCTGCTGCTGGAATAGGACCGCAGATGATGTTTGGACCGAGTCCTGGCGTCCGTCGTCCGATGATGATGCCGTCACAGATGGATCCACGGCTTGCAATGCAGATGAACGGCATGTCACCCGATTTCGATCACCAGGCCGGCAATGGCATGGGCGGATTGGACATGGACATGATAGATCCTTCAATGGCCATGGACATGCGAACACCGGGTGGTATGCCCATGAGAGGAGGCATGGCCGGAGGACAACGAGGGCCAATTCCCATGCCTCGACCTGAAATGTACAACGGAGGTCATGTCATGCAGTTCGGACGAAGAGGTGGTAGGGGAATGCCACATGGGATGATGGGACGCCAATTTGGTGGCGTTCATGGTCAGTTGAATCCAGGAATGGGTAGAGGAGGCAGATTGCAACAGCCGTATCGTTGGGGACCCGGGGATGATTCAGTGGCGCCTGAAGGTAGACGTCGACGACCTGAGTTTCCTCTTGACGATGAGGATGATACATTCATGACGAATGGGCATGGGGGACGTGGCACAGGGCATGCTGAGGGGAATGAATCCGAATGGGAAGACACTGGTAAGTATTGTTTCATACGAGGTCACTGATGATTGTTTTGGAAGAAAAGGGTGTGAAGTGTTGCAGTCGGGAGAGAAATCCTTTGCTAACGTTCATGCAGGTCTAGATGACATCAACGATGGTGATGGGGACTGGCAACCAAATCGAGGCAATTCATCTAATGCCGGTCGAGGCAATCGGCAAGGTATGAATCGTCAGAGGGGCAGCAGAGGTGGAGGACGGGGGCAGGGAAGACAGGCACATATTGAAGACCCAGAAGAGGAATAGAGGGAGATGGTTATCTTGTTAATTTCCATAATAAAATGTAGAGAAAAACAGATCTTAGGAGGCTTATAGTGTCCATATTTGAGAAAGGAAGCATGCGTGCGTCAAAACTATTGTCGTAACTGTAGCGCAAAAGCCTAACGGTACTATGGTCGTCGTTGAGAGAGCACCCTGATGTCAACCGCTAAGCTGATTTAGGTAACCGCTTTTCTCCCAGTTTTCCCACGAGCTGTCTCCTCCGAACCGACATTGTGATCCCTTTCTTGAGACATGTCCCTGAGAGCCAGCATTCTGGTCGTCATGCACGCAGGTACCCGAACGCTTGGTCACTTCCAGAGTTAGTCTCCTCGGATTTGCCCTGAGCTGGGCTCCAGGTACCTGGAACCAGACCATGGACAACATCCCTTTCCGCACATCACTGCATGAACATCAGAAACCGCTGTTCAGAAACTTTTCATTTTCATTAAAGGATCCAGCATCGAGAGCTCTCGAGCCGTGGATCGGATATCAAGATAGGCTCTTCAAAAGCCCTAGAAAAGGTGGAAGAATTATATACAGCATGCGGGTCATTCAGTATCGAAGTCCGAAACTATTAGAGAATTTTATTGAATGCTTCGTCGTTTAGACAAAGACAGCTCCGAGGGCTCCGAGGGCGAGAGCCATCATTCCGGCGTTGGTGCCGCCGATGGCAGCGGCGCCAGGGGTCTCGGAGGGCGTCGACGATGCGCTGCCAGTGGTCTGGGCGGGCGCGACAGTGGGCTCTGATACGCCGGATGGGCAGTGCCAGTGGTCACCTGTTAAGAGGTTAGTTCAAGACCATTAGAAGACTCGTATCATTTGAGGTTAGACGTACCGTGGGGCTGGCAAGTGGTGGCGGTGACAGTCACAGGTGCCTCAGTGGGCTCTGAAACTCCAGATGGGCAATGCCAGTGGTCGCCTAGCAGAGGAGAAATTAGCCAAAGAACCAATTGAGGAGAATTATATCGTCTATCTCGAAGGAGCTAATGATAACCTGCTGAAGAAGAAACTTACCGTGGGGCTGGCACGTGGTAGCGGTAGCCTCATGCTCATGCTCGTGGTCATGATCAGAGTGAGTCTCGCTGGCCTCGGGCGCAGAAGTAGTGGCCTGAGCAGAAGCTGAGGCGGCCGAGGCAGCAGAAGAGATGATGGATGAGAGAGCTGAAGAGACGACAGATTCAACACTGGTGGCAGCTTCTTGTGGGAGGAATGTTGGCTCTGGGACGCCGGAGGGGCAGTGCCTGGATTGATGTTAGTAAAGGGAATATAAAAACCGAAGCTTGAATGCTCAGATTGACATACCAATGATCGTCGTGAGGCTCGCAGGTAGTCTGGGCGAGAGCAAGTGCTGGCAGAGCAGCGAGAATGGCGAGAGCGGCCTTCATCTTGATATTGGTTTGGCGGGTAGCGACTGTTTGATGTCTGGTAGATCGTGTGATCAATTTGTAGCAGGACAAAGTAGCTGTATATCCAAGATGCAGGAACCAAAAAGCCTCTTCCGATTAAACAGCAGCAGGTCTTTTATACCTCGTAGTAAGCATCCGTTTAGCTGTGATCGAATATCAAGCCAAGTCCGCCTCTTGCTTGGCGAGGACATCGTGGTACTCAACTTGTAGTAAACTTCTCTCTCATCGACACCAATCAACCAGTAAGAAGGTCACATTTGACGTCTTTCCGAGTCCACTTTCCCACCTGATGGCGGGAAAAGGCTGGAATACGGTATTCGTTGGCCGTGGGGTGGAGCATCCATAAGCTTGGCAGTGAGGCCTTTCGCTGGTATTGGGATAGAGCCACTGGATGCCTGTGGCGAGACATGGGCAAACGAAACATCGTAACCGAAATGTTGGATTTATTGGTAGCTAAGTTGGATACAAGCATTCGTCCCGGATGGAACCCCTGTTCACGTTGTTACCCGCATTGCTTGCTAGAAAGTGACATCGTGGGTTAGGTGGTACTGATAGCCGCACTGCATGACTTTGCAGCAACCGATTGAGCTAACATATCCGACAGCTATCAATTTAGAGAACAATAAGTGCTACTTTCAATTATCATGTAGTAAATTTACTCATTAAGACACTACTTCTCTACGATGCCGGGGTGATATTGATGCTTGTTCAGGCCAATTCACAAAGGAATTCACATCTGCTAACACCTGTATAGAAAGTACCCATTGTTAGAGCTATGACCCTTAATGTTACATCAACGCAATGCCCTTCGCGTTCAAAACAGGAAGGAGAACGGAGATTGAGGAGACATCATGGTTGTCACGCTCAATTTGCAATAGAAATGTTCGGGATGTCTACATCTGGCGATTGATGGCTTGTGTTTCATCACTTTTGAATTGCTAGGATTGAATCACAGTCATTTCTTTTATATTCAAGCACCTGGACAAGTCCTACATTATCATTGAAGTCAATGCAAGTAATGCGAGTTATAGTGCCTCACACGAGGGTAGCTTTTTGTCCAGTTGGATCAATTAACTAACAGAGCACATAAAAACACAATGGTCACGCATTGATGTAGAGGCCATTGCGGGATAGATTTGACAATATTGCAATCATTACACCTATTTGTCCTCGTGGTGCAGCTATTCTAGTCTACAACATCTAGCAATGCAAATTACTGTACTAACCTAAACAGTAACCTCGGATCGCCAAAAGTGTAAGACCATTACACGCACTGCTCTCTAATTAGAACAACATAAGACCCATTTACGATTTCAGAAACAAACACCCCCAAAAATGACAGACCAACATACAGTCTACCGCCTCTCCCACCGCAAAGACTTCTCAGGCATAACCGCACATCAAGAAGACATCCCAACCCCTCAACCCCACGAAGTCCTCATCCAAGTCCGGAACGTCGCCCTCAACTACCGAGACATCAGCATCGCAACCTCGCGCTACGTCTCGCCCGTCAAGGAAAACCTAATCCCATGTTCCGACCTCGCAGGCTCGATCGCCGCCCTAGGATCCGCCGTCACCGACTTCTCCCTCGGCGACCGCGTCGTCGCCGCCTTCGACCCCACGATCCTGTACGGCCCGCGCCAGGGCCTGGGCGCGGGGCTCGGAGGCATGGTCGACGGCGTTCTGCGCGCCTTCGTCGCGCTTCCGAGCACCTGCGTCGTCAGGATTCCAGAGGACGAGGGGGAGCAGAGATGGGGCGAGTGGGCGAGTCTCGTGTGCACGGGCGTCACGGCGTGGAATGCTCTCTTCGGAAACGTGCCTTTGATGCCGGGGCAGAGTGTGCTTTGTCAAGGTGAGGATCCCTGCTGTTCGTTTTATCGTTTCTTTGCAAGTGTCGAGTCTCAATTACGAGAGGCCGGGTGATGGGGTGGAAGAGTTTTGCTGTGGGATTGAGTTGTTGAGTTGCTTTGGGTTAATTGCGTAGGTACCGGCGGCGTATCGATCACCGCGTTGGTCTTCGCGAAAGCGGCTGGGGCGACTGTCATCGTGACGTCTTCGAGCGACGAAAAGCTTGAGATGGTGAAGAGGAGGTTCGGCGCTGATCACACCGTCAACTACGAGACCTCGCCGGATTGGGCCGAAGATGCACTCCGCATCACGAAAGGTAGGGGCGTTGACTTCGTCATTGAGAATTGTGGCTCTGGAACCATTAGCCAAAGTCTCAAAGCAGTCGCATACGGGGGTATTGTGGCCTGTATTGGGTTCTTGTCGCCGGCGAAGCAGGAGGATATGCCGGATGTCGCTAAGCTTGCGTTATTGAAAGGTGCGGTCGTGAGGGGGATTCAGGTGGGGAGCAAGCAGATGCTGGAAGATGTTGTGAGGTTCGTGGCTGCAAGGAATCTGCGTATCCCGATTGATAGGGAGTTCGGGTTCAGTAGGGAGGAGGTTGTTAGGGCGTATGAGTATGTTCGGTCTGGTAAGCATGTCGGGAAGGTGTGCATCAAAGTGTCATGATATCTATCTATTGCATTTTGCGAAAATCAATCCGCGATGTATTCGGTCAGCATGGATAATGAGAGGTGAGTGGTGAGTGATATAAGTAGTCATGTAAGTTTTCATTGAGCAGTCCTGAAACCCGAGTCATAGATCATTATATGTTCTCATTAGATACTATCATGAAGCTCTCTATCGCAATTTGAGTAATACGCGATGTGTATACCTCGAGGCGGGAGATCCAACGTAAAAGAATGATGGTATAGGTTTGTACAACAAATCACGTACCCACCAACGCCAACCCAACATAAAAATCATGAAATCTCTCATGCGGCGGTAGGAACAGTCTTGAGCCCCACATCGCTCATCTGGACCTCCTTGCCCTCCAACACGTCCTTCTCCACAAGATCGGTCAGACCCAAGTACGCGATGTTACCGGTCCAGCCGAGATCAGGACCGAAGTAGTCCTGCATGAGCTGGACGCCGAACTTCATTCCATCCTTGCCGTACGTCAAGCACTGCTTTCCGACAGCGATGCCAATGACGTTCTCGTACGGAGTGAGAGTCGCGAGCTTCAATTTCTCCTCACCTTCCGCCTTCTCGGAGTTAAGGATGCTAGCGTAGACGTTGGCGCTCGCGACCTCGCCCATGTACATGGCTCCACCGGCACGCTTGATGCCAGTCCATGCGACGCAGTCTCCAGCGCCGAAGTGAGCCTCGTGGTTGGGGATCACGTTCTTCATGTGGATTTCGGTCGTGATCATCATCTCCTTGTTCTCGTCGAGAGAATCGGCGGGCATGAAGCCGGTGGTGGGGGATCCCTTGCGGGTCGTGTCGAGTGCGAGGTGGGCGGTCAGGGTCTCGCCGTTGGCGAGAGTGACATGCTGCATGCCGTCGTCGAGGTCGGTAATGGTGGCGCGGTTGCCGAGGACGACTTTGACACCCTCTTCGATAAGAAGGTCCTTGACTTTCTCCTTGACCTCTGAGGGGAGTGGCTCTGAGGATAGGACTTCTTTGCGGGAGTGGACGAGGGTCACCTCGATTTCTGGATAGTAGTTCTTGATCTCGCCAGCGAATTCAATTCCAACGGCGCCTGGATAGTTAGGTCAGTTGTTATGTCGTGATTGAGTGAATGCTCGAAGAATGACTTACCAGCGCCAATGATGACGACCTTGCGGCCCTTCTGTGAAGCCTCGCTTCCACCAGTGATCCTCTTGTGAAGATCCGCTCCGTCCTTCATATACTCATGATAGCTTCCGTACTTTGGAACGGCCGGCCAGTGCCTCTTGAGACCCGTAGACACAATAACGTAGTCATAGCCCTGGTGTTGGGTCTTGCCGCTGCGATCCTGCCATTCTGCGACCTTTGCCTCTGGGTCGATCTTGGTGACGGATCCGTGCTTGAAGGTGAGATCCTTCTGTGATCGGAACTCGTTGATGTGCGAGAATCGCTTCCACATCTTCGAAGTGAACTTTGGTGTCACGTGGGCAAGGGGAGCACCGACGGAGTGGACTAGAATGGTGGTGTGAGTGTCTGACCATCGGTAAAATGGAAAAGCAGGAAAGTTGAAATGGATTTAGACATACAGTAGCCATCGCGAGAATCAATCACGGTGATCTCGACACCGTTCTTTGATTTGGTTCCCTTGAGTCCCTCGGCGTAGTTCTGGTACATTGTGTCCTTGACCTTGCCGTCTCTCAATGCTAGTAGCGTGGTCAGGGCCGTGATGCCAGCATAGGCACACCCCACAATGAGGACTCTGTGCGGCGCGGAGAGCGACAACGATCCCATCGCATTAAGGGAGTTGAGCCCCTCGGCTGAAGTCTGGTATCTCATTTCGAAATATATGAATAGAAAAATAAAACCCGAAAATGAGAATGGGGAGGAGAGAGGAGGAGAAGGGGAGGGAAAGAGAAAGATCTGATAAACTTTATCAGATCTTTCGGCCTATATACGTTTGCCGGGAAGACGCGACTAGTCTCGCTCTAACCGATGTCGGCCCAGAGAACGATGTCATCTGTTGGAACATATTTGTGGAAATGCCGTAATAATGCTAATAAACTGCCTGTAAGACCACACAAACTCTCTTTCCTTTGGAAGTGTCCCATTGTGGTTAATTGCGCCGCGCATCACAAGCACATCACAAGCATCCACAAACCGTCGAAATTGGCCACCCGAATTGGTGGCGGATGGTGATTGGTCGACACTTGCCGTGTGGCACATCACTTCAAAGTTCCCTAATGATGGCAGATTTGTTTTGCAGACGTTTAATATTAACAGCTCTGGTAGGCTATGTTGTTGGTAATGAGATAAAATTACCAGTAGAGTCACTTACGTACCTAGGAAGTCTTGTATTGAGCTGTTACCTTTGAACCCTGTACTGTGTTGTGTAGAAACGTCCCGTGTTGGGGAGAGCTAACAGCCACCCGTAATCTAACCTATCCGGTACCCACCTCGGACTGAAGAATTTTTATCAGATCCTCCCATCTCCTGCAGGCGCGGGCTTGGTCCGCTCTTGGAAGGACCATGATGTTCCCCATGAAAGAGGCTTAGATTGAATAGTAACTAATGATCATAACACTCTCTTATTAACCAGTCACTCAGCTAGTTAACTCAACATCCTCTCTCCTTCCCGCCTCTTCGCTCAGGCCCAGTCTGACCCTCCCAACAGTACGCCTGATTGGAGTGCCTGAACAGATTTGCCCTTTTGGAGGAGCTCCTCCATGATGTTTCTGCCAACATCATATATATGATTTGTGTCACTGTCATTGCTTTTCCCCTCTCTTGGATCCATTTGCACTCTGGACACGTCCAGGTCGGCTCTGTCGGTACTTGCACGTCTCCTCACCGGTTGTTTGATAATGAGCGATATACGTACCCTATGCCGTCATTGGTCGCTGCAATAGCTCTCAAACATTACCATCCTCTGCTAGTCGGGCCCACACTATATCACGTAGCGTATCACCATACCCCTTCCAACCGGATGTCCCTGGAATCAGGATTCTAGAAGACGTATGTCTAGTAAGCTTGGGCTTCGTAACCCCAATAGCGGGGTGTAATTGACGACAGTTCACGGCTATGGTTTCGGAAGGCAACTCAATTGAGTTATGTCTGCTCATTGCAACATACCACAGAGTACAGTTCATTAGAAGAAGATACTATGTAAAACTAAACGAAACCAATACAGCCTAGCAAAGACAGATTGCCCTTGGAAATGGTCTAATTGCTGAAGTTTTCCTTGAAGAACTTCTGCAAGGTCAGCAATTCCACATCTTGACCACTCTTCCCTCTGGCTTCGGCACCGCTCTTCTTCAGCTCGGCCGTAGCCTTACTGTCCGTCACGACACCGTAGTATCGACCACCTGACTCTTGACAGAATCCGAACATATGCTTTACGGTGTCCAATGCACGAATACCATACGTCTCCAGGTCTTTCCACGGAATCTCTTCGAACCGAGCTTTCTTGCCCGTAACTATGGACACTTAGTATATCTAGCGGCAATTGGAAAGTCATCATGATCATCGCTTACCTTTCTCAAAACCCTCAATCATATCTGGCAACGAGGAAATGTCGCTGACACCCTGCACTAACTTGCCATTCCAGCGTTCCGGATCGAGGAAGACGCCATGGACGATGTCTCCGTAGTCATTGGCAATCGCGATGAAAGGAATATCTTCCTTCCCACCCCACGTCGGAGCCTTGAATACCAAAGTACCATCGTCGGATGGCGTGTACGGGAACCCACCGAACACACCCGCCATCTCAGGACTGAGAAAGTTCTCAAAGTACCATCCGGGGGACACTATGGCGGTAGATTGAAAGGCTCCAGTAGACTTGGCATATTCACCAATGGCATGTTTTTCTGTTGAGATATCAGTCTCCCATCATCATGTTCGACCTGCGAAGGCAAAGTGCAGAAACAAGATACATACCATCAAACGCCTGGACAGGAATCTTCCCCTCCGTAGTCTCCCTCGCAGACGCCATCCCACTATAAACAAACACACTCACCCCTGCCTCAACCGCAGCATCGACAACAATCCTCCCAAGATCAAGTTCCGTCCTCTTCTCCTCCGGATTCTCAAAAACCGCGTCGTCGCTGTTAGTGTTCACGAACACGCCCCAGGAGCCTTTGAAAGCCGCGACCAAGGACTCTTTGTCCCATCCATCCGCCTTGACCACTTCGACGCCCGACGAAGAGATCTTGAGTGCGGAGTCGGAGGATGGATTGCGGGTGATGGCACGCAGCTTGAAGGATTTGTTGGTGTTGGATTGTAAGGATTGCAAGACCGACGAGCCTTGCGCTCCTGTTGCGCCGAAAATGGTGATAAGTTTGGATGACATTGTAGTGGAATATTCCAATTGATAGAATTATATGTGTTCAAGTACACAAGTCGTCGTAGATGTGCGAATGGTTTCAAGATGGAAGAGTAGAAGATTGATGTCTCTGTATATCTCCTCCTCGGGATCCACGCATGCCATCTTTATACAAACACTCCTCCCGCCCTCGACCATCCTTCGCAACCCGCGGATTCCATACTAATACCTCCCAGACATCATCAAGTAATTGGCCGCGTATCACCAACGCCATTTCTGTAACCCACCTTCTCGACAGTAGCCATTCAGACGTCCCGAACCAGCCAAAACGCACCCACAGAAGCAACCAGAGCTCACAACCACCGGACGAATCCATCTACAAAACAAAGCCATCAAGCCATCTCCCAGGCATCTACATTTTTCCAATCCTTGGCGATGACCAAAAAGTGCTTATTCCTACCCCTAGAACGACACCTTGTGTTACGAAAGTAGCATGCCAAGAGCGGGGATTAGTAAACACAAGTCGCATTGCTCGTAAACAAAGGGTCCGGCGAATCAGAATACGGGATGTAAGTGGAAATGGTGAGAGTGGTTGTCGAACAGAAGGTGAGATTTATTGTGGCTGGTTGGTTACGTGACGTACGGTTCTGGATGATTACTGATGGTGCGGTTTTGCTCCTCGCTAAAGGGCGGAGGGGAGGGGAGCGATGAATGGGGAAGGTCACGTGAGGTGCTCAGCCTTTGTTCAATGGTTATGGATTATTATGGTCGTTAGGCGGTATGGGGGAGGGGGATGGATAGGTCAGTAGATCAGATATTTGTTCTTCCTGGTGGGACTTCGTTCAGGAGCAGCGCGTTTAAAAAGTGGATTTGGTGAGGGTCGTTGGAGTGAACAGATGGGGGTTTTGACCACGAATTATAAAGGAACGAGAACTTGAGTTTTAATAAAAGTCCAAGTTGCTATGGAAAAGTAGTCATTATACAAACACGTGTGAGCAATGCCAGTGCTGCGACAGGGAATCGCAACCGGCCGTAAGAACGGCCTTCTATCCTATTCCTCGTTATGCGAAACCTCGATCTCGGTGATCGAGAAAAGTAATGCACTCGTGAGATACGCATACGATAGAACAGGGCGAAAACTTCCTGTGGGAATACGTATGCGCATAAAATATGGACGGCAGCCAGCCCTACCAAGGCTGAGTTGGATCTCGCAGGCCCAGAGCCTCAATCCAAGCACCACGTGAACAAATGAACGTTCGCGGTCGTATTGGCTAGCCGAGACTGGGATGATCCAACATAGGAATATCATTCCGTACGGGAAGATTAGGACGAAGGAGCTATAGAAGTGTTTCAAGGTGCTCGAGTAACGGGGATTTGGGAAAGGATGTCAGCATCGAGGCGTGGGATTCGCATGTGGCGCAGCACATCATTCGTTGAGCACGACAAGCTTTTACGGACTTTGGTCATGGAATCGTAAGATCCAATGGTATTGAGTTGTTTATGAGGGGCGAGATGGAGGTTCCATTTCGCAATATTCGTTGGATATGAAACGGGGCGAGAGGCACGCGCCCCCTCCGTTTCCTTCGGCTCGTCAGGCCTATCGTGAGATGCTATGAGGGTTTCTATCGATATAGAGGAGTATGCACCGAACGCCGACGCGCTAGAGTAACTGACTAGTATTCCTCCGGAGTTTTCATGATGCAACTTGATCTTGGCTGTTTACTGGTTTACAGTCGTGGCCCGTAATAGATGACTTTATATAAGAGGGTTCGAAGTGATCTACTAAAACATTAACACAATTAGACATTAACGAAACTTACTTGACGTAAGGGCTTACATTTCTTTAGACTTTGTTTTAGCATTCACTCTTTCAAGATGATCTCGTCTATCTTTCTCTTCACAGTGCTTGAGGCGCTTACTTTGGTCGATGCTAGAGTGCATGGCAATGACCACACCCACCACGCCAGGGCTAACAGTGCGGGCAAAAGGGGTCTCGCCTTCAACGACGCGGGATTGACGAAATTGTTCGAGTCAAACAAAAAGTTTTCCTGGATGTACAATTGGGGCCAGACCGTTACAGATGCTGCTAAGTTTGACTATGTGCCCATGCTGCACAGCAATAAGACCGAGCACACGGAGACCTGGGAAGCAAATTTGAAGACGTCTGTTGATGCGGGAGCTACCCATGTGTTCAGTTTCAATGAGCCGGACCAGTGCGGGTACGTCCCTATCACTCTCTCGTCTATAAAAGGTAGCTAATCTTCCAATAGTGAAGAGTCAGGTGGAGCCTGCATGCAAGACATCGATCTCACTGTCGACACACACAAGAAATACATCCAGAAACTCGCAGAGGAGTATCCAAAACTCAAGCTCGGCGCGCCAGCCGTCACCAACGGCGTCGAAGACGAAATCACCAAGGCCAAGATGGGTATACCGTTCCTCAAAGAGTTCCTCAGCAAGTGCGACGGTTGCAAGATCGATTTCCTCAATGCTCATTGGTACTCTCCGCCTGATGTCAAGGCCTTCCAGCAGCATCTCGTGAACGTCTACGCCGCTAATGAGAATAAGACGGCGATTTGGGTGACGGAATTTGGTGTGACTGGTGATCCGGCGCAGAAGACTGGTGAGCCTGCACAGCAGTTCTTGAAGGAGGTTCTGCCTTGGATGGACGAGCAGGATTGGATTGAACGTTATGCCTACCAGTGGGTTGCACCGGACAGCCTTGTGACTGCAGACGGCCAGCAGCTCTCTCCGTTGGGTGAGGTGTATGCTACAACTTGATAGATGTTATTGGGTCACTCGGCGTACTAGCATAGTTGGCATTTTATTCTTTGCATGACTGTAGAACAGTCGGAGTTTAACATCTAGCGCTAATTTAATTATCCTTTTCGGTTTCAAAATCACAATTGAGCGGATTTGTCAATCCTTTCCAGTACTTACAATCCTCGATTTTTTACCAACTTCTTAGTTACATATTGTGACCTACATTTGAACACGATCAACATTTCCAAGACAGGGAAAAAGTAACAATGAACTTATGTCGTAAAGCTGCACGAGAGATACCAGTGAGAGTCGCTAAATTGAGGAGCGCTACGATGCACCAACAGTCTCATTGAGTCCCAATACAAGCACCTTTTCTTGTCTGAAAAGTTTATAGATAGCTTTCCTTCGTGCCCTTCTCCGCACTTCGATAAATAGCATCGATCATCTTATGTCTCACAAGCGCATCTTCAAATGTCGTAACGGCATGCCCTTTGTCCAATCCAACTTCAGCCCAGGCGTCCCACGCCTTACCCACGTTGTACGAGAAGTCGGCGGCTTTCTCAAACTCGACCGTTTCTAGCTCTTTTTGTCCTTCTGCAAGCTTGACCGTGGGCTGGTACATCTGCACATGGCCACCCATCCTTCCTCCCTCTAGTATGAGTGTGCCTTCTGTACCAATGATCTCCCATACAAAGTCTCGGTTAGTACGGGAGAGACCACCCGCATAGGTGACATTTACAAGGCCGCCGCCGTTCACGAGCTGACCAGTGATGTTGATCTGATCATGTGCTGTCTTCTTAGCCTTTCCTACAGGCTTGCCATCCTTATCGATCAAATCAAGTTCGGGCAAGAGGTTCGCGAGCGTAGCCGAGACATCTTTCAATTCTCCCAGAACGTAACACAACGCATCCACGGCGTGACCAAAGGGAATGGAAAGCAAGTTCGCTCCAGCCTCAATCGGTAGACCATACGAGAATGCATCGTTCATGACAGGACCGAAGATCGCACCGTGGCCGAACATGGTCGAAGTCAAGATCTTGCCTAGCTTTCCTGACTGCACAATCTCCTTTGCTTTCAGAATGGAAGGACTCTGGCGCGCTTGCAATCCCACCATGGTCCTGACGCCCTTCTCCCTCGCCAGTTGCACAAGTTCCTCGGCTTCGGCGAGGTTGCGAGCTAGCGGCCACTCGACGAAAACATCCTTGCCGGCTTCAAGCGCGGGTTTAGCAAGCTTGTAATGCTCAGGAACCTTGACGCTGACGGCGATGATGTCAACGTCTGAGCTTGATGCAAGTTCGGTGGGATTGTCAAAGGTTGCAACGTTGCCCAACGAATACTTTGTCGCAGCGGCTTCAGCTGATGTCTTCGAGCTGTTCTGGAGTGCTGTGATCTTGTATAGCGATGTTTTTTGTAGATACAGCAGGTGGGAGGTTGAAGCCCATGAGCTGTTATGTCATTAGCCTTGCTTTACGATTGGCCAGCTGGGTACCTACCTTTGGGCCGAAAGTCCAATGAATCCAATTCGCTTCTGGTCTGGCATGATATCTTTCTCTTCTTTCTTGGCTAAAGCTTAGATGTAATTCTACGGGTGTAGGAGCGATAGTTAGTAAATATGTAAGAGAGTAGAGAGAATATGAACAACGAATGGCGCAACGTTTGGTAGCGGTAATTTGTCCGACACGTCGTCGCACCAAAATATGTCCGCCTATGTACTACAACAGTCGTGTCGTACAGGGGCATTCGAATTTCCATATAATTGTCCGTATTTCTAAGCGAAGTACCAATTGCACTTGTTAGGGCGTTGTCTACATGTAAATGTGCAATTCTACTATGGGCACTAAGGACAACTAAAATAGTTATTCAACGCTCCGTAAAGTGCCAAATTGCAGTGCTCTATATTCTAAAATAAACCTAATACAACTGCAATAACTATGAGTTAATTGAACGTTTCGAAATTCTATCTTATAACCAGGAATATCATTTGTATACATGTAATTGCTCTCAAGCTTCAAAAGCCTTTCTTACTATTCCGTGAAATATCTCTGGCATTTGTATGGGTGTGATGTGGCCCGAAACAGGCACGACTATAACATTTGAACCAGTCTTGTCTGCCAGAGCCTGCGATTCTTGTGGCACTGTTCCATCTAGCTCACCGGCTATGAAGACAAACTTCGCACCGTGTCCTTTCTTTCCAATCTCTTCAGCGTAGGGATTTAAATCTAGAACTCTGAGTGCGGCAATGCTAGCTTCATAGCCCTCAATGCTTTGATGACAATAGACTTTTTCAGCATGAGCAATTCCGCCTGGATTTGCAGCAGTCCAATCTTCATCAAACCACCGAGCAATGCTTTGCCGTCCAAGCGCATTTGGTCCGTTCTTGTAGCCAAAGTTTATCCTTGTGGTATGATTGGCGTTCGAATCCGGATTACTCGTAGCTCTTGTGCCAACCACAAGAACGCGGTCGACTCGTTCGGGGTGCATCGCGCCGAAGATCAAACCGACTGCTGCACCAATGCTCAGACCTACGAACGCAGCAACTTTATTGACCTTCAGATGATCCAGAAGCATGACGACGTCATTTGTAAGCTCCTCCATAGTGTGCCCAATCGAGTAGTCAAAATTCGGATCGGAACACAAGGGCGACTGGCCGTGGAAGCGAGCATCGTAAGTGATGATAGTGTACTCAGTTTCGAATGCTTCTACAAAATCGTCCCAGAGATGCGTGTTCGCTGCAAGAGAGCTCGAGAGAAGAATGATCGGTTTCGTTCCGTCCAGAAGGCCTCGAACAGAGTAGAAGATGCTGATCGTTGGCTTGATCGATACTTGGACGAAGCCGCTTGATCCGTTAATAATTGAAGGCATGATCAGCAATGAATGGTATTCAGGTTGTAACACTATAGTACGTACGTCTTGCCACAGGTTTATAGATCGTCTGCATTTGAACTATCGTCCAGACAAGGCAGTGAGCAGCTCCACTCTTTCAAACTACAAGTCATTGAATTCTTCCTAGCAATGGGGGCTCAAGGAGTCATTCCCGCACAGCTAATCGCTACATCGCACGGCTTTCGTAACTGGGTGGTAGCACTGATGCAGCGTACGTACAGTTGCAACTCAATTAATTCGGTTAACAGCGACCCGACACCGAAACGCTAGGCATTTCGTTCAAATGTCCGATATTGGGGAGATAAATGATAGTTGGGGCAACGGAGACCCCAGATTCGGACCCATAATTAGCTAACTGCCGAAGCGCGATGTTCTAAGCTGTCTCTCGCTTTAGCTATCGGCCCATTCTTATCAAGCTACGGAGCTAATTATTTATCTGCTCATACCAGGACTGATTTAGGGAATCTTGGTGTCAATGGTATTACACAGCACCGGCCGGCGTCCACGCTGCGCTTTCAAGATGGAAAACACTTCTGCTTCATGACATTAGTAGTCTAGATAATTCTTCAAAAGTGTTTTGCGATGCCAGCGCAACCATCCCGAAAGGGATACAGAGGGAATTCATGCCATCAATGTCATAAACAAAAAATCAAGTGTTCGCGAGGTATTTCCATGCCGTAAATGTTACCCATAAGAAGTGGCCCTGACTTCCATCCAGACAACCCATGCCGGAATTGTGCCTTAACCAACAGGGTCTGCACATATGCTGTTCGGGATAAGAAAGTCACAATACCAGAAAGCTATCTGCGAAGGCTTGAGAATGAATTGCAGAACTCCAAAGTTGTGCATTCTAATACTGGACGATCTGCAGAAGAGAGTTGTGCCCCCCTTCCGCGTAGTGTTCAGTTCATAGACGAACGTAAAAGACGTCGACCTTCTGTATCCGCCGTTGAGAACTCCACAGCACAATTGTTCGTGTCAAAGTTGAAACAGATTCAGAGTTCTACCTCCGGTCTACACTTGTTTGGCAGTAACTCGGAGACTTCTGGTCCCTCGAATGGTGACCTTGAACGAGATTCGGTAGCCTCAAAATATGAGTATTTTGCGCTCGACTCCGACACGGCCCGTATGTTCTACGGCAGATGCACCAGATCGAAAATGAGCTTACCTGACGATAGATGCAAGATGTACATTTACCCTCCCACCGTATCCTTATGCCTTGTTCCTGCTCGAACAATTCTCTATATATCTAGGCCAAGATTGGCATTGGTTTTGTCTACGAACATTCCAACACCGGTTGCACAACACGTACATGATTGCGCATTCTCTCGAGTCGAAAGATCGGACATGGCTTTGTCTCTTACTTGTGACCTTGGCACTTGGAGAATCCGTAAATGCAAGTCGAAGGCCTCAAATCACGTTAGATCTCAACGGCCAAAGCTCACAGTTGATGGAACATGACATTGGTGCCTCACCGTCGACACCTCCTCCAGGAAGCGAACTCTTCGAGCAAGCATTGAAATTATTGAGTACACCTTTCGAGAGTGCTTCCATTGAGCATTTGGAGGCATTGAACTTGATTGTGAGTATTCGCAACGTAATGTAATAATAGAATGGCACTCATTTATTACACCAGGTGCTGTATAATTATCAACTTAACAGAAAAAGGACCGCATACATGTATGCAGGCACAAGCGCAAGACTATGCAACATGCTCCAATTACACCAAATACCTAAAGCATGGGAATGCTCAGCTGTAGAACGAGAGCACAGGAAACGTCTCTGGTGGTCAACGTTCTGTTTAGATCGGATGACCAGTTCTCAGGGCGGTCACTTACCAGCGCTCCAAGTGGACCAAATTAATCTCGAATATCCCTCTCGGATACAGCCTGCTTCAGAAGACGACAAGGAGTTCGCTAATCCAGACTATCTTTCAGCTCGCGTTCAATTGACGATTCTGGAAGCAGAGAATTCTGATAGCGTCTCTGGTTCCAGTAATGATGATGCACACGACATTGCAAACATATATCGCCCGATGCTATCGAAGCTTTGCAGTTGGAAGCAAAGTTTACCAGTCCCACTCTCGTCGGATATCGACAATGGCATACCCACACTAACAGGGTCCCTTCCTGATACACGCGCATTGGCGAACTTCCATTTACGATTCAATCAGGTAATGCATCTTTCTATATGATGCAATTCTTTAACGCACATGTGTCATCTGACGGTCTTTAGTGTCTAATACTCTTGCTACGGCCACTTCTTCTCAGACAAATAGCCTCAATATTTTCCAACGAAACATCAAATGCATCACAGGAGGAATTGCTGGAACTCAATAGCACGTGCCTCAAATCTGCACGATCAAATCTGCGAATCTCTCTCGATGTCAGAGCCCACAGTCTACTGGGTAAGTCCCGGCATCCAATTGATCCCCTAAGCGCATTCCTTAACTGACAAACATTATCAAGTGCCCTTGGGATTTATGGAAAATATGCATCTATTCACAAGTTTAATGATCTTATATTTAGCTATCTCCATCAATATCAGGCGCCCTGGCTCATTCCACCAGATCTCTGAGGATGCCAGTAAATACGAAGAAGGAAAAGATTTACTGCGGTACATGATGCAATCAGGAAGTTTCGCGGCGAAAGGCCATTTAGCTATGCTCAAAGACGTGGAAGACCTAGGTGATACGATTGCAATGGAAGGTGGGATGCGTTTCAATCAAGAAGGGGAGCAATGGGATGTGGACGAGTGGATGTTACAGCTTTTTCAAACTAGCAGCTCTATAGAGCACATGGTATCCTAATCAACTCTTACAATGTAATCTATATAGATTTAGAGCACTAGCATTTATTATTCACGATTCACCCTTGAAGGACATCGACAGCCGCCACTTCAGTTACCCCAATTACTGTGTCTTTCGTGATGACCTGTTCTGCACTCTCTTGGAAGACAGAAGCATCCCTTATACCCTGAGCATCTGACGCGGGGCCATTATTGACGATAGCTTCATAGTCGAATGGTCCATCAATCAGCCTTCCATCGTAGAGACCTTTCTGCCACCTTTCAAAGCCCTTGCGGCTGATAACCGGAGAGGTCCACATGCCAGTGCGACGATACAAGTTCGCTAAGTCGACCGCAACATCAGTTGGAAGTTTTGGGAAGATTTCCGCCAGGTCGCTCCGAAAGAACTCCGCATCGTGTTGCATGATCAAGTCAATGGCCTTGCCGAGAGCGATACAGAAACGTCTCTGTGCGTCAATCACTTGAGGTGTTGTACTCGCAGTTTCGCGATAGTAGACGCTCCATGGGATCTCGCCTCCATCTGTGGTCATCTCCATTGCGATGGAAAGATCTGGATCCGCCGCTGCCATCAATCGAGCGGTTACATTGTCGACCACGAAGTAGTCGCCCATTCCTCCTTTGAACAGCTTCCCAAGCATCAGGCCGTCGAGATCCTGCACATAATGTACTGAGTGTGGATCAATACCTTGCTCACGCAAGAGCATCTTAAAGAAAAGCCCTACGCTTGCACCGTTGCCAGACTTCATCAGAACTGTCTTCCCAACGATATCTGATGGTTTGAATCCAGAAGAACTGCCCCTTTTGATCAGAGCTAAAGGACACCGGTTTGCGACCTGTGCGAAGGCTGTGTAACTTGTCGATCTGTTGCGATACATCGAAGGCACCCATATTCCTCCGAGGGCTGCACTTGCTGTGCCGTTTGCGAGCTCATCCAAAACCAGATCCCATGGGCTGGGGACTGTAACTGTGACATTCAGTCCTTGCTCTTGAAAGAGGCCATGCCGTTGAGCAATGTATTCTGGCAAGTAATTCAAGCTGTGACCGGTGGCAGAGACGTGGAAGCGCTCCATAGTTCTGTCTTGAGACATAATCGATTGACGGGTATGTTGTGTCTCGTTATTGCAACTTTTCAAGTTAAGGACTTCTCAATTTTGCTTCGTATTAAAGCAAAGCAGGGCGATGATGACCATATCGTGCCCACTGAACGCACACGAGGAGCCCCATAATCAGACTGAGTGACGCTAGGCTTTGCAAGCGGAATCCCGAGTGGATCCAACGGAAAACACATCAAATCTCCAGGGTCTACAAACTAGGGAATGCTTGTGTTGACTTTCTCGGTTTGTTCACCGGCATGATCTGCTTTTGCGCCGTGTGAAAGGGCCATAGGAGAACCGTTTTCCTATTCCCTATTTCCGGACAGATTGCGCATGTAAGATAGGCGATTTTACATCGTCTTACCTAGCGCATCCGTTCGCTATTGCGCGTAATCGCACACTAATCTCAAACAAATGTAGGGGAATCCGAATCTGTAACGCTAATTGTCCTCCTTAGCTTCGTTTATGCACAATTCAACCATTCCCCCAAGCTGCCGTGTTCCTGAGCGTAACGATAAGCGCAATCATCAGGTGTTCATACCATCTTCACTACAGGTTGCCCTTTGCGCTCTATGGGATGCCTCGACTACATTTATTGATCATGAAGACGCAACAGTTTTCGCTACCAGAAAAAAAAATTGTCTCTTGATTGTGCATATTTTCAAGCTTCTGCCGCTGGCATCGCCGAAATTAAGAAAGCCAGCTATTCGAGGAGACCACCTCGACCATGAACGAAACAAAGAACCCCACGCTCGTCGACGAAACCAATACTTCGGTTCATTCGAGTCCAGATGAGAGATCATCACCCACAGAACTCATTTATGTTGATCCCGAGAAAGAAAAGGCCGCACTGAGAAAATTTGACAAGTGGCTTGTTCCAGTTGCATTCGTTTTTCTCGTTCTCTCATCTTTGGATCGAAACAATGTGAGTAGAACTAGATGTATTCAAATGATATAGGACACTGATTGCAGAGTAGATCGGCAATGCGAAGACGTTCGGCTTCGAGAAAGACATTGGACTCTATGGACATAGATTTGGTAACATAACGACGTTGCTGAGTGTTACTCTCGTGCTGTTTGAGGTTCCATGGGTAATGGCCGTCAAGAAGTTTGGACCCAACAAAGCACTCGGCACTGCACTCGTTCTTTGGAGCATGGTCACTTTGGGCACTGCTTTCATCCAGAACTACGCCCAAGCTATCGTTGTGCGGATGCTCTTGGGCGCATGCGAGGCTGGAGTATCCCCCGGATTCGCCTATCTTTTTTCGACAATTTATCCTCGCCGTGCGGCCGGAAAGCGTATCATGATGACCAATCTCGCAAACTGCACCTCTGGCGCCTTTGGTGGTTTGTTTGCCTATGCTGTCCAGCTTATGGGGAAACGTAGAGGGCTCGAGCCTTGGAGATGGCTTTTCATTGTCGAATTCTGCCTTACCATGGTAGTAGGTGGCGCATGCTGGTTCATTCTCCCAGACACGCCCGAAACAGCATGGTTTCTGAGTGAGGAAGAAAAGGAGACTATGGTGTTGAGGAAACGTCGGGACGAGCAATACAGAGGCAACAACGATTCCCTCCGTAAATGGCTCAAGCCTTCCTTCACGGATCCCTTCGTATATCTTCTCGGTATCGCATTCTTCACATCTTCCGTTGCCATTACGGGTTTTGGCATCTTTCTGCCTACGATTTTGCAAGGCCTTGGGTGAATTCTCCAATTCAGTTAAATTTACGCGTCTACTGACCTATGCCAAGATACCACTCTCTTCAAGTCCAATACATGACCATTCCAGTCTATGTCTTGGGCGCAACTTGTCTAGTGACAAATTGTTATTTCTCGGATAAGTTCGCGCGTCGTGGACCATTCTTGGTTGCCTGCGCATTCCCAGTCATGACTGGCTATTTGATCTGTGTCGGAACATCCAACCCCCATGCAGGATATGCTGGAATGTTCATTCTCGTCATGGGTAAGTTGCCTCCAATTCCGACCGTCCAAAAAAACTATCTAACATTCATTTAGGAGTATATACTATTTCGACTCTGGCAGTTGCTTGGATAGGCACGAATGTATCTCCCGATGCAAAGCGTGCTGTTGCGATGCCCTTTGCCTACTCGATCGCAAATTTGTCGGCTCTTGTGTCAGCGCAGCTCTACCCTAGCGACCAAGGCCCTCGTTACATTCAAGGGAATTCTATCTCAGCAGGCCTCGATATTGTTGCTGCTGGCCTTTATTTTTCATGTTGGATGTTGCTTAGGCGTAGGAATTTGAAGAAGGATAAGGCGATCGCTGAAGGTGCAACGACCAATGGCTATGAGGACGACCGGGGACTTGACTTCAAGTATATGTTGTGAGAGATTAAGTAATCTAAATGTACTCGTGAACCGGCGACTATGGTAAAGTAGTAATCGGTGTGGTTTGTTGGTAGTATTGTTTGGCAATATTGTAGTTTGATAATGTAGTTTAAGAATAGTATTCACGGTGACCCAGCTACGGTCTGATGGCTATTATTTTTATGCTAGAGACATTACAGCCTTGCATGGGGCATAGCGATTAAAAACCAAGGTCTCAATACATGTGCTAATATGGCCAATGCCCCACAATCTAGTCCTACTATTTTGATGTATAAGATGTGCTCACTCCCTGCCTTTATTAGCAGTGCACACCGGTACGGATCTCATTATAATTTTACTTTCTTTAATCCCACGATCCGACTTAAAATACTTGAACTCAACTGAAACGTCTCTAAACCCCGAGCCAAAGCAAAAGAAGTCACACAATGTTCTATCTCGACCCTCCCATACGAATGTCTGCGCGTCTGTTCACAACCATACCCAAGGAATTCTCAAAACCCCAAACGAGCGAATGGGCTTATCACAATATGCGCGATAGAGCCATTGGAAGCTTCCTGGAAGGCCCCTGTTTCGATGACCTCGGTAATCTCCTTGTGACTGACATACCCTTTGGCCGAATCTTCCGCATCTGCCCTCAAGGCAATTGGAGTCTTCTTGCGGAGTACAAAGGTTGGCCTAATGGTCTTAAGCGCACCACCGATGGTCGAGTCTTGGTGGCAGATCATTTACTGGGATTAGTCGAAATCAAAGAGTCCGGGGAGGCAGAGGTGGTGTTGAGTGGATATCGAGGAGAACGATTTCGCGGCCTCAATGATCTTACCATTGGGGCCAATGGATGGGTGTACTTCACCGATCAAGGACAATCCGGGCTACAAGAGCCAAATGGCTGCATCTATCGGTGGCATACAACTTCTCAGCGACTAGAAAGAGTAGCATCAGGCATTCCAAGCCCCAATGGTCTGGCTCTGAGTACTGACGAGACACGATTGTTCGTTGCCGTGACAAGAACAAACACAATCTGGCGCATTCCTTTTGTTCTCGACGGAGGGGTTAGTAAGGTTGGTGTTTACTTGAATCTTTCAGGTGGTAACGGCCCCGATGGACTTGCTATTGATAATAATGGAGGTCTGGTAGTGGCACAGCCGGGACTAGGAGTACTGCGTTTTGATTCTCGGGGCATGTTAACACACGTCATTGAGCTTCCTGATGGAGCTTCATGTTCCAATATCGCATTTGAGGGAATGGGAAGCAAACGCATGGTGATAGTAGACAGTGCTTGGGGCAATATCTATGAGATTGATATGCCTTTTGCAAGCGGCATCACTCATGATGCAAGTTGAATGGTTTTACTATGAAGCAATACATTCCATATTACAACACACAGTGTTTAGCTATCTTTTCAGCAACAAATTTGTTATCTCCTCTATGTCTCTCATGAATATAGCAAGACATCCTAAAATGGGAAGTAGTCCCGTCTCACGACATCTCGCCTCATGTATTCCACTAACCGGTTGTGTTAATAATTATCAATTCAGTAGTCGTAAGGGTCTTCGGCGATTTCTTATCAAACACCGAAGCCACAGCGGAACACCCTTGCTTAAGATCACTAGTGCCTCAAATGACCATTCCGAGCCGCTAAACCGGTGATTTTTGGCCATGGCCGATACCAAGTCAATGTATACTGTAGACGCTTTGGAAAATGTAGTTCCGAATATATGATTGCGATATACATAAGAAATAGGCTTCACATACTCTACACAATCAAGTCGTGCAAAGCAGAGAGTGGAGTGCATTCGCCCAATTCTGATTCTTACAGACACTCAAGACTACTTTGAACTTGTTCTCTTTTTCCACACCAAAGCGACCGAATTCAAGCCATCATAATAGCAAAGCATTCAGCGTTCGAGTGATCCTAAAAAGATGTCAAACTCTGTTGACACTGCTCGACCTCGCGACTTCATTGGATATGGAGAGAACACACCTGCTTTTAGCTGGCCTGGAGGCAAAAAGGTTGCCATAAACTTCGCTATCAACTATGAGGAGGGTACTGAGCGCAACCCACTTGCTGGTGACAGTGCTCGTGATTCACGGACTTGGGTGAGAAGTGCGCTACCAGAGAACGAGCGCGATCTCATGCAGGAGGGTGAATATGAATACGGCACTCGCGTCGGAATATGGCGATTGCTGCGCATTTTCACCGAATTCAACGTTCCGTACAGTGTTTTCTTGTCATCAGAAGCATTGGTGGCCAATCCTCCATTCGCAGAGAAGTTGAAGACCGAAAACTGCGACATTGTTTCTCATGGCACGCGGTCGATTAGTCGCGTTGGACTCACGGAAGACATGGAGAGGAAAGATCTTCGCCAATGCATCGACCAGACATTGGAGTTGACGGGAAAGAAGATCTTAGGCGCGTTTCCGAGGCCACCTATCACTGAGAATAGCCGACGGGTTATGGCTGAAGAAGGCCTTCTATTCGACTCAGCTACCTCGAATGACGACCGCCCGTACTTTGCAGATGTTTCTGGTCGACCAATGTTGGTTCTTCCGTACGCTGTAGACACCAATGATGCACGATTCTGGGGCGGACAATCTGGCCCTGGGTTTACTGGCTCCACGGATTTCTTTGACTACCTGAAGGACGCTTTTGACGTTCTGTATAGAGAGTCGGATCATAGTGCGACAATGATGTCAATAGGTCTGCACGCACGGATAATGCGACCAGGACGCGTTGCTTCCCTGATCCGCTTCCTGGAATATGTCACCAAATTTGACGGCGCATGGATTGCTAAGCGCAGTGACATAGCAGCGCATTTTGCTCGAAAGTTTGCGCCGGCGAATACCTGGAATTTGGAGGCCATACCAGACCTTCCCTGATCAAAGGTTCTGTTTGGGGTCATTTTGTACTTATATTTTAATGTATTTTTGAAATAGCTGTATCTATGGTCAAACGATTCAGTCGAGGTAAAGTTTACTCCGCCTTGTTCCCAATCTGTTATGGCTTTACTTTGTGAGTACCATGCATACATAGTACCATAGCAATGACCCTGATCCAAGTTTAAATAAAGCTTATTTTCATTCTTTGGTCCTCCATGCTCTCAATGGATGCACACTTTCTATTTCAAGACAGATCTATACAACTTAACAATGCAGAAATCAATGCTTGAGAAAAAAGCAAAGAGGACGTTCAATTTTCATCGTACAAGTGGAGCATACTAGTAAACGCTACTTTTTCTGCTATATGCTGATATTTCTACCCTTACTACAGCACCTATGAGATCTAGACATGCATTTTACAGCTAATCTAATCATAGATAATGTAGATTATATTGTGGACGTAAGACATACATTGTAGCCCTAGAGATGCTGCGACAAGTTCCGACCAGCGATGAGATTAGATTGACCAGGCCTAACAAGAAATGGATATTGAAGCACATCACGCAAGGACTAAAGGGAGCGAATATAAGGGATTGATTGTTTCATGTATTAGGAATGTTCCACCGTCCACACTAGATTGTATTGAAGTCTCTACGATTACATTGTGTTGCAGCTGCTAGAACTACTGGCATTGTAGATCCGTGACACTCGGCCATGTTCTTGCGTCGCATCTGATTTGACAGGCAACAGGACAGGTTCTCATCAAGACAAGAAAGGCTTTACCAGCTCTAGAGACTTCTCCCATAACAACCGTTCCTTCTCCTCATCATAGGCATGCGGCGCATAGCCAGGATCAAACAGATCTTCAGTGGGCTTTGCTGGCTTCGAAATCTGGGCGTCTTCAAGGTAAAGACCACCCTTTCCTTCCAAAGCCTTTGCCGTGGCTGCCCAAACCGACGTAGCCGCGCCCTGCTCAACACTCTTCGTATGGGTTGCAGTTTTCGGGTTATCTGCCCAGGACTTCAATGCTTCTTCGGGTAAAAACTGTGACAGGCCTGTCATGATCACGCCCGGATGGACTGAAAATGCATGGACCCCCTGTCCCCCGTATCGACGTTCAAGCTCGGAAGCGGTATACAGATTGGCGGTTTTGCTCTGGGCATAAGCAACCCATGGATTGTACTTTCCCTCCAAGTTGAAGTCGTCAAGGTGGACACCCCCCATACGATGAGCTGAAGAGGAGAGAACCACGACGCGCGACTGGAAGTCAGGTGTACTCGACTTGACCAGCGCTGGAAGCAGGAGTTGGATCAACAAAAAGTGTGCAAGATGATTCGTGCCAAATTGCAACTCAAAGCCATCCTCAGTCCGACCTTCTGGGCTCGCCATGATGCCTGCATTGGCGATCACGATGTTGAGCTTATCGGATTCTTTCAAGAATTCAACGGCACATTTGCGGACGCTTGCTAGCGAGTTGAGATCGAGTTCCAGAAGCTTAGCACGAGGATTATCCAAGATGCTTCCGAGGGCAGACTTTGCCTTGGTGAGGTTTCGTGCAGTGAGGTAGACTGTAGCACCAGTTTCCAAGAGAACCCTGGCGGTTTCAATTCCAATTCCAGAGGAGGTACCCGTAATCAAGATGGTCTTGTCAGACCACTTTCCCTGAAGCTGCTCGTCCTCAAGGATCTGCTGGGCTGTGGGTCGAGCATCACCGGGACCATTGGGAGCCTGGTGGGCGGCTTCATACTTTGTAGACATGTCGACAATTTGGCCGAAGGGTTTTGTTGGAGGGTTTTGTTTTTGAATGGAGGATGCTGTGTGAGAAGATGATTGTTGTTGTGTGGAAAGCAACAGAGGCGTCTATTTGTATTTAAATAGTCGTTTTCATCTACAGATACTTTGTGCGTCTTTGGTCCGCGTCTATTTTCCATAGATCAAAAACGTCGTACTACTCATGGCTTGATTGACCTTCACATCTATGCTAAAACGGGGTTGGATCAGTAAACTGAGTATGCGCACAACAAAACACCACAATCTTGAGTTGGTCCACTACATTCGTTCCAGTCATTTGTCCACTTATCTCCGAGGCCTCTTCTGGCTTCGTAATACATCTCAGCTGACAAATGTTTTCAATGCGCGAGATTGAAGAGAAGTTAGGTTTGGCTATAAAATCCGGAGACTTCAACTTCAAAACTCATGAAGCTAGTCCTATTGAGGAAGTCACTTTCGCCAAGGCGACCTAGTCCGACTAAGCTCCTGTACTATGGAAAGGGCCCTGTTTGTGACAGATCGTGGAGACATGCTACGCCTTTCCATCTGGCTACCGTCTCGGAGTCTCGGAGTATCCGAGGTGTGTACGCTGCGGTCGACCTCAGAAGAAAGTGGAACAATTCGCTACAGGTGAAGAGTAGATTAAGCTGTGAGTTCGAACGCAAAGATCATTAGCTCCATCAACAAAAGCGCGTGAATACTAGCATCGATAAAATCGTTCAAAAGGTAAATGGGATACACTCAAGTATATACCAAGCGTAGCAATCTCAGAAAGTGCACACTTGGTAACAACATTAAAAGGCTGTAGCAATAGGTCTGATCACACGAAGATGCTAGGCGCAAATGACAATGTTATGTTGCTTCGCCATTACATGAGCTATCTCGTTGGCAAAACGTGAACTGATGCTTCAATATCAGCCGTGCTATCTACCAACGGAGTATCGCAATATCAATCTGATGTCCATGATTATAATCGGATTAATCGTATTGAGCCAATCAACTTACATGCTGGCTCTTCTACAGCCAATTAGAAATGCGTATTTGCCCTCATCCGGAACCAATCAGAAGGCTACCTTCGTCCAGGACACTGCTTCGTACACTGTAATTACCTAGGCACACTGTGCGCAATTCAGTGATTTAGGTTGACATAAAAAGGTTGATGCTTCGTTCTTGCGTCAATCATTGATAAGCTAGTCGGTTTTAGGAACTCAAATTCGCCAAGTCCATGAGTAATTGATTTCACCGTAGCTCCGGCCAAACTAGACACTTTCGGTTCAATTCTGAGACCTTGGCGAAATATGGCTCCTTGAAGAGTAGCAATCATGATATCGGCTGTACAGGTGCAGTCACTTGCAGCTTCCGGCTTCCGCGATGAGGGCAAAAAGAAAGAACGTTTGTCAGAATTGTAGAGCCAAAAAGCTCGCGGTAAGTTCTTCTGACGTTTACAAATCACATGTGTGGGTTCATCCGCTAATGACCTATTGAAGTGCGACGGCGCTCAACCAGAATGCTCACAATGCATTTTTAGGCAGATAGGTTGCAGCGGATACAGACAAGAATTTGTTTTCGTGTCTAACGGTGCTTATAATTCCAATGTTCACGTAAAATCAGCGAAGAGAAAGGAGGCCGGACCTCCCGAACTGGTTCCCTTCTTCGATACGCCGCAACTAGACTTTATACAACCCAGTCAAAGCGCATTTGCTTCAAGCGGAACCGATCCTGTTCTCCCCAATAGCAAGGGTACTTTTGAAACAACGAGATCTGATTATAAAATCCAAACAGATATTCAGTTCATTAAGAAACAGTACGAAGTTATTGATACTTCAGCCCTAGGGGAGTTCAATCTCTCGCAGAATCAGATTTGTGGAGCTTGGGTGGATGTTCTTCCACTTGTAGTTGGTAAAAGAAAAAGAGACGAGCCATTGTTGTCAGCAATTGGGGTAATGGCTACCGCATTCCGGTACTTGGCCGGCAAGGAAGAGTTGTCACAGGACCAAGTTCTTGACTTGTACTGTGAATCACTCCGGAATGTGGGCAAGGCATTGGAAGCAGCTCACGGTGTATTTCAAATGGAGCATTGTGCTGCTATCATGTGTTTGGCGGTCACTGATGTAGGTTCTGATGCCTCCATATCATTTGTTGGATGTATGCTAATACATTGCTTGTGTAGATTGTTAGCCCAAAGTTGAAATCTGGTTGGATGACACACGCAAAAGGTGTAGGAGATATGATGGAGGCTCTAGGGCCAGCCTCTTTCCGCACTGGCGCTATGCATACTATTTTTGTAGGCTTCAGACCCCTGCTGGTAGGTCACGAACAATAGCTACTTTCTGCATGCAATAAGCACAGTACTGATTACTTTGGGAGCTGTTCAGGTAATAAGTTCGATTCTTACCCGTCGAAGAACGTTTCTTGCACGAAAAGAATGGAATATCAAGGCTTTCGATGAACGACCCGTATCCATATTGCAGCTACTACTAGACAAGGCCTGTGAGCTCCCAGAACTATTAGAAAGATACCACGGGATCAGTGACATATCATTACCCTCAAACCTTTCTGCTGTCGAACAGCTCTGGTATGACTTTCACGATCTCCTAACAAGTATTCGGAAATGGGCACGGAAGTCACATTCCGAAGCTTCGCATCCGTTGTTTTGGTCAAAGTCTAACCCTAGGCTCTGCTTATCATCAAGTGGGGACGCTATTTGGTTCCCTAACATGATGACAGCAAACAGCTTGATGCATTATTGGGCCCTTGAGATTGTGATTCGGACGTATCTCAACCATATGCACAAGATTCTATCCACAGTCAGGGGAGATGATTGGCAAACTCCCATACGTACATGTACGGAAACCTTTGAGGAATATTCACTTGTAAAATTGGCAGATATGATCTGCGACAGTATATCATATCTTCTGCAGCCAGAATTAAAGGTCCATGGACTGGGTTCTGCGTTCTTTGCTCTTCCTACAGCTTTACGAATCTACGAACAGGAGCAAAGTCTCGAAAGGAGCCAATTGGAGCGCTATGAGAAGATTCCACAAATACTAGCAAGCAAGGGGATGTACTTTCCTTCCAATTGGTATTCATCAGTAGCAATCAAGTAATTCATTAAAGGGATTTTTGATATGATTGGCGAGAATGTAAGAACTTATGTGCAATGTACAACAGACTAACCACTACTGTCTTAAAAAACACATTCAATAATTATTTTTGAATCAATGGAATTGATCGGGAAAGAACTGCATTACTCTCTCACTCCAGTGATCGATCAATCAAGAATGACTTTTGCAGATCCTTTTTAATATCACAAAGCATCATACTTGTACCACGTTTCAGAAAAGGACATCCAAATTGTATCCGTGCAGGCTTGAATGTAAGTAGCAGGTGATAGTGGGTTTCAATACAAGACAACGACTTAGTAGTCGATAGTAATACCTGATGTATTTGACAAGGAATTGCGAAATAAAAGGATACACAGTAGGTAACCCTCTATCGCCGCAAACGGAAACTTCTCATCCAAGGCCTGATTGAGACTAAGCACGAAATTGATCTTCAGCCTCATGAAGCTTCTGTCCGGTTCTGGTTCCCGTACTTCTTCAGGAATGCAAGCTTTCAGGGTCCGAGTCGGCCGCACTGTGCTATTGGAAGCTAGCGGACGCCTCCCCACCTTGTCCGAAGCGAAGGCTCTCCACCACCATGTCCGACCTTGTGCAACCTCACCTAGCTCTAACGCTGAATGCTTAATCAACGATTAGACGCCAATCAGAAATTAGATCCCTTTCGTGTTCAAATGAAATAAGCTGATTGGCATGATCGCCCTGGAAGATACCGCATTGAATGCATTCTTATCATTATTCAAGTACTCGTTTTGTGTCGACTCTTTTAGGCGGACGCCATAACTGGGTACTGCTTCTTTTATGTTTCCGGATTCATCACAGGTCGAAGAAAAGAAAACGAAGTAAGTATAGACGATGCTATCGCCATCTAGGGAGATCAATATTCGCCCAGCTTCAGCTCCAGGTATAGATCTTAGGTTGGCTGCGATTCTAAATGTAGATAACAACTTGAGGATAGTCGAATGTACATTGCTACGTATTAGTAGCACATACTGAGATGGCAGCGCTGACTCCGAACGGATGTGTTATCGATGATCTTTCCTGAACAACACATTTCTACCAAAGTTGAGTCTGTGTGGATCCGACCTCCTGTCCGAAAGATCGGCTATGGTCGTGGTCGTGGCGTGCCAGCATGCTAATGAGCATGTTGTACCACGTTCTTACAGCGAATAAGAAGATCCGTAGATCGCGATTATTTACGCACATCGATCATAGCTATCTCCAATGTCAACTTATGCAGAACACGGCATAAGCAATGGGCCAATGATCGAATTTACCGGATGTAGCCAGCACAATGGAAGAAGCCATACTTTGTGTGTTTAGCTGGTGAGCACATCTGCATTGGGGTATAAGAATCCGCAATTCCATTGTTTCTCAAGTAACCATGCCCAACACCAATTTGAAACCTCTCCAACCAATTCCTGAAATTGTCCCAACTATGGCGGAAATGCAACCTGAAATACTCATCCCTGGCACTGAGCGTATGGGTGAAGATGGCAGGGAGAAGAAGGCATTAATTCCCCATCCATCTTCCGATCCACAAGACCCCCTCAATTGGTCAACGACATGGAAACGTAAGCTCTTGTTGAAACCACAATTAACAATTTACTAATCCAGAATTAAGTCACTGTAATGGCCAGTCAATGGCTATTTACTTGGATTTCAGTGACAGGTGCACTGTCGATTGCACCTATGTTCCCATTGCTCGGCAAAGAGTTCCATTTGAATAACTCTCAACTGTCGATGCTCACTGGCATCACCGTTATCACCCTTGGCTTCGCCAATTTTTTCATTGTCCCGCTCAGTAACATCTTCGGTCGTCGCGCAGTGAGCTTGGCCTTCTCTGTGTTGATCATGCTTACCTGCATCTGGGAAGCTCTGGCGACATCTCATCGTAGTCTCCTTGCAGCTCGCGCACTCAACGGTCTTGTTTGTGCCACGAGCGAGTCCATCCCTGTACAGATGATCGCCGATGTGTTCTTCCTGCACGAACGTGGATTATGGACTGGAGTGTATTTGTAAGGTCTTGAAAGTTTCCTCAGGTATAGCTACTAATAGGTGGAACAGTACTGGATATTTCCTCGGTGCCTTCCTTGGTCCAGTGATGAGTGGATCAATTGCCGCCCATCATGGCTGGCAATCCTTCTTTTGGCTTGAAACAGGATTGTCTGCCTTTGCCATTTTCATGATTGCCCTCACTTTCCCCGAAACCAAGTATCATCGTCAAAATAGATCATCAGAGCATGCTCTTGCTTCTGAGTCATCTCTTCGGGCAAGCGAGAATGGAAGCCCCAATGATGGCAGCGAGGCTGAGAAGCAACTGACCCAAAGTCGAGTCGCAGATTCAGAGAACAATTCCATCACAACACCCCCTGTCGGACAAGGCCGACCTTCCCGTGAGCAGTTCAAGTTAATGCAGAAAGCCGACTCGCGGTGGAAAGCATTCATCGTACGCGACACATGGACTCCCATCAAGGTCTTCTTCAACCCAATCATCTTCTGGGCTGGGCTTATGCTTGCTGGCCCCGCTGATCTAGTCCTGTTCTTCAACATTACCGAATCTGTTGTTCTTGCTGCACCACCTTATAATTTCAATCCCCAACAGGTCGGCTATACCAACTTCGCATTCGTCGTCGGAGCGGTTCTTGGCCTTGCTACCGCCGGACCATACTCGGACTTCGTTGCTGCGCGCGCGACACGTCGAAATAATGGCATCCGAGAGGCCGAGATGCGTCTCCCTGCTATGACGTTCTACATGGTCATCACAATGCTTTCGCTCATCCTCGGCGGTATTGCTTATCAGTACCAATGGGCGTGGGGTCACATCATCGTATGGGGCTACGGATTCGCCGGTCTCTCAGTCACAACCGTCCCAACTATCTGTATTGCCTACGCCATTGATTGTTACAAGCCGATCTCCGGAGAGATCATGGTTGTCGCGACAGTGTGCAAGAACTTCATCGCCTTCAGCTACAGCTATTGGGTCTTCGATCTAGCGCATACTAGCAAGGACGGCTGGATCACCCCAGCTATGGTTATCTTCGCTTGCACCGTGGGACCTGCTTTGTTTGCGATACCGTTGTACTTTGGAGTTGGTAAGAAGATCCGCCATTGGACGAGGAACTCTACCTTACACCGCATGGAGGATTTGATCTGAAGGATTTGGGGATGATTACGACATATGGGTATTGTTTAATGAGTTTGGCAAGACATTGATTTACGACCTGGAGTTAAGGATCACAGTTTCTATTTCGGTGAATTGGAGATTCCTTCTACACAGTCCTGAGCGTAGCCGCCTTTCTACTTCAGAAGGTTTTGCTTAAACATATGACTTGTAGACAGAGCGGCCCATGTAAGCAGAAGAGGGGAAGATGTACACACAACCGGTAATATCGTCTCACGAGGTGTTTGCAACGGGGCAAGATATAGAAGCAGCATTCACATGTTCGGCGCGTTTTCCGGGTTCCATAAGAATGAAAAGGTTATCCGTGCTAGGGAAGCGCAAGGTATAAACAATCTTTATCCGGTGACTGCAATATGGAGTAGATATGTGTCTATAATGATAATGACGAAAATAACGGTGTTTCTACCATCTCCTTCTTTCAACCCATTCTGAAGACCAGTTGGCGACGTTAAAAATTGTGTGTGACTCTTCACCCAAGATATTTGTGAGCCACAAGAATAGTTCTGATTACTTTTATGACATGTCTCACGAACCAAACAGCCTGGATGAGATTGATAAACTTGGAGGATCATCCGATGCCGAGCCAGCCTTGTTTGGACCGCCAGGCACATGCACTGCGGGGTTGAGCCGACACTAAGGAGACCACACCAGTTGGACCTCGGAAGCTAAGTAAGGTGGGCACGTAGGATCCCATATACGCCAGAGGGAGCAATACTAATAAGATGAATCAAGTTCATTTTATCTGCAAACAACACTTTCTTCGACCAAGGTTGCTGTGAATAAGGAATCAGCTTTTAAAATATTCCAAAAATATTCCCAGCTGACAACTACATCATAAGGGTTAGCCATGTCATCACAACCACCTACGGCATCTTCTTCCACCCTAGGCTTCTTCCAATCGCTCCCAGTACTTCCTCCACAGTACACATCAACGCAAACAAAAGATGCTACCTTGACTTCGGATGATCAAGTCTTCGCTCGAATTCTCGCCTTGTATCTTCCTTCAAACAGTGGCGCTGTCAAGGATCACATACATCATCTCGCACGTGTTGCTCTGCACCCGACTGTCCTCGCTCACGGCGTAGATGCTGAGACAAACCACCCCACCATCCGCTCGCTGACCACCTTCGGCGAGGAAAATCGCAATGACCCTCTCTGGACCGCACGTGGATGGAGTGCTCTGAAAGAGATTGGGTATAAGGAGGGTGTCATCGCCGTCGCGTTTGAGAAAGAGCAGCAGCAATGGAACAGGCGCATCTACCAATTTGGCTTGGGGCATGTATGGATCAACTCAGCCACCATGACTGGATGTCCGATGAGTATGACAGATGGTGCAGCTGTGTTGTTGAGTCGTCATCTCAATGACGAGGATGGTGATCAACCAGGACGGCAACATGTGGTACAGGAATCCTTCCGCAGATTGACCAGCCGAGATCCAGCTATAGCTTGGACGAGTGGACAATGGATGACTGAGCGCAGCGGAGGCAGTGATGTATCTGGCACAGAGACTGTTTCCCGGAGACTGACGCCTCAAGAACTTGCACAGGAAGAGAAGGATGGCAGAGCCCAAGATGCAGCTGGACTGCCACTAGGTCCATGGCGTATCGATGGATTCAAATGGTTTAGCAGTGCTACTGACTCTGACATGTCTGTTATGCTCGCAAGGACGTCCAAGGGTGGACTAAGCGCTTTCTATGCACCATTGCGTCGCAGGACTGGCGTTACGATTCCATCCATTAACGCTGTTGAGCAAGACACTTACGCCACGGAGCTCAATGGCATTCGCATTCAGCGTCTGAAGAACAAACTCGGCACCAAATCTCTCCCCACAGCTGAGCTTGAGCTCAAGGGTACTCGTGCGTGGTTGATCGGCGAGGAGGGCAAGGGCGTGAAAGAGATATCTGCAATCCTCAACATCACTCGCCTATACACTGCCGCTGGTTCAGTAGGCAATTGGGCCCGAGGCCTCGCTATCTGTCGTGCGTACAGTAAAGTACGTAAGGTCCGCGGTGGCCTGTTGCAAGATAACGCACAACATCTCCGATGGATGGCCGATGAAACGGTCAAGTTCGCCGCTGCAATGCATTTTACCTGGATTGGTGTGGCGCTACAGGGCGCTTTAGAACAAGACTGGGATCAAATGGTTCGTGGTACTAAGGCGGAGGGTTTGATCCCTAAGGATAAAGTCGTCGTGCAAGAACTCCTTCGATTTGTGCTTCCAGCTGCAAAGGCCCAAGTCAGTGTTGCCTCTGTTCATGGTTTAAGACAGTGTATGGAATGCCTTGGTGGCGTCGGATACTGCGAGAACCTCGAAGACGGGGGAGTACTCAACATCGCAAAAACGTATCGTGACAATCTAGTCAATCCCATTTGGGAGGGAACAGTATCGGTCATGGCTGAGGATGTTGTCCGTGTACTCGGAGATAAACGGATCGGAGGTGGGGATGTTGTAGCCAACGTATTCGCTCCATGGGTTCGCAATATCATCAAGAGCTGCAGCGGGGCTTTCAAGAATGAAGTGGCCGTCATCGAGACGAGGCTAGAGTCTTTGATTTCGCTGGTCAATAAAGCTGACAAGGAAGAACTCCTGTACCGCGGCCGCGAACTGCTGGACCACATCGAAGTCATCGTCAGTGGCGCTGTCCTTATCTACGATGCAACAATCAATCGTGACGACGTTGCTTCTGTCATAGCTTCGCGATGGATAGCATCTCGTGACCCCACAAGCCAGTCCAGATCCTCTCAAAATTGGAAAGAGGATGTGGTTCTTGATAGGAAGATATTCCTGGGCAACGAAGCGGCTCCCCGACAGAAGTTGTAGATAACTGCATATGAATGTAAATAGCGAATCGTTGTAGCCTTGTGGTTCTCGAAATCCAAATCGCAGCATTTAATTCAACATTGTGAAAATACATTACGTCATTATTATATATTACATGCTTCTCAAGGTCGAAGTATAACAGTACTCCAAGTGTCATCATGTCTCTCAAAGTCCGCTTCTTTCTCTCCGCCTTTAGTCTGCAATTGTGCATTCCTCTGTGCCTGTTCGTCTAGCAACACTTTCTTGATTCCCTTCATCTTGAACCAGATCCACCCTGCCATTACGATTGTGATTATGAACGCACTGACAAACATGATCGTTTGCGTCAAAGAATCCTTCTTATCTTGGACCAGAAGAACACCCAGGTAGACGAGAAAGATCTGCTTAGGCAGTGAGAGAAAGGTCGAGACAACGAAATGCCAGAATTTGACGTCGCAAGTCGAGAACACAGCGGTGCTGAAATGCGAAGGAATGGCCGAGAAGCGAATGAGGAGAACAATCTAGATAAATGTTAGCAATGACTGACTGCAAACACCTCAGAGAATGGGATGTTTACCCAGAAGCCACCATCCCTTGTCAGGCGCGCCAGCGCACCATAGTTGAGGTTTGTTCGTTCGAGTTTCTGGGCTCGTCTTCTGAGGGCGTGTTTGAAGGCGAACCATGTCGCGACTATGCCATTGTCAGCGCCCATGTGATGTTTAACACTGCGAGCTGGTAACCCACTTTCGCCGATAAACGTCCCAGCCGCCACTATCGCGAAACCGATCCAGAGTCCATACACTACACCACACAGCAATGCAATGACCTCGTGTCCAAAGAGTGGTGGGAAAGACAAGATCACCAAAATGGCGATAGGAATAAGCCAGCCGGCGGGTAGGTCGCGAACCTTCTCGGAAAACGGTCGAAGATACTACAGTACGCTTTAAGTCAGTGACGTGCATAGCATCTGAAGCCATTTGTGGAAACCCACCTCGACCACTTCGTCATGATGTATCGTCAACATTACTGTCGCAACTCCGATGCCAACGAACAAAAGATGCCATGCTATAGCAGAGTCAGTTTATGGAGTCGAATCGCAGCCATCGAAAAACTGACGTATGTATTTTGGTGCGAAGAACACTCTTTTCCAATTCACTGGCCTGTATTCTGTATTCTCCGGACTGCTGTCTTTCTTTTTCTTCTGGGCGCCCATCGCGCCCATCTCAATGTCCGCCATTCCGATGATCAACTAAATTTCGTCAAATGAGGTAGATATTAGAAATTCGTATGGTAGATTGACCTAGACCAGCCAGATTGCCGAAGGAAGGAGCTGAATTATGACGAAAAGATTTGCAGGATCGTCAAAATCAAGCTAGACGCTGGAAACACGCAGCATAATGTACGAAATCTCAACTGAAACCGGCGAGACCAAATCCGAGCACAGTCCCATGGTCGCAACATCGCTTCCAAATCCTGGATCACTAGCGGCCGCAGCTATTCTCTAGGCGCGCCTATTGCACCTGGAAAATTTCCGATAGGACTATAGGCAATTATGCATCCATCATTTATTGATGTCTATTGGCCTGGTGTCGTGGATCTGGTACGCGGGAGGATGGATCGTGCTACTAATAGCATCCTTTCGCTAGCGCTTAGGGCTGATGAAACAGAGAGTTGCGACAGGGGGACCAGTGACAGCCGCGGATCACTGTTGAGACATAAGGCTGTATGTAGATCCTGGGCGCTTCATATAATTGTATCTGCTCTGCAGTCTTGATTGCGATTCGTCCATGCACCTCCATGTCGTGAGATATTCCTTTTTATCGATGTAAACTTCTTGAGTGTGCTGGTGCGGGGTGAAACTTGGATCGCTATACAATGTGAACAGTCCTCTAGTAAAACCACGCTTATGAGACAGCAACAGAAGATATCCAGTAGCTATGTCCATTGTTTCGGAGCACAAATGATTGGTCACAAGAATAAACATAGCGCTGAAGACAGCGCAAGAGATGGACGAACATAGGCCACCCTTCATTATCTTGTCAAAAGCCGGGGAGCAAAATCCCAATGACCAAGAGAATTGCAACTCCTCGCCGAATGAGATTGGTGCGACTATCAATGACAACCAAAACAAACATCCGATTCCAAGCCGAGGCAATGGATGTCTTCTTGGTACCGGTTTCCAATGAACAGAACCGCGGTACATTGCCGGAACCCCAAAGTAGGGTTTCATACGTTTCCACGACTGACGTAGTCTATTCGTATCATAAGCTGTAAAAGTATGGTACATGAAGGCAGTGTCTGAATGGGCCAGAATTGTGATGATGACAAAATAGTAGCAAGCCCGCCATTCGCATCGTCAGTGGACTGCAGTGGCCGAATCGATCCATTCGAAGCAAATGGGTTGCGCTTCCCACTAGATACATGCGTCGTGCGTGGCAACCAAGAATCGAAACCATGTTTCTGCTGCGATTCATCTCGTTTCAAAATAGAACAAGCGCGTGAGAGTGACCAACTCAGTCTAACACATGTTTGATTGGCTGATTCGCTGAAAAGATCGTGACAAAATGACAATGGATGTCCCAGGTTCTGTGTCTCGCCCGATGTGAAGACTTCCTTCAATTGGGTTCATCCGCCCGTTCCTTCTTATTGTGGTTCGTAAATGAAGTAAGAATGCCCTAATCTTAGGCAATCCCCAATATCGTAGCAATCGCAATACGTTGCCTTGAATTCCGGCATCTGTTCTGAAAAGTTCAACTCCATATTTCTATAGGAGCAAGCTACAAGTTCGTTGTGTTCGAATTTGCTGATTCTTTCATTATATTGCCATTCGTCATCAATCCAGTGACGGAATAGCGCAATGCTGATGAACCCAACCCGTGAATGCCGATGCTTTCCCCGCTCGGCGAATTCAAGACCGAATCATGGGGATCGCCCAGTGGCCGGGGCCAGAAGTTTTGGTTCCTCCAGCCAGACATTAGTGGTATGTCTATCTTTGATACTCATTACGCTCTTGAGTGGCTTGCATCACGAAAATGCCGGGTTGGCATGGCAAAATGACATTATTGAGGTGATGGTCGCATCCTCAGCCTGCCTCAACCTCTGAATCTCTCAATAGCCTCATCAAAGGGTTTTCATTTGATCCAGGAATCCTTGTATATGGCTTTTCTGCCAATTCATTCGTCCTGCACTTGCAATACTGATGACCGTATCTGGGATCTTCTGCATAGATGCTTTGAAGCTTCGGGAGAACATGAAACAAGCCATCAAGTTCAATGACCAGCCGTTTCCATTCGTGCTCATTGAAGAAGTGCACTTCAAGATCCAGAACTTCCAGCGAGTCCGGTAGCTGGGAGGCGAGAGTCGACGATTCCAGGAGATCAGTCCACAGAATACTCCAAACGGTTCTCAATGTCTTGAGAACGCGAAAGTCGCGGAACGACACTGTGCAAAATTCTGAACTCTTTGAGGCAGTGCCCTTCGAGATGCGTTAATGGTTTTGTTGTCAACATGATTCAATCTACTTACCCGTTTCCGGTTTACACTCGTGTATGATTTAATCCAAGTCTCAGCAAGCCGTTCACTACCCGCAGCAGATAAGGTTGGAACTTCTAGAACCAGGTGCTCCAATGTCTGGCCAGTACGCTCCCGCAATATTTCTATGGTTTCTCTCCATATTGATATTAGGTGAAGCGACAGGGTGTTACATTCGAAAGTAAATCGTTTGATTGATTTCGGTGACGCTAGGATCGTTTGCACAGTGGGTGGGTCAAGATAAGATTGGACAAAGAAGTATTCCTCCACGTTCGATTCCGGAAGCCGTATACTGGATGAGTCTTCCCCAGGATTTCGTAGAGGGAAGTTCCATTGCATTTTCTCAGCCGCAATCTGACGAACTGATGGGATCCGGTTCAATAACAAGACCCACCCCGGGTCAATGCCAACGTTTTGGTCGTGTTGTTCATGAGTCATGACTACGGTAGTGAGATGTTGAAATGGAAGCTGAACTGCAAGTGAAAGGTTTGCTTGAGAATATGCCAAAACTGCAGATTGCATTATTGCCCATAATGCCCCCTCTGTACTGAAGTCGGGAGAAGTAAGCACTTTCAGATAAGGCAAGTAGTGGACCAGTACGGTGATCATGGGGTCCACAAATGGGTTCTGATCCGAACGATCTTCCGGGTGGGCCCGTATGCCCTCATTCTGGAGCTTTAACCACGTTCTTTGAGCTCTCACTCTGGAATACATAATTTCGATCCTGTCGAATTCGGCATGGAACAGGCTGCAATCCTCATCGTGTGGTTCGTCCCAAAATGTCGATAATTTGGGTATCACTAATCGCTGGTAATACCACCCTTTGCGCGGGTCGGAGATCAACTCCCTCAATTTTTGCCGCAAGCTGACAGTCGTTATATCCAGGTCTCCGCACTTTTTGAACCTTAATGTATGATTTTGTAAAAGGTATTTGCAAACTCTCCATGACTCGCTGCTTGCCAGGGCAAAGTTGAGACAGAACGTGGGCTCGAGATACTCCGCGATAATAATGATCAATTCCGTCGGCAATGGCAAGGTATTCATCATTAGTCGACGAGATGAAAACGATTTGGAACAATGCGGTAAAGACAGATACGAAAATGACGTTGTGGTCAGAGGTTAAAGCTGTCGGATGCAATATTGCCTCCTGGAAGGATTTTAGCGCTGTCTCATTTTGAGCCTAGTTGTAGATCAGTCAGCGCCGCTCTACCTTCCGCAAATCGGCTTGTACATGAGAACAATCGAAAGATCTAAATAATGGTCCATTCAGAGAAGTAATATAGGTCGTGCGAGGATGAGAATGCTTATTTATTTGGGTGTTACGATGCCGAGTGCATTGTCTCTACCGCACTATGGTTGTGTTGACGGCTCTTGGCTGAGGCCACTCATCTAACACCACATCTTCTCCTTGAATCTCGAAACATAGTCGACTCTGCTCAGGTACATCCAAAGCCAAGCAATAGACACCAGCATAGATGATAGTGTTGCCAGAACCATCGACTCTAGCAAAGTCACCCCAAGTGAAATCCAGCTCTGTATTCCTCCGCTCATTCGGTTTCACGCCGCGCAGTCGCTCGTAGCCAACAAGCTCCTTGATTGGATGTGGAGAGGGGCCAGCTTCCGAAGAAACAAATGCAAGGGCGACAAAGTCCGAAGTAATATTTCCATTGTTGGTCACGGAGATGGGAATTGAAGGGAATTTGCAAAGGTCCTTGTGTGGAAGCGTACACTCAGCAAGCTGGGACACTTGGAAGACCTGCACATCTTGTGAACTTGAACTTTGGCCGCCGCTTGTATTACCAAATCCCACGGAGAACTTGGTATAATGAAGACCGAAGCCGAACTCCTGGACAGCGCCGTCATACCATTTGTATGTCCTGCCTGGGTTGATGGCACTGGGCCGAAGAGACATGTCCGTCATGGGCACCTGGTCAGCATAAGCACCAGGATACTGAGTAACTGGAAGACGGCCTGCTGGTGCCTTTAGGCCAGATATAATGTCGAACGCTGCGTCTCCTCCATACATTCCCGGGTATCCCATCCAAAGAACGGAATTGATGGCCTTATTCTCTAGCAGTGGTGTATTGTCGACCGAAGTGCCTAACTGCACAACAACGATTGGCTTCCCAACCTTAGCGACGTCATTGAGAAACGCGAGCTGCGCTGCTGGCCAAGTAATACTTGTACGATCTAGATCCTCAGACTCGATCGAGACATCGATTCCGCCGAAGTACAACACGATATCGGCAGCCTTGGCAGCATCGAGCATGGGAGAATAGGAGCCACCGCTGGCGACTGGCCCGTCTGCGAATTTGACATTGAAACCTCGCCTTTGCGCAGCCTCAAGTGGTGTGCGATAGAAAGGAGGTCTTCCATTGTAGTTTCCCAGCATCCTCGTCCTAGTATCGTTTGCCCACATGCCAATGACAGCAATTGTCTGATTGGGCTTGAATCTGTATGGAAGTAGGCCATTGTCTTTGAGAAGAACAGCACCATCTGTTGCAGAGCTAAGAGCAAGGTTTCGTGCAGTCTCTGTATTGACAGTCTCCCAACCATACGCACGAAACCCAACAACATCGTCCCTGAACCTGGCGAAATAGTCGGAGCGAATGAGTCCCTCGTATTGACGCCGCAGGGCATTGTCAATGACCTTTTCGCTGAGCAATGACTGGTTGTAGGCACCAATAACATCAGTCGACCAACCGCCCGCTTCACATACATTGTCTGTCCCTGCATTGAACGCAGCACCAGCAGCTTGAGCAGCTGTTTTGACCCACTTGTGGTCCGCGTAGATGTTGTGGACAGCGTTGCAATCACTGACGACGTAGTTATTATGTTTCGTCCAATTCCAATGTTCTCGCAGTACAGTCTGCATCAGATATTCATTCGCACAAGCTGGAGTACCATTGACTCGATTGTACGAACACATGATCGATCCGACGTTCGAGTCCCGAGCGCACTGCCGGAATGGTGGAAGATAATACTCGACAAGATCCTGCAAAGATACGATAGCATTGAACGCATATCGAACCACGCCTTTCCATCTCTCGAGATCGTAGGCGGCAAAGTGCTTGCATGTTGCGATTATCTGCCGTTTGCCGACGATATCTGGGTCCTGGCTGGCCCATTCCATGCCTTTCAGGAGGTGTTTAACGTACTTCGCGATTCGGAGTGGGTCCTCGCCGGGAGTCTCTAGGCCTCGTCCCCAGCGAGGATCCTTGAATGGATTGATGTTCGGAGTCCAGAAGTCGATGCCAGCACGTCCTGCATTACCAAAGGCGCGGGCTTCGGCGCCTATCACGAGCCCTATCTTTTCAACCAAGTCATCGTCGAAAGCTGCGGAGATGGTGATGGGATTTGCGAACGAAGTCGCAGATGAAAATTCTCCAGCATTGGAGAAATTGACACCAGGTGAGAAAGCTACGCCATGTAAAGCCTCACTCCACCAGTCGTATTTAGGTAGACCAAGTCTTTGTGCACCTTGACTATGACTTTGAGAATTTAGTAGCCATTCTGTGCGTTTACTGTAAGATCGACTCACTCGACCAAATTGACGAGTTTTTCTTGGATGGTCATCGCCTCCACCAGAGCTGCTGCTCGTCGTGCAGGATCAAGTCCCATATCGCACACATCGTTCTTCGCCAATGGCCCAGAAACGCAATCTGGATATCGATCGCCATTTGCGCTATGAAAGAGAGCAGAAACTATAATGACTTCAATGAGCTTGAGTAAATTCATGATTGTGTCGAGATACTCATGGAATGAGTTGGTTTGGTGGAGATAGCATGGAGATTTAACTTCCCATGAGCTACGCTTCAATATCGCTATATGCATGCAGGTACTCTCGGGAACAATTTACGGCACCAGCGCAGATCAGCATAGCTGTACGGGATGGTCCCCCTCATGTTGGGTGAACCAGTGATGCTAAAGACGCGGTTAAATTCGCCTGGTATCGCTCCATGCAAGAATTGTCGATGTCCATCGCCAGGTCGGGCAATCCATCAACGCGCTATATGACCATGTAGAGGTTGGCTCCGCTCGCCATCCGTTGAACTGGGAATTCAATCAGCATGGCATTGCATACCCCTCTTTTCAATAAGTTATCGTACGTCACCATTTTCAAATGTGCCTTTGCAATGGGAATGGTGAAGAAATAAAAGCGGTGGTTGCAGATGTCGCAAAGACGATCTTGCAAGGTCTTCATTAATTTTTGCACCTATAGTTCCATGTTCTCCTCCAAGAACCCCTTTTCTTTATTTTCGCGGACTAACTTGGCCCTAAATCCAGTTGCTTCGATAGTCTCAACAGTATTACCTTCCCCTCCCCAAAATATTACTTCATTGAACGGCTTGCCAGCGTACGATGCTCTGTCATAATCAGTCGGGCAGAAGTTGTCCCAGATCTTGTGACCTTGTGGGTTTGGATACTGAACCCCAAGTATGCGCCACTTTTCGCCCTCTTCCTTCTTCTCATTGCTGTACAGGAGTGTGGGTGCCAAAATTGCATACCACGGTATATCTCCTCCATGGGGACCAAGGAGCTGTTTCAATTGTGATTCAAGAACATCTGTTCCATTTGATATGAATCGCTCGAGTACAAGGCCGCGTTCATCGGCTACAAGGATCATTGACGTGTTCAGACCAGCCTGTTCAGCGGCATATTCCCCAGCGTAGCGTTCATGGAGTTGGCGTATGGCAACCTCCTCTGCAGCACGAACAGCCTCAACGGTGACTGCTTCGAGAAGTTCCGTAAATATTCTGCCTGTGCCCGCCACGAGAATTGTGATGCCAAGATCATATTCGGGCACGGTCATGATAATTGACTGATACCCAGGGAGGCCTCCGGATTTCGTGATGAATCGCACGGAGCGTTTGGAGCCAAGTAGGATTTCATCCGTGCGGAAAATCTCCCAAGGAGTTCCGTAGAAGGTCTGTAGACCATCGCCGGGGGAAACGGGATGGGCCCAGTTCAAGGCATGAGTGATGCCGTTGTATTTCGTCAGAATGTATCGGAGATACTTGGACAAGTCTTTGCTTGAACTGTATATTCCGCCAGTTGGGTTCTGGACACCAGCATCCACGTCCCAGTAATGAGATCCCACAGGTATGACACCAGCACTGTCTGGTGGTAGTGACAACGTGCTTTTAGTCATTTCGAGAGGATCAAAAATGGCATCCTTGATATAAGATTCATATGTTTGGTTTGTAACATTGGCAACTGCGAGGCCGACAATTTCGAAAGCGAGGTTTGAATAGGACGACTTCTGGTTCGGGGCGAATACGGGGTCTTTGGCCTTTACAGCTTTCAAAAGATCTGTGTGACATACGTTAGCTTCGCAATTTTTGAACCCGATTCAAGCGCCTACCCGCTCTTTTGCAGCTTGGTTCATAATTGTCACCAAACTCGTCGCATTCCAACAAGCCTTCACGCGACAACGGTGGGAAGCCCAATTTAGTAGGGTCATCGGATCCCCACCAATCGTTTATGTAGTCGGTCTGCGCGACTGAAAGAAATCAGTTACTTTACCTTCAGGGGTATAACAATGTGTCATATCGGGGTGCGAACAATCTCGTGGAAGTCCACTCAGCTGGCTGGCCAGACTCCGCAATGTGATATCGTCCCATGGTATTGTACCCTCCTGCTTTCCCTTCAATTCAGGAATGTATTTCGTAATGGCGTCGTCCAGGCTCAGATTTCCTGCAGCATGCTGGTATAGCAAACCCAGAACGGTGAAAGACTTGGTGATACTTGCAATACGATACAAAGCGTCACCATTGACTTCTGGTATGTCGGGACGGGACGAATTTCTTTCCCGCGCGGTATGATGCTGAGACCAGAGTGTTTCCTTGGAGGAAGTTATCTCCACAGAGAATGAGAGAGGGTCGTATTGAGGGTCAGCAATGATTGTGTTCAAGGTTGTATGTATTGTTTTGAATGCTTCCTGGAGGATGGGGTCTTTCGGATCGTAATCTGGTAACGGATGGACCTCACTTGGGCCTGGACAGCTGGCTTTGACCAAAGCCGCCCCGAAGAGGGGAAGGATCGTGAACAACATTGTTCGTGTAAGAAGAGAAAAGCATCATGAAAGAGCGGTGTTTATTTGAGTCGTATCCCCTCAGTGGTAAGCTGACAGCTCCAATGCATGGACGCGTAGATCGGCGCTAAACACGGACGGAACCCCCTTTTATCGATAAACAACATCATGCGGATCTTTTCCGCTTCTTCTCATTATATTGGCACATCCCATGTCAATTGCAACATAACGACATCAAATTCACATTTGCACAAAGATTGACCATACCTTCGCCCAATAGAAGATGGAAGTTCAACTTGAACCAGGTCTTGGTGAATAATTAATCTGACATTTCTATAAGATTCGTAGCATCTAATGTTACAACATGAAACTATATATCGTACAAAGGCAACAACTCCTCTTACATTATCTCCAAGCGAACATTATGATCGGCCAGTCATCTTGAGACAACCTTGCACTATTGGAAATGCGACTGCTTTCTTATTCTTCCATACACCCACGAGCTGCTGCTGCCAATACAAGTACGCCAGCAGTGCTAACACAGGGAACGAAACGACCCAGAACACCCAAGCCCTCTGTTGTCCTGGCAAGAAATCCCCGCCCATTGAGAAAATGCTCGCAACCGTTGAAAGTGGTATGAACAACATCGTCAGAACAGTGATTCTCGATAGGCTCTGGGCATTGCCATTGGACACGCGAGCCTCCTGAATCGTGCAGCGGTTTAGGTATCCCGTAGCAAGTGCATTCGCCATCCCGTCCACCGCGCGAGTGAGGTCTTGAATAGATCTCCAGCCGTCGATCTCCCATCGCGGTGGATTGTTCTCTAGGATTGCTGCGGGAGTGTCTACGCCGACTGCAATCATGTTGTCAGACAACTCGTGGGAGAACTGCTTCATGGCCGCGCAGCTGCCGACGATGAAGTTGAAGAACTCATTGTTCCAACTTGATAAGCTGCCCTCCGAGAAGCTTGAGAGGAATTCGTGTTTCAGGGAGCTCTTTTGGATGCTGATCAGATTTAGGTAACGCCGTCGCATGAACGACGTCAGGGTTGAGATAATCCATTTGCGAGGTATTGTCACGACATCGATCGGATGTATGATATCATGTCCGTTCTTGAACATCTCGCTTTCCATCATCTGGATGGTATCATCGAACAGGGATGTGTACCCAGGAAGCACGTAACTCCTCTCCCACTGTGCCGAATTCTCCGGAAGTTGATCAAGCGGATTCATCTCCGGATTCAGGAAGTGTTTCGGCATCGACTTCTCATCTCGAAGTCGTGGCCGGAGCGGAAATATCTGTCTCGAAGGTAGACACTGAACGTAATCTACGAGCGGAGGGTCGACAAGCAACACGGCATCCCACGATCCATCCGGCCTCACTGGCGAGCTCCAGAACGACATCGTGTGGTGACTCCTCGCCTCATCGTACAATAGCCCATTTCGACTATACGTGTGGAGATACCGACATACGTTTGCATTGAACGCATATATGCTACTGTTCGCGTGGTTCGGTGCGTCGACTTCGACTCGGTGGGACGTCGCGTACCGCAAACAGAATTGCGCCTTGGAATATCGCCGAAAAGGGCTACGATGATTAAATGTCGATGACGCCGGGTCGTCCCACTGACTCGCGAAAAAAGTCGGTGGAATGCGTAATCTTGAACCAAGGGCGAGGATGTGATGACATGGTAGATCTTCCAATATGAAAAGTCGTTTCTGTGGTCGAGCATCTGGAGAGGTTCTTGTCGACGCCTTCCAAAGGCAGCGGTCAAGTTCTTCTGAACTCGCAAACTTCGCGGTATGGACTTCATCTTCGATGCTTAGATCGACCAGAGCGCATCTTCCACGCTCCCTATCAACAGCCGTTTGATTCGCAACGGCTGCGGCAAACTCTGGAAAGAATGGTTGGATCTGGTCTTGTATCAAACCCATATATTCGAGTTCTTCTTCGCTCAGGAAATGATGTGTAGCGCCCCATGATTTGGAGAAAGCCGTTCCGTTAGAATGGCTGCTTCCAATGGAAGCTGAGGCCGAATGTGCTATCATCGTGACTGACTTCTTCCAGAAACATAAAACGATGCAACGAAAAATATGATACTCCACGATGAATGTAGTTAGAGAAGCAGAACTAAACTTACAAGCGTTTAATTATGAACAAGAGGAACTATATCACAGCCCTACAATCTCACCCTCCCAGCCGCCCGTTCCACTCCCTTCCAAACCACACCACACAAACGCCTCCGCCAAAACCGCCCCCATTCACCCTCCCCACTGACCGATTCTCGTCTACCGCCGACATTACTTTGAAACACACGTGTAGTTCGGGCGCCCACTGCCTCTTTCGGTAATAATCCCCTCGTGTAGGAAATGTCCACGTAAGGCTGAAACGTCCTCCTTCCGAGCTGTCGACGAATCGGAGGAGTTATGAGTGTTTTGCTGAGTGGTTCATCCGAGTTTGTGTAAATTGACGTTTACAAAGCGTTCTTTGGTAATGGGAACCAAATATGGTTCTCGAGTTCTCGTTTTGTTTTTGGTGCTTCGCGAATGTTGAAAGTATCTTCAGTTATGTACGGAGTACAGACATGATCCCATCTCCTTGGAAATCTCACCACAAAGGAGACAGTGAAAAGTATCTCCTAATCGCGTAAACCACACATCTACCTCAACTAAATTCTCAACCCTACCCCAAAACCTCACAAACAAGCCATGCCTCCGCACCTACATGTGCCACCACCATTACCTCTCCCCACGCTTCCGCCTCCGCCTCCGCCTCTATCTCTCACATCCAACAACATTTGTCTCAAAAGCACGCAAGTTTCAGCTGGACGCGTGCACGCTGCTTTGGTACGAGTACGTCATGTGGCGTAAACAACTACTGTAAGTGTAGGGAGAACATGGCTCGAGTTTGTGCTTGTGTTGTGCAGGGGGCGTCAAATGCGGTGTTGTGATTGGCTGGGGGTGGTTGTGTATGAACGCCTGTGTTTCATGGTTGTTCCTTCGCGATAGGGAGTGCTGCCTTAGGCATTTATGTCGATTGTGGATGAAAGTGATGTTTACACTACGGAGGAAATGGGTGTAAATGGTGTGTTGTGATCAGGGGGACAGAAGAATTCTAGAAGACTTTGTCTTTCTAGTAGGTCGACAGAAATCCCCACCAAGATACTCGCAATAACTACTACAACAATACACAACCCATCCAATAGAGAGAACATTCATTTTCAACCTCTATACGGAGGACACAACCCCATAATCAAGCAAACATAGTCAGCCCTCCACCTCCCTTCCAACTTGCCCTTGCTTCTAGAAATGTGGGGTACATATATACAGTGCGAACATCCCCGGTGGTCATTCAAAATCTCAATCAACATTAGCCGAAACTATATGAACACGATACCACCACCCTTGTTCCTTTTCCCCCGCAGAAATAAAAAGAGCCGCAGGACCGAACTGACTGGGATTTCCAAATAGACATTCCGTTGTTAAACGTAGAGGTTGGAGAAGAGCGTGTAGGTTGAACCAAAGGGCGAGAGGAGGGGAGAAAAGATGTAGTAAATCAGTGTGATCAACAGACACTTATGATTCTCTCATCGTTCATCTTTTGCTAAGACAGAAAAGAAATAGTAGGCACATATATGGGAAACTTTTCATACATCTACCGGAAGCGGATCAACGGCGCCTTGCAAAGAGCACCACCGCTCTCCCCACGTTTTATTTCCTGGCCTGTTTATATCCATCCTTCTCCCACATTGTGTTTCCCGATCGGTTATTGCGTCGGTTCAATGAAGTCTTGGGCATGGATATTTGCACGACACGCAATGGACGGTTCAATATATGCGGATGATTTTTAGTTCACTTGGGGATATGGGGATACCCAGGTGACCGAATATGTTGTGGATGTGTAGGGATGGCAAGCACCAGGAATAGATTATCAACTGCTTATATAAAGGCGTTTCTAGGTGCACGTTTTTATGATATAGACCTCCGTGGCTGGACACACATAGGTAGATTTTCTTTTCTTTTGATTCTTTTCATAAGACATCAAATATGAGATTCGAAATACCAACCCTCATCGCCCTCGCGGCCACCTCCGCCCACGCCTTCCCAACCGCACCAGCCGACATCCTCGAACTCCTCCCCAGACAAGGCGCCGGAAACATAACATGTCCCGCAACCCCCAACCCGATGCCCAAAGCCGCGGACCTCCCCGCCGTGAAAACCATGCCCGACCCTTTCCTGTACCTGGACGGCAAGACGCGCGTGCAGAGCAAGGAAGAATGGCTCGCGTGCCGGCAACCCGAGATCATGAAGCTCCTCCAGGAATACCAGTACGGCTACTATCCTGACCACTCGCTCGAGACGGTGACCGCGACGCGATCAGGTACGAAGTTGGATGTCACGGTTGCGGTGGGCGGGAAGAGTGCGACGATCTCTGCGACGCTGAATTTGCCGTCTGGGAGTGGGAAGTTTCCGGTTGTGATTTCGATTGGGGGGATGGATACGAAGGCGTACACGGCGGCGGGGATTGCGGTGGTCACGTTTGATTATGGGAAGGTCGCTGCGGATAGTAATAGCAAGTCTGGGAGCTTTTGGACGCTGTATAGTGGGAAGGATATTGGTGAGTCGTTTATTTACCCTTCTGACATCCTTGATTTCCTGAGGATCTGAGCTGACGATGATGATAGGTGTGTTGACTGCTTGGGCCTGGGGTTTCCATCGCGTGCTGGATGGCATTGAGTTGAAGGTTCCAGAGATCGACGCAACGAAATCGGGCGTGACTGGATGCTCTCGACTAGGCAAGGCTGCGTTGGCTGCAGGTCTATTCGATAAACGTATCGCAGTGACTATGCCAATGTGCTCTGGCGTACAGGGAGCTGGACCTTACCGCTACAGCCTCAGTGGACAGGGAGAGAATCTTGAGAACTCGGTAAGTCCAGTCAATCGAATGGGAACGAGAAATATCTAATCGTTATCCCATCTAGAAATCCGGAGCCGGCTGGTGGACCTCAAGCGGCATCTCCCAATTCGTCGGCAAATCCACCCAACTCCCATACGACGCGCACACGATCGTAGCCGCCATCGCTCCCCGAGCCGTGATCCTCGAGCAGAACTCCGGAGACCAGTTCACCGACTCCAAGGGCACCGCCACAGTGACGTTCCCAGCCGCGAAAGTGGTTTACAACTTCCTCGGTGCGGGCGAACAGCTCGGGATGTCCATCCCGTCAGGCGGACACTGCGACATGAACGGATACGGTGCGGTGCTACCATTCGTCCAGAAGGTTCTGCAGGGGAAGACACCGAGTAAGAACTTCGATGACCTGGGAAGTTGGAAGGCGATGCCAGAAGCGTATCCTTGGGCGACTAATGTACCCAAGGCGACTTGAGGCGCCGATATCGATACCAAGTAAACAAATCACTGATTTCATTGAACCTTTCACTTTTTCTGCTGAGACTCCTTCTGTGCATCCGTATATGCAGCGCTGTATCGGTAAGACGACCACTCGGAAACACCAAAGAACGTCTAAGACATCATCTTAGCTCAACTCTCTCTCTCTTCCTATCATACATCAGGAAACCCGTTGAACGAATACTCACAAGAAACATAAACAGCCCCACCAGAAAGAAAACCCCCTGATCCTGCACATGCCACTGCCTGACATTATAGCAGAAAGCCGCCACCAGCACCGCGACCATGAGCGCGCGGAAACTCGACGCATTCTTCCGCTCCCCTGATTCGTGGCGCGACAGCGAGGCGGTGAGACTTGCGTTCTGGCGTTCGAGGATCGCGAGTCTGCTGCTTTCGTCTGTTTCTGTGTTGAGAAGGGGTTTGGGGTCGGACATTTTTTTTGGTTTGAGGATAAGGGAATTAAGGGGGTGAGTAGGTGATTGAGGTCGGGTTGGCTGGGTTGATGATCGAAGGAACGTGGAGTCAGTTCCGATGGATGGATGGACGTTGGCTAGCGGTACGATTCCGAGTGACGTCATAGCTTGTTGTCCAAACATTCCGTTCCAGTCATTCAGAGGTGCAATTCAGCAGAATGATTCCTTCTTATCAACGACCCGAAATGACGCTGATACTGATACACGCAACAAGTGGGTAGCCCTTTTTTTATCTATAGATGGGGCAAGGCAGCACAACATAAACTTGTGCTTCCTGTCCCATCCACGGAAAATTATATTTGGTTTTCTAATTCTATATACTTGTCTACTCCTCCATAAACTCCTCCAGTCTTCTGGCCGACATTTCACATCCCAGATATACACACTGCATCTATCCAACTACAACTATCACCAGGCCGCTCCTTGACCAATTCCACAGTTCAGAGCAGGATGTCACATCAAATCCAAGCTTTTCAGCATGAATCAACGTGATTTACCCTAACTCCCGCGCACAGGGGTTGAAGCCTAAACGCCCCTCTCAGCACCGACCTTCTCCTCGTACTTGTGGAAAGTCTCGGTATCCTCCACGTGGTTGGCCTCGTGGAAGACGTCAACATTGGTGGTTGCGAACTTCCTGGCCGGCACCTTCTTCTCGAAGAGCAAGTCAAGCTCAGCGAAACTACGGCCCTTGGGCTCGGGAAGCCTGAAATAGGTGTAAATGATGCAGAGGAAGCAGCTGCCACCCCAGAAGAAGCCAGCGAAGTTCTGCCAGTTCCACATAGTGGGGTTGAGCATGTAGGGAGTGAGGACGGAGCAAATGATGCTGACAATGTTGTACAAGTTGCGACCTAGGACGATTGTCTTGATCTGCAGACGACGGGTGGACAGTTCTGCGACGAGCGAGTAGCAGACGGTTCCGACAGTAAGCTGGTAGAACATGGCCCAGACGATCATGATGGCGCCAGTCGCGAGTGCACCCTGTTGGCGGTTTGACTCGGGGATGAGCCCGAGGAAACCCATGATCATAAGCATGCAGAATAGACCGCACAATCCACCCAAGTACAGTGTACGTCGACCGAGGTTGAATTGACTCATCAAGAACCAGGCGCCGAAGACACCAGCCATGTTGATACCATACTGTCCCAGGGCGAAGTCGTAAGCAGTGGCAGGATCGAGACCAGCCTGTTGGAGGAAGTAACTAGAGTAGCCGGAGAAGGAATTTCCAGAAAGGTTCTGGATTGCCCAGGCCATGCACACGATCTCAGTACGGCGGAGATCAGTGCCCCTGAAGCAGTCGAGATAGCTGGCTCCGTGGGTGATCTTCTCCTCGAGGGCCGTGGTATGGGCCATCATGGCAACGGTCTCATCGGCGTTGAAATCAGTCTCCTTGTTAAGACTGGTAAGACGGAGAAGGGCCTGCTTGGCGTCACCAATGCGACCTTTTCTCACAAGCCACCAGGGAGACTCTGGTGCCATGTAGATTCCGACGAGGAGAGGTACTGGCCACATCCACTGGAGAGCATAGGGAATTCGGTAAGACCATTCGTCGTCACGACCAAGCATAGATTTGATAACGCCAATTCCGATGACTTGTCCAAGACCCCAGCAGAAGTTGACATAGGTAGTTACTGTTCAAAGTCAACAATTTGTCCATAGAGGGAGATATAGCAATTACTTACGGTAACCACGGAGCGCGATGGGGCAAACCTCAGAAGCATAGGTGATGGTGAGTGTCTGGAAGACACCCCACGGAATACCGCACAGAATCTCCGCAACCAACAGGTGGGTGGTGTTCTGCGCAGTGAAGAAGATGGCGGTCCAAGCGATGATGAGGGTAAGGCACGTCATGACGGTGTACCTGTAGCCAAACTTCTCACTGGCCCATCCGTTGATGAAGAGACCAAGGATCTCACCGACACCAGCACCATTGCTCAGGCCGGACTGCCACGCAGCGGAGAGCTCATAGGTGCCATCGGGCTGCAAGTCGCCGTACTTTTCCTTGAACTTGGGGAAGCCGTAGAAATTGGAAAGCAGGCACTTGTCGTAACCCTCCATGACGATGCAGGTGGAGATGAGGACGGACCAGCCAACAGCCTTAGGGTAGAGCTTGAGGCCTTGCCACAAGGACATGTTCTGTTCTTTTTCGGTGGCAGCTTTGGCATTGACGAGGACCTTGTCCATTGCGGTGACCGAGTCACTGCGATGGACATTGGCGTCCACCGTCTGGATGTCTTGCTTCTCATCCGCCATGGTGCGGTGTCTCTGTTGTTCGTTCCTGGGAGGGAAGTCAGTCAGAACGCCGATCCAAAAGAATCCGGGGACCGGGGTAGCCTTATATTCTGGAGGGTTGGAGGTGCATGCATGGGGTAAAGCAAGGTAGGATGGCCAGCCGTGCCACCCAGCCAGCCAGACAGGTTACAGGTATCTAGTGAATGCGGGGTGACAGAACAGGGTGCAAGGGTAGCTTGGGGTTGCATCCTGGGGCAATACGACGACGATCGGGTAGAGCACACAGCATCTAGGGCATACCTCGGAACCAGTACTTACATGAATCAGTTGGTTTAGGATCGAAAGACCGGGACTAATTTATTTGCGATAGTCCAGGTCCGATGCTGCCCCAGAAGGTGCGGTGCGTCGGCCTGCAAATGGGTGATGAACAGAGTTTAGGAGATTGGAAAACGTCTTGACTATCTGGGCGATGGCCCTGGAGACAGATTGGACAGAATGGTTTGGTGAGGGGGTGGGATGCGCGCGTGACCAGTAGAATACGAAGGGCAAGGACGATCTCTCGTGAAAACTTGGCTTTGGATTGGGATCGATTGTTTCGTCTTTGGTGTTGGTGGTGGTTGAGGAAGAGTCGAGGCAGGTGACAGGTGACGAGAGCCGATTCGAGGTTTTAAAGGGGATGGGAGCTTTCGCGGGGAACGGAGGAAACCGCCAACGCGAGGATGGAAATGGAATGGTATTGTTTCCTTGTGTTGGGAAGTGGATTAACTCAGCGATGGTCACTTGGTGTCTGTGTTCAGATGTCGAAATGCGAGTTCCCTGGTTGTTTCGTCGAGGAGGACGAGGAGGACGAGGCAAAATACGATATAATTTTGCTGATGGTCCGATCTGAGTGGTCGAATCTCTCGTGCCTTCCTCTTTAAGGTTAGACGGCATCCAATCTGCCGAGAGAATCCACCACCAGCCGAGCAGACCGTCTCTTCGTTATCCAACGCTACTCACGCTATTTTCCTGTTCCTTGCCGTAGTAACCTTCTAAGTAGTAGTACAAGTACCCTGAACGGAGTAGTTCATCTCCTATCCAGCTGTTTGTAGACTTGTATTGTAGCCTGGACTCTGCAGATACATGAGCGGTGAGGTGGATACGTGAATACGCCGGTCTCTATAAGATCTTCTGTGTATCAATATCAACATTAACACCAATGTAAATATACATGTAACGTCTCTCCGATAGTTAATGAGAATACCATCAGAGAATTCCATAACTTGATTACAAGTTTCTCGTACGAGCTTTCTATCATCGAACATCGGTTCCTGATGGGCATTTGAAGACGCTAATCCCAAACAAGCATATCCGCCTCAAAGCTTCCTACCTACCGAGGTCTAGTTACGCTTAACTCCGTCTTTCCGCCGCCTCTATCTCTGTGTGTCTACTACTGTTCGTCACCATCAAACGTTATTTCGACTGAGAACAGTATATACTGTACTGGTAATGATGCACGAAATAACCACATTCTATCGCGACCCTCTCGATACCACACAGGCCCATTGGTATCTCTAGAACCGAAGATTGATCATGTAAAGCCCACTGTCCACACATTACCAATTTCTCACAATTCCATGTCCCTACCTGTCGAAAACAACTACTTATACAATCGGCACCGGACTCCTCTCCGCAATCCATATCAGGATATTCTCCCCCATATCCCCAACCGAGCTCTTCGTATTCACCCCTCATTCCAGACTCCCCTAACCGCAAAAGAGACAGTAGGGACTAAAGTAGAAATCACTACGCGAGAGCTCCTATCTCGATTATTTCCCCGCCTGGGGGAATCAAGAAGGGGGGATATTCCCCCGCAAATACCTCCCCAGCCCTATCTATGTTCATCTGGGGTTCTGACACTCCTTCGATCCCTGTTAGCTCCTATCATGCATGTACCAACTGCTGTTCTTACTCTAGACGTTCAAGTAGCCGAGCCGTCAGCCTGGAAATTGAATGTGTTGTGGACTGTTTTGGGGATAGATGGGTGGGAGGTACATAGCGCTAGGAGTCAGCCAGTCAGTCTTCTGCATGTTTGCAGCAGTAGACGGTCTAGCCTCAGCGGGCGGAATTCCTGCGAGAGGAGGTAATTGCTGCAAAAGGATGATACAGTGGTGGCGTAATTAGGGTTTGTTCTAAACTGATACAGGTTATGCAGAGGGTTGGAGCATTGGATTGAACGCCTCGCCGTCTTCAACCTTCATATATTGCCGGCCAACAACTTTCTTTATACAGGGACATAAACTACGAGCAGTATCTACTTAGCCCTCGTGAACCAGTCTATACATTGGCACACAAAGACGGTGGGAAGAAGAACTAGAACACATTATATTCACAGCTGTGTTAACGTATCTCTGGACATGTTACGCCACATCCAGCACAATTGTAGGTATGTCAAAACTTTTGCTTACATTGTGCAAAGAGCGTATATGTACAGAGGGTTGAAGCATTGGCCTGTTTAGCAAATACATGGGACGATCTGTTCATCTATGACCTCACGAAACAGCCCAAGGGTTCTTCTGTTCTAACATGAGACGAGAAGGTTGGTTGGTACCGAATTTAGTGCTACATTGGAGAACAGTGCGCCTAGTGTGTGTGCTTCTAGTAGTTTTAAAGAAAGACCGATAAGATCTCTCAAGCAGACGCAAGAGAAAGTACAATAACAAAGATGCCAAGATGATTGAGAAGAAAACAAGGAACTCAAGGTCCGTCTTTTATCTCCTGTTCCAGTTGACTGTAGGAAAATATCCACAATCTTTCTTCGCGCCTTTGGAAGATCCAGCGCCTCCTCGCTGACTTGTGGGACCCTATCACGCTCATACAAAGCTTTAGACTCTTCTAACCTGCCTTTCGCAAATCAGAGGCTACTTAGTGTGTGGACTGTACCAAGTTCTAAGCTGCCCTCTATGCCAAGGTCCCTATACTTTTGGGGGAGGATGCAGTGTATCTGGGGGTACTTTTAGACTTGTAGTAGAAAATTACTTGTTATAAACTAGCTTTATTATTTCATGTAGTATAGGTAAAGCTTATGTTTTTACATTAACTAATTACACTGTCGCGTATAGATACTTTTATCGTAGGAAACATCACACACACAATCGATGGATAGGTAGGATAGATAGATATTGGCTCCTGTCGATCGGCCTCGCCAGGTAGATGGATGATGCTTCGATCTCTCCCAGCTACCCCAATCAATCTATCTACACTCTGAGTAGTGTCTTTTCCTCTGTATGTGATCCCCGATTAGCCTGTCACGCCCCGCTACACCACAATACTAGCTTTAAGCTACTGGTAATAGCCAGCATTGCCTCGTGAGTCCGAGTACTCAAGCGGTGTTGGTAGTCGCACTGATTCTTGCAAATCCATGGTGTATGCCTCCTCATTCATTGTCGCTATGCGAGGCCTTTGCTGCGTCAGGAGGACAGTGCCTTCAACAGGTGCAAAGAGACGGTAATTTGATCTCCTCGTGTCATAGATATGTAGTGCTCGATTGTACAGGTCTGCTGCCTCTGCCATCTTTTTTTGGCGAAAGTACATCTTTCCTAGGGTAACAAACGCAAGACGTGTTGATCTATGGTTTAGTCCTAGGACCTCCTCTTTGCCTTGGAGCGCCTGGGTATACATCTCTTCTGCCTCTACTAACTTGTTTTGTCTAGCGTAGAGCTTTCCCAAGTTGGAAATTATAGCAAGTGTTGAGATATGCTTCAGTCCCAGTGCCTCCATGGAACCTTGCAGCGCACAAGTGTACAGGGCTTCTGCTTCTGCTAGCTTACCTTGTTCAACGTAGAGCTCTCCCAAGTTAGACATTATAACAAGTGCTGGCGTATGATTTGTTCCAAATGCCTCCTCTTTGCCCTGCAGCGCACGAGTGTACATGGCTTCTGCCTCTGCTAGCTTGCCTTGTTGATGGTAGAGGATGCCTAGATTGCCAACGGTATCGAGTGTTGAGGTATTCTTTGGTCCAAGCACCTCCTCTTTGCCTTGCAGCGCCCGGATGTACATAGCTTCTCCTTCTGCCAGTTTTCCTTCGGTGGTATAGAGGAGACCTAAATTATTGGCTGTATCAAATATTGACACATGATTTGGTCCAAGTGCCTCCTCTTTGTCTTTCAGCACCCGAGTGTACAGTAGTTCTGCCTCTGCCAGCTTGTCTTGGCCCTGATAGAGGAGGCCTAGACGATGCATCGCCTCCAGCAGCAGCAGCGTCTTTGCTCTACTTCCATTATTTGCTGAAAATTCCCTACTCACTTCCGTGCCATGCTCTATTTGACTGTCTACTATCCAGACAGAACACACCTGAGCTTGGGGAAGAAGCCGGCGTTGCATAATCCAGCAGTCTCGAGTTGATTCATCCGGTACAGCGGACCCCACAACAACTACCGCCAGTCGTTTGAGATCCGATGCAAAGCACTTGCCCTGAAAGTGAAGCGCCCATATGTGAACTACTGGATGCGTAGCGTAGCGACCCAGCTCTTCTACTGTGTCAACCAGCGAATAGCTACGCAGTAGCTGCATTGCGTTGGTAAAAGCAAGCTCGCTGGTTGCAATATCGCCAATCCAATCGAGCAGCATTGCACCAACTGCTGTGGACCTCTGACATGCTGCTGCAAACAATTCATACCAAAGGTCCCCGTTATCAAGACATGACCATAATAGTAGCAGCTTAGCTGTGGCCTCGTGCTTTTCGAGGACAGCTTGGTAGGAAATGACCCATGTTGTCCATATGCTACGACCTGGGTAGTCTAAGAGAGGCTCATCCGCCCAATCATCTGATCCCATCAACTTGTTCCATTCCTGCTCATAAAACTTCAGGTAGGTTTTTACTCCCACAGCGCTTTGCCGTAGATACGCACCGGCTTGCGAGATCGCCAGAGGAAGCCCATCCAGTAGCTCTAGCAACTTCTTACTTTCCGCCGTGCCTATAAATATGTCATTAGCTTCGACTGAAACTTCCAACTTTTATCTATCAAGCTCACCATGCTCCCTATCATAACAATTCTCTAAAATATCCTGGGCTTGCTTTTGGTCTACCTTTTCTAGGTGCTGCGAGTCTCCCAGCTGCTCCAGCTTCGCCAGTCGGGTTGTGATCAGGATGGATCCGTGACTGGCACCAGGAAAGTACTGTCTCACGTCATATGCGTCAGTGTCTCCACCTTGCTTCTTATACTCCCGGTCGACGTTGTCGAAGATGAGCAGCCACGCCGTGTTGTCTTTTCTCGCAAGCCATCCCATCACCTTCTTGATTACTCCTTCAACATCAACGTTGCCACCTGCCGCGTATACTCTATTCGTATCAGGAATCTGACCTTGCAGAATCCTTTCCGCGCAGCTAGCGATGCTTCGCTTGATACTATCTTTGCTCTGTTCATCTAGCCAGAGAACCGCGCTGAATTGATGATGATGTCGGTGTGCAAACTCTACTGCCAACTGAGTCTTGCCTATACCACCCATCCCACGGAGTACGTATACCGTCTCCCGTCCGGTGTGTTTCTGTGTGGGCAGAAGGACATTCTCGAGCTTTCGCATCTCGGCTGGCCTGTCTACGAAGTGCCTCACACGCGGGGCACCCTTAAGGGTGAAAGGTATTCGATATTGAACATAATCTATCTCAAGTTCAGTCGTTGCCAAAGTACAACAAGGCTAAAGAAAACTAACGCTCTCGGCTTGCGATATTGCCTGCATATGCCTGCATCTGTTCGTAAACCTGCTGAGAGCTAACGAATCGTCTCGTGGCAGCTGCTATCTCTTTGACTTTTGTTGCCTCCTCAAGTCCGATATCCTCCAGACCTCGATCTACGTTGAAACGGTAGTATCTTCCTGAAGTGTGCAGCTGCGCCTTCTCGCGGCGGAATCGCTCTGCAGTCTGCTCTGTCTCGGTTGAGATCGCGACAAGTGTTTTGTGAATGTGGAAGGCATCGTCTTTGAACGGTTTAAGAGACGGTATGCCCGTGCCTATGGACACCAAGCACTTCACCTTGCTCTCCAGCTCTGGTTCCCACACTAGCTGTGCCTGGTCCCAAACCTCCCGCACCGGATTGTTCGCTCCTGTGGCCCCATCTACGAATTCCTCCCGAAATTGTCCCATGACTATTGGATCGAAGAAAGAAGACGCCGCCGAAGTGGCTCTACAGGCCTCCCATATCGTTACACTATTCCAAAGGTTGCTAATGCCGCGTAGTGGACGGTAGCTCGTCAGGCAGACCGTGTCTTTGGTCTCCCTACTCGTCGCGCACACAAACCTATGATAGTTAGCAAATGCGTCGCCTACCACCACCCAGTCAACCCACACTTTACACCTTGCATCTGGCGCATCCTTGAGCAGTGTGTCCTCTGGCAGACCCTGCTGCTTAATCACTTCTTTTATCGCCCGTACCAGCTCATCAGAGTCGAAACGTCCTTGGATCATGCCTTTGATAGTCACCCGATGAGCTTTTTTCTTGAAGACGCGGTCTGACAGCGACAGGTATGCTTTGATGCAGTCTGCTACGCTCATCTTCAGCCTTCCGAGCATAATAGCTATCAATCTGTGTCTTTCAGTACATAGTTATGAACACCTATAGCTATAAATGCCTGCGAGATTTCAAATACTCACCCGCCTGTGCTTGTCCCCCCAATCATGTCGAAATAGTCACACGGCTTGGGAGGGTCATCCGGGTTTACAGTCTCCATAAGTCGTTCCAGAATCAGTAGAGCAGACAAGCCGCGCACACCACCGCCATCGAGAGAGAGCAGGCGGGGATTGCTACCAGACATGGCCACTTTTGTGACATGGAGTATGCGTGGTTATGTCAAATGGTGTCTATTGGGGATCAAGGTAGGATGCGGTAGACGTTTCTGACAATGTCGATCTGAACAGACAGCGTTGTTTCCACGTGCGGTTGAAGGTGTAAGCCTCCCCTGCATGTAGAATAGACGACGAGTGACAAGGGTGATCAACGTCCCGCAAGCTGGGCGCGTAGAGGATGCGCCCTATCACGTGTTAGTTCTGCTTCTGTAGATAATATAGAACTGTAAAGTGCTTCTTTGTAAAAGTATCTAACCCTCCCCATTCAACCTCTCTGATTAATCTAGGATAAGGGTGTCCTGAAAGGAGAAAACCAGAATTGTAGATACTTGTTCGCTGATAATGACTACCTAACTACGATGATTGACTTGAAATTGAACTCGAGTATTGGATTTTACCAAAGACATAAGAGTGCCATATGCCAATAAAGCGAAAAATAATAGTCCTCAAACATTATGTGCTGAGCCTCGTAAGCTGAGCGTCAAATTGTCTACCAAGAGTGTAATAGGAAGATATACAGGTCCAACACAAAGCATTGACAATACAGCAAGGAGTATGTAAGTGCTATCATCCTCCTATCTGCTAAAGCAGAGGTATCACACAAGCACCTTAGACAAAACCTGTCTCCTTTCACGAGTTTGAAGAACCCAGCTTAACTCTTCATGAAGTTTTGTCCCCTCGACGATCGAAAGCACACTTTTCCATCAGTTAATTGCCTTCCCAGCTAAATCATCACTCAATGACATTCGACTCCGTGCAATATCGCTCTGTCCGTCACCGATCGTTTTGCAGGAGTACTCATCGTTGCAACTTTCGATATCATAGCGTAACCGCTGATCGTGCACATCCTTGGACACCGAACTTGTATCGTGACCACTTCCTGGCTTTAGCCATGAATGAAAAGAAACGTGGTTCCGTTTCTCTCTACGGCATGAGTTCAATATGCGTTTTGCAACACGGGATACTGGGCCGGATTTCAGGAGCGGTCCATACGTTGGCAGACATGCGCAAATAACGGCAGCGCCATATTGGATGTTTGTCCATAGAAGGGCAGTGGGAAGGTGTACTGTGCACAAGGCGTCAGATAGTTTAGAGAGGCTAGGTATCATCGCCCGTGGCTTACTGTTGATTGCTGTGTTTGGTGGTCTCCATACTCTTGTTATGCGCACTATGCTAGTTACACACACACTACAATATTAATGGATAGATTGGACGAGGGTTGGTTGCAACTCACAAGCCTCCTTGGAGAAAGATTGCGGCGACTAACACCTTCCGCCAGGTAGGTAATCGGAGTCTGCAAACCATCACAACGGGTAGAAGGAGGATGATGACATCGATGAGTAGGTTCGATATCTCGTAGCCCAGGATCACAGTCGCGGAGGGATAGCAGACCATTGGAGATGATGGCGAAGCTATTGAGAGGTCCCAGAATGCGTTAATAGGACGGCATTGCACCAATACAATGACGGTGGCGACAATAAGCCAGACGATGCACAACGTTGCAGTTGCGTATACCGCTTTCTTAAATGTTTCACTGGCAATGAATAGATTGTGGTAAAACGCAAGAATGCTGAGCTTGACAGCTGTGATACCGAAACCAAAGAGCAGCTCGATAATGAACAAAATCTATCACAAGATATGAGAATGTACTCCGTAGGTCGTCTTGAACTGGAGGCAAACGAACCTTGCGCAGCTCTCGTGGGGTCTCGATTAGACTCGTGTTGAGCGAATGGCGAAAGATGGCTGTTCGGGTACTTTAGCGTTTTACGAAAGGTCTAAATAATAGTTGAGGCATACAATATATTGATAACCCACAAAATACGTACAGGAACAGCAATGACACAAGACAAAGCCATTCTGCTGGTGGAGTAGACTGTTTCAACTTCCTGCGAGCAAAGTGTCGTAAGGCGACAGCTATAGTTGCTATTATTGCGGTAGCTACGCACGCGTCAAAATTGTATTGACCGCTATGATTGAGGTGTACCATGTCCAGATTCACTTGAAGTTACCTTATGGACCACTAGTGGCGACATCCGGCAGTTTATGTATGTTTTCATGGAAGCAGGCCTGGAGTTTGAAAATACTGCAGCTAAAAGAGCGAGATGGCGGTTACGATGGCGGGACGCCTCGCTGGCCGGATGTGTATTCGTGTATGTGCATATTCTGTCGGAAGCTCCTCCATCAATGTTAACCTTTAGGGGCCAAAAATGCTTTGCACAAACGGATGTCTTTTCGTTTGCTGCTGCACATTGAGAATATTTGGACCCCAACCTCCATCACATCACATTTCATCCGGGGGCCGAACGGCTCCACATCTCCCCGCATTTGATACATCATTGAATAAATATTATACTCATAACGGACTTCATCAAAAGCCCTAGACGACTACGGACTTCGCGACAGCGACTAACTGGTGCTGTAATCAATTGCGCTTTCAAGCACATTGCCCCTCGCAGACAATAAATTAATATTAAGGCAAATGCCAAGAGTATCTAACCATCACGCTGCAGCTGCATACGAGGACCATCTCGATCTCACGAGGTTATTAGTCTATAGAAAAGCGAGTTAGAGTCTCAAGAGACGTCAGATAACTTGTCAACGAACAGATGTCATCCACTATGGAGAATGCTAACTGACTACCAGAAGAACAGACTCTGATTGTAGTTTGTCTCTCCGAATGTTCCTCATGAAGAGAATGATGTGGAAGGGGTTATCACGTGTTGTTATACATTATATGTTTGTTTACTTCAAGTCGTGCTTCAGAAATGGATGGTTGTGAAGAGAAGTCATGCGTGATCTATTCCAACAATGCTCCATAATGGATCTCGTACCATGAACCAAATATCTATCATCTATACGGGTGCTGGCCATGTTATTTACAATTATTATGCCATCGCGGTCTTCCTTGAAAACCGCACCCAGGGTATCTTTTGTCCTCCAACAAAATGCAAATGCAAATGCAAACATCTTCTCTCAAAGCCGAAAATAGAAGAAGAAATAAGACACATGCTTCCACTCAAACAGCACTCTTCTCGACATCCCCCGCGGGACGAACCTCCTCTCTCGCAACCTGCACACCACCGGCCTCGGTTGAAGACCTTCCGCTCTCTTCACCGCTACCAGCAGACCTTCCCTTATCCCCGACATGTCCCTGCGTCCCAATGCTCATCCACGGCACAAACAAACACCCAATAACCGCCGGCCCCACCGCGAACCAAAACGTCGCCGCGAACGGCTCGAAATGATCATTAGCATAGTACCCACTCGTCGCAGGGCTCTTCTCCACGCCGTTGAAAATCGCCGTCGCGATACCGTATCCGATGGCCGTGCAGAGTCTCGTCAAGGTCTGGAAGAGCGATCCGGCGATCGATTGGCGGTTTGGTGGCATCGAGGACAGGACGTACATATTGGCGACGTTGAATTGGAAGTCGGCGCCGATGACGCAGAAGAGGAGGGCCGGGAATGAGAACGACCAGTATGAATCGCCCTGGCGCTGGACGGCGGCGAGGACGAAGGAGATGACGTAGGCGAAGCCGCCGATGCCCATGAGGAGTTTGTTGGAGATGCGGTGGAGGACGAGGGCGCAGACGACCTGTGTGTGTTAGCGGAATGGACAAGGTGGAGTGATTTGGTAGGGAGTGTATGAACTTACATTTGCGGAGAGGCCCATAATGACCATGGGGAGCAAGTGGACGCCGGTTTTGAGCGCACCCCAGCCTAGGATCTCTTGGAAGTAGAGCGCAAGCCAGAAGGAAAATACGGGGAAGCCGATGAAGCCGCAACTCATGCTTGCGAGCAACTGTTCAGATGGTATGTTAAGACTCTGTTCATGTTTAAAAAAGGGTATCGCCAGGGGTTACTCACGAGAGAGAAATCACGATCTTTCCAGATCTTCATGTCAATCAAGGCGTAAGGATACTTCATCTCCCAAATGACGAAAGCGATCATGATGACGATACCGACAACGAGTAGGGCAATAACATAAGACGTTTTCCATCCATCTTTGGCATCACCTCCAAGACTCAGAGCAGCACAGAACATTCCAATTCCAGCAATCGTCATGGCCGTTCCTGGCAGGTCCAACCTCTTGATAGTCTCCGAGGTAAACTTCATCTTCACCGTCTCATCGTTGGGCACGGTGAACCAGGCAATGATTGTCACAACAATGTACACAATCGCTAGCAACCACAACGAGGCCCTCCAGCTGAAGATTTGCGTCGCGATTCCGGAGAAGATTGTTCCGCAGACAAATCCCAAAGGATTACCGGCAGAGAAGGCGGCGAAGGCCTTGTTCTTGCGCTGCGAAGGCATCTCGTAGATGACGCCTAGCATTCCCTGGGCGGGAGGCACAGCAGCTGCAGCAAAGATTCCGAGAATGCCGTTCATGATGTCCAGAGTGATTCCGGTTTTGGAGAACCCGGCGGCGAGGCAGAAGACGCTGAAGAGAAACATAGAACCAATGAACATGGATTTGCGACCGAAGAGATCTGCGATGCTGCCGAAGAAGAGGAGAAGTGCGCCCGATGATAATCTGCATTGTAATAATTAGTTCGAGTTCTCATTCGCAGGTGTTTCGTTCGAGTTCTTACGAAGAGGCAGCGTTCATCCTATGAAAACATTAATACGCATACATTAATGTCTATGAATTGGACCAATGACTTACCAAGTGATTTCAGCATTCGTCATATTAAGTTCTTTGCCAGCAAATGAACTCATCACAGTAACAGAGCCAGTCAAGAACGATGTCATAGCCACCGCCATCGTGACCGACAGCACGAAGAGGATCTCCTGGAATACTGATTTGAAGCATGCTGGCCGTGCATTGGGATCCTTCAACGGTGGCGTTTCCATGCCGTCGTTCTCGTGATCAGACTCCATAATTTAGGGTAAAGAGTTCAATGGGGCCCCGTAAAGAAGAGAGCACCAAAGGACAGAAGGGCGGGTAATCACGAAGATTGGATCAAAACAGCGAAAGCCATGTGGAATGTGGAGTGCAAGATCTGATATAGCATTACCGTTTTATTGATGATTGCATCTGGGTCAGGTCAGGTAGTGGATACACGCGAGACCCATGTCAATTAATCAGCGCGGAACGAGGTGCGCGCGGACCGATGAGAGTTTCCAGAAGGGAAACCCTCAACGGTCCCTGAGATTTGCTTTCCAAGCGAAAAGAAAGATCCGCTATCGGATCATACTCGGGACCTAGACACATACACAATCCTCCCATCCAATCATGCCAATTCGCACTTAAAGCTATGCCAGGGGGCCGGGCAAATTATACAGATTTGGTCCCGATGATTTCGCGGTGAAAGGTTTAGTCTCTAAAGTTAGAGTTATTTGCAAGAACTTACAAAGCCATAGTGCTACAGGGTATTGCCGATGATGCTAGGCCTATTGTTACAGTGAGTACAGATGCGCTGACGTCTTACAGTCTATTACAGCTTAAAGACTTTCCAGTCTTGGAGGTCCATCTGCTGGAGCACGCCTCCTAGCGGGCCCTGCGTCTCTCTACCTGCCTCCCAGACCTTCTTACCAGCCCAGTAGTCAATGAACCCATCCGGACCGGATACGAGGATTACTCTTGATCCCTTTTCATGCGAAGGATTCCGGTCTAACTTCGCAATGACATCACCAGGCTTGATGAATTTCTTCTCCTCGTCAACATAGTACTGCACGCTAAGGCCCCTTGTCTGCGCCGCACTTCGCTCTTTCAGCGCCTCAAGTTCCTGAACGATGACGCCCTTGCTCATATTGATGTGAGCGTCCGCAAGAATAACTTTCTCAGCTGCCTGGTCCAGCCCAAAGAAGCTCTTCCACCATCCTACTCTGCTTTGCGGGACCGTCTCCTCGTCACTGATTCCACCCAGACATTCTTCTCTCCGCCTGTTCGCCCAGAGAATATGCATCTTGCTTCCGGTTCTCCTTCCTAATGCGTCCGCGACTTGCATCGCAGGCGCAATTCCAGTTCCTCCAGCTAGGAATATAACTTCTTTGATATCATGTGGCAGTTCACACTCCGTATTGGGACCCCGCAGCTCAATTGTCGCATCTTCAGGTAGTCTATGCAGATATGTTGACACCTCCCCGCCCTGCTCCTGTCTAATCAACAATCTCAAATCCGCGGCCCCTTCATCGTCGGCTTTGTGTGATGGGGAACGAGTCTTAGGTAGTGGTGTATAAGCTCTCGCGATTTGTAGTTGCGGCTGCTTTATCTGTACACTCCATACACTTCGCTTCGACGCTTCTTTTATGCTTTCGTTGTTCGTCGCACCGGTCTGGTTTCGTAGTGTGAATATCGCGCTGGTCGAGGAGACGCTCTGCTTGTCCACGAGGGCGTACGGAGTAAATGTGTGAGGGTTCAACGACGATTCGGAGGAATTAGACGGGCGCGTGTAGCGGTACGCAGCCCCGCCCAGGGCAGAGGTTCCGAGGATTATTAGGGGACCGCCTCGAGCGCGGAAGAAGGACATGGTAAGGAAAGAATAGAAGCAGAAAAATAAGGAATGCGGACGGAGAGAACTCGAGTACGGTGGAGGTAGTTAGATATGCGGGATGAAATGTTGCACAGTGTTACCAGAAGATTTCCAGGGTTCTGGTGCAGATGGGTCCGTGCGCTCGTGGTATTCTCCCAGATATTTGGTTCTGGTAAAAGCCTATTTCAAGAACATGCAATTGCTAATGAAGATATTATGAAGGGTTTCTCGTTCTGTCAAATAAGATGTCTCATCAGAAATGCTCATACAATGTGGCATCCAATCGTTTAAGGCAAACCCTTTTTCCTTAACGCAAGCCAATAGACGACGTCATACTTTACTCCAGTATCATACTCTAGTATCCGTAACCAGTACCATACTCCTTTCCAGGGGCATTGTTCTGCCATGACTGTCCAGGGATTTGACCTTGTTGAACACCATTCCAGCCTTGAGGTCTAGTACAAAACCACTATGAAGGTGTCAGTTCTAATGTCCACCAAGTTCACGATAGCAGATCACAAAAAGAAAGAGCAACATACCGTATCAGTTTCGCTGTAACTCTCAGCAGCCGACACCTTGTGAGAGACACTGGTAGCCAGCGTCCAACCATCAGCATCAAGACAATCGAGCAACGTCAAAAGGAGCTCCCGCGTTCTCATCGTCTTCGTCCCATCCGCCCACCATGGATTTCCATCGAGTTTGATTTCGAACACCCCATTCTCAATAACACCATGCCTCTCAATCCATGAGGGACCCAATCGCTCAATAACCAAACTCGACAACCTCGGCGAAGCTGTTCACAATCGTCAGTCAACCACATCTTCATCCCAGACCAACATCCAAAATACATACCCCCAATAAACCTCAACCGATCATCCTTCGAAAACGCCACGCAGCACCACTCCTTCCTCTCCACCGCCTCCACCCTCCTAAACAGCACAGTATCCTTATCATACAACTTTTTCGACACATCCGTCGACGCAACCACCACATACCCATTATCCGCCACCGCCCTAAACACCTCCAACAACATCGCTCTCGCCTCCATACTACTCGACCCACTCCCCTGCCACGGGTACCCGTGGACTTTGAACTCAATCGACCCGCCGTACTCCCTCTCGTGCTTGAGGCCCTTGGGCCAGGCGCGCGTTATGGCGGTCCGCACGGCGGAGACGACGGGTGGAGGGAAGTGCAGGAGGCGGAGTTGGTCCCATTCGTGCATGGAGACGGAGGCGTGGAGGGAAGGGGGCGTGTATTGGCCAGAGGCGGAGGCGTAGGCGGGGGAGGAGGTGGAGGAGGATTCGGTGAGGCCGAGACGGTCGCGGAGGCCCATGGTTGCGGTCCAGAAGGTGAGGTTGTGCGTGTGTATGTTTGTATATCTCTTCTTGATTTAATCGTGCCTTTGCTGTATCTTATAGCTGTCGTCGTAGGTCGTAGTCGTGCTTTACATTGAAAAATCTCCCCCAAATTCTCAATAACAAAGTCATACAATCTCAATTAATGAATCAAAAATATCAAATTTCATCAAACAGATACCTTCCATCCCAAGACCTTTATACCTCCAACCCCATCCCATACCATTCCATCATATCTGACGCGCCGAACCCTCGGCACAATTATTTCTCCCTTTCGAGCCTAGCTCCATCGTCTCAGCCTCACAGCAAACCCACCTTTCCGCAAGGCTGACCACCAACGTTTATACTTAATAATGATCGAGCGATTCCAAATTGGGAGAATTTCATGTACAAGAGACTTGGGGGATTGGGGGCGGAATTGGGTGGTATTTAGAAGAAAGGGTAAGGGTGGTAAGCGGAGGGAGGTTCAGCTGGTCATAGTTGGGTTGCTATGATAGCTAGTAGCTGATATTAACATAGGAGGGTAGAGGGAGGGCTCGGAAAAGAATATTTGTGGGTGATTAAATTGTTTGTAGGTATGTTTTATTGGTGACATTGATGTGTTGTGGTATTTGATGTAATATTTGCTATGCTGTCGTTGAAGTTGGAATAGATGGGTCTGGGAATTGTAGGGAGGGATTTGCTTGAAGATATAATCAACGCGACGAAATTTTGCGACTAAAGGTCATTATAAAGCTAGAACTAAGGAAATTTGCATGTGAATGGCTTCTTAAAAATAAAATTGAAAGCTGTATGTAAGGGAATGGTGAATTGTTGCCAATGTTACGGTGAGCAGTCCAAGGCGAAGAACAATAGTCACAGAGATGAACAATATCACATACACATGAGCGCAAGGTTGTTAACAAATCAACTTTTGGATATCCCTACACCGCGTTACGAAACCGTAATGTACAGAGGGACCCCCATATATAAGCTGCCCAAAAACTCCAGCGGATGCAGATCGTTCCAGATGGGTATACAAGACTAATAGACAGATAGATGCTTTCGCTCCCCAGGGTCACAGCTCTAACCCGTGCCACCGATTTCCTTCTTCACCCAGCTCTCCAAACCTCCGAGCGCGATGATCTCTTGAACGTTGGGTGGGAGCTCGCCGACCTTGATGCTCCATTGTGCGCCGTTGGGGCCTTCTTGGACGGTGACCTTGCTCCTACGGACATCCCATTCCAAGGTCCATCCGGTTCTCCTGGTGAGCTGCTTGGCCTCGGCGGGTTGAGCAACTGCGCCTGGAGGAGGAGAGTCGAGCGACTCGCTGTTTTGGGAAGGCTCCTTCATGGCCTGCTGTGAGGATGGAGGTGCAGTGGATGAGAAAACCTCTCGGAGGCGGTTCGCCAGCTTAGGCACTTCGACGCCCATAAGGGCATTGTTGATGCTGTTCCTGCTGAAGATGTTGCCGAAGCTCCCTGCAACAACGAGCGGGATGCCCTTGGCCAGGATGGCGGTTGCGGCCTGTTCACGACTGCTACCGGTGCCAAAGTTGAAACCAGACACGAGAATATCGCCTGCCTTAGCGATGGAACCGAATGAGGGATCGTAGTTCTCCATACACACTTCGGCCATCTTCTCGCGCGTCACGTCGTCTTGGTAGGTGTATTTTCCTGGGTAGATGCCATCCGTGTTGATGTTGTCAGCATCGCAGAACACAATCTCTCCACGAATGCTCTCAGGGAAACCGGGTAGAATCTCAGTCAGGGATTCCGACTCCGATTCCGCAGCGGGGGTTGGGTTGATGGATTGATTCTCCGTGGCGGCATTCTCGACCGACTCGATCATGCCTTCGGCCTGCTTAATTGCCTTCTCAAGCATATCCTCGATGGTCATCATACGCTCCTCCTCAATGATACCGTCACCCTCGCCTCGGCGGACACCAGCGTAGCCCTCTGGTGCTTCGTACCAGCCAGGGCCAGAGATAATTCCCGACAAGGCGCTGGCGGCGACAACTTCCGGGCTAGCGAGATAGGCCTTTGCGTCTGGTGAGCCCATGCGACCCTTGAAGTTACGGTTGCTGGCACTGATTCCAACCTCGCCGGGCTCGAGAAGGCCGGTGCCGAGTCCAATGCAAGGGCCGCACCCGGAGGGAAGAGCCTGTGCACCGGCTTCGAGGAGAACTTGCCAATCGCCCTGTTCCTCAGCTGCACGCTGTTCGGGTATCGATGCAGCTGCGATGTAGAAGTTCACGTGGTCCGGGAGTTTGGGGATCTTACCGCCATTGGCAGCAGCAGCGTCTTTGAACACCTTTGCGGCGGCAGCAATATCAGAGCGACGAGAGTTGGTGCAGGAAACGAGGTAAGCCTTGTCAACCTTGATGGCCTGGTCTTGGAGCTCCTTCAAAGGAGTGGCAACCTTGACCGAGTTGGGTCCGGCGACGTAGGGAGACAATGTAGAGAGATCGAGGAAAAGCTCTTTGGCGTAGACAGCCCCCTTATCGGCAGCAAGTGCAGGCTGGAAGATGTGTCCAGTCTTCTCTCCCACAATACCGGTGGCGGAGAAGAGCTTGTCGATGCGCTCGTGAACGAATTGCTGAGCGTGGTGGTCCTTGTAGTCGGTGGCACCGTAGATAGCGGCCTCGGTAGCCTTCGACCTCAGCCAACCATGGAGAACTGCGTCGATCGGGAAAAGACCGCTGAGCGCACCCCATTCGGTAGTCATGTTTGCAATGGTCAGACGGTCGTCCACAGGGATGGTTCGGAGAGTCTCGTCGCTTCCAGTGAACTCAATGGCATGATTGAGGACATCATCCTTGTTGAACAGACCGGCAAGAGCAACAATGACGTCTTTGCCAGTGACGCCCTCGGGCATTGTACCGACCAAGTTGACCTTGGCTACCGGAGGGATTTGCCACCAAGTCCTGCCCGTTGCCCAGATACTTGCAGCATCTGTTCGAACCACAGGTGTTCCCAAGCATCCAATGCCTCCATACATGTTCGAGTGACTGTCCGATGCTACGGCCAAGGTACCAGGCCAAGCATATCCCTCCTCGACCATAATCTGATGTCCAATGCCTCGTCCAGCTGGGTAGAACACTACACCCTGCTTCTTGGCAAACTCTTCAATCTGGCTGTACTTTTTCAAGTTCTTCTCGGTTTTGTTCTGGACATCGTGGTCTAGTGTCATGACGATCTGGTTGGTGTCGTTGATCTTGGTAGCGCCAATGGACATGAATTTCAGGGCAACGGGCCATGTGTTGTCGTGTGTCATGCACTTATGTGGCTGTAGAGTGACATAGTCTCCCGAACGGAGGACTTTGCCCTCCGCAACACCCGCAGCATGCTTCTGGACGATCTTCTCAGTCAAAGTCTGGGGGATCTTGGCCTTCTGCTGAAAAGTGGAGAGAAAGTCGGCTCCGGCACCCTCTCGCATGGAATGGAAGACATCTGGAGTCTCCTTTCGGGGTACCGTGGTAGCGAAGGCACGGAGGGAAGAACTGGTACGGGGATGATTCTGGGTAGCGATTCGCAGAGGAGCGCTCAACCGAGGCTACAAAAGTATTGAGTTAGCTAAGGTGATACTTTGTTTACTACATGTTGTGTAAGTACCAGAAATTGCCTGCGGCCGATTCGGGAGGCCACTCGCAGAGACATAGCCATTGTCGCAGTTACAGCGAGTTTGCAATTGACGATGACGGAGGAGATGTTGATGTTTGAGTCGCACTCATTCTGGGGAATTTTTGGGGTGACTAAGCCGAGTTTGGGGTCACGGCCGACTTCGGTGGTTGTCAGCAGCTTTCGATTGGACGAAAGGGCGACTTCGCTTGTCTGGCCTGTCTCTTGTATGCACTCAATCGATCATGTGCTTGGAGATGCTGCAAGTTTGCTGTACAATATAGTAGGAGTTATATCACGTTATTACTGTTGTCATAATAATGACTTGCTTTTTTCGAAAGGCTCCATTAGATGCATCTGCATTGTGGCTGCATTTTCTTGCTCAACCGAAACCGGCCAAATGACCATTCGAAGGCGGCGGGGAAGGCGAGCATTCCGTAAATTAAGATGATGAAAAGACTTGGAGTCATACAAAAGTCGACCAAACAGACTAGTCACCTAATTATCCTATTACTCACATCCGCCCACTCCATTCTCTTTCATCAATTGTATTTAAGAGATACCTGAGACTTCTTCAACCGACTGTCAATTATTACAGTCATTCGTCACCATGGTTAACCGTTCAGATGTCCATTACTTCGGCGCGGGCCCCGCACCCCTCCCCACCACGGTGCTTGAGCAGGCCTCGCAGGTGCTCTTGAACTATAACAATAAAGGCATTGGCCTTTGCGAAATCTCTCACCGTTCACCAGAAGCGAACGAAATACTCGCAAACACCAAGCAATCGCTTGCTACTCTCCTCGACATCCCCGACGACTATGACATTCTCTTCATGCAGAGCGGCGGCACTGGCGGGTTTAGCTCAACAGTATACAACCTAGTATCGATATGGGTGGAGAAGAAGCGGGCTAAGATTGCAGAAGAGGTTGGAGATGACAAGGAAGAGGTGCTCAAGAGGTTGCGAAAGGTCGTTGACGAAGAATTGAAGCTTGACTACCTCGTCACTGGCTCATGGTCGCTCAAGGCTTCCCAAGAAGCTGCGCGCCTGGTTGGAGCCAAACATGTCAACGTCGCAGTCGATGCCAGGAAGTCAAATGATGGAAAGTTTGGCAGCATCCCGCCCGAATCGGAATGGAGCCTCACCCCCCGAAAGGCCGGCGGACCCGCCTTTGTGTACTTTTGCGACAACGAAACCGTCGATGGCGTCGAGTTCCCTTCCTTCCCCGCCAGCCTGGAGGGTGACGACGCCCCCTTGGTGATCGCCGATATGTCCTCGAATTTCATTTCGCGCAAGGTCGACGTCTCCAAATATGCTGTCATCTTCGGTGGCGCGCAGAAGAACATTGGTAACACTGGTATCGCAATTGTCATCCTCCGCAAGTCCCTTCTCCCTCCAACCTCCGCCTATGCTTCAGCGGAAACTCTGAGGGCACTCAACCTGCCAGTGGGACCTATCGTCCTGGACTATCCTACGGTCGCAAAGAATAACTCGCTCTACAATACCTTGCCCATCTTTGATGTCTGGGTCGCAGGCCAGGTCATGGCTGGACTGGTGACGACATATGGTACCAAGAAGATTGGAGGACAGGAGGACGTATCCAATGAGAAGTCCCGTCTAATCTACGAGACTCTTGACAAATATCCGGATGTGTATCGAGTCGTACCCAGCAAGGCTGCTCGGAGCAGAATGAATATCTGCTTCAGGGTCCACGGCGGGGATGCTGACAAGGAGAAGGCATTCCTTGCCGGAGCCGAGAAGAAAGGCCTTCTCGGTCTCAAAGGCCACCGCAGCGTGGGCGGAATACGTGCTAGCAATTGTGAGTACAGCCCCTACAATCCTCCCTGATATCACGGAGTGTCACAGCGACATTGTGAGGATGTCAGCCTGGGTACTTGTGTATGCTATACATGCAGTATGGTCAGGCAAGTACCTTTGTACTTGTCCCGATGCGCTGTCCATACCCATATCCGTACCACAGACAGTACAGGCTCGGTATGGTGCAATGCGACGAAGGATCTGCATGAACGATTCGACTTTTTGCGTGGGCATGTCGTACTAACTCGTTTTGTGACACAGACAATGCAGTTTCTACGGACGGAGCAAAGTTACTTGTGACATATTTGGACGAATATGCAAAGTCGGCATGAGTGGCAAAGGCATAATGGCATGACAGTTACATGCGAAAAATTACATGAGCAGGCGTTCCGCTATACAAAAAGTCTCCCATTTCCACCTTGTTAAACCATGGTGGCGTATCTGGCTGTGTAGAAGGCTCATTCAACATGATACCCACCTTTAGGAGAGAACACAATCAATCTACTCGGTGCTGATTCTTCCAAGGCATTTACATCATCCGCCCCTGGTGCAGACCTCCGAATCTGCCTATATGCGGGCTTGCTATTGAGTGCATAATTGAACGTTTCCACGGAAGCAGCCCGTCCTCATAGCCTTGGACGTAGTGACAAACATTAATTTCGCCCAACGAGGGACAGGATCGGAGTTCTCGAAAGTTCTCCACATGGTGAAGTTCATGCCTTAGGTTCACAGGAGAATATAATGGATTGTAGATCATGATAGTAGAGCACCCCACGTCCAGTATACTGGATCTCTTATTCGAGGTTCGGCCTCGATAGGACTTTGGTGCGACGAAGCAGGTCTCGACCCAGCCAAATGCCCGCTGCGCGCAAGCCGTACCTCGCCTAAGGCAGCTATTGACCGGGCTCAACTGAAAGCATTGAAGATCTTCGGTGATTTTCGCAAATTGTTGAGTTTGCTGATGCTCAATTGCGACATACCTGTCCACTCCCTCAACACCACAATTGGCTACATTTCTACACTCAATCGCCGTCCTAGATAACCAATTTACGGGCGGCAGCTGTTTCGTACAATCTCTCCTGCTGACTCTGATGACTTCTGGGAGATGAAAGATTTCTATAATAAGCGCTGGTTGACACTGAAGGCGATTGGGATATGCAATTACTGTCACCTTGGTCGTGGACATTGAAAACGCCCAGAGCTTTCCCCAGACAAATCTTACTCGCTTGTATGCCTGTAATAGAAGTTAGCCTCTACCCTTCCCGTTCCTCGCCTCCTATCACGACCGGGCGGCTGGCAGCCCCGAACACTTTCCCTATCTCCATCCTCGTCGCCCACTGGCTGGGTGTAGTTATCGCAGACGTAGTCAAGCGTGGCGCTGTTAATGTCGGGGACTCGAAAGGGTCGTCGACCTTGCACAGATTACAGGCATTCCCGGTATTGCATGTGGTTGCATGGACATCTGGAGCTGCTAGCGTCTCATGCACCCTGGAAGCGAGGATCTGCGGCAGACCTAAACCACCAACCGTCAGAACCTAACCCCGACATCGTCAACCTCACTGCTCACTACTCAGGACTGGAAACCCCCCCAATTGCCTTGGGGCTCTCTCCAGTTTCTCGACGCGCCCATAGTGGTACCTAGATACGCCCAGAATAGAATATCAATCAAAGAAACGAAACCATCGCGACTAGAGCAAGCGCTTCTCTGTCACGATGGTCTATCGAATACTCACAGTTGACGCCGGTTGCAATTGAGACGAAGATAGCTGTTGCTCAAATTCGTATGTCGAACTAGCTAACAGTTGACCATTACATCATGAAATTCCAGTGACCACTGCCAATGGGAGCTCGTTCCATCCGCACAGGCGGCATCTTTGTGGCTGCTGCTCACCAGCCGCCATACCCTACGGCCTGGTCTCTGAACGGGTCTCTCTACTCCCGTTGCCCAGCATCCCTGGGAGTGTGCGGTTTGCATGATGTTGAAACCCATTCTTGACCTAGCGCAACATCGTAATGCCCTCTAGTATAGCCCAAACCGACCTCCGCCAATGCTTTCCTATCAACAGTTGGAATGACAGACGCCTCAGGACCACTGTTCCGAAACCCTGCACTACTGGTCACCTACCTAGGGCTCCTCATATAGTGTTTGACGTCTCATACTCGTCTCCTGGTTCACTGCTTTATGCCCACACTCTCTTTCTTTTCGTTCACACTGCTGGCAGGTTCAGGCATTTCACGACTGACGCTGGACAGGTTACGCTCTCTTGTTCAACCATCAGTCGCTTTTGCCTCAAATGAATTCCTAGAGTTTAACTTTCTTTTAGCCGCTGCTGGTTACCAGCGTTCAATCTTCTATTCCTTCTTGTGTATTTCTTTGCGGGTCCTGGCAAGATGGAAAGATGGGTGCCTCCGACCGTCCAGCTCGACGCCCGATCGCATTTCAATATGACTCTCAACGTATCGGCCGTTCGTGAGGTTCCCTGGACAGCATCGAACGGAACCCGAGCTCTCATCGCCAACCTTCAACTACAACAGGTGCAGACATTGCGGACGATGCATTTGACTTTGGGGGCTTTCAGTCTGGCTTTGGCGCTCTTGACGGTCCATCGTATCATCTCAGACGCGAGGAGGGTGGCAGCAGTGCAGGTTTCGCAGAAGAAACAGTGAGTATAGCTATTGGAAATGCGAGGACTGAACACTGACAATTACACAGACGCTTCGGCCTCCTCCAGTGCGTTCATCCCGCAGAGACATTCCCACTCGTACTGGCTTGCGGTGCGGTTATACAACAAACTATTTTCGTATCAGTGCAGAGCACATCCCTTCGTAGTGTATTATCTAACAATTGTCGTGGTTTGGCCATGATCACATTTCCAGGTATGTTCATGATTTCGACATCTCCATAGGATAGAAACTGACAAGCAGCAGCAATTTTCCTTACAGGATACGTAACGCTAGTATTTGGATTCGAGATGACCATACGGGCCTTCAAGTACGAACGATTCGCACCGAGAGGAAAGTGGAACACGAGCATCTGCATCGGCATAATTTCCTTCCTCCTCCTCCTGACCTGGATGCCCACCGTTATCTGGCCAATGTTCAACCGGTGTTTTGGCAGCCTCGTCTGGTTTCCCGTTCGTTATGAGCTTATTGCTATTTGCATCCTCAGCGTCCTCGTCTTCTTCTTCCTTCTTCTCGCGGCATTGATCAGCATTCAGTTGATGCGAACCACCAAGATCGACCCGAACGAGCGAATCGCAGCGTCGAGGATGTGCTACTACCTGTTGATCAGCACACTCATCTACGTGAGTACTTTGCAAGAGCCTTTTAAAATGTCCAGTAGCTGATAGAACAACAGACACTCGTGATTCCCGTACAGATCCAGGCCCACCGAAAGGACTTCTTTAATGCCCTCGCCACTTCGCGTATTGCTGAGATCGCTCTCTTCACCTCCGGCATTTTCTTTGCCTTCTTCCATCTCTTCCTCCGAGTAAACGCCACACGTATGGTCATCAAGCCCATGAAGGATGAAGGTGATTCTTCTCTGCCTGCCGCAAAGCGACCAAAGATTCGATTTTTCGGCCCAAGCGATCTGGAGATGAACATCAGTGGACCTCTGGCTCTCCAAGGTGGACAAAGGCCCGACAGCCGACAGGGCTTGATTGACGTTGGCCCTGAGAAGAACCGCTACGAGTTTGACCCCGAATACTTCAACCGACCAGAGCGACCACTGACCCCTGGGTCAATGAAGTCCCTAGGACCAGTCGACCCAACCAAATGGCCACTTCCCCCGGACCCAGTCCAGACCAGCTATTTCAACGAGCCTAAAGACGGCACAGAGGGACTTCACAAGCGCAGCAAGTCCTCGTACTCACTGTTCCCCACTCGTGCGGAAGAGATTCCACGACTACCTGCGACCGTCTACTCACCCGAGAAGCCCACAGCAGACAGCAGAATATCCAAGCTCGCACTCCGACGCCAGACACGACGAAGCTCCCTCGGCGGCAAGTCCGTCACAGACGTCACTGAATGCTTCAGGAACCTCACCAAACCGGCACCGCTATTCGCAAAGAGCCATCGTCGAGACATGAGCACTGACAGCAGCGCAACGGTACAAATCGGACTTCGTTTCTCGGTTGCACCGGCAACACTTCTTGCTGCCAAGTGTACCACGGCCACTCGTGAACAGCTGCAGCCATCGATGCCAATCCTCCGAAGAGACAACTCTGACTCCAGCAACGAGAGCCTAGGTCTCCCGATCCAGTCTCCCTCCAGCCGAGACTCGTCCTCAACCAGCATCTCTGACGGAGCTAGCGTCTCTGCCTTCCCCCAACCTCCAGCACCAGTAGTAGCATCGCCCACCAAGACGCCCCCGTTCCCCAAAGACAGCAGCGCGTACCTCCAGCAACAGCGCGAGAAGGTGCTCCCACCAACCCCCAAAGCCTTCGCATCTGCGATGCCCACGCCACCACCCGCGACCGCGCAACCCAGCGCTGTCGCTGCATTGAGTGGCCTGAGGATGAACCCCGTCTCGCCCACCTCGCCCGCCAGCATGAACCGATCCACAACTCGATCGCCAACCCGATCCCCAACAACACGGTCACCAACCGCGAGGATCCCACTCGGAGAGGGAACAATGGCAAGGAGTCCACCACCCAACGGCTGGATATAAACCCCTCGCCATCTTCCTTCCCTTCCTTTCCTCTTTCCGCACGACACATCGACTTGTAGATTGCTTTTGATTCCCACCTTCCCCCCATTGTACGATAGGCGTTTCTTCTCACTCACTCACTCACCACATTTTCTCTTCCATCATTTTCTTAACCCCCATTTTAACGCACCGAGATTCACTTCTCGGTCGCGCTCGCCGCGCACTTTGTTTCGGGAAAGACCAGGGGTCTTCACAGGGGGGCCAAAGGGGAACAAGGGGGTTATCCATTTTCTGAGGCGTTCCGATGTTTCACATTTTCTTTCCCCTTCTTTGGTTCTTAAACTATTCACGTACCCTACGCCAGCCAGACAGACTCACTCATGCTTACACACATGTAAAGACCCCCTTATTATCCCATCACACCCCATCACTCCCCATCTATAGCTACGATAACACAACACCCCCCGCAATGAAAGACAATGCATTTGAAGTCATATTGAGTTAGCGTTCGATGATCTACCTCCCCGTCCTGTGTCTTTGGTTCTTCTGTGTTCAATTACGCATAACACCTGTCAAGCACTGTTGCCTTCTCACTCCTCTCGTTCTACAACTTCACGTCTACGCCCAACACACTCCCTCTTTCTTTCTCCCTTGTACTCTCACCGTCGGTGCAAGCGTCGACGGTAACAATCTCTCCCATAATAAACACCTCATCACTTTACCCTACTCATCTACGAAGGATTGAAGAAAGATGGGACGGAGATGCGTAGTTAGAAACTAAAATCCAAATCACAATGCCTTTCTTTCCATGCGTGGTCGTCTAGACGAAGAACAGAAAAGCGCTTCTACTCACATTGCCACGGGAAGTGATGTATCATTAACGAACGTACTCATGGCTCACCCAATGTAGTGGGAGAAGCACAACATGGGTATACCGTATGCCTAAACATAGCACCCAGTCTACAGGCGAAAAACCACTCACCCCTCGTAAGTTCGAGTGGGACAGTAGCGTTGGCCTTAGGCATCGAGGCATCGGCGAATAAGTGTTAAGGACGCGTGGTCGGATGGGCTTTCCGGTGCGGAGGAAGGGTCCTGGCGTATTTCCACCCGTTCGTCGCGTGTGTGAGGTTGCGGGGGAGATTGATGGTGACGAGGTGGGGAGGTGGCTGGGCTGGGTTGATGAGACGGCTGTGGACATGGGGTACAGTGTCGTGGGATTGTTGAGTGGGCGCGTGGGGGGAGAAGACGGTAGATGGTAGGGGGGTATTGTGCTCTTCGGGAGGAGGTGTTTGGGTTGCGATATCTCTGCCGTGTTGCTGGTATATTGAGTCATGGATTCGTGAGTGCATGTCTGTGCTACGATCACGATTCATATCATTAAGTGCTCAAGTTCACCAGAGTTCGAGAAAGGAGCAAAAAGAACAGGACTCTCATGAGCGTCGTATATCTACATTCAAGGTATAACATTCCCTTTTTTCTCTTCTTTCCATGTCTGATTATGTCGTTAAGCCCCTTCTCATCTCGTCTCATTACATTTCCACCGTTATGAAGCCGAAGTCCATCTTTTCCAAAACTTCCACCCGTACCCGCCATCACCCTCATGATCTCCAATCTGCCGGAACCGGCCCTTCTCTTTGTTTCGTCTGCGGCCTACCCAGCCGAACCAAATTGCCAGGCCGACGACCATGAAGGCGAGGACAAGGAGTGTTTGTACTGGTTCTGCGAAGACGGCACGTGAGAGGAGGAAGAGGGACACGCAGCAGAAGATGATGGGTGTCGTTATCCAGGTCTTGTAGGGCCGCTCCAGGTCGGGCTCCTTGACGCGGAGGATGATGAGGCCGAGGACTGTCAGGAAGTAGAAGGAATATCCTGCAACGCCGTAGAATGTGACCAGGGTGTCGAATGTGCCGACGAAGATATAAAATGCAGTAAGCAGGGCGTTCAGAGCCATGGCAGTTATAGGTGTGAAGAAGAAGCCGGCGTCTGCGTCTGCGAAGAAGTCGATGAATAATGTGGTTATCTTGGACTTCGAGGGATTCGCGTTCAATGTGTGGAGTCGGATGGCGCGATGTGATTTCCCTAATCCTATGGAGCCGAACAGCGAGGGTAAATATCCTTCCTTTCCTGCTGCGTAGACTAAGCGTCCGCTCGTAAATGTCGTAGCATTCAAAGCGCCAAAACACGATCCAGATACAAATAGGGCGAGAACGATCGACCCAACTGGTCCAAATACCTCTTTTCCAAAAGCTACCGCAATAGTGTTGCTTGACTCGATCACCGAGATTGGTAGGACCAGGAAGTAGGATACGTTGGCGAGTAGGTAGCATGCGATGACGATGGGGAGCGAAGTGTGAATGACGCGTGGGAGATCTCGAGTCGGGTTCTTGAACTCGCCTGTGACATAATTGACGTTATCCCATCCATCGAATGCCCACAATCCAGAGTATAGGGCGACTGCCCAGTTGGAGATGTTTGTGCTTGTGTTGTCGAACCAGCCGTTCTTTTTCCAGTCGTCACTCGCATCTCCTGAGTAAGAATATCCGGTGATCGCAACCACGATTCCAATGACCGTCACTCCAAGGAGGGCGACGAATTTCAAAAACATAAAGACATCCGCGCTTCGTGTGCCGAGCTTGGTAGAAATGCAGTTCAGGAGCGTCACCAGAACCAGTCCGGCCAGAGCAACACCTTTGTTCAGCCAACTGCTGGCATCTGCAGCATCTGCGCCGATCACTACTCGGACAAGATACTCGCCGAAAATGATGGCAATAATGGCGGCCGAACCGGGTTTGAGAACCATCACAGCGCACCAGGTGAACAGGAATCCCGCCCATTCCCCGAATATCTTTGAGAGGTAAACTTGGGCGCCGCCATTCAAAGGGATCGCTCCACCGAGCTCTGCGTAGCTCGCCGCACCCGTCCACGCCAAAATTCCAGCAACCGCCCAAATTATGAGCGACGCACCAGGCGAGCCAGCATTGCGATTCACTTGTGACGGGGAAGAGAATATCCCGCTTCCAATTATGAGTCCAACAACCAAAGACAGACCATTGAGATATGTCAAGCTCTTATTCTTCTCTAATGATCCTCCATTGAGCGCATTCGACGGATCTAGGGCAGGATTCGAGGGCGCACCAAGCGCAGTATATCCCTGTGATGTGCTAGAGAGTGGGAAAAGATTGGGCGCAAAATCGAATGCTGAAGATACGCTGTATGATCGATTATGTCGTGGGCGGCTATCATCGCCATGGCCGGCGGGATTCAGTTCGGAAAGGGGATCTTCATCGTCGAAGGACAAACGCCGCGAGGAAGCCGGTCCGGACTCTGAAGATGATATGGAAGTTCGCTGAGAGGGGTGCGACGAGGAGGCCAGCGAAGCCAGTTCGAGAGAGTCGCGTGTCGGGGGTTGTGAGATTTGTGAATAGCGACCGGCCATGCTGCGCGCGGGAAGGATAAGCTACCTAATTTGTGCTTCTGAACAGGCCATGAACTTGTCGGAGTTATTTTGAACGGATAGTTTTTGTACGTAAATGTGTATGTGTGTGAATAGAAATAAGGGGCACCACCGCAACGTGCCCCTTTATTGTGTGGATAAAAGAATGGTAGCGGTGAATGGATGGTGAAGAAACGGAAATGGACCTGCTGCGACGTCAAAGATCCCTACGCCGTAGATGAGACTAGTGCCCGCCCGCATTTCGACGTCCGAGCTCCTTAAGACTTAGACTTTAATTAGACGAAAATCATAGGCCCGCCGTTGAAGCTTGATCTGATCTGATCTCTAACGAATTCCTGTCGAAAATTGCAACCCATGACATGAGGTTTGAGCCGCCCTTCGTCTGCCATTGAGCGACATGCCTTTCGCCCAGGCAATGCGAAGCCTTCATGCTCACCCTCTAGGCTGGAGGTGTGCTGCCCGCCACCTCTACTCCGTGCAGAGACGCGCCTCCTCCGGAGTCTCCACCTCCACTGAACGTGATAAGCAAGTCGACCTTCCAGGACTGGATTCCAAATGGCGATCAAGATGGAGGGGCCTTGAAGATACAAAGGAAACCGGTACATATAATGATGTCCACACAGAGCGGAAGAAGTCATTTGTGCTGCCTATGTTCCCCTACCCGTCTGGTACTCTGCACCTTGGACATCTCCGCGTCTATACAATCTCCGATGTGCTCGCGCGATTCAAGCGAATGAATGGCTATGATGTAATACACCCGATCGGATGGGATGCTTTTGGTCTGCCGGCAGAAAATGCTGCATTGGAAAGAGGAGTCCATCCGGAAAAATGGACACTACAGAACATCGAGGCGATGAAGAAGCAGATAGAAGTTATGGGCGGACGCTGGGATTGGGATCGAGTTCGTCCTTCGACCACCATAGAACAATACAATAATTTTGCTAAGACAAGAGTAGGAGTTTCGTACTTGCGATCCTGAATTCTATAAGCAAACGCAGCGCATTTTCCTAATGCTCCATAAAGCTGGTCTTGCCTACCAAGCCGAATCCCTCGTGAACTACGACCCCGTTGATAAAACTGTCCTCGCGAATGAACAAGTGGATGCCAATGGTTGCTCTTGGAGATCTGGCGCACAGGTACAGAAGGTTATGCTCAGACAATGGTTTCTGAAGATCAAGGACTTTCAAGTGCCTCTTTTAGAAGACCTTGTCGAGCTTGAAAAAGACGGCAGGTGGCCAGAAAGAGTGCTCGCTATGCAGAAGAATTGGCTGGGCCGGTCATACGGGACCAAGCTACGTTTTGATATCAAAGGAGCTGGATCATCTATCCAGTACGACCCCGTTGATGTCTTCACCACCAGAGCAGACACCATTTTTGGCGTCCAATACATTGCACTGGCGCTAAATCATCCTATTGTTCAAGCTCTATCAACCGAAAACGAGGCGTTATCAGACTTCATCACGAGTGCCAAGGATCTCCCTGCAGACTCCAAGGCCGGATTTCTATTACCGAATGTTACTGCCGTTAACCCAATCAACAATGTGCTACGACGACCAGGAAACGAAGTGCCAATTTTCGTCGCACCCTACGTACTCGGCGACTATGGCTCAGGTGCAGTCATGGGTGTTCCGGGTCACGATGCCAGAGACCATGCATTCTGGCGAGCAAACGTAGCTGGGAAGCCTATCGAGCAAGTAGTCGTCCCGGATCAAGGAACTAAAGCTCCCCTTCTGATCGCTGGAACTCCAGAGGATTCTCCATCTCTGGAGCGGGGCTTTGTCTCGGATCACATCCCCCTCTTCGGTGGCCTAAAATCAGACAAGGCCGTAGGAGAGCTGGTCAAACATCTTCAAAGGGCAGGGAAAGTTGCCGAAGAGACTGTGAATTGGCGTTTGAGGGATTGGTTGATCAGCCGACAACGGTACTGGGGAACTCCGATTCCTATCATTCACTGCCACTCCTGTGGTCCTGTGCCAGTCCCTGACAGCGATTTGCCCGTTAAGCTTCCCGACCTTCCGGACGAGTACTTCAAAGGAAAGACCGGCAATCCCCTCGCTGAAGATCCCGAGTGGAAGAAGACAAAGTGTCCAGAGTGTGGCTCTCCGGCTGAGCGGGAGACTGACACGATGGATACCTTCATGGACTCGTCTTGGTACTTCTTCCGATATCTTGACCCCAATAGCTCTGACATGATCGTACGTCCTGGAATCGCCAACAAGGGGATGCCGGTGGATCTATACATTGGAGGTGTTGAGCATGCGATTCTCCACCTGCTATATTCCCGGTTCATTTCGAAGTTCCTCGCTAGCACGGAGGTTTGGCCTGAAGGCCATCTGTGCAAAGGCGAACCATTCCACCGTCTAATCACCCAGGGCATGGTACACGGTAAAACATATTGCGATCCCCACAATGGCCGATTCCTGCGACCCGAGGAGGTCGATTTGACAAACCCTTCCGCACCTGTCATCAAAGCGACAGGCGAGACACCCAAAGTGAGCTATGAGAAAATGTCAAAGAGCAAATACAACGGTGTGGATCCAGGAGTCACCATTGCGAGGTACGGCGCCGATGCTACTCGAGCACACATGCTATTTCAAGCACCTGTCAGTGATGTACTTGAATGGGACGAGTCCAAGATCACTGGTGTTGTACGATGGCTCTCGCGTGTGATAAGATTGTCTAGCAGTCTTTCTTCATCACTCACGCCCATGTCAGCATCTTTTACCCCGCCGCCAGATATTGACATCTCCACTCTTGAACTGCTCAAACACCTCCATGAGCACGGAGTTCTTGAACCATCAAAAGATCTCATCTCATCCCTCCATCCAGACGAACAAGTATTATGGATCAAGATCCACGAAATCATCGCAAGCGTAACAACATCATACTCAGAAACCTACTCCTTAAACACCATCATCAGCGACCTCATGACAATGACCAACCTAATCTGGGACACGGAGCGTTCCTCCCCTGCGGCATTTCACCTAAAATACCTCGCAACCTCCCACCTCCTCCGCATGCTCGCTCCCATCGCCCCCGCCGTCGCTGAAGAAGGCTGGGAGATCCTCCAACGCCACCTCCCAACCTCCCACTCACTCAGCTCCAGCAAAACACCCTCCGTCTTCGACGCCGGGTTCCCCCGTGCGGACAGGGACATAGCGTCATTGCTCCGACCACGCATAACGTGCGTCTTCCAAGTCGACAGCAAAATCAAATTCAGGACCGACATTGAGCAGCCGGAGAGCACAATCCCGGCTACCAGAACCGACCTCCTCGCCAGCAAGATTCTCCCCGAGATCCTCGCAACAGAGTCGGGCAAAGAATGGCTCGCGCCTGAGAAAGGAAAGGTCTGGAGGGCTAGCTGGACCAGCGAACGACATGAGAAGTTTCCCGGTATACCTAGCGATTGGAACATCGTCATTGTAGGCGGTGGAAAGCTTGTGAATCTGATCAGTCCGAATAGAGAGAAGGGGAAGGTTAGGCCGGAGGTTGCGGCTGTGCTGAAGCAGAAGAATGGGTCGGAGGAAGAGTTGAAGGCGAGTTTCAAGTTGAGGGAGGCTGTTGTGAAAAGCTAGATCTGCATCGATAACTTCATCTGAGAGGGGTCCTTTGGTTGGTTTGACGATTGTACTGCATACTCATCGGTTTCAAACGGTTAGAAGGCTATCTAGAGGGTGATGCCCTGCCGTCTTTTCATGTCTACATATATGTACATCTATCTGTAAAATACATAAGATCTATGACTTTCTACACCTGTATCGTAACAACCCCTACCCTCCTCACTTCCTACCCCTAGCCCTCGGCTTCAACTTCAACGCGCCATCCTCCCCCTTCTCCTTCGCAATCTGCGCCTCAAGCACCCTCGCCAACCCGCCCCCATCCCTCAAAACCCCACCCCTCAAGTGCTCCACCACCACCCTACCCTTCACAACCGTCTCCTCCACAATCCCTTCCACATTCTCTGGGAAAACACGTCCATACCACACGCCCGCCCCCTTCAACGCATCACCCCCCTCCCACTTGCCCCCGCCTTCCCAGCCCGGAGGGAGGTAAATGATAACGTTCCCGGCATACTTATGCCCCCCGATGTGACTTATAACCGCAACCTCCCCCTCAATCCCCCGCCGCTCAAACTCCCTCTCAAAATGCGTTTGGAGCACGGGACCCAGGATCCCACACCTCGCGTCGCGGCCTCCGTGCCCGCAGATCAGCACCGTCGGCGTTGTGATGTCATGCGGTGCTGCGGGGAGGGCATCGGCGAGGGTGGGGTTGCGTATGAGGTTTGCCTTCTGGTCGGCGGAGAGAGAGGCGTGGGCGGGGTGGAGGGTTTGTGCTTTCAGGTATGCGGTTGCGAAGGTGGAGAGGGAGGGGCTGTCGTGTGGGATTGAGGGGATGCGTTTGAAGTGTGGGAAGAGGAGGGCGGTTGTGGTGTTTGGGGGTTGGTGGGTGGTTGGTGGGAGGGAGGACGCGGTTATGGAGACGTTATTGAATGGCTGTGATGTTGATTAGTTTCTTGAACATTGGGATTTGTGGTGTTTAGGAGACGTACGTACGTCGAATGCTGGTCCTCCTCTTCCTATCAGGCCTTTCATTCCGCGTATGAAGTCTCCAGACGGCGTCTTCTCATCTTCTATCCGGGACGACCAGTCTGGTTGGCCGGTGCAGAGCACGACTTGTGAGGAGTACATCGCCATTGTGTGGAGGAGGGGTGTTTTGGTGTCGAGGGGGAGGTCTTCAGGGAGCGCTGGGGTGGGTTCGCATGCGCATGTCGGCGATGGACATGATTGCGTGTATGCGATGTGTGGTGTTGTTGGACTTGATTGACGGTAGGATGGTTTTGTAGAGAATGCACGCGAGGCACGATATGCTGAGCGTGTACTCAGGCGGATTGAAGCCATCGTGGGCGAATTCGGGTGTGGTGTTTGCAAATCGCGGGCGATGCAAGATTTGACTGAGGTTGTTGTTGATGACGTTCGGAAAGGCTTGAGATGATTCGCCCTCTTCGGAACAGATTCCGCACACTCGGATTTAAAGATAAGATGCCCGATCTCCGTCAACACAGTTTATATATCAATTCACCGTTACACCAACACTACTCGGTCTTCGGAATATTCATTTGAGCGAAAACAGCGATTTAGTAGCAGACTATCATGATTTCCATAGCATGTCATTAATCGCAACATCAAGATTTAGAGATCAAATCATAGCAGCGAAAATTATAACCATCTTCACAACTACAGACAATATATACATCCACTTCCAACCAGTACAACCTCATATTACTACCCAACTACTACCTTGGGCCCTGAGTAGTCTCGAACAACTTCCCAATGACCTCCCTAACCGCTGGATTCCTCCAAGCCGTCCACTCCGCATTCAACAATCCCCACCCCTCCTCCTTATCCACCACCCCATCCCTAACATAATAATTCGCCTGCAGAGCCCAGAGCGCCCAATCCCCATCATTCCCCACCGCATACTCCACCATACACTTCAAATAATCATAGTCCTCCTGAGTCCCGATGCCACTTCGCTCAGGCGGCCCTCCACTCAACGCAGCGCCGAACTCAGACAGCCACAGGGGGCCCGTGAAAGCTTTGTCTTGCTCCAGGAGGAATCCTGTGAAGCCACCGACTGTGGTCTTCCATACGCCACAGGACTTGAAAGAGGCGATCCATGGTGGCGAGAAGGTGTACTGATGCCATTCCCAGACGACCTTGTCTCCAAATGGCGCGCGGTCCAGAGGCTTGCTGCGTAGGAAGGAAGCATCCGTCGACGAGAGTGTCCCCCCGACAGTGATCAGAAGGTCCTTGTTCGCATCGTGGACAGCCCTCGCGCCATTCGTCACGAACTTATACCAAGCGTCTCTATTCTGCAGGACAGGCACCTCGCGGATCTCATTTCGCAGTCCGACGCCCGCGACCGCAGGATGGGCTTTAGAGAACGTAGCAATGGCAGCGAGACCCTTGTACCAGTCCTGCGTCTTGAAGAAGCGGGAGTTGGCCTGGATGTATAAGCTCCCTTCGTCCCACCACCCGTTGCCGTCTTCGAGATTGCAGCACCAGGACGCTTTGCTGACGTGGTTGTCGAGGATGACACGGACGTTGAGGGCGCCCAGAGAGTCGATGACTCGTCCGAAGACGTCGCCTACGGTCGCGGTGGAGATCCAATTGTTCTTCTCTTGCACTTTCGTCCAGAGGGACGATACGGCGGCGGGGTCGGCGCCGCTGCGAGACGCGAGTGTCGAGAAGGAGTCGCTGACTTTTTGGCCTTGGTTGAGTGCCATGTCGATGCTGAAGGTGAGTCGCACGCAGTTGAATCCGGAGTCGGCGACCACTCTAGCGATTGATTCTGGCGTGGAGTGATGGAGGCCTTCTGGAATGTTGGCCTCCATGTGGCCGGCCCAATTGATGCATTTCAGCTTGAAGCGCTTGTTGGAAGAGTCGAGGATCCAGCGCGAAGAGGTATGTAGAGGCTGTAGTTGTGCACTCGCTATGCTGGCAAAAGCCAGGAAGCTACATGTTGTAGCACCCAATATCTTCACCATCTTCGTCGAGTCGTTGTTGTTGCGAAGACACAACTAGCAGAGTACACGCTTTCTAGCATGTTGCATTTGACGTACTTTTAATGTTTGTAGTGATCGTCAGGAACAGGTCGCAATCCCTGCCATGTAATGTCACCTTCTCGAATGAGAAATACGACTTCACGAATGCGAGGGGCTGGCGACTTAATTATATCATTGTGATTGGTGTCGAAGGTGTGGATGGTGGCGAAGCAGCATCTCGGCAGCGCCATGATATTACGGACGTATCAAGGCATCCCATAATTCCCAAGTCAGCATGAATATCTCCACTATTGCAGCTATGCCATTGGAGTGAATGATCTCTGGATATTGTATACGTCTAGTACTCTCTTAGTCGAACAGCATTGAATACAACTGCTCTCAATCCCAAGTCAAACTTTCCGTCTGACGAGTTGTGAGTTGCATTGCAACCAGGGTGAAGAAATACGAAAGCCACAACAAGGATGTAGTACGGCTAAGGACACGGACTTCGAAGTTCACATGTTTACAAACCGCTGTGTAGAATTAGCCCCCATCTTTGACAGACATGCTTTTCAAACAGTAGGCGATACTATTTGCCTAGATGGATGGTAACATCTGCACTCTGCAAGCGTACTTGTAATGTAACTGCGTTGTGTCGGTATTGACATGGTATGATTTTGACATCACAGTCATTACATATTACATATGTATATTGTTGAGATTCCAAATCCTCCAACCTTGTGATGTCAAAGTCCAAAGAGTTCGAGGGGTAGGTCGTTCAAAATGCGGCATAAGGATCCAGTAAGTGGGTAAGTGGTATAAAATGAGAGATTGCTTTTTATATAAGGGTATCTAAGATTCTCTATATGAGATAACTTTTCTAATTGTATGCGTGCATGGTGAGAGCGATGCTATGAAGAGAAAGCATATGATCATGCCTATCCAACAATCTTTTCCACGCTCCATCCCTTCCCGACACCCTCTCTCTTCTGCAGCACTTTCCGTACTCCCAGACCCCAGCCCTGGGATCCCTTTTCGCCCACGAGGGACAATTCGACTTCGCATTCCCTGCGCTCGGGGTCGGATTTCTGGGTTCGCGGTACGTCTGCGATTTTCCCTTTTGGTTTGGAGACTTGGAGGAGGGGAGTGCCGAGGGCGATGTTGATGAGTTGAGGGCGTGTGACGGGCGTGAGTGGGTGCATGCGGGTCTTTGGTGCCTTGGATCCAGTGATGGTGGAGGGGGAGGCGCGTTGCAGGTGTGAGTAGATGATGTAGCCTGGCATGTTCTTGACGGGTGTGCGAGCGAGGAGAGATGAGGGGTGGAGGTAGACGTATTTCTCGGATGGGTCGTCGCTGGTCGGGCGGCCGACTTGCGAGGCAAACAAGGTGACGTAGGGAACATCGATGGCGGATCTGGGTTTTCGTGGGAGTTCTGGTGGAACGGGAGCAAGGTCGGCGCGCATGGCTACTTGGTCGATGAAGCCCGCGGCACAAATTTGCATGAGGATACCGTTGGTTCTTTCGGAGGGGGCAGGAAGTCTTGCTTGGTATGCTCCGATTGCGGTCGGTCGATGTGCTCGGACGATGTTGGTGAGTTGCTGACGGAGCTGGCTGGCCTCATTCATCGCTTTGGAGTTGAGGAACATATCCTCGCAGAATGCCTGGGGATTAGAGTCGTATGCGTAGGCACAGATCGCACTGCTCAACTTGATGCAGTCGCTTTGTTTCGCGTTGACTGCAAGTTTCCCCTGAGCAGCATTGTAGGCTTTTCGAAGTCGAGACCTCTCTTCGGCTTCCAGGTTATCTGCCTCGGTGCGAATGGCGTCCGGATCGACGACAGGCTCGCGCAGACCAAGCTTGCTCTCTGCCACAATGAGCTCTGGTACCGACAGCGCCGCTACCAGCGCGATGGTCTCTGCCGTAAGGCCTTGTGCGATACCCATTACCAGCATTCGTGAGAATCGCGGATTCAGGGGATAGAGCGACAGCTCGTGTCCCAACTTCGTAACCTTGCCATCAGTAGAAAGTGCACCCAGGTAGGAAAGAAGGTGTTCAGCCTTAATGAGACTGTCCTGATCTGGCGGTGTAGGGAAGGGGAAGTTGACAACGGGAGCTCCCATGCTCTTGAGCTGGAGAATGACTCCTTCGAGTGGTGTTCGCAGGATTTCTGGGGCGGCGTACTCTTCGAAATCGCGTTCAAACACCGCAGACGAGTACAGTCGGTAGCAGTGTCCTGGACCAGTACGTCCAGCACGACCTGCTCTCTGGTTCGCACTGGCCTTGCTAATCCAGCCGATCTCGAAGCTTTGTACGCCTGTGACACGATCATATTTCTTTTCTTTTGCTCGCCCGCAGTCGAAGACGTATCTGACGCCCGGAATCGTCAAACTGGTTTCGGCAACGTTGGTAGCAAGGACGATGAGACGTGACCCATCCGGAGGCGGCTCAAAGACGCGCAGCTGCTGGTTGGTCGGAAGCTGTGAGTAGAGCGGCAAAACATGGACCTTCATGACGGTCTCTTCGGCAGCTTCCTCCCCAATATCAAACTCATCCTTATCTTCATCGTCCAACCCAAGAATGATAGAATCCTCCGAATCTGAGCCATCCTCGTCCTGATAGTCTCTAGTCTCTCTGCCTATCTCTATATCCTCGGTCTCCATGGGCACTTCTGCAGGAGAGAACTGCACCTTGCCAGGCTTTGCACCTTGGTCTGAAGTGGAAGCAAAGGTCTGCTTCAGCCGCTTGGCCAGATGCATGATTTCGTTCTGTCCGGTAAGGAAAACGAGCATGGCTCCTTGGGGTAGCTTTCGATGGCCTCGGCTGACCTTCTTGAAGGCTTCTTCCACGTAGTCTCTTTGCGTACGGCGGGCGAAATGGTTCGTGACAGTAAATTGACGACCTTCTGCCGTCAGTAGCGGCGGGGGCTCATGACGGAAGAGTCGCTTGTTGCCTGTGAAGTCTGAAATCCTCAGAGTAGCAGACATGATGATCAACTTCAACGGTTTCTTTGTTGTGTCTTTCTTGACCATGTCGGCCCGCAAATCAACTATACGGCTGAGCATGCCAATGAGAATGTCGGTATTGACACTGCGCTCGTGCGCCTCGTCGATCACGATGGCAGAGTACTTGGTGAGGAGAAAGTCTTGTGTAATCTCACGAAGAAGTACACCATCAGTCATGAACTTGATTGCGGTATCCGCGCTGGTGGAGCTGTCGAAACGGATCTGGTACGCCACTTTCGAGCCTACATCTCCGAGTTCGTCACCTACGCGTTTGGACATACTGACAGCAGCCACACGTCTGGGCTGTGTCACTCCGATCAATCCGGGAGTGGGACCATCTGGTGCGCCATATCCTGATTCGAATAGGAATTGAGGTACCTGAGTAGTTTTACCACTACCTGTTGCACCCCAAACCACTACCACGTCGTGGTTGTGGATGGCTTCCATGATCTTCTGCTCTTCTGCAACGATTGGTAGCTTCAATCTGGCATCTTGTATCTCCTCCGATCTCGTGACTGCAACACTATAGGCTTTTCTTGTCGCGTCAGTAGCGGTGTTTGACGAGAGCTCTGGTGGCAATGGATCGGATTCGACTGGACGGGGTTGAAAGTTCGCTGGTTTGGGAGGAATGGCGTAGGTGAGGTTGTTTGTTGGCGTGAAACCAACTGCATCGTTTCTTTGCTGTGTAGCCCATGCTTTGAATGCAGACGTGCGCTCTGCTTTTGCTGCCTTCTTCGCGGATGCTGTGCTAGAGTCACTGTCGGATTCTTCCGAGTCACTGTCCGAGCCAGATTCAGATTCAGAGTCGTCTTCTTCATCGTCATCGGCTTCGTCTTCCTCCTCTCCGCTGCCAGAGAGAGAGCCCTCAGACGCTGACTCTGCGTCATCTGCGCTCCCGCTCTCCGCTTCAGAATCATCGTCATTGCTGCTGAACCCTTCCCATTCCAGCTCCTGCTGCACAACAACGGGTTTGCTTTTCTTTTGTCGTTTCCTGGTCTGGATGACTGGTTGTCCAGAGCCATCCAATTCCAAAGGTCGCTTGAGGCCGCTCCCGAACAAGCCAGCGCCTGGCAACGCAACGGTTGTAGGTTCAGCGGTAACAACCTCCGTCTCCGCAGCGGGAGCCTGTTCCTGTTCTAATGACTCTTCCTCTTCCACCTGTGTACCCTTCCTCTTTTTCCCACCCGATTTCGCCTTCGACACAGGGAGCGCAGCACCCTCCACCTCCCGATCACTCTCCACCCTCCTCACAAGCACATCCTCCGGCGCCCTAACTTCCCTCTCCTCAAACAACAGCTCTTCATTCCTCTCCACATCAACACCCGCCCTCCTCTCCATCGCCGCCCTCCGCAGCGCCTCCCTCTTCGTATCCCCACCAGTGCCCAATTTCTTCGAGCTCTGAAACAAACTCGTATCGACCTTATGCTTCGCCAATTTCTTGAGCAGTTCGAGGTTCTCTTCCTTCTTGAGCTTCGTGTCGATGTACTTGTCCATGCGCTTCTTCTTCTTCTGGCTCATCTTGCCCGCGCTCTGGCTGATGAGCTCCTTCTTGAGCTCATCTTTGCGGAGCTGGTGGTCGCGCTGCGCGGCGGGGAGAATCTCGACGGCATTGGGTGCGGCAGTGGAGGTGTCGTCGTCGTCGGCTTCGTTGTGGTGGGATTTGTTGGAGGCTTTGCGGCGCGCGAGCACTTTGTGCTTTCGCACGCGCGGCACGAATTTAGGCATTCCGTCGTCGTCTTCTCTTCAAGAATTGCAAGACTTTTAAATAGAAAAAAAAACAAGAGATTCTCAAAAACACTCCATTGAGAATCAGAAGATCAAAGGGTCTGCGATTTGTGGTTGTGGTCGGTTGCGAAGCTGGTAATTGCTTGCCAGTGTTCACATCGCAGACTTGCTTAGAACTTTTTTTCGAGCCCGTCCGTCGTCGACGTCTGGAAATTTGGGCGGGGATCGGCGGGTCGGCGGAAGGGCTTCCCCGAAGGCGGCGACGCGCGGCAGAACCTTTTCCATAGCTTCAAGTGGGATGTGGACATCGCCAACAACAGTAACAATTATATTGCAAGCTCTACTCTCCAATCCTACCAAACCCACCAACCCAATTCCACACTCCTCATCTTCCACCGTCCCAATCCCTCAACAACTGGACGACACACCACACACCCCTCCCTCCCACAGCAACATGTCAACAACAGCACCACCACCTCTACCAACAGAACCCTACACCACAACACGCACCCCCTACCCAGCGAAAACCCGCACCCAAACCGCCTCCATATCCTCCGTCCCCACCACCGCGACCGCAACCTACTTCTCAGACAAGATCCTCATAACCATCTCCCAAGACGGCCGTCTCGCTCACTGGGTACATCCCCCTCTCCCTCCCCTTCCCTCAAACCCTCACGTACAGCCCCAGTTCAAGTACACATGCTAACAAAAGCGCTTGTAGTTACACGTCCCCCTTGACATCTCCCCCACAGACTCCTCGCTCACATCGCCGTATACCTCCCACGACAACGAAACGTCCTCGGATTTGCTGCCGATGCACCACTTAACAGCGACGACGGTGTTAGGCGGCACGATGGCTGGCCTCGATGTGCTGGGGCAGACGCTGGCGACGCAGGTGGCGAGCGCGATTCTGGTTAGGGATCCGGGGGAGAGGAGGATGGTGGTGTTGGGGTTGGGGCTCGGGAGGGGGTTTGTGGAGGGCGAGGGGGCGAGGGAGGCTTTTGGGGAGGTTGTTGGGTTGGCTTTGGGGGTGCTTTGAGTGAGCGTAATATGAGTAGGAGGGCCATGGGATGGTGAAGCTGAAGATCATAGGGAGGGATATGCATGGTTTATGGCTGTTTCTGTGTTTGAAGAGAAGGCCGGCTTATGCGGTCGTCATGAGTTGGTATGATATCTATGTATGTATACGCTTTTCCTTTTGTCCTTCCCTTTTTTCGTCTTCATATTCTCATCATTCCCGAGGTATCATGATAAAAAGTTCGTCTATAAATCCCATCCAATTCCATTCCAGGATCCCTCACTGACCTTAATGATATCCCAGATCTCCCCTCCCTCCCAAAAAGAACAAGTGAAAACGCCGATGCAAATGCAAAGTTCAAGTCTAGCTTAGACGTAAGTGTTTTGTAACTTATTTCACGTTCTCCCGGAGCTTGTTGATCAGCGAGTCCACGGACGCCATGTCCTCAGCGTCGAGCTTCCCCTCTGGCTTGAATTCGGCGGGGACCTTGGCGACGGTCTCGTCGAGGGCGGGTTGGTAGTTGCGGACGGTGGAGGAGAGGGCGAGGATGGCCTTCTTGCGGACGCTCTTGTCTTTGTCTTGGGTTGCGAGGTTGATGAGGGTGGGGATGGCGCCGAGGATGAGGAGCTAGAAGAAAGATAGTCAGTAACATGTTCTATATCCACACATGTATAGAAGTACGGTAGATGGGGGAAAGGAAATACATACCCGTTCCTGCGACTTAATATTATTCTGCACCGCAATCCCAGCACACCACGCCGCATACATCCTAATCTCCGGCTCCTCATGCGCCATCTGGTCGACCAGGCGCGTCCAGAGCCCCAGGTTCTCCAGGTTGTTCGCGTTGTCGATGCCCTCGACCAGCTGCTCGAAGTTGTCGAAGGCGATCAGTTTGTTCTCGAGGTCCACCTCGTCGCTCTCGACCGCGTCCATGGCTTCCAGCATGAGCTGCGCGTCCGATTTCCCGCCGAACAGCGCGCGCACGGCGTCGGCGCTCAGCTGCGTCTGCGGGGCGGGTTGGTCGTCGGTCGCGGCGGCGCGGGTCGCGGAGGAGTTTTCGAGACCCCATTTGAGGAGGTTGTTTAGGGCTGGGTCGGTCATGGTGGGGGTGGGGATTGGTGAGTGCGTAGTTCGGGGGGTTTGGTTGAATTGGTGTAGGAGGTTTGGAGTCGTGTGGGTGGGTGTGTTTGTTGGTGGAGGTGGTATTAGGCAGATGGGTGGAATTGTGCTTGCGACGAGAGGTTATTTAGGCATCTGAAAGAAAGTATCTGAGGATGACGCAGGGATGGATGGGGTTGGAAATTTTGGCGCGCGGAAGGGACTATAGTGTTCGAGAGCCTTCCACTACGAGTTACTAGTAGACAGTACAGTGACAGGGAAGGGGGTAGATATATGGATTAACATAGGCTGAACTTGATTGATGTCGTTAAATACAAATTGATACTGGATTTTATCTTCTGATAGACGGTTTCCATCTTGTCGTATCGATATCTGTAGCTATTACTGTTGCGTGGGCGAGCACGATCTGATTGTGTGGCGCGGAAGTCCGCAGTAACATTCCGGTACGGAGTAGACAGTGACAGTGACAGTGACAGTGCAGCCTCTCTGTTCCCTCATCCATGGTTGGACGAGCGGGCGTTATCATTGGGTGGTGCCATGTGGATTGCCCCTCATTCCACGTGACCAGACAGCTATGAAAATCTGGGACGCCATCCGTCGGACTGAACCATCCAACGGGAGCGACAAGACAGGACAGAGAGAGGGGTAAGAATATAGCATCAAAAATATCGTCATGTCATACATCTCATCAATGCACATCTTTTGGTGACGACGGTGAACAGTCGGTATACGAGGGAGAGACTCAATTGACTAGCAAAGAGAACTGGTGGTCCCTCGGGATATCTTTGTTGAGTTACGCTCGGGCTCTGTCATGGCATGGTTTACGCCGTACAGTTACGGTGTACGCTTCCATCCTACCACCTACGACTTACCGCACACTTGCACACACTGACCTTCAATCTCAACCTCAACTGGGACTGGCCACAAAGTACGGTTCCTACTTTTCCTACTCTCCCACTGCCGTTTAGTCCAATTGTGGCAAAGTGTAGTTGGCTACGTTAGAGTGAAAAGGGCAACAAGCAAGGCGGTGAGGGTCGGTGATGTGTGTGCGTGCACGGGGATTGGCTGGATGTGGGATAGAGGAGAGCTCGATAGTACGAGTAGGTGGTGGATGGCTGGGGAACGGAACGGAAGGGAGACACGACATGCACGCACGCATGGCAGACACTCGACACTTGGGATTTACAGATTGCAAGGTTATCCTCTGTAGCACAATATATACAACTGCGAGTAACTGTCTACTCGTGGATAGAGGCGAGTAGATAGCTGCTGGTATGCATTCATTCCTATGAGGGAGAAGCATGTCATCAATGTACTGGCCCTGCTGTATCTGTATCGTACGGTACATTACCACACCGCACTCTGCACGCTGCTGACACTACTTATTATTATGATTATTGTACGAGTAATGGTTGGCATACTCCGGTACATAGTACATTCTGTGCGTGTATAATAATACTCGTGGCATAACAGGGAATAGGTTCTCTTTCTTGGCCTGGCCCGCCCTGGCCCGCTCCGCCAGAGACAACACAGCTCTCCTCTCTGCCAGTCTCAACTGTACGAGCAACCAGGCGAGCCATCTGCCCATTTTCCGCCTTCTTATCCTCCTCCTACTCCTTCGTCTTGTCCTCGTATACTATCCTCATCAGCCATCATCAATCTACTCCGACGACCAGGTTGACCTTCCGCCAAGAGATTAACGGCGTTGCCTGACGGACATGGTGGGTGCGTGTCAATGACGGCGTACCAGACGGACATCACCTGTGGCGGGGAGCTTGCGTGGACTGAGCTGAGACCGAGAAGAGGAAGTATCAAGACAGAGATGAGCGAGAGGTACAAAAAGGTGCAGCCTAGGAGTGGGTTTTGTCTTCATAGATATAAAAAGATGTTACCAATGCCAATGGCAAATGCGACGCGCGTGCATTGTAGAAGGCATCAATCTTATAAAGTGGAAGGGATTGTCAATTCCCGTTGCGATCCCTCATTGTCCCGTATCTTGATTCCTCCGTGCAAATTATAAAGAGGGAAGAAGAGAAGAGCAAGCAGCAAGCAGTGTGCGTGGTTGTCAAAAGTTTGTTGATTCTTGTCACCTCTACCTGGGAGTACCTGCCTACCAGCACCAACTCATCTTGTACCTAGTACTTTAGGAGGAGTCCATCCCACCCTCCCCGCTAAAACTGGCAAGATCGCACCCGCTTATTTAGCAGCCACCCACCGACCTTTGCCTCTTCTCTCGCACTCCTGCGCACCTTAACCTCACTCATCACCATCCAAACCCGCTACCTAACCTCGTAAGCCCTACCCCCTTCTCTCACCATCCAACCTCTCTCTCTTCCTCTTCCTCCTCCTCTTCTTCTCCTCCATCTTGCTGTTGCTGCAGTCTCATCCATCTCCAACGACCTCTCGCTAATCTCTTCTGATTCCTACAGCAACCCTCCCAATTTCATCCTCCCCCTCCCTATCTCACAGCTTCTAATCAGCCAACATGGAAGGTAAGTTCCAGCTCAGCCCCCTTCTCAAAACCTCATCTCCAACGCTCAATCCGGGCTGCCTTCGATGCGCCATCAATTAATCTCAATGAGCTCTGCTAACCTTGTCCTTCTCATCTACAGAGGAAGTCGCAGCCCTCGTCATCGACAATGGGTAAGATGCTCTCCCCTCGATTTTGCACACCCGCATCGCCGCGGTGGGGTCATCCGCGATGGCCGCGACCACGTCCATAACAACGCGGGATATGCTCTATATCGCGGCAGATGCTGTGCAATGATTTCCTGGACTCGAGCTGACAGTTTCTAGTTCGGGTATGTGCAAGGCCGGTTTCGCCGGTGACGATGCGCCCCGAGCTGTTTTCCGTAAGTTTTCCCCCCCCCTCTCTCCCTCGTTCGCGCTGCTACGTTGGCCAAACCCACCGCCTCCGCCGGTTGCTGCGATTGCGGGATTTCGAGAAATCGCTGTTCGAGAGCTCCATCTAACTTTTTGCTCCAGCTTCCATTGTCGGTCGTCCCCGTCATCATGGGTATGCGCTCCTCTCTCTTTTCCCCAGGTTTCCTGGGTCTCGTGGACTGACGGATAATGCAGTATCATGATTGGTATGGGTCAGAAGGACTCCTATGTTGGTGACGAGGCACAGTCGAAGCGTGGTATCCTCACTCTCCGATACCCCATTGAGCACGGTGTTGTCACAAACTGGGACGACATGGAGAAGATCTGGCATCACACCTTCTACAACGAGTTGCGTGTGGCCCCCGAGGAGCACCCCGTCTTGCTCACCGAGGCTCCCATCAACCCCAAGTCCAACCGTGAGAAGATGACCCAGATCGTCTTCGAGACCTTCAACGCTCCCGCTTTCTACGTCTCCATCCAGGCCGTGCTTTCCCTGTACGCCTCCGGTCGTACCACCGGTATCGTCCTCGACTCCGGTGACGGTGTCACCCACGTTGTCCCCATCTACGAGGGTTTCGCTCTTCCCCACGCCATCTCCCGTGTCGACATGGCTGGTCGTGATTTGACCGACTACCTCATGAAGATCCTTGCCGAGCGCGGTTACACTTTCTCCACCACTGCCGAGCGTGAAATCGTCCGTGACATCAAGGAGAAGCTCTGCTACGTCGCTTTGGACTTCGAGCAGGAGATCCAGACCGCCAGCCAGAGCTCCAGCTTGGAGAAGTCCTACGAGCTTCCTGACGGCCAGGTCATCACCATCGGTAACGAGCGTTTCCGTGCCCCCGAGGCCCTCTTCCAGCCCTCCGTCTTGGGTCTTGAGAGCGGTGGCATCCACGTCACCACCTTCAACTCCATCATGAAGTGCGATGTCGACGTCAGGAAGGATCTCTACGGCAACATCGTCATGGTAAGTAACCAGTGAACATCTCGAGTGTGCGCGTTCGCAGAGCTAACACTTTCCCTAGTCTGGTGGTACCACCATGTACCCCGGTATCTCCGACCGTATGCAGAAGGAAATCACCGCCCTTGCACCCTCCTCCATGAAGGTCAAGATCATTGCTCCTCCCGAGCGCAAGTACTCCGTCTGGATCGGTGGTTCCATTTTGGCCTCCCTCTCCACCTTCCAGCAGATGTGGATCTCCAAGCAGGAGTACGACGAGAGCGGTCCTTCCATCGTCCACCGCAAGTGCTTCTAAGGTACACAACGCCTCGCTGGTTCCGAGACGAGCGTTCGACTGACCTTTCTTTTCAGCGTATCTTTGCGAGTGACGACGGACGGCGCCCTGACAAGCCTAGTAGCGGAGGCATCCTTTTGTTGGCGCTCTGTTATGCCCGGATTTTTCAAATGGTGATTGTTCACAAAATGGCGAAGCGTACCAGAGCTTGGGTGGTTCAAATGAGGTGCTTGGACTCATTCGTCAATGTGTGTTAGGATCCTAAAGATTGTAGCCTAGAACCTGGACACTTTATCCTCTACATTTGTTTGTTCTACCTGACTGCCGCATGCTTTGTTTTGCCTTGCCTTACGTGTACGTGACTGAGTCATTGAAGACCGTTCTCACCGGTCGTATAAGCTTGACCCCATGCACCATTCTTGAAGCGCCGTTACCCGTCTTACATCGATTTCGAGAGACGCATGCATAAGATTCTGCGGAGAGCTTCTACATGCGGTTAGATGCGATATTTCGTGATAGCTGGGCGCTTCCCCCGGGAAGCTCAAACATAGCTATTTAAGTGTCAATCCGCCCGCCCATACCGCGACCTCAAAAATCCCAAGGCCCTGACCACCTTTGCCCAAAGCCGTTGGATTAAGCTTTTTGACGAGCCCAAGTATTCGTTATATAGTGATATCTTATCCACGTATGCCAATAAGCTTTTTTGTTTACCGTTTGCGCAAACACTCGTATTTCCGACGTGACACATTCATAGTTCGTTCACTTTGTTGGTTCCGCTGAGTCACCGATTTCCATTGTCAGATTGCCTTGAAGAACTCCAACATCGACTCAACCCCATCTTGCACAATCTATTCTTTCACGGAACAGAATTTCTGCTTCCGCCACCAAACAAAACATCCCCAAACAATGGCACCTTCAAGATCCCAAAGGGGATCCGTGTCGACCATCAAAACAAGTGCCGATGAAGAAACACCGCTCCTGACCCCCATCGCCCCCGTACCCACATTCTCGGAGCCCATTGAAGCAGCACCAGACCTGAACACCAGCATACACGACGATGAAGACGAAAACGCGCCATTGCCCACAGTGCAAATCTTCCTCCTCTGCTACACGCGTGTGGTCGAGCCCATTGCGTTCTTTAGCATCTTCCCTTATATCAACACCATGATCGAGAGGGTTGGCGGCGTCGCGACGGTGGATGTTGGGTTCTACTCGGGGCTCATTGAGAGTCTTTTCTCTGTCACGCAGATGTGCGTCATGATTGCTTGGGGGAAGGTATGTAATTACTTTGTTTTTCGAAATATGCTATGTTTTTCTGCGTTGCGGGTGTTGGACGTATAACGCCATCTCACGTGCCCAGCCCGTCATTATATGGTTACAACTAGTTACTGACTTCGAGATTGCAGGCTGCGGATCGATGGGGGAGAAAGCCATGTCTCGTTCTCTCTTTGGTCGGTATCTCGATTTCTATGGCGCTTTTTGGAATGAGCCAGACGATTTGGCAGATGATTCTCTTCCGGTGCATCGCGGGAGTGTTTTCGGGGACTTTGGTGTAAGTTCGATTATCTCACGACTATTGTAGGGAGAGTGATCACTGAGCTAATTGGATGGCAGGACGGTGCGAGCAATGATTACGGAGAATAGTACTAAGAAGACACAAGCCAAAGCATTCAGTTACTTTGCGTTTTCTGGCAACGTGGGTATCTTTCTAGGGCCTATGCTCGGTATGTATACACACACCTCGATATACAGGAATACCTACTAACACGCTTCTAGGTGCGGCTCTTGAAAGACCTGCTCTGAAATATCCCATTTTTAGCAATATCAAGTTCTTCCAAGAATATCCTTATGCTCTGCCTGGCTTTGTCACTTCTATTATTGGAGCCACCGCCGCTATCCTATCTGCTCTGTTCGTCCGAGAGGTACGTTCCCATCCCACATCAATCCATTCATTCTCCATCATATCTAACATCCACCCTCAGACCCTCCACCTCCACCACCGAAAAGGCCACACCCCGGAACCCACAATGTCAACGATGGAACTCCTCAGACACCCAGGCATAGGCCGCGTCCTCTTCATCTACAACTACATCCTCGCGCTCGCCTTCGCCTTCACAGCCGCCAACCCCGTCTTCCTATACACCCCCATCGACCTAGGCGGAATCGGCTTCTCGCCCTCCTTCATCGGCGGCGCCATCGCCGTCAACGGCGTATCCCAAGCCCTCTGGCTACTCTTCGCCTTCCCCCCGCTCCACCGCCGCACCGGCACCATCGGCACCCTCCGCCTCTGCGCCCTCATGTGGCCCATCTTCTTCCTCATCAACCCGCTCGCCAACCTCCTCCTCCGCACGCACCACCCCCTCCTCTTCTGGACGCTCTCGCCCCCCGTCGTCGTGATCGGCTCGGGCGTCGCGATGGCGTTTACCGCCATGCAGCTCGCGATCAACGACATCGCGCCGAGCCACCACACGCTGGGCACGCTGAACGCCGTCGCGCTGGCGATGTCGAGTGGGCTGCGGGCGGTGGTGCCGGCGCTGGGGGCGAGTTTGTACGCCGCGGGGGTTAAGGGGAGGGTGTTGGAGGGGCAGCTGTTTTGGGTGGTTATTACGGCGTTGGCGGTGGGGCTGTGGCCGGTTTTGAAGTGGTTGCCTGAGAAGGCGTGGGGACGGGTTGGGGTGGTGGAGAGGGAGGAGGGGGAGGAGGAGGCTTGAGGATGAAGGACGTGCTGTTGTTTGGTTTCGTCTATCTTGGAGAAGTATCATCCCGTCGTTGTCGTTTTGTTGTTGACGGTTCCGTTCCGCTGTCTCTTTCGATCTCTTGGGCTTTTTTTTTTCAGAAGAAGAAAGCAAGGGTCGTCATTTTCACGGAGTTCTTCGTTGTTGTTGGACGTCCAAAAAAAGTCATCATGTTTCTCCTATTGCTTCAAAAGTTTATCTCTTGCTTCCATTCTATTCTATAATTCTGTCACATAGACACCCTAGAGCTTTCCTCTACAGTTTTGCTCTTGTTTGGGTTGTTCCTCTCGGTCTCCGTTATTCTCTAAGGCTGCGATATTGTTTACATCGTCAACGTTGGATAATCAAGAACATACACGATCAATTCCCGGTCCATCTGGTGAGATCGGATAGATGGATGGGGTGTAGACCGAGATAGTACATACAAAATAGAAAAGTCATTCATTCTTTCTTGTATCCTTTGATATACAATGTATCATGAAAATGAACCTTCAATCATGGGCACTCCTGCACTGACCCTCTTGCGCTACTCTTGTGAGGGAGGTCTGTTTGATTTTACGTCCGTGATACTGGTGAGTGGGAAATAAACATTACCCATTCTAGTACTTAGTAAGAAGAATGGAAAGATAGGTCATAGGGTGCAGGGTGTAGGATGTGCAGCAAGATACTGAAGATAGAAAAGCGGGGATTGGTGGGGAGGTAAGGGTTTGAATGTTTATGTCACATTGGTCTGTTGAATGGACGCCATACGGTAAGGCCCTCGCTCCCAATTTTGGGTTGTAGAATTGAGGACATTGGAGTGACGGCTGTTTGGTGTTTTTGTGGGTTTCCATGTTGATGTTTTAATTGATGTTTGGCTGGGATTGGGATTGGGAATTTTCGTGATAGTCTGTGTGTGGTGTTTAGGGTGATTCCTACAATGACGTCTTGATGTTTGCTTGAATCTCAGGGGCATTCGATTTGCAAGAGGATTCAACGTTTCGGAATGAGAGAACAAAGAGAAAGGGGCAGATGGACTACGGGGAGGTCTTCACTTATTCTTTTTCTTCAATAGAAAATGTCGATGTACCTCTTTAACAAGATCATTAGCTAGATTCAGATCAATGAGGACACGAGAGTTTACGGGATAGCCTGGTAAGTTTCTATTTGGTGACGTGAAATGGTATTGGATTGGTCATGCCGGACATCTACGGAGTTATTTGGTAAGATTTGAATATGGCAATAAGTTTTTTAACATAGTGATGATTGTGAAATTTAGATGCTGTGGGACGGACAGGAGGGTGTGATCCTTTGACGTAGATGTGTTGCACATTATGGACCTCTGTAGGAGAGGAAGGATTACGAAGACTGGCTTATGCATTTTATTTGAAGAGTTGAAGAACTAGTTCAAATAACTCTTTAGACTCTGTCTGCTCGCCCTGTATAGCGAACATGCTACCCTAAACACAGACGCTATCTAAAGCAGTCTGAAGTGTCCACTCTGCATAGTTATCCACTACTCTTTCGATATCGTCGTCTCAGCCGCCACCTTCTCGCTCCTGAAAACCTGCACCTCCTTCTCCTCCTCAATACTCCTCCTCGCCTCCGCGTTTAGATTATTAATCACACCCACACACTTATACGACGCGAACTTCCTCGCGGGCAGCCTCGCCTCAAACATCTCGTCAATCTCCTCTAACGTGCGGTTCTTGACCTCCGGCAGATAAAAGAACACCCACAGCGCGCCGATCACGCAGGACGGGAACCAAATATACCCGTACCTCGGGCCCCAGTTGAGCGCAGCCGGGTTGATAAAGTACGGCGCCGTGAACGTCGTGAGCCAAGCACCCGCGAACCCCACCGCGGCCGCGAGCCCGAAAGTGTAGGAGCGGAGGCGCTGGGTCGGGAGTTCGCCGCCGGCGAGCCAGGCGTAGGTGGCTATCATGCCGTTGTAGCTGAACATGTAGAGGCAGGACAAGGCGACGATGACGGTGCCGGTGGTCTTGGTGCCGGGCTTCTTGTCGTAGACTACCGCGACGATGAGCTGCAGTATGCCGCAGATTATGAGGCCGGACATGAGGAGTACGCGGCGCCGGCCGAATTTGATGATGATGAGGGAGTTGGCGAGGATGGCGATTATGCCGATGGTGCTGAGGACGTTGGTCATGGCGAAGGGGTCGGAGACCTTGGCCATCTTGAAGAAGTAGGCTTTGTATGCTAGGGAGGGGGTTAGTTGGAGTGCCGGGGGTGGTGGGGATGTGGACTTACCGATGATGAACATGGCGCCTGAAGCGGCTTGCAGAGTCACGGCGCATACAGCGAGCACGGTACGGCGGCGGTCGGTGGGGTTCTTGATCATGTCCAGTGGTCCAATGCCCGAGCTGGATTCCTTCTCCTTGTCAATTGCGGCCTGAATCTCTGCGGCTTCGGCCTCGAAATCGTATCCTTGTGGACGGAGCCATTCGAGTGCGTCTCTACCCTCCGCGTATCGGCCTTGCAGGATGAGCCAGCGAGGGGACTCGGGTATAAACCACATGCCTATGGAGATGAAGAACGGAACGACGTAGATAAGTCCGAGTGGAATCAGGTAGGAGGACTTGTCGGGCCTGTTTGCAGTAGCCCAGTCGACGATGGTACCGATCAACGTGCCCTGAGTATATGTGTTAGCAAAATCGGATGAAAGGAGGTGGACCCATCACTTACCAAAGAAGTGAAGAATTGGAAGCCAGTCAGGAACAGTCCACGGTACTTTGCGGTGCTACTCTCCTGGATGTAAAGCTGCGAGAAGGTCATGAAGTAGCCGTTCGCGAGACCGATAACAAGACGGCCGACGTAGAGTGCGCCAATGTGTGTCGTGGTCATCATGATGATGTTGGCAACAGTACAGACGAGGCACGCAATCCAGAGACAAGCTTTACGTCCTAACTTGTTGGCTGCAACGCCTGCGAAGCCGGCAGAGATAAATGCTCCCAACGTCATGAGAGATGAGATCAACTGCTGTCGCTCTGTCTGGATGTTCCATCCTCCAGGACACTTGGACGTTGGGCATTGGTATCCGTAGATCTAGCTAGATCAGCATCGTGACTTTCAAAGTGAACAAATCTAACGCACCTTGAGGAAACCTGGCATGGCCTGCAGACCTCCAATCATGCCAAAGTCAATTCCATACTGGAAAGGGGAAAGGATCATGACACCCGCGGCCAAAAACAGTCGCGAGTGATCCTTCCATGATTCTTGCCTGACTTCTGTCATGATGCTGCAATGCACTTCTGTGTGAGCGTGAAGATACCGGCGGTAAACATTTTGTTTCCGCGACCTCAGGACCCTTATAGCCCTGCAGATCAATGCCCAGGCTGGGTGAAAGGCAGATGTATTTACCCAAATGCCGAACGCCTCACATGGGCTCGCTACGCTGTGCAATGTGTACAACGAGCGGGGACCCCACACATCACACTCCTTCAATTGGCCAAGGGCGGATGATACTTGGCACCTTATCCATATTCGATGTGGGGAGCCTTATTGAAAGTACATGAATCGTTATGGGCAAGAGCATCCAGATTGCAAAACCGTTTTGCATCAAATTGCATGCCGCAGGGCCGGAGCAATAGCATTGGATTGTACTCCAACTGAGGCCCGATGCCCTGGGTTGAGGGATTTATAGATCGTCGTCCGCTGATTTTTCCGAACCCTTGAGGCTATAGGTACAGCTGTTTCGACTTCTGTTTCGACTTCTGTTGCGATCTTCTGTTGACCCCATTGTTGACTTCTCAACATCCAACCTACTCCAGCTCCTCCCAGAATTTCCCCACCAGCGCACAGTCACAATCCACATCCAAACCGCACGTGTAGTCTGGCCCTCACGACGGTGGCTTTTCGGCAGTTCGACTCAAAGCTGGGGAAATCATGGGGAAGCTGTCTTAGTGTTGGGGGAGGAGTCGACGGGGCGCGACTCGTACGGAGCCCTTCCGGCTTAGCGGGGGCAGGAAAGCTTGTCTTGACTCTAGCCCAGCGTGCCAGCGCCGCAGGACGTCGGTATCATCTCATCGAGGCCCATGGAGTCGCCTCTAGCCGCGTTGCAGTCATCTTCTGGCGTCGCTAATGCAATGGACATACGTTAGTCCAGCAATGGATGCGCAAGTACAGCTGTAAGGCCCGTCACCCTCGGGCGACGACATTGAGGAGAACGGGAATCGATGCGTTTTCCGCCTGTGCAAGTTGCCTTGCAAGTCTGGACAGCACGATTAATGGCCCTTGTTGTTGTTGTGACCCCCAAAAGGTGGCAAGCCCGTCATGTTTCCCTGGGTGCCTGGTTTCTAGGTTCCGCTGTATCATCCAGAGCGTTCTCCATGGATAGGACGAATCCAATGTCGCCAACATTCGTGCGCGGATGATCAGCAACAAGGAAAAGAATGATTTCATATGCAACGATATATGTTCTTGTATAGAGTACTGAATGATCTTTTGAAAATGTTCAATCTTTAAAGCCGGACAGCGGACAGCGTACAGCAATGCTATAGACCCTTGTTCAATTGGATACTGTATTGTCAGAGATACAATAGGAGCAGATAAGAAATGGGCGGGCTCAGTTTGAGTCGTCCCAAATATCCTACTAACACCGAGACTGATCTGATCCTTTAACGATTAAATCCATAGAACTTCATGCGTTTTCGACGAAATAGCATTTCAATATGCTATTCGATTTCATCAACTCAAGACTGTTCCAGTAGAACTGTTAAGCATCCTAGAAATCGGTCATTGGTATTAAATGTAGGACGAAAGGACTAGTTACAAACCAATTCTATTCTTTATCTGTCTATTACTTGAATTCGCAGAAATACTGTGGATGCTCTGGTATCCTTTTCCATAAGTCTAATACTCGATCTTCATGGCGGCCTAGGTTGACTAGCCTCTTTCGGATAGGTTAAGACGAGAGCTCAAGCTCTCGATGTGGGACAACTGGAGCTTCCATGCACACCACGAGTAACACGTCTCCATGGCAGTTTGATTGCAACCAGCACGCATAGGGAACTGTGTAGCTATATACTACAGGTTTGTGTTGCTTTACTGAGTACCTGTAGCTTGCTGATTTGTCTAAGCGCCCATCTCAAGTACTTCTCCACTGAGTAGATCATCCGAAGTCCCACTCCACCGACGACCGCAACATGAGATGACATGCCACGATTGCCCTATAGCCTCCTTTGGAAAGCCCGCGCCGTAGATCATTTACTTCCTCCTCTTGTCAAGCAATGTCGAGATGTCCACGCTGCTCAAAACGAGCTCCGATGGCTCCGCGCGCATGCCGATACCCTCTCGAGGCCTAACAGCAAGGCCCACGATGGATTACTGAGGAAAATGGTGGAACAAAGATCCACGGGAATGCCGCTACAGTACATATTAGGAACAGAGTTCTTTGGCGACCTGGAAATCAAATGTCGGCCAGGAGTGCTGATACCGAGGTTTGGAATACACCGTTTACACCAGCTGTACCTTGGAGCTGACGTATTGGAAGGCAAGAGACGGCAGCATCTGTCACATACCTTGCGCAACTGTTACAACGTGCGAAGAACCTCCCTTCTCAGTTGCACGTAATGGACCTTTGTACTGGCACGGGCTGCATACCACTTCTATTCCAACATGAGCTTCATGCAGCTCGGAGAGATATACAAGTGTATTGTCTTGGAGTTGATATCTCAACGAAGGCTCTCGACCTGGCGAAAAGTAACTTGAGAAAGCTACAGAAGACTGAGCCCGCAATTGTACCAAACTTGATGAAGTTTATGCGCGCAGATATCCTGAAAGAACCGGACAACGATGTGCCTTCTGTTCTCCCTTCCTTGAAAGCGGCACTAGAATTGAACCGCAAACCTAAGCAGTGGGATATTTTGATATCAAACCCTCCCTATATTTCGCCATCTGCATATTGGAAAACAACAACACGCTCTGTCCGTGGCTTCGAGCCAAAGCTCGCGTTGGTCCCCAAGGCCGAGCTTGGAGGCACCGACACTGAGCAAGGAGACGCATTCTACCCGCGCCTGCTTGCGACGGCAGTAGAAATCGACGCGAAAGTTGTTCTATTTGAAGTGGCAGACCTGGACCAGGCTGTACGTGTTGCCCATCTGGCGCGTAAGACTAATGCGTTCGATGGTATCGAGATCTGGCGGGATCAGCCTGATCAAGATGATCTGGAACAGGTACCTGAAAACATATCAAAAGATCGCAGTTGCTTCCCTATCATTGGTGCTGGCAATGGACGCTCGGTACTGTTGTACCGTGGTGTAGGTGCATCTTGGCTTGGTATGCCTGCACCAATGCAGGGCACATTGGAGCAACAACAGGTCTCGCTTTAGAAGGGAACGTTCACAATCTTTTCTTCAACGGCCTGCAATTATTCAGTCGGATAATCCGGGGTATCATCAAAATAGAAAGTCCTAGTACCTCGTACTACGAATACATCAGTGGCGCACGTCATGTGGAACCATTACACTAGTGCTTCATTGGCCTATGTGTTACCTATGCGCGTCATATGCTCATTCTCTATGAACCTAAAGTATTTAACTAGAACGCACCTTTTGTCATGACATGCCTCCGATGAACGACGACTGGTGTATTTCGAATACGAGAAGTACAATCGCTAATGCGCGCATGTTCGTAACCCTCCGCCCTCATCCGCATCCGAGCGAGCGAGCGAGCCTCTTCAGCATCTACCAATTATAGAATCAAGTCGTGTCGTCGTCCCACGTCTTTCGTTTCTTCGTTCTGCTTTCGCGAGTTCCCATACATCTCACATTGAGATCAAGCATTAATCGAGCGTACCGCCTGTTGTATGTACATTCATCAAGGTCTTGATATACGATTTCGCGCTATTCTACATCATCGCCAAAGACTCCGAAGAACCACGGTCACGAGTCCACATATCAACTCTCCACTCCTCCGCAATCTCACAAAAATGCGTATCTGGTTTTTAATATCACTCTTCACCATCTTCTTCCTTGCAAATACAACCCACGCAATCTTCAATCTCAATTTCAGTCCACAGAGAGTATGTCTCCAACCATCCCGTGCATCCACACTGCCAAACCGCTCACATTTCACCTAGCAACCACCACAAATCCACCTACCCTTCAAACCGACAACCCAATCCATCCCGAGTACCAAACCACTCACAACAGTCCCAACATCCGTCCCCCACGTCGCTGCGAATATCGACGTCGTACCTCAAGAAGCTGGGGCGGGACCGGGGACTGGCGGTAGCGATGGACCGGCCGCGATGATCGTATTCGCTGTTGTGGGGTTCGTGGGGCTGGGGTTTGGATTTGGGATGGGGCTGTAAGGGAACATGAAATAACGATTTGGGTTCATGAGGGTTATGAAAGGGACACGATTTTATGGGCTTATGGGTTTACGACACGGAATTGGGAGTTTGGAGTTAAGGATTGGGATTGGGTTTTGGGGGCGAAGATTGGGAATCATGCATGAGATGGCTTTGTATCAGTGTTGTTGGAGCGGCATTGCTGTATGATCAGAGTACTAGGTGGCATCATTCTGGGTTGACTTTGTATCATAAGCGATACATGCTACGATATTTTCTATGACTTTAGCGACAGTATGATAAGTAAGAATGGTCCAACTGATAATGTTTACGCTGAATACCTACCGTTACCTTGATGATCTCCGAAGAATATAGTCGGGGACATCGGTGCAACTACAACACTATGTCAGAAGTGGAATTAACAGACGACTCTCAGCAACAAGTTGCTTAATCGAGATCATTGCAGGGTTCCAAAAGCTTATTAGCGAACGTTTGCCTCAACGTCGATGCTGTGAAACATCGATCAGATGTCGGGCTCCAGAACAATTGCCGGAGACATGTTTCCCAAGGGAGTGAAAGCGTCCACGTCGCTAGTTGTGGAACCTCATCTTCGCTCGATTGGGGCCATGAACGTGCAGCCCCTTGAAAACAAGAGGTGACGGCGACATAGGAGACCAAATAAACTATACTTGGCTCTATAATTAGAGTATCGGGCCATAATCACGCTGATCATCCATGCATGATTCCAGACTCTACAGATCGACTCAGCCTTACCGTACATTCTTCCGCCGCCGTGGTTTCGGTGATGGAATCTAAGGATCCTTCAAATGTTGTATTAAGTCAGCACGCTTCGAGGGGGTGGAAGTGCTGGCATATACTGGTTCCTTTTGGGGGCAGAAATGTTGGTGGGACGGCTGCGTGGTTGGCGCATTTTCCCAATGGGGAAGAGCATCGGTGAGGCTGTGTTTGGTGGATAATCAGCCTCGAGGTTGTATGGAATCGGGGCAGAAATTTTGGGCTGGAGAAGGAGTGTGGGGGATCAGAGTATGATTTTTAACTTTAATTTTATGTGTCTTTCGTCAAAAACTTGGTCGCGCTTTGTGTTGTTGAGTATATGATCGTCAACTAGTATGGAGTAGTATCAACTTTAATTCAGAGTCTCGAGATCTACACGTCGTAGCAACATCACCGCAAATTGTATGTCTCGCCACGTTGCATATGAGGCGTTTTGTTTCCATATACTACAATCATAACAAATGAGAAGATTCGGTAGACCGCATAAAACGTGGTTGGGCTGATGTTGTAATCACTGCCCGTTTTCTTAATCCAGTTCAAGCACTCAGCACATGCCTCCCGACCCCGTTTCAGGCATGGAACATTCTTGACCAATCAACAATGTTCCTAGACGAACATACATGTAGCGTTTTCGGTTTCCATACTCGCCCCCGTTCAGCTCAGTTCGAGATACTTGGCAAGTCCAGTTGGGGGATGTAAGCCACGCTTTGCTTCCCGATGCCCAATGTCCGATTTGGTTTATGTAGACGAAAAATGATTTCTTTAAATCAATGGATGCTCGCGATGGAGAGAGCATCTATCATCTGCTTCATTCCAACTCCTTCAATTGTGGATCACGCAACTTGGGATTGTCTTGTTACTTGTATGGTAGCATACATCTTCATCATTCTAATAGGATTGATATACGCCGTTTTCAAAAACTCGCGAGCCTCTTCAACCAAGTCCAGAATCACGATATAGCCAGCAATGGGTCACGAAACGCATCACTCCGAGGCTAGGAAGTCTCTCGGCATCTTTGCATCCCCACTGCAACATGCCGACCATAGCCATAAAGATTCGGCCTCTTCAGATGAGGAGAATCAGAAATCCACAAACACCGATGCCAATCACGTACCCTTCAACAATACCGACTGCGATTTACACGATAGTCCATCCTTCCACCGCCATGCCGAAGCCACAACAGCTGAATTGTTCTACGATCTGTTCTTCGTTGCCAATCTCACGACATTCACTGCCATGCTCGACATCAACTCGTCCAAAACACTGACAGCATACATCGGCTTCTTCTCCCTTCTATGGCTCACCTGGTACCAAACCTCCCTCTACGATGTGCGTTTTAGCAGCGACTCCCTCTTCGAGCGAATCGCCAAGGGTCTGCATTTCGGCGTCATGGTTGGCTTCGCCGTCATCGGACCTCAGTGGAAGCCCGGTGAGGAGATCTACGATTACAAGATCTACCGTGCTTTCGGATTCATCTTGATGGTTTCTCGATTGACGCTCTTCTGCCAGTATGGCGTTACGCTGTTCTACAGCAGGGTGTACAAGAAAACCATCGTTCCACTCGCGATCATCATGGCATCTACTCTCATTGCCGCCATCCTCTACGGAGCATTGACCGCAGTCTTCCCTCACACCAAGGAGGTTCTCAACACAGAAACTGGTCTCCTCGAAGGCGTGTATCAGAAATCCAACGCCTACATCGCCTGGTACGTCATCGGCATAATCGAAACCATCCTCACAGTCAGCATATCCTGCATCTGGCGCCTCATCTCCTTCAAGGGCACACACATGGTGCAGCGAATGTCGCTCCTGACCCTCATCATCCTCGGCGAGGGTATCATCGTCATCTGCAAGGCCATCTCCAAGATCGTGAAGTTGGAGTACCTGTGGTCTGCCGCCGTCATCGGCCAGATCATCGCCGCGATCCTGATCATCTACTTCTTGTACATGTTGTACTTCGACCGATTGCAGGAAGAGCATTTTGGCACGATCAAGCAGCAGTTGTGGTCGTTTGTGCACTTCCCACTTCACACTGGCATCGTGCTCGTGCTGCAGGGTGTCTCGCATCTCATCATCTGGAGACAGGCCATCGAGGCTTTGAACGATGTCAATTCACGATGGATGGACGTGCAAACCAACCTAAACAACCACGTGTACGAGAATGGAACGGTGTACGCCCAGGCTTTCTATGACGTTTCCAAGTACAACGTCTTCGACTACGTGCCGAAAGGCATGGACGTCGGCCATGCATTGGAAGTCGCCAGCGAAGCAGCTACGAACATGGCAGAGGGCTACGATAATCTGATTGCCTCGAGCACGAACACCACGGCGGAATCCCAGTTGGTGGATGGAATCAACACGCTCATTGCTTCGACTGCGGATGTTCTGTTCACGAGTCTGGGCATCGAGGCACCAAAGATGGATAAGGGTGGTGAAGAGAAGAAGCTGGATTTTGATACCACGTTCAATCAGTATGGAAAGGTGTTCAACTTGGTCGTTGAATACGTTTTCGTCACGGTAAGTTCATACATCCTCGCCCCTTGTCAATAAACCCAGACAGTGACTAATGCTCTTCGTCTCCAGGCCGGCCTGTCGCTCCTTTTCATCACTATTTGCGGCTTCCTGTCGCTTCCGAAGTCTGGACGACGCATGTCTGAATACATCCGTCTGGGTGCCAATGCGGCATTCAGTGTGGGGTTGTGCTTGATCACTTTGTTGCGGTACAATGACACGTCGTTGTCCAACTTCATGATGAGTGCTTGGATGATTCCGCTGATCTGCATTGTCTACTTCTTGTGTGTGCTCGGGAATCACCTTCGTCTTCCCGGGAAAAAGACGCACTAGAAGTATCTGGGGAGAACAAGGGCCGGTGAGGGGGTCTGTTGGATGTATTGTAGATGAAATGGGAATTGTGGGAAAGGCCTTATGTGGTCATAATACATCATTGTAATTGTGTAGATTGTTATGTACACCTTTGAAACTAGATATACTTTACGCTTGTATAACTCCTGTCATTCCAGCTCTTCCATCTGTATCCGCAGTGCCTCTCGCTCCCAGAACTCCGCCTGCTGCTCTGCTCCACGGCGTCCGCCGAACTGAACCCCCCCGTCGCCGTTATCTCCCGTTGCCAAGTCCATCAACCGCTGGTAACAGCCCTTATTACGCTTCTCGTTAAAATGCTTGTAAGGGTTGCCAGGCTCAAGCCACGCTCCGCACAAGTAGCAGAAATGCGTCTTGCACTGGAAGCAAGTCATGTGGTTGCAACCATAAGATTTCTGGCACGGAGCTGTGCACTCTGGACATGGCGAAGTGTTGGCGAGGATGAAATTGAGCGAAGCTTGATCTTCCTCCGTGAGATCCTTTGGTTGTCGGGGCATGCAGCGGTAGTAGTCGCCGTGCCACGAAGCTAGACATTGTTTGCAAAACGCAAGGTTGCAGTCTTCGCATACCACTAATCGATCTTTGTCGCGCTCTTTATCAGTCAGTTTCTTGGGTTGCTCTTCCTGGCCTTCTTCTTGACCAGCGCCGTCATTTGCTGGCTCAGCGATAACTTCGTCGTCTGAATCCTCCTCCATCTGGCTGACGTCTACGATCTTGGGGTACTTCTCGGTCCGCATCGCACCTTGACACCATGATCGGGGACAGAACACGATCGTGGGATCTGCCTCGATCTTCTTCTTCCTCTTGAGCTCAGCATATCGCTTTACATTTTCGAAAGACAGTGGTATCTGTAGTAGCTCTTTTGGCGAGACAAGACGTTCCTTCTTTTGACGGTCTATTGCCGCGTTGCCAGTCTTTCCACAGTCAGGAGCCATGCATTTAACATTATTCACATCTCCTTCCGCAATGCAGTTGTTGTAATAGTCCTGCAAGCAAGCTTTGCAAAACACGTGACCGCATCGTTGCATTTGATAACACGCAGATCCTTTCTTCGGCTCCAGACAGACCCCGCAATCAAATGTCTCGTGGTCGAATTTCTCTCGTTTCATTTGGTCATTGTAATCCAGTATAGCGCTTTTCAAGGAGATGGGAAGTTTTAGGCTGCTCAGCCCAAAACTTGACTCCGCAGCTTCTTGTAGATAGCTGATGTAGGCAAATATCATTTGCATCCCGCCATACTCTTCCCACTGCGAGGATGCTTCTTTCTCTAGCTTTTGAAGAGTTGGTTTTGGTATCCAAGACGATGTGAGCTTGACCTCCGGAGGACTCTGTAGTGGGTAATTCTCGATAAGGATGAGATCCAACAATAGTGGAGGCAGATAAGATAACCGATGGATGGCGGATTCCGGTTCAAAGATAATCTGAAGAGGCGCAATAGGAGAAACCTGGAGGTTTATCCTTGCAGATGGCCTGGTGGGTTGCTCGAGGTTGATTTCAAGTTCTGGATATATCGACTGGAGGGTTTCCAGCTCTTCTACCCGCTCATCTGCTGTATCTTCCTCCGCCATGGAGAAGTTTGGCCCGTAGAAAAGGTGATCAAATGGCCTCCAAGGGGACTTTAAGTGTGTCCTTATAGGTGTGCCCTTTGCGCCCTTCTCGATAAATTTTCGGTGGATTAAAGAAGATTAGGTGGCGATGCGGGCTGCTGTATTAGTCCAGATGCGCTGATCGGGGCATCGGCCGCCTCAAAGTCCCGCAATATATCGATGAGCGAACCGTTTCTAAGAAATAGTTCGTACACTTGGGGAATATATGGAGAAGCAATATGAGTCAGTAAGCTAGGCGGAAGCATTCACCAGTAATTGTTATTAGACACTTGATTCAATACCGTACGAATAGTCTGATGAATGTGTGACAAGGATTGTCTTCCTTCTAGGGTGACTACCTCCTTGGTAGACAGGCGCGCTCTTCACTCACGGAATCTAGACTAGATGAGGCGTTCTGGACTAGCGCCACAGATAATGACATAATCCGGAACCTGCGCCACGACACCCGTCACTTTGAACTTGTTATATGACGACAATTGTTTCCTCAACTGCCGTCCTCGTACTGAAAATCTTCTCAAAGTCTCGCCCGCCATGGACGACATACCTCTTGCGTCTCTCTCACTGACGCACGTTCACTATGTAAGAAGACTCCGTTCTAACATGAACAAGATTGTGCCTAACGTTTCGACTTCGTAGAACCCCGCCGATCGCATTTCGTACCTTTGCGCCTGGCTTGCCCTTGTTCCCCAAGGACTGTGTGTTGTATATGCGACATTGATATGGTCGAACCGGGAGATTGAGATATGTCTCATGTTCGCCGGCCAGATGGCCTGTGAAGCGCTGAATTGGTGTCTAAAGCGACTGATCAAAGAGGAGCGACCACGTGGTAAGACCTGTCTATATTTGACTATCTCGCGGAATCATGAATATCTGACTCTGTATAGAAATGCATGGAAAAGGATATGGAATGCCTTCTTCGCACGCACAATTCGTTACCTTCTTCTCGATCACGCTAACGTTCTTTCTCCTCTTCCGCCATGTCCCTCACCCGACCGAGACTCACACTCCGCTCACATTCGCTCAACGCTTCCTTCTTTCCATTCTCGCACTTATTTCTGCTGCTGCTGTGGCGGCAAGCCGTATATACCTTACGTACCACACCCCGAAACAAGTTTTGGTGGGCTGCGCCGCAGGGGCTATTTTTGCAATCTTTTGGTTTGCATTTACAACATATCTGAGAAGATCGGGGTTGGTTGAGTGGGGTTTGGAAACCACTATTTCAAGACTATTCCGTGTTCGGGACTTGGTGGTCCAGGAGGATTTGGTCGACTCGGGTTGGGCGAGATGGGAAGAGAGGAGAGCACGGAGAGGGTTGAAGAACGGCTTCGTTGTCCAAGGCAAGAAGAGTAAATGAAGGTCACAGTAAAGATATGACAGACGGCTTATACAGGGTTCGTTGAGGGTTCGACAATTTCTGCATCTTTGACTTTACTAGCATTGCATTTGGACGCATATGAAGACTTATCGGCAAGTATGTTCCACCAATGGGGCAAACATGTAAATGAAGGCTATAATGATGATACCTCATGGTTTTGGCCTGTGTTCCCTCACAATTTGATACCAATCCTCTGGCAGGTATCGAGTATTTGGTGCCTGTGATCGATGGTCTGGTTTCGATGGTCTCCTTTTCCCATGAAAAAGGATCATTCTCTGCCTGGCCGCGCACCTATACCGCACAACTGGACGCAGGTCCAATGCGCAATGTAATTGTCTAAAATATATTGCATTACATAGCAATGTTCCTATACCAGTCACTATCAGCCCGCCTATCTTTCCATGATAACCTCTCATGCAGTCAGACGTTGCTTAGCGTAGGACCCCATGGTATTGATTGGTCTCCGTCGTACAACATTCCGGCCAATCCTTCCTCGACGTTTTCGAGCTTACGCCTGACACAAGCCCCTTCGTAAACCGTTACTGGTGCACCACAGGGATACTGATGTCCTAATCCAGACATCGATAGCAGTATGGCCTGCCTGAGCTGTTCAGATGGTGAGCACGATGCACCATCGTCGGATCAAACAGTTCCCGAACGTACTCACGATATTGCTATTGGAGAATCATCACATCACGATGATACCGAGTATTGATCTTCGTGGCTCAGCGATGTTGAATTGCGTGTCAGTCACACAGTATAGCATTTACAAGGTGAAGAATGCGAAAGATGCGAGCGGATGTGTGCCATGCGTATAGACGTGTAACTATATAAACGCATAAACTCTGTCTCCGGAAGTCATCGAGAATGGTTACTAGGTCACCCTTTTTGTTTCTGATAGTCTACATTCCTCAGTTCTGTACTCAGCACAACATACATAACGCCTGCCAAACCCCTTTCTCCACTTGTACCCCTACCCCATACATCCAACCATATCTAGTCGAAAAGTGAAACCTCGGACCAGGCTCGATAAGAAAAGATGGCGATCGATTTCTCCAAATTGAGTCCGGCTGAGATTCAAGCTCTCATGCAGTTGTTTGCAAAGCTGAAGAAGGTCCGGACTGCACACGCCGTCATAATGTCCATAGCAGTGTCTCTGTGGTTTCCTCTCGGCGTGCTCCTCCTACGACTCCTGAAGGTCAAGAACACCGTTTTGTGGCACGCCATATGGCAAGGCATTGGCCTCGTTCTCCTCCTCGTCGGCTTCGGTCTTGGTAGTTGGCTAAGCAGCAAGACAAACGTAAACATGCACAGTTCCACCAACCTATTAGGCGAGAAACACTGACAATTCTATCCCACAGCATAACGGCGACACACACATCATCCTCGGCATCGTTATCTCCGTCCTCTTTCTCTTCATGCCAGCCATCGGCTGGTTCCACCACAGACACTTCTCCGCGAGGGGAAATACAGACTACAAGAGACACATCCACGTGTGGGGCGGCCGCGTGCTTCTGCTCCTCGGCGTCATCAATGGAGGTACGGGTCTCAGTCTCTCCAAGGCACCTACATCGGGCATGATTGCGTACGGCATTCTCACTGCTGTAGTGGGGATTGGGTACGGATACATTTGGTTCCGAAAGGGGCGCCAGCCGGGGTTTGAGAGGGTCAAGGCTCGTCCCAATGGGCCTTTTGAGATGGAGTCGGGGACTAAGGCTTGATCTGGTCATATTTGGTGTGATGAGGATTGTACTGGCTCGTACGGGATGGTACTTGGAGGGGGACACTTCGGTTTCGACTGACATGTCTTCTTGGCTGCTCTGTTCTTGCTTACTGTTCTATTCTACCGTGAGATCTACTGTGTATCTGTATTACTTCGTCCAAAGAAAAGCAATATCATTATTATGTTTCCCTTGCTAAAAGTAGAGGAACTTCACGATGGAAGAGCACTTGGATCCCAATGACCTCTTGTAAGAGCATAAGATCATTCATTAGCTGAAACAACATAGTCCTTGAAAGGCTGTGTATAGGTAAACCCGACCGATATCTTCTCTACACTACCGCATCTTCCGTCCAATCAACACATCATTATATCACTTCACCATGATATACATGCCCTCAAATAATGACGCCAAGGCCATGTTCCCGGCGGAACCGGCAGGTGCTGCCTTAATGTCTCAATCTCATAACAATGCGGCGAGAGGAAGAGGTGTGTCGGTGATTTTCTAGAGCGGGGTCAGCAACCAGTTATCTACATGCACCGCAGACTTAGGGGTCATCGAGAGTATTGGATTCTTACACTCTATCACTTTTAAACAGGGCAGGGCTTGGTGCAATTCCTGAAACGGTTTTGCTGGTTGCTGTTGACAGTGTTTGTTTCGCTAGTGGTGTGGATGATGCAGCAGATGAGATCGTGTTGGTTTTGGACAGCGGAATGAATGAAGAATTTATAGGCTGTGGTAAAGCGGAGGACTTCGAATGACGTTGAATGGCACGGAAAGATGATGCTGACACGGAAGAGTTGCTACGAGAGATTGGGGTGCTGGTAAGAGCTGTCTGAGGAGCCGCACTGAGAGATACCTTGGTAACTGTACTAAAGGATTCCTTTGCAGCTATTCCCTTGGAAATAATCTCAGTTGCAGATTGCCGGGTTCTAAACGTAGTCAAAAGCCCACCGACAGGCTTCGGACTATCCGAAACCTGAATGTTCGGCAGTATAGTCGACGTGGTATTGGAAATCGGCAGTGTACTGTTTTGTACCGATGTAGCACTCAGGTGGTTTGGCACCCCATTTGCATGGGTGAACGACGGTTGAACCGAAATCTGCAATTTTGATGTTGTTGCATTGGAGGACTTAGGTGTAACAGGGTATGGTACTGGGAATTGTGAGCTCATGCATGGAGAGATTGTGCTTTCAGATGGATTTACCGGCAATAAGTCTAGTTGCGAAGATTGAAGGGGCCAGGAGGAAAAACAACAAGCTTAATAGATTTGGTAACATGGTCAATGGTCTGATCTTCCTTGTTGCTTGTAACGGTAGCAGGGCTATAGTTCAAGATGAAAGTAAACAGCTCGTAATGAGTACACCTTTCCTTAATCTGGACCTCTTTTATACATGATCACAGCCGTTCCTACCAATTGACACAAGGTTCCGGTATCCGTTAACGAGGCATTGCTGTTCGCCATTTGTTTCAGCTGCAATCAATACAGGTACCGGTGAATGAGGAAATATCACCTATTTCGGCCTCCAAGAGCCTCCAAGTTTAGAAAATGGCCAATTCATGGTTCAAGTGTGTTGAACAAATGACGGAGAATGAGGATCAGCCGATTGAAGCCTCTGGATCTGGTTGCTGCGGTAGAGATTCCAAATTTTCGACCACCCCAAATTTAACAAGTCGTGCACAAAAGTTTTGATTTAACCAATAGGAGAATACCAGGACCATCTCGATGAATACGGTGCGAGTGATATCAATATCAATGCTGCAGGCAAATGATCACTTCGTTGGTCTCCCTTGCGCCAACAAAGGAACGGGGCTGTGAGGATGGGACCGAGTGTATCTTGGAGGGAGCGAAGCCCGGAGTTATGGCACGTAAGGGGTATATTTCGCGTTCAATACATTCCAATCTCAATAGTCCGAGGAGCAGACCACGCGCCAGAAATAGAACCTGTAGTCCTGAGCAGTCTAAAACTCTTGACCTTCCGTAGTTTTCTTTCAAACAATCATTTACACGATGGAGAACCCCCCAATAGCAGCACCCTTGGTATTCGATGCTTCGCAAGAGTGGGACGGAAACGATGGGAAATGGAGCTCCTTCGTTATAGGAGTTGGAACACCAGCACAAAATTTTCGTGTGCTCCCTGGGATTGCAACTGGAGAGATACTAGTACCGTCAGTCGAAGCGTGCAAACCCGAGATCCAAGCTACATGTGGAGTTCAGCGTGGCGCATTTCCTTTCGATGGGCACCAGAGCAATGGATTCCAGGCCAATAAATCGTCAACATGGCAACAAATTGGATTGTATTTCTTGGATCTCCGCGATGACCTGAACTACACTGGTAAAGGTCTGTTCGGGCTAGAGCGCCTAGGTCTAATGCCACAGAATCCGAAGGGCCCAACTTTAAGGAACCAGGTCGTTGGAGCAATTACCGCGGGAGGTCCTCATGTGGGAGTGCTTGGACTTGATGTAAAGCCCGCCAACTTTTCCACCTTCGATTTTCCCCAGGCATCGCTAATGACGACAATGTGGGATGAGTCAAGAATCCCTAGCCGCTCATTTGGATATACTGCAGGAGCACACTACAGTAAGTCAGTTGGGACATATCTGACTTTGTTCGACTACTAACAGTCTGTTAAGGATCTCCAAAGGTCCTTGGAAGCCTGACAGTTGGTGGCTTTGACCAAGAACGCTTTGACCCAAACAACATCACGTTCCTATTCGACCCTGACGACAGTCAGCCAACTAGCCTACACGTACAGAATATAGTCGCGAAGGACACGCTGAATAGCTCCATTATCAACTTACTCGACAATGTAGCTTACATGCAGCTTGATTTCACCGTACCACATCTTTGGCTGCCGCACGACGTCTGTGACCGGTTCGAGCAAGCATTCGGGCTCATATACGACAGCGACACTGATCTCTATCGCGTCAACGACTCAATCCACGACCAGCTTCTTCAAAAGAACCCAACAGTCACAATCGGGTTAGGCACATCGGACCCTCCTCAACGGGTCAATATAGAGCTGCCATATGGTGCATTCGATCTTACTGCAGGTGCTCCGATATATGACAACGACACGAATTATTTTCCAATTCGACGAGCCAACGGTACCAAGTACACACTTGGCCGGGCCTTCTTTCAGGAGGCATACATAATCGTTGACTATGAGAGATTAAGCTTCTCAGTTCACCAAGCTCGCTTTCCACAGACGAACAAGCCAAGAGATATTAAGACAATCTATCCGCCCCAGAGTCTCTCCACAAATACTTCTGCAGCATCTACAAATGGGAGCGGTATCCCAAAAGGAGCCGTGGTGGGCATTGTGCTTGGCGTATCCATAGGGGCTATGTTGCTTATTGCATACCTTTTTGTCATTTTGAAGCGACGAAGGACTAAGCGAAAAACTGATCCGAATGATATGGCTCAGATACCGCCAACACATGACGGGGTGCAGGAATTGCACGATGATGACAAAAAGCCTTCAGAGATCCAGGGAAATGAGCTACATGAGATGGTAGGCTATCAAAACCGGGAAGAAGTTGATGGGACCTCGCGCATTGAATTACTCGGAGATATACCTCGGGTGTCGCGGTCTATACATAGTAGCACCGACCTAGTCGAGAAGAGCCGCAAGAAGTAGGTGTAAAGTCGCCTTTTCTTATGTATGATCGAGATCAGCCACCCTACGTCCTTCAACATGAAATTGACCAATTGCGGCGTTATAAGAGTCCACAGTGAAGCGAGAAAAGAAAAAGATGAACGGAATACGTGATTTTTTTCGAGTACCGGTGGACATTTGCTTCATTGATTCGGATAATCGTTGATGTGCCATTCACCAAGAATGCACCTGTAAGGACAACATAATCCAGGTGAATTAGACGTGCAGGGGCCAGACCGAGGGATGTTTACGGTCACCGAGTAGGGTTTCAATTGCAACTAATGTTTCTTCATCCCATGAACTTTTGATAGTCGATCAAGGAAAGAGTGTTGCTGTCAATGTAGCCGTAATTAACTGTTTTGCTACTGGAATGGCGTCTTGACCGAGGGAGAAGGTTGTTCCCAGTACAGTTGTGGTACATTTGGGTCGATAGGATCAACAACAGCTCAAAGGTCGAAGGCCTGTTCAATGCATGCCTATCGAACGTGGGCCAATGTGGCTCGATCTTGTTGGAAGAGAAGATCAACATCGCAGGGGCCAGCCGATTTCGAACTGCTTTATATAATTCCGTAGTGCCCTTAACATCGTACTTGAAAGGGTTCAATCAAAAACCTGCCTCTATAAAATAGCTTGCAAGATGTAATTATGAAGCAGTAGTGAGAATTGGTCATTCAAAGGCTCCGAAGTAGTCCGTTTGTTCTACACCCTTTGGAACAGGCGAACCAGTGTGAATCGGACCTTGATGGGTTTGCTTTAGAGCGGCAAGTGCCCTACCGCTAGGAAGATCGAATGGACTAGCCCTACTATGACTAGATCCAGGTACCTTCAATTGATTTGAACCCCCAGGAGTAGCGAGGATGTCGGTTGTGTCGTCAAGAGGAAGAGGCTGGGTGAGTGGATCTGTACAGAAAATCATTAAAAGCTTCTCGACAACATCGCGTAGTCGATCCGGTTGAAAATGCAATGATTTGGTGGCCATGTGCTTTCTCTACATATTTGTTAGCAGGCTATGATGTAGCATGAGGGTTGGTAGTCCTACTAGTGCAAGGGCAGCGCCTTTATAAGTTTGGTGATAGATGAGTTTGAACTCCTCGTCCTTCGCGGCCTCCTCGGCCGTAATCTCTTCATTGAATTGCTCCATTGACTTGACACTAGGTGCAACAGAGGTACGCCTGGATTTAGTTTTCTTCCGTTGCTGCAACCCATGCATACGCATCGCCGCCATGACGACCCTAGAAAGTGCATCCTTATTACGACTTTCGATGGTTGGCTCTTCTGAAGCAGCCGAGACAGTCTCCATTTGGGAGAGCGTAGATCGTTTCACGTGCATTTCGTGAGACTCTTTGCGGCTCGATGGGCGTGTATCAGAGCTGACACTGGGAGATCTAGATAATCGCATAGACTGTGGCCGTGAGATTGCCGCATGTGCCGAAGTTGGTCGCGAGTCTGCTGAATAGCCTTTTGTGTCAATCGACACAGATCTGCCATGCCTGAAGACGGATTGCAGTTCATTTGTTTTCGCAGCAGCTGCGGCAATACTTTCACCCATATGCCTTTTCTTTTTGCTGCGTAGTTGATTTGCCTCCTCGAATATGTCCTTCTTCCTCTTGGGAGAGGGTACGTCCACCATTTCGTTTTTCGCTGGAAGAAACTGAGGTTCGATGTCTAAGTCGTGCTTACCCATAGAATGTGATAGATTATCATTCTCTGAGCTCGCCTCTATGTGCCAGCGTTCAGATGAAAGCGGGAGAGCGTGCACATGAAGTTCGGATAAATGCTCTGGATTTCCGTAGAGCGCTTCTGCCGATGATGGGGGAGGTGTGGGCAAATTTGCGCTCACAGGTGTGGCAACAGTACCATAAAACAGAATCTCGGTCACATTATTCTCTCCTTTTCCAGGAACATGCCCATTGACTTGAACAAGAATTCCAATTGGGGATTGGGAGCGTGCTTTACACCACCAATGCTGCGCGTCTGGCTCAGGCGCAATTGATGCTGGCATTGCATCTGCTTGACTAAGCAAAATCGACTGAAACCATTGCGAAGTACACTCGTTCGTAGTCCAGACATCTAGGCTCGGTCCAGCCGCTAGATACAAGGGGATATGAGCTGTATATACTGTAGCAAGAAAACGTAGTGAGACATCAGAGAACGCAGACGACAGGGCAAGATTCTGAGCCGCGAAAACAATGTCTTTGGAAAAATTAGCTGGAAGAAGTCCAAGATGCGCGCTCATTTACCTTTGATCACTTCATGATCGGAAAGTGCAATGTCTCCGCTCCAGATGTCTGATATCATTATTGCAGTTGTGGAAAGTCAGGAATATTGCAGCGACTATTGGCTGTACACAGGGTGACAGGTAGTTGAACATGATCGCGCCAAGTTTAGCTCACGCGGTAATTATCAATACGCGAAACCACGTGCAAGGCGCGTTCGGCCCGTAATGTAAGACTATTCGGAATGTCTAATCGTACATGGAATCTCTATTTTATTATAATTAATGCTAAATTTTATCGTATTCAGTTGCCATTTGCCCACAAAGCTCAAGATAGCAATATCGTGGTCTGCATAGTCACGTGCTTACACTTTCACCAAGAACTCCCAAATTAAACGCATCTCCTCACTCCTTGAAAATCATTCAGAAAAGACACTACAATAAGCTAGCAAAATTCACACCCGAAACTGAGAAGGCCTCTTCGTCACTCTTCTAAACTCCGTAATTCCCATTATTATGATCTTTGCAACCTCATTTCGTGCAAGGATAGTTTCCCATCACCATCTGAGTCGAACCTATGATAATTTAGAGGAGACGGAATTCCTGACTATGTGCCATTTTCACATACCTTTGAAACCTCGAACTGGCCTCTGGGGTATCAGCTTCACCTAGCATTTGTAAGAACTGCCCGTAATTGAAAAATCCCAAGCCTTCTATGTCGACCATTCGAAACATCTTCTCATCCGAATGATCTTCATCCTGGTCCCCTCGTCTTCCCAATAAGCCTTCCGCAGGCGTATGCTTGTCAGCGATACATTGAAAATAACATTGCACCACGCATTGTTGGTCAGCCCAAGGCCATTTTCGAGGATCGTCAGGGATATCTGGGCAGCCTTTCCTGCACAGCTTTTCACAACGCATTGGACATGTATCGCATCCTGTACAAGATATTTCAGCCTGGAGAACATATGTAGGAAAGGCAACGTACCCTCGTAGCAATTGCAACAGAAGATATTGCAATCTCCCCCCGAGCAACAAGTGTCGAGACCATCGTACCCGCAGCACACTGCTGCTACTTGTTTAACGATTAGGAGACTTACAATACCCCAGAGGCGACGCATGACGAACATAAATATGAACACTTCTTGTTTCAAAGTGCTCGAGGTTATTTTGTGTTTGAAGAGACTTTTCTCGACGTGATCATTCCCGAGGACTAGTCCAAGTACGTGCTACTTTGCATTCCAATGAAACACACGTTGGGTACCTAGGTATTTACACCATTCTTCACCTATGGTAATAGTAACCTATATAATCTCGGTTACGCGCGTATTATCATGACGACATGCACAATAAAGTAAATTCATGATAGCGCTCGGTAGGCTATGCATTTTTATACTAGACGGCCTTTCATGCCTTGGTTCTTTGATGTCTAGCACACTTGGTTTGAGACCCCTCTATTCTTCATCATCATGTTCAACACTTTCAACTATTCCTGACGGGTTCCTCAACTCTGAATCCAATTCAACTCGAGTAGAAACCTCCTCCTCCAGCAACCTAGACCGTCTCCTACGATAACGAGACGGGATCCTAAAAATATGATTCAGGGGCAAGGACCCTTCTTCCACTCCATTAACCTCTTCGTCAGCGTACTTCTCGAAGAATATATCGATCAGAGCCCTGACTACAAGGACTAAATCAGCTTACTGCCGTCAAAAAGCTCCTCTAATCCCACGTCTTACATCTCTTTGTCGCCATCCCCTCCTCACAGCAACTGGCCCATCTATATATGTCCTTATCGCTGTCATCGATGCCGTAATCTCGCCTTTGCCAGGGGAACCACTCTGCGTATTTATCGTCGGGAAACAGACCGTTGATGGTTTCAAGAATGGTGAAGTGAAATTCTGGAGAGTCGCGGATATCTTGGTCGCCTTCCTGTATGATTATGATATTCCGTAGCTTGTATACGCAGAGGTCGCAGTAGATATACATAGGCTGGCTATCGCCAAACTTTGCCTTCACTCCACATGTGTCAGGCGTGATTGTTGCAAGTTGCTGGTGGGGTGGCATTTTCGCAGTAGGATGACGGAATGGTAGATGTCGCAGGCTTAATAACTTGAGGTCTTCGAACGATCGGAAATAATACGTGAAACGATAGAATGTCTTGCTGATGTAGTTAGAAAGGGAGTCTTCAGACACACAGATCTACTAACCTACCGACCTAGTGAGGTTGATTGGAATCAATGGCTGCTTTGGGCAGAACAAGTTGTACTGTTTGGGAAGGTCAAAGTAACTGTCGCTAAGGAAGGAAGTAATCTCAGGACAAATAGTATATCAAAGAAAATGTTTGACTTTGGCAGCAACACTACTACTTGAGTTTGTATCCTGCGACATCAATTATGCAAGTTCAAGTGTTTGGCTTGCTCTCAAATATTCGCAGATTAGGTCACCCCGATTTCACTATCTCAAACTTTGGCCTTCCGCATGCATGCATAAGTATACTATTTCAGTACTATGTACTTAGACTCAGACTCAATGTCAGTGGCTTGATGTTAGTCAACGCTGCCCAGAGCACATGTGGCCGATGATTCTAGCTCGCAGCATTAATGTAATCGAAGACTATTGCCATATTAGCACACTGACCATATTTTTACGTTTCGAAAAGAATACTGACTTTCTTTGCTGATTCTGCCTGTATTATTGCAGCATCGTATCCAAGGTGTTTGGCCTGTGCCTTCGTTGACAGATTGAGGGAACCACTCTTTCTCTAAGTCTGGATGGGGGTTGGTTATGTTTCTTGCGTCGATAACTCCAACCTGGGCTCCATCTTTCTGTTCTCTTATAATCTTCCCGAGTTCCTGTGCGTGCTGGTGGCAGTCAATATATTGAATCTTGCTCTTGTAAGGACCTATAGTTGCTTTCACAAAATGAGTGTTCGGGAGGATTTCCACATCCTGACTTATAGCTCCTGTTGCCATGAAGATGGGTCTGTTGGATTTTGAATGCAGGGTTTTGGTAATGAGTGAGAACAGGTTTCGTGAAATTTGAATGAAGTGAGAAGTATTCAAAGATCAACTGTAGAGTTGCAAAAATGAAAAGGTTTTCTTGCGAAGGCTGATTTATATATCTCTCTCTACATATGACTCCACACATTCTGAGTCCAAGCTTGTACTACTGCTCGGAAGGATTCACTCTTTGCGATGAGTGGAGAGGACACATTTTCGGCTATGATTGGTGAGAATTCACTGCTGTCAGTGAGTGAGAGTGCTCATTTCGTCGATGAGTGGAGAGGACTCACTCTTCCTATGAGTTGAAGAGCGTGGAGTAACCTACGAAAGCTAAGTATCAAGTTATTGTCATAACTGGCGTAAGCCTTTACACATGTCAGAAAAATATGAGATTCAACAATGAAATGACTGTAACTCAAGAGAGGCTCAGGGTACACGCACTGGCTTTACGCATGGATCACGCCTGGAGCATGCCAGTTTGCGAGATGAGAAAGGCTTTGGGTGAGAGATTTAGCAGAAGAGGGGAAACATCATTTGTTCTTGGTCAACTGCAAAACTTGAAAATTTGAAAAACAGAAAAGAAAATTCGTATGGATAAATGAATGTATTTAGGCAGCTATCTGTCCAGCCTGCTGAGATTTAACGAACGACAAAGGAGCAGTTGTTGCGCATAGATACCTCTACAGAGGAAATAGCTATACGCACAAAATGCAATGAATGAAAAGGCTGAACAGATAGCCACCTAGGTACCTACCTACCTACCTAGGTACCTAAGTAATCGATCCTCTCCCAGGTTGGTAGTGCCCCTCGAGCACTGTCCAACCTTAACCCCTCGCACTTTCCTTTACACGCGATATCCGCATCGCCTATGTCCTCTTACCAGGCCACAAAATGTACCATAAGCAGCCAAGGTGAATAGAGGATCCGCTCAAGAGAGCGTCTGCAGAATATAATCTGGGAAGCGATCATGACCGCTCTTGCTTCTGGGTGAACCTATTTTGTGTTTTTCTTCCTCCATCCACTTCCACACTGTGACAAGTTAGAGATTTGTCAAATAAATCGCACGTGAATCAATAAACTCACAAGCGAGACTGGTCCGACATATACGGCGTTGGTTAGCAGGGTAACCATGGTGGAAGTCGCAGCACCGTATCCAACCTGTCCACCAAGAATCTGTCCGTATGTAATCGTCGAAACTATGATGTGTATTCCTATAAACATTACGATCCTCAAGAAGCCATGGTTTGTCATATATCAATGGGTTTGCTTCGGTACCAAGTTGCTTCACTCCAATCTTCACATCGTCAATGCTGTCACTCGTTGACTGATGGCGAAGTAGCTCCCCGAGCAACCAAGTATGGTATTCGCAATCCACGAATAAGAATGTTGTTTTATCGCTGTACAGGAATGCTATCGCATGGGTATGATCCTCATGTTGGCCTGTGTTGGCTGAAGAGGGGGCGAAGGGCGTTGAGGAAGACATCGAGACAAAGGAGCGGTGGGGTTTCGTCTTCCAGGCTATTGACTGTAAGGTTGGTTTTGGCTTGTTCTTGGTGGTATCCTGAAGCAAGTATAATAAGAGGAAATTATATTGCTCAAGAATCGTGTTCGGTGAATATTTGATGTTTGGAATATCTCATAAGACAAGTAAAGGATTGCTGGGGTGAAATTGAGAATTAGGAACGAGAGAGCAGTACTTATAGACCTCCAATAAATATGACTCTCATGCTCCAAGTGAGTCTTTTACTTTGCCAGTCACAGATGACGCGGTTATGAGTACTCTGCAAAGCAAGAGTCAAGCACGGTATATTACGATGCTCTGGACAATCTTGACGAGAAGTATAAAATACTGACTGTTTTGAAATGACTTGATTTCAGAAGTGGTCAGACCAGCTCACGAGATTAAGCATGACGATATGAACTCCAGGTAATGCCAAACACCTACACGGTCATCTTTGACCCAATGGCATCAATAATCTACGCTCGTTTTACGTAGTTGTAAATGGACCATCCTCCCTTATTCGTAGTCTTGCGCTTCAGGGACATCAGAAATCAGCCCCACTGAAGTACATCTCATAAGACGAGGCGTGGCGATAGGTTGTTGGTATGAGCGTCATGTTGCGACTTCAGGAGAGTAACAACCAAAATATCTGAAACATCATAAAGGAACACATATGATTCAAACCAGGGCGTGACTCAAAATATTGTAGAACAGTGATTTCCATTGAAATGTGACTCTATCTATGAGAGCATAGCAAATAAATGTCGGTAATGACTGGTAGATTAGACTGGAAATGACAAAGAGGTGGCGGTAATGACTGTCAAATCAGGCTAGGAAATTACAATTAGACAGCGGAAACGACTGTTGCACCTTGAAGAAGTCCTTCTAATGCGTAATAAAGCATGGTAGAAACAGGTCCGTCAACCATTCTAGGAAACTCAATATAGGGACCTCATTCTTTGCCGTCGAGGAAGTTGAGGACTATGCAAGGTGTTAACGAGAGATCTGGAAATGACTGTTCGCAAACTTACGCATACTTGATCCCTTCTTTCCGTGTTTACATTTTCTCCACAGCCGTGCGTTTGTCTTTACATGAATGCAGTCTGCTTCAGATTCCTTGTAAACACCGTCAAACTCCAGTGCGATTGTCATAATAGGTAGATTCTCATCGGCAATTTTGATGGTTTTCTCCGTAGCAATCCATTCGTCCTGTTGCGCGACTCTATCATAAAGAGCTTTAATGTGCTCTTGACAGTCGATATAGCATGTATATTCTCCTAAGGTGACTTGAGCGTTGAAGACACCATCGGGAGATGCGTGGTTAACAGTAGACTCCTCTAATTTGGTTCCTGCTGTTGCTGTTTGCTTGTCCTTAGGTATCAACATGTCGAAAGTTGTATGTCTGTCAAGGAAAAGTGATCGTATGTTTGTGTGTATGAAGATGTAATCGTTGAGCAACGAGTATGAGAAAGAATCGCGGTATAAGAGTTTGGTTTGAAGAAACAGTCATTTCCAGCTCCAAAATCTAGCATTTATACATATAATGGCTGACAAAGAGTCAAGATGTAGTGACGTATAGTTGTAAGGCACAGTCTTATCACATATGAATACTCTAAGGCGGCCATCTGGATAGTCATAACAGTGGGAGATATTATTATTTGTAAGAGGTCATTCATAATGTATTGCAATATTTCTAGATAATCTAGACTAATAATTCTTGGGAAATGTTCAACAATTCTGCAAGGGAATAAATGGTGATGGCACCCTGAGTGAAAGACGAAAGAAAAGAAAAGAGGAATAACAAGATCTTGGTAAAGACTGTTCCGTACAAATAGTGAAACCAAGCACCAAATGAGAAATGAAAAGATTTCGGGAAGGACTGTTCAGCAGGTGAAATAAAAGAAATTGCAACAGGTGGGAAATAGAGGTCTTTCTCTGCAGGTTTCAAATATCCCCATTCCCACCGCCGTTTGAAGAGAAGTCGACATCTCTGACGAGACAGCGACTATTCGTCAGTGACTGCCATTGGTCATGCTGATTCCATACCTATTCGCCCTTTCCTCCAATAGTTTATCGACTGTTTTATATTTTAGCAAAGATGGCAAAGTTTCGAGCATAATCTGAAACCCACGTATGACTGATATGCGCCCACCATGCTCACAGACTTTCCACTTCGCAGCGTCGTTGATGTTGTCGAAATCGCTCACGACCTTGTTTTGCTCGGGAAAATCACTTTCGATGCGCGCTTGAGATAGACTATCCAAGGCATCCTCGAGATGGAGCGATTCGACCATTGGGGGGTTACTATCTTGCTCAGGGGGTTGCCGATTAATAATTCTCTCGAGAATTTTACTATGATGTCTGGAATAGACTAGCAGTTTTGTTCCGTGTACCTTCACCTCAGCATACGTATAATCTTTCGGTGCCGAGACCGATGGTGTGGACATCCCGGATTCTTCTGTTGGTGCAGGCCCAGGTGGTGATCGCTGTTCGTCTTGGGACTCGATCTGCCCCTCTTCTGGTGAGCTCGTTCCATTTGTCCACTCTGAGTCTTCTATTTCTAGTGCCGGCATGTTTGATGCGTTATCGTTGACAGTTCAAGTCAATATGTGGAGATTCGGATAGCAAAATTGTCTGGTATATCCGGTACTTATTCTATTGAATGTTTAGGAGTGATGTCGAAAGCAACGTACAACATACAACGTCTCCCTCTATATACCCTCTGATCAATGAGTCTATGCGGCTGACTCTTCTGCTGCAGTCATAGAACAGAGTCATTGCATAGGAATGGCTAAGAGTGTGGCACAGATGCTTGCGAAAGGCAGACCCATACGATGTGAAGCACAGATGTGCATGAGAAATAACATTCACTTACTAGACGAGAGAGTAATTACGTAGAGCAAATCTCTATCACGTAGGTGTGTATTGTTGTGTGCTTGAACTCGAGCGCCGGTTTCAACATGGAGGCACCTTCACTATCTTGGAGGAGTAGAGAGTACTACGCGATAGAGCACATTTTATGATTGCATATCCAAAGAATTTGTGGTAATGACTGTTTGATTTCTAGAATGATACACTAGGAAATTGAGGCACTAGTTGCCAAAATGAAAGTGAAACATAATGAGACCGAGGTAGTGACTGAATACAAAGAAAGGTCTTGACAGGAAAATGATGTTTAAATGAGAGAAGTTTTATAAGAGGAAGGAATCAGAGGACATGAGAGTCCTATCTTGCAATTGCCCATGCTTTGGTAGTTCAAATTGGCTCGAGGGTGGTTGTTGGCCCCCTGTTTCACAAATTCGGATTGAATTGACTGCCGTATTCTAGTGTCGGATTGTTCCTCCAAAGATTGGCTGTCGCCTCTGTATTATTTGTATTGGTATCGCCCATGAACGCATTGATCTGCAAACGGGCACTACCCCTTCGAGTGGCTCTCAAAACTGTAGAAGGGATTTAGTAAATTCCTAATTCCAACCGTGTGAGGGAGCTTACGATTGATTGAGACAGGAAAGTGATGATCACAATCTGTCCATTGAAGTGGCTGGTACCCTTGACTTCCCACCACTGTGTTTACTTTCATAGCTGTGGGGAAACGTTCGGCTTCTTGAGCGGGACTGAGAGGTATCCATGTGTGTCCCTCCACTTCGTGGAATCTTTCATTAGGCGGCAGAGCGTTATTGCCCTGATCTTGTTTATCAATCACCCTCTGGATAAGTGTGCAGTGATATGGACACAAGCAATGCATTGCCTGCCCGTTGATGGAGATTGTGCAATACCAGCTAACGTCCACATTTTTCATTGCCGCCACGTCAGCAGCGGTTTGTGTGCTCTCGTAATGGGCCTCGAGTGCTGCGTCGGCCTGTCCAGCCTGTGAATCTATCGATCCGCCAGATCCTGATCTCTGCGAACCTGATGCTGCAGACATATCGAAGGTATTTTTCTGAAAGACAAGTAGTAGGTAGTGTGTATGATGAAAAGCTGTAAGAGGTAATGCTGCTATGGAAAGTGTACACTGACAGTGTAGAGAAGATTCCATCGCCCACTCGCCTGTCTTTTATATATTCAACCTATGACTCTACGTCTTTGTTGGCTCCGTGCTCTTCGGTCATACCGATGCCATTCATTGAGTGCATCAACCTTGTTGAGGTCTTTTCTCAATGTAATGAAAGGAGTCACAGCGAGGAGGGGTTTGTGCGTGAGGTATTTTCTTTGTGAGAAATAACAGAGTCAGAGAATGTGTCACGATGAAGTGGTATTGGGTACGAGTGATGATGATGCAATTGGGTTGGAGCCTTGGGTAGGGATCAGAATGAGGACTTTGATTACCTTTGTGGTTGGAAGTTTGCATGGCAGGGTGTGCTGTGCGGTGTGTGATTACCTAGGTACTTGATTGCACGAGGGCGTTTGGTGGATGATAATGATGGAGGGCATCAAGTTTCGATTGGACAGAGCTATTGTCATACACTGCTATACGGACTCATAGTTCACAATGGTAGTAATCCATTACGTTGGACGATTGAGTGTGATATTCGATGACTTCTCAATAGTCTTAATCATATCTACAGAATTTGATTTTGAGCCCTCGCCATATTTTTCTATCTTCAATGTTCCATCAATGCATGTGTCTACAATTCGTCTTTCACGCGGTCGTCATCTAAATCAGGCATGCTCATGATCTTGACCACCAAGCTGGTCCATCCAGTGAAATGCTGCGTCCTCTGTCCTTTGCCTGTCTCCGGGTTATACTGCTCCCAAGCGAAGCCTGTCTCTTTCCAGCTCTCGTACACAGTCTTGACGAGGTTCTTGCGGAGGTTGATGTACAATTTCTTGGCCTTAGCCTGCTGGGGGCCTTTCTGTTGGGCGATGTTCTGGTACGTGGTCAGTGCATGTTAGGCTTAATGGTTTGAGTAACCTGCTACGAATATGGACTTACAAGTAGCTGAGAAACGGCCAGGTAGTTCATGTTCATCCAGATAGGTCCACGCCAGTAATCCTCAGCGGTGTGGTAAAATTCGTCACTCTTGCTGAGGCTGCGAATGCCATAGTCGGTCCAGAGCTCTTCCGGGTCGGCAATGAGATCCAGCACAGCACCCAGTCGCTTGCTATCCTTGTCAATCAGACCAGTCAAGAATGGGAAGAGCGAGATATAGCCTTTGTGGCAGACAAGTTTGTTCTCCTCGTAATCATCGATGGTGGCGTCGCAGTACATCTTCAATTCGTCGGACCAGTGAAGATCATCAATGTTGCGAATAATAGCTTCTTCATACTTGGCGAACTCGGCAGAATCATCCTCTTCTCCAAGGTAATTGGCAATACGCTTAATTTGGCGTGTCATCATGCCAACCCAAGAGATAAGGTCGACGTGCAGCTCACCCGGATGAGGTGGCTGAGGACGAGGGTAGTCATCGAGACCAGAGGTCAAGATGTGCTCGGGTGTCCTTCCGCGCCATCTATAGCCTTCTTTAGTAGAGAAGGCCTCGCGGTCGTATGATTTGATATCACCAGCTTGGGTCTGTCGGAACCAGAAATAATGTCTCTTCAGCAGCGGATAGAGGGTACGGAGGTATTCCAAAGCTGCCTCTCGGTTGGCGAGCTGCATGTAGTACGACTTTTCGGCGAGTACCTTTTGGCTGCTTGAGTCCTTTGCTTTGCCCTGAGCATCAAGTTTGTCGAGGAAAGCTGTGATAACCATGAAGAGCGTTGGAGGATTGGCGTAGTGTGGATATTGAACCTGGAACTCCTGAGGCACCTTGCTTCGTGCCTCAGCACCAAGTATCTGCTCGCGTCCAATCCAGCCATCTTCATCCATCAACTTGAACCAACTTTTGATAATATCAAGTGTTAGATCAACATCCCAGTCGATGACGGGAAGAAGGTGGAAACCCTCATCCCAAAGGAAACCGCGAGGAAAGAAGGGACGCGATGGGATGCTTGTGTAGAGCTCGGAAGGACCTTCAAAGTGTGCCTGGTTTCGGCTTCGAGCCTCAGCGGCCTCCTCCCAGAAGCCCTCATCGTTCTCCTCGTAAGCAGGGTCGTATGAGCGGTCGACTCGCGAATCGCCGTAGAAGTAACCAATACCGCCAATCAGATTCGAGAATAGCGACTTGGAGAACTCCTCGTAGCGTTCTTTAAAGAAAGGTGCTTGGGGCTTGAATATACTGGTGAAGCGCTCAGAGAAACCGGATGTCACAGATCCAATCTGAGTAGTCAGGTCCTCGGAGGTGATCTTAGCCGGAGCGGAACCAGACGAGAAAAGGACATCGAACTCGAAAGCCCCCTCGAAAGCCTTCTGGAAGAGATGGATGTTTCCCTTTCCGGGAAGATGCTGAATGGTGTACACCTGCACAGGAGGTGGTGGGTTATCCTCAGGATACTTAGCTACCAACTGATCAATCTGCCCCTTCATATGCGCAAAAAGCAGAGGTTTGACCTGCCACAAGGCCTCATCGGGGATTTGAGCTGTATGGACCAATGTGCGATCCAGCGGTTTCTCGTCATAGCTTGGGTGCCCGGTTCGTGGGTGGTCACCTTGGCCCTCGGTAACCTTCACCTCAAAGTCTCCAAGATCTGGAGTATGCCCTTTGAGAACGACATCGCCCTCCATTCCTGGCTCTTCTTCGTCCGCACCTTCGACTTCCAATGAACCGAGCCCTTCCAAAGTATTGTACCAGATAACCGTAGTCTTCAGATCAGGCGACGCATCTTCGCGGGGCGTACCCTTTATCCTAACACCCCAGCTTCCACCGTGCTGGCCTCCGGGGAATTTTATGAACTCGGTGGTGATGTCAATGCGATTGACAGGGTCCTGAATCGTCTGTCGACCGCCCGTGCGAACATCGTACTCGTCCCATCCATAGCCGTCGAGCTCGTGCTGCTCACAAGTATGTCTGAAGTCTACAAAAGTTAGCCTATGACGACAATTCGTAGCCCGCATTGGGGTTGGAGAAGAAGTTACTGACTATTTTGAACGCTTTGATAATCCTCAACCCTGGTCCAAAGCAATCCTCCCATCAGACTCTTGGGAATCCTGGGCCTGACACCAAAATACAAATTGGGACGATAAGGTCCCCATAGTAAACTGGCATTGCTTGCTTTCTCGATCTCGGCGACCTGCGCACTGGCGAGGGAAACTAATGAAAGTAAGCCCAGGAATTGGGTGAGATATGCTACACTCCGCGCCATGACATGCAATTGAGATGTCAAAATGAGGGTGGACTGGGCGCGCGGGAGCTCTCTCTCGAAGCTGTGCTGTGGGGTTGGGGACACCTTTCGTCGGTTAGAGCTGGCTGGTTGGTCGACGGGGGTCGGAGTTCTAAGGACTACCAAAAACATCCCGGTCACGTCACACTGCAATTGCATGCTTGGCCTCCCCGGGCGAAGTAATAGGATTTGAACATATTATATTCTATGGCTATTGCTCATTATTTTAACGATAGCCTTTTGAAGCCTTGCTGGGAGAATGCTGCTAGGATAAACATTTGGGGCTCCCAATTATCCCACTCAAGCTCCAGGTCCATATGCTTTGACTCGCATGTTGTTTTCCGTCCTTGAATCCTCCAAGATCGAAATAGAGCTTTCCTTTGTTATTTTCAAGGGCTCAACTCCCAAGACATGGCTGACAGTCTTTCAGAAAAATCTGCCAGTCGATTGTGTCCCACGATATGGTAGTGTCACATCGATATTGCCATAGCTGTATCCTGCTTCTGTTCGTGTTTTTGCCGAATGGCCGGGTATCTCTCGAAATGCACCAAGAGTGCAGTGATCTTTTGGAATCGGCATGCAGATTCGCCGTGTCGTTCTCCCAACTTGCTCATCCTCTGCCTGGGGATAGAGGCCTGTTGAATCCACCCTGTCTGTTCATGTATTGACGAGCCTCCATCTTCTTGTCCTTTCTCACACCATAATTGCGATCATTTCCAGGGACCTTCGTGTTCTTGGTGGTCTTGAATCCTTTGAATCCCATCACCTTCATCATCTCCCATGTATCCTCGTCCATATCATCCGGGCGCGCCGCTGCATCAGTCATCTTGACATCTTCGGGCTCCTCAGATTTGACTTCAGCCTTCACTGGTCCGCCAGACCTGTTATCGCGTCCACGATAGTTTCCTCCAGGGCCACGGGGTCCTTTTGGCGGCTCTCGCGCGCCGCGGCCGTCGCGTGAGGGTTTCTCGTCACGCTCGTCGCCTCGAGCAGGGGAACGCGAGCGAAAGCGATTCTTGTCTGATCGTCGTCCACCGCGTTCGTGTCGTGGACTGCGGGAACGATTGCGCCGGTCGTGTGGCTCGCCGCCGCGGTCGTCTCTCCTTTCGCGGACGTCGCGGTCACGGGTTGGGGCCCGATCGTAGTCTCGTTCCCTATCACGCAGGCGTGCGCTGCCGTCTCGTGAAGCCATAGTTGTGAGCGTTGTTGTGTTATGTGGATGTGAGGACTGGATGTGGAATGGAAAGTAAAGTTTGGGGAAATGGTTCGTCGATGGTCCTAGCGTCGTTGTAATTACCGGATAAAGCAAGTTTGGGAAAAAGGGTCATTTGCAGTAAGGCCCTGGATGCCTAGCGACCACCAACGTGGAACCTGCTGATCAGTTGGGCCTCAATAGTCACGGAACAGACTGCTAGTTATTCTATGATAGGGATTAAATTGATCTATCATCTAAATACACGAAGTAAAGGCAAAAACGAAAGCTTCCAGTATAATCCGATGAACCAGAAACCTCCACCATCAGAAATCAAAAGTGCACATCCAGCCAATGGGAGCATGCGCACTGTAGTGAGATCAGGGAGGGTAGTAGGGAAAGAGGAATGAAAATCAAGCACAAACGCCAGGGGGTGTTTTGATCATGAGGCCATTCTCTCATGAAAGGGTATATCCAGGTCCGTGGAAAGAAGGAATTCGTAAACCATGAGTGCCAGCCAAGTGCCATTGAAGTGATGGTGTCGAGTAGAAGCGCTGCTGTGAGAGTAAGTGCCAATGAATAACACAAACAGCTCATATCTCGTCTTCTTCTTCGTCAAAGTCATCCTCAGAGCCCATGTCGTAAAGGATGCGACCACCCTCGCCAGCATCGCCCATTGACTTTTGTGCGTCGTAGTACGGAAGCACCACACCGTCACGAGCTTGCTTCTGCTTTTCGGTCAAACCAAGGTCGAACGTGGACTGAATCTCTTCGGCAGCAGCTTTAACCATATCGGTGACCTCTTTGCTGGCGTAGGATGGGACGAGGTCAAGGAGAGTGACAAATTCCTGCTTGAGAGTACCGAGAAACATGCCAGGGAGCGGAGCATTGTAGTCGCTTTGGCGAGACGGACGTAGAAAGTAAGTTCCGGATTCAGGACGACCAGACTTTCGACGAAATTCAGCTTCAAGTACGATGCCGCGGATGTCGTTGGCTTCGAGGCACTGGACGATGCCTTCCGCACCTTGAAGGAGGCCGTGCGTTGGTTCTGGAAGACTGCGTTCTTTTGCAGCTTTAATTGCAAGCATGTGGGCGAATGATTTGCAGGTGATGATAGTAGTGGCCATGTACTTGATAACATCGAGTGTCTGTGGTGTGTATGCGTCGGCTTCAGCGGTAGCTGGGAGCACATCTTGGTGCCAGATACCAAAAAGCATGGAGCTGTATTTAACGGCAACGAGGTTGAGAAGTGCAGCCATTTCAACTTTTTTGTGGTTGAGGAGATCGTGAAGAGAGTCGACGATAACAATGCTGGTGTGGAAATCCTTCATGGCGCGATCGATTTCGGCGAGAACCTGATCACCAGTGACATCATGATAGATTGGGATGTGGCGGATGTACGGGTGGGGCTTGACAGCTTGGTCAAAGGTGAGATAGACGATGTTGATGTTGCGAGACATGGCGCGGCGAAAGAGTTCATCAAGAAGCGTCTTTGAACCTTGGTTGAGGTCGTCCAGGATGAGGGTAAAAGGCGAAGCTCCGGTGCGCAAGGCGAAAATTCGCATCATGAGATGCACCAAATGGCGCTGGTACTGCGCGACACTAAGATTCTTCGCCATGCCGGTTCTTTTGGAAGTGACAGAGGGTGCTGGCTTGCGAACGCCGCTGTAATAGCGATTGTTCTTTCGAATCCAGGAGGAGTCGTCTCTGCCACAAAGCTTGATGACTCGGTGAGCAGGCTCGTGAATTGGTTTGATGAGGAGCTTTCCAGGCCTAGGCTGCTGATGGTCAAGGCACCATTCAGGAACAATGGTTTTCTTGTCGGTTGAGGCCTGTACGTGGAGGCCGGCTGCTTCGATGAGGAAATCGAGAGTCTTGGGGCTAATGCAATGATCGACCTCAGTAGGTGCCATTTTGAATCGAAGGAAAGAGAATGAGAGGAGAAGAAAGAGAAAGTTTTGGAATTGGTCTGAGAATGAGAGTTTGCAATTTGATAGTCAAGTTCTGATTGCAAGTGTGTGGTAAAGGGAAAAGGTTGGAAGGTTTAGGTGCGGGCAACGACGAATACTTATAGACTATAATTCGGGGGGCTGAGAGGAGGTCGGAAGGGGGTCGGGACGCTATCTACAGGAGGCTGGGGCTTTAGAAATTATGACTGACCGTTTGTTCGCAAGGTGAAGAGCGTGAAGTTGCACACTGTGGTGAACCGCAGTGGGGTACGATGCAAATTCCAAATTGGTAACCACTGACGTGGGTAACTTGGTTGGAAAATTATGGAATTGAAGAAATTGTCCGCGATCTCAATCTTAATCTCACAGCCAATTGCCTACAAAACTAGAATTACAATAAATTGTTGGGTTTGCGGTGACGTAGGGTAGTGAAGGTGAAAGTTGATATCAAAAAGTTCACGAGGCGCTAATGCCCGGATTTGGCATAGCGCAAAAGAGGGTCGGCGTTAGAGAGATGTGAACTGCCGATCCCCGCTGCCATGCCACTCATTAATAAATGTGTTACCGGGAATGGGAGAAAGTGTGGAATTAATGTTTCGTGCCATGCGCCTGAATGTTCAGACGATGCTCTCTTCACATCTTCTCTGGACAGAATGACGCCTCATCCAAGTAGTGCGCCGTCTGCATCGAGACCTCCAAGACCACGTTCCCCTCATTTCCCGCCTCATAATGCGCCCCGTGTATGGTTCATCACTTCCGGTACATCTCCGATATCCATTGCTCTTGCAAAGCACGTTTTAGATCATGGCGATTATGTTGTTGCGGGTGTATTACCCATTGACTTTGAGAAAAGAGAAGGCCAGAGTGAGGATTTTCGCACATTTCTTGAAGAAGTAAAGAAGACGGAGAGATGGAGAGAACGATTGAGGGTTGTAGGCTTAGACGGAAGGTACGGCCTTTAGAGTGATGATTTCTGTTGTTTCGATTCAATACGACCAAATACTAACTCATCATTTAGAATCGTGGGGCAATGTCAAGCAGCCATAGCAGAGGCTGTAGAAGCTTTCGGACGAATCGATGTGCTACTGGGATGCACCAGTGAAGGTAATTCTTAGCAAGCGTCTATCCAGTATTTTGTCTGACTGTTCACATACAGCTGTCATTGGTGCGGTGGAGGAGTTGGCCCAGAGCAACCGGACGATCAGTCTAGTCCAAGACACCTTTGAAACAAATTTCTTCGCCAATGTCAACATCATCAAGGCCGTACTTCCCATTATGCGTCAGCGAAACAATGGACATATCATCATGCTGACCGGTATAAGTACGTACACTCTCTATTGCGCTTGAATGAAAGCTAATATTAAAAAGCTGGTCATCTGGGAACCCCAGGCTTAGGTTTATACTGTTCGTCTCAGTGGGCTATCGAAGGATACTGTGACGTAAGAATTCCCCGTTCACTCTTCAAGCCATCTCTAACCACTTGCTCAGAGCATCGCCTACGAAATTGCCCCCTTCAACGTGAAGATGTCCATCGTTCAAGCCAACATGGAAGTCAATGTTCTGACCAATCGCATGACGTCCGTTCCCCCTCTTCCAGAATACTCCCAAGCCGAGAACCCGGCGCCTCTTGCTCGAGAGATATTCTCCGGACTCCTCGACAAAATCGATCGACTCAATAATCCTTCGGCATTCCCTGACGAAAGATCACCAGAAGATAGCACTTCAGTCACGAGCCCGGACACAACAATGGACGAGTTATTTACCGGAGACTTACTCAGTTCTGACACAGTCACTTCGTTGTATGCTCCTTTGCCGCATTCGCTAAAGTCGTCGCTCATTGCGGAGACTGTGCATGCGCTTACTGCTATTGGCGGGCATGACAATCCTCCGGCCCGACATATAGTCGGATTTGAAGGCGTAATTGCTGTGAAGGAGAAGCTGAAGACTACGAGTGAGGAATTGGAGGATTTTATCGAAGTCAGCAATGCAGTAGATATTGCACGAGATGGTGACCAAGTTATGTCGATCAGTATGGATTAAGAACACTCTATCCAATCCACGTTGTAAATCACAAACAATACAAATTAATCGTCAACCTTTGGTGAAATCATAAGACAAAAATTTTCATGACCTTGCAGAACATAAGAAAATTGCAAGTTGTTTTTGACAGGATTCTTTATGTCAACTTGAACAATGTAACGGAGTAGTTGTACATCGTGTTAGATCAGTGGAGAAGGCGGACGTCTAATTAAAGTTAGACGCAAATCATACAGATTTAAGTCGATCGTTCTTGTGGAGCTTCGATGAGTCAGCCGTTTTCTCAATCCTCGTGTCCGAGGTTCGGTCAAAACAATCCCTCTTCTCTTCAGCAAGCAGCTCAATAAAATGGCAGCTCCGCGTTTGCCATTCCTATGGCCGGTGCTGTTTCGCCCTGTGCAGCTCGCGCGACCAAGAGTACAAAGAGTACACGTGCTCCGTCATACCTCTCATTTCAATCGCAATCTATCCACGACCCCGCGTCGCCGCCAGGGAAGTGTACCGAAACGATACGGTACTGCTCAAGAGCCCGCTGAACACTTGCGGGATGCCCAAGAGCAAAAATTACAGAAGGACCAAAATGACAACGTGGAAGCTGAAGCTAAAGCGGAAAATGCCTCTGAGTCGGTAGAGGAAGAAGAGGAAGAAGAGCTCCCGTCAACGGCAACTACGAAAGCGACCCAGTCGAATGTAATCGAATCCGTGGATAGCACTCCTCCTACTTCTCAACCAGAGCCTCCACGTACACCAGATTCTAAGCCTTTGGAAACCATCCTTCACATGCCTTCTCCCGCGGAAGAAGAGCAGCGAAAGCCTCCGCACCTAAAGACCCCACCTTACGTCCATCACTTTGATACATACGGGCTCGTAAAAGGCCTTACAAAGAGTGGTTTCACGCAAGAACAATCTGTTACAATCATGAAAGCTGTTCGTGGAGTCTTAACGGCGAATATGGACCTTGCGCGGGATGGACTAGTGTCAAAATCCAACGTCGAAAACGAAACATACCTGTTCCGCGCAGCCTGCAGCGAACTACGCACCGAGTTAGAAAACAAAAGGAAAGGAGAGATCGAGTCGATGCGTTCTGAGAGGAATCAGCTTCAGCACGAAGTGGACATTCTCAATCAGAGGTTGGGACAGGAAACTAGTCACTTGAAAGATGAGCTCAAAGGGCTTTTCGATGACCGCAAAATGGCAGTCAGGCAAGAGCAGAGGACTATGGAGACAATGGTATGCGCCGAGCGGACGCTCTTTTATTGATGATTCTGACATTTTTGTAGATCCAAGAACTCAACTACAAAATCACTGTGGTCTTGAACTCAGATTCGCGCAGCGATGTTGAAGGCTTACGATGGGTACTGACCCGCCGAGCTGCTATTACTGTTGGAGTTGCAGCAGTCATGCTGTTCTTGTCCCTGAAAGCCTCAAGTCGAGCCTCGCATGCTGAGGATTCAAAGAAGGCGAAGGAAAACAAGCCGCCACCAGAACCCGATCACAGCCCCAAAGATTCTGGCGAGTTCAGACCACCGCATAATCAGAGCACGCTCGGTGGGGAGATACTAGTCACAGAGGGCGGCGTATCTCTTGCATAAATTTAAATAATATCTAACCTAGTCGCCGAATTCCCTGCTCTCATCGTACATCTACAATTTATGCTTTTTCTCGCCGCTTGCGATTTTCCTGAATTCTTCTTGTGGCACACCCTTCAAAAATCGTTGAAGTCCCGCAAAGACTTCCTCGACACCCTGCTTATCGAGGATATCCATTTCCGGCTTCCTTATCAGTCTCTTGATGCCGATCAGACTTTCGCCATTCAAGTGGTCGCCCAGTCGGTTATCAACCTCTTTTAGTACCTCTTCCAAGAATTTTGGTGAGTCCTTGCTGCCAACATCGATAACTTGGTTCACAAAACCAGTCTGGACGAGCTCCTCGCATGTGATGCGCTTGCTCATGATCAGCGCCTCATTTGCCTTGCTGATGCCCAAGCGGCGAACGAAGCCAACAGATGCGTTACCCTCGGCAACAAGACCGAGGGACGAAAATGGCGTCAGCAAGAAAGAGTGCGGTGCGGCGTAGATGAAATCCGAGAAGGCAATGAGCGCCGCTGACAATCCAACTGCCGGACCGTTTAGAGCAGTAACGAGAATCTTAGGATGAGAGTAAAATGCGTGTGTGATGTGAAGATTGTTCGAAACGAAATTCTTCAGCCAGAAGCGGCGAAGGTCTTCGTTCTCTGGTTGGGAACCACCAATGGCTACATCCGCGCCTCTAGATAGAAAGTTAGCGACACCCTTCATGTGAAAGAAGTAGAGCTTAGACAACGACTTACGCAGAGAAATATCTCCCCTTGCCGGTAAGAACAGTAATGTAGATGTCGTCGCGAGCAGCAACTTCGTACATCGCCTTCGCGAGCGCAAAATATAAATCTCCATTCAGGGCATTGAGCTTCTTCGGCTGATTGAGCGTGATGATGGCAACCTTGCCTTTGTACTCAACGAGAATGCCGTCTTCTGCCATACTTTCTTTCGGAGACAAGATTTCAGGTGGTTTTGATTGATTATTTGATGAGATAGGAGGAACTGATATGAAGTACGTCTAAGAAGGTGCGAGGTCAGGAAATAGTGGAAGTTGAAGTCTATATGACGGTCTCCGGGAGAGTAATACTTATGGGAGATGAGCCGAGGTCTCGCGCGGCAGCTCCACAGGTCGTGATCTGAGCTATACCGAACACAGTGTTAGTGCCACCTGGGGATAGTAATCCAAAGCAGTGTATCGTTCGAATAGTATTATATACTACCCGTACGAAAGAATGATTTTTAGAAATCTATTCACTAAGTATCAGGTATGGGAGACTATGCAATGATATGGGAATTGATTCAGAGATATACACCAATCGTGATAGATGGCGAAAGGAGCAGCCACCAGTAGTAACTTGACTGACAGTGGTATGAATGTCGTCAAGAATGCGGTGACAGTTGAGGTAGCATTGCTACTACGATAAGAAAGGGGCTAGTTGGCGACAATTCACAATGTTATTACCAGGTTCATACAGCCATTTACTCGTGCTAGATGGTACAAGTAAGTTTAAGGAACATTCGTAAATCCATGAAGGCTGATTGGGGGAGTAAAACAGACAAGATCCGATAATAACCCGCACAATCTACGAACCATCTCCCCAAACATTTTCCTGAGCTCATCACTCCACTGGCTCTGGCTCTGCTTCTCCAGGTCCACGCTTGTCGTACGTTAAGCCATATACAACAAACACAAATTCAAAATGGGAGGTCCAAATCTCGAAGTATTCAAGGTACGAACAGCGCTCATATTTGTGACAATGCAATGTTGCTGACTTTACTGTCGCTTTAGTTTGGGATGTACATCCTCTTTCCCATCGGAACCATGTACTACTTTGGAACGAACCTGGATGGCAAATTTACTGTACCCGACTTCTGGCCGAAAGAAGGACAGACACACAAGATCCCCTATGAGCGCGAAGAGATCCAGAAAGAGCTCGCGCGACTGAAAGCACAGAGGCAACAAGCGAGGAGGCTGAGGGAGGCAGAGGAGGCAAATCAGGCTGCGGCGGAGGGTAGGGGATCATGATATGTGACGGCACAAAAGCTCTCGTTGATTGATCATTTGGACGAGTGGAAATGATACTGTCGTGAGATGTTAAAAGATCTCTCGGAAAAGGACCCAAACATTGCATATTGTTCACGGCGTCACGGTTTTACGAAAGGTTGAGGTTACGTTGTAAAAAGTGTACAGCGTTGTATATTACATTTGTAACAATTCTATCGAGCTACATGATTTTGAGATGTTCAAATAGTAACTTTACCCCGAATATCGGTCCACAATTCGTCGGACACGCCACCCTGGGCTAAATTCATATAGATACCTTGGATACCTGTAACTTCTTGCAAATCATCCAAAAAGTTGCTGAGTTCCTTTGCCGCGGGATCATTCTCCAATTGAACCTTGGTATCTTCATTTGGGTCCCAGATGATCTCGCTTTCTTCGATCTCCATCTCCAATTCTTTTGCAATTGTCTCTGCTGTTGTCTTCGTTTGAGCAGGTTCAGTGTAAATTATTACTCGACCTTCCGAGTCCTCTACTACATCCAATACACCGAGTTCCAGTGCCGGCTCAAGGACCTCGTCTGCGCCAATGCCGTCCTTTTTCTGGAGTATGATGCGCCCCTTCTTTTCGAACATGTAGCCGCTTGGTGTTACTTGTCCACCCAACTCTTTGATTAGCAACCGTAGGTCAGCCAATAAACGCAACTTGTTGTCTGTTTGGCATTCAATGACTGCGGCAATTGAACCAGGTAACATAGCTTCGAGGGTCACCGCTTCGAGCGCGGCGCCGGAGGCAGATAGACCTTGGCCGCGGGCGATGGCTGCCTCGATATTTGCCTTCGGTACGGCACTCTTCTTCGCAGTGGATATGGCGAGGGCGAGGCGTGGGTTCATGTTCGGGTCAGGTCCACCAATTTTTACTGCGTTCGAAATGTCTTTGGTCATGATTGCTCGCTGTTTGCTCTTTGCTGCGTCATTTTTGCCCTTGTCATGCTTGATGGTCGCCCATTTACTTGGATCAATGTTAGCCGTTGCTTTGAGCCATGAAATGTGGTTGTTCGGCATACGAATGGCCCGAGTTGCATGCTGGAGAGCTGGAGAAAGTCCTCGTTTGCCATTTCAGCGTTCGCTCATATTGACACCGATTGGGCGGTGGCGTCGGTCGTCGACAGGCGCATTCGAGGTATTTTCCAAGGGATGAGGGTCTAGTGACCCGAAATCGAGGCGCGGACATTATAATAAGGCAATTGTAGTCGTGATCGTCATCATGCTATGGGCGAGTGGAAAACTAGCAAGGTGCTTGGCGCAACGGAGGTGAGGACAACTCCGCAACGTGAGCTATAGTCTACCCCCACGTTGTCATCTAGACCTCAACCTTCTACCACTGAGGTCAAGCAACACCGCGCCATGTGAGTTAAACACGTCCAATTTCGAATATTTCGTACTGATATTTCCGCCCGCTTTAGTAGTCACAATGGCGACGGAACAGCAGCCCGTCAACGACACCGCTACCTCCTCGAACCCCGAACTCGACGTCAAGAAGCTGCATGCGCTCCCTTCAGAACAGCAAGATCTCTATCTACTGACCTTTACGTCTGATCTTGCTCGACATGTCGGAAACTTAGATGCGGATGGGGCATCTGCGCACCAGATATATATCAAGAAAGAGCTATTCCAAGTCATTAATCTCAATTCCCCAGCACCTACAAGGGTCATCCGAAATAATCTGGGCCGGGCATTCGCGGGCATATTCGAAAAGGGGGATAGAAAGCTGCTATTCGAGTCGATCAACGAACTATGCGCTATTCTGAATGCTGCAGGAAAGACAGAGAAAGACATAAGGACAAAACATGCCGCAGCATACTGCCTGGGTTCCGTATTTGAGGCTGCAGGGGATAGCGCCATCGGGCTCTCACCGCTCGCAGCCACATCGCTGTTACGTCTCGTCAAACTCGCTCAAAACCACACCGGCCTGAGGGCAACCATATTCAAGGCAGTAGGCAGAGTTATCAAAGGTGTCGGTGGCTCCGCCGATGAGATTATCGCAAGAGATGCTTGGAAACAGGCGCGTTCGGCGTGCTCCGGCGACAAGTCTCTCTTGACGCAGGCCAACGCATGCTACTGCTTGGAGATGCTTGTCAGGCACACCTCATACTTTGACAACTCAAATGATTTCGAAAAGTTGCAGACGGCTATATGGAAGGTGATGGACAGCGGCTCGTCTACAGTCAGACGTGCTGCTGCATCGTGTTTGAGTGCAGCTTTGGTGAAGAACTACAATGAGACTGTACCAATAGAAATGCCATTGGTCAGATCGAAAACCATGAAGAAGAAAGCCAGGAAAGGGACTGATCTAGATGGCGATGAAGATGTAATGGAAAGACCTGAATCACCGGCTCCCAAAGCATCCAGCACTCAACTTGCTTTCAGCCTGTCCGCATTACTCAAGCTTTTGTCGACGCAATATTGCAAGCCTGCGACCGGAACTCGAGCAAGAGCGGGAATTGCGATATGCTACACCAAGACACTACGAGGGCTGGGAGAAAGTCTGGTAGAAAGCAAATATGGAGAGATCGCGCGTCACTTCTTTGTAGATCTCCTCAGTCATCCTACAATCGTCCAAAATCGATATCGAACGCTAAGTACACGCAAGTTCGTGGCTATCATCCTAGAAACCGTCGTCGGCCGGGAATTGCTCGGAGAAGGAGGCCAATTGAACGCTGCGAGATTCCTTGTGAACGAGGTTCTTAAAGATTATCCTCAAGCCTTGAAAGAGCGGCCAGAACCAAGCAAACAGACACTGATCGGTGCTTTGAGCGCATTATCAGCCTTGTTCAAGAGCTTAGGATCAGCCTCGAACGTCCTCGCAGATGCTTGCAGGGATGGTCTCCTGCAAGTACTTCAGCATCCCAGCTACACGGTCCAGGTGTGGGCTTCGTCCTGTCTCCGTGCCTTTGTACTGGCATGTCCGCTACAACTCCTTCCTTCCGTTACCATATGCATGAACAGCGTCAATCGGGAACTTGGCTTGCTAGGCAGCCCACGTCAATCGCCTCGTCGGTGTGTTGGACTTGCCAATGGTCTCTCTGCAATATTGAGCACTTCCACATCTCAACCTTTGCATGGATCGGTCGACGTTAATTCCCGTGTGCTCTCGCAAGCTACTTCTTTGCTCAAGTCAGCAAGCAATTCTGATCTTCGCGTATCATCGACACAGATCCAAGTAGCCTGGATCTTGATTGGGGGCTTGATGACCCTTGGACCAAACTTTGTCAAGATCCACCTATCGCAGCTGCTTTTGCTATGGAAGAATGCGCTCCCCAAACCTCTCAACAAAGACAACATGGTTCAACGAAATGTTCTCGAATTGAGCTTCCTAGCTCATGTACGAGAGTGTGCTCTGGGGTCGATTCTTACATTCCTGGAATTCAACAACAGACTACTGACTCTAGACGTCACAAAGCGTCTTGCTGCTATGCTTCAAAATACTACGATGTTCCTTAACACACTTCCAGCGAAGAAAACGACAGATGATGTCAATCAGCGGTTATCTCCTGCTCTTCAGCTTCTTGACTTTGACCTCATGGTCAGACGACGAGTTTTGCAGGCCTATACGAAGCTTGTAGACTTGAGCCCGGCCGGAAGCAGTGAGGTCCTTTTGCAAACAAACTTGCTTCCTTTTGCCATTGCATCGTTTGCAGACCCGGACAAGTACACAACGACTTCCCTTGGTACTTCAATAGCAAGCTCCGCTGGTAATTTCGAATCCATATGGGACGTCGCCGATAATCACGGTTTCGGAGTGACCGGCCTCGTCAAGGGCTATGATATCTGTCCCCTTGCTGGGGAGCAAGATGCAAGCGGAAAACATCACTGGGTCACTAGACATGGGCCAGAAGCAACCATCGACGGCACAGTGAGTATCACCAATCTTGCCGACCGTTCCTACTCTAACGCCTACTGCAGCTTCTTTCTCCTGTTTGTGGAGCCCGCGAACATGATTCGATATCTCTCTATATCCGTGGCGACTCAGATGATTTGCCCCATCCTCCTGCCACGGAAGTCGTGAACTCCGCCCTCCAGCTATTTGCTATCTGCCTACCTCTACAGACTCCCAAAATTCAAGAGAGTATTCTAGAGCAGATGACATCATTTCTATCGGCTAGCAGCTTGCAAAGGGATCCGCATAGGAAAATTGCTTTGATGGTCAATATTGCATACGCACTTCTGTCAGCTCTCAAGGTTGCAGCTAAAGAAACGAGATCAACTCCTGGGGATCTCAAAGGCGCAGCTGTGGAGAAGGTCATTCAAGACCTCCTACACGTAAGTTAAAATCCACGCCCTTCGCCTCGCTAGCTAATACGCATAGGTGTTTGTTGTTCTTCCCGATCCCTATCTTCGTAATCTTGCGAGTGAAGCCTTGGGCCGCCTCTGCAACAGCTCTGGCAATGCTTTTACTACAACGGAAGTCAATTATCTAGTTGACCAAATTGTCGCCAATCGTGAGCCTAATGCACGATCTGGGTACGCAGCAGCATTGGGGTGCATCCACTCCCAATTAGGCGGAATGGCAGCAGGCTACCATCTCAAGAACATTCTCGGTATACTCATGTCTCTAGCTAACGACCCTCACCCTGTTGTCCACTTCTGGGCTCTTGAAAGTCTGGCAAGGGTAGCAGACTCTGCTGGCCTAAGCTTTTCTGGCTCGGTTATGGGTACTCTTGGTATGCTCGCTCAGCTTTACGCAGCTGATACGCATAACGAGGAATCCATCTCGTTGGCATCATCAAACATTGAGGTAGACCTACCTACGCCAGCTGTCATTGTTAGGTGCATAGAAAGTGCAATCAATGTCCTCGGGCCAGACCTGCAGGACATGGCGAAAGCACGCGACATGATCATGACCCTCATTGGTCTCTTCAAAACAGAGCCGGACGACTTGATTGCCGTAGAGGCTCTTAGATGCCAGGAACATGTATCTCTCTACGCTCCTGGTCATATGGAGTTTGCTCTTTATGTCAAGCAGCTACAGCAAGGTCTCGAAAGCAACTCAGCTCAGATACGCGACATGAGCGCCGATGGACTGCATAACTTGATGAGGCGGAACACCGAAGACGTCCTCAAAGCAGGCGACGAAGGTCTTGAAGATCAACTGTGGCATGTTCTTGACCGTGAACCGGATCATGACGTTGTGAGGAACATCATCCGCAACTGGCTCCACCAAACTGGACTCAGTGACACCCCTGCTTGGGTACAAAGATTCCAGTCAATTCTCACCAAGACGAAGCGCGTAGCAGAGGCTGATCAAACAGAAGAGAAGCCCAGAGGTGGTGTCACAGAAGTAGTTGATGAAGAGGTTGCCGGATTCGCGGCATCTTCTAATGCGACTGGCACTGAGGTCAATGGTCCTGGATCTGCAACCCAAGAGTTACTGAAGTGGCAGGTACGAACTTTCGCCATGGACTGCCTCAGTGAACTTGTCGCTATGGTAACTAAGGAAGCAACTTTCCGAGAGGAGTCCGAATGCGTGATGGCTCTCCAGCACAAGGTCGCCGATGTCGTGCGAATAGCTTTTTCCGCATCAACTGCCGGAGTTGTCCAGCTCCGAATTCGTGGATTGAAGATTATCGATCAAATTCTCAAGGTATGTTCTTAGCTATTTGCTGTTAAAGTATTTGGTACTAACATTTCAAAGTTATTTGGTAAAACGCCGGACCCAGACTTCGCAGAGGTGACACTGCTCGAACAGTATCAGGCCCAAATAGGATCGGCACTTACACCAGCTTTTGCGGCAGACTCGTCTCCGGAATTGGCTGCTGAGGCGGTGAATGTATGTGCCACATTCATTGCCACTGGAATTGTGACAGATGTCGATCGAATGGGCCGTATACTGAAGTTGCTTGTCTCGGCCCTCGAGAACTTCTCAAGTAAGTCGCTCAATGAGCGTCTTCTTTATGATTACTAACGATGATGTAGGTGAATCGGAAACTGCCTCAATTGGAGACCTCAAAGGGTTGAGTTCCAATGCTCAAGTCATGGTCAAGATGGCTGTGTTTTCAGCCTGGGCCGAACTTCAGATCGCCAGTGCCGAACAAACCTACCTGATCGATGTTTTGAAGCCACACATTGCAAAACTGACCCCTCTGTGGCTTTCTTCGCTTCGAGAGTATGCGCGGTTGCGGTTTGAGCCTGATATCTCGTCCATGGGATCTGCGTCACTATCAGGCAGTCTAGACACAATTTACGCTGCACTCAATCGTGAAACATTACTCACAGTAAGATCCCCATCGATCGGAATGATCCAAATATGCTGACTGTTTTAGTTCTACCAGGAGTCTTGGCTCAACCTTGTTGACGCCATTGCCAGCCTCATTGACGAAGACAGTGAATTTGTCTTCGACGCCCTCGACGGCAAGACCGAACTTTCGGCCGATAGCACCAAGACGAAAATCAATGACAGCATCAACTACCGTGACGAACCAGTGGCTTTCTTTTTCGTACTCTTCGGACTTGCGTTTGAAGCCTTGGCTGGGCGTCCTGGTGATCTCCAGGCTTCGAAAGAACAGATCCTTGAGATTTTGCGGGCCTTGAAGAAGATTCTTCGACCGGCAGTCTCTGGTCACGCAATTTACCAAGAAGTTGTCTTTTCTGAAACGATGGATATGCTCGATCGTTTGGTTCTCACAGAAGGGTTGAACATACAGACAGTCATTGTTGAGATAGCCAGAAATCTCTGCCTGGGTCATCCATCAGCGAGGAGAAGCCAGAGGTAAGCTCCATTTTCGCCAATTTGGTCCACTATGCTAACAACATAAGCTCTACCCCTGGCGATGAACATCTTTCAGACGATATTGACCAGCTCTTCGAGCTTACCAAGATCATGGTCCTAGTGCTAACTGGCCTTGTACCAAACCTCGATGATACAAAGACTAGAGGTGAGTACTTCATGGCTCCTATGATAGTCTAAAATTTACTAACTCATATAGCACGCTACGACCTGAACGAAGAGGCTATGGCCTTGTTGAACACCGCATTGTCTGCTCTTGTAGATGCTGCCCAGGTTTTCCCCTCCATTATCAAGGGGGATCTTCACGCTTGCATTCTGCACATTTTTGCTACAATACTCGGCACTGGAGCTTGTCAAGCTACAGTCGTGCCAACCGCGCTACCCATCTTGAAACGATTTGTTAGCAGTCTCACCGTCAACCCACACCCCGACTCGACAGATCAATTACGCGCCACTATCACGCGCTTCCTTCAAATACTCAAACTCGCCCAGAATCGCGAATTCGAAGCAGCGCTTGCATGTGAGAAGAATACCATCCTGGCCACCACGATTGTCTTGAGCTCTTCAGCAAGCCTCTTCCAGCCTCATGATCCACTTATCCAGCGTTTCGTCGAAGAACTCTTTGAGTGTTTGGGTAATCGCATGACAAGCAAAGTCGCTGCAGGCTGCTGCCGCTCGCTACTTCTGCTTCCCAAAAGAGGCCATGTGGAGACTGCATTGGCATCCCAAATCCTCCCGCGAGCACTGTCTTTCCTGGCGAATCCAGAAGATGTCGAAGGCTTGGATGAGACGCGAACCATATTGGCATCTACACTTGTAGCATTTATATCTACACTCACCCAGCCTGAGCAGCGACAGCTTGCTGCGAAGATCATCGTTCCAGCCTTGCTAGCGCGTACCAGTAAAGAACAAAATGCCACAGGCGAGACGGCTGCAAGGTTACTGGAATTCGCTGGCTCAGATCAAGAGACTTTCAAGTCAGTTGTTGCAGGCTTGAGTGCCGACCAAAGAACATACATGGAGAATATTCTAAAGAGTGGTGTTGGTACGAAGAAGACTGTACAAAAGGAAACATCGGAAGAGCCAACCATCGCTCTAAAGATGAATTTTGGCTCATGAAGTAGATAATTGGAGATTGTGCATCTGATGCAGCGCAGATACCCGGCATGTAGTATTTAATAGAGAAAATCGATCAACGTTTATGTGTACGAATTTTCCCGCGTCTGACACAGTGCATCATACCAAGTCGTGTTACCGGCTTCCCTCTGTAGGATAGTTGATATCATTATCCCGGACGTATGCTTGCATCTACTAGCCGAAACAGGCTCGATTAATATATATCCCCCTCACATCCTTCCCGATCTCCAACATTGACAGTCGTACAAGATCTCAGGTAACCTCTGTGACGGTACCTCTGCTCTGCAACTCACATCTCGGTCAATTTCGACATAATGAAGTTACTCCAAGCGACCGTCTTAACCCAATGGCTTAGCATCACTGCTGCACACTCATTGAAAAGAGATTATCCAGCAACTCCCGTCCCTGAAGACCTCAATGGCTCCAATTTCACGTACCCATGGCCCGTAAACACCTATGACTTCACATCCCAGCGACAGGCCCTCCAAATGGCATTCATGGACGTCTCCCCCACGAACTCCACGGTCCCCAACAACCGCACCGCCCTCCTCCTCCACGGGAAGAATTTCTGCGGCGCAACCTGGGAAGGAACCGCAAGAGCCCTCCTCTCCACAGGCTGGCGCGTGATTCTCCCAGACCAAGTCGGCTTCTGCAAATCCACGAAACCCGCAGGATACCAATTCAGCTTGCAGCAACTCGCTTCAAATACGCATGACCTGCTACAGAGTTTAGGCGTTGGCAACGTCACCGTGATCGGGCACTCCATGGGCGGCATGCTGGGAACGCGGTACACGCTCATGTATCCCTCCTCCGTCGACGCTTTAGTCCTCGTCAACCCCATCGGGCTCGAAGACTGGAAGGCAAAAGGCGTCCCGTACCAGAGCATCGATGTGACTGCTGCGACGGAGGCGAAGAGTAACTACACGTCCATCCGTGCTTACGAACAGGCGACGTACTACGTCAACACGTGGAAGCCGGAGTATGATGTCTGGGTCAACATGCTCGTTAATGTGTACTGGGGGAGGCAGAGAGAGAGGTTCGTGTGGAATCAGGCGCAGACTACGGATATGGTTTTGTCGCAGCCAGTTGTGTATGAGTTTGGGTTGTTGAAGCCGAAGACGCTGTTGATGGTCGGGATGAAGGATAATACGGCAATTGGGAAGCAGTGGTCTCCGCCGGAGGTGCAGAAGGTGTTGGGGAGGTATGATCTGCTGGGTAAGGAGGTGGTGGAGAAGATTCCGAGAGGTGAGCTTGTGGAGTGGGAGGATCTGGGACATTCGCCGCAGATTCAGGATCCAGCTAGGTTCGAGGAGGCTCTTCTAGGATGGTTGGGTGCTGGAAAGTAAATGTTCAGCGCGGCATCGAGCGTAGGGTTACTCGTCCGGTTGGTGCTAATGAAGGGAATAGCCTGAAACCTGTCTTTCTGTGTATTTTGCAGTGTCTAGTCATATACGGTTCCCTCCATAAATCCTAAAACGCCGAAATGGTAATGTGTACCTCTATTGTCATAACCAGCCAACCTCACACTGCATCCCTTAAGCATCTTGCACCTCATAGCTAATCTTCGTAATCCCCTTCTGCCTCTTAATCGTCCTCACATTAATCTTCCCACACTCCTTCAACTTCAAAACATGCGTCCCACCACAAGGATAACTCCCTACATCCCCAATCTCCACAACTCTAACGCCCTCATCATCGCCAATATCATCAACGGCAGCACCTTCGATTCCAGTGACACACTTCTTGCTCGCCTCCTCCTTGCCCCAGAAATGGATCTTCACGGGTAAGTCTTGGGAAACGAGCTCGTCCACTTGTTGCTGGATCGCAGCTTTCGCTGTGCCGGGAATCAGTCCGAAGCATTCGACGAACGCCATCCCGGGGTAATGCGAAGCCTTGCCGTCCTTGATGTCTGCCGGGAGAACCCCAGATTTGGAGAGGATGTTGATAGCGAGACCTAGTACATGGCCTGCGGTGTGCAGACGGGAATGGAGGATCCTCTTGGGGAGATCGATTTCCTGTGTTATTGATGTGCTGGGCTTGAAATCTGACTCTGCGGCTGGTGGGGCGAAGGTTCCTAGGTGCAGTATTGCTGGGATTGTTGGTGTCTTGCGGACTTGGTGGACGTGGAATGTCGATTCTGAGCCATTGAGCTTGATGGTACCGGTGTCGGATGGCTGGCCGCCTCCCTGGGCGTGGAATATGGTGGATGGTGTGGTCAGGATGTATGGTGCATTGTCATCTTCGGGCACTTTGAAGAGGGATTGGGCATCTGTTGGAAGGGATGATAGAGGCTCTACCGAGCCGACGGTTGAGCTGTGTGTGCTGAGTGTGCCGTCCTTTTGATACAAAGCCTCCGTTTTTTCTTGGGTCAATGAAGCCATTGTAACTGATCTGTAGTGAATAGGTTTTTTGTAAAAGGTAAATTGGCTTGCACTCAATCTTCCTTTATTATTGAGTGCTCTTCGAAATCCAAAGTAGCGAAATATGATGGGCAACGATTTGTTGAACTCTTTTATGTCTTTCTTTTTTTAGTTGTCGCAAGGGTATAAATAGGAAAGGACTAGATATACCTCTGGTGACTCAAACTGGATGAATCGCGAGTTGTTGATATCGAAACTTCTAGACGGCGCGCCCTTTCGGCACAATGTATTACATGCCAAGACCTGCTTCCGCATTAGGAAGGTGTTCTCTATCAAGTACAAACAGGCATTTGAGTCTAAAAAGTAAGTTGAAGAACGTTTTGAAATACAACATTATTATATTTTTATTTCATCAGAGTTATATGCATACTCTGCCTAGAGCACAAAAACTACGAAGTCCACCCATAGGGCTGATAGCGTGGCATCTCCACCATCAATTCAGCTTCAGGTTTCCTAGGAATAATTCACTACCTCAAACGGCGCACCTTCAATAGCTTTTAGTTGCCATGTAGGATAAAGCTTGAACTCCTTCGGCCGAGTCACCTCCATCAGCGGTGCCAGCATCTGCGCTTCGAATTCGGGATCTCTGAACCCATCAAAATAAAATAAACCAACAAATAGGCGCTTCAATTTTGGCATTGAAGCAATGATTCGCCAAGTTGCTTCCCAAGTTGCTTCGTCATGGGGAGGATATAGAGCTGGAGCAGATAGAAGAATATTTTGGCCTACGGGGTCGTAAATCGGCCAGGCTAAAAGCCATTCCAAGGTGAGAGATTGTACGAGTTCAAAGCGGCGTGGCAAAATTGTAGAGGAAAAGTACCGTATGCAATCCAGATCATGAAATGAAAATGTGTTTGTCGAATATAATAATTTGATGGATTCGGAGTAGCTGTTTGTGATGTTGGTACAAGCGAAATGTAGAACAGAGTGATGTCACGAAACTTACATTTGTCGACAAGTCTGCAAGAAAGGAATGATGTCGCCATCCGTGACATCACCCCTCGCATACTTCCTATTCGGCGCCCATATATTTGAACTGTCAACAGTCCCCCGGCCGCAGCCTCTTAGCCTGAGATATTGGTCCGGCTGAAATGTGTCACAAAACGTCTCGTGCGGCGTAAGACACTCGTAATGGCCTAATTTATTCTCTTTCAGAACTATGTGCATGGTTTTGTCGCCAACAACGGCTCTGAAGATCATTTCACGAAGCTCAAATGGCAAGCGCATCAATCGCGATTGGGTCTGGTCAAGCGTTTTTCCCGCAAGAGATTCCGAGGAGGCTTCATGTTTGTCGGACATTCGCCGTACTTTGCGTGGGACAGGAATTGTGAGATTTCTCTCAGGCGGTCGTACTGCTAGAGGCCTTGGAGCAACCTTTTGTCGCCTCTCAAAGCGTTTTTTGCTCTCGGATCCTGAACAGCGGCGAAGACGGCTTGGACAGCAACATGCAGCACAAACAACATAACAGCAGATGAGGGGACCGCAAACAAGGCCGAAGGCAAGTTTCGACGCCCGCATGGTGATGGCCGAGTTCGGGTAGACAACAAGTTTAAGATAGATAAGAGGAAGAAGTGACAAGGCTCAAGGGCGTGCGCTCATTATTTTGTAGACGCGGCTGGACAGGTGGTCAATTCTTGGTGGCCAATTCTTGGTGGCGTAAGGTGAGACAAAAACACAGGAACCTAATAGCTGGCTTGAGAAGGAAGAAGGAGCAAAATAAGCTTAATTATACAGGACTGTGCACTTCTCTGATTTGGACAGACGACAAGGCGCGTTATCCACAGCGACCTAGGAGAGAAGTGGGGTTGACGGTTGTTGATGTTTGTTTTAACTATCATGGGTAAGACGGAACACGCCGGCCTAACGTCATCACGTGTCACCCTCTCTCACTTGGAGTCTCGGGCTGTGATTTTTGAGAATGAAGGGAGAACAGGTCATTGTTACACAACACATTCATAGATCTAGGTCAATGTTGGATAGCGATGCACGAATGAATGTAGGTCTACTATTTTTCAACTGTCTGTATTCAGTTGCAATGGAAACTAACTGTATTCGATAGAAGCAGATTGCTAGCAGTTCGAATGACTGGTGGTAAGAATGGCTAGGAGATCATTGCTCATTTGACCTCTATGAAAGTGTTAATTTTCCGAACTATCATCTTCGTACAGTGTGTGGGGGGTTATGGATATAGATATAAAACAAAACTTTTAGATCATGGTCGTTTTCCGATAAGCCTTGAAAAACGCCAGGCAATGCAATGTACAAAATCCGAACATCAGTTGTTTTGACAGCGCCACCTGCTGAACGACTTTTGATTGCCAAAAAGAGGAAAAACAACCAAAACGAAGAAAATAACCGTCCCATAGGTAAAGGAAAACAAGAACCAGGGTATCTGTGTTGGCCAATGCTTGAAACCAGGAAACACCGATTCGATAAGGGGAAAAAGGGCATGGAGACTGTTGACAATTGGTTGTGGCTTATAAGGCAACGTCGTGGGAACCGCTAGTAAGGCTGCTTCGATTGGTACCTTCACTGAGGAAGGTTGCGACGCTTGTCCTCTTGAACCCGCCCACGCCATTTTCGCGGGAAGGAGGATTTGACCCAATTTGATGATTGATAGGCGAGGTTGGACTCGCGGTGGCTGATGCATCGCTGCCGCCATAACGCTCCTTCAATGCCTTGATCTGTCGCAGGCGATTACGCCATGAGGAGATTGATTCGCCTCCATCTGCTTGGGACCATACCTGCGAGAACACGCTCGCATTGATGGCAAGCAGACGACAATATGCAGCGAGGTGCTTTCCGCATATTATTTTGGGTTCTACTGCCGGGGAAATGTCTGGGAAACCGGGCTTTGAAATGACTTGAACCTTGTAATAACGGCTCTTTCCTTCTGGGTCGCTGTCCAGTCGGCGATCGACGAAGGAGGCTCGAGCCTCGGGAGCGATTACAATAGCAACATAATTGAAGGCCGAAGGAAATGTGTTGAAATCGTAATTCAGACCCGAATCGTTGAAGATGATGTTTACGAAGTCGTTGCCAATGTGACGTTTCTTGCTTGCGTATACTTCGTCCGAGGATTCTGGGGTAGGCATCATGGTAGGTATGTGGAACACTAGCTCCATGCAGCGATCTCGCCAGCAGTATGTATATTCACCGTCGTTGTCATTCCTTACATCAAGTCCATGGGTATTGATCTTGGCACCTTTCAGGCGCACAAGCGTACCTAGATCACTTAAAAAGGACGTATATGCAGCGGATCCGTTGTCAATGAGCAAGATGGCTTTCTCGTGCTTTTGGCCCATTTGGCCGTCTCCGATGTAAACAACACCTACACTATAGCCATCTACTGTAGAGTTGCGGTCGAACGCTTCAATAGCACGGCGCGCCATTTGATCGTCGGGCAATTGTACTGGAGTTTCAGGAAAAGAGAGATGGGCATAGTAAGTGTTGAATAGGTCATCGGGAAGAATGCCAACATAAGAGGCCGTGTTCCACGCCTCATAGGCTAGGCCTATGGTGATTGGGACTTGATGAGGTGGTGGATTTGTGAGTAGGGGCTTGGAATAAATGTGACGAGTGCCGCACTGTTGAATTTTAGTTGGCTTTGCATTTTCACGAGATTATTTGTTAAACTTACAGGTCGCCTGGTCGTTGTCAGTGAAACGCCAGTCCTTGCAGCGGTCTCAATGGTGATGAGGGAATGCCCCATGATCCATGTTTTCTTCCAAATCTCGCCATCGCCAGGCTCAGAGAATTCCGGGTTTCGCGCGGTGTCGTCTCGATCGGAATAGGCAGTCATACTCATCATGTCCGCAATCACTTGAGCTTGTTCTTCCATCACTTGTCTACCGCTGGTATCGGTGTATTGCAAATTTCTTGTTATCCAAGGAAGTAGTTTTGGTCGCTCCTCCATCTTGAGAGCCATGAACCAGAACGTGATTACATGATAGGCAAGTGAGTAGACGTATTGAGGAAGATCCTCTTCCGCGGGTTTGGCTTTGTGAGCACTGGCATTATCCGGGGATGTCGTAGATTCTCGTGGGGCTCCAGCGTGGCGAATCGATCTATGGGCCAGTTGGGCGGCTGTAACACTCGCTGCTCGTTCGCGTTGGTCGCGTACGTGCCGCAAGTAATTGAAACTAACGCCGAATACCATCTTGAAATCCTCTTCGCGGAAGTTCTTTAGCAGTTCGGGCATACGGCCGAGCGAGGTCAGGAATTCTAGAATATGGATGGCGGTTGCTGGTTTCGTAATGATTTGTGATAGCTTTTGAATGATATTGTCCAGTGATTTGCTCACGGACAATGGCATCTCGTGGCAACAAACCGTCAATGCATGAATGCACCAAATGGATGTCCGATCCCAATGACCAATTCCATGAAGAAAGGCCTTCACCACATCATCCTCCTCGCTCTTTTCATAGTAGTCATGATAACTGATGAGCATCGTCAATATGTGAAACATACAGACAGCAACATCTGCCTTCTTCAACAGCGTATGACTTGGTGGCTCTCGGAATGTAGCGCTTCGAATTTGTTCGCACGTAACATTTCTCAGCATTTTCAATTGGGGCACACAGCTTCGCACCAGTGCTTGGTTGGATAATTGTGGCCCCAGATGTACAAGCACATAGCTATATATCTCCCAGTCAGGCGCATTTTGCATTAATGAGATGACCAACTCGAGCCATAGGGTAATTTCCATGTCCAGGATATCGTCAGGGAGTGGGTATTCCTCTTGATCAATGTGAGCGAAAACGACTCGGCTGGATTGAGGCGAAGGCTCTTCGGGTAATCCTTTCGGTCCAGGGTACATCCACAAAGGAGGTATTGGTTTTGATGCACGGCCTGGCGTGCTGCCCTGACGACCAGTGTACCTATTGAGAGAAGAATGAGGACTGTTGCCTGACGTTTTTCGCTGGTCGCGCCATGAGCCGGAGCCGTAGTCTTCTGATTTGCCGTGATCAGAAGATGTATCGTCGAACTTGTCGATAGACACTGCTGTTTCTTCGGTTCGACAAAGGACTGCCGCAATACTTTCGCCTTCTGATGACGGATTAACCGAGATAGCATGATTAGAATCGGCGCGCAGGCGGAAAAGGAGTTTTAGTGCGGTCAGGCGCGCATCGTTCTCGCAAGCATCAGATGCTACGATGGAACGTAAAATCTCATAGAGTTGTCGAGTTTTGCGCGCAGACTGAATGACACTGCGCGTGAATAGGCGAACGAATGCGGTGGAGATGACGTTGCTGGCAGACCCTAAGTGGTGGTCGGTGACTCGTGATTGGAATGACCCTGACCACGGCGAAAAGTTAAACATCTGAGAAGGCAGTGCTGGTTTCTCTCGGTCTATACGTCTTTTCAGCAGAGAAGCAAGATCTGGAAAACTGTCGTCGGATGCTCGATCCGCGACGTCGACTGCGAAGTCAACTAGCTCGTTCAGGACTTCTACATCTGCTTCTGTCTCGATATTGTTAAGCAGCAAGGCAGTGCATTGCAGCACAAGGTCGCCGGGACAGATGTGTTCGACGGTGTTGTGAACGTCTCGTAAAGTCTTAATTGTCAAGATCCTTAGCGCACGAGGCCTACTAGTATCCTTCAAAACTCCAGAAACGAGACGACGACAAGCTTCCAGCCAATCCGGATTTGAGGGGAAGAAAGTACGTTCATCGATGTGATACTTTATCGTCGCCTCAGCAACGACATCTGTTAAACGGTCAAAGTGGCCGGCAAGAAGTTCCATAATTGCAGCCTTGTGAATTGGATCAAGTCTACAGCCCAACTCGTTTAGGCCGACGAAGATGTTCGTAATTTCATCATCGCGCCCCCTACGAGTACTTTCGTTCCTGAGTAGTGGCGCGCTCAGAGGATCTCCGTTATGCATGCTCTCAGACTCAACTTCACCGCCTGTGGATGTGGTTGAGAGAGCAGCCCCGGCTGTGCCTGGTCAACAAATTAGCAGTTGATTAAAATCAAAACGAGACTGATGAAACCTACCAGCTGTGTGAGATCCCGTCCCAGCAATCGATCCCGTTCTCTCTCCGGCTACTCTTTCTGCCAAAGCGGCTGCAAGCGCAGCTTCTCTTTCGTCGCTACGGCTTGCACAAGTATGAATAATTTGAATCAGATCGCTCCAGTCGCCTTCATTAAGAAGCAGACTTCGAATCCTGTCATCGCTCAGCATCGTTGCTATCAGCGAAATAACGAAGCTCTCCTGAGTTTGATGTTCCTCCTTGATCGAAGATTTCAGAGCAGGGAAAAGCAGTGATATGGGAACTGTTGGAAGGCCATTTTGGCCATCCTCGAGCAACAATCTCTGTAAAACCTGGATCGCGGCGCGATATGCACTAAATTTCCTGCTCTTGCGATTCGCTCCATCGAGTAAGGTATGTAACAGCGCAGAGACAGCAGCCTGCCCAACATGGGACTGGAACAGATTGACCAAGGTATTCCAACTTTGCTCCTGTAGACGCTCCAATTGTCGGTGAATGATGCAAAGAACTTCCAAGCCAGGTTTCAGCGAGCGGCTAGGTATATGTACATAAGTAATGATAGTATCAAATAACTTGATAACGTTCTCTATATCGGCTTCATGGGTCGTCCCTTGGCATATGGCCATGGCGTGGTGCAGTAACGATACCAGGTCATCCTCGGTGAACACCTTTGAGTTGAATTTGCAAGTATCAGTGATGAAATGAAATAGGTCCGTCATATTTTGGCTTTCCTTGGTAGGCTGATCGCTACCCTTTCTCAGCGAAGGCCTTCTGATACTGCTCGACGCATTGAAACGCTCTTGAAAGCACGCATGTATCGAAGTCAGGATGAAAGGAGCCAGGAGAGATTCGCAAGCTTCGACATTCCTTCCCCCGTTTGTAAGGGTGGATATGATATCAAGGCGCAAATCGAAGCGCCTGTCATTCTGTCGTAGATTAGCAGCGCCGAAGAAGACGTTGCGCTCCACTGCGTTCAGATCCGGGAGAGCCACACAGCCTTTCAGAAGCGTGTAGGCAACCTCAGCGGCCTCCTCGGATTTCTCCGGAAGCATGAGATCACTCGCAGCAGCCCAAAGCCCCAATACATTGCGGACGGGATACTCCTTCAAAATTTCACATATCTTCTCCACCGCTGCGGCTCTCTCGGCAAATGGTTGACTGGTATGCAGGCGGGCAACCAGATCTTCAAACTCTGGAGGCCCACCCATAGGTGCCCTTTTGCTACCCAAGACATTGTTCTGGGTCGGTTGCTTCACGACGCTGTGTACCTCGGCGACAGTAGGCGGCGCGCTGACTACAGGATCGGCCTTTTGGTGGGATGCAATAGAACCGGACCGGACTGGAGTGCCGGTAGCTGAGGATACAGATGCTGGGGGTGTTGGGCTCTTTAGACGTCCACCGGTGAGCGAACGGAACGCACCCAACAGAGCCGCGGAGGAGGAACGTCGATCGGGCGTGCGAGGGTCATTTCCAGAAGTTGGAGACATATGTCTCACGGAACGAGAGTACGATTTTCGTATTCCTGGGGATATAACAGATCTACTACAGCAGGGTGGGACGCTTCGGGGGGTGCGGTCGTCGGGAGAGAGAGAGGTTATCGATCATGAGTTCAGGCACGGCGGAGTTTAGGTCAATGAGCAGCGCAGTCACGGTGGGGTTGGGGTTGTCCATTTAAATGCGATGATGCCAGTGAAATTGGCAGGCGGAGGGCGATGCGCACAAGATAGAAGATATATCTCAAGGTCGAAGGCGAGACATGGCAGCTAGTGGGGAGGAGGAGTTGGCGGAATAAGGTGACGATGGAAGAACGATCAGGGAACGGGTGTGAAGCAAAAGTGGGTGGGATTGCCATGAGGAAGTTGCAGCCCACCGCCTGCCGGTTTGAGCTTAGTGGGAAAGCTTCGACCTGCGGGCCGCCGTCTGGCCTGGTAACAACAAAAATACAATACAGAAACAACCCACCACACTACTGCTCTACACTCACTCTACACTCTACAGGTACTTACAACCTACCTATCTACAGTCCTTCTTCTCAACAGCTCCCTGACCTCTTCTTTACTCTCATCCGCCACATAATAACGACACCCCCAATTCCTGCAGAAATGTCCGTCGACATTTCTGCGCTCTCGCAGTTGCTCCAGGCCAGCTTGAACCCGCAACAAAGCAAACAAGGTAGGCTAGCTTCTATATACCCTTATATTTACTCCTCTCCGCCCCTCACTTTAAAGGCCGCCATTGAGTGTCCTTCATTACACATTAGTAGTTCACTCCATACCAACTAATAATCACAGCGGAGGCCGCCATTGTACAAGAGCAGTCGAAACCGAACTTTTCCCTCGCCCTCCTCCAGCTCGTTGCCGATGGCAACCAGCCCACCACTATCCGCCTTGCAAGCGCATTATACTTCAAGAACTTCATAAAGCGATACTGGGTGGACGAAGATGGCAACTACAAGCTGCCCGCCGAGGAGGTCACGGCCATCAAGCGCGAGCTCATCGGACTGATGGTTTCGGTCCCGCCAAACCTCCAAGCTCAGCTCGGTGAAGCCATTAGCGCTATTGCAGACAGTGACTTCTGGGAGCGGTGGGACACTCTTGTCGACGACCTCATCTCTCGCCTGACACCTGATAACGCGACCGTCAACAATGGTGTATTGCGTGTTGCCCATTCTATTTTCAAGCGGTGGCGACCGCTTTTCCGTTCAGATGACCTCTTCACCGAGATTAACCACGTTCTCACCAAGTTTGGCGGTCCGTTTTTGACCTTGATGGAGCACACCGACGCAGCCATTACCAATTCACAAAACAATCCTCAGGCGCTCAAGGAAGCCTTCGGCACTCTAGACCTCATAGTAAAACTGTTCTATGACCTTTCTTGCCAAGACTTGCCTCCCGTCTTCGAGGACAACCTTCCGGCCATCGCTGGTCTCTTACACAAGTATCTCACATACGACAGCGCTGCGCTACGTACCGACGATGACGAGGAGGCCGGCATACAAGAATACGTGAAGGCGGGAATTTTCGAGGCACTCATGCTTTACGTTCAGAAGTATGAGGACGTTTTCGGGCCCCACCTTGGCCAGTTCATCGAGACCACCTGGAATTTCCTCATGTCCGTTGGCTTGGAAACCAAGTACGATATCCTAGTCAGCAAGGCTCTTCAATTCTTGACTGCTGTCGCGGGCACCCAACACGCAGAATCTTTCAATAACCAGGGTGTGCTGGTTTCGATCATTGAGAAGGTCATCCTGCCAAACCTGACCTTGCGCGAATCTGATGTTGAATTGTACGAGGACGAACCGATCGAGTTCATTCGAAGAGATCTTGAGGGCTCCGACAACGACACTAGAAGGCGGGCAGCGACTGAGTTCCTCCGACAGTTGATGAGTCGATTTGAGGATTTGGTTACGAACACGGCAAAGACTTACATCGATGGTTACCTGCAAAACTACGCAAGCAACAAGCAAGACAACTGGAAGTCCAAAGACACTGCAGTCTATCTCTTCTCTGCTATTGCTGCCAAGGGCAAGGCCACCGCAGCCCAAGGTGTCATTAGCACAAATCCGAATGTGAACATCCTAGAATTCTTCCAGAGCCATATTGCAGAGGATCTACAGGGCGAGCCCGGCCATTCAATCCTCAAAGTCGATTCAATCAAGTTCGTTTACGTCTTCCGCAGTCAATTGTCACCGGCATTGTGGCGGGCCGCATTCCCTCTTCTTGTCAATCAGTTAGCAAGCAGTGACTACGTTGTCCATACGTATGCAGCAATTGCTGTTGAGAGGGCTCTCTTCATGACTGACGAGAACCGACAATCGATCATTCCACAAGGCGACGTGACCGCTTCTGCCAAGGATCTTCTTTCACATCTTTTCAAGCTCGTCACCAAGGACTCGAAACCCGAGAAAATCCAAGAGAATGAATTCTTAATGAAGTGTGTCATGCGAGTGTTGGTTTTCATTCGGGACGGAATTCTACCAATCACTGATCTTGTGTTGACCAACTTCATCAACATCGTCAAGGTCATTCGGCACAACCCAAGCAATCCTCGATTTCAGTACTACCTGTTCGAGGGTCTTGGCGCATTAATCCGTTTTGCAGGCCCAACGCAGAGCGAGAAGTTGGAGACAACACTTTATTCTCCATTCGCAGCCATTCTTCAGGAGGGCGTCGAGGAGTTCGTACCATATGTGTTCCAATTGTTCGCTGCTTTGCTGGAAGCTAACCCTGCCGGTCATCTCACAAAATACTACCAAGAACTACTGAACATCGTCATCCTGCCTCAGGTTTGGGAATCACGTGGAAACGTCCCAGCACTTGTCCGCCTTCTCACCTCCATGATCCCTCGCGACGTGCAAGGTATCGTGGAAAGGAAGCAAGTGGAGCCAATTCTTGGAATTTTCCAGAAGCTGGTCTCTACCAAAGCTCACGAAGCTCTCTCGTTCGAGCTGATCGAGACGATGATTGCACATATCCCGCTCGAGATCATGCAGCCATATTTCGTCACTATTGTCCAGCTCATGCTGACACGTTTGTCGAGCATGAAAACGGAAATGTTTCAACAACGATTCATTGCGTTCTATCACTTCATCTCTGCACGCCAAGACAAAGGGTTGGGAGCTGACTTTTTCATCACCGTTTCCGATCAAGTCCAACAAGAGTAAGTGTTTGCCACATTCATATTATCTATCCTGGATGCTAATTTTTTTTTCAGTGTGTTCAAGGGTGTCTACCTTACTATCATTCTTCCGGACACTCAAAAGCTCCCTCGCCCCGTAGACCGCAAGACTGCTGTAGTTTCCTTCACCAAGACCTTGACCGACTCGGAAGCATTTGTTTCTCGCTATCCTAAAGGTTGGGGTCTCACTACTCAACGCTTGATTGAACTCCTCATCAATCCCCCTGTTCCTCAAGCACACGACGACATCATTCCAGATGCTGATGTCGACGAGGTCGGCTTCGGTGTTGGCTTCACTCAATTGAACACATGCAGGAAGCAGCCTAAGGATCCTTTCCCAGAGATTACGGACGTCAAATCCTGGGTCGGACAGTATCTCAAGGATGCCAACACACGACACAATGGGAAAATCGTGAACCTTGTTCAAGAACGATTGGGACCAGATGTCCAGAGCGCTTTGAACGAGTACCTTCGATAATTGGTCGATTCTACGTTGGAGGGAATGAGTATAGATATTTGCATGGAAGGATGTCACAGGATTTGGTCATGGATTTGGGTGTGGAACACTTGATACCAGCAAAGTCATGATTGTGCGGCGGAGTTTAGAGTAGATTCGATATGATAAGTGTCGTGATCGCCAGAAAAGAATGTCCATATCCGTCAAATGTTATTAAAGCTGCCACACTCAGTCGTTGTAGTGGGCTGTCTCTATTCCAAGTCGGCATTACGAGCAAGGGATATCCCCACGTTGGTTCAAAGGTCAACTCTCCTCAGCAGATTGGCTGTCTTCAATTCTGTGAATATTGGCTACTTATATACTCCGTACTTAGGTAGCTTTACCACGTTCGAGCAATACACCCAAGTAACCTCCCGAGTTCCACAAAAACAGTCAATCTTCATGCCTGCAGGTCTAATAACGTCCCCGCACCCCGAAAACCTTCTCGCAAGTTGCATCCAAACAAGCTAGGTAGGAACCAACAACCAAACCACACCAGCGGGTAAATTGTACGATCCAGCCCCCAAAACTTGCATCCCATCAACCAGCACCGCGCTCTACAATACCCTGCACCGACCAATACCACCTCGCGCTTGATCCAAGATCATATAGTGGACCGGCCCATAGGAATCCCGTCCCCTTCGCCCATGCAACAAAGATCACGGTGCGGTGCATTATCGCAAGTAGCGCACGCATCCAACCACCTGTCGTGTAGCAGTCTTCCACACCGCGTCGGCATAGAGCAGAAATATACGATGGATGTCGTAAAAAGGCAACGAGAAGAATGCCATTCCGGACCGGCGTTCTCTGTACGCACACGCTATACACATTTACTACCCACCTAGGTATATAGATTGGCAGCTGAGCTCCAACAACCACCCATCCGTGCTAATATTCCTCTCACCCCCCCCTTTGCTTGCTGACTTCGTGGGCTTCATCTCCAAATTGCCACGAGTGCGGACTTTGCGTCTATCTCCACGACAAAGTCGCCCGCATCTTAAGTCCCCCAGTCTTCATGGTCAATTCGCTGCGCAGGGTTTCACACAATTTGCAATCGCACGGTTCTCGCATGGGGTCTTTGCTATAGAACGTCACCGGAACAATACAAAGAAAAGTCCAAGAAACATCATCAAAAACGTGTTGCGAAAGATAGTACAGATAAAATGGAAGGAAACACATTCAACGAACCCGCTCGGATCGAAATCCCAGGCGAAGTCCCCGCCCTCCTCGCCGCGATCATGCCCCTCGCATTCGTCTTCCTCGTCATCGGCATCCTGTGGTGGCACTACTCGCGCAAAAACCGGTGGGAAGCGGCCGTAAAGAAGCAGATCGAGGAGGCACGGAGCGCAGTGCGGAAGAGTAGCGGATATGACGAGGAGAAGTCGCTAGAGGCGGGCGGGAAGCCGGAACTGGATGGCGGCGGGAAGGGTGCGGTTCCGGTGGGTTGCTGCGAGTTGGAACAGCCGGGGCTGCGGGAGGTGGATGGGAGGGAGGTGTTTGAGGTTGGCGGGTTGGAGGGCGTGGGGACCGAGATTGGGGGCGCGGAGGTTCATGAAATGGGTGGTGGGCAGGGGGTTGCGGGTGAGGTTGATGGGGTGGGTAAGGATGGGGTTGTTGGGATGGTTGATGGTAAGGCTGAGGGGGAGGTTTGTGGGAAGGATGATGGTGATGTTGGTGAAGTGGTCAGGTGTGAGCTTGAAGGGTGTGGGGTCCCAGAATTGGATGATAATGTGCGAGATAGCGAAGTGCGAAGTAAAGAGCAAACGTGTGGATAATTACTGTATTGAGGTTGATATCGCCCAAGACTTTTACGATACTTGGTTACCATGCGAAAAAGCGTGCATACACGAATACTTGCACATTACCAGACCACAGGAGTTGATTCCTATCTTGACTTAGGAAAACGTTGACAGTTTTGGATAGATTGCATCAAGTCTAGAAACATCAAAATACTTGATTTATCTTAGAACTTTTAAATAGTACTCGTCGTCATCGGGTCATCTGATAAAGGTATGCATGAGCACAGATATCGGTATTTACAACAGACCGACTTTTGAACATTGTAGCACTCAAACCTCAGACACTATTGGAAGAAAAATAAAAAACGACCACAGCCGCGAATGCGAGAATTGGTCCCTTGTTCCCAACATAGCGTCGTCTACAGCATGCACGGCAGCACAGGTGATAGACATTGATGCCTGATCAAGCATACCAACATGCCAAGGGCGTTCCTCCTATGTATGCATGTAGAACGGGTAACTCGTGTCAGCTCTCATTACGCCCGTGGGTCACTTCTTGTTGGTTTTATAGACATCGTATCATTGATTGAAGGGCGCGTCTGTTTGCGAATGGGTTGATATTCTCCGATGCACCAAAATTCTCTCGCTACCACAACTAGATTGGGTGTTGGATGACATTTGACTCCAAGTGTACTACATTTGGACTGACCGGCGAGTGCAAATCTTGCCTTCTTGCCATTGTACCTCGTGTGCTCGTATCTGCCATGCATTCAGCCCTATGCTACTTAGTACATTGTGCAATTCCAGCTAGGGGGGGGCGGCAAGGATGTTGGCTGAGGAATCTGAATTGGTGCCGATAGCCAACCAAGGGGTCGGTTATCACGCCCTTGACATTGACCTTCACGAAGGGATGTTGACTGAGGTGCCATTGACACATGTGCGGTAGGACCAGGACCATTCTCGGGGGACACCATTCCTGAAGCGACTTGCAGTGATCGGTGTGTGCGCGGCAGTCAGTCGTGTAGTTGACGATCGCAACGACACAACAACATAACGTTGCTACCCAGAGCTTTCGCAAGATTCGCTGTAGAGAAATATTGGATCGTCAACCATATCGTCACTCTCTATATCATCCTATACCTCGCTAAAAATGCAACACCTGTACAGCTCAAAAGTCAAATGTCTGGTGATTCAAGCGATCCTTTCTATGTCGGGTTGTGAGAGCACAAAAACCTGTCTCCTATTGGTTGCCTGGTAAGGCATGACACCACATTAAGTTAGACTGTTGCCTGGAGCTAAGCCCCTTTCGATCACCGACGGGGTGTTTTATACGCCGCGTGCTTCGAAAGACAGCTCAACCATGACGAAGTTGAGCCGACCAATTTGAAGTATAAGTATCCTTCATACCCCAAGTTTCCTAATCAGTCAAACCAACACAAGATTGGATTGGCCGTTTCTTATTTTGCCGGGTTGTGACCTTGGGTTGATTAAGAAGGTTCCATCTGGTGGTCCGAGCGTCTACCTCACGACTGGGTTCCCTCATCCGTCCAAATTGGTATATTTTATTCTCATATTTCTTCTCATCTGTCCCTCGATTACAGCCTTTCTTCAGCGTTGAAATGGCATCCGGAAACCAATCTTCTTCGAAGAAGTTCTATGACGGAAATTCGGCGAATACTATGTCGCCACCACCGTAGGTTTACCTCTCGAGGGTTTCCTTATTTGATCAATGTGCAATTGTCAATGTGCAATTGCACGTTCCCACGCGTGGACAAATTTCACAATCCAATACTGAACCTACACGTCTAAGGGGAAAATCAAAACCAAAAGCTGCTTCGAAAGCAAAATCTCAGAAACAACATAAGCAAACAGAGAGGCACGACAGTGCAGCGGAATCAAGCCCTGACAGTTTCGAAGAGACTGTCTACGAACACAAGCAACCTGCTTTAACATTCAAAGCACTCCAAAATTTGGACTCAGTCGCGGGAAGGCAAAGAGAAGAACAGTTTTACGAAACGAGGAAACAAAACGTGCAGCGGGCGGCACAGAGCCTTGGTTTCGAACTCCCAACAAGGATCCTCGAGCCGGAGAGGTGGGATATGGCGGGCTGGTTGGACGAGCAATGCGACCGATTCCACCGAAGTTCTTGAGATCACGAAACCGTATTGCTATGGTTTTCCGCTCGGCGCAGCGACTTTTCATCTTTGGCTTTTGAATTACCTCTCTATTAATTATGATATCCGGTCTCTTGTAGCTATTGTAATACTACGGAGACCATGCAAACGCTCATCCTTTGTTGCGCCTAGGTACAACGAAGCTACTGGCCAAGCATGAATACCACTTTTCTCTTCTTCATAGTCCACGGTGACACCCGTCCCTCGAAGTAATGATATTAAGCCTCGTGTCTCTGGTCCCAATACCTCCTCTGATCCATAGAGGAAGAACCAACCCTTCTCAGGACTCGCTTCTCTCCACTTCCTTATGTCTTTGCAGTGTCCGGGTGATACTAATGGGTCGTCCACGGGCACCTTGGGTCCAACGTACTGGCGTCCGTAGAGCTCTAGACTGCTGGAGTTGAGGTAATCACTGGGCGTGTTTCGATTGTTCTTGGAAACGATTGTGACCCAGGGAGATATCATGACTGCCAGTCCAGGTTTTTGGTGTCGCAGTTCGTGATGATCGGTCATGTACAGCAAGAAGCTGAGGATTAGAGTAGCACCAGCAGAATCTCCGCTCACGCAGATTCTTGACGAATCACGCGCGATAGATAGAACGTACTCGTAGCCTGCTAGAGTCTCCTGGAGCTGAGTTGGATATACGGCGTCGGGCACCAGTGTGTACTCCAGGGCGAATAGTGCAGGATTTCGGTAGCCTGCATCTTTGAGCAAGCTGACCCAAGCGAGTAGAAACTCCATATAGAAGAAACTGGATCCCATGGAGAATCCACCTCCGTGACAGTAATAGACAATAATGTCGGGTTGTTCTAATTGGTTATGCGTAATCCAAATGCCACGAAGGCCAGGCTACTGGCCATCAATATAGATCTAGAGCACACCATTGGAAAACCGTCACTTACCCTCTTGATTTCAGTCCATCTTAAAGGGGCAGTCAATATGCCATGTCGTAACATTCGGAAGCGTAAGAAGGGTAATGAGACACCCTTGGAGAAGAATACTCGCCCAAGCCATGCCGGCATACATGCAAACGCAAATCGAACGCAGCGAATGACAATATCCTGGAAAACGGTCGCTCGCTGAACAAATGGACTTCGATATTCATAAGGTGTAAGGTAACGTTCGCGAAAGAATTGATAAGGAATGACCAGAACTTGATATGCTGTGAATATAAATACTTTGCCGGCATGGTATATCTTCTCCTTACTTAGTGACGGCAGAGCGCCAATGAGCCATCTTGCGGTTCGCCATATTCCAACCTGAATCAGCAATTGAGGAGCGAGGAAGATCAAAAAGACAACACAGTCTATCAATGATATTTGTGACAGAATCATGCTTCAATCAAGCGGAAAAGACCAGTTCAGATTGTAAATGTACACTGATCATGTCGTCTGGGTAGGAACCTTAACCCCCAAGTAAAGTCCGTCGGCGTCATCGACAAGGTGAGAACTAGACTAAAAGGGTTAGCGTAGTCCTGCTTTAGGAATGCTGCCTGCTACATTCAGTATTCAGAGCAATTCTGTGAATTGACGAAGATGTGTGTATACAACATTAGAATTAGTAGCGGTTCATGTGGCTTTTTCACTCTATTGTGGTATCCTCTGCTCTCAGTAGCGAGGTTGTCTCTGATATTCAGGATCATCGCGTGCACGTGACGGGAACGCGGGTAAATTGCCAAGGCTTGCTGAATAACCTACCAAATTTCTGGCAACGCAGCCGCGACACCTCACTCATGCTCGCAAACGCGGCCTGTGTAGCCTCCGAAGTAGTTAAAAGCTCACTTTCACTTGACAGGGTGACAGGATAACCGTTTGCCTATCTCCGCGACCTTTTCTTCTTCCCTTCACCTTCCGTCTGCATGGCTTGAATAATACACTATTTGCCTGAGCCCTCTGTGGTCAAGCTCGACTTCCTTCTGTACATAACTTTTCGCGAAGGCTCACTATGGCGAACCCCGCTGCAGACCCCAAAGCTGCAGCGCTCAGTGCAGAGCTCAAGGAGTTCGCTCTGTAAGTCTCATCAGTATTATCAGCAGGAAAAAGAAATACTAAACCGAGCAGCTCCCTTCCAACCACAGCATTCCCGAAGAACTTCTTCTGTGCATTATGCAACCAACTGAGCTTCGACTCGTGGAAGCTGCTTTGCTGTAACAAGGCTATATGCACATCTTGTACGTCTCTACCACATATCTTTCTCGGGCAATGCTAATTTAGTCAAGGTTATGAGAAGCTAGAATTCCCCACCACATGCCCGTCGTGCGAGCACCACCCTCTTGAATCCGACCTATGTACCGTCAATAAATCTCTGCGCAACACGATGCGCGCCTGGCTCCAGAAGGCCAAGAAGAAGGAGGAAGCAAAGAAGGCTGAGACACCAGCTATGGAGGTTGCTGTTCCTGTGGCGAACTCTGCGCAGGCAGCCGGATCTGCTGGCGTTCTCACTGAAAATGTCGAGGAGGGCTCAAAACCAGATCTTGGCGAGGCTGCAGCTTCGGAGGTTACGGGTCAAGACACGGAGGCAGTAGTGCGCGCAGGCTCAGTTGGGTCACAAACCAAAGAGGTAAGCTCTTCGCAGCACTCTTCCGGTTGCTCTTCACTTGCTTATATAGCCCAGAATGCAACCTCTCTTTCCAATGATGATGCGCAGCGCAGCGCTAGTCTTGATGCCCAGAATTTGGAGCAAAGTGTTGAGCCTTCATCTGCGGTTGAGGATTCCAGTGCAGCGCAGAACCCGACGGACGGCTCGGGGGATGGCTCTTTTGGGAACAACGCAATGTTCAATGGCATGCAGGGGCAGTTCGGCTTCGGCTTCAATCAAAATCCCGGAGACATGAATGGCATGGGCTGGAATGGCGGTATGCCTCCAATGAACGGCATGATGGGAATGATGGGTAACATGAATCCGATGGGTAAGTCATCCACTATAATCGAATATCTAGAACTTGGAAGCTAACTTCATCGCCAGATTTCAACAACATGAACTCAATGAATATGCCCAATATGCCTAATGGCATGTACGGAGGCTTTGGTGGGAACATGGGCATGCCTGGCATGAATGACATGTCCATGATGAACTACGGAGGCGGGTTTGGCAATGGTTGGCAAGGCGGGATGAACGGAGCAGGTTTTGGGAACATGAACGGTTACAACCAAATGGGTGGATATAATCAATCTGGACCACAATATCCCCAGATGATGAACCAGTTGCCCAAAAATAATTTCCAAAACCAGAATCGTTTCAATGCCCAAGGGGCAACATTTGCGCAGCACAACAGACGAGATAGCCAAAGCAGTTTTGGCAAACAGCAGGGTCCTAGCACGTCTAGTCGGCCTGAAAGCCAAAATGGCCTGCAAAACGTACGTCGACTCAATAATGCGTCCGTCACTCCAACGGCGCAATCCCCAACCACTCTCAAAACTGACGTACCCGGTTTTCAGCGTGACGGAGAGTCCCCTACAGTTCAGCCCGGAGCCACCATTGACAACAAGAAAGATGGTGAGCAGGTTGAGGGGGGTTCTGCTGATGATCAAGAAGGTAATGCTAAGGTCGAAGACACCTCTGAAGTGGTGCACTCGATCGAAGCTCAGCAGGATGACGCCACAAACCAGTCAAGTAACCTAGGACAAGCAAATGGGGAGGAGATGAACCAATCCAATGGTCTCAACCAGATCCAAACTGTAGACTCGGATGAAATCAACACATCAGGATTCGACCAATCGAACATGATGGCGAATCAAATGTTCCAACAGGGCATGATGAATGGGTTTCCTAACAACGGATTTGATATGAATGGACCGTACAATTCTAATATGGGCTTCCAACCCCATAACGCTTATGGGCAGAACGATTATGGGCACCAAGGAAGCTATAACCCAGCATATGGCGCTGCTACTGTACTGACAGGCGAACCACGAGGCGTTGGTGTTGAAGGCGCGCCTACAGGTCCACGAGCCATGAGAGAAGGTAGACCCAACACAGGCTTCTCGAGCCGGGCGAACAACGCTAGATTCAATTCGCAAACATCAACACCAACCGTCCAACAAGCACCATCACTTCCTGCTGCTAGTCCCTCTAGGCAAGGGCGAGGGTATGCATTCATCATGAACCGGCATTTGAGTAAAGCTAACACGGTTCTAGAAGTCCAGAGCGAGACGAGACCCTACGTACAAAGGATAAATCGCCATCTCGTTCGCGGTCCGGATCTCGAGCGAAAGACAACGGTGATAAAGAGGCCGGTAGAGATCGGTCTCGGTCCGCTGATCGGGAATCTCGAAGAGATCCCCGTGAACGGTCCCAAACGCCTACTTCGGAGGATCACGAACGTCGTAAGGAACGCCGCCGTCACCGATCTTCCCGCTATGATGATCGTGATGGGCGTGATGAGCAGCGTGACGATGACTACGATGATCGGCACCGTGATGATGATCGAGGTGACAGAACCCGGAGTGCTTCAGTAGACTCTAAGCATCGTAGCAGAAGAGACAAAGACAGACATCGATCATCACGCTCCCATCGTGAGCGAAGTCGCGAGCATCGGCGTCGCCATCGATCTCGCTCCCCTATCATTGAGGAACGCTATGAGGAAGAGGGACACGGCAATGGCAACAGCATGCCTTCTGAACTGAGCAATCGTCATAAGAGCAGGAGTGAGAGGGGGCACAGAGATCGCTCACGAGATCGTGAACGTGAACGGGATCATAACAAAGACCGACGTGATCGTAGAGATCGGGATCACGACCGAGATTACGAATATGAGAAAGAGAAGGATAGATCGCGAGACAAGGACAGGGATAGGAGGCGCTCCAAACGCGACCGCGACGACGAGCGAGATCGAGAATACGACGATGAGAAATATCGTTCCTCCCGCCGAAGCCGCAAAGATAGGGATCGTGAGCGAGATCGTGATCGAGACGATCGGGATTATGATGCCAAAGACTCGACCGCGGCTCGTGACGCATCCCCACCCATGAACGCGCCTACGGGTCCCTCCGCGAACGGCTTCTCCATCCGCGGCTTCAGCAAAGCGAAGAAGGATAAACCCGACTCCTCGTCGAAACCCATGCCTCCACCAACTGGCCCACGCAGTCTCCAGCCTCCTAAGGGTCCCGCTGCAGAACGTCGGGACAGCCGTGACCACAAGCGCAAGAGCAGCGTCAGCAGTACACCAGCGACGCCCACTACACCAACCGTAGATGACCATTACGCTGCTGAGCGAGAACGCAGCAACAGAGACCGCGTTTTACAGACACTCCACGGCCGTGCCACTGGGCGGGCGGAGTCCGCTTCATCCAAGCCATCATCGTCACGACAGAACCCCAGCTCCAAGCGCAGCCACGACAATTTCGATCGTGACCATGCCAGAGACGAGGACAGAGACGACAGAGATGACAAAGGCCGAGACAGTAAAGTCCCCACCGGCCCCTCTGCACACAGAGACAAGCGCCGCAAAAGCGGCGAAGCCACCAACTCCATCGCCAGCCTCTTCACCGCCGGTCTGCGCAAAACAGCAGGCAAGCGCGAGCGTCGAGGCGGCGTGAAAATGGAGGGCGACGTAGAAAGAGAACTGGACAGATCCGAGCGGGAACGGGACCGCAGATGGTGAAATGGAGACAATACGTACCTCCAATCACCATCTTCCCTCTCACTCTTCTTCTCTCCTCTCTATTCTTTTCCCCCTTCAATTACTACTTGTATCCACATATAATCGGCAGTGCAACACGCGTCCACAAGTACATACATTTGTCGACCCTCGACACTTGCCTGAAGTATAATATTATATTACCCCCATTCGAAATGTACTATACCCTACATCCCAAAAAAAGAGCGTATCAGGTTAACTACCTCCCTATATTTGTCCTCATTCTAAAAAGTTGAAAGAGGTACGTACGTACTAGTTTGTAGTATGTACATATATAGCAGAATTTAAAAACATGCCGACGGTTTTGTCGTTGGTGTAAATGTGTGTGTCTTTGGTGGCTGTGATGTTGTAATGTGGATGTGAATGATGTGAGGATCTGTATGGTTCATTCCCTCCTTTTTTCTTCCTTTTTTCTTCCTTTTTTCTTCCTTTTTTCCCCCGTGACTAATGACGATTTTGATGACTGTGAGAGGGGTTCTGAGGGCTGATGGGTGTTGCCTATGGTGGTGTTGATTTATATTGGTTTTCTAGTATTCAAGTTCAGCGAAAATTGCTCGTTTAAAGTCAGATAAAAACGTTTTGAGCAGATGGGAAATATTTGTCATATAATTCTCTTTTATTTTCTTTAGGATATCTAATAACACTTTTACTCAAAAATTTTCTAGATTTAGTGTCTTGTTCCATTGACGTTCTTGACTCCCTGTCCGAGCTGGCTTGCGACAACAGTAGCCTCCCTGATAGCCCTGCTGATACCAGCTCTCACACCAGCCTCTTCAAGGGCAATCAAACCACCGATGGTGCAACCTCCGGGTGTAGAGACCTTGTCCTTCAAAACAGCGGGGTGTTCTCCGTTTAGGACCAAGCCAGTTGCTCCACGCATGGTCTGCGCGGCCATTAACTGTGCCTCCGCCCTAGGCAGACCCATAGCAACACCTGCATCAGCAGCAGCCTCAAGGACCAACGCAAAGAAAGCAGGACCCGAGCCGCACAGCGCGGTCGAAGCGTCCATCTGTGCGGGAGCCAACGTGACAGTGCGGCCGATGGAGTTGAATATCCAGTTGACCAATTTGAACTGTTCGTCCGAGAGAGGGGGATCCGAAGACTGAATAACGCTCATGGATTCGCCGACAAAGGAAGCGGTGTTGGGCATCACTCTGACGACCCTGCATGCGTTCTCCGGGATGCCTGTTGGGTAGAGGAATTCTTCGATCTGCTCCTTCGTCACGCCGGCGAGGATGGAGACGAGGACCTTTCCAGCGATGGCCTCCCTCATGCCCTCTGCGCCCAAGATGTCCCGGAAGCCATGGGGCTTGCAGGAAAGGAGGAGGATGTCGGCCTCCTTTGCACCGGTGAGGTTGTCGTTTGTGAGGGTCTTGAGGGGGAAGTTGTAGTGTCCCAGTGCGGCCTTGACCTTCTCTTCAGCGGGCTTCCAGGTGTCGCAGGCGACGAATTTGGAGGGGAGACGCGAGGGCTTAGTGTCATCTGTGGAGGAGGAATCGGCGAGCGCAGATTGCGTTTTGGCTTTGGCGAGAGAGGCCATGACGCCGCCCATGATGGCGATGCCCATGGTGCCTGGATGTGAATGTGATTAGACCATGGCGGGGCTATATCGAAAGGGAGATTTGGGTATATGAGGACTCACCTGAGCCGAGCACGGTGAAAGTAAGACCTTCTGAGGAAGACATGTTGTAGTAAATTGTGTGACTGTTTGATTCTGGAAAATCTGGGGTTCAATTGCGGAGTGTAGAGGGACCTTTTAAGTTCCAAAGTGACTAAACTAAACAATGTGAGTGGCGGTTACAATCGGGGTGGGATGATGTTCTAGAAGCTCGGACGCTTTTTCGGAGGTCTCTTCGGAGGGCAGCTTATCATGCATTCCTGCCACAGGTCGAGCTACTGGATGTCGTATCGCCTTTTCAGCCTCGTGATGGGTAAGAATATTTGCTAGTCTATGATTTATAATTATACATAGCGAGATCACTGGCTGACTTCGTACCTTTCCTATCCGAAAGGTATATCAACCTATCCTTCTCTTTTCGTCCTAGTCTGGATCCGGAGAGCTTCGTTCTTTTACGGTGGGCTATACAAGCCATACCCGCAAACATCCCACAACGTCAGTCCTCAACATAGGTGGAACCCGCCTTCCTCGTCGCAATTAACATCTTCACCAAGACCGCCCGCCATGGATCCCTTCGAAGTGCGGATGCGCTTCACCTCGCAGCTCCAACACCTCAGTGCCTCTGTGACAGCGGCGCAAAAAGCTGCAAACTTCGCCCTCAAGAACCGCGAAATGGACGAAGATTTGCATTCATGCATACTGGAACAATTGGAGAGAGTACGCTCCCATGATCACGATCCTCTCCACCCTTTTTAGGGGAATCTATGATCTTCGTATTAACGCGGAATAGAATAATATGAACAATCGCGCTAACATCATGTACTTCATCGAACACCTCTGCGACCTGGCCCTGCGAGAAAACCACCCTGAATACGTCCGCATGATGCAGCGCGACATCCTGCGCGTGATCGATGCCGTCACACCCCCTGATGGTTCCGGCGCCGCAAACGTCAAGGTTGTCCGGCGCGTACTATCCGGTCTACAATCGAAAGAAGTTCTTACGCTGGAGACGGTGGGGGAACTGGAAGCAGTATTGAAGGAGAGAGACATTGCGCCGAGTCATCCATTCATCAGTGGCGACGGCGCGGACACAAATGGCGCAAAGCGAGGTACGGGACGAGCGTTGGATAAACGACAAATCGAGCAGCGTATAGAAGAGGATCGGGAACGACATAAGAGGTTAAGAGAGAGCATTTGGGCTATCCCGAGTGGGCAAGGCGAGGAAGATGCGGAGTTCGAGAAACTCTGGGATGAGGCCAGTGATATCGGAGAGGATGACTACGAAATGGGAAAAGAGGATCAGGAAGAGCGGAGGCAGATCATCGCATTGGGCTGAATGTCGCTCTATTCGGTTCGGACGGTTGAGATGGCACATTTAGGCGTCTTGTGGGATTTGAAGCACCGCTCATGATACATCTGCATTGCTTGGCGTTATACGGGAGAGGATTTGGACAGGGAACTAGTTCAGACTGGAGAGATACCATTTAGGCACGCATACTTGAATCTATTTTATCTGTATCGAACACATCCAAGAATCACAAGTTATCGTATCTGTACACGCATTAATGCTGAAATATAGTACAGTGTATGCATCCATCATCGCCTGGACCGTTTTGTCCCCTAAACAGCAGTCCTTTATTCCATGACGACAGTCGCACCGAGGTCCTTCAAGGTCTTGACGATCTTCTCTGCCTCCTCCTTTGGTACACCCTCCTTCATCATCTTCGGTGCGCTTTCCACGAATTTCTTGCTATCCACCAGTGACAGTCCTAACATGGCCTTGACCTCCTTGATGACCTTGGGTTTTGCTGCAGCATCGAACTTCTCGAGTTTGAGGTTGAAGAGGGTCTTCTCTGCAGCGGCGGGGGCAGCCTCTTCCTCTTCAACAGGTGCGGCTGCTGGTGCGCCACCAGCGCCAGGTCCAGCAACGAAACCACCAACGGGCATATCAGGGATGTTGAGACGAGTCTATAATAAATTGTTAGTTTGAATTGTCTTCTCTATTGACCTATGTGGCCTAAGGCATATGTCGTGATCATGCTTCCGCTGTATTGCGGAAGGCATTGGGACCTCCCCGCACGGTAAATCAAATATATTGCTTACCTTGAGAGTCGAAACAAGGTCTGCGGTCTCCAAAAGAGTCAATTGGCTGATTTGATCCACGATAGTAGCGATCTTAGGGTTTGTTGGTGCGGCGGCCGCATCTGTGCTTTGCCATCTCCGCGAGGATCGTTGCTGTGCGAAGGAGACTGTGGGGCGGACGACGGAGATTGAGCTGCGAGCATTGCATACGCATCGCCCAAGGGCGCGAGAGACAGGGGCGGACATGTTTGCGATTTTGGCGGACGTTCGAGGTGCGATTACAGATGGTGTGGTCGGAGGTGAGGTTTCGCTCCGCAAAATCTCGAGATGGGTATTGCGTAGCGCTAGGCGATGTTCGTCGTAGAGCCTTGGCAAGAAACTTCAATCTCGAACTTTTTTTTTGATGGCGAACCTCGAAACATTGAAACACAACAATTTGGGCCAACTAGCGATTTTTTTGCGTCGAAACTATGGGAAGGCGCCCCGGAAACATTTTCAATCAGTTCGCCCTCCAAAAATCAAGGGTGTGTCTGGAAAGAAACCGCTGAAATGGCCAATTACCACGAGCTTGCCGCGGCAGCTCTTGATCCTCTACGGACGGATGAGATTTTTTCGCAAAATAGCGAACTCTTTGCGGAAGTTTGTGCAAGGTGGATATCGTCAGGCTCGAATTCTGTCTTCAAAATCGCGGCTTTTGGCCGTATTCTTCCACTTGCGCCCCATGTCGCAGAACATGTCGAGCGCTTCCTAGCCACGTGCTCGCAAACACCTATTCTTGGTTCTCAAGAATCCGATCTCTCTGTATCGAACCTCCAAAAACCCGATCTTCTCCAACTTCTCCTAGGAACTTTCCGTATTCTCAGCTTCGATAGTATCGGCATCTCTAGATATGTCCGTCCTCTGGTTCTGGAAGGCCTGCTGGATCACCCGGATAGGACTGTCCGATACATCGCGGTGCGGACATTGTGCTTATATTTACATACCGCAGATGATGCTACTCAAGATATGATTAAAAGATATATTCAAGAGGGGGAAATCGAAGATAGGTGGGAAGATCAGACCATCGATTACAGGTTCTTATCTTTGTGGGAGGAAAAGAGATGGTCATTGTTGCAACAGAAGCTTGAGACCAGAACGTCAGACACTGGCACCGTTTCCCAGGCTGCTAAGGCTGGCCAACTCTCTCCATACACAGTGAACATCAACGGAGTTCTCCTCCCCCGGTTAGAAGGAGCGCCGTCACGGAAGACACCATCGGAACTGATCTCCACTCCTACCACGGAATCAAATTTACGCCATGTGGCGGAAGGACTCTTGGATTCGAGGCCTATTCTTCTAACCGGAATCGCGGGATCCGGCAAGACCCTCCTTACCAGGTACTTCGCATGGCATTTGAATAAGCTAGATACTATGGTCACACTTCATCTGAACGAGCAGAGTGATGCCAAGTTGCTTGTTGGCATGTATACGACCGGAGCGAAACCCGGTACTTTCAGCTGGAGGCCAGGAGTGCTGACAACAGCTGTCAGAGAAGGAAGATGGATCTTCATCGAGGACCTCGACCGTGCACCAAATGAAGTCATTAGTACTCTTCTACCCCTCATTGAGCGAGGCCAGCTTTTGATACCAAGCCGCGGAGAAACCGTCACAGCAGCCAGAGGGTTTCGCATTATTGCAACTATGCGCAGTACCTTGAACCCGAGAGGCCAGGAGATAGCCCCTAGGCAGAATATGATCGGCATGAGGTTTTGGAATCACGTCAAAGTTCAGATGCCTCAACTGGACGAGTTCGAGACAATTCTCACAGAAAAATACCCGACCCTACAACAGCATGCTCCCGGACTGATCCGTGTTTATTCGAGACTTCTGTCCCTTTACTCCGACGCGAAATTCTCGTCCGAGAATGGTACTTCAATACGCGCATTGACTCCCCGCGATTTGCTTAAATGGAGTGACAGGATTGCATCTTTGCTAAGCCAATCCTCGACTTTTAGTGCGGCCAAGACGGACGAGATCTTCATGGAGGCCTATGATTGCTTTGCGGGAAGTCTCCGTAGTGATCAAGCGCGTCTCAAAGTTATGGCATGCGTAGCGGAAGAATTGCACATTGATCCACAACGCCGGGATCATCTACTCGAGAATCGGGAAGTCAAACTGGAAGCCCCAAGCAAAAGCTCAACCTCTGGCGTTTTACGGATAGGACGAGCCCGTCTCACTCGGTCCAAGTCACAGAGGCGGCAGATGTCAAATCGACCTTTCTCAACAAATGCTTACACTTTGCGATTGTTGGAGAAAGTGGCCGTTGCAGTCGATCATCAAGAACCCTTGTTGCTTGTTGGCGAAACAGGAACAGGTAAAACAACTACAATCCAGTATCTTGCCGAGCAACTTGGTCGGAAGATGGTCGCTTTCAACTTGTCGCAACAAAGTGAGAGTAGTGATCTCCTGGGAGGGTACAAGCCAGTCAACGTTCGCAGTCTGGTCATCCCCCTCAAAGATGAGTTCGACGAACTGTTTGATATGACATTTGCAAGGAAGAAGAACCTGCCTTTCCTGGAAATGATGGGCAAGCGTGTAGCCAAAGGAGAATGGAAACGCGTTTGCATGCTTTGGCGAGCAGCATTGAAGAGAGTCGATGCAGAACGAAAATCACGCGAATCGCGGACATCGTCGCCAGATCCAGATGGAGGCCAACCCAAGAAGAAGCGAAAGGTCGATGGTCTGCCTGCAAGTTTTCCCAGTGCTCGATGGGAAAAGTTTGCCGCAGACCTACAAGACTTAGAGGCACAGCTTGCAAGTGGCTCCGAGGCGTTTGCCTTCTCATTCCTAGAGGGTAACATCGTCAAAGCTGTCCGGAATGGAGACTGGATCCTGCTGGATGAGATCAATCTTGCATCTTCTGATACCCTTGAGGCATTAGCAGATCTTCTCGGCGGGGGTCCAGACGGCACACCATCACTGCTGCTCACAGAGACTGGCAATGTAGAACGCATCGAAGCGCACCCGAACTTTCGAGTGTTCGCAGCGATGAACCCAGCGACCGATGTTGGAAAGAAAGATCTTCCACCTGGCATCCGATCGAGGTTCACCGAACTTTATGTCGAGAGTCCGGATAGTGATATTAAGAGTCTTCGTAATATCGTTGAGAAGTATCTGGGTGGAGACACAATAGATGCAGTCCTAGTGAAGACTGCATCTGACGTTACAAACCTCTATCTTGATATCCAGCGGCTAGCCAAGTCAAATATGCTGGTAGACGGAGCGGATCAAAAGGCCCACTTTAGTCTGAGAACATTAACAAGAGCACTCTCCTACGCCAGGGAAATATCACCTCTTTGCACGCTTAGGCGGGCTTTGTATGAAGCATTCCATATGAGCTTCCTCACATTCTTAGGCAAAGCCTCAGAAGACCTAGTCGCTCCACTGATCAAGCAACATCTGTTCAGCCAAAAGTCAAGCGCGAAGACTGAACTAGGGAAGCCCTTACAACAAGCCAATGACGGCAGAACCTACGTTCGACAAGGTCATTACTGGCTGCGGCAAGGACCGCATGCTGTTGAAGAGCAGCTTCATTACATCATCACTCCTTTTGTTCAACGAAACATGAACAACCTTATTAGAGCTGCCTCAACACGCCGATTTCCCGTTCTCATACAAGGTCCGACTTCTTCAGGTAAAACTAGCATGATTGAGTACCTGGCCAAGCGATCAGGCAATCAATTCGTGCGCATCAACAACCACGAGCATACTGATCTGCAAGAATACCTGGGATCCTATGTTTCAGGTACGGATGGTAAACTCACCTTCCAGGAAGGCATTCTTGTTCGTGCGTTGCGAGAAGGCCACTGGATAGTTCTCGATGAACTCAATCTTGCACCTACAGATGTACTTGAAGCCTTGAATCGACTTCTAGACGATAACCGTGAACTTCTCATTCCCGAGACTCAAGAAGTTGTTCGGCCTCATGAGGACTTCATGCTGTTCGCCACTCAGAATCCTGCAGGCCTGTACGGAGGACGAAAGGTTCTCTCGCGAGCCTTCCGTAATCGATTCCTGGAGCTCCATTTCGATGACATTCCCGTAGAGGAATTAACGGAAATTTTGCATCGCCGCACAATGATTCCAGAATCATGGTGTAAGCGTATAGTGAAAGTCTACCAAGAACTCTCCACCCTGCGACAAGAGAACCGACTATTTGAGGATAAGAGTTTTGCTACACTGCGTGATCTATTCAGATGGGCACAACGAAAAGCGGACACAATCCAGGATGTCGCAACCAACGGCTACTTATTACTCGCTGAACGAGTACGAAAAGAAGACGAGCGCCAGGCGGTCAAGAAAATAATTGAATCGGTCATGAGTAAGAGTGGACCAAGGGTGCAGGTTGAAGAGGAAAAGCTGTTCAGCGAGGAAAGCTCCCCCGAGATCAAGTTCTACAAAGAGAAGCTTGGTGAATGCGAGGGCGTCGTTTGGACACAAGCCATGCGCCGACTTTTTGTGCTCGTCGCACATGCCATACGCAACAACGAACCAGTGTTGCTTGTTGGAGAAACGGGCTGTGGTAAAACAACAGTGTGCCAGATGCTTGCCGACGCCTTCGGAAAGCAGCTCCATATCGTCAATGCCCACCAGAACACTGAAACTGGTGACCTTATTGGTGCACAACGACCGATACGAAATAGATCAGCGATTGAAGAGTTACTTCGCCAGCAATTGCTTTCCGTTTTGGCAAATGTCACAGGCTCCGCGGACTTAAATGCGAACGACTTGTCACAACTTCTACAGGATTATGACAGCCTTGACCAGGAATCACGCAATGCAGTTCCCAATGAACACCGCGAGGAGATCCAGATCAACCGAGTAAAAGCCGCCGCTCTATTCGAATGGGCAGATGGTAGCTTGGTACATGCAATGAAAACTGGACAATATTTCTTACTAGACGAAATATCCCTCGCAGACGATTCGGTTCTGGAGCGACTCAACAGTGTCCTTGAATCTTCTCGGACACTGCTCTTGGCAGAGAAGGGTCCCATCGATTCTGTTGTCACTGCGAACGAAGGTTTCCAGTTCCTCGCAACAATGAATCCTGGTGGCGATTATGGTAAACGAGAACTGTCACCTGCTTTGCGGAATCGATTCACCGAGATCTGGGTACCCGCACTCTCGAACGTTGACGACATTCTACAGATCATACGCTCCAAGCTTGTGGAAAATGCCCTCCCCCATGCAGACTCAATTGTCTCCTTTGCACGGTGGTTCAATGACAAGTACAACACTTCGGCAGCATCGTCAATCTCGATTCGAGATCTGCTTGCTTGGGTCACATTCATCAACACTTCTAACCACGACGATCCAATATTTGGCGTAGTACACGGTGCGGCCATGGTTTTCATTGACACGCTCGGAGCGAATCCTGCAGGGTTGTTAGCTATTGCACCAGCATCAATCAATGACGAGCGCAAAGCCTGTGTGAATCAGCTGAGCGTATTGCTTCACCAGGATATCTCTTCCCTATATTTCGGAGAGATTGATGTTGCTTCCGATGAGACATCGTTCCGATTAGGCTCTTTCGCCATTCCAAAGTTTTCGCAGACAGCATCAGAAGAGGCCAATTTCTCGCTTGAAGCTTCCACAACTCGGTCTAATACCATGAGAGTAGTCCGCGCTCTTCAACTACCGAAACCTATTCTTCTAGAGGGTAATCCTGGTGTGGGAAAGACTACACTCGTCACAGCTTTGGCTAAGGCGATTGGAAAACCTTTGACCCGACTCAATCTTTCTGAGCAAACAGACTTGATGGACCTCTTTGGGTCTGACGTCCCCGTTGAGGGTGGCCAGGCAGGTACGTTCGCCTGGCGTGACGCCCCATTTCTGAAAGCTATGAAGAAAGGTGATTGGGTTCTATTGGATGAGATGAACTTGGCTTCCCAATCTGTCCTCGAAGGATTGAATGCCGTTCTCGATCATCGTGGTGCGGTATATATTTCAGAGCTGGACCAGACATTCCAAAAGCATGAATCGTTCCGTGTCTTCGCAGCGCAGAATCCTCATCATCAGGGTGGCGGGCGAAAGGGCTTGCCTGCATCTTTCGTCAATCGTTTCACCGTTGTATATGCAGATATCTTTGGACCCGAGGACCTTGCGTTAATCTGTACGAAAATCTTCCCTTCCATTGAGAACGACGAAATCAGCAGGCTCATCAGTTTCGTTGCTGCTCTCGACGACCATGTAGTCCAGAAGCGCGCTTTCGGTGCTCTTGGTACGCCGTGGGAATTCAATCTCCGTGATACACTGCGATGGCTCCAGGTGCTTGGAGCCCAGGGGTCTTCTCGTGACTTCCTGGATGCTATTTTCGTTCAGCGCTTCCGCTCCGAGACCGATCGAGCTCGTCTGTTAGAACTCTTTGAGAGAGTGTATGGCCAATCCAGGCCCCGGATCACTCTTTATCACAATCTCGGGCCAACCTCATTCCAACTTGGGCTCGGCACGCTCCCAAGAGACCCCAGAGTGACACGCGCAAATCATGTCTCTCACCTGCAAGTCTCACAGCTGGCTCCCATGGAGGCTCTCATATTGAGTGTGCAACGTTCATGGCCAGTCATTCTGGTAGGCGCTTCTGGAACGGGAAAGACAACACTCCTTGATCAATTGGCTTCATATGCCGGAGCAAATTTGGTTACATTCTCGATGAATGCGGATATCGATGCGATGGATCTAGTTGGAGGCTATGAACAGGCTGATCCGTCGCGAGAAATCCACCGCTTTGTTGCTAGATTAAACCGAGACGTTCGACGCTGGCTAGCTGGAGAATTTGCTAAACCAGAAATCCGCGCTCAGTGCCTTGAATTGCTCGAGCTGCTGGAATCGAGTTCAGACCCGTCGCTAGACCGCATAGCAAGACATCTAGGGTGTATCGCACAATCTCCACCCGAAGCCGACACTGCAGGACCATTACTGAAAGACCTAGAGACAATTTCACAAATTCCTAACGAAATCGAAGGTGCTCGTTTCGAATGGGTCGATGGTACACTAATCAGGGCACTTGAACAAGGCGAATGGCTCGTTCTCGACAATGCCAATCTTTGCAGCAGTGCCGTTTTGGACCGACTGAACTCCCTCCTCGAGCCTAACGGGTATCTCAGCATCAATGAGCACTCGACTGCCGATGGCGAAGCCCGGATCGTCTACCCCCACCCTAATTTTCGAATTTTCATGACTATGGATCCGAGGTTTGGTGAACTCTCACGAGCCATGCGAAATCGTGCCGTTGAAATTTGTCTGCTGCCGGATGAGGAGACGGGGCATTCGTTGACCAGAGAACATTTGCCAATTTATCCATTGGACTCGCAGATGTATCGCTTCAGGCACATCATGCATTCCAGAGATAGGACGGACGATATCAAGTTAGAAAGGTTCGAAAGTCTTTCACTGGCGGATAGCAATCACCTTCAGGCGTTCGTTTCTCAAGTGGAGAAAGGCCTCATATCACGAACACTGAAGGAGTCCGATATTGATACAGATGTACAAGTCTCCCCTAGAGATGCAAGCATCCTCGTCCACAACTGCTCGTTCTTGGATCTCAATAGCATCGCTGCATTCCTCAAACAGAGATGGTCTCCCAGACTCCAGCACCTCCAAGACCAGCTCGTGGCGAACTCTAATCATGAATGGCAAAAGTCTCTCACATCACTGCCATATCATCCGGCTAATGATGAACTTCGTCTGAACAGCAGTTCTCATGGACCAGATCTTTTCCTCTGGTTTGCCTGGTTTTACGACAATAATGCAGATGTGTATGCTATGCAGAAGGCTATCGAATCCATACCATCGACCAAGTTCGAACGTCGTCGGGAAAAGCAAAAGTTGCCGGCTTTCTTGGATGCGTATTGGCGTATCCTGGCCGCATTTCTCGAGACCACCTGGAAGGCCTACCAATCCGGCGAAATCGACCAGGCTCCTCTCCAATCAGTCCGTGTACTATTCTGGACCTTTTTTGAATTGGCCAAGGGTCATGAGTTCGATCGCGCAACGTTTCAGACATACCTCAAGCTGATCAACGAGTCAATTTCAACAAATTCCACTGATGCTGGTCATATGCTTGACCTCAAAAACTCATTATCGCAACAGTTGATGGTGTTTGACGCAGACACCCGCCTTCGTACCGGCCTCAGCATGGAACGCATCTGGAAGCATATGAGGCCTCGGACCGCACGCAATACAAAGCAACTTAAAGCTATACTGGACCTAGAAGTTTTGGCCGACCGGTTTGACGCTGTCATGTGGAAATCCACACTCAAAATCGATGAGATGATTCAAACCCGGGAAAGATTTGCCAGTGCCTTGCAGCTAGTCAGGACTCAAGACATTGATGCCTCGGAGCTCTTAGTAAATCTCGAAGACTTCTTACAGGGGATTGAGAGTTCAGTCGGAGAAGATAGTGCTATTATTACACCATACTTCGAGAACGTCTTTGAAGGGCTCTGCCAATATGTCGATCTACGACGAAGCTATGTTCTTGCTGCGGAACAGAACATCACGGATAAGGTCAGCATCGTGCGCGCCAAAGCTTCTCTTCTTGCACGCCGATCGACTCAGTCGTTCGTTGTCAAACACATCGACAGCCCCTCGGAACATCTTGCAAGCTTGCATCACTTTACTGGACATGGTAAAGAATCCGCACGTGAGATGGCTCTGCAGAGCCGTGTTCACATTGCCACATTTCAGAAATTGCATGAATTGGATGAGCTTCAGTTGTCCCAATTGGATCGATTCGAATCTGAACTGTACATCCTTGGGCAGTACGTATCGCTTGAGGCCAACCAGATGACCGAAGGACAATACAATGCACAGGCAAGCAGTTATCAAGCTCGCCTTCATGAACTACTTGCCACACATTCCGACATCCTATCCTCAACTGCGCTACCGATCATTCTCAAGTCGGATGCACAGTTGTCTGAACAGCATCGTCAATTGATCGAGTCCACTCTGTCCCATGTTACGGCAGTCGGGAACAAATCCACACTTAGCGAAGCATCTCAATCTTGGGTCAAACTTGCATTATCTGGGCTGGCTCTTTATGTACCAAACTATCCTCATGATCCAGCATTACGTCCTATGGTCGAACAGAGGCTGTTCAATGAGAAGAAGGCAACTGCTGTTCAAAAGTTGGAATCGCTACGTCAATTCCAAAATGATTTCACTGGTCAAAATACAAGCGTTCGCATCCGGAGCATCGAAGCGGAGATCCATGAAATGGGACTTGAACCTACAGTCCCCGCGATAGTGCGACCTGAAGTTTCCGAGCTAGATGCGCTTCAAGGAGAATTTTCAAACTTGCTCAGCATTATTCAACCTCTTCTCGAGGGCAAGATGACAATATCAGATGCTTCGTTGGACAAGACAATGCGACAGAACATCAGTCTAGTGATTGACAGGCTATCCAGCTCCTACAGAAGCTACACCGATATCACTAGTCCCGCTATCGGATACCTCGTTTGCCTAAACATCGGCCTGTCGCTGGGCTCTTTACTGGAGAAAGAGGAAACCAATGTCTCCAGAAGCCTCCAATACATCACCGAACACACGCCATTCTTCGGTCTGTCGGGAACGCAAACTGAATTCAAGCCGGACCTTCTCTTTACCGATTCTGAGAAAGAGCTGCAAAGGCTGAACCACTCCATTGACCTTCGATGGCACACGCTACAAAGTCTCACCATCACAAGTATTGTCGAACCCATCCCTATCATGGACAAGAGGGCCAGAGCGCTTGTCCACAGCATATTCCAATCCTTTTATAGTGACTGGAAGGTGAAACTACTGAAAGACCAGGAGACCGAAGCCAAACGATCGAACTTGTACACCTACAAGGGCGATGAGCAGGAGACGGATGAAGCAGATCCAGAGCTTTTCCCAGACTACGATGCTGAACGAGAAACCACAGACACTTCTAAATCTACATCCCGCGAGCACGCTATTCGTGTAGCGCATGCCCATTCGAATCTCTTCCTCGGGAACGTGGAATCTGCAGGTGCTTTGCAGTCGCTCCTCCAGTGGTGCGCTGGCGAAATGGTGCGTGTGGCTGAAGGAAACGCACATGGCACCACCTACGAAAACGCGCTACCGACTATTCTTCTAAGCCTAGGCGACAAGGCAGATATGATGGCATCTTCTGAGTCTGGCAAGCTGTACAACTTTTACTTCGATGCGAACATTTCAGAAGCCAAGAGATTCATCAACCTGGTGCATCGAACGCAACAGCGCTATCGCAAAATCCACACCGCTCTAGAGATGGATCATGCTACCATTCTAGATGTCTTGCGAACCTGTGACGAAGCGCTTGAGTTCAGGCACGTGGACCCTGTCGCGAAGTTCATCACGAAAGTTGAGAAACTCCATGAATACATCAATGCCTGGCAACCGCTCGCTAGAAGAGATCTCAAGACCCCTGAGATTTTCGATGAGATTACTAAATTACTCGTCAGCTGGAGACAACTCGAACTTACAACATGGGCTCGCTTGTTCGACGTTGAAGTCGAGACTTGCCGCGATCATGCAAGGAGCTGGTTCTTCGTCGCTTATGAGACCATCATGGCAGCCTCGGAGTCTATTGGAGATCAGTCAGACCTAAATGCTCACACGAAAGATCTACTCAAAACACTTGAAGGATTCTTCTCCTCTACCACTCTGGGTCAATTTGAGGGTCGTATTCGTCTCCTCGAACAATTCCGCGCTCATGCAAAGATGCGCATGCAAGATGACGAAGCATTCCGTTCAATCCATCTTGCTCTTGACAATTTCATTGCATATTTCTCTCGATTCTTGACACCGGTTCAAGAAGCCCTGAGCAAGGGAAGGCAAGCACTGGAAAAAGAGATCGGCAACGTTATCAAACTCGCAAGCTGGAAGGACACAACGATTCAGGCACTGAAACAAAGTGCTAAAACATCGCATCGCAAGCTCACAAAACTCGTACGAAAGTTCAGAGCTGTCCTGAACCGCCCCTTTTCCACAATGTACGATGCCGGCTTCCCGGAACAGAAATTTGCACTCCAACAAGTCAGTCTCTTTGCAAGCGAGATCAAAGCAAGCCCGCAGTCTTTGCAACTTTGCGAGGCATCTATTCCCAGCTGGAATGACAGGCCATCGAGATTCAAAAACGTTGATACAACGACTTCTCTTATGCAGAAACTTTCACGTCCTTCTGCCGAAAGTGCGGATGGTGCAGTGTACATTGAAAGCTTCATTTCAGATTTGGAGACCACAATGGCTGAACTACAGAAGGCCACCCCGTCCGTTTTGACCGAAGAAAACAAGCAAACTGTCCAGCATCTCAAGACACGGAAGCGCAAACTCTACGCTGATACAATGAAAGAGCTTCGCTTGATGGGTATTGTCTCCAATCTCAGCAGTAATGTTCTTGTCAAGCAAGATGAGCTATCTACAGTTCTTGCGCAGCTCCCTACTAGTTCTTCAGATCAAAAGAACAGAACAGGAGCAGCTTATTTCCTTCACAAATCTCTTAGCCTGATGGCTCCAGTCCGCCAAGTCTTCAAGGAACATTCTGGTGACTTGACCAGCAATGACGTCGCGAAGAGCATTGGCTACCTCGAAGGTTTGTTGAACGCCGCACTCAGACAACGAAAACAAATCAGTCATGCATCAGACAACCTATGCGTACTACAACAATTGTCCTCCAGTGTTACAAATCTTCTGTCTTCCAAGATCGACACTATCATGCGTGTCTCTCCTACCCAGACCACTGGCCTTGCCTCGCTGCAGTCCGGCATATCCTGGCTTTCAACAATTACGAAGACTGGCGCAAAGATTCTCGCTATACAGGCTCAGCTCGGTCGGACAACCGAATTTGATGAAGTTACAAGCGGCCTGCGACGCTGGAGTGAGCAATTTGGTAGAATGGTGACAGACAACTTCCAAGGCCTGCCTCAATTACCTACCAACATCTGGTCGGAAACTTACACGGAAACGTACGATTTGGCGACGGAAAAGCTCGGCGAATTCCATCAGCTCTTCAATACTTGGATGGCCCAATACCCACTTTGTCGCGTGGTTCTAAAACAGATCCAGCCATTTGTTTTCGAAGCTCCCAAGAATATCGAAAGCCTAACTTCAACCCCTTCATTGGATGGTATTAGCTCTTTGTCCACCGACCTGTTTGCCATCCTTGACCTTGTACTCGGTGCTATGCAAGAGGTTCAGGCAGCACTAAGCGAGCTGCCAAACACCGTCGAAGATGCAACATGGCTTGTCAAGGAAGAAAAGTCCTTATGCTCCGCGATCATGGCACTCCACACTCAACAGATATCGAAAGCGCTTAAGGATCTCCTCAACCGGGTGCACGATTTGGGTCATGAAAGTCAAATCCAAGCAGCAGCTGCACTATTCTCGGCCGTGCAGCCCGTCCTAGAACAATACGTATCTTCTCATGATTTCCTCATTGGAAAGGTGGGAGCATTGCACTTTTCCACATCCAAACTGCTCTATCGTCTATCCAGGACCTTCATTCAAATTGGGTCGCAGGGCTTCTGCACGCCGTCCGAAAAGTCAAATGATCAGGACAAGGGCAAGGACGACAAACTGGAGTCAGGCACGGGACTTGGTGCGGGAGAAGGTGCTGAGGATATTTCCAAGGACATTGAAGATGATGAGGATCTTGAGGATTTGGCACAAGAGAAGGGTGAAGAACGTGAAGGTAGCATTGAAGAGGAAGAAGATGCTGTGGACATGGGCGAACAAGAGATGGAAGGCGAGCTTGGTGACACTGCTGAGAAAGAGGAAGGGGATGATGAAGGTGAAGAAGGAGATGACGATGTTGAGAGTCAGGTCGGCAGTGTAGACGATCTTGGCCCTAATGCTTTGGACGAAAAGATGTGGGACGAAGGTGGCAAAGACGAAGATCTAGACGAGAAAGAGGGTCAACAGGATGTTGGCACGGAAACTCAAGATGAACAGGTAGCTGCCGATGACAAAAAGGAGAAGAAAGAGGATGACAAAGGCGAGAACGAGGAGGCTAAGAATGAAGATGAGGAAATGGAAATGGAAGGCGAAGAACAAGACGAAGAGGTGGGAGCGGGTGAGCAAGAGAAGATGGATCCTTTTGCAAAGGAGGAAGAAACCCTTGAGCTTCCCGAAGAACTCAACCTTGATGGAAATGATGGAGGAAAAGAGGAAGAGGACTTCGGTGATATGGATATGGATGAAGGCGAAGATGAAGAGCTCGACGCTGACCTCAATGCCGACCCCGAAAATGCCAAAGACGAACTTGAATCCGAACCCGGCGAGCAGGATGAAGAAACCACAGATCACATCAAGGACGAAGACGAATCAAAGGCAGAGGAAGAAGGGGAGCAGGATGACCAAGATGCCATGGAAGAAGATGTTGTTCCTCTTCCTGATGAGAATGCGCCACCCGAAGATGGCCGAGAAGACCGTGACGACAACGTTGACGCCTCTGCCGAGGCTGGTGCTGGCGCAGATGCAAACGAAGACTCCCACCAGGACCAAAAGGAGCAGGCCTCCGCAAGTGCGGCAAACCAACAAGACGGCCGTGAAGGGGAGACATCTGAAAACATGCAGGAGACCAATGCCGAGGACGGAAAACTGGGACAGACTGCTCAACCTGAAGCCAGTGGACGTGGTGAAGATGAAGAGGAGACTGCACAAACAGAATCTTTCAAAAAGCTGGGTGATACTTTGGAACGATGGTATAATCAACAACGTCAAATCCAAGAGTCTAAGCAGAAGGACGAAACAGAGGTTCAACAAATTGACAAGGAGGTCGATATGGCCGATGCAGACTTCGAGCACCTCCCAGACGATGAGACCCAAGCAGACACGCAGGCGATGGGCACCGCGACTGAGGAACAGGCAAAGACTCTTGATCAAGACATGGCTATGGCTGTTGACGAAAAAGAGGAAGAAAAGGTCCCAGCGCGACCTGAAGAAGACCCTGTGCACGAGGAGAACCAAGATGTCAACATGGAAGACTCTGTGCCTCAACTTGAGCAAGAAGAAGAGAAAGAGCAACAGCCCCCGACTGCAGATGGCCGTCCTCAAGCGTTTGTGGGTGAACAGAAAACATTCGAAGAAGATGATGATCATGAAATGGAAGACGCTATCCCGCTGGACGATGAGATTTCCGAGACATCATCTGTCCACGAGGTAGAGACGCAATTGGAGTTGACCCATCTTGATCCTGGTCTTTCTGCCATGACGCCCGAGACCGCTCGCGCTCTCTGGCTACATCATGAGAGCTCCACGCATACTCTCTCCCAGCAGCTCACTGAACATCTTCGATTAATCCTCGCACCTACTCTTGCAACAAAGCTTCGCGGCGATTTCCGTACTGGTAAAAGACTCAACCTCAAACGAATCATACCATACATCGCGTCTGGGTACAAGCGAGACAAGATCTGGTTACGCCGATCCATGCCCAGCAAACGCAGTTATCAAGTTATGATCGCACTCGATGACTCCAAGTCCATGGCCGAATCCGGAGCTTCCAATCTCGCACTCAAGACCTTGACTCTGGTCACACGTTCGCTTTCCATGCTTGAGGTGGGAGAGGTCTCCGTCGTTGGCTTTGGCGATCAGGTGAACGTGACACATGATTTCGACAAACCATTCACTTCGGAATCTGGTGTCCGCGTGTTCGAGCAGTTCGGTTTCGAGTCTGGCAAGACAGACGTACGTAAACTCGTGGACAGAAGCTTAGATCTGTTCGCAGAGGCCCGGCGCAAGGGGGCAAGCTCCGCTGGTGAGGATCTGTGGCAACTCATGCTAGTTGTCAGCGACGGTATCTGCGACTCGCATGCTGATATTCAGCGTCTCGTTCGACGGGCGCAGGAAGAACGTGTCATGATCGTTTTCATCATCATCGACGCTACTGCCACCACGACAATCTCCGATCCCAGCGCTTCTCAAGGGACGGGTACTCAGCAGGGCTCGACGGCAGAAAAGGCAAAAGACAAGACGAGCATTCTCGATTTACAAAGCGTGGAGATTACGGCAGAAGGAAAGGTGGTTCGATGGAAGTACATGGAAAGGTTCCCGTTCAGGTATTATCTTGTCGTTCGAGATGTTAGGGAGTTACCAGGAGTTCTTGCCGGTGCTTTGAGGCAATGGTTTGGAGAGGTCGCCGGAAGTACAGGCTAGATATTCAGCATTTTCAGGAGTTTTGTTGCATAAAATTTCATTTTGTATAGTTAGTATAGTCAATTATACTTTTCCTAAAATCACATAGTACATACTGTAAATTTATTGCTACTGATTATTATCAAGTTTGGCTCCCAAAATACTTGCCTATGAAATGCTTATCCAGTCCCGTCCCATCATAGTCACTCATGTCATCTTATTCCATCCCATCGTTCCTAAATCAACCTCTGATTGGCTCCCTACCACGTGGCTCTTCACTTGCCCTCTCACCTCTTGGCGCGGTGAACATGTCGACTGTAATCCACACCAATTCCACGAACCTTCCGGATTAGGAAGGTTGAGTAGTGATGAACGAGGTGGTCTGTGGGTGATGGAAGCCACGTGTGCATGGAGCTAGTACGGAATTGGAATGGTGCCCTTCTTCCAAGTTGAGTGAGAGGTGAGAGGTTAAGGGTGATTTACTAGTAATATAGTTAGGTGACAAAAGGTTTTTATTCTGTATTGTGCTGGTAGAGGAAGTAAAGATATGTATCCTCTAGTGCTAGTAGATAGCTGACCATATATTCAATCAAATTGAACATCCTTTAGTTTTACGACATCAAGAAGCCAGCTATTCACCTGCTGAAAGGTCGACCTCTGATGATAAACTAGACTTCCGTGATGCAAACGACTCCTTGAGGCTATCGATACGGAGTATTTAACTGTCACCTATTCCAATTGTGTTTAAAAACTCTTATCATCTATTCTATCATTATGCAACTGAGCATTTCTCGGGCCATGACGAGAGCAACGCGTTAGCATGATGTAATGAACGCATATCTGCTCCAGATCTCTCCTTTCAAGACGTTGAATAGTTTGGCAAAGTTCTAATCTCATAAAAAGCAGTTCAGTGCTAGATATCTCCTACCGAAATAACCTAAAATGCATACCGTCACTAAAAATCTCAACAGGATCGTGAAGGCCATAGTAATTGGATGCCTAACGAGCATTGGGCAAGTGTAGGATTCATTGAAGCGCACGGGCAGAATTTCCCTCCGTTTTGCAACTTTACAGGGCGGGTTTCCTTTCACACGCGGCGGCGGATTGAATTGACCTGGTCTAGAGCAGACCAGAATTAGGGATTACTCAACCCTCAGATACCTCTAGCAACTACCTACAATGCTGAGGTACTTTGTAAGCACGCTGGTCGTGGTTGAGTGCATTCATGCCAGCCCTCCCATTGCGCACGTGGACCAGCAACCTTTCCTACAACCCTGGGATGCCACCATAGCTCCAACGCCTTCCCAGCATCCCACAGAATCTTTTCCGGAGTCGTTATCTGATTCCGTCAGTTCAAATGATCTGGAGTCAATTTTGAAATCGGCATTGAAACAGTGGAAGACATCGCCCCTGCAACGCCCATACACCGCCGATGAAGTCTTCTTCCACAAACACCTCCCCAAAGCCCGCAAGGAGAATCCAAACCTCACAGATGGGGAGATTGCGCGGAAACTCGGGCAAGAGTGGCTCACCATGGACACTCTTGCCTTCAATGACGATTGGCTACCAGCACAGTACACTTACACGTCTATTGCATATACCCTCGAAAAGGATTGGAAGTCGAGACGAATCCAAAGCAGTGTCAGAGAGGACGATTCGGATTGGCCGCTCATTCAAGCGCAGTGGTATTGCGATGACGGGACTTTTGACGAGGGCGTCAGGGCGCCGGAGATGCCTAAGAAGGCAGAGGAGTGGTATAAGAGGAGTTTAATTTGCGAAGCCATCAGGGAGCAGAGAAGAGGGAGCGATGCAACGATTGCCGCATTAGGAATGAGAGCGTCTCGAGAGTGGCGCACTCTTCCTGACGATAAGAGAGCCAAGTTTGAAGAGATGGCGAGAAAGCAGCAGCAGACATATCTGAACAATTGGGAGGAGTATGGGAGGGCTGCGGGTACGAAGCAAGTACCGCAGTATATTTTACCATGTAATATCACCAATGGTGGTAAGATGAGGAGTAAGGCGATGGCAGAGAAACTCCTCGGAGGTCGTGCGAAATTCCCACCAGAACTGAATCCTTTACAACGGTCGGCTTATATGATGTATTATATGGACAGAATATGCAATGCTGTGATTGATAATCCACAGAAGTCAATAGGTAAGCCACAAAGATCCATCGGATATTTCAACAGTCGGAGACTGACGGAAGGTAGTCGATCACGGCTACGATCTGGACAAAGTATGGTATGGCCCTTGGTCGCTGCCTCAACACCATCGACAATGGGCAAGTCAAGAGCAAGACGAACCGGAAAGTGCGATCATGCTACGCAACTCGCTTCACGTCCAATATAAGGAAAAGTTCGAAGCAGCGAAGTCAGATTTCCTCAGAAGCTGGACGGAGTACTGGATAGCCATCTCGAAGAATCTGAAAGATCCCGATCACCCGATGGAAAGAAGTTACCTCTGGCGTCTCAAGACCTCAGACCCATTCGGTGCGCAGTATCTCTTCTGCTGGGAAATGGAGTTCAAGTGGTTTGCAGAAGCCATGATAAATGGGATGAGTCCAAGTGAGTGATGATTCCACGTCTCCTATATCCTAATCACTAACAAGCTCTGAGAATTCATGCCAAAATGCAATGATGAGTGGGCACTGATGTCCAAGCATTCAAATGGTTCCAATCAGCAAAGACAGTATGAAGACCTGCACAGGGAAATGTTGAAACGATATGAAGTGGCCATGGGGGAGTCTTGGGGCGACCCTATCCAGGAATGGCAGGATAGTATCGGTGTGAAGAGTGAACTTTGAAATTGCGTCATTGATGTTGAATGTAAAGAAGTTAGAGAAAGTCACCCGGAAGTCCAATGTCATCTCTACAGTCAATACTGCATTAGAACCTCCTGTAACACATATATGTGAAGAAAAGGTCCACTTCAATATCGCGAATTCTGTTTGCATTTATCACCATCATGTGTAAATTTCCTACGTAGCATCGTAAATCATTGTGAGGGCATAGTCATCGTTGTTTTAGATGCACACTAGCTAGTTCACAATCTTTTCGCAATTTATGGATGATGTTCGCTTCTAAGACATCATTCTATGATAATGTACCCTTCTTCTAGATACCCCGCTCCAAAATAACTGACCATACGACTGAAAACTTGTCTTATTATCCTTCCACCAGAAACATCCCGGGGCATAGAGTTGCAAGTTCATTTATGAAGTCATGGGCATGCTAGGCTACGAACGAGCTTCGAGGACGGATTCCGTGGGGTCAGCCTCCACTGCATTGTCATCGGCTTTGCCAAGCCCATTGCTGAGTGTGGACCGACACTGGGGAGGCCGAGTCCAAGAGAAGCAATATCGACCTAGGCTAAGGGCATCACTTCTTTTCAAGGCCCTGTATCCCATACCGGTTCTCCATTTGCAGTCGCTCCGTAGGAAATTGGTATTTCATAATCAGGTGGGGTCGGCATTTCGGGTATTAATATTGGTGATGTTGCATTCAAATATCGCTCCATCATATTTCCATCAGCTGTTCGTTTCATAGTCCAGTCGTTCAGAACGCGCCGAAATTCTGACACTTCTGCATTCAGCTCACGCTTGGGAATCCAATTTGGCATATCGCGCACCATATTGATTCCATTCCTGCGTTGGTGACCAGCAGTGAAGCTTTGGTCGCCAGGGATGAGTTCATGTAATGTAAAAGTAACGCCCGCCACATCGTCTTGATCCACAAGCTGGTCATCCTTCTTGCTCGCAGAATAGTTGATATCGTATAGCAGGATCTTGTCTGTTTCGGTGTTGAGGAGGATATTTCGGGGTGCGGTGTCTTGATGCATAACACCCAACTCCAGATTCAAGAAATCGACCACTTGAAGGAGCTGTTTTAGCCATTCTAGTCGGAAGACTATAGCCATATTGTCGAGAGTTCCGCCAGAAATATATCTTGTAGTAAACCCTATCACCCGAGACTCGATATCCTCTAAGACAACTCGATCCAGAGCAAGCAGGTTGGGGTGGGGCGGCAGTCTGTGGAATAGGTGTAGTTCAGGCCAAAACATCGATATTGGTCTGGGTTTGTAAGTGGCATAAATTTTGAATACCACTTTTCTCTGCTGTCCCTCTTCGTCTTGGTATAATCTCAAGTCGACAGCAGGCCCCAATCTGTCAAGCTCGCGTAGCTTAGAGAACTGAATGGTGCGGCAATCGACGAGTGACTTGACCATGGAGCACAGGCAGATTTAGCCAAAAGGGGTGATGCGAGCAAGGTCGAATGGAGACAATGTAATATCGAATCCTTGAAATAGACGAAAGAAGTGGCATGAGCATTAGCGAAGGAGCTCGACCGACTGAACGGACTAATAAGCCATGCTTGTCCAGGTGTAGGAGTTTACAACGAATCTGAAAACAGCATCGACACGCATTTTGTCTTTACTTTACTTCCGGCGTTGCAGACGACAACACCCTCCCGCATGGTGTTGCAGTCTTCGGACTTGTATCGCGCTGCCCCGTCGTCAACCGCTTTCCAGAACCTGCAGCAGATCAATCAGGATATCGGAGAAACCTACTTGTACAATCGTATTAAGCTTGCTCAGATCCTCTTTGTTTGTGAGATCGTCAAGCGTATCAAGGCAGGTCAATTCGGGCCTGTAACAGCAGACGAAGATCAGCCGTGGATCAATGCAACCTGTCCTGGAAGTGTCCGAATAGATCAACAGGAGAATGCGGTCGAAGCCTACGATACCTTCGGAAAGTTGGGCGCAAAGGCAGTTAGGCCTTTCATGAAGGACTCGGTGGACGAAGGTTGTAGGCCCGCTCTGTTTGCGGCTACAAGCGATGATATCTTGAGAGCGAAAACCCAAGGCGCGTATATCGTGCCTGATAGGAAGGTCGCAGATCCTAGTAAAAAGTCTAAAGATGGAAAAATCTTCTTAAACCTATAGAACTTAATGAATGAGGTGTTGAAGGCTAAGATTGGCACATTGGAATTCGCAATGTAAACTAATGTGAATAGGGAAGCGAGATGATAGGAGGAGGACGGTCATGAATCAATGAACTACGACTATTACTTTTTCAATTGGCATTACTTAGTTTCATATCAGGCAAATCATGTGTTTTCGTTCATTATTACTCTTTCAGGAGAAGTGGGTCAACTCAGCATGATGTTGCCTTCGTGAGTTGCACGATAGAGGTAGCATATGTTGCATTTGAGATTTCTCGGTAACAACGTCAGGTGACTACTAAAGATAAACTTTTGTGAAACAGGGAGAACAGATCTTAGTTCCAATAGCCACGTGGGGTATGAATACTGAATCTTACAGACTGCAAGGTACTTGTCGACCTGAGCCTTAACCAGGTCGTTCCTCTTCGCATAGCATATGGCCTGGCTTGATTATTGATGCATCAGAGCCTTCGTGCCTTTGGCTACCATTAATAGTACTATCGCATTTTCGTCGTCTGGGATATGTGGAAAAGGTCTTGGGGCGGTTCTAGATCAGGAACTCATCCTGGCGACGAGCATGCGCTCTCCAATGAGAATGTAACCGGTTCGATAGCGAACTACACCCACTCGATTTGTTCTCGGCAAGTTGCGGCCATAAATTCGGGGGTATGCAGGCGAGTCAACTGCGGGGATCCATACTTGCCAATGTACTGGCCGTAAACCAGATGTCTTCCCAAGCATTCCGGGGACGAAGTGGCTGGAGGTTGCACCAGAACCAAGATTCAGGGCAGATCCTCCCTGTTCGCAGTACACGGTCCGTCCATGATTCTCGGTTTGGCACCGAAGAGCACGTGTGTGTGTAGGCCAGGCGCAATCTTGAGTAACAACAAGGAACCAATGCGTGATCGAAAATGGGTTACGCCAAGCTACACATTGGATAATGCGGCACAATATCCGGGCTGCTCAAAGCCTCGAATCAGCCAGGCACGAGACGATAAATTCAGACGACACTTAACAAGGCATTGCTGAACTCGACTCCGGAGATTCCCTCGGCTTGATAACTCTTGCATACGGTGACGGCTCCAGGTCAGGGACCAAACTTTGCCAATCATATCCTACCAAGCAAGAAAGCATATCATGGTAACCTTGAGGCATGGTCTCATGAACAATCAATAGCGCATTCATCCAATTCTGTTGATATCGAGTTTAATTTAGAGAGAGCTGGAACAGGACAGTGAACGTCTGCACGCAATAAGACCTGCAGTGATGACCGTCCCAATCGAGTTTAGCATCGGGAAATTGACTCCAGTGACTATAGGCTCGTGCTTGATGATCCACCCCCGCAACGTCATCCAGGTCACTTTAATCCCAACCTCCATCTTTCAACATCAACACGACACTACTCCAACCGTGTTTCTATCATCGTCTGAATTGATCGCAGCTGGCTTGCGACGTTTTGGAGGGTTTATGCATGTTCGATTTCGTTGAGCAACGACCGTTTTTCGCGGTATTTCCGCACCACACCCTCGGTAGACTGTCAGCATTCATTCCATAGACCCGCAAAACAACATATCGCAAAAAATGGATGAAGAAGTAGACCGCCGCGACAGCAGCAGTCCCTTGCTGGAAAGGGAAGATGGACATAATGTCTTCCACGCGCAACAGCCTGCGTCGCCGTATTGGCCGCCCCGAAAGCGCACCGTGATCGCGACGATTATGGCCTTTTTCCCTTTGGTCTTTCTCCTTCTTGGATTGTCTGGCTGGAGCTTCGGCAACTCAAATGTTCCTTGGTCGAAACTTCCGAAACGGCCACTCATTGTTACTTTGCCCGGTTACGGCAGCTTCAAAGGCACGCAGATTCTTGCAACGTACGGATCGAAGACTGCGCTTCGCGCGCCAGTCGATGCCTGGCTCGGCATTAATTATGCGAAACCTCCCGTGGAAGATTTGCGCTTTGCGCAACCAAAATGGCCCGATGCTTTCAATGGAACGCAAGATGCCGTAAAGTTCGGCCCGATCTGTATCCAAAACGCAGGGTGGAATGTCCAATCTGAGGACTGCCTCAACTTCAACGTTTTCCGCACGGCCGGTATCCCATTTTCGAGGAAATTGCCCGTTTTTGCCTACGTCCATGGAGGAGCTTTTGTTATGGGCAATGGTAGAGGTTTTGATGGGGCAGCTTTTGTTGCGCAAAGCCAAAGGCCTATTATGGTCGTCACCTTCCAGTATCGCTTGGGCGCTTTGGGAAGCCTACCATCGAAGCTTTTCGAAGAGGAGAATCTATTGAATTTAGGACTTCTAGATCAAAGACTGATGTTAGATTTTATTCAAGAATACATTGGGCAATTCGGCGGCAATCCTGACGAGGTAACGCTCGGGGGCCAAAGTGCTGGTGCGCACTCTGTCGGAATACACCTTTTCCACAACTATCGTGGCGATAAGGGAAACCCGCTCTTTGCCAGAGCTATCTTGTCATCTGGCTCGCCGATAGCACGCACTTTCCCAGAAGCGACCTACCCTATATATGAACGACAGTTTACACAGTTCATGGAATACTTGAGCTGTCCACTTACGCCAAACGACAAGGCGCTGGAGTGCCTGCGTGCCGCACCTACAAGCGATATTCAGCATATTTCGCAAACAATCTACAAGGCTTCGGAATACAACATCACCTGGCCGTGGCAACCAGTCTCACCAGGTCCCCTTCTCGAGAAACGCGGATCAGACTCTGGCAGAGACGGTAGCTTTTTCAAAGTCCCCATTATTATCTCCTCCACCACAGACGAAGGAAAGTTATTCGCCCCCAAGGACCTCACAACCACAGAACAATTCACAGCCTTCATGGGAAACGTGAACCCAGGCCTCACCAAAGACGACCTCGCCGACCTCATCGATCTCTACCCAGACCCAGAAAACGAAACAAGCCCCTACCACAACTCGCCCATCTCCACGCAATTCAACCGCATATCCGCCGCATACGGAGACTACTCCTACATCTGCCCGGTCCAAGACACCGCAGACGTGATGGCCAAATCGAAGCTCAAAGACCGCTCCCCGCCCGTCTACAAAGCGCGCTTCAACACGCCGAACTGGGCGCCAGACTGGCAAGGGGTCCCGCACGCCAGCGACGGCGCCTACTTCAACGGCGTGCCGAACGTACAGTATCCTGACATCTCGACGCTGTATGCGAGCTACTTCGCGAGTTTTGTCGTCAGCGGCGACCCGAATAAGTATTCTATCGACAGCGCGCCGATCTGGGACCGCTATGAGGGGACCGGAGGTTCGGAGTTGGTGGTGGGGAGTCTAGAGGGGTTGGGCACGGCGATAGAAATAGAAGGGGATGTCGATACTGCCGGCAAGCAGGGCATCAGGATGGATGCTTGTGCCTGGTGGCGGGACCCAGATCGGATGGACAGATTACGCAAATGAAGTGGATTTTCGTGACGTGAAGTGAATAGATACCTCGGGCGTATTTACCGTTGTTATTGATTTTTTTTTATCCACTTTTCTTCTTAGTTGGTGTTTTTTTCGGTTATTTTATAATGACTATATAGAATCTGGCACGTACATAGAAAACGGTTCGTGGTCTCTTTCTCAATTATTCTTTCCTGTGCGGATTTACAATCAAAGAAATTTTGGCTGAAGCACACAACAGTTGAAAAAACGGTCGGTTAGCTCAGTTGGTTTAGAGCGTGGTGCTAATAGCATTCATCCTATGATACGCCAAGGTCGCGGGTTCGACCCCCGTACTGACCATTCTTTTTTTGCTAGTTTGTTGTACATGTCAGAGGCAATTGTATCCGGCGATATATCTATGTTACTGGTTCGTTCGAAGCTGGCATCGTCTGCAGTTGTCTGCCAAGATTTCTTTTTGTGTGTGGAAGAGAACATAACCGACTTTTTTGAAGGAGTAAGCACCTAGCTATCAACCACTACTAATGATCAATCGATCGAAAATGATTCAAATTTATGGAATATTCACTCTGGCAAGCACTAATCCAGCATGTATTAGTCGATGCAAGGTAGCATTATAATCATGATCACTTCTACATTTAGTAAATATTCAATAATAGCCCAAGCATCAATATCCTTTCGCCATGTATTTTTACTCATGGTGGTAGAAATGAATAAGAAATTTATTCTGTGAAGCCATAAAACATTTTTCAATGGTTATCGATGCACCGAAACGTTTCATGCGCCTGACAGCGTACACAAACTTCTGTTTATGTTATCTGTACATGTTATGCTCCCATCTCCGATCTAAGCTTTACAAACCATTCGGTGACTTCCAACACTGACTCAAGAAGCCCCTGTATAGGCCTCCCTCCAAGCAAAAGCCTCGCAGTTTCGGTCGAATCAACTCTATACGGCATCTCACTCGGCACCCTATCCCTCCCAATTGTGAACACCCCATCTGCAACCTCCTTCGGATACCTCTCCGCTATTACGTCGGCAACCTCTGTCCAGATCTCCTCGGCCGTCTTCCCAGCAGGCGTCGTAGCCGCAGCCACGAAGTAATCCGGGATCCCATAATCCGGCACATTGCTCGCCGAAAGCGCTTCGACATGCACGCGAGCACAATCCAGCACCGAAACGAACCCGAACGCATATCTCGGCGTCTGGTCGCTGAACAACAACGCCCTCGACATGCGGTCCATCTGAGCATACGCGTCTGCAGACGAGGTGATGAGCTCGGACGGCCCGATGACGGTCCCAGGGATGACTTGCACGATAGAGAACGGCAGGTCGGGATCCTTCCGGAGCGACTGGAGGTACTGCATGCAGTATGCCTTTGCGCCGGAGTACGCGTGGTGCGGTGATGCGAGAGGGGGGCGGAAAGCGGCTGTCGTCGTATTGATCTGCACGTGCTCGTTCAGGAGTTTGGTGAAGGATGTTCCTGGTGTTGAGGGGGAGGATGGATTCACGAGGCCGGCGCCTGCTTGGGTTACGACGATCCTTGCGACGGTCCCGGATTTCTTTGCTGATGATAAGACGTTTTCTAGGGATTGGACGAAGGGGTGCCATATCTCGTTGTCGGGGTGGTAGTTCTGTGTCTTCCTTTAGTCTCCTCTTGTCTTTTCTCTACTAGCAAAGTTGACAGGAGAATGATGCTTACCGGCTTCGGCCATACACCTGCAATATGAACAACATATTTCGCCCCAGAAAACGCATCATCATATGCGCCCGGAGCGGTGTTGTCAGGTACTATGCTATATTCAATGCTGTCTTCGAATTTTCGAATCGAAGGCCCCCTCTTAATCTGTTCGACGGCTTCTTCCCGCCGCACGACGCACCGGACACGATATCCACTTCGAAGTGCGTGCAACACAGAATGATATCCAATTGTTCCGTTAGCTCCCGTTATCTACATTGTCGTTAGTATATCTTGTGTTTTTGAGTGGTGAAAGGAGTGCTGTTCACCGCAACCAGAGCTGACGCCATTTCGCCGCCTCGGATGATTTACGAACGGAACAATTCCGTTCAGAGAGTTCTCTGTTTTATATCGAAGGCTTACTACACTCTAATCATTCGTCTAAACCCAATGTAAACGACATAGGGCGTGATCACGTGGGCGCAGTGGAATCTATGAATTTTGGAGTTGTAGTTGTACAGTACAGACACCGGAAGGTACCTCGGGCTAGTTGCAGACTAGGTCTATATACACCGTGTCCCGTTGAGAGTTATTTAAGGCTTCGCAAACTGGATATCCAAAAATGTATTGCAGTCTTTTTAGTGACCTGAAGGCAGTCTGCATGCATTACCAGTGGCATCAATTACTAGCAGGGGCAGCCTTACCCTCCCTCTCTACCCGGCACCCCGGGTGCATTTGGAAGTTTCTCGGCAGTTTCTGGACGTCATTGAGTTTGCTCAATCCGCTCTTCGTACAAGTTGAGCACGTTGCATGCAGATTATCTAAAATCATGTCCATACAATAATTCCCTATGATCATACGTTTCCTTCTAATTTTGCTACAACCTGGCTAACACCGCGTCTTATGATGTCGTCCGAAACTAAAGAAACTGATCATTCTCACGTACTGGCAGCAAAAACACGACGACTCGATATCGTCATTGTATGCAAAGGCTCCTTTGCCAATCAAATCCTTACTTACAACATCAGGTCGGTGGCTCTTTGGGTGGCCTCAGCACTGGCATCGCTCTGCGGGATTTAGGACACAACGTCACGATCCTCGAGCGCAACCCCACCGAGCTCCTTCACAACCAAGGTGCGGGCATTGTCACAGGTGGTGACACACTTGCATTCTTCAAGCGCTATGACAGATGTGGTCGACAGATCGCCATCTCGTCACAACGACGACAATATCTGGACAAAGATGGCGCGATGGTGCATAAGGAGGATATGGTGCAGAACATGACGAGCTGGGATCTCGTTTACTACATTCTCAGGGCGAATTTCGACGGCGTACGCAGCGAGTATTGCGATGTGCCGGCACCAAAGGCCAGTCACGGCAAGGTCAAACATCTCCATGGTCACAGAGTCACAGGACTTGCGGAGCGAGACGATAAAGTCGAAGTATCGTTCGTGACAGTGGAAGGGAAAGAGGGTGTCATATCAGCTGACTTTGTCGTGGGAGCGGACGGTCCAAGTTCCACAGTCAGGAGCCTTTTCGAACCAGACGTTGAACGCACGTACGCGGGCTACGTTGCTCTCCGAGGCACTGTACCAGAGGAGGACGTGTCACATCAAGCTCGGGAAGCATTCAGTGAGCGATTTACCTTCTTCCATGCGAAGGGGATACAGATTCTCGCATATCTCATACCGGGTCAGAATGGGACCATGGAGACTGGGAGACGGCTTATCAATTTTGTCTATTACACCAACTTCCCCTCGAAAAGTCTCGACGAGCCATCACCAGACCTTGCGGAGTTGATGACGGACGTGGATGGACAAAGACATCGCATCACGATGCCTCCAGGGAAGACTAATCCAAAAGCATGGGAGAAACAACGTCAGATCGCCCAGGAGAAATTGCCACCACAGTTCGCGGAAATCGTATGTGCAACGAAGAAGCCATTCGTACAAGCCATCACGGACGTCAAATCGCACAGAAATGAATTTCTCAATGGCAAGGTCGTTCTCATTGGCGATGCACTTGCAGGTTTCAGACCGCACACAGTGGCGAGTACGAGTCAAGCCTGCTTTGATGCCATGATCCTAGCAGACATGATTGGGGGTAAAGTGTCACGGAAGGAATGGAAGAGGGAAACGATGGCTTATGCCTCAGTGATACAAAAACGAGGTGTTGATATGGGCCGTCGCAGTCAATTCGAGGATCTACCCCTCAGCGAGCATATCCAGGATCGGAATCTTGCTTCTAGGCCTAGGGAGGAGGAGGTTTGGCCTGAGTGGGCACTTGAGGATGTTTGAAGGGTCGCAGTAGTGCTACACAGCTGTACATCAGCAAGGTCTTGAGACTGTTGACTGACTACGATGCCCTTGACCATCCAACTTTTGAGGCTTTGAGGCTGCCAACTGGTTTCTCTTACAATCCACTCTCGAAGAGCTGATCCAGGCGAGTATAAACGATAGTAGGAAGCTAGCTCGAGCTCACCATTGGTGACATATCATATCACGTGTTTCACTATACCCCGCACAGGGATTAGCGTTCCGATCTCGCATGGCCTAGCCGACGTTTATATCAACATGCCGTGTCCATGATGGCATCGTTTTCTCTTATCAGATCTCCGACTACAACTCATACAAAGTCAATGATCGCACTCCCCTGTTGATGCATCGAAGGCCTGCAGTCTTGGAAAGATACAAGGTTCGCAACTACAATTGAACTCAATTTGACTACAACGTTTTAAAACTGTAGCTGTACTGGACCCAGCTTGATTATAGCGATATAAGCGCTGAAGCTATACTCAAGCTACTTGGACCCCGATTGACTACAACGATATATCAACACCACAACTATACTTGTCCCAGCTTGACTACGACGCCATTCAAACCACACTTATCTATTAAAGTTGTACCTATACTGGAGCTATCTTGACTACAACGACATCAAAACCCGCAGCCATGTCCCAAATCCACCAAACATCACCCTTCCTACGCCTTCCCCCCGAGATCCGCCTCGCCATCATGGAGCACGTCTTCGAACCACCACCTCGAAACACCGGCTTCATAACCCCTCACAGCATCTCCGCCTGCCCACGCAGCAACCTCTCGCACCTAATCCTCGACACCACCTACTTCCCCTCCACTTCCCTCGCCCTCCTCCTCACCTGCCACCAATTCTCCCACGACTTCACCCGCCTCGCCTTCACCCACACCCCCTTCACCCTCACCAACCCCTTCACGCCCCTCGCGCCCCAAATCACCAAAACCCTCCACCCGCACCAAATCGCCAGCATCCGGCATCTCCGCCTCGTCGCCGGCGCCCACCAGTTCCGCGACATGTGCACCTGGCGGCAACACGCCTTCAACCTGCCCACGCTGCACCTCGCAACCCTAGACATCGTGTTCCACTCCTCCGGCTACTGGCACTACCCGGCCGATTTCACCGCCGACGTCGTGCAGCTGCTCCGCCGGCTCGAAGGCGTCGACGCGCTGCGGTTCGTGCGCAACGGCGCGCTCGTGAAGGGCGGGTTCAAGACGTGGTGTAATCGGGTGGTTGCGCTCGTGCTGAAGGAGGACCATTGGAATAGGTACGATGCGCCTGGTGCGCCGGTGCTGGAGGCGACGTGGTGGACGTGGACGTTCTGGGATAGGGAGCAGGTTTTTGAGTTGGTTGCAATGGAGGGGGAGAGGGGGGCGATGCCGGAGGAGGTGTATATGAAGGAGGTTGGGCCGTTGGTGGAGGCGTTGATGAGGAGTGTGGAGAGTGAGGAGAGGGAGCCGGATCCGAGGCCTAGGGGGATGTGGGCGTGAGGTTGGGGAGGGGCGGTGGGTTGGGGATGGTGTACATCTTTGACGTGCTTGGTAGATGGCGAGTGAGAGATGTAACTTTTCGCGGATTGAGGGGTATGGTGTCTGCTTCGACGTTAAATAAACTCAGTCCCGTGGGTAGATATCTTGAATAGACAATATGACAGGGCGTTATGCACGCAGAATACGATCACTATGATTCTATGTCTACCGAATCTTCAGGACTTCACAGATGTATATGTCAGATCAGACAGATGATTCTAAGTAGAGAGAGAGAGAGTTCCAATTTCAGTTTAGCTATAAGATAGTGACAGACTGCATTACATTCCGCCTAGGCAGAGACGCAATGGCGATCAGGAGCGGATAAGGCCCTTACGCCATAATGAAAACAAAACAAACAACAATAAGAGTTGAGAGACAACGAACAAACAGGACCGAGAAAGGATACGTGCAACGGGTACACTCCACACCAATGTTCTTCCAAATCCAGTCCCATCTAGTCTTTCCAGGGGCACACTCTAGGAAATGAGTGCAAGGACTTTAAAGATAATGCAGTGGTGGTACGAAGGTGGTACAGTACGCTTACTCGTCATCAGAGTCCTCCTCTTCGTCGCTCTCGGCGGTCTCGAGCCATTCCATAAACTTCTCGGCCGACTTGCGAACGCTCTTGCTAGTCTTGATGTCAACATACTTCTTGCTAGCCTTGACACCCCATGGCTTGAGGACTTCCTCGGAAACAAGGTCGTGCTCGTAGACCTGGAGCAAGATAGCGGAAACCTGAGGGATAAGCTCTGGCTTCTCGTTACCGACGAAACGCTCGAGACCACCGAGGAAGGCCTTCTCGTGGCGCTCAGAGGTGATCATCTTCTTCAAGACGGCGGCACGCTTCTCCACCTGCTTCTTCTTGACAATGTTCTCGTCGAAGAGAGTCTGGGCCAAGACGGTAAGCGTGCGGTGCTTCTTCTCCACACCGAATTCCTGGGCCTTGAGGTAGATGTCCACGTTATCGAGGGCATCAACATTTCCCTTCTCGGCAATGGTGTCTAGTACCCACTTGCCGTAGTGGTCATAGGCACTGTTACCTCCGCCCTCGCCGTCCTCGTCCTCTTCCACAACAACGGCACGCTTGAGGTCGTCAGGAAGCTCCTTGGCACGAGCGCGGACGGCTTCCTCGGAGGTGTCAACAGACCATTCAACCTCCTTCTCATCGTCGTCATCAAGCTCCAAGGCTCCCTCGTTGATCTGGCGGGTGAGCTCATCATCGCTACCAGCGTCGAGCTCAACGTCGCCGTTCTCCTCGGCTTGATCAGAGGCGCTGTCGCCGGGGCTGCCGCCGTTCTGGGAACCCTCTTCGGCATTTGCCTCGGCCTCCTTGCGGGCCTTGCGCTCAGCCTTCTTGGTGGACTTGTCCTTCTTTCCCTTCTTGGGCTGGTTCTTCAAGATGAACGAACTGAGCTTCAGACGCAGATCCACGTCGGAGATCTTTCCGCAGGCTTTGCAGTCGAGGTTGATACGGCCGTCCTTGATGTTAACATCGGTCTCGGGGTTCTTGCACTTCTTGCAGAGAACGAACTTGGAGATGAAGCCGTCCAAGTAGTCTTGGAGCTTGGAGGCGTCGTGGGCGCCGTTGATGATCCAACGGTCGTCGGCCGGGTTGGTGTTGGTCTGGGCACCCAACTCGAAACCGAAGTACTTGATGACATAAGAGGGAGGACGGGCGAGCGACTGGGCGACACTGCTCAGATTGACGATGACGGTCTTGATACCGTTGCCCTTGCCCTCAATCTTGGACTGGAGGCGCTCCATCTTATAACGATAGAAGGGATCGGTGACATCGCGGCGAATGTTGACGGTAGCCATGGTTGCGGTGGTTGTTATGTGGGAATCGAAGACTGGCTGGTGGTCTTATTATTGAGGGAGCGGACGGACGGGTATAGGCAAGTCTGGAAGGCTAAGGATGGCCGAAAGAGACATGCAGTTACTGCAGTCTAAGTTTAGGATTGGGAATGATATGGTTGCGGGACTCGAGGTCACTCTTGGGAACAGGTGGCTAGCCGTTGGTAAGATGATGGTTACTGCTTGGTTTCCGCGCTATGCGAAATGATTGCAGCTCGGGAGGAGGTTCGAGTCGGAAAGCGTGACAGAGGCGCGAATACATATACCGCAGCTTGGAACAGCTATACGAATGTTTGGTGCGAAGGGGTCCCCAAGGGTAGGTGGCGGTTTGGGTGTGAACTGGCCGTGAGCAGGCAACGCGAGGTGCGGGCGCGGGGTTTGCGTGTTGTGTTGGCTACAGTGAGCGATGCAAGGTTTGACCAGCGGGGAGCTGGAAGGGGAGATGGCTGATGGGGTTGATGGCAGATGATTGTTGATGTTGTGTTCCTGTGAAGGAGATGGATAGAGTTGGAGAGAGGAGGAGAGATGGTGGGAGATGGAAGAAGGATGAGCAGGGCAGGGCAGGGTGAGAGTTTGTGTGTTTAAGTGTGTGGGATGGAGTCGCAAAAGGTGGCCGCCGGACTTTAAAATTCAGTTGTTGCCGAGATTCACCCAGACTAACCTTAATTCCACCCTTCGAGGAACGTTACACACATACAAACATCATACACTTCATCAATCACTGTCATCACCATCAGCGTCAGCAAAAGTTTTATCATCTTTTTGTCAATCATCGAACCTATCGGTTCATCTTCAAGTAATATCATTTGTTCACTAACAAGCAACAATATGGGCAAGGTCCAAGCAATAATCATCACTCTGCATGAAAGAACTCTTCGATCCATTTGTCCTCCAATTTGATTATTTGCGGATCGCACATGCCAGCGCCAATGCCAATTCATATGCTAACAATGCTAATGTCGTTGTCGTCCGCTCATCATCGATCGATTTCCGTGATTTGTGGTTGGATATCCATGACTACAGCGGTTCTCGTAATTAACTAAAACCTCCTACAGGCTACAGGCGCACATCATCCCACTAATTGCATACTAAACCACCAAGCCGTTCCACCCCACCAAAGAGCCCCTCGGTCGTGAACGTCAATCAGTACAGCTTTGCACTCTTGTCGTCTGCAGTCCTGTTGAGCGTCGTGTTGTCATGTGAGTTTCATTCAATCTGCGCCAATGCAATTCATTACTTCGATTCAATTACAAGAAAGAACTTGAATTGTCTATGGGAACAAAACAAATCCTTCAAGCTTGCTTAAACCAGCAAACGCCAATCCCTGCAAACCAGCACTGACGTAGTGCATGTAGTTCAATTCAAGAAACTTGAGTATTGGAAAAGAACTCAACAAACGGCTCCAACATGGCCCCTGCAGCAGTCGACTATTCCCTCTATCTAGTGACGGACTCCACGCCCGCCATCCTCGGGGACAGGGACCTAGTCGAGGTAGTCGAACAGGCCCTGCAAGGCGGAGTCACCATCGTCCAGCTCCGTGAGAAGACTGCCGACACGGGAGAGCTCATCAAGATCGGAAAGGCCTTACACGAAAAATGCAAACAGCACGGCATCCCTCTCCTCATCAACGACCGTGTCGATGTTGCTCTCGCCGTTGGATGCGAGGGCGTGCATGTCGGCCAGGATGACATGAACGTCGCCACGGCTCGACAACTGCTCGGCCCTGACAAGATCATCGGAGCAACAGTATCATCCATCGAAGAAGCCAGGATAGCCGTCGAAAGAGGTGCAGACTATCTCGGCATCGGAACCCTCTATGCCACCAACACGAAGAAAAACACCAAGGACATCCTCGGAATTAATGGCATCCGCAAGATCCTCCACTATCTCGGCATCAGCGAGGACGAAAAGACACGAAACATCAAAACCGTCTGCATCGGCGGCGTCAACGCTTCAAACGTCCAGAATGTAATCTACCAACTTCTCGCCCCGAGCCTTAGCAACCCTGAACCTAAATCCATCGACGGCGTCGCTGTCGTGAGCGCCATCGTAGGTGCTTCAGACCCATCCAAGGCCTCACAAAACCTCCACAAGCTTATCACCTCGCCGCCGCCCTTCTCCTCAAGGACATCATCCTTAAACCCGCCCATTTGGCACGATGACAACGCCGCCGAGCTCGACAACATTGCATCCACTGCCATCACATCGCTCGCCGCCGTCCGCAAGCACTCCCCCCTCTCGCACAACATGACCAACCTCGTTGTGCAAAACTTCGCCGCCTCCGTGGCCCTCGCCATCGGTGCCTCTCCTATAATGTCGAACAACGGCGCAGAAGCCCTCGACCTCGCCAACCTCGGCGGCGGCCTCGTTATCAACATGGGCACCGCAACCCCTGACGCCCTCAACAACCACCGCCTCGCCATCTCTGCCTACAACTCCGTCGGCGGGCCCATCGTCCTGGACCCTGTGGGCGCGGGCGCCACCTCCGCACGCCGCTCCGCACTCTCCTTCCTCCTTGCCAGTGGGCATTTCTCCCTCATAAAAGGAAACGAACGGGAGATTCTGTCCGTCGCACGCGCGAGCGGCTTCACTCTCAGCCTCCCGAACGAGCAACAGCAAAAGGGTGTCGATAGCGGGGATTCCCTTTTCACACTCGAGCAGAAAGCATACATTGTATCCCGGATTGCGGCGAGGGAGCGCAACATCGTGCTCATGACCGGAGCGACGGACGTCCTGAGCGACGGGTACCGCACCTGCGCTATTCGCAACGGCCACGAGTACCTCGGCCTCATCACTGGATCTGGGTGTACGCTGGGCACCACGCTGGCTTCGTATCTGGCTGCTGCGAAAAAGGAGGGCAGCGACGCATTCTACGCTGCGGTCGCCGGCATACTGCACTACGAGATCGCAGCCGAGCGCGCCGCGAGCGCTCCCAGCGTGAAGGGTCCAGGAACCTTCATACCAGCTTTCATAGACTCATTGTACCACTACGGGAGAGACGAGTCGGAGGCGCCGCTCTCGTGGCTACGCTCCGCACTCAAAGTTGACCTTTTCAAAAGCATCCCCGACGCAGGATTATTGCAATTACCATAGACATCCCTCCCTCCACCCTTCATATATATAATCTACAAATACAATACATACATCCTCCCATGAACCTATCCTATCCATCAATCCCTCTCAAAAAGACAAAACTCAAACGCCACATCCCCCTCCACGACCTCCCCCTCTGGCACCTCCTCCCCAACCCACTCCTCCAACGCCCTCCTCCCCACCCTCCTCCACCCCCCTTCCCCCCCCTCAAGGTCCACCGCGAAAAAAGCATCGCACTCGTATTCCCTCTTAATCTTCGTCAACACCACCCTATTCGTCTCCTTCAACCCCAGCGCCTCCGCGTAGATACTCGCCCCGCCAATCACCCACGCCCGTGAAACCTGCCTCCCCCCCTCGCTACGTAGCGCCTCAATCGCAGCAGGTAAACTCCCCACGACGACCGGCCCTTCTTTCCCCCCCTCCACCTCATCACCGTCCTTCGACAGATTATTCGCGGCGCGGAAACCAGACACGTCCCGCGTGACAACGACGTTAAGCCTATCTTTCAGCGGGCGGAAGCGCGGCGGGATGGAGTCCCAAGTTTTGCGGCCCATTATCACCGCATTAATTTTTTGTGCGGTGGCAACGTCGGAGGAGGATTGGGGAGAGGTGGGCGAGGAGGCAACACGCTTCGTGACCCTCGCGAACCAGGCCATTTCTTTCTTGAGCATCGGCCAGGGGAGACCGCCCGCGCGGCCGATGCCGAGGGAGGGTGTTGCGGCGAGGATTAGGGTTAGGGGTATCGTCGAGGGCGAGGTCGGGGGTGGCATTGTGTCGGATTTGGGTTGTTGTGTTGGTTGTGAGGAGTCGGAGGTCGAGGTCGAGGTCGAGGTCGAGGTGGGCATTTGGAAGTACCCGATTTGCGGTCGGATGTACGTGATAGTTCGAAGAAATCGTAGATTATGCGTTGATAGACGTGTATTTTGTTGTAAGAGCGGGACGTTCAATTGAGGTTGTACGTTAGGTACCTAAGGCATGGAGGGGGACGTTCGTCGTGAGGCGGGGTCCCTAATCTTTTTCCGAGCGGCGCGTTTTCGTGAGGGACGCGAAAGAACGTGACCCCGCACCATTCACGGGTCTCGCGTGGCTTTTTGTCTGGGCGGATTTGCTGCTTACTGTTAGAGTAACTAGTTATAAACACTGTTTATGTCATATATCATAGGTCGAACAGATTCACGCACTCACGTACAGTCCAGAAGATGTAGTCACTCACACAGACACCTCGAATTCAAACAACTGGGCTCATTCTGCACTTTGGCTACTACAGCAGTCCGTGAGAAGACGATCAATTGATCATCCACAGAGATTATCCCCCCATATTCACCATCGTCCCCGTCCCCCTTCCCTATTCCCCCCTCTCCTTCGCAGAGAGGAGAAAGCTAATATGATACACAGTCCAACCGGGCAAGGGACCGGAAAAAGTAAAGAAGAAGAGTCACCCCAGAAAATAATTTGCAACAAAGCCGCGCGCGCGCCGCTTAACCTAGCCCATTCCTTCTTATACCGTACGGACCGACCGCTCCAGTTCTCCAATCGCTTGCAGAAGAAAGGTGGCTGGTCGGATCCTCGAACTCTGTGTGTTTGTTGTTTGTGATTGAAAACGCCATTTGCACCGTCCATGCTAGCCATTTCCTCGCGCAAAGCCCCCCGCGCCCAAAATGATTCCAAATCGTTAGCAATTCGTCGCCCGTTCCAAGGGTATCTCGTGAAAAAGGTAGCAGAATTGATCCTAGTCGCACTACTCCGCTCGTACTGATTAATCTCCCTCCCCTCCCTCCCCGCCGCTCTTCAAAGGTATCGAGAGCGAAATCTTCTTCGGCCCTCCACCGGTATCTTTGGCCGAAGTCACTGAATTCTTGCGGCGCAAGCTGCGCAGGCTGTTCGTACTGGTATTGCTGGTCAAAGAAGCACGTCGTTTGCTTCCGGATGAAGAGAGACTCGTGATGAGCTCATCCTCCTCGTCCTCCTCTCTTCTGCGCTTCTCAGAAATCCGCTCAGGTGGTGATGTTGGGTTAGACTTGGCAGTCGGGCTGTTCTCTAGCGTTTGTGTCGAAGTCGATATGCTCTGAGGTGACGTTTCAGGGGTGCTACTCGCTAGAATGTCCATGTCGTCCTCTTCTCCTTCGTCGTCTGGATAATTCACGAGCGGCCTAACGGGAGACGCGCCGTTCAACACGGGCTTTGCGTTGACGGGCAAGTCGTCATCCTCGTCGTCGGATGCGTTGAAATAAGCCTCTTCATCAGGATCCGCCTCCTTCAGTCCTTGGCCCCACTTGTTGCCGTTCACCATGCCATGGCGGTGGGGGGTCTCGCTGATTCGGGTATCAACGCTGGTGAAAGAGTCTTCCAGCTCCTGTGTTGTGGGTGGCTCGTGCATCTGATCGTAGCGGAGTACCAAGTTCTGGAACGTATCGACGTAGGTGATGCTCTGAAATTTTTCTCGGTAGGTCGAGACAAGGTGCTCGACGATAACTTTGATGTTCTCTCGCTTGATGAACTCGAAGAGCTCAAGACAAGCAGAGTTCAACAGATTGTCCCGAGGCATGGTATCAAACAGTATCTTGAGAATCGGTTCGAACAGCTGGTGTGTGACGATCTGCCGGTTGTGGAACTCATCGTGCAATCCTATGCATGTACGGAAATACTTAAGTGCCGCTAGGAAAAGTCAGCAATCAATCGATCGGATTGGATCTTGAGGTCTGTGGACTTACTCAGCTTTAGATGCTTCTCTGGACACTCCATGAGTTGAGCCACCCGTGCAGCGAGCCCTTCTGAGAGAACAAAATATTTACTCCGGAAAGAATGTTGGCGAATGAAGAAGCATAGCATCTCGACAAGATGCGAGTACAGGGAGACTTCTTGGATGGAGAGATCTTCCACTGCAAATGGTGTTAGTATCGACACAGAGTAGTGGCGATTGTGACTTACTGTTTTCCCTTCCTTCAAGATCCTTCAGGGGTTGGAAAAGTTTCCGTGCCGATTCATCATAAAATGTCTGAATGAAGGAGTCTTGGTGTGGCATAGTTGGTAACGATCCTCGGATCTTAGCCAAGAATTCGCTGTTCGTGCGCGAGAGCGCCTCCATCGAGGCCGAGTTCGCGTTCGGGTCGAGTAAGATTTTGATAGCATCGGCCATCTGCATCTTGACACCCAGATCAACCTCTATGAGTAGCAGCTCGATGAGTGTATCGGTCAACGGCTTCGACTTCTCCTGTATAGCCTTGAAGATGTAGCTTCGCACCATCAGGGCGTCATGGTCAATGAGAGCAACCAAAATATCGGTTCCGGCAACTCGCACCGAGGCATCTTGGTGCTTGAGCGCAAACTGGATCACGTCGAGAAGGCCATGGCTGATGAAGTTCTGGTAGAGTTGGGCCCTTGCATTTGCTTGCAAGCTCTTTCCGATGGCGCAGCACTGCTGTATGAATAACACCGCGTCCTTCTGTCGCTGTAGGTTCCGCTCGGCCGGCGTGAAAATCCCGAACAACTCTTTCAAGAATGCACCATTTGATTGGAGGTGTTGAACAATGTCGACTTGGTGGAAGAATATCAAGGAGTTGAGAACGGAGAATGTGGGATCATCGAGGATGCGGGCCAGCACTACGTCCTTAAGGTACTGCAGTCGATATGTGTAATGAATCTTTCTCCTTATGTTCTGATCTTCGATCTTCACGACTTCCTTGAACTTGGACTCATCGGCTAGGTATTGCCGGTGATTGGCTTTGTGGAGAGGGAAGTCTGGATCATACTCGAGCGCACCCACTACTCCCAGGACCACCTCGTCTGTGACGACATATTCTATAATGGAGGTGTCGTTGAGCAGGATGAGCGTCTTCATGATGCTGCACAGGCGGTGTAGATCAGACGCGCTTTCGAGGTCCTCGGCCATTTCCACCAGAGGGATGAGTTTCGGTATGTAATCATGTGCGAGGATGAATTTAGCCAATGCTTCGCGTCCGCCAGGGGTTCCGTTCGCTGCGCGCATATGGTTTTCGACTTCGAGGAGGTTGCCCAGGTCTGGAAGGGGAAGCATGATGGGACTGATTGCCTCACCAATATCGTCGGAAAGGCCATCATCTGATCCAAGTCAGTAAACCTTTTCGACTCGCAAACTATCGAGGGTTGCATACCTTGGGCAAGAGATTGAAGTCGCGATTGAACTTCATTCACGAATTCCCTATCAGGTGTCAGTACGGCGCGGTTGGGTCAGGTCAAGGACATGTGATATACCATATGCCAGCGCATCCCTCCGGCTCCTGGAAACTAAGAGCCATATCCGTGCCATTGTGCTCGGTCCACACTATGAGTGTATCTAAAGTCCGTTCAGTACTTGTCCGAGATCGCGCACGTGCGTAGTCTTCGTACCTTGCTGTTTCTGATATCCATCGTCTTTGGAGATTCGCGTTAACAGAAGCTCACGACCGGGATCGTCTTCCGATACGACAACGATTCTCGCCTCTTCCTGCTCGATGTTAGTCTCTGCACGATTTCAAGCACAACAGAAGAGAGGGGTTCGCGGGCAACGATGGCACGGCCGCAACGCAGAGATTTTGTCACGGCCCGCCGAGTCGCGTCGGACATACATTTGCAATGACGCCTTTGCAGAAGCCAGTACCCCTATCGAACCAGTCATTGTTCTTGAGTTCGTAAACCTTTACGCGCTTGCGATCGTTGGCAGGCGGCGCGACCAGTGCCATAGTAGAGATGTGACTCTATCGACACTCCGGCCGGGGCAGTGACACCCTCCGGAGTGGGGACAGAAGGCGCTGGAGGTAGCGCAGGGTCGAGCAGAAGTGCCGCGGATGAGTCGAGGAGTGGGTGAGAGAAGTGGACGGTGGATGGAGGATTCGATCGCGCGGGCGGTGATTGATGACGATTAGGAGGCTGCAGCAAGAGTGGGCGTTGGAGAGTAGGCGCGACCGGGTGGCGCGCAGGTGAGACGGATGACGATTGCGACCAGACAAGACGAGGCGACGCGCACGAGGGTGCGATCGATGGCGGACGGAGGAGAGACGAGGTTGTCGTACTCGTGGGATAGTAGGAAGGTAGGGCCTTCGTGGTGGTTGTGGTGGTGGTGGTGGTGATCGCCAGAGGGTTCGGCGCGTTGTTGCAGGCAAGTAGGAGAAAGTCGGATAACACACAGACAAAAAGGCGAGCGCTAAGACTTTGGGACCAAGGCTGGGTTAAGACGAGATTACCCTCTTAGGGGGATTAGGGTTGATGGGACTTCAGATTTGGGGGGGGATGATTGAATGGGGGTGGGCGATGGGAGGCGGAAATATTAGGTAGGATGGACTTGGACTGGACTGACTGGCACAGCAAAGTTGGGAGGGAAGAGCCTGGAAAGAGACTGGGACTGGACTGGGGCCTGGGCTGGGCACATCACCGACCGAGGCGGGCGGCGGAGGAGGCGGCGGTCGACACAGACACACGTAACCGTGCAGTTTGGTTGGGTACAGCTGGGTAAGTTGTAGGCACTAGGCAAACACTAGGGGAAGGGTACGAGGGTACGAGGGTACACTGTAGGCAGGGACCGAATAGGACTCGTTGCCGAAGACCGGACTCGCTCTCTTATCTTCAAGTCCACAGAGTGACAGGACAGGTACGAGATGACCAGTCGTAGATGAAGTGTTCTCCGTATAGTAATGATGGGGTGGATGGTGGTCCGATGATTGATGATGACGGTTAATTGTATCAATGGAGACTATGGGATGGGATGGGATGGGATGCATCAAGTTGAAGTAGAGAGAAGAGAGAAGAGAGTAGAAGGAAGAGAAGAAAGCCTCGAAGGTGGAAAGTGAGGCGATTTGTGATACTCATACTGTTTGTTCTCTACATCCTCTGTACCTTGCAATTATGTATCTAATATGTACTTATTGTATGTGTCTGCACTACAAATCTACATGACAGGTACACATGTATCTGTACCATGGATGATGCACGTCGTAAGGTTGTGTGGCGGCCGCTGCTCGGGGGAAGGAGCGAGCGAGCGGCAGCAGCAGTGACCCGGTAAGATGCAGTCACGGACCCCGTTGACGCAATGCCAAGCAACTAACCCATTCTCGTCATCACACCTCGACTCTCTCTCCACTCCTCCTCCACATCTCAACTCCGCAACAACTTACATCTAACTGTTAGTATATATTCCGTACATATAAACAGTACGAAATCTATACATACATATTCTATATTCCTCTTCATATGTCTCTATAATCTCTATCCCTCTGTCTCTGTCTCTGTCTCGACAATTGCCAAATGACTCTTCTCGAAGTCACACCATGCCATTCATATATGCTACTTCCCGTCTCGCCGACCACAAACAAACTACGTGATCATTTCAATAAGTTACTCCCGCGGACCAATTGATTAATTATTGGTGATGCACCTGTGATACATCTCAGATTTAGGTAGCTACCCGTCAGGTACTCCTCGAAACCTGCTTCTTTGCTCATCTCTGGCACAATAGTGCTTCTCAACCTGCGACAGCAAATTTCACAGTCTCAGCCTCACCACACCACATCTGATCTTCTATCCACTCACTGGCCCATCCCATACCCAGTCAACCGGGAACCAATTGCCAACCCAGTTACCATAAATCTCTTCAATTCCTATACACCGTTCAGTTCCGCATCGACGCTATTCGAATATGTAACCTTGTAGGGTCCAGAACGACATGCGCAACATCCTATGCACATTGACGCATTGCTAGACAACACTCTGTAGGACTAGCTATCATGCTCTAGGTCTTGCTTTCTGCGACAGTCGCACATGCAATCCACCCATCTCACCCAGTGTTATCTCCCAATTCATATACGCTCTAATGCCAATTCACTCTATAACACCAAGACATGGCTTCGCTACGCTTGATCCCTAGCTTGTGGCGGCGGAACAATATTCGATCCAACGACCTGTTCCGAAATGGATTGTTCCGAAATGGATTGCATTTGGTTTCTAAGGGATAGGTGCGACGCGCTGTTGTCTTTGATTGACCCAGACTGACGGGCCGCCTAAGTAGTATATACTTCCGGAACGCTCGCTCTGTTGTACTCTGCAAATCGAATGCTTCCGTTACAATCACCGACTGGCACATAGCCCTGCCAGCTCATTTTCTTGACTACTGCACCCTTGTGTGTTCAATCTCGGTCCAGGAAATATCAAAGTTGGTCTAACCCTTTTTCTCTCTTGAGTACTGCTTTCATGGTTCTAATCAAGTACGGTAGATCTTTCCAAAGTCCAATAGAAAACCAGTGTGGCTTACTGTACCTGATCCAGTTGTAGCCTCGCCATCCCCAGACCGGCTCCGACCGCCATCCAGCGGACAATCAGAATTTGGTCGCGGCTAGCTGCCATGAGGCCCGTCGCCTCCAGTTGACGTCCAATGTAGCTTCTGCGGGGCCGTTCCCTTCGACGCATGGTTAGCGCGTTACTCGACTGATGTCCCGCATCAGCATTGCTAAATTATGCAGGAACATGACTAGGAATGCCCGGCCAAACCCCACGTCATCCATACCCCGAGATCAAAAAAAAAACGACCGCGGATTTATTCAACCCAGGGCAAGTCGAGAATATCCTCACAAACAAAGCTCGTTGACTTTGGCCTGCCCTGGTATCGGCCATCAGACGACTAATTGCCGCCATGGAGGGGATTGTCCTATTAGCATTGCCAAATAAATACTAACTAGCCTTGATCAGTAGTTTGATCATAAAACAGTGTCCTCTACATGACGCACAGCACATTTAGCTATCAACTTCGCCCTATGAGAGAAGCTTCGATCTTTCGTTGAGGCACCCTTGGGACTCTGACGTCCATTCTTTGTTGGGTAATGCCATACGCAGACATATGAGATACGTTCACCACTCTGACACTCAATCATCTTCACTTCCTTGCGGGTATTTCTAGACATGCTATTCTTTTTCAAATCTAGGAAAGCAAAGAAAGCTAAAGAGGAGCATGAAAGACAGGCCAAAAGTAATGCATCACCTGCACCTTACAAGCATATCCCAACGCATGCTGGGCGAGATGCCCTCGCTGCTACCCCAGCAAGCTGGAGTAAAGAAGAAGCTAGAAAACGAATTGCATCTGCTCAACAGATAAGAAATACAAATGACTCTTCTATGACAGCTACCAACTCCAGCACTGGTAGCGCTGAGTCTAGTCTAAGTTTTTCCATTCTTGGTCCGCAGAGTGGTCTCTCTATTGATTCAGTAATGGTTGCGCAACATCCACGATCGATAATATATACACAGCCACCACTGTCCCAGCGAAATCACGGCACAGCGTCTACAACTACTCGCAACACACACTCTACGCCAACAAGACCTCCAGTCCCTTCGATGCCAAAGCACCGGCTCAAATACGGTCATGTGACAAAATCCCTTGGAAAGGGTGAAGGGAGAAGAAAAAGTCCACTTTCAGAATCATCAATAGAACGTGGTAATTGAGTTTGCAATGCCTGTATTTTACGGTCCTGACCTAGATCTAGATGTTCAAAACGCACACGGCTCGCAAGGTTCGAGCATGTCATATCCTTCGTCGGAATCATTTTGTAGGATCAAGGTCTCCACGATGAAGTTGGCGTTGCTAACGCTTGCAGATTCCTCCCTGGGCAGCAGTACCACAAGCAGTCGGCATCCACCACCAATGCATCAAAATTACTCACTGCCAACCTTTTGTCAGCCAAAGGGAAAGTCAACAACCCTTCCCTCTGAATTTGCCGATGAGTCCAGCGACCTACAGAAGGATGACGGCCTTCACCAACTATATGAAGATATCTCAGTCGATGCAGAGGCAGCTTTAGAGTGCGATCATGTATCTCGTCCATCTTCAAGATGTTCAACTCGGTCCGGTCTCGAATTCAACGGCCCACATACTATGTAAACACAACAAAGCCCAAATTTATCAATGAGTACGGCTTCAAGAAGCCATGGAGATGGAATACTTCTCATACTTGTACCAAATCTTGATCGAATACATTTAAATGCTTTATCTGGATTTGTCATTTTACGTTATACATGCAATGTGTACATATATTCATCCTACCTTTGTAGTTCGTATAGATGCTTTACTTCATTTCTTGTAAAAAAGATTCTATCTTGATGTTGTGTTTGGGAACCAGCATATTGCTGTAATACTCAACTAGGAGATTGGGAACAGAAATAATCAGCCAGTTAGAAGTAATGGTTACTACCAACGTATATCTAGTTTTGAGGTCAGGAAGATCAAAACCTAATTCATACAAATTTATTAATACCTGATCTTGACATGAGTACCTGTTGACGTCGGACACACAAAGAGCTGCCCTGCCAAGAGTTGCACCTCCGAGCTTGCGGAATTTCCCCGCAGGATGTGAACCCTGCTCCACATCCATTATTGTTGCAACTACCAAACAACAAAAACAACGAAGTCCCACCGCAGTTTGCGATACCCCACAATCCACTACAATTGGCATCACCGAGCTTCGAAACTAACGCAATTCACGGACGCAGACCTCTTTGAGGATTTCACGAACATCACACTGTCTGTCATTTCCGTCGAGAAACTCACCATGGAAGCTTCAGGTACCAACGCTGATGCGCTGAACCGTACGTTTTTGCTGCCTTCACCTTGTAGGACCCCACACGACTAATACGTCAAAATAGAACGCATTGACAAGCTCTGCGACGAGCTCATGAAGGGATTCCTTCGCATCCTCGCGTGCGCATCCGAGGACTCAGACACCACTTTTAGTTCGACCGCACAGAACGAGCTCTCGATGGTGGACCATGTGCATGCATTCGTACGTCACTCATCCTTCTTGCGCACATTCATATACAAAATTGGACCAAAGGGTTTCAGCAGAAGGGCAGATGCTAACCGCAACGACTTCACAGAAACGCTCCGTAGAAGAGCTCTCGAGCCTCATCCGCGACCTCCAACAGCTCTGGCTATTCGGCAGCCTCGACACGCTGACCGACCCCGGCGACGAAGCCGCGAAGCGAGCCCGGACGCTCAAGATCGCAGCGGACATCGAAGAGCTGGCAAAGAACCTGCCCAGCACGGTGGGAGGAGATGTGCCGCCGGAGAAGGCGGAGAGCCAGGATGGGGAGAGGTGAGATCTGGAGAACCGTCACTTTCCCGGGCAAATTTGGGTGTTTGCTACGGAATATAGACTTCTTAGATCTCGAGACTTTTCGCGCGTCATTGGGACTTTGCTAATGAGTTTTCTTTGCGTTTTTAGCCCGCGGAGCTGCACCTTGTCGGCTGCGTCGATGGACACGTCTTATACCATTTTCTGAGATCTCGCGATGCTGGCCACGAGCGGCTGGGAGCTCCAAAGATCAGTGAAGGCGCTGGCAGAGGGACTTTCAACTAAACGCTAGAAGGCGCGACGGCAGCGAGTTGAACAAGCCCACGTTTGGGGAGGGAAAGGAGTGCATGCATTCTGAGGGCTATCGCGAATTGAGATATTCGGAGAACTTGTCCCACTGACTATCATGTATATTGTATGCATTCATATTCGTACGAGTTCACCAACCGTACGAATGTATGCAGGGCGGTCGCACGGTATGGGAGGACGATGATGATGGGCTTTACGCCTGGCTTACCGCCCACCTCACCTATCTATGGATGGATAGGATATTACTGTATGATTAAGAAAATCGTCCCGCCGATCGTATTGGCAACAATTGAAACCGTCGAGCAGCAGGACCGCCGATCCTGGCCCATCGATAATCTAGACGCTCGCCCAATGGCAGTTCATGCAAACAACTTGAAACACGGGCTGGGGATTTTCTGCTGTGGATCTCTCTCGTCGTTGCGAGACATGTGACGAAAAGTGGAGTCGAGGACGACGCACCGAACTGCGGATTTGATAGCTCCCGTGCGGCGTGTACGGTGTATGTACGTATGTACTCGCACAGTAATCCGAACAAGTTGTTACTAGATTTAGGTAGGAGGACAATTAAGATAACTGCCCCTTCCCCTTTCTCGAACATATCTGATGGGGCGGCCCATGCACGAGAAGATGCGGGAAGTGGATTGCTTCCTGAATCTTGATTCCTGTATCCGCCCACCTATCGAAGCATGCTCGTAACCACCCTACTCGTACGACTGACAGAGTCTGACAGACAGTCTTGCCCATTCTCTTGTCCAGCGGTTGATTCCATGCTATGCATGTAGATGTTCAAATGTCTGAATTAGTTACCAAGTACGAGTACTAGAAAGCGTCGGAAACCGAATCGTGGTCGTTCGTTCAGATTTCATGGGCACTCGTATTCCAGGTTAGTAAACACGGTAACCTCCGTTAAGCTCCTTAGTGAAATCGCATCAATCTTCATCAACGATCTCCGACAAACAACATTGCACGAACCATCCGAAAGAAAAGACAGACACCATTGATTAAGATGTACAGAGGTACAGACGCATAGGTATAATGCGGTACCGGTACGATTACGGATCGGTGGGCTAGCCGCGTTGACAGACAGACCAGCTACCCTAGGGTCAGCTATGGCACCGGCATCCGGCTTGGTATCGAGGTGCCGCGCGTCAGAAAGGGGAGAGGACTAAGCCAGCACAACTTGGTGCTGACTTGGTCCTGCGAGTGGCTGCTTGGTCCTTGTCCAACCAAGTTTCATCCCGTCATTCGCTGCTAATGTACTGTGTGTATGTATCTGCTCGTAACTGTACCGCCATGTACCGTATGTACTGGTGTATCCCCACTTCTCAATCTGATGCTTGTGTATGTTTGGAGCGAGTAGGGAGGGAATCTAGTCAGTCTAGTCCACATAACCCATTTCTTGCTTGCTGCTCAAGTTTCCCATCTTTTTTCCCTTTAAACCCTCTTAGGTACCAAGGCTCTCGCCCGAGGGGAAATGCATGACGAGCCTATTCTTGTTTGTGTTCCCTTCGTTTCTTCTCGATTTCCTTCCTTTCCTCTTACTTCCATTCCCTTTCCCATCCCTTCCTTTCCTTGCCTCCCAGGCCTAGATTCCCGAAAATATTCTACCTTCTCATAGGTTGTGTTTTATATTCTCTTTCTTGAATAACGAAGAAGATTAAGACGAAGAAGAAGGAGAGGGAGAATAATAAAGAAAAATCATGGGTGCGATCTTGGGTCGGGCTCTCTTGCAGGATCGCAAGCTACTGCTCGCTCTCTCGGCCAGTGTCGTCATCACCATAGTCCTGAGCACCTCGCTGTGGTTCACCAACAACGACAAAGCCTCCTCGCAATGGCTTCCAAAAGTACCACACTCGCCCTCGCAGACCTCGTCTCTATTCTCGCCACCGTCCGAAGACCCGGAAAATCCATACCTCGTCAAATTGGACTATCTCTCCATCCAGCCAAATGTATCCGACACGATCAGGTTCTACTGGAACATGCCGTATGCCGCCTCCGCGTACGGCGAGAACAGGTTCAGAGGCCCGCAGCCGCCTCCTAAGATGAAGGGCACGCTGGGATGGTCTGGCGAGTTGGGCATGTGTCCGAGGATCCAGAAGATCGATCCCACACTGCGTAACAGGAACGACATCGCGAATGAGACGGTGCCCGGTATCGAGACCAAGTTCACCGAGGACTGCTTGAGCCTGAATGTCTTCACGCCGATTGATGCCAAGGTTGGCGATGAACTTCCTGTGCTTGTCAACATTCCCGGCGGTGGGTTTCATCTTCCCGGACGTTCCAACTGCGGAGAGATGGTGGAGAAGAGCAGGCGCGACAAGGACAACGACAAGGGGATTATCTGTGTGACTATGTACTACCGCAATGGCATTTACGGGTTCCTGAGCGGCGATGAGATTGAGGAGCATGGTGACTTGAACATGGGACTTCGCGACCAGAGGGCTTCGCTCGAGTGGGTGCAAAAGTACATCCGGTACTTCGGTGGCAATCCAGACAACGTGGTCATCATGGGCACCAGCGCAGGCGGAGCGTCCGTCCTGATGCAACTCGCAGCGAACGGAGGAGACCACTCATGGCCAACCCCCGGATCAGGCTCGAAGCAGCTCTTCCACGGCATCATCGCACAGTCCCCCGCGGCGCCGACATTCTTCACTCGCGAGCAGGGCAACCTCTTCTGGGACAACGTCGCGAACGGCCTCAACTGCACCGACAAGTCCATCGACTGCGTCCGCAACGCCTCCGTCGGCGACCTCTATTACGAAAACTACCCCATGGCCTTCGAGGGCCGCAAGACCCCACCCCGCTGGATGTGGGCGCCCACCACCGAGAAAGAAGGCGGCCTCTGGACCGAACCCTCCATCCACGCCATCCTCAACGGACGATACGCGCGCGTCCCGAGCATCATCGGCTTCACCACCAACGAAGGATCCGACCAGACGAAAAAAGACACCGACACCGAAGCCGACATGCGCACCTACATCCAAGACCACTACCCTCTCCTGACCGACTCCGACCTCGACGCCATCGTCGCCACCTACACCAACGACAAACACTGGCCGGACTCGGGCCGCTACTGGGACGCCGTCGCCAAAGCCCAAGGCGACCTCCGCTACATCTGCCCCGCGATGCTGGCCTCCAACGCGATCGCACAGAACAACCCGCCCGACGTCCCGGCCTGGCAGTACCAATGGGACGTCACGGCTAAACACGACGACTCGAACGGCTACGGTACGAAGCACGCCGGCACCGTCGGGAACGTCATGGCGCGCCGTGACAACGATATATCGCGGTACTTCATCTCGTTCATAAAGCACCTCGACCCTAACCCCGGCCGCAACACGAGGAGTCCGAAGTGGAACCCGCTCGACATGAAGGATCCGAAGAGGCTGTTCTTCACGAACAGGCGCTCGGAGGATAAGAAGATGTACATCGAGATGCAGGAGCCTGACGCTGCGAGGCGCGAGAGGTGCGAGTTGGTGAGGCGGTTGATGCCGAGGTTGCAGCAGGCGCCGCTTGGAAGCCCTTCTGCTTCTGCTTCTCCTTCCTCGTAACCTATCCCGGGGTGGACGCTTGGTTTTGAAGAAAGTAAAAATAGTATTTTAGACGGACGGATGGATGGATGGATAAGGGGTGTTGTACGTACGTACGCGTTGGCTTTTCTCTTTCGCTTTTTTTTAGATTTCGTTGTTTTATACCCTGCATTCGCATACAGAAGGCATACATAGGCATACATATATAAGTTTACATGTACGCATATAGCATAAAATTGAACTTCCATCACGAAAAATGAAATGGGGGTCGCGTGTCTCTTGCTTTTGTCGTCGAACTAAACATCTCAGGCATTGAGTAAAGAAGAGTATGCAGTGTGTTTGGCCTTCGTGCCATTCCACTCTACTTGCCTCCTCCTGAGTTTGAGGTTGTTGGAGGGGTGTTCGAGCATAAATGTGGTTGTCAACCCAAATGGGATCGTGATATGTATGGAACGTTATTTCATATTATTTTATTTGCATTCGATCATGATTTGATTCTCGGCATTTATACTTGAGGCTTGTTTCCTCCATCCGAGAGAGCGAGAAAAGGCCAACGACAGCGATAGAGCTACGACCGCAAACACAGAAAGGAGAAAAGTAAGTTACAATCAAACACCAACCTCGATATTCACCCCATACGCCCTCAACTTCTCCACATACGCCTCCCCCAACGTCGCGGGCGTCAAAATCCCACCCCTTAGCTCCCCCGCCAACGACCCCTCCACCCCACCCGTCAACAGCACCTCCGCCGCCGCCGCGAGCGAACACCCCGTGAACTCATACGCGCCGAACGCAAAGTCCAGCTTCGCCAGCACCTCCTCCTTCTTTCCCTCCGCGACACCGAGCGCCCTGTACGACATGAAGTCGCCCTTCATGGACTCCTTGCTCGGGCCCTCGCCAGGCGCCGGGATGACGAAGGCTTTGAGGAGGGGCGCGAAGATCCAGCGGGTGGGTGGGATGGCGAGGAGGAGCCCCGCGAGCGCGAACGTGAGTTTGAATATAGCGGCGCCTGGCAGGGATTTCGAGCGCGTGTACTCTTTGAATTGGAAGTTCGGGCCGTAGGAGGAGGTCGCGGATTGCGAGGTGTAGAGCCCCCAGGAGCGGTGGACGAGGCAGGCGTCGACGGCGGCCATGAGGCCGGTTGTTTGGAGGCCGCCGAGTTTGGGGACGTAGGGGAGGAGGAGGAGGCGTTGGAGGAGGCTGCTTTGCGAGGGGGTTGGGGTGGGGGTTGAGGGCGCGGGGACGGGCGAGATGGAGTAGGGGTTCATGGATTTGGAGAGGTGGGAGAGGGAGTAGTTGGAGAAGATGTTGAGGGCGGTTGTGCTGGTGCCGCCGCTGACGCCGGTTTTGTAGGCGTAGAGGGTGTAGGTTAGGGAGGCCGTCGGGAGGTTGAAGGTCTTCCGGATGTGTCGTGATACTACGTAGGAGACGATGTCGGCGGGGACTGAGTCCAGCCCGCATTGGGGGATGATGATGGCGCCGTTCTTCTCCGCAGTTGCGTGGTATTTGGCAAGCATGTCGTAGTACCATGGGATTTCGCCTGTGCAGTCGAGGTAGTGGGTTCCGTTCTCTGCGCAGGCGGCGAGCACCGGTTCGCCGTAGAACATGTACGGGCCGACGGTGGTGATGATCAGGCGGGTTTTCCTAGCCAGAGTATCGAGTTGGGCCTTTTCGAGCTCGACTGTCTCGATTGCTGGGGATGGTCGGTTGGGGTTTTGCTGGTGGAGTTCGTCCGCCACGCTTTGAAGCTTCTTTGCGTTGCGACCTGCTATCGCCCATTTGATGTCGCTGGGTAGCTTCCTGTTGACCCATTCTGCGGTCAGTTTCCCAGTGTACCCTGTAGCACCGAGGAGTACAAGGTCATATTGGCGTGGAGTCGAGGCCATTGTTGAAGTCAGATACGTCAGTCGAGGGTAAGGATTGAGGGCTTTGATACGCCGGGTGAAGGTGTTTGTTCCAGTGGAGATACGTATCAGGGCCTGCAGACTGCTTGTATGAAATCAATCGATGTAGTGATTTGAATTCCTAAGTGTTTGTTCCCAATTGCGGCTTTCGTGCAAGGGTAGAGTGTCAGTGTCGAAAGTTGAAGGACGTTGTTGAACCTTTCTTTAAGACACTCGGACGTTTATACTATCTTGGATAAACGTCATGCCTCGGTAGGCGTAGCGATATCTTGTGAAAGATAAGTGCAGCACGCATACGAGATGTTGAAATCGAGTAAGCCGACATGTCGATGTATAGGTCTACTATCTATACGAGTACTATACAACACTACTTCTGTCATATTCGAGACAGTCGACTCAGATTTGCTGCGTGCCCAAAGAGGAGGTAGATATTCGGGGTTTGAAGTGGATGATGAGGCTAGACTCGAAACAGCTTAGTCATTATCGCCCGTCTTGGGACATCCCACACTGTAAAGACAACATTTCCTCCCCCTCAGCTCCATCTCCTTCTCACCGCCACCTCCACCATGGACCAAGGTCTACCACCACGTCCACTGCCATAGACAGGATATCGAGGCAATATAGAACTGTTGTCTAAGGCGCTATTGACCTCTAGCTTGACTACGCCCACAGGTCTATCGTGTACATGCGCGGTGACTGGTCAGGTCTTCCACAAGGCTCACCAACCTCTGTGCACTACGCTGACTTTTCAAAAGACACGCAGACATGGACTCTAGTCGCCATATCGCATATCGTATCGTATCGCATCGCGCATCTGAAGTCTGCGAGGCAGGCTCTGGTGCCTCGATAGAGTTCCGTTGTGTTCGCGCGGCAACCGCCCTCGGCGCCTACCGGAGGCGCGTAAACTAGACAGTAGAAATACAAGATCCATTCATTGCAAGTCCCGGATACCTTCTCAGGCTCTGGGCTGTAGATTCGCGCGCGAATCTACCTATAGAAACATGGCATTACTGTGCCGACTGGTCCCAATCCGTCCCTGTTTGGATTTCGAATCCGTTCGTCTCTGCTCCCGAGCAGCTCCGTCAGGTTCGAAAATCCTCGTTCTCGTGATATCTGGATGTCCAAACGATGGCTTCCTTCGTAAATAATCGCATGCGCGTTGTCCGAAGGGCACTCACGTATCCTGGTTGGATGCCTGCTGCCTGCCTGCGTTGCCCCAGGAAGCTACGTAGCAGCCCCGCTTGACTCATGAATCCCTGGCGATATGCTGCAATGGTGCAATACGCTCTAGAAAACCAAATGCGATCTCATCCCGCAGTATGATTCATATGCTCACTGCTTAACTGGAGTTCTACTACGTATTTACGATCAAGAGTAAAGATGGAAACAAGTGTACGTTTGTGCACAGTTGCGCTATCATGAATGCGGGAATTCAATAGCCAGGGCGGCAAAGCATCTTGAAACAGTGTTTTGCATTCCGGGGAACACTCCAGTAACCTGAGAAGGTCATCTGGGTACATTACTATTAGAGAGCAGTCAACACGTGGTGAGGTAGGCACACCAGACCAGGTAACCAGCACAGCCAGCCTCTTTGAAGTCCCCGTCCATGGGATGTTGCGGAGACAACCTCATCCATGTACAGGCCTCAATCTTGCCCCCTCCAACTTTCTCAATTAGTCCCAGATCGAGCCACAACAAGCTCGGCTCCAGTTATTCCGTACAAAGTTCGAGTACAAGGTTTTAAGTAGGTATCCATCGCAATCGCATCCCCCTCGGGCTTTGTCAGGAATCAGCAGCGCCAGATGTCTGACTAGTTTACGGGATGATCACAGGCGACTCGCTTCTTAGCGCCATCCTTGGCACCATCCATCCAGCGAGTATAACAACTTGGAGCCCCTCATGCGTCCTGCACTCCTTCAATCACCAACTTTCGACTTATGATCCGCGATACTCGATTCACACGCTTTTTCTTCGACAACAATTTCCTCGATGGCCGAGACTTGTATAGTCTGCCTCGGCGACCTCGTCCCCCAAGGCGAAGGCAACTCAGCCGCCACCACTACTGCTGCAACCACCACCACCTCCGATAACTTGCTAGCGACCGACTCGCTAGAGGAGCCGGCTGATACCACCACCCATCATCCCAGCAAGCTCCACCAAGTCGTGTCGCCAGCACTCGCAACCGACCCCAAAGACGAAGACTTGGTCGCGCACCTGCTTCCTTGCGGCCACAATCTTCACAATGAGTGTCTTAAACCATGGGTGGAACGAGCGAATAGCTGCCCCATATGTCGGGCCAGCTTCAACATGGTCGAACTCAGCTTGACCGTAGGAGGTAGGTACCCGTCCAACAAGGAAGCTATGCAAACAAAACTAATTGCATACACAGGCAACATCATCTCATCCTACGCCGTGTCGGATCGACAACAGGTCGCCGACATTGACACGTCCATGATCGTCGAGGAAGACTACATCATCGAGGACGACGGCAGCTATGATGCCTGCATGGTCTGCGACGAGTTCGGAGACTCTTCGCAGCTCATGTTTTGTCACAGCTGCGAGCAACTGTGCCATGTCTTCTGCGCTGGTCTGGACCGTATGCCATCTCGTGGTCCATGGTACTGCCAGGGCTGTGTGGAGAACCCCGAGCTCATCGATGCTGCCTCTCGTCGCAACGCACCACGCGGTCCCGCTGCATACATTAATGGCCGGCCTCGTCTTCCGCGACGCACCGGCGCCCCAGACGAATGGGTCGGTGTCTGGCAAAGCGTTTGGGAACGCCTCCACTTTGACATCGAGTTTCCATTTGAGGATGACGACCAGTCCGACAACAGATCTGAGGTACAGCGTCGGGAGAACCGCGAGTGGGAGCGTCGCTTTGCCCTTGCTCGACGGCTAGGTGCCGGCAATCGCTTCCGCGCCGCTGCCGACAATGTCCACGTCCGGCCATCTAATAATAATCGCGTGCGCCCCGTGCCCACTACGCTTCATCGCGAGCCCCCCAAAACACCCAAAGATCCCGAATCTCAAGAAGAACTTCGAGCATGGAACCAATTCGAAAAGGCAAGGGAGCAGGTTGCTCAAATGGAAGCACAATCCTCTCCTACACCTGATGGCAACAACATCAACATCACTCGAGGCCGCAAAAGGAAATCCGTTGACTCATCGCCTGTAGAGCCCGAAACCCGGGATAAAGAGCCTGAGCGCAAGCTCAAGCGCCCTCGCACTCGACTAAACATGGATGCTGCAGAGTCATCCGCTGCCGCTGCACGGCGTATCAGTAACCCAGTCCATGACCCGGAGAGTTCGCTAGCCAACAACAACAGCGACGCATCCGCTGCACCAGGTTTTCTCCAATCCCTTCTAGAAGAGGTGGCAGTAGACAAAGCCGAACAGGAAAGAGAGATCGCTGCACCTCGACCGAAGCGTGTCATCATCGAAAGAGCCTGTTCGCCGCAAAATTCATCACCTGGCCTTTCTCCTGTTATAGCCGTGTATCCAACCCCCCAGGGCATGACTACGCCACCACCCTTGAACCTCAGTCGGTCCAAGTCTCCAAAGCAGATAGAAGAACCCCAACTTTCGCCTACATATTCTCCGTACTCCCCAGCAGACGACGAACCTCGTCCTAATCGACACACACTTCCTCTCCGCTCTGCAGGGCTAAGTAGCCCTCCTCGTTCTAAAGACTCCTCACCTAGTCGCTCCGCCTCGCTGTCTTATACCACAAAAGCAGAAATCCAAAGGATGGTCACGTTCGCCCTCAAACCCTTGTATGTGAAGAAGGAAATATCAAAAGACGAATACACCGATGTTAATAGGGATATATCCCGGTTACTATACGACCGAGTTAGTGACGCTGGTGCGGATGCGCTTGCCGACAAAGACAATAGGGAGCAGTGGCAGAAGATGGCGGCTGATGAGGTTGACGATGCAGTGAAGGCTTTGCGGGCCGACGGGCCACCAACCCTTACATCGACTGACGACTCCGCTTCGTCATCCTCATAACGGTTGTACAAACGCAGCACGCGATGCGACACACTGTCTTCCCCATAGCTTAGGCGTTCTCTTGTTCACTTGGTCACAAACTAAGGCGTTCTTCATATTTGGCGTTTCTCCTATATATAGCACGGATCTGGACTTAAAGGATATAATTCGCGGGTAGATACCATGGGATTGGGTGCAGGTGAATTCAGCCTCTTGGTTTATAGCGATGGAATGGATTATATACGTAGGCGTTTTTAAGCGCCTTAGCAAGCGATACGTCCTACGTGGCGGCAGGCGCATGATGAATATAATTTCCTGGTTTTTATGTGGACCTTTGTGGCCACACCCTTCATACCGAGATTTCTACCTACAGCATTCGTTTTGATGTGATTGATATGCGTGCTGAAAAAGGACTTCCAATTCGGATTCAAGTATGAATCATTGCACCGAAGAAAAGCCGTGCACGACAGACATTATCCCCAACTGTGGCCCGGGATGCTCTTGCCCAACATACGCCACGAGTTCATCTGTTCTCATAATCATAACTAATCGTCGGGTAAGAGTCGAGAGTCGAGAGGAGCGAGTTTGGTAGGTGATGCCCGTCACACCGCGCACGCAGAAGCGAAACGCAGTCGAGACGGAACTCGAGAGCTCGAGGCCTCCCAAAAGGCGAGCCCCTAAGAGCATCGCGTAATAAGAATGGATCTCATATGCAAGAATTTCACTCTGACGAGTATCACAGGTGCCAGCGTTGTCATGCCCATAAAGTGAAGTGTTCTGGAGGGCAGCCCTGCACGAGGTGTCGCGATGCAGATGGAGCACCTGCCTGCGTGTATCCTATCAAAGATCGACAGATCAAGATTAGTAGCCAGTCCGTCAATGAATGATACAAATGTTGTGACAGCTTCACTAAATTCGTTTGCAGATATATAGAAACGATACTTAAAGATAATGAACGGCTGCGAGCAACAACAGAGACACCCCATGGAAACCTCGCTGACGATCCGATTGTTGAGCCGCCTGAAAATGCCGCCGAAACGGCTGAAGCGCAGGAGAGTGTTCGAAATCCACTGTTGCAGGACAGACCTTGGTTTGAATCCCTGGCCTCTCTAGATATGCCAATTCACGTCACCGAAGCTGCTGATGCTGCCTTTGCAACGCGATTCCGACAGACCTTGGGCTCTTTTACCAAACACATGCCACGGATGAGCTATGTGCCAGACGAGAACATCATACAGCTGTCGAACACCACTCAATCTATATGGCCTTCGCCGGCACGAGCCCGGTTCTTGGTCCAGGCAGCTCTATCAACCATTTGCCGATACTATCATATGGTACGGAAAGAGGTGGTTTTAGAATCGCTTGAACGCGCAATTCAGAATGACGGAATCGCCGACAGGCTCACGACTAGCAAGTTGTATGCCTTATTTGCCTTGGGAGAAGTCTATTCCACGAAGATACACAATACACAGTCTCCTTTCCCCGGTCTTACCTATTTTGCAATGTGTAGGAAGATGGTCACCGTGCCAGCTGAACGCCCCCTACTCGATACTCTGGAGATCGTACTGCTCCTCGTATGCCACTCCGATCAATAATTCTCGTACATGACTCACTCTTGATAGGTCGTATATTCCTACGCACTAAACAGACGACATTCTGCCTCAACCTTTGCAAGTTCTGCTGTCAAACTAGGCACGATTCTGGGCATGCACATGAGCATCCCAGACTATCAATTTCGCGACCGCGATGCTAGAGAACATCGAACCAGACTCTGGTGGACAGCATACACGTTCGATCGAATCTGCTCGTCAAAACTCGGACAACCGCCGAGTATACCTGACGATGACGTCCTGGCTGATCTACCAAGCGATACCGGAATTAGTGAGGCACGTAAGGGAGATTTCGAAGATGCCGAGTATGTCATATATCAAACCGAGCTTGCCAAACTATCCACGCAGACGATTAGCACAATATACAGTCGACGTAAACACCAGACGTCGTTCTCACAAAGGGTGCAGCTTGCGTTGAGGAGGCTCACTGGATGGGTGGAGGCATTGCCGCCACACTTACGCCTCGAGCCCGGCGTCGACAGCCCGGTATCCCACAATCAACTTGTACACTTACACCTGCGATTCAATCAAGTAGGTACATGTTTATTTCTGATTTCCAGATGTGGGCTCACGGATATAGGCTGTCATCGTGGCCACAAGGCCCGTCCTCCTCCACGTTCTCCGCCATCACAAAGAGTCTAGGAGCTTACCCACAGGCCGGAAGCGAGACCTTCCGGACAGTGTTATCGCGCTCGCAGGTACTTGTGTACAGTGCTCCCGGCACTCCTATCGACTCCTGAGCGACGCGTGGCTTCACGGCTTCTTTCCCATTTTCGACTACTTCAACACTCAATACCTATTCTCGGCTGCTAACTCTCTCGCCGTATCGAGTCTTCTCGGATGGAGTCAAAGCCGCAGCGACGGCGAGTCGTTCAACAGCGCAGCAGAGATGTTGGAGCAATTGGCACAGAGCGGTAGTTTCGCGGGTAAGGAGTATATTCAACATATTGACGCTATCAAGCAGAGCATGGCTCAAAGCTACCCATTCGGCTCATCAGCCGAGCCTCTTCCCACGCCCAGTGTAGCGCCGCAGGTGGGCGTGAGAAACGAGGTGTCTTCGGAAAACAGCACGATGACCATGACAGCTGGGATGGCGCTTGCCGCGCCGTCGCTGCAGGAGTTCCTCGCCGCCCCGGATCTCAATCTGCCGCTGTTCGAGCCGTCGACTCTGGATGGCACGCAGATGTCTGACTGGCCGGAGCTGTGGGATGATGGCTGGGCTGTCTAGGTGAGAATTCTCACGCTATCTACGATAAGAATAGGAAAGATGTCATTTTTTGTCTCCTCACACTTCTGCATGTGTGACAAACCACCGCGTTGACGTGGGCCAGTGAATTGACTTCGTCTTCTCAACGTCCTTCTTGCCATGGATACGTTCCTCTACCCATGTCTGCATCGTTAGCCCATACATTGCGCCGCAGAGAGTCAAACTTCCAGCGACGAGGGCGAGAACAACAGCTATCACGAGCTTAGTCCAAATCTAACAGAAACATTACGCACACCAACTTACCGATAGTCGAAGACCAGCCTACTCCCACCGCCTCCATGAGCGGAACAGCACCCGACGTCGCGCATGCACCGGCAATATACTGAAGGAGATACTTCCCCACCATAACCTCACGCCTCCTCTTCGGTATCGCCTCTGTTTTCCCCATCAGACCCAATCGAGGATATCCTCCGCAGACGGGGGGGCTCAAACTCACCAGCACAATACGTATTCAAGCTCGAAAAAACCTGCATGATCCCCACGCCCGCAAACCAAACCGTCACAATCGGCAACGCCAGTCCCGCCCTCTCCCTCGTACACGCATGGCACTTCTCCAACCCCCACCCGTATATCAACGTCGCGACGGGGATGAGGAAGAAGAAGCCGAACATGCCGCTCTTGAGGCGGTCCTGCGGCAGCCGCAGCCCGCCGCGGATGGCGATCCACTTCCGCACCGTCATGTCGGAGTAGCGGCCGCCGACGATGGCGCCGAAGAGGAAGCCGGACGCGGGTGCGAAGTAGAAGAGCCCCGCGATTAGCGGCGAGGTGATGTTGAATTTGGAGGTGAGGACTTCGCGGGGGGTTGCGAGGATGCTGGATTGGGACCAGCTGAGGAGGCCGCAGCTTAGTTGCTGGCGGGTCTGAGTTAGTATGTGTCTGTGAGAGAGGGGTGGTGGATGTGGTGGCTTACGGCGAAGAAGACGTTGGGATACACCATCGTCTTGAACACAGGAAGCGGATTGAACTGCGCGAGTGCGGTCCTGCCCGTCATGTTCATCTTGAACATGCCTCGATCGAGTCTGCTAGGCGGGATGAAGAAGAAGGATAGGAGGAGCCCGAGACCGCACATGGCGACCTGGAGCCAGATGATGCTGCGCCAGTTTGCGAATTCGATCATTATCGCCGCCACGCAGGGTCCTATTTAAAAACATTCCATCAGTGAGTGCTAGGGCAGGACTTGGGATAGATGTTATCACATACCCAACGGAGGACCCAAAACCGTGCCCGCCATGAAGAATCCCGTCGCCATACCCCGCTGCGTCTATTCGCCCACTATTAGCCAGAGAAAGTCAAAAAGAAAACGAATATCCACCCACCGGAGGAAAATACTCCGCAATAATCGTCTGACCCGCGACATGAAAGAACGTCCCCTGGAACCCGCCCAGCACCCTCAACACCACGAAAGCCACTGTACTCCTCGCCGTCGCCGCGCCCACCAGGAACGCCATCAGCACCGCCATGCAACTCCTATACGCCAGCTGCCGCCCGAAGATACTGCTCAGCGGACTCCACACGAAGCTGCTGCACCCCATGGCGAGCATCAATCCGCCGGTGGACAGGTTGATGACTTCGGGCGTGGTGTTGAGGTCTGCGGCGATTTCGACGGCGGCGGAGAGGAGGGATGTGCTGGAGAAGCAGGCAGCGAGGGTGGACCAGGAGGTGGTGAAGACGATGAGGGCTTTGTGGTAGGTGGGGAGGGTGTCGTAGAGGGCGGAAGCGTTGGTTTCGACTTTCGAGAGGTCGTTGGGTGAGGGCGACGGGGACGGTGGGATTGAAGGTGCCTCGTGGGGCGGGAGTTGGTTTTTGGATGGCATTGTTGGGGTGGTTTATGAGGTATTTGTTGAGTTATTGTTGAATATCAATTCCATTCAGTCATGTATACTTTTCGCTCATGCATGCAAAGAGATGACGATGTGAAAGAGTGAATGTCTTCGTTCTATTCCGAACGGTAAAGTAAAACGAATTATTCGCAGAAATGATGTCAAAGACAGATTTTCAGAGTGAGCACGCGACACATTCAAATTGTACTATTGGATTATATATAATTCCCAAAATGTTGCAGTGACCGCATATTTGGGTGGGTTTCGGCAAGTTGGGACGTTTGACCGATCGGCAAGATGCTTCGGGACGCCGAAGTGTGGAGACCATTGAGTCTTAACATAGGAACACCGATGGCGGCGAGCGAATGAACGAGAGGCTCGTTTGAGGTTTTTATTTTTTTTTAAATCTGAATGACTGTTCGAGGGGTTTTGATATTGGAGAGGGTTTGGGGTGACTCAATGGGTGTTGGATGAAGGGCCTATTGCATAGCATATTGGTATATTGGTATGAGGTCTGGACGGAGGAGAGCGGATACCTGTCATGAGATGAATATAGGTATAGAACACAGTACTGATATTCTCTACTAGATCTACCATAGAGACAACAACATGAAACAGTCAATAATGGAAATCTACGATAAGTGCAAAGTATATATTTGCGTCTCCATCTCTTGCATTTACTGTATTACTGATATGTCCAAGTCGTCCTATGCCCTATCTGAGCATTTGCCGCCATGTGATTGGCCAATTCGTCCTATTGCTTACAATTGTGCAGGAATGTCGTGATTCCGGCGACCTCCATTCACTGCTTAATTACCGATATCTACCCATCTATGTGCTGTATAAATACCTTCTCCATTGCCCTTGAAACCCTGTTCACGATTGTACCACTCTCCCCCCACCAGATATGTAGTCAATACTACATACATGTCGTGTACACATCCCATCGCCAGCCCTGTCTCACTATTAACCGTCGCCAAGACAAAGGAATCTCACTCTCCGATTTCTAATCTCAACCTCACTTCACTTTTGCACAATGCACGCAGATATTTATTGTCTGCGATGTATACACACGCATATAGTACCATTGCATGCGCTGACTGCATCTCCCCGCTGCACGAACCAAGGGAACAGACATTCCATTTGACGATACGATGAAACGGAAAAGGCCTCCAGTAGTGCCAGGGTCGAGGGCGAACAGATGTCCCGAGGCCGACTCCCTCTCTCCTTAGCATTTCTCCCATTCTCGTCCAGACTTCGTCCGGCTCATACGACGGCGATCCATCCACTCTGCGACTGTGGTGGATTCTGTTTGGTGACACATTTCGTTTTGGCCCACTGCTTGTGCAATTCTGTATGGTTTTGGTGTACTCAACGAATATTTAAACTCTCTTGATCTGCTACTAATTCCAATACTTCCATACTACTAATCAGTAGCTCAATTCTTTTGATATCCATCTCGAGGGCGACAAATAAACAACCGAGCTTAAATTTCACAGCTTTAAAGCACGGCCAATCGCATCAACACCTTTACAACCACACTCCACGTTCACATCTTCAATTCCTACTCTTCTCCAACAACATCAACTTCATCACAAAATGGTTTCCGTCGAGATCCCCGCCGAGTACGGGTAAGTCAACAACCAATTCCAAGCACTCCCATTCCAATCGCAAACGTCACTCTCCCCATCGCCCATTGCCCCCCCCCCCATCTCCGCAACCCTCCCCCATCGCAACTCTCTCCTAACCCTCCCGCCCACCCAGCTACGTCCTCGCCTCCGCCGTCTCCACCTTCTTCGTTGGCGCCTGGCTCGGCGGCCGCGTATCCTCCTACCGCAAAGCCGCCCAGATCCCCTACCCCTACGAATACGCCTCGTTCGAGCAAGTCCAATCCGCGCCGACGCCCGAAAAACGCACCCTCCTCCACCAGTTCAACTGCGCGCAGCGCGGCCACCAGAACTTCAACGAGAACCACCCCACCGCCGTCGCGGCCATGCTGATTACGGGGTTGCAGTACCCGCTCGCTGCTGCGGGGCTCGGCGCGACGTGGAGTGTCGGGCGCGTGCTGTATGGGTTGGGGTACACGAACGGCAAGGAGGGGGGCAAGGGGAGGTATAATGGCGCGGCGGGGTTGCTGGCGCATTATGTTTTGCTTATCATGTCCGCGAAGACGGCGTGGGATTTTGTTAGGGCTTGATTAGGGGTTGGGTTGCGTGGGCTTCTCGTCTAGTTGCATAAAAGGAAGGAAAAGGGAACATGGAATGGGGAAATAGGACGAACTAGTACGAGTCCTATTATATAAAATTCAAAAGCATACATAATTGAAAGCGTAACAACCTCATCCTTTCACAATTGATTCGTTATATCGATCCAGTGTCTAGGGCAAGAACCGTAAACTTAGGCAATCGAAAAACCGCACATGCAACGGGGTAAGTATCAGACACTCTCTTCCACTCCCTTCCACTCCCTTCCACTCCCGCCATTCATTGAATAGAAAACAGCAATAGACATGCTGGAGTATGTATCCATATCTCACCACGCAACTCCATGCCATCTACACCGAAATCCAAAAGTCTAACATCGAAACGGAACCAGCCATTCACACATCTCACGCTTGGAGAATTCAACAGACCACAAAGCCATAGGCGCACACATACGATAGACACTGGTGTAAAAACACAATTTACTAAATCTTAGATCTACTTCAACAACGATCACACCTCCTACCGTCCCACCGCCGCCTCCCCCGCCTTCAGCGCCCCGACGACAGCAAAGCATATCAACGGCGTGACAGCATAACTCGCAGTCAGAAACTTCGCGATCGCCATCTTCTCCCGCTCGGGACTCCCATTTACGTCGGCCAGCGCGACGAGGATCATGGCGGGCGGCCCCGTCGGCATCAGCATCATTGCGAACCAGAGCATTGGGTCGGCGTCGAGGAGGGATGTCCGGGTGCAGAGGGCGTATATGAAGGGGATGGATATCCTAATTGCACTCATTAGCTGACCATTTGGGGCGAATGGGGTGAAGGGGTAAAGGAAGGGAGGGGGAACGGGGGAACTCACAAAGGCCAAACGACGAAGCGCACCAGCGTTATGAAAACGAAGCTCGTCCACGAGAAGGGGCCGGAGTCCTCGCCGCGCTTCATCTTGCGGATGGACTGGCTGAGCTTCACGCCCACGACGATGATCTGCAGCGACGCGAACAGGTCGCCGATGTTCTTGATCGAGGTCGTCAGCCATGCGTTGACGTACCCGCCGTGGGTGAATTCGTTGAAGAAGAGGCGGTGCAGGGCGGGGATGAGGCCGATGAAGGCGCCGGCGAGGGCGCCGAGGAGCGGCGCGTTGGCGAATTCGTAGAGGAAGGTGAGGGTGCTTTGGGACCAGGGGGGGAGGCGTTGGAAGCGCTTGTTGGTGGTGAGGTAGGTTTTGCGGGCGTGGTGGTTGGTGTGGTGGACGAGGCGGGAGGGGAGGAGCGAGGTTTCTTCGTCGATGAGCTCGCCGGGGAGGAGGTTGCTTTGTTCCTCTTCGTCGTCATCGTTGTTGTTGTCGTCTGAGTCGGAGGTTTCGTCGTCGTCGGGTGCGTCTTCGTCGCCTGGTCGGAGGAGTCGAGGTCCCAGGGCGAAGGTCAGGGAGTTCGATACCATGGAGTTGATGAGGAAGTAGGATTGCGCGCGCTTGACGGCTTCCGAGGAGCTGTCGCCATCTGTGAGGATGAGGTCTAGGATTCCCGTGGCATCTAGGGACTGAATGAGGAGGAGTGGGAGGCTCGTCGTGTTGTTGAAGGCGAGGGCTGGGGTGGCCCAGCTGGGTAGTTTGAGGACCTTTGTCGTTACGACGCCAATGCCGACGGATAGGAGGTTGTAGAATAGTGCCCAAACTGGATCATTTATGTCAGTATGTAGTCTCCTTCATTTTTCCAATACTCGGGTCGGTGGTTGAAGGCTTACTCAATATCGGCACGTATCGAATCGCGGTGCCTTGCTGCAGTTCAGACCCCACCTTGAAGATCAAGAGCGCAGGCAGAAACATCCGCACGCATGTGTTCGACACCTCTTTTGCGCCATTGCTGGACAGAAGCTTGAATTGCGCGGCCAGAACACCGTAGAAGATGGTGAGTAGTACCGATACGGACGCCTGCAGGGCTCCGACGAAGGGGATCGCGAGGTCAGAACTGCTGGTCCCCATGATGGAGAATCGGGCAGTGGAGAGTGTGTCAAAAAGAGAGAGAAGAGAATGATCAGAGACCAGGATGCATGTTGAAGAGAAAGAGATCTGGGTCAGGGCAATCGGGGGTTATATGGGTCCATTGCATGGGAGAGGATGGGATGGGGTTCTCCAGTACGGATGAATGTAGCAGATCGCATGGTCGATATCTTGAAATTGAGCATGCAGCAAACAAGAGAACGCCAGTCATGCTTAGTCTAAGGGATTATCACGCAAATCTAGAAGCTAGAATAGACGGCGTGGCGTTTCTGTTTCAACGTGTCTTGGTTGGGGACGGGATTGGCGATGAGGATCGGGGAATTGGAGATGGAGCATAGGCATACGAGGTAGATTAGACGGGTCGTGCTACGTCACAGCGACGCAGGAACGCCATTTGGTCGCGTGCGCAGCTGCTCGCAATCGGATAGGTCTGGACTCTATGGACGACGACTCGGCGCCAATGTTCAGCCCGCGATTTACGCATATTTGGCGAGATCCTCGTACGTAGGCCAAGGTTTTCACAATGGATTCAAGATTGTAAAGCGCAGGACGAGGAAGGGCTGGTGGTCGTTAGAGGTTCTTTGAGGCTGTGTAAGACTGATTTGGATGGTTTGCAAATGTACTGTTCGCGTCCTACAAACATGCATTGAAGAAGAGCGATCAAAGACTTCGAATGTTGTTTACTGTTGACGAGGGACAAAAAGGAAGAACAAACTAATATGTGAGATCCCGTCCCCGTCCACGGTTAGTCTAATTTTACCCCTGATCCATGATCTATCGTTATATCTCACAAGAACGGTATTGCGATGGCATGCGTCCAACAAGATCTCATCAAACAATTCCAGCATTGGCACTGCTTCTCTTAATTCCCTTAAACGTACTTTGCTCACATTCAAGACATCTACACCCAGCTTGACATTCCTCTTATTCCCAAATTCCTAATCAAGGCTCACCAACCCTATAAACAAGCTTCACACCGCTGACCTTCCCATCCTTCATATCCTGCATTCCCCCCAAAATGCCCTCAAACCCACCATCCCTCACTTCCTGCCGATGTGCCTTCCACTTCCCCTCTAACCTCAACTTCTCTGCAAACTCCGTCCACTTCTTCGTAAAGTCATAGTGGTCAGGTTGCGCCGGCCGCCTCACACCACCAAGCACATACGATTTCCCCGCCGCAGAGTATCCTATGCTGTAAGTATACGTGACATCGTCGCGCGGTCGTTCTTTGCTGTTCACAATAGTCCCAAAGATGATCTTCTGCCCTTCTGGCGCCGAAGATGCGAGCGCGGACGTGCAGACTGGAAATGCGTTTGGACCGCCCACACAGTCCCACGCGTAGTACAGTTTGTCGTCGGTGTACGCGCGGATCTCGGCGCCTAGATCGTTGCTGTTGATGTCGAAGACTTTCGAGGCCCCTAGACTCTGGACGTATTCGAAGTTGCGGGGCGAGCATGCTGTTATGACTTCGAATCCGGATCTGAGGGGGAATGGTTAGTATGGTTATTCTGATGTACCGCTACACTACGATGATATGATATATCAACGTACAGTTTGGCAAATTGGATACCGAGAGCCCCAGTGGCAGAAGATCCACCATATATGAACAACGGCTTCGCGTCCTCGAGAGGCTCACTCGGCCACGGAAGTCCCATCTCTTGATAAAGCCCCTGCCCAACCGTCAAGATCCCCGACCCAGAAGAAGCCGCCTCCTCAAACCCCATGCCCTCTGGAATCCTCATCACAAAGTCTGCCAGCGTGATGAGATACTCGCCGAAAGCACCGCCCTCGGGATCATCAATGTTGCTGCCGTGGTTGAATCCCCACACGCGGTCGCCTTTCTTGAACGGCTTCGTCACTTCTGAGCCGACTTCTTCTACGATGCCGGACCAGTCGCAACCGACGGTTACTTGGGTGTCGAGATACCCAACGTGCTTCCAGTCTGTGGGATTGAGGGCGACAGCGATGGTCCGGATGAGGAGGCTGTTTGGGCGGATTTTGGGGATGGGGACGTCGACGACGCCGGCTTTGCCCTTTTCGAGGATTTGGACTGCTTTCATGGTGATTGATTGAGTGGATATGGCGTATCTAGCAGTATTTAAGATATGAAGAGAGGTTGAGAGCGATAACACTGGATCTTGAGAATAGTGTACTTTATATGTAGGTTTCTTACGTGCGAAACCGGTGGTTAACCCTGGTCAATTGGATGGAATCGCAATCAATTAGAACGATGGCGATGGCATCGGATTCCTCATCAAGTCTACCAAAATGGTACAAATTGCTGACGGTTGTTAGTATCCTGTTGTTGTAACTACCTGAAGCATTGTGGAATTACCAAGCAAGATTGCATTTAGTTACGCTATGGAGGGGTCGAGTGAATGTCTGATGTCGTTCTGGACGCACTAGAGGAAATACCCCACTCTGATTCATAACTACAACAACTGCACAACACAAATGTCATGCTGCGTAGATCTTGTGTGCTTCAAACGTCGGTGTCAATACAGACTACTCGCTGATCTTGAAACCAAAACATTTTCTCAACTCTCTCGCAAGATGTTATGTTACTACCCACCATTGGGTCGCCATTGGTGGTCAGATGATATCTATTTCAGGATTAGGCGTGCTGACGTTTAAGACACCACATCTTCTTCATCGCTGTTCCTTCACACCAACGAACCCTCAGCTCTATACGATGAAGCAACATACAGAAAGAATAGTATAGAAGCGGGAAAGCAAAATTAGATCTGACATTATGACCATGTCTAGAGAGGGTATCACCATCAGCCTCCCAGGAACCGGAGTTCCTGAAGTCGCTGATAATCTCTTCTCCTCCGTCTCCCATCCCCCATGGACGGAACCCCTAGACTGGGACTCATGTGTATCGCAATCCTGGGAGAGACAAATCCCCTTCCACTCATACGCCAGACTAGGTTCAACAATCCCAGACACACCAGCCTCTTTCCCTCAATTCAACAACCTCCCGACGGAGCTCCAAGATCATATACTCAGCCTCTGCACCCCAGGAACCCTCTTCCAGCTCCTCCATGTATCCTCGGCCCTTCGTCCTCGAGCATCAAAACTGTTCTGGGGGAATCCAAATGCTTACTTCCACGTCCGAGCCAGCTGGCTCTGCAGCGGTACTTTCCCTGGCGAAACATATGACGACCTGACACTTGCACCCCACATACGTAACGTCGAGATCGAGTACCATCAGAACGACCACATGAAATTCTTCCCCCGGGGCCGCATGGACGGAGCCCGTGTCGAAAGAATTCACAACTTCTGGAAAACGCTGGAGACGACATTTCCCAACGTGAGAAACGTCATCCTTAACCAAGCATGGGAATCCAACCCGCCGGTCCGGACTAGCCACGGTCCTCCTCTGGACCTCAAAATGGTCGTAGAAAGCAGTCCCCCAGACATACACGCATCAGCCTTCGTAGTCGAACCAAACCCCCCTTCCACAACACTCATAACATCCCTCTCCCCCTCCTCCCCCCAGCGCCTCCGCCGAGCCCTCCACACCTACAACTCCCAAACCACCACCTGGCAGACCATCCACCCGCATCCCCAAAACCGACACGCGACCGTCCTCCTGCCCCCCAAGACCTTCACCGGCCCCATCGGCGCCTACCAACGCATCAGATACCTCATCTGGCGCCGCATAGCCTGCTACATGGCCCTCCTGCCCCTAGCCATCGAAGCTTTCGAGCGCCAGAACTTCCCCCACGGTGACAAACCCGCCGCAACTGTCCCCCCGCTCACCTGCCCGATCACACCCAACTGTTCCGCGACATTCGACGCCCCGGGCCAGTGGCCCCTCCACGCCGCGAGCGCGCACCCCGGATGGCGCCCTCCGTGGACGCGGGAGGCAGTGCGCGCTGCGCTGTCGCCCGCCCTGAGCCACGCCTTCCAAGAGCGCGAGACTTCGCTCCTCGGGGATTCTGGGGCGCAGACGGTCGCGAAGAGGGGGATGGTCGACGAGTGGAATGGCAAGACGGGGCTGACGCGTGAAGAGATCGAGGCTGCGTGGAGTGAGCAGGGGGGCGAGGGTGGAGATGCAGAGTGGAGGTTGAGGGTGCTGCCGGACGGGACAGGGGAAGTGAACGAGTATAGTCCGTTGTGGGAGGTTTATGTGACTGACATGGAGCGCGGGAGTGGGAGGCCGGATCCGTTTTTGTGAAGGTCGGGCGACAAGGACGGCAAGGGTGTGATGTCGAAAGCATATGACATATGAAAGGTTAAAAACTTCATTCGATAATCAAAATCACTGCTCAAAACAATCTGGCTATGGTGCGTTGTGGAAGGAAGAGGGAGAGTGCGGTCATGTGGCCGTTATCATAATCCATTGAAGATTTGATGGAAATGGCTGGGAAGGAGGAGAGGAATGGCGGAAGGAACGAAAGAGTACCGTACACCACGGGTCCAAAAGGAAGGTCAGTATAGGGGGTAGACGTAGAGAAGAAATGATTCAGATATCAACATTAAAGTAATGGAACAGATTGATCAGATGATTCGAGATGGTATTAATGATTGTATTGTATTACTGGTATGTGTGTATATGTGCGTCTCCCCACTTTGCATAGGGATTTAGAGCTGCTCGACAGATCAATGACCCATACTTCCTACACGAAGAAAAGCGAAGCGACATCCCCGAACGAGTGACTCGTGAATCCGATAAGAATTAACCCAAGGTCAGAAGATAGAGTGCATCTAAACGATAGCATCCGGCTTCTCGACCCTCCTCCTCGCCGTCCCCACACCGGCGACACCATCCGCCTGATCCTCCCCAAGCCACGGCTTCGTCTGCTCGGCCAGCATACTCTGCCTCGCGAAGTAAATCAACTGGCCGATGATGATGCACACGAACGCGATGGGGTACATCCAATGAATGCTGAGGTGGAACACCTTGACGCCGATCGCGACGCCCCAGAAGTTGCCTGTGAGCAGGGAGATGTTGAAGAACGCAGCGGAGCTGAGACGGAACATGATGGGGGCGAGGGAGTAGAAGATGGAGAGCACGAGCGTGTACCCCGTGAGGTAGCCGCCGACGTCAGCGTTCCAGACTGCGGTGCGGAAGGAGGCGCGGTCGAAGATGCCGGCTTGGACGCCGTTGATGATCATGGCCCAGAAGGCGAGTTGGCCGATGACTTCGTAGAGGGGGCGCTTGGAGACGAGGAATTCTTCGAAGGTGTTGGTGAGGCCGTAGAAGGTGGCGCCGAGGAGGGCGAAGAGGTTGCCTTTGACGGGATTGGCGGCCGGGAAGGCGTTGGCGCCCGTGATGTGGTCGGAGCCGAAGAGGATGCCCATGCCGCCGATGCAGACGAGGATGCCGGCGTATTGCGTCCAGTGGTAGCGGACCTTGAGGAAGATGAAGGACATGATGACGACGACGACGATGGCCCAGAAGTTGATGAGCTGCGCGGACAGGATCGTCGTGTAGCGGTAGGCGAGCACGACGAAGTAGTTGCCCTCGACGTCGAAAAAGGCGAGAATGATGAAGCGCCAGCCGTCCTTGAGGATCAACTTGCCCCACCCCTTGATGCCATATTTGTATATGGTGTAGGAGGAGAAGACAATGTTGAGCAGGACGTAGTTGAAGAAAGACTGGAAAGCCGGGATGGATGTCCCCTCGAAGCTGAGAAGTTGAGAGAGTGTGTTGGTGCTAGTGATACAGATAGCAAGGACTGTATTGGTCGTCAGTACATACAATAATTCCCGAACAATTTCAATAATGGAGGCAACATACCCTGTCCCAAGAGCAAAACAATCCAGAACTGCTTCGTCTTGAAGTAGGTAAACCACTTCCCCTTGGTCTGCGCATCTTCCTCCAGAACCATAGGCTGCTCGTGCACCAGTTCCGGGAGTCCATGTCCAGCCTGATGCTCATTTCCAGAGCTCACGTTGGAGATGGAGCTGCCCTTCGGCTGCACGTGCGTGGTATCGACATGGCCTTCACGGCCAATGTCGGTGCCTTGGTAGGAGGTGCCTTGTTGCTGGGCCATTGTAATTTCTTACTGTACGAGGAAGAAACTATATGGAAGATCCCAAAAGATATGCAGACAGATGCGGGGAAGATGATGTGCGTTCTTACTGACGGTGGTACAATCGAGATAGCGAATCAAATAGCTACAGCAATGATATCCAACCGGAACAGGAAGCGCAAGAAGGGGTCGTTATAGTAACGTAACGTCTGGTTGGAGCTTTTCGCGTGCAGACGTGAGCGCAAAACTCCAGAAGTCGCTCACGGGGTGGGATTCTCAAGGAGGATCCGTGGTGGGAGAGTGAAGATGCAAAGGGAAGAGAGAAGAGAGAAGATCCTGTGGCGGCGCGGGGATCGTAGCAGCTTATAGGTAAACTGGAGGGATGCGCAGAAGAAAAAAAAGCAAATCACCGAAGAGCTATGGCTTCTATGGGAAAGAGAGAAAAAAGGGTTCAATTCGCTCGAGTCCAGGCTTGGCGGGAGGGGTGGAACCTCCAATCTTCACCTTACCTTACTGTACCATCGACTAGCCAACATCAAGTTCAACCATCCACACGCCACTACCGCATCGTGTCCGCCAAAACAGACCTCCAACCATTCGCAGACCGCAATCTTTCACACAGTCCATCACGCTCTCATTCGGGCCAGATGTGGCGTTTCGCCCGCTAACACATTCTGCGCAGTGTCGATCTCCACATTAAACTGGATACCGCGAGCCGGCGCCTTACTGTCTCGAGTATGACGGCGTGCGGACTCGCCGCGCTCTGGATTTTTTTCTTCTTGCGCGCCTGGTCCACGGGTTGCTAAATGATGCCTGTTCTGGATAGCCAATGCATGGGAGGATCTAGGCGAGTCCCGAGGCTGGTTTTGGTTTGAATTGGGTTGTTTAAGAAAGCATTCGTTTTGACCAGTCTTTTACACGGGAAATGGGATAGCTTCTTGGAGAGTGATAACCTTATTTCACGTCCTATTAACCGGAAATGCATTCATGAAAACCAGTAGACGACAACTGCCTCTCAAGTGCTCAACTTCAAAATAGAATGTATCGACGTCCCTAGTGATGGAGACATTCGATTGTTTGCCGCCATTCCCGCCCAAGGCGCTCTACCTCCATAACCCAGCCCATTACATTAGTTACCTACAAAACAATCCCATTCGACAACCCCACCATTTTTCCTTTTCCCCATGGCTTTCTAACTACTGTGATCATGAGGATGTGCAAAAAGGTGTCTCGACGCCACGTGCGGGGACGATTCCATCGATCTCACCGTGTACGCGAGCGTGGCGTACACATGGTTGGGCTGGATGTCAGAATAAGCAATTATTAGTTCTTTTTTAACTGGATTGGTTACTTAGTAGTTTCTGATATATGTTGGGTAGGTGTTAGGGTAGGAGCATGGTTGGGGAGAGAGGGAGAGTGTGTGATTATGTTTTAGATACGTTCTTAGAGGGGGAGGTTCTGAATAGTACCTAGGAATTTTTTTGTAAGCATATCTGATTAATGAAGCTCTGCTAATTACCTACTCGTTGGGCAGAAATTCATGGCATTTCACCGCGATCTCTCTATCTGAAGTATATATCAACACCACCACCCCCGACCCAACCTTCCACACACCAAACACCACACCCAATGATACCAGCGGATCTCGCCTGCCTCAATCTCCATGACCAGCCTCTTGGTCATCTGTCTTGGGTGTGTGTTCGCCCCCAAGAGAATCCGTCGACAGATCTGGGAGTTCGCATCCTCCGTCCATCAGCGGGATTTCCTTCTCTAGGTTCGTCCACGGTCCCTCGCCCCGGGATTCGTACGCACGACGCTGGAGCTGCAGAACGCCGTCCTGGATCCAGCGGTCGATGCGGGGAGCTAACACGCGTCGGAACCTCGACGCGTATATGAGAAACTTCAGCAGCGTGATGTCGAGTACGATGAAGAAGCTCGATAGGGAGAGGATGAAGACGAGTCCGAAGAAGTTGACGTTGCTGAAAATTGCCAACTGTCAGTTGGAACTTGTGAGGGAGTATCGGTAAGAGCTGGAGAACGAACTTACATGAAGCCGCCGTTCTTACGCATCTTCTGGGAGCCGCACAGCTGCGACTGTCCGGGTCCTGATAGAGGCATCGGTTCGACCCCCGGCGTGCGAACTGAAGGGCCGATGGCGTGGTCTGTGATTGCGGTTTGGAAAGCCGCCCAGATCTGCTTGTCCCACGTTTGGACTTCTTTGATCCATTGGGTGTCTGGGAGGCTCGGGATGCCATCATCGCCGCTGATCAGCGACGCCGCGTCAAGACTATTGACACTTCCAATCTCATAGGCCATACTGACTTCCCATAATTGCTCGAGAGTAGCTTGTTGAACGGGGCTGACGTTGGGAAAGAGCTTCGTTATGTTGGATGGAATGCCCATGAGCCCAGAACATGCAAAGTGGTTCTGCGAAGTCGCGGCGCAGTATTCGTACTGTATTTAAGTGCTGTGAGCATCATTGTTTTTACAGAACCGAGCAGAAAGCGAATTTTGGTCATATCATTCAAGTGTCTGCTTACCTGTGCCATGCATCCCAGTATGGACGTGGGATTGTCAGAATAGTATCGTATCAGACTTTTGGCGCCACCGTTTGCACGAGTTGAATTCTTAACGACCTTCTTGTGCGCTGCAAAGATCGGGTCATTGATTGGTGTGTGGTAGAGAATCTTGTTCTTCGTAATGGCTACAACTGCCACGTCGGCGTCTTCACGTGCAAGCTCTGGCGTAACAACGAAGAAGTCGCTGGGAGTTGATGCTCCTTCCGGAGAATATGCTGTACGCGTGGCAATCTTGAAGCGACCTGTAAAGTTTGCATCCAAAAGACTTACGAAGAAAGTGGTGTTTTTCCACTCTCTGAATGGAGGAAAAGTACCCCAATGGTGTAATTGTGCCCTTTCATTTTCGGACCATTGAATCCTGGGAACTAGTTCTAGGGGAAAGTCACTCGCATTGATCTCGGACACGCGTCCGTCCATTGGAAGCACGGCACAGGTTGTACGCCTACGAAACTTGACGCGGTCATGCTGTGCGAAATTGAGGCCAAAAGCGTTGTTCAAATCGAGACGACCGGAATCCACTGCGACTGCAAGCTCGGTGCCGTCCTTTTCTAGACACATCCCTTCAGAAAAGGGACATCCGATGCGTTCTGTGGTTGTCAAGATCGTCGGACGGATATAAATGTCGCATCGACTGGGTAGAGATCCATCTCGGAAGCAATCGCGTGCGAAAATGCTCGAAACACTCTTCACATCAATGACGTAGCGAGTGTTACCGACAGTCGTGCGATTCAATCGTCCGCAATGCGGGCTATCAACAAGAACTTCGACCTTCGTCCCATCAATGACAGATGAAGTGAAGATTGAGACGGCCAAGGACCCAAAAGCGCAGATCAGCGCCAGTACCGCAGGCACCAGTATTCGTTTGAACGAAGATTGAGCTTCAGATTTCCATCCCCACCAAAGCTTTACAAAATCGGCCAACAGTGTAGCTGGAGGAGGTGACGTACGTAGGATCGCCTGTTGTTGACGAAAGAAGGCGTCTCTTGGCCTGCCATCAGCGCGTGTTTGATGATACAAAAAAACGCAAAGACTCCAAAGGTGTGCTATCCCTTCAAGAACATCTGTCAGCTGAAATACATGATGCATGTACCAGGAGATGAGACAGGTAGCTTACCAAGCGTCGAAGAAATAGCTAGCACGGCAACGATTATGGCGCCTGTCTGCGTGTCGACAGTGATTGTCCTACCCATCACAGGACCTCGACCTACGTTCGTCCATAAACCTGTCTTGACGTAACGTGGCTCGAGCTCAGACATTGTGTGATGGCCATTGGTCGTTCGTTCGTACCTTCAAAAGCCCGGAGAGCTGTTGTAAGCCAGAAGCGATCCGAGTGAATTGAGCAAAAGTGTGAAGAGCGACGAACCCTTATATCATTATCTGAAAGACAACAGTTCTGGCGTAGTTCTCATCATGAGGGCCAGCTTTGAATGCGTATTGTCTCGGTAATAATGTTTTGTGTGGACCTGTTGGACGAAGTACGCCTTGGACTGCATGCATGTACGCAATCTATAACCTGGGGAACGAACGCATTTATACGGACTATGCAAATTAAGCAACATCAAAATGACATGCACGCGTAGTAGCGAAGGCCAACACGAACAAGGTGAACCTACATCAATAAGACGAATTCGGTCGCCGAGCAATGTCCACCCAGACTACTGGGACAAGCCTCCTACTCTGGCAACCGCCGTGTTTAATTGTCGACGGTAAGACAATATCGCCTTCCAATGCCAACGTGAAGCACATGTAGATCTTCGGCGACAAGAGATCAGCCTTCTCTATAAAATAGTCGCATATTACTTTGTACTACTTGTAGATTATGCGGAATACCGTAATGTTAGGCAGCATGCGATCCCTAAGTGGTCCTAGGGGCTTCCGTTATGCGCGAGATATGGAACATCGGGACCAGAGCGAGGAACTCATGATCGATATTGTTAGAAGGCATGCATGCGAGTGATGTGGAATCTAGTGTCCAATGATGGACGGGTGAGATGAATTAGTCTATGAATTGCTATTCGACCGACGAATGATATAAAAAAGAGGACGCCTAGTATTGATCAGTAGCCAATGAGTCCAGTGTATACCCCTGAAATGCAACGATAAGAAAAAATGTACCGAAAGTGAAGGACGGTGCCGTGCGTTATACACATTATACACATATGTATATGAAAATTCAGCGACGAAGGTACGGCAGAACAGGACTCGATGCGTATTGTTTCGAGACGCTGCCATACTTGGCGTGCCACGCGAAGAAATAAAGAAGGGCTGCCAATGGCTGGCCCACGAGGCAGAACGACACCCAGAAGATCATGTTGCCGGCGACTTTACCGCGAATACCTTTGATCTTTTGAATCACATCTGTGAGGACGATGAGAGGAATTTGGAACATCATGCCAGCGAAGGCGACGCCTGTTCGTTGTTGTTAGATTCGATAGTCCTGAGAATATACTTGGAACGCTGAGGAGATGTATCTTACCTAGAACATTGTGTGTGGGGATACCAACGAGGAGCTCGTGCAAGACTCCCGAGATGAAGAATACAATTATTTGCGCTGCTGCAGGTGGGACCCCACGACCCACTAACGGAGCGTAGATGTGTCGACGCATGAAGTTGGTCACAGGCTTGTTCCATGTCGTCCAGTACGTGCGGACGCTACCCACATTCCACCAGTCGCCGTAGAATTCGCGGTCACCAAATTTCATCACTTCTGCCAATGCATTCATGAAGGACTGGAAAAGCGCAAAGAAGCCACAGAGCCAGCAGAAGAGTGAAATGGTGGAGAGCTTCATCACCCGCTCAGTGATGGAGACAAAGTCCAGCTGGAAGATTTTGTCAAGCGAATTCTGCAGAAGGGGTGCGGCATACTGGGCGGATGCGATCCATACAACTATGCTCAAGGCAGCGACCTCGACCATACACCTAAGAACAAAGCCCCAACGGATGGTCGTAGTTCGTGGATATACTGGCTGGTAGACAAGGGTGGGCGCCCACCAGAAATAGCACAAATTGCCCCAATTGATGTTCTGAGGGTATGGGCAAGAGGAGTATAAGTCAGGGAGAGCTTCGCTTTCATCGGGGTGCAAGAGAGTATGGCGAAGGTCGCGATTCGTAAAAGCATACGAGGCACTCTTCAACCATATAATGACGGCATGGAACTCGCATAGCGTGCCAATGCCTGGATGGTGTATCTTGTAGAAAACGACCAAGCTGGCTACGACAAGGCTGAGGGTAGCGAGTGCGCCATGGAACATGGCTACCACAACCCATGTTGTATCTGCGCTATGTCCTGCTTTCTCCCTCGCCTCATGTGCGTTGTTACCATCGCCCGCTCGTTTTATCCGGGCAAGAGTCCGTTTGGCGTGCCATGCTGCTACCAGCTCGATCAGGTAGGCGACGAAAAGTTGGCAGGGAACGGAGAGATATAGTAAGAGTCCGTAGATAACGTCGGTTCGTCGGTAGTCGTGGCAATGAATGCATATCAGAACACCATACTGCGTACGTTAGCCAATTGCCACCTTGATATACACACGAGAGCCAGAGTTGTCCATGCATACCTTTCGAAAGTTCTCGATCATCAATCTGAGATTGGAAACAACTGCAGCACGGTTAGGGGAGTCTCTCAATTAGCGAGCGAGGAATGCACACTCAGCACGAGGATCATGAGGTTCCTGAATCCGACGAAGCTAGGTGACTTCTCCGCGTCATAGCTAAGACACGAACCACGCGAGAGAGAATGTGTCGCGAATACATGGCGATATTTGAGGGGTTGTGCCTTGGAGGACGAGGCACGTTCCGACTTGGTTGTGGTGTTGTTGCCATTGGACTTTGTGGAGAGACTCGAGTCTCGGGGGTAAGGAACCGAGGGAGTGGCCATGGCCGTGGTGATGGCTGTATCGGTCATTGTCGACATGTCGAAGAATGGAAGATGGCGCGAGATAGTGGCAGCCAGGGACGCGGATGGTCCAATGGCCGATAGATATGTGGTTGGGGAAGAATACACGATTGGAAGTTGTAGTATGGGAGGTGGGTGAGGAATTTGGGGGGATGATCAATTGCGGTTATTGAGGTCGCAGGAATGGATTATCTGTTACGGAAGCAGCGGCCTGGGCGACTGAAGATGGTCGAATGAGGAGGAAAGTCGCAGGTTCCGGTCCATAACTGCAACTACGAAAAGGTGGGATTATAGATGGTGAGATTATCTATGAACCAAGAAAAGTGTTGAGAATAGATAGCTGGGGGGATTTAGCTGCGGGGAATACCTACGAGTAGAGTGAGGTGCTTCTCGGCGGATGATGCAGGCCGAGCCCCAAACTGATGTCGTTGTGCTACGAATACATGTTGAGCGAATGGTGATGCTCGAATAAGGTTTAGTTTTCGAATAGCCCAGGCGTCGGTCCCCAGTTAAATCCTTCTTTTGTTACTGTACGAGTTCTTTTTTTTTTCTCAACTTAATTGAGATCCTTGTACGGGGTTATTCCATACGAGCTCAAAGAATATCATGTGAAAGAGTGGAAGCAAAGAAGCCCGTCTGTGCCTCATTTGTGGCTGGTGTGGCCGTGCACTTACGCGCCAAGACTTTTGTATTGTTGCACCTCTCCCAACTTACCATCGTTCCTAGCTGTTGAATGAGCTTTCACTCGTTCATCGCCTTCACGACACAAACCTGCCCTACCGGAAAGCTAACGCGCACAAACGGAAAGACTAAGAAACGCAACAATCGTTTTCTATCGCCTCGTTCGACACAACCTCCCGCTAGGATCGCAATATCATACCCACTCGCCCTTCACGGATGTCGCGATAGCTACTTCATTCATACCATCCAGCTGCCCGCGAAGCCATGGAGCGCGGTGAATATCACCATGCGTCGCAATTCGATGGCCCTCCGCGCCCGCGACCGAAACGTACGTTCCCGATTCCTTCAAGTTCCTTCGAGTCGCATCCACCCATATGAGGGCAATAGGACCTTCCTCGGGTCTCATTGTCCTTACGATTCTGTCCGGACCAGCGTCCATGTCCAGTCATTGTAATATATCTTAAACTGACATATTCTCTCTCTAGGCCCGGTGACAGATTATGGTTCAACAACAGTTCAATGGATGCGCAATCGCCGACCTCGCTATAAGAATGTCGCGGCACCAGAGGTCGAGAGACCAAGCGCAAGCTATATCGTTGATGTATGTCTATACGGAAGCCTCGATTTTGACCAGTCTAACGACATGTAGATGGAACCTCCTGCAGGTCGGATCACCAGTGCCGCGGAGTCTATCCCGGCCAAAGCCCTACATTCTTCCCTAAATAAAGTCAAACACCCCATCAACGTTGTGAAATGGACCCCCGAGGGTCGTCGACTTTTGACCGGATCTACGAGTGGAGAGTTTACATTGTGGAATGGCATGGGCTTCAACTTTGAAACCATCATGCAGGCGCACGAGTCGGCCATCCGCTGTGTTGCCTATACCCATACGGATGATTGGTTGCTATCGGCAGATCAGACGGGCATAGTCAAGTACTGGCAGACGAACTTCAACAATGTGAAGGAAGTTCAGGCGCATACCGAAGCGGTACGAGGCCTAGCAATAGCACCTACAGATTCAAAATTCGTGACGTGCGCGGACGACACCACGCTGAAGATATGGGATTTTGCTACCAGCGCGGAGGAGGCAACGCTGACAGGCCACGGTTGGGAGGCGAAGTCTGTGGACTGGCATCCGAGTAAGGGGCTGCTTGTGTCCGGATCGAAAGATCATCAAGTCAAGCTTTGGGATCCTAGGACTGGACGCTGTTTGACTACGTTGCATGGCCATAAAAACCCAATATCAAAGACAATGTTCGAGCCAGTCCAGGGCAACCTACTCGCCACATGTGCGCGTGATCATACCGCTCGAATATTTGATCTGAGAATGATGCGCGACGTCTTGCTTCTTCGTGGGCACGAGAAAGACGTTATAACGATGGCCTGGCACCCAATTCATAAGAATCTGTTGTCCACCGGTGGTGTAGATGGCAGCATCAATCATTATCTACTCGATGAGCAGAACCCACCTCAAGGAGTTGCACCCTCGGTCTCACCGTACGACGATCCCGATCCTCAGAATGCTCCTGCACAAACCATCTACCCGGCACACAGTCTCCCCTACGCCCACGACTTCACCGTCTGGACACTTGACTGGCATCCTCTTGGGCATTTGCTCGCATCCGGCTCAAACGACCGCGTCACTCGCTTCTGGGCGCGTCCACGTCCCGGTGATACCAATTTCGTCAATGATCGATACCATATCGGCCAGGCCGCCGCCGAAGCACAAGGCACGTATGATCGCGGCCAAGGCAGAAAACAAATGCGCGACGAGGAAGAGCAGGAAGCAGAGGATGAAGCCGAGGGCCTTGTCGACCAGAAGATGCCATCTAAGAATCCGCCGCTGCTGCCACCGGGACTGACTCTTCCTGGCATCAATGTGGGCAACGACGGCACCAGCAGCGCTCTTCCAGGCATTGGCGGCATCCCTCCACCACCTCCAAATCTACCCGGTGGCTTTCCACCACCATTGCCAATGCCTGCGAATGGAATGCCGCCGATCCCCCCGCAGTTTGCTGGCATGGATCCATCTCGCCTTGCAGAAATGCTTGCCTCTGGTCAACTTCCGCCAGCCATGATACCCCCACCTCCACCCGGTGGTGCAAACGGCCCACCGCCCCCATTCCCACCCCACATGCCTCCGAACTTCCCCTTTCCTCCTCCAGGAATGCCACCACCTCCTCCTGGTTCAATGCCACCGGGTGGTTTACCGCCAGGATTTCCTCCACCTGGATTCCCCGGATTCCCCTTGCCGCCGCCCAATAGTGGCACACCTCCCACAAATGGGCAGAATGATAGCGACAGTGCGAGGAGAAGAGCACCTTTGCCGAGCCAGCAGGAAAGTCTGAAAGCTGAGATGAGGAAGGGACAGTACAGGCGAGCACGGTAGAGCCATGTCGATAGCCACGATACCCTGCTCCATGTGATCGGACACATAGACTTTGGGGGCACAGCACCAGGACGAGCCAAAGTCAGACCTTATCTTCCTTCACCATCCTCCTGCAATATGGCCGGCCCAACTAAGGCCCGGCTCGCTCCCATACAACCCGAGAGACGGGCGTGCTCCCTGATAACTACCCAAGCATCGACCGATCAAATACATTCTGGAGGAATGATCGGAAGCATAGCCGAGCCAGATTCAGACCGGAAACGTGTCATATGAGCCTCATTGCCGTTCTCTAATTTGAATATAAGAGCTGGGCATTACTTTGCGTTCCCCAACGTGGAAACTTAGTAGTAGGAGGTATATGACTACCCTCCTTTGAGGGAACAGTTTGTGTTCGTGATGGGAGAGCCATCACCATTCATGTTCGGTGTTTCCACGATTCTCCCCAACTACCTTTTGGGCTAGATACCCGCCGGTGAGGATGAATGTTCGTCGACATCACGTCCCCTTAACCTTGAACATCCAAGCAACATCCGCTTTTCGATGCTTTCAAGACCGTAATTATAGTACAATTCGTCTCTGTATATGTACATATCTTACAATTCTATTCTATGACCTCCAATTCCTCCATGCCCACCATACCATTTTTCAGTGCCATCAGACAAACTCCCTCATCCCATCCAACACCTCCTTCTGCCTCTGACTCCCCATCTTCTCAAACCCATCAACCCCCATAACAAACGTGCCTCTCCCCCCGGTCAACGCCCTCAAATGATTCAAATATCCCACCATCTCCTTCAACGGCACCCTCGCCACAATCTGCCTCTGCCCATTATCCAGTCCCCCGCCTACATCCACCGCCGCACCACCAGACGTAAACGGATCCGGCGGCGCATATATCCTCGCGGGATTAATCCTGAGCACCTCCCCATCATCAACACCACTTCCACCATCATCCTCCTCCGATCCCCCGTCTAATGAAATCACCTGCCCGCCCCTCGCAGACGACAAATCCTGCACTACGCTCCCCAGCGCCGCCTCATTGACGAACACCGTGACACGCATAACCGGCTCCATCATCACGTTCGCGCTGCTCTCGTTCGCGGCGCGTAGACTCGCCGCCACGGCCGCCCGCGTCGCCGTCGATATCGCCGTCGGTGTCGTCTCCGGGTGGATGTGTGTGGCGGCGTCGAAGTGGATGTCTACGGCGGTGTTGGCGAGTGGGAAGTGATTGAGGGGGCCGCGGGCCAGGGCAGCGGACGCGCCGGCGTGAATGGAGGTGAGGATTTGGGGGAGGGTGAGGGTGGGGGGGAGATGGGATGAGGTTGTGGTTGGGGAGGCGAGGGAGAGGGTTGGGTGGGTGATTGTGATGATGTTGCCGTCTTCTGAGGTGTATGTTGTTTTGTAGGGGTCTTGGTCTGGGTGGTCTTGTTGAGGGGAGGGGAGGGAGGGGGAGATGGAGGCGACGGCGGTTGCTTTGGCGGGTTTGCTGGCGATGGTGCGGTCGAGGGTGTGGGTGTAGGGGGTTGTGGATGTGGTGGGCGTCTCCCGGTAGCCGATTTCGATCTTGCCGATGCGGGCTTTGGCCTTGAAGTCGTTGAGCAGGCGGTCCCGGGCGATTTCGAGGTGGAGGTCCCCCATGCCGGCGAGGTGCGTTTGGCCGGATTCCTCGTCCGTGGAGAGTTGGAGGCTGGGGTCCTCGCGGAGGAGGATGGAGAGGGAGTCGAGGACGTGTTTTTGTTCAGAGAGGGAGTTGGGTTCGATGGAGGTGAAGAAGACGGGTGGTGGAACGTGGATGGGTCGTAGTTGGAGGGATGCGAGGCCGCCGGCTGGTTGTGTCCGGGTGGTTAGGCCTTTATATACAATGAGGGTGTCGCCGGTTCGTGCGTGCTTGAGTCCTGTGATTACGCCTATCTGGCCGACTTGGATGGAGTCGACTTCGACGGCGTCGTTGGCGTACATCTTCAGCAGCCTGGGTGCACGCTCGGCTGTGAGGAGGTTGGTGTTGAAGAGTATGCTTCCACGGTCGATAGAGCCAGAGTACACGCGTACGTAGACCAGTATGCCACGTTTGGCGTCGTTGACCACTTTGAAGGCGAGGGCACACGCCTGGAGATTTCGAGCTTCTGGTACATTGACTCCACTCGTTGCAGCAGCTGTTGTCTTTGCGTTCTTTCCCTTTGTCTTTGCTACCGGGGCACTTTCAGCACTGGCTGCACCGGCCAGGAGCTCGGCGAGTGTGCCTTTGCGATGATCGAGACTGATCTCAGGCTCAGGGCGCTCGAGAGGCGTCGGTAGAAGGTCAACCACGGCGTCCAAAAGGGGCTGTACGCCAATGTTCCGGAAACTGGCTCCTGCAAAGATCGGAATGACCGTTTGAGGGGTCTGTAAGACTACCCTACGAAGAGACTCGACGATCTGTGTGCCTGGGATAGCCAGGTGATCTTCATCGTGCTCAAGGAATAGTTCGACCATGCCATCATCATGCTCGCTTAGCAGTTCGACAAGCGCAATTCGAGCCTTCTTTATTTCCTCTGCAAATTCTGGATTATTGGCTTCCAACTCTTGCAGACTCGAAGGTTGAATTTGACTCCCGTCGGTAGCCCCTCGCCACAGCATGCCGCGTAGGTGAACAACATCTCCCACACCAATGAACTCGCCACTCCCCCCTTTCCACCAGGGAATCTGGCATACAGCCGGCCAACCGTGTAGACGGACGCCTACCTCCTTCACAGTCCTGGAAAATGCGGCACCATCTCGGTCGAGCTTGTTGATGAAGATGATTCGAGGGATGTGATAATGGCCAGCCTGCGTCCACACCTTTTCGGTCTGAGCCTCGACACCGGCTACACCATCCAGAATGCAAACGGCGCCATCTAGGACCCTCAGGGAGCGAAGCACCTCAAAAGTGAAATCAGCATGGCCTGGAGTGTCGATGAGGTTAACATTGTGAGAGATGGACGAGCGTAACGTTGTGTCGAAGGAGCTGGGTAGATCTTGTGGAACACTTTTTGGATCAGATGGTGGCCAGTTGAAGGTGATTGCTGCAGATTGAATAGTAATCCCTCTAGCTCTTTCTGCGGGAAGGAAGTCGGTCACCGTTGAGCCTTCGTCGACATCTACTTGATGTTAGCGAGGACAGTAGATCTAATTGAAGCATTTTTGGGTACAATTAAGCTACAACTCGAAAGGATTTTATAACATCGTGACAATAAAAATAATACAAAAGTCAGACATATCAGGTTGGATCACCAGAACTAAAGACATTGACATATAAAACGCTGCCCAGCAAGCACCTACCGCCAATTCTTCGCGTGTGTCCGCTATAGTAGAGCATACGCTCTGTGGTGGTTGTTTTTCCCTATTGAAATTATTAGCGTTCAAATTAAAAGACATATCGTGCTTCTACTAACAGCATCGATATGAGCAATGATGCCTATGTTCCGTGTCTTTGATAGCTGTGAATGCTGTGGATGTGCTTGAGATGAAAGAAGCCGTCGGCAAGTGCCCACACTACGCGGAGCAACTCGACGGGTACACCATATCCACGCAAGTTGCATTCCAAAAAAAACCCTTTTAAACAAAGATGGATGACAGATATGATGTCTGGCGAGCTGGCATTGAATATTGATGCAGATTCGTGAAGGATGGTCAGGCACGTGATCGCAAATAGGACGGGAATGACGGGCGGTCTGGGCACGGTCCTACGCCGAGTGCTCCGACCAAACATCAGGCTTCTCTCCAGCCTTCATCGATAGCTCCACCGCAACGTCACTTGGTTCAATTGCGGTCGCAACCATGGACTACTCGTCTCTACCACACGATCCAGAACATCCTGGTGGTGCTGACCCGTGGGCATCGTCCCCTCAGCACAACAGATCGACATTCTCGCCGCCTTCTACGAGCGACATTCCATCTTCCCCGCTCCCTCCGCAAGCTTCCCCATACGGCCAGGACTCTGATACTTATGGGTTCCTAGGTGAACAGGATTCGCAGGATCAAGCTAATAGCTCATCTGCAAACGGAGAACAAGCACATCCACCCCATAATGTGCCGCAGGATGAACCGAATTCGCCTCATCAGCAACAAGCTACCGCGCAGGGACATCAGGGACAACAGAGACACGAACAACCACAGCGCTATCATGGCCAGCGTCAACAACACCAGCGCCCGCAGTACAAACTACAGGCAAAGGTTACCGGGCTGGAACGCACAGGTCGCAAGGACCCAATTCTCCGATTCGACGTCTATGTATGTCACTTCAAGTCACTTGGGCGCATAAGCTCGTGTACTTTAATCGCATGACCTTCTGCTAACACTTCTTCAGACCAATCTTCCAAAGTACCGCACCACCCAATTCCGCGACGTCCGACGTCTGCACTCCGAGTTCGTTAAGCTAGGTGAACATCTGATATCTGCGAACCCAGAGGCTTTCGTACCCGCTGTTCCTCCTGCGATCACCGCTGCCGGCGCTGGTACGGACGAAGACGAGGCGCGTGTGAAAGCATCAATTCAGAGGTGGCTCAATGTTGTCTGCAGCAATGACGTGTTAATTCGCGATGAGGAGATGGTGTTCTTTGTGGAGAGCGATTTTGGTTATAGCCCAGTGGTACGCAGGAAGCAACCGGCGACGGGCGTTAGACGAAAGGTTATCAAGCAATTCGCACCTCCGCCGGATGACACGCCCGAGCTTGCTGCAGCTCGACCTATCGTAAAGGCCTTCTATTTGGGAACAATGGAAACGGGACAAAAGGTTGAAAAGGTCGTCAAGGCGAGGAGAAGTAAATTTCCCTGTCTCTTTTTTTGATATATCGGTTACTTACTTTTCTAGGTCTTGGCCTGGCCGAATCGGATTTGGGGGTAAAATTTGCGGCAATGCACGTGCAGGAGACCCATCCAGGCCTCAGCCAGGCCTATCGAAAGCTTGGGAAGGTTATTCAGGCAACGGGAGATTTCCACGCTGCACAGGGTACGGCCGAAGCTACAACCCTAGGTGATCCCCTCACGTACCACAGCAGCGATGCCTTCATTGTAAAAGAGACTTTGACCAATCGCCACATACTTCTCCGCGAATTACTGCAGGCTCAAGCTGCAAGTCGCTCGAAAGAATCAGCTGCAGACAGATTGAAAGGTAGCTCTAGTGTCAAAAGAGACAAGGTCGATGAGGCTATTGCCGCACTCGACGAGGCACGTAGCCATGAAACTTACCTTTTGCAAAAGTCGCAGCGTGTTACGGCAAATCTTTTGCAAGAACAAAAGAAATGGTTCGACCGGACCGCAGTCGATGTCAGGGCAGCCATCCGCGAATATGTCATTCGCCAAATCGAGGCAGAGCGCCGGACCCTTGCAACATTGGAGCAGGTCCGGCCTGACATCCGAGCGATCGACAACAGTGGTGGATTATCAAGACTCGGTCGCGAAGCACACCCTGCGCAGCGTCGTGCTTCACTTGCAAGTTCACAGGGTCCTAAGGGCGATGCTTGGTCTGGCGTCCCAAGACGTCCTGGTGATGGACTCAACCGAAGCATGAGCGGCAGTATTGCGACTGTCCCAGTGCAAGAAGAGGAGGAAGACGAGACAGGCACCGGCGGGCGCAAACGTGCTGCTAGCAAATCAGGAAGCACAACTGCAGCTGAGGAAGATGATGATCGCATCGATGCGAAGAATGCCGCTAGCAGGTTGGCTACAACAACATTCTAGTACAGGTTGAATCAGTAGCCGGATTTGTCCCCCATGGCAGACCTATATCGAGCTGGCAGTCCACTAGCCCCATGTTCCATGTTGTTAAACATGGAAATTCCACCTCTCTCTGTACTCTCAAATCGCATCAACCTACTATGGCTGGCGTGCCAAAGCAAATTGCCATAGTACCATTCCTAGACATGACTACGTCGGAGACTGGCCTACGAGGGTCTATTTGACAATGATGCACCTTATAATCCATGATACCTTCTGGTGTTTGATGTTGAACATTGTGCAATATCATTAGCGTCGGAGGCATAACTTCTATACAATTTTCAACATATCCACTAAACGCAACCCAGAACATCAGGCAATATGCATGCAACAAGTGCTTCCGATCGAGTGTTACACGGCTGATGGGACCTTGGTCTTCGGTTTGCCAATTAAACATGTACAGCGTCAGTGAAGAACGTGCCGGCATTGCTCGCGTTACACAATGCAACGGCTCCACATTTACTTTGCCGACTGCAATCTGTAGCTTCTCTGCTACTGGTGATCTGTGCTACCCTTTTCGGCGCAGGGTCTTGTCCTGTCACGGCCAGAGGCTGGCTAGCCTCCGCATCCGCTTCTAACCATAAATTGAATACGGCGCATCTGACCTTGCTCTGCAGAAACCAAGCCTGGGATCGACTGTCCCGGCCAAGGACATTCCCAGGTCCATAAGCGTTGATGCGCCCGTAAGGCCGGTACGAAGCAGAGAAACCTTTTTCGAAGTGGTGCACCACCAGATAGTTGGCGAATTGACAAGGGCTAGCAGTGAAAAAAACCAACAGAATCATGAAGCAGAAATTGTTGAAATAACGTCTAGAAATAGCTAACTGTACCCGGGACGCTAGGGTAGAGTTTCGGCAAAGAGGAGAGCTTCCCTGGATTGCAAGATTGGGAAGTTAATAAGTTCTCGAGGCCCAACCTGGAAATGGCTTTCCATCGTACGGCACTGGTGCAGCCACCGTCCGATACTTGACCAGAAAATCACAGCGACGACTTGGTCCACCAGGTCTACGGGCGCGACATTGATCAACTGATGCGCTTGCGCTTGGGATTGCCACCAAATATAATATAGGGAGACATGGCAAGGCTGTGCAGATTGTGGAGCAAAACGCGGGGTCTTATATTATTGACGATGAACCTTCGTCAACGGTAACAGCGCTAACAGCAATATCTTGCCCGTTATACCATCCACGTTGCGTGGCAGCCAATAAATCTATAGAGCTTTCACGTCGTACAAAGACCGCTGGGCGTTGTGGGCTTCGAGAAGCGGCCACGCCGTTTTTACCAGTACGTACCTCTGCGGAATGATGCTCCGTGGAGCATATTTCCAGCCGATATCGTCTGGATCTTCTTGCCAACTTGGACGGTTGCATAATACACTTTTCGCTCTTCGAAGATCTCTGCCTATGGCAATGTCTTGAGGCCCTTATCTTCATTTACAATGGAGGCTAACACGACAATTTTAATCTGAATGATCGCCAAACTTTGAAAGCTCCTCGCTCCAGGAGCCGATCCCCGCAAAAGTGTATCGAGTACCGCACGTCGTGGTCGGACCGTCGGATGCCAGACCAGCATTGTTGAGGAACAGAGAGAGTACAGAAGCCGCTAGGCAAGGGTTACGGGGGCGTATGACCGTGCCACCCAATGCTTTTGGCGAGCATGGCGAGGAGACCTAAGCTGGGAGGATCCTACCTAAAACCTACCCCATGCGGAGGCAGCTGACACGACCTCGACTCACCTCGCTGGTTTCCACGTCTCCACGGGGGTACGCACATATCACGCTGGGCACCTGGACTAGCACGGCCAGACACAGTTTTTTCCCCAGTTCAGGAACACCAGCACGACGAGTACATGGGGCGGCTTGAGAGCATCCCAGTCACACCTGTTCACTGGAGCTTTTCTTTCGTCAACAATTCTCTGTCGCCCCACCTCCATTCATCATCATTAGTGTGACAGCTGCTGGGCGGGTACCGTGTTCTGTACGGTGGAAGGACGGTACATGAGTACTAGCAGCTGAAGGACTGCAGTGAGCCTGAATCCGAACCCGCATCTTATGCAGCTTCGACCGACAGTACTGTTTGCCTTGTAGACCTCGAACGTTCGGGAGCGTTTGCGGGAGTAAGCGGGCAGGAGATATGATTGTGAGAAGGACTTTATTGGAATTGTATTGCTGGTGTCAAGTGCCTCTTGAGTCTTGAATGTCTGTGAGTGGTCCCGAGTGTGATGTTGTATGACCTGTGGCGCCGAATATCGAGGAAGGACTTGCGTTCCATGCAACCCCTGGGAGACACCTACATGACTGTTCTGATGTACACACTCGTTCGACCCTCCACAACCCCCAGCCGAACCTTGATTAAGCGAGCAGAAAACGCTGTACGGGGCCTGAGCTCCGGGTAAAAGGTCGTGGAGGTGTCTTCGCAGTGGCCCAAAATGACGATGGAGCAATACACGTCTGACATTCTGCGAATCACATTTGTGCACATTAGTAAATGCTGGACATGCTATTTCCGCTAGTAGCAGTGAGTACAAATTCGAGCTCGAGATAGAGCTGCGCCGTAGCCACCAACCATTCTGGCACACCCCAGCACTCAGATCCTATGCACCAGGCATCCTAGCTGAGAACACGTTAGAGAACCAAGAGGGAAGCGGAACGCGCATCGCAGCCACAAGCCGGCCTATACGGCCTCGGATGTGCTGCATGTTATAGCGAGAGGTTCATTCTTATTTGGATGCGGCCCAGGTCCTTATGTGCGGCCTTCTTTTGCCCTGACTTCTCAATCCAAACCCTGACCCTGCACCTGTTCTCAACTTCTCGTCTGTCTCCTCTCTTTCGCAAACAAGTGTGAACAACAGGAAACACACGGCCAGCTGAATCTTTCTTTGCTTTTGTTGTCGTTCCTCGCTCTCCACCATTAAGCGAACAACCATTCGGGGGATCCCCAGATCACCAACCAGCCGTTCGCCTCATCCCGCTTTTCGGAGGATCAGGTGGACATACACAACCCAAAGAACCAAAGAACGTTTCAAGCGTGGGAAAACCCAGTACCGCCAAAATGGTCAAAGTGTTTCGCAAGATCAAGTCGGCCCTTTCGCCAAACATCGAACCCGATCTCCCGCCAGCATATTTCGAAAGCATCCAGGCACAGCGGAAGCTGTCTTACACGTCTTCCAATGAGCAATCTACCACGGAGTTCGACCCACTCGTTGTTTCAGCATATGAGCTGTCTGATATGCTCAATTGTGGAGCAGTGACAAGTGTCGAGATTGTCCAGGCATATCTCCACCAGATCGAGCAACACAACCGAAGGGGCCGTCAACTCCGAGCTCTGATATCTGTAGCACCAAGACATGAATTATTAAGGATAGCAAGAAAGCTTGACGATGAGCGATCAAGAGGAAAGCGGAGAAGTCCGCTTCATGGAATTCCTATAGTGCTAAAAGACAACATCATGACCGATATTAGTCTTGGAATGGACACCACTGTTGGTACGTGAATCTACTAGGATTCCTTTGCTAGAAACTAAACTCTGAATTTGTAGGATCATATGCTTTTGTTGGAGGCGTGCCCAGAAAAAACGCTACAATTGTCGACCGTTTAGTGCGCAGGGGAATGATCATCATGGGAAAAGCGAATCTCACCGAATTTTGTGGACTCAAAAACCCTTCCATGCCTCCTGGGTGGTCGGCCGTGGGCGGCCAGTGCCAGTCACCCTACGTGGCCCGCCACATTGCAAAGAGAAAGCTGCACTGGGAACTGTCCGCACCAGGAGGCTCGTCGACCGGCTCAGCCGTGAGTGTGGCATCAGGCTTCTCCACACTCGCCGTCGGCACCGACACAATTGGTTCGTTGATCACGCCAGCAAATCGTGCGGCGTTGTACGCGCTCAAACCGACAGTAGGCGAAGTTCCCATGGATGGCATCTTTTGCCTAAGCAAGACTTTTGACTCCGCGGGAGGAATGGCAAAGTCGGCAAAGGATCTGGTCGCGTTGATGGACGCTATGATGCTACCAACGAGCAAGGAGACAGGCACGAAAGTGCCAACGACATGTTTTCGCATCAAAGAGGATTGGGGAAATTTAAGGATTGGATTTACCGAGCCTGTGATCTGGAAGTCGTGGAAGAAGAGCGGTCGGATCAACGCGGATGCGGAGCGCTTCATGGTATGTTGGGCGAATATCTTGTGTCACGAGTTTTCTAGAGCCACACATTCAGCATTTGCGATCTCTCACTGACATAACTGATAGTTACAAAAATACGAAATGGTTGTCCAAACCCTCATTGACATGGGCGTGGATATCGTTTACCCTGTCGAGCTACCTCCGCAGTCTTCATTGAACATGGAAGATAATAAGAACAGCTTTGAGCCTATCGTCTGTAAGTTTCTTCGATGTTCCTTAATGCAGACATTTCTAACTCGATGATTAGACTCCGAATTTAAGGAGTGCCTCTCAGAATTTATCCGTGATTTTGAGGTGACAAAGGTACATTCGCTCGCCGAGATCATCAACTTCAACCTCGAGCATCCTGAACTAACCCTTCCACCATGTATGTCCATCAGCCACTTCATTGATAACTACAAACTAATCGCAACCAGCTTGCCCGAATCAAAATGACTTGATGGCAGCACTCCAATCCGGCATATTACGCGACGAAGTCAATGCTGCACGACAGCACCTCAAATTGGCTGGTGGTCGTGAAGGCCTAGATTTCATATTCGCCGACCAACAACTCGACATCATCGTCGCACCGGGAGACGCCGCGCTCTCATCTCTCGCGGCAGCAGCAGGATACCCCACCGCAGCATGCCCTCTATCAGCCCTCAAGCTCAACGGGCAACCTTTCGGCCTGACCCTCGCATCACGTGCCCACACCGAACATATGCTCCTCCACTTCCTGACCGCTTTCGAGGCGACATTTCCTCCGCGAGCGCTACCACTCCCCCTCTCCAGCGTCCCGCTCCAGGATCCGTGTCCCGAGCCGCTACCTGACAAACCGATCATCGACCTCATTCTCCACGAGTGGGATACACGCCGCTTTTCGTGTTCGGCGGACGCGTTGGCAGATTGGCTCAATGCAAGGTGGCGAAAGAGTGGGTACGAGCTTTCGGCAGAGACCATTTGTGAGGTGTTGAGGAGCAACGGGAGAATTGCCTTTAGGGGCCTGGGTGATGATAGCCAGGGCGCTTTTGCGAGATGATGGTGATGATGATGACGATGATGATTGATTACGAACAGCGGGTCCCGTTTTTTCTAGTCTGGCAAAGAAAGTGACAAGGGCATCATGAAGGGCGTTTTTGTATGGGCTTGTTTGTGATATCCACTCGTTTTTACCTACTTTTCTTCTCTACGAGAAACATGTTAGGGAGCTTTGAGCTACTAGGCTAGGGGTTTGCATTGAAGGTGAAATGGGAGTTGAGTCAATCAAATTCAAGTGGAGACAATTGTATTGGGGATTGTAAAATTACATTGAATGCATAATTATGGACTTGAAGTAACAGTAAGAGACTGTTGTAGAATGCCCACTGTGAGCGAACTCGAAGACAAGGCTGCTATCGATTTAGTAAGCAAGTCTTCGAATTCATGCTCGAGCGAATTCTGAAGCCTCTCTAGTCACCTGAAAGCAGATTATTCCATCCCACTCAAACAAAAGGCCTGCATACAAGCCAAATTCCGGTCAAATGTGCATGTCCGTTCGGCTGCATCGACCGTTCTCGAGCCGTGCCGAAACCGCGATCATCGCTGCGCCCGAATGCACGCCTCTGAAGGATTCCGGTGCCGCCTCCGCAGGCACCAATCATCTTGACATCAAGCCTAGATATTCCTTGGACCGTACAAGGTGACCTTATCGACCTGAATCTCGAATCGCTCACCGTCCAAGCCATTGAACACGCTGTGCCAATAGCTTTCCTTCGATCCATGCATTGCTTTGTCCAATGCATTGATCATGTCATACAACCTATGGTTATCATTCTCCTGCCACAAACGCTCCGCGGCGTTCACATCACCCGTCTTGTGGCTGAGATGCACCTGCAACCTCATCGCCGAATAATTCGCAGTGGTGAGAAGCGTGTAAGCCTCAGCAAAGGATTCAGGAAGAGCATGGAATTGGCGAATCGGGGCTGCTGGGCTAGGCGACTTGGACGCGTGGTGAATGGGTGATGCTGGGGTGCTTGGCAGTGAGACGGCGGCATCCGGGAGCACGAGGCGTGATAGGCGGAGTACGAACACGCTCTTGCTGATAAAGGGAGCGGCGTCGCGGCTGGACGGGATGGGGCGCTGCTCGTACTTGGAAACGGGGTATCGGTTGACCCAAATCGCATGGTGCATTAGGATTGTGGGCGATGCGGGGGTTGTGAAAGCGCATTGGAAATATACGCAATCGTTTTCGTCACGCCGATGGTGCCACTCTTGGTATTGGATGCCGTAGTGATTGGAGTGGGATTGCATTGCATCGATAAGAGCCATGACTTGCGCATTCGCTTCGTCAAGGGAGATGAATGAGGTGAGAATAGGCCGCTCGATAGGAAATGTGTTGCGATCCGCATTGGCCGTGAAGAGCTGTTGGCGGATGGAATATTCGAAGAAAGGGATAGGTTCCTCTGACTCTCTTGGGCCGTCTTCGGGGCACTTGACGTAAAGAACTTCAGAAGCATAGTTGTCGTGCTCAGGATCGTATGTCAAATCCATGTCCGAATATTCCTCAACGGCACCAACGTCTGCATTTACCTCACCTGGCCCATCTATTTCCTCAATCTCAACCGAGGGGATAGCTCTAGGTGATGCTGGACCAGCGTCCATTGGCCACTCTGGATCATTCGTCATCTCAGAAAAGATCTTGACACTTCGATCTGGGGTGTCGCGCTGCTCACATTCTGTTAGCTCAATTTCCTCTCCCACGTTACCAAGGACCTGCGCTGAAAGAACATGTGATGTAAGTAATTGTCCTGATTTATCCTTAGGTTCGGCCTGCAAGCCGCTGCTCAGTGCTTGAGCGAGATGCTCTTGATTGCATGTTATCGAAGAACTGACGGCAGGTTCCTTTTCCTTTTTCTGACTCCAAGCTGCACCCATCTTCCAGATATCAGTGGAAGACAGTTGGGCTTCTTCCTGGTCGCTGAAGTCATTGTTGCTGATAATGCTTGTACACCGGCCTCCGAAAACCTCATTTGCTCCACTGAGTGGTTTCTCTTTCATTTCTTGTGACGGGATGGTGTTGACATGGCTCGTGGTGACGCCTTGTGAAGCAGCACCAGCCTCTTTCGTAGGCTCACTTAAATTTCCAGTAGAGGGCCTGATGCTTCCGGTGTTTGCTGGATGCTTTTTGGCAACAATATCTTTGTATCGAACAGGTTCAGATGAAGGATTTGATGAATCGCGCTTTTGATATCTATCCATTGCATAAGACGATTTCGACACTATTGGTTGCACCTCTTCCATGACATCAACTCTTGCTGCTCGAGAGGGAACTCTAACATTTTCCTTGGGTACGTGTTTAAGCTTTCTGGACTCAGGTATTGGATCATCGACTGCCTTCGTAGTTGGAGGGGGTATTTTCTTCCTCTGGACTTGAGACATTGTATTTCCTTTTGCAATCGAGGTAGTCGATTTCGTTGATGATGGACGACCTTCTAAATCGTTGATAGCTGTTACAGGGCGCACAGTAGGTGATGAATGCATCCTGTTTGGAGTCATGTTGCCGGTTGAGACTGTTCGAGGCGCATCGCGCTTCATTCCTCGAGATTCACCGGCCTTGTCTTCTGTTGTGCGAGATGGACGTTGTAAGTTGGAGGATATGTCCGGCTGAGATTCTCTCGAGGCGATTTTCTGGCGATTCTGAGTCTCGCCTTGTCTATAAGAATCTTTCTGAGCAATGTTTGGATTATGTTGAATTCCATCCCGCCTCTTAGAATCCAGAGGAGCATGCCCCAAATTAACTTGACTCTTGATTGATCTCTGACCCTCATTACGTTTTTGGGAATCTATCGGAACAGTTCTGCTACCGTCATGGCCCTCTTTGAGTCGCTGAGCATCACCGGGAGTGGTTTTCGAACGGCTTTGTTCCCTGCTTCGTCCTTGGAAGGTGTTCGCACTGTGTATGCCAACATCTCTAGAGAAACGGTTGAATGGTTGATCGCTAGAAACAACGGGCTGTCTAGTGGAGGTGCGTGTGTCCTTAGAAGTTTTATCCACGTTTACACTAAAATTCGTATTCTCCGTTCTCTTGGACTTGCTGGTAGGAATTTGGTATACAGTTCTTGGCGCATTTGTCGGTGCATCTTTGGGACTAATTGCATCTCTCTGTTGGGACAGATTTGGGTTCTGGATTTGGACGCGCTTGGCATTGGGATTGGGAAAAGAGGATGCCTCCCGGTTGCGCACTGGGTCGTTACTAGCGACAGTGGATTTATTGGCGTTTTTGCTAAGCAACCGTTTGAGTAGATTTACGTTTAGTGTTCCTCCGGCCGATGGAGATGCAGTGTCCTTGTGAAGAATCTTGGCCGTTCTATGCTCCTCATTTAGAACCACCGAAGTTTCTTCGCGATTAGAATGGTTGCTCTTTGGCAATGGCTTCTTAGGGCTGTGTGCCACTGAAGATTCCCTTTCAAAGTTCTGTTTTGTTGGGAAAGCCAGAATACCCTTGTTTCCCTGAACCCGTTCCGGTCTTCCATGTGTTGTTTTTTCATCCTCATCATCGTCCGAGCCAGAATCAATCACGAAAGGACCAGCGATCTTGGGACGTTTGCGATCATTGTTGTTCGTACGATCTGGGCTTGGCGAGTTCTCCGTTCGTGCTCGCTTTTGCTCACTCCACTTCCCTCTGTCCATGATTGTGGGTGGGGGAGCTATGGTGATCTTACCGTTGTTGAAAGTCGAAGACTAGCTTCGATGTGATGCTCCTGTTTGATTGAGATATTAGAGGGATCTTGGCAGTTCAAGATCAATACCACGGTGTGGTTTGTACTAGCTAGAGTGAAGTGAGATGTGGGCAGAGGGAACACGTGAATTTCTTCATCCACGTTTATACGACAACACCGTACCTTGACTATTGCTTGCGCGGCCTGCCTTGTTGCTCAGGTCTTTGTTTGGGCAGCTGTGGTGCTTCTTGCACTCAGCCTCAGGTTGAAAATAAAGGTGAGGATGCTTTGGAAGATTCGAAAACTCAGCAGAATGAGACTGCGCGGGTTGGGGTGACCGATTGAGGTGAAGGAGACTAAGACTGACTGGTCTTGTGTTACCATCATCACTGTGCTATTGCGGAGGCAACTTTCTCCGCACCGACCGAACCACTGTTTGCCTGTTCACCGTTCAAAAGGAATGCGATTGGAAGTGAGAGAAACCGTTGACAGCTTTCTGATTCCATATGTTTTTAAGGTATCTCGCCAGAGGATTGAGTACTACAGCAAGATCTTGTATGACTAACTTCGCACTACTTAACAACTGGTTTCCTTTTCGAACTAATTCATGATTTTGCATGTCCTCTAATTAGGGACATGTATCGTTCATTTTTAGACTTCATACTGTCGTTATCCTCTACAAGTCGTTTTGATTCCAGAAGTGAGTGTAATATGGCCACAGAAGACAATACTATCACTGGTACTTCCATCAGTTGTATCAGCAGCCCGTAACACTATACTCAAGTCTCTATAAATATCAATATATAGATTTGTTAAAAGAACTCAAGCAATGCCTTTCTCCAGGATCTGTTTCGATCAAGTAGACACATGCAGTCATGAAGCATGTAGTTGTTGATGACTAACGCCGGGTAGCCGAAAGGGGTCTAGTGTCTCCACACTCCAAAGTAAAACCTTTGTGCCGTCATGACAGCATCAGTCCTCAATTAGGAGAATCATCGATTGGGCGACAACATTCAATATGGCAGAAGCTCTCACTACCGTTGGGATACCTATTCCCGAACGGACATTGAGAGACACTGCAAGAAATATACACAATATATTGCCCAAATTCGAAGAATTGGAGCAAAGCCTTGGCGAGAAGTAAGGATTCGAAGTCCGTGTGTTTCGCGTATTGGATCGATTTCATTCTGACAATTGTTCAGGAAATTATATAGTGTCGTTGGTCCTCTGCTAGACACGGCTGAGATTGCAGATCTATCGTCTCCTCACCGTGCTGCTTCCAGTAATGCACTGTGTGCGTTCATAGAAACTTGCCAGGCTTCTCGTGCAACCTATGTCCAGCATGCTTTACTGTCCGACTCAATTTGGTTTCGTCTCCTCGAAATCTTCTTGCAGAGGTCAGATAATGCGAAAGGAAAGTCTATGAGGCATATGCTTCTTGCACTTACTAGTGTGTTGCAGAAAAATGAAGACACTGAATCAAGTCAACTACTCCGCGATCGTGCCATACAAACTTTCCTGGACATCATATGTCTACGCCATGATCGTGTCAAGGTCAAACCAGCTCTACAAGGACTATCGCATTTTCTTTCGAAAGATGTAGTCACCCTTGAAAGGCTTAATCATCTGTATGGCCGTCTTGCGGAGGAGGCACCTGGCAAAACGTCGTCATCTACCCAATCTCTCCTGCGGAAACTCCTCACATGGACCGTTCATCATGACACGGCCTTGTCAGCAGGCCACTTGATAAGGAATTTTCTCATCCATGTGCGAAAGAGTTCTTCAGATACCGAATCTACTACTCCAGAAGGCTCGGTCCGCCCATTGTGGATACAGCCCGTCGTAGAGATGCTACGTCAATGGCCAGATAGGATGCAAGAATTCAAGACCCATGTCTTTCCACATTGTTTTCTTCCATATGTTGACGAGTATGCGCGATTCCTATCTTATCTTCACTTCAAGGACCACCTTGGGGTAAATGAAGACTTGCCGGATTCACTTGAGTTGTACGCGTCACATGAGACCGGTCTGGAAGGCGCAGAAGAATTCAAAATTTTATTGGCCACCATTCAGACGGGTAAAGAACTAGGGATTGTGAAGGATATAGGTAGGTTGCACCTATACAATGCTTCTATGCTTGCTCATTATGTACAGATTTCCGCCACTGCGCAGCTATCGAGTTGCACGCTGATGCTATCCATATACCTGATAATCTATTTGCTGTGTGGCTGTCTAATCCAGAGCCCGAAATTCGCCTTGCTGGATTGTTCATCTCCGTCTACTCCACCGCAGTTACTAGACCACTTACAGCCGGAATACTCACGTCTATCAAACGGAACATCGTGCATCTACATACTGATACTGATGCAAATTTCCGCAAGGAGCTGTTGACTCACACACAGCGTTTGTTTGACAGATTGCGAGGGAGCACGACTGCTCTGTCGAAGCTGGAACCTACTGGGACGATAAAAGATGCTAGCGGCAGAATTATGATCGGTCCGCAACGGCGATCTTCAACACCAGGGCAGACTACAACTCATCAAGATTTATTGCGGGAATCCATGGACTTTATCTCATGGTACTTGAGATTTCTTGACTGGGAGCTAAGGTCTACTGCTTCGTATCAAAGACGGATCACTGCGTTGAGATGTCTGACTATCGTTCTTCGTTCGGGACTGGATCCACAGGTACCGCAGCGCCATCTTTCAAAGACTGCCCAGGGTCAGCTACGTTGGGTATACGGCCACCATATCATCAATACGAGACTGGTTAGGTCTATGCTTGATTTGATTTTCGACCCATTCGATGACATCCGCAGTACAGCGGTCGCGGCTTTGGATATTTGCTTTGATTGTTTGTCCACGGAAGCTAAAGTTCCCGTCTTGCAATCATTCTCATCTTTACTTCGCCGTGCAAAGGATACAATGCTTCGCACCGGACGTGCCGACCAGGCCGATGGTCTAGCACGAGCATATGCACTGTTGTTCTCACATTGTTCGGAGGAAGTTCCTCTGGGCTTGGATCCCAAAGTTGGCACATGGACTAAATCAGCGATTGTCGATAGTTTGATTACTCACCTGGAGAGCACTATTGAACTCGCACAACAAGATTTATCTAAAGCAGTAAATGGACATCCGGTCCATGGTATATTTGCTTCTCTCAGGTAAGCCTTCCCATTAATCTACCTAGCACTTCTAATCGGTAGTTCAGATACATTATTGACCAGGAAACATTCTATGCTGAAGTGTCCTCGTCACCAATAGAAGTGAAGCAGTTTTGGAAGCAATCACATGCACGCATCCGTCGGTGTATCGAATCATTGTGGGCCTGTGTAGAACACGTGCTTTGCGCAGATGCACCAGAAGGCCACGTTCCGGATGACTTTGACGAAGCCGAGAGTCTTGATACTAAGGAAATTCTCAGCTATTCATGGAGAGGGCTAAAGGAAGCAAGGTCAGTCATGAAAAGCCAGAAATTGTGGACGTACTAATGCTTCTTTAGTGTTCTACTCCGAACGATCGTATCACGGGCACCCATAGGATCTGACGCGTCCGATATCTTGACGGTGGAGGAATTTGAAAAACTCGGTAAATCCTGCTTCACTCAGCTCGTGGAACTTCGACATCGGGGTGCGTTTTCTACGGTTGCGCAAACCTTTGCCGCATTTTGTCGTAGATGCGCCTCTTCAGACGACCAGACACTGCGAGCATTGCCACTACGATGGTATCAGGTATGACTGTTGTCACGTTGGTCTGGGTGTCGCTAATGAGATCAGGAAGCGCTGTCTTCGATTCAAGACAAGGCAACATCGATTACTCGGAGATCTGCTGGAATACCCTCCCTTATTACAGGCATAGTTGCTTCTGAGTCACCACCAGACCCTCTCTTCCGCCGTGCAATGGATGACTTGGTTAAGGAGTTATCCCAGGAGGCCCATGATTCCAACATTGAAGAGAGTCGTCTCCCGCAGGTTCACGCTTTGAATAGTATCAAAGAAATTTACACAACCTCAAAGTTAAGCTCCGTGTCCGAGTCATATATCGGCGAAGGCCTGGACATAGCAGCCAGGACACTGAGTTCAAATGTGTATGTACCCAAGCTCATGTAGGATCTCACCGTCGCTAATATTTCCAACTAGTTGGCCCATAAGAAACTGTGGGTTAATGCTGTTCAAGGCATTGATTGAAAGACTGTTGGGAAGTGACGAGGCACAAGACTGGAAAGAAGCAGACCGAGCAAGATCATCACGATTCTCATACAACAATTACCCAACTCTAGTGGGTATCCTCATTGGCCTACTTGATCCAAATGGGCCTCTTAAGAAGTCGATGACCACTGCGGAAGGTGGTTCGCCGATGGACCTTCACGGCGCCGAAGGTGTATTCCCAGCTCTTCAGATATTGCGACAAGCACCGCCGCCTGAAGAAAGCAGACAGCTAATCACGCAATCTGTATTCCACCTGCTGGGAAGTCCACACTGGCACCTTCGCGACATGGCTGCCCGGACTATTGTGTCTTTGAAGTATCCCCATGAATACATCGACACGGTCGTAACACTTCTCTCTTCCATTAAGATATCGAAGACATCGCATAATGCGCAACACGGAATTTTATCATGTGTAAAATACCTCTTACGCAAGTATCTTCAGGATGATAGAATCCTTAGTTCGGGTAAGTGCCTCCCTCTCGCCTGAGCTGTTCATGATATATCTTTCCGTGATAGTACGAGAGCTAATGAGTTCAGAATTATTGTCGGAAGCCATGTCTGCTCTTTTAGATGCATCCAATACCATAATTGAGGAGAGCACTTGTCCGTTTACCAAAGCAGCCTTCGCAGACCTTGTTGTCATATCCGGGTTACTACTACTCCCGGGTCAGCCACGCTCTACTAAAGCATTGGAAGCTTGGTCTAGGCTCTACGAGATCCTTATAGGCCAACAACTCAAGCTGAAGAAGGCTGTTGCTGCCAGCTCACTTTTCCGAACAGCTGCCATTCAAGCATTACTGATCCATCACATCCTCCTGTACGCTGGGAAAGAGAAAACCCTGATACTTCCGGAGCATAAGACCGGTTTCAGAGACTGCTTGATAGTGGAGTCTCAAAAAGATCCAGACTCGTGTAGTCTCTTGTTGGATTCGTTCCCACTCATCATCCGTCTGGCAAATACCTCAGCACTATCCAGAGCTGTTCCCGACTTATTTGGACACATACTCTGGCTTACAGTTCACGTAAAGGATCCTGAAGTTCAAGCCAAGGCCCAAGAGCTTGTAGCAGATGCTTTCTCCAGAGATTGGAACCTACGGGACAAAGTGCTCAAGGACTTCCAGGTCGAAGACCTATCACAAGTACTCGACAATCTCGAGCAACAAAGCCTGGAAGGGTCGCCATCCAATATGCAGAGCGCGTTGCATTTGTATGGATTTCTGCTTGACTTTGCATTCAACAAGAGCCTCGCGACAGAACATCTTCATCGACTTCCGAACTATATCCGCGTGCTCCGAATGACCATAATCGACACAAATGTAAGCCCTGAATTCTATAATATTGATATGAAACATGGTATGCTAAACTGTACTCAGCCATTTGATACCCGCTTCGCTGCTGTGCAGTCTTTGGCTGCACTTGATCATGTTTGGTCAATGTCAATCGAGCTGCTAGATTCAGACTTGTACCGCGCGTCTATACTAGGTCTCAGTCTCGTACTATACGACCTCCTCAATGATGACGACGATGAAGTACGCGATGTTGCGGCTCTCACAACTTCTCGTCTACTAGCGTCTCGGGGCCTTCAAAGGCATGCTCAACCAGCAGTGCCCATCATTGCCGCGCAACGCCTAGCCACGTTCCTCTCTTCATCATACGCAGGATCTAACATACTATGTAAAGAGGGTCTACGACGATTGACAAACTCTCCTTCCTCTGGTCATTTGTTCAAGGTTGCCTTCACTGATATTCTCACCGACGAAAGGAAGGAAGATGATGCCCTTTTCGCACAAGAGAAACAGAACCTTTTCAAGGACGATACTGCAGAGGTCGCAACATGGACACGTGTTCTGAAGTCTCTGTCTTCTCCCGCAACGGCTTCACTTGTGGTGAAGCTGAGACTGTGGGTAGTCAACGCGTTGCACGTCCTAGAAGAAACCGCAAATGGTGAAGTAGACGGAGCATTGGGATGGTTGAGCAAACCTGAGGTATTTGTCTTGGTTCTCAGAGTCATCTGTGCGGCTGAGGTGGCATTGAAGTGGGATCGATTTGGTGGAACAGATATTCGCAAGTCACTGAATAGTTTCCTTGAAACGGCTCACAAGAGTGACGTTCATGGACTATTGATCGATAGAGCGGAGAAGGTTTTGGAAGGAGATGTCGTAGACCTGATCAGACGAGTGCATAAAGGTCTGTCGTCAATTTGATCAACTTATATCAATTTAATTTGTGTCTTTGACGTCTAGACGCAGCGCTCGCGTGCTCTTTGAGACCTGATTTCAAGTGAACTTGACTTACTTGGAGCGATTCATCTTGGCCTCAAGTCTGCTTTTAATCTAACCATTAGTGATCTTACTTGACTTCAAGTGATCTTGCTTTACCTAAAGAGATCTGGGTTTGCCTTAAGTGATCCAGCTTTACCTTGAGTGGTTCAACTTAGGTGAAGGTGAGAGAGAACGGGGCTAATCTAAATAAATCTCCTTCGATTCTCCTCCACTCTCACGATTCATTCCACTTCCACAACAAACCTCAATCTTTCAACCCTACACCTTCAACATCCACTCAAACCCACAAAGCCGACACATCAAAATGGGTCTCTCCTCTAGCGATACTATTCTCCTGCTCAGCATAATCGCTATGTTTCTCAGCCCCTTCCTCGTCTTTGGCATCTGGGCTATTGTGTAAGATTTGCTCCCCCACCACCTAGCCGCCATCCCCATGAACTTCATCATAACCACTGCTTTGTGATTAGCTCGTATCGGACTAGAATTGCCAATCTCTACCGTCGATATGGAGCACTCCATCCCCCTCTTTCCCCCGAGGAACGTCGCGAAAGAGGTACGTATTCTACTAGACAACTTGGCCCGGCTTGACGCAGGTTCACTAACTTCTAAGCAGACGCGGCCAGAGAACGAAGGGCTGAAGAGGCACGAACGCGTGCCGCCAATAATGTAAGAAGAAATAGATTTCTTTCCACAAGCTATCACAGCTTCCCATACTAACGCTGTATTGAAAGTCATATAATTTGCAAAACGTTGATGCCACAAGGAATTGATTCCACAACACAAACTGTGCGGCACGTTACATCGAACCGAACTACGACAATCTTCTTGTTTTTCGAACGCACGAATGCCCATACAATGGCAACTTCACCTTTCTTCGCTTTCACATAATTGGGCACCGGCTGAAGAGTTTGCTTGGATTTACTTCGCTTCACGCGATAGTACAGAAATCATGGCGGATAATGAATGGATGCTGGAATTTGGGCTAGTCACCATTACACCCGATGTTTGTTGGCATCGAGCCACTGCAGCGGGATAGCAAACAATTTCTTGCCCCTCGGCTTGAGTTCAAAATACAAATGCCTACTTCAATTTTCCAAAATACGTGCTTTCGTAACGTGGATTTCCTGTTTGTTTCTTTGTTTCTAAGTGATTTGCAGGCTTTTGAGATGAAGACGGAGAAAAGCACCATCATAGCCATCGTCTTCGCAGGCGTTCTCGGTGCTATCGTGCTGTGGGTTGCAATACTCCACTTGCTGAGGTGTTTCAGACGGAAAGGCTACCATGTGGATCAATTCTTCGCCGTTCGAGTAGCGCAAGAGGGCCATGAGCAACCGTCGTTCTTTCATTTCTGGCGCCATAACGACGTTCAAGAAGATTATGGCGCCGAGAAGTATCAAGATGAAGCCGATTTCCCTCTGCGATCACGGTATAAACGACCGGATCCGAGATCGAGGCCGTACGAGGAACAGAGACGATATCCGGGCCGCGGTGAATTTCAACGACCACGGTCACGATCTTGGAGTAGGGAAAGACACACTATCGAAGTTGAACCAGTCATTGAAGAAGCAAGAGACGATACGCCAATGCCATCTAAAAGGCGTCGAAGATACGATCGAAGCCCTCCTCCACGTCTAGAACGCTATGCCCGAGGAATGAATGTGGCCGAACCACCAGCGATTGAATATCAGAATCATGGACACCAATTACCTCAACCAGCGATGGTCTACCCTGTGCAATTCCAGATGCCGGCAGCAGTGTTCCCACAAGTAGCCTCAGGCGCTGCCCCGATGATAGCGCCCGTCTTTGCGGCTCCCATCCAACCAGTTTGCGGACACCAAGTCTATCAAGATCATGTCGACAAAAGCATATTCAAGAGTGCGGCTGAATCGCAACCGCCTAGCGCAAAGCCGGTCCACCGCACAGTACACTTCGTCGACTTTGTCGATGAGCTGCCTCCATGGGTAGAAACGCGAGCAAAGCAACCCTCAGACTCGACGAAGCACGCAGATGCTAAACAAGAGGCCGATAGTGATGAGGAGATAGAACAGATCCCTCGAGCATACATACCCCGCTCAGCGCTAAGAGCAAGAAATGTCATCCCAGAGCCCGCGATCTTCCCGCAAGCCTTCATACAATCGAAGACGTGGAAGAAGACACCCGCATTGCGACATAAACATGCTACGAAGATGGCATCACATGGACAAGAGCGGCCGTCCAGTGATAATTCGCAAGATGAAAGCGAGCCTGGGACCAGCAACTTGGAAATGAGTACTGTTTCCTCATAAATCCTGCTTCGAAGCCGGGTGAGCTTTGTTTTGTCCTGTTTCTCGCAATCGTTGGTGCTTTACTGACCCCATTATCATGTCAATAGAAGTCCAAGATCACAACATGCGCCAACATCACTACACGGCAGGGGGAGATCCGGGAGCAAGTAGCAAGACGCTCTCTATGGCGAGTCAGAAACGACAGAACGTTTTGAAACAGCGACAATCCAGTGTGCAAAGCAACACTCAGACTCAGATTCAAAGTGAAGTAGGGGAGGAGGCGGAGAAGTCTATTCAGGATTCGGGGCGGCAGAGCCCAATTGCTTTGGTAGACCTCGATGCATCAACACTGGCCGAGACTGCCAATCCCAAAGCAACAGTTGATGAATGCAAATCACCACCAATTGCTCTTCCATACTACCCTCTTATGTGCCAAGCCTTGCCTTCAACACACACACCCAGCTTGGATAGCAGTCAAGGCACAGGCGAGGTTCTTCACTCGAATTTTCCAGGACGGCCTAGCCTCAAAAATAGAGTTCAGTCGTCGGAGAGTACTCGAGAAGTCAGTTCAATGACTGATGAGGGGCGGCTAGGAAGCACCGGGCAAGCAGGCTTTGCATCGTCGCTGGAGGATTGCGAGTGAAGATGATGTCCGGAGTTGTAGCAACCATATCTTGATGTATATTTTTGATTGAATATGAGGAGCAATCCAAATTGTGATCAGTGACAGCTGTTTGGCGATATATTATTTGATGCTGAGAGATCATACTGCGTATATCTAGATGGGAGGTAGTTAGTATGTGGGTCAGTGCACGACCCGGGCCGAGAGTAACGTCACCGCCCGCAGTGAGCAAAGCGCAGCTTCCAGGGTCGATGATTGAATGCCTGAAGAGAGACTGAGAGAGCTCAACACCAACCACCATCCAAGAGCTACTCAGCCCACACCCACGCCCACAACCCACAATCCACAGCCGACAACGAAACACCCTCTAGATACACCTGACCCTCCCCTTCCATCCGACATACTGCTGTACTCTTTCCTCCGTCATGTGGGACGACGAGGATAACAACCCTTACGGCTCGTTCGCCCGCCACGACTCCAACGCTTCCGATGTCCCAGGCTTAGGTTCTCCCGGTGCGCGTAAGGCTCCCACTTTATGACACTCATGAGGTGTTACCACAAACTAATCGCATTGTATTTGCAGTGCCCTATCGCACCGGCACTCCACCCTCCGGCGGATCCTCCCCTCTCCACGAGTCGCCCGAGTTTACCACTCAACGTGATTTGAGCGACGTGGATTACAATGAAGAGGAAGCCGAGCAAGAAGAGCGAGTTACCCCGAAGAAGGGAGGATATGATAGCCGAGTCGAGCAGTGGCTGTACGAGAATCCAGACTCATCCATCCTGATCACCTATGCGGGGAAGAACTTGGAGGGCGGCGGTGGCTACATCGCCTATACCATTAATACTGGTGTATGGATATATATGATGACCTGAATACATGCGGAGCTGACTTATCATAGGGACTGGAAGTACGGCGCAGATACTCGGAATTTGCTTCGTTGCGCGCGACGCTGGTCAACCTCCATCCCACGCTTATAATACCTCCAATTCCCGAGAAGCATTCTATGGCGGACTATGCGGCGAAACCCACCAAAGCAAAGGAAGATGCGGGGATTATTGAATTACGAAAGAGAATGTTGGCCGTTTTCCTCAATCGCTGTCGGCGCATGAAGGACGTTCTCGATGATGGTGTCTTTTGGAGGTTCCTTGATCCCAACGCGAGCTGGGTAGGTCATTTTCCACGTCAAAACTTACAACATTGCCAGGCGACAATACTGATTAGATTCACTTGTCTAGAGCGAAGTTCTTCACGCTCCTCCGGTGTCCAACCTCCCCAAGAACGTCCTCAAATCACCTCCGCTCGATGCCGCGAACCCCACTCTAGCCCACAGCTACCTCCCCATTCCTTCCACTTCAGCGAAGTTGAAAACATCCGGTCAGACATCAAACTCGGGAACGCCCACATCCCCACCTCATCATTCTTCTCTGCCATCTTCCGCCGCGCATACCACCCCAGGACCCCAGGTGTTTGGTCGATTCCCGCCTGAGTCGCGAACTCTAACTGAGGAGGAGCTGGATCCGTATTTCGTCAATTTCGAGCAATCTTCGAAAGAGCTGGAGACTTCGTTACAGGGTAGCATGGAGAAAGTCAACCGTCGAACATTGACACATCTGTCTGCGTGGGGTGACGACCTGGCCGAGATGGGTGCGAAGTTCAATGCATTCTCTCTCTCAGAGCAGTCGCAATCGCTTGCCTCTGCTATCGAGAAGACTGGACAGGCAGTTGACTCTACATATATCGCCACAGCCGAATTATCATCCTCCCTGAGCGCAAGCTTTGCAGAGCCGATGCGAGAGAGCGCACAGTTTGCAGGAGTGGTGCGTTCGGTCTTGCGGTACCGCGTTCTGAAGCGCATACAGGAGGAAATGACGAAGGACGAACTGGAAAAGAAGCGTGCGCTCCTGGAGTCACTCGAACGAAGTGAAGCCGAAGCCAAACGACTGGAGCAGCATCTGAGCGGAGCAGGCTACTCCCCACCATCTGCACGGAACCGCTCGACCTCCAACACGTCATCCCGAAGCAGTGGCCAGGACCGGCGGCCAGAGGAGGACACAGCATCGATCGACTCCGACTTCCCACCCACACACGGCGAGCAGGCACCTTCGTCCGCCCAAGGGGAGCCAACGTCGCCGGGCAGCCCGCATAAGAAGAGCGCCAGTGGTAATTTCGTGACCAACAAACTATTCGGGCCCATAAGTCATGCTTTCCGGGGCATGGCCGACGTCGATCCCGAGAGGACGAGGAGAGATCAGATTGGGAAGACGCGGGAGACTTTGGTACAGGTACGTCTACCCCCTATTCATCGAGCATACCTTGTCAACTAGCAATACTGAACATCCCCCCAGCTCGAACAAGCCCTCGAGGTCGCAGAAAAAGACACCAAAGACGCAAGCGCAGGCGTAATGAAAGACCTCCGCCGCTTCCAAGAAGAGAAAGAAAACGACCTTCGCAGATACATGGTAAGCCTCCCCCTCAAACCCCCTCCCCTCCCCCCCCTCTCTGCCATCCACCACTACCACCACCAACCCTATCCCCATCCCCTTCAGTGAAAAAAAAACCTAACACAACCCCCAAAAGATGGAGTTCGCCCAATGCCACATCGACTGGGCCCGAAGAAACCAAGCCGCCTGGGAGGAAGCCAAAGCAGAAGTCCAGAACATCCAATCCCAAGTCGCCGAGGAATGAACGCAGAGTCGCTCACAAAAAGGAGGGAATAAATAAACAACATGCATATGTAGCGTACATCCGAAACACCCCAACCCAAAGGCTCTTAGAGATTGATGGTTTGAATGAATGTACTGTTTTTAGCGCGCTCGCCCCAAAGGGAATGTGGAAGGGGTGGGCGGAGGGGGGGGTTGCTGTAATGTGAATAGGATAGGATAGGAGAATTGAGAATATACCATCCATTTTCCATTTGATTGTTTGAGGTGTTGTCGTTGGTGTTTGTCATGCTATCAGGGTGGTGATAATACACGCGTACTTTAAGCGTCTTCGCACGTACATGATTGAATGGCCTTGATGGGGATTTGAGAACAATGGTACAGTAATGGGTTCGTTGTGATACTGATGTAATGGTAATGTACATAGTCTCGTCGTTCGCCTCGCGTGTACTCCACTCGCCGTCATACATGATAGAAATGGAAATGGAAAATGCATGTAAAGATTCATGTATTTACCCCCAACTCCAACTCCAACCCAACCCTCACAGCAAGAAATCAAGTAATCAGCAACAAAACGTAAACTCCCCTCCCCCCTCTCCTCTACCCTCTGCACGTCCTAGCAAGAAAGACAGCACACATCACCACCTACGCCGTAAGCGCCGAACTCAACCCCAGAATCCCCATGCCCAGAAACGCACTCGCAAAGCACAGTTTCCGTGAATGCGTGAGATCCAGACTCTCGCCCAGCAACTGCAAACTCACCATCGCCATGATGCCCGCCGTCACCGCAAACATGCACCCGTACACCACGTCCCCCGGCTCACCTGCATTCCCGCTGTCGCTGTCGCCATCCCGCCGCCCCGCGAGGTTGAACCACAGCGCTGCGACGCCGGCGCCGAGGGGCTGGCTTACGCCGCCGAGGAGGGCGGACACGGCGATGGCTTTCCAGCGGGAGGAGATGGCGAGGTAGAGGGGGAGGGCCATGGCGAAGCCCTCGGTGATGTTGTGGATGAAGAGGGCGAGGAAGATGGAGACGCCGAGGCGGGGGTTCGCGTGGTTGGTGGCGTACGTTATGAAGCCCTCGGGTATCTTGTGGAGCGCGATTGCGATGCTGGTTTGCAGGCCGATGGAGAGGAAGACGTTGGTCGGGACGTGGTGGTGGTGTTGCTTGGTGTGGGAGTGCGTGGAGGTGGTGGTGTGGTGGGAGGAGGCGAGGGAGGCGGTGGAGGGTTTCTTGTGGACGGTGGGTTTCGAGGCGGCGGAGTGGTGGCCGTTCGTCGTGGCGGTGGGGGAGGTGGGATTGGAGATGCTGGCCGGTGCGATTAGGGGGGTTTCTTCGTCGACGTCTTGGAGGAGTGGTTGGCGTTCGTGGGGGGTCGTGTAAGAGCGGAGGCCGCGGAGGCTGGGTTTGGTGGTGATGCTGTTGGTGGTGTTGCTTCGTGGGATGCGAGCTTGTTGCACGTTGCGGAAGCATTCTTGACCGCAGGGGTCGGAGTAGCCAAAGCATTGCCCGTCTTCGTCGCAGAACTCCTTCGAGCCGGTTACGAGTCGCGAGACCTTGGTGGAGATTTGAGCGTGGAGCGAGGGTCGTCGAGCGAGTCCGGACGGGAGGGTGCCGTATGAGTCTTCGGCGTCGTCGTGAGAGTGGCCATGAGCGTGGACGTGGCTATGCTCTTCCATGGGTCTTTCGAGATGAGAGTGATCATGCTCGCCATCTACATCCTTTCCCTCTTCCTCATCTCCATGGTCGTGGTCACAGTCCACCACCGAGTGCGGGATGTATCCATGCAGGATTCTCGACAGCACCGCGATCCCCAACGCACCCGCAAGAAAGCACCCTACCAACACCAAGGTGGCTATCTTGGGTCCAAGGCCGCCCTTCTGCAGGTAGTCCTTCGCAGACGGCAGCATGCTGTAGAGAGCCGAAAAGATCTGGAGACATGCATTAGCAATCATGTGACGAGATGAATGACGATTGGAAACCGGGGGTGGAGTGGAGCAAAGAAGCGACCGGGTAGCTGCATACCATGACTCCAAAGCTTAGACTCAGGCCGCCAGATAGGAACACATTGCTGTCTTCGATCTTGAAGTGTTTCTTGCCTGGGAACTGCCGGACAACGAGGTCGACGCATATGATCGATGCTGGAAAGTTTCTTCTCTTAGCTTCAAAGAACAAGTCTTGGAATGATAGTTGGTGAATTTACCTCCGAATGTACACGCTGGAATGGTGAGGTTAGCCGGTGTATTGCGTTCAAGATGTCATCGACTCATACCTATGCCACTCACGGCCGTCATGATCCATCCCCGGGCATCATTGTCGAGCCCCATGTTCCCCGATGCTGTTGATGAAAATGACGTCGGCGTGCCAAGACTGCTGTAGATAGTTCCGGAGGACGTAGAAAAACGAGAGGTATTATCAACGATGGGTTACTTTACAGTGAATGAATATTTGAAAGCTAATAGATATTGGCAGGCGGTGAATAAGGAAAGATGACAGTCGACGCGCACCTTGATGTCCCAGATGTCCCGAATATTTGGTGCTAACTCAGATATGGCTAGGGCCTTGGCGATTGTCCCTCACGTGGTCAGCCATTTGAGTGGGCTCTGATTGGCCGATCAGCTGAGTTCCCTTACCTGGGGGAACAATCCTTTGTAGCGTCGTTCTATAAAAGACTCTCGATGCGGTTTCGAACTATAATCTAACCAAGGAGAATATCAAAAGACTCACCAGAATATAGATCGTAATGACAGTAGTGTCTAAATAGGTTCACCCGCTTGTTGTACCGATCAAAACGCTTAGAGGCATCAGATCGTTATAACGAGACTGTCCTGAACTATGAATGGTCTTGCACGAATGTGACAAGAGTTCGTTGGCAATGATAACTAATTGTATGAGTGTTTAATGTCAAGTCACACATCATGCAGCTTCCTCTCATAGTCCCTCACGAGTACAGTCTTTGTATATTTTATCACATTACACCAGGAAGAAAAAGACGGAACAAAAGGTAACAGTATCAAGTTGGTATTTTATTTTACTCTAAGTCCATGGGAATTGGATATCTCGTACTGGAAACATAAGAAAAGTCCAGTGTATGGTTCGGTCTAAAAACTCAATTGACGGCTTTACCACCCGCGGGCGTCGTCATCGTCCATTTCGCCAGATAATGCGCCTTCATGCCTCCCGCCGAGAAATGCTATATCTCGGATGTCTCCCTATGCGCCCTTTTCGCTATGCAATCCGTAGTATAAGAAAGTGTTGGAGTAATGGAATGATTCAGATAGTGGGGAAAGAGTTTAAAGTCGTAAAGGCATTAAATGCTCTTGTGGGGAAGAGCCAGTGTTAGAAGTTTTGTGTCGGGCGAGTTCATGGTGACACTGGTGGCTTCGGGATGGGGATGTTGGACCATTTGCCCTCGCCTTCCTTGGGGTTCTCGTTGATGACGAGGAGCTTTCGTCCGCCGCAGAAGCCTCCGGGTCCGGCGATTCTTTCAACGTCGCGATAGTGGCCGGACAAAGTATCGTCGGTGGCGTTCTTCTGGAAGGCGTGTTTAGGGTCGTCGTATTCCCAGACACGGTCTTGGACGACGTCTCCTGGGTTTTCCAGCTGGCGCTCGTTGTATTGTGGGAATCCGACCCAGTGGTTCAAGATATCGTGAATGCGAGAATACAGGAGTTCCGGTCGGCGGGTGACCGAAAGCCATGCTAACGTTTTCGGGTCGTATGCAACTCGAATATAAGGGTTCATGAAGATGCCCGACTCGAAAGGCATTCCCTGACCGGTCCTGCGGTACTGCAGATCGGCATTGATCAAGCAGCACTCTGATGAATCCCAGAAAATGTCGGTCTCGTAGCGGAAGCGCAATGGAGATGTGTCCGTGCTAATCGTCGTAGGCGCTGGCGAGAGGTCCTGGGTGGTATTTGGGCGCAGACGCTGCTGGTCTTGGAACCACTTCGCTTCGAAGGCAATCATTCCTCCCCAGCAGCTCCTGACGCGGACGGCGTCTGAACCAGACAAGACATCGTTCCTGCTCGTGCCTGTCCCGGCGCTGGTGAACCAGGGGTAGAACGGAATTCCGGGATTGAAGCCGTCGAGATCGCGGGTCGCAAATCGATCGTAGAACTTGAAGGCGTTGATGAAATCCACGGCACAGACTGCCCCGTAATTTGCGCGGCCGGAGGTGTCGACATTGGTGGAGAAGAGGAGCTGTGCCGCGTCGATGGGGTTGAAGTTGACGTCATTCAGGAACAAAACTCGGTCGAATACGACGCCGGCCTCGTCGATGGGCGCCAGTGCCTTGTTCCGCACATCTGCCAAGAACGCGATCCGCTTGATTCGTGTTTCTCCGTTGGGCAGTGTGACGCGGGGAAGTTCTCCCAGATCAAGAGTTTCTGCGGTGATGGTGGAATTGCCTGTATAGGGTGTTAATTATTATTTGTTTGTTCTGTGGGAAATAATATGACAAAGGGGAAGGGGGGAGGTTGAGCATACATGTGACTCTGCGCTCAAATTCCAGGAGCGACTGCCGCGTTAGCGCATCAGGGTCATTCTCGTATAGGCTGAGGTGAACATTCTCCGGACCCAGCAAGTCCACGAGGTCCAATACCGACTCAGCCCATTCTCCCGATGTCAACGACCCATTTTCTTCGTATATGGAGGCTGCGATGAAGACCTTCTCTTTGAAAACGTTTGCGCGACCTGTTTGGTTGGAGCTGAGTGCGAGCTGTCGGAGTTCTTCGTATCGAGGAGGGAGTGTAGTATAGGAGGGAAAGAAGACGCTCACGAAGAGGACAAGTAGAAGGAGTATGTAGGGAATAGAGAAGAGCGACCAGTATATTAGGCGGAGAATGGATCGCTTCTTTCGGCGTGGTGTTATGTAGTGTGTGTATGTGGAGTAGTTGGAGATGTGCTTCACGCCGAACGGTACAGCACCTGCGAGGCGCGCAACCCAGGAGGGACTGGTGGGTTTGTCATCTAGGTCTGATGGACTCGGTATATCGACCGAGCTTCGTGGGAGTAGCTCATAATCGTGAGAGGGTGGGAAGCGACGTTGTGAGGGCATCGAGACGTCCAGGAGGTCCCCAAGTACATGGACGAGATCGGCGCAAGCGTTGGGAAGGGTCCCTGGCGGTCGGGTGTGGTCGTACAAGAGGGAATAGTCGTGCGCGCGGATTGGTTAGGGAGTAACCAGCGAGGAAAGGGGGCAGCAGGGTGCCTTTGTTCGATATCGGGATTGAGATTGAAGGTGTTGTATGTGATTTTGAGGTTGAGGAGAGAGTAGGCAGAGCTCCATGTAGGGGAGAAACTGGGCGGACGGGCGTGGGGTTATGAACAGACGCAAAGTGGAGTTGGATTGCGGGTGGGTAGTTAGTTGGTGGTGGATGCGTGTGCCACTGACCACTGTGGGTGTGTGTGTGTTGGTGTGCTGGAGTGTTATTCGGTGAAAGAAGGGGAATTGATGATTCTCCGAGACGGTACGAGTAGCGGCCAACAGTAGCGTATAGACAGTCGGCTTGGGGATGGTTGGCAGCACTTGACTCGCCCAACTTACTCCATGAGATCGATCTTCAACAAAGAAGATTTGCAAGAAGCGAAAACAGAGAGAAGAGAGAAATGAACAGCAGATCGATGAGTTTATTAAAAAGAAAGGAGATTAGATGTGTTGTTATTATTACTACCTACTATGTACCTCTATTACTCCGGCCTCTAGGGAGAAGGAAGAACAAGCTTTTACACAGCCGAGGCCCTGATGACCACCAGCTGGATGGCTGATCATGTACCTCTACCATCTATGGGGTGGTGGAATAGGGCGCAGTGGCCACGACATTGTTCTTAAATCGTTCTTATTATTATCAAGATCTTCTAGTAATACCTATAAGAAAGCTACACTACATTATATACTCTATACAAAGGTTTGTTGTTGTAAACCCATATCCTCCACGGCGAAACTTCTCAAGAAATGGAACCTATCGGGGTTTCCATCGCAGGGACAGTCTCGTTTTGACTTGCGTGGTCCCGTTTCAACTTTACCCAGAAGAGACCGACGCATTTCCACATTTTCCACATTCTCACCCTATCCTGCTGCTCAGTGCTGCTCAGCGCTGGGCGCACTGCGCTGCGCTATGCTGCTGCTAGTGTACCTGTACCTCCCAGGTTCCTCACAGCATCATTGTACCCTTTGCCTGTTCCCCCTAACTACATATAAGACAGCAATATCAAAAACACAAGCACAGCAACATTCCCCCATTCCAAACTCCTCATCAAATTCCCTCTTCCCGTCGTCGTGCTAGCAACACGCAGAGTACGCCGTGCAGTACAGCCTGCGTATACTCCGTATAACCTCCGTACAAGTCTCTCTCTTCTCTTGACTCAAGCTTGCGATTTTTTACGCGTACCCTATACGCGACGTTCGCCTGCGCCCTGCGCCGCCGGCCGCCATGGCACGGAGGCTAAGAAAATCCAAAAACTAATTACATTACTGGCCTAGGAAATTAACGCAACCAAAGCCAGCTAGCTGAACCAGACGAACTGGGCCAGAACCAGACCGAGGGCCATGGCTTTTGAAAATCGATGGCTTGCTTGCTTGCCACATTCAGTAATTTGCTTGGTTATGGAAAAAAAAAAAAGAGAAGAAGAAGAAGAAGAAAAAGGGTCTGGATAGTGGAATCATGGAAGGGAATCATCGACGCATTCTCGCGACGATGATGACCCCGTTTGGGGTGCGCGTTGCGAAGAGCGCATCTGATCTTACTGTGTACAATACCCACATAGCTATCATTGTGGATGAGAAAGACGCCCCGGGCGGCTACGTAGACGGCAGCATACTCAGCTGGGTCTTGGTAAACTCTTGTGTTGTTGAACGCTGACCCTGATGTCTGAGGTCGTTTTCGTTTACCGGACGATCGGTGCTGCATGGAGAGCGATGCGCGCAGAACTGTGAAAATTGCATCAGATTCCATCCTCCGTCGGTTGGTCTTGTTCCCCCGTCCTCCGTCCTCCGTCCTCCGTTCCCCCTGGTTGACTATCAGCCCGCTGGCCTATCCTACCCTAAGCCAAGGGAAGGCAATGTCGCGAATCTAGAAACAATGTCCATACCTACAATTATTGTCCTAGGCACTCCGTAATTACATCAATATTGTAGATAGCTATGTAGGAACAACAGGATAGATTCGTAGTCAAGGCGGTTCACATATCCCCATCCGTCCTACCTCGCAGTTAATTATACCTCCCCATCTAACTCCCATCCAGCCAAGCTCCGCCCGCCTAGGCCGTTCCCGCTCCACATGGGCGGTTCGCATATCTACGTATATTCGTACTTTTTATACGCATACTCGTACAGTCCCAATAAATACCCCTCCTCTCCTCCGTGGTACGTACTCCGCACTGCATGCATACACGAATGAAGTATTTGTGCTTGTGCTTGTAAATGCGCTCATTCGTAGCGTCGAGCGAGCCTACGTACTCTCTCAGAGGAGATACCTGCTCCGGATTTGTTGTTTGGTTCCGAGAAGAAAAAAGACGCAAGGTGTGGCGTAACGCTTAAGAGGCGCAGCGATGGGGATTGTGTGGTTGAGCCAATGGGTGGTGAGGGGGAATGGGCCAGGAACGCGTCAGCCATGGGACACTAGAAGGGTGTGCGTTTTCTAGCCATGTGTGGTATGCTGGTGCGCTATGAGTAGGGATGGCCTATCGGATTGTACGAGTAGCTTGGGGATGATAACGTTTATATGTGTGGGTGGTTACTCGTACGAATGAAGTACATGTATGTATGTATGTTCTTGATGTGGATGGCGTTGACGAATGTTTGATTGTCATGCTCGATCACGGATGTATGTACATGAACATACGCGAACGAGTTTACACTCAGCAATTAAATAAACTAAAACTTTCTTACCAACTACTACCGCTCTACAGCTTGCCAATACGGTACCGTAAGAGAGAGGCAGCACGCTGCGTTCTTTTGTCCTCTTGTCATATTCCCATCTCCCTCTGTGTCAATTGTCGCTGCCGCTCTGGAAAGTTGTCGACTTTTTGCTGGACAACCACCGTACAGCCAGTTCTTTTTCTATTTGTAGTTGTATATTGTCTTGTTCATTAGGTCTGTCAAGAGAAGGAGATATTCTGTAATGTGCCTTGTTCTTTTGCCTTGTTCATGGTAATGGCAGGATTAATAATGATGGTAGAGGATCATGATAGTAGGATAACGACATGCACGATAGATGGGATATTGATTGTGGGGTCGACCCTGGATATCCTATCCCTTTCCCTTACTTTAGGTGGTCGATTGATCACTCTTGTAGGCAGTTGATCGATCAATCTTGTGATTAGTTGATCGATCACTCTTGTGGGTAGTTTATCAATCGCTATGTCAAGTGGCTATCGGTCGTAAGTTCAAACTTGGGTATTCTTTCTCTTTTTCCTACTACGATCGGAGATTCAATTGACTTCGATGGCTCGATTCGATGGATACTGCAGGTAGAGCCTTAATCGATCCGATCGATACATCGTCTCCTACTATGATCACAATACTTAAATGTCGCCAATTGCAAAAGGTAGGTTATCGAGGTTACAGGTAGTTGATCCATCGCTGCTGCAGAGTGAGGTGACGAGAGGGGAACATCTCAATCGGTGGCGTTGGTGGTGCTTCGATAGGCGTCTCGGTTGTGTAAGGTTGATCAAGGCCTTGTAGGTGGAAGCACAATATGTTGTAATCCATTGCTTTCAATTTATTTGTATTGTCGCGGATAGATGCCTCTATAGTATGGAACATCACAGATAATGACCTGCAACCACACTCGCTTGCCGTTGGGGTTGAGGTCGCTTGGTAGGAGATTTCGAAGGAGAGGTTGGTGCGTTATCGAAGTTGCCCGGCACGCTAGGAGTGGATGAATGATCGGTCGAACGCTCACTTGGGCGATGAGTTATCCCTTCGGTCATGCCTAAGGCAGATTTACTTCTTGGTTGTTCAAACAATTTAACGTCCAAGTTGATTGAGAGGTATTCGTGAATGTCTCCCACCCAGTTATCTATAATGCCCCCTGGCTTGTTTATAGGTTTGTCCAACCACTGACTGGGAGGGATCAAGTCTTCCGGTGAGAGTGATCAAGCAACAGCCTTGTCGCTCAACAAGCTGATGCTCGACTACACAGCACTCTTTACGGACGACGGAAAGCCTGCCGACGTTGAAGAGTCCGACTGGCTAAAAGTCCCTTTAGTGACAGACTGGAACGCTGCAGGAGCAAAGCTCGGTCATCGCATCTACCCGCTGGGACCAAAACAGCGCGAGTTGGTTGATAAGGTGTTTGATAAACTCCATACGCAGGGTCGTATGGCTTGGTCGAAAGGCAAGTGGATAGGTAGGATAAGTAGATACTTGCCTCTGTCGATAAGCCTCTAGAGGTAGGTATATTATGCCTTAATCTCTCTTAGCAGGCCTGATCGACCTATCTATCCCTGTGTAGTGCCTTTCCCTATACAAGTGATCCCCGGATCGCTTCATCTATCCCGCTACACCACAGTATGGTGGGTGGATATCTAATTGATGTTGTCGGTGAAAAGTCAATCAGTTCTGATGACTATTGCAGCAGGTAGGTATTCTATCAATTGCAATCGTTCTTGTAAGGAGAAAGTCTGTTCGACCGATAGTAGGTGGAGGTTCTGAATTACTAGTCCTACAGCAACACACTTGCTCTGCTGGTCAAACTACTGGTAGATTCTAGTTGTCTGCTTGTTTGCTTGTTGTTTAAATCCAATGAGAGATAAAGAAGAATGTATACAAGAGCCGTACTGCACAGTTTAATTAATTACATCAACAGTAAGGGATTGGCCTTTGGACGCTTCCATTCGTAGCTATCGGGTCCAATAATTGCGCTCTCTGATGTTCCTCTGCCCTGTGCCGCTACGCGCCGCCGCCAAGTTGAATCGGCATCATGATTGCAAACACAAACAGGATATTCAGAGGCCAATCGTTTGCTAGATCAGCCTTACCAGTAGTATGTGACGATCCGGAGAGCATGTGGGGGAGTGACGGTGGACCTGACGACCGTTTGCTCAAGCCCACCTACCCTATGCCGTGCGCACCTGCACTTTCCGTACCAATGTAGACCTTCCCTATGCGCACCATGTAGCCGTGATATTCGCATATAAACCGTGTGATTCCGCTGCCCGAGAATGCGATGTAAGGTCCGTTGGGCGCCCGCTGGTCGTCCTACAAACATCCAAACCCGACATTCACAACTGCCGCCCGCCGCCCATAGTGAATAGGGATGTTTTTCTCGGAAGTCATTGGAGGTCCCAGTGCATTTTCTCGGTCCCTTATCATGGTTTAGGTTCTTCTCGGGCTGTTGGAGTCCCTCTCAGCTCGTAGCATGGTTCGTATTGAGGTCTCTCGTGGCAGTCATCCCGGCGCCGTGTCTGGCATGTTTGGCAGTGTCAAACGGACCACACCGTGTAAATGAGAGTGTTAGGTGGAATACGAACTCACTATCGTAGTACACTGAGTCCTCCTGAGAGCTTCAGAAAGCTCAAGCTTCGTAGAGGTTGAGGTCAGCCTTTGCAATACCAGTATGGCACGTTTATACGGCTCCAGCACCTTCTCACATACCCTTTACTGACATTGATATGACACAGCAATACATCTACAGGGTGATAGCCAGAACAGAAATGTCTAGGCTCTATCAACCAATCGTGTGGTTGCCTTGGGGTTGCGCACAGTCACTTTGTTGTGATCAAAATTCTGGCCTTTGCCTCCCGCAACGCGCTCTCGCCTCCCTCCACCCAACACCACCACCCCCATTCATCAACTCGATCCAGCTTTGGAAAGCTCTCTGTGGGTTGCGTCTCTTTCAGGTATATAGCGGCGTCATGGGTTTCTTTCGTTATCGCGCGCTGTACTGATCACAGCAGTTTGCGCGGCTGTCGTTCACTTCTCACGCTGCAGCCAGCGCCTCTACGCCGCGTGCGCCCATCACTCAGAAGGTATAAGAGCTAACTGTGTCTATCATTACCTTGGAGCCTACTAACATCAAGATTTAGTGCGAAGAGAAACACACTTTAGAAACCAGGATGGAATTGAACGCCATTTCAGAGCTTCTTCGGAGAATCGCTTCTGATAGCGACATGTTAGATTTCTACAAGGAGGAATTTGATTCTGATCTCGAAGATCTTTCTCATTATAATGGCATATTCAAGGAGTTAGCTGCAATCGCAGCTGACTCTGTCGTGGAGAAGCCTCCTGTAGATTGGGCTGCTGAACGGGAATACAGATACTTGGCCAAAGCATTGGAGTTGGTTGAGTATCTAATGGTTCAGTCATCTTGCCCATTTTCAGAAGCAGCAAAACTATTCAAGAATGCATCTCGAGTGCGGCGGCAATTCCAGCAGGGTTTCCTTGTTAAATATCTCAGCGGTCTACCGAAAAACAGCACAAAGCCAGTCAGCTTATTCGTCGAGGAAGCGTTTCGGACCGGCCGCGATAGCTTGTTCTTCACTACCGTTGCACTCATCAAGTTCGGTCTAATCGGTATCAATAATAGTGACGAGCAGGTGGCAGTGTACCGTAATGTTCTCAAGGCGTCGATACTTCCCTCCGCAGCAGAGGAAAGGCGAAAGAAGCAGCGCCAGCCAGAGGATCACCATCACGGACACTTCGACCTTACTGAATACCTGGCGCGAGGCTGGAGAACACCAGGTAAGCCTAAGAATCGAGGGAGCGCATGCGCTGCGTATTGCTAACATTGTTCGTAGTTGTCGAAACATACGCTGTCCTCTTCATACGTGAAGACGGAGGCCTCTTCGAATCCGTCAGCGCACTCCAGGCCTGTGTTTGGGGTGGGAAGATCGAATCCTTTACTCTACCCGGGCCGGCCAAGAAACACGCCCTCATCAAGTTCTCGAGGATTGAGGCCTGCCAGAAGTATCTCAACGATGCCCAAGATGGGGTATACATAAACGGTGTCAAGATCGGACGTGCTGTACCCTACTACCCATATCAACTAGAGCACGGCGATATGCCTCCCAATCTGGGAGGCTTTGCTTCTCGCTGCGTTCGTGCTTTGGAAGTCGATAAATCAGTATCACGGGAAGCAATTTCAACAGCTATTAGAGATGCTAGGAAAGAGGAGAGTAGGTTTGATAAATTCGCCTATGGGGCAGATGCTGGTGTAAGTGCAATCCATACACTACAATTTGAGCATCTAATTGAAGCCAATACAGCGTCGCTATTATGAATTTCGGTTCTCTTCAATCCAATACGCCTCAGATTTCATGGACGAGCTCAGGCAGAACAAGGATTGGGCACGCTGTAAACTCGAGTTGGGCATTGATCCATGTGAGAAAGCATACGGTGTCCACCTCAACGATGATAGACCCAAGCCCAAGGAGCCCTGGGAGGACCTGACCGACGGCTTTTAGCATAATATGGCTTTGGACTTGGAAAGGAGCAGCTGGTGTTAGTTTACGTGTTTATAGCTATCACACCATGCTATCACATGGTGAGTGTAGGAACAGTGCTTATGGCGTTGAGGCGATCACACAGTGCTTTCACGCCAGGAATATGGGAACAGGGCTTTAGGCGTTGAAGGCGATTACACAGTGCTTTCCTCTACACAAACGCAAGGAAGATGGAACAACCTGGGGCGCCCCAGGACATTGGGAGAGCCTCAATATTCAGATGTATAATAGTGCTCGAACAAACAATCAATCAGTTTTCAGAAACCAGCTCCCGTGACCAGTAGCGTACTAAAGCAAAAATAGGCGTCCAAACTACGCTCCGAGCAAATCAACGGGGCCCGGACAGGACCTCCGACCGCCTGTCCCTTCACACTTTACTCAGAAACGTGCAGGAGACGCGAAAAACAACACACTAGAATGTTCCTATTAACTAAATAATTCCCCTGGAGTTGCCTGGGCCTTGTCAGCACAAGCGCCACAATTCCCATGTTCTAACCCTTCAGAATTTCATCTCGCGATCGGTTCCGCCATGTTTGTCGCTACACTTGTACCTAGCTTGTACATCTACCGAAACTTTAGGTACTTTTTGGTTTCAGCTCCAACTTCCATAAGGTAGATAGGGTAAGGTTAGTAGGGGTAGGCGAGGGTTTGTACAAGTACTTTGTAGATCTCCCTCCGTCGGAGTATGATCCGACATCGACGCACGATCGGAGTGTCGGAGGAGAGTTACTGGATGGGGAAATGATTGCTGAGACGGTGAGGATATGTTTTGTTTTGGGCGGACATTGGGAGAGATTATTTTAGAGTTACGGAAGTACTGCTGGGTTTGTGGTAGAGCGTAGGATAGCATCGGAGGTGTTTAAGTGTTGTTGGTGGGTTTTTGATATTGGGCTTATGGCTGTGTATTAGAATATCGTGGGGTTGGCTGGGGCGAGTAGATACACAGGTTCGATAAGATTTAGTTTGCAGATAGAGTGGGAGAGCTGGAGATTGGTGTAGTTCTTTGATTTGTATTGTATCTGGTAGGAAGTTTGCTAGATGCCCGGAACACTGCCTTTTCTGCTTCTGAAGAATTACAGTGACTGAATTGTAGATCATAATATTCAATAATAGCTACAAATGACGATACAGTGTGTTGCTAGGGTTCAGAATGGAGCTGTGCCACTGTACGCTACGTCAATAATTCATGGACTATACTTATAGGGCACTGTGAGGGCAGGTTTAATACTGTATGCTACTGTGTCTTAGACACACTGAGACGAGCGAGGCGAAACTGGTATCATTAGTTATTTCAACAGTGGGTCGAGGTGTAGCATAGCACGGAGAAGGAATAGTAGCAGCTACGCAGGGCGCCTGAGAGATCGACAGAGTTTGCGAGGTGTAGGGCAGCAATACATAGAAAGAGTGCAGTAGTAACATTGTATATATCGTGTAAAATATCATGTTCTGGTGATTATGAAATAGAAACTATGTAACGAAACATACAAAATTTTCCCCTGGAAAGGAAATATAGGAACAAGTTTTACTTGGAAGGCTACTCGCAGAGCTATAGAACAGTGAGGCTTTACAGCATTGTGGGTAACACTAGTGAGATAGGAAACCCTCAAGATGATTTCTTATTATGTAAGTTTTCTAACCCATGAAGAAGGTCAATGTTGATGCGTTGACTACTACATGCTGACGAGCTGTTTTACACGCCTACCCAGGCTTTCCTCAGGCACTCTCCCTCGACGTTAGAAGTACAAACGAATTGTCCCCTTGCCCCAATAGATCGCAACCCGTATCAAGCGGGCCCCTCTTCCCAGTATCAGGGAGGTGGAGGCTAAAGGATGTGATATCGTCAGTGTTGCTGGTAGAAAGTATCTCATTGCGCCCTGGTGTACTGATTGACGTACAAGTAATAAACAAGATGAGAAGGATAAGTAAGTACGTGAGACAAGATGTCAGTCATTTTCGAGTAAATGTATTCTTCTGCTATCAAGGAAGTTCATGGTCTAGTTAAGACAATACATTTTTCAATGTATTAGGTTTTTTTTCTTTTAGGTTTGTAGATTTGTTATAGTCAACAGTCCATTTCAATATGTTAGATCAAATATAACATCTAGCAATATATAATAACAGGCTACTTATCTATCCAAGATTATTTTGATATAACCAATAGGTAACATACACAGATGATCAACTCAGTACATAATAAAACAAACACTCGTATACCCTCTCATCAAGTCGCAGATCTTACCTCTGTATTGAAGGACATAGCAATCAATGGGAAGAGTAAATGGTAGAACATCGTCAAGCTCGATGGAACTAGATATTGAGAAACGACACGACACCGTCAGTTGTAAAGATTCAGATTCAGATGACGATATTCTAGTGTACACATTTATATGTGTATGAACACCATAACACTGTATAAACTATAGTAGAATCTATTATCAACGCTCCCTGCAGGTGATCAAATGTATTTATACATCTAACACGATAGCAGTACCCATTACACAGTTCATTATCAAAACCTAGCACGCATATAGTTCGAACCACCTATACAAGAAGCACTATACCAAGGTTCTACGGCACTTCATGACAGCCATACCTTGCCTTATCTACTTACCTGCCATCTCACATCCCTCTCATCAACGTATCACAAAGATGAACCTACCTTATCGTCTTCCCAACCCCTCACATTCATCTCCCAATCCCCCTCCTACCACAGCCCCGATCCCGACATCACAGCCCAGCATAAACCCCCTCACCATCCTCCCCTCCTCTAATCTCCCCTCCCCTCCCATCCCAAAATACCACCGAACCCAACCCCGCACACCCATCCCATCCCCACCCCTCCCCTCCCAAAGCAACCGTAGCGCACCCACAGGGCGAAGACGTCAAAAACGTACGATACCCAGACGCCGGTCGCTGGTAAGGAAGGGTCTACCAACGGTACGCATTTGTTTCAGATCATTCCTTCGAGGCTGAATCGGTGCTTTGATGGTGGTGGGGTGGAGGATGGCGTGGTGTAGTGTAGGTGTAGTGTGGTGTGGTGTAGTTAGGGGAAAGGGGAGGAGGATGGGAGAGGGGAGATGACCCGGGGACGTGGGTTTGGGTGTGTGCCTACACATTGTGAAGTATGGGCTGACTTTGTGGTAGGGCTAGAGCGAGAGGCGTGGAATGTCGAGGGGAGTTGGAAAGGGAGTTGGGGACGGGGAAGTTCCTGGTTTGGTAGTACCAAGGGGAGGTTACGGGTGTGTAGGGATTTACCGTGTAGAGGTGTTGTGGTGGTGGTGGTGTAGCGTAATATCGATATTGACGATAGGGGATTGTGGCAAGGATGGGGGAGACACAGTATCGGTACCGACTGACTGACTTACTTACTGTAGAGGAGGAGGAAATGAGAATAGAAAGCAGGGCCGAATTGTAAAGTCGTGGAAAGTCGATATGTAGGATTCGATAAGATAGGATGTGATGTGGCTTGAGAGGGAAGAACAAGCCGGCGCCGGTGTCACTCAATAGCTGGGGACATTGTGTTCCCTCATGTGTGCTTTGGCGTGTCTGAGGTTTGATGAGCGATGTTGATTTTCAAGGAAAGCGAGAAGCTAGGAAAAATGGAATGCGGTCTAGGGACGGGATCTCCTGCCGGCGTTCCTCGTTCGTCGTTGGGCAGAAATCAGATTCGATGTGACGGAATGGCGTGCACGCGGGATGGGCTCGCTCGCTCACTCGGCTCGATTCGTACTTCTAGTTATTTATCATCATGACATTTCCCTGGAAAAGGTGGTGGGAGAGCGGGAGCGTTCGTTCTAGGGGTGGTTGTCTGTTGTTTCAGGTTGGAGGCTCGATTGGAGATGGCAAATATTGGAGGGAAAGTCTGGCGAGGAGGGAGATGGGAATTCGACATTCGTCGTCTACTTGACCACACAGGATAGGAAAAAAGGAGGGAAAGGAGACAAACAACGGATGATACAGTAGTGGCATTTGGCTACCCGTAGTTGGATCGCAGAGACGGGCTGAAAAGGGTCTTGGGGATGTCTGAATCGTCTTGATTTTTGAGTGCGCGGCGCGATATTCACTGGTACGCTAGAGAGAAGAACAGAGAGGAGAGAGATCGTCCCGAGGTAACGAGCTCTGATCCGGTCTGGTCTGGTCTGGTCCAGTCTGTTCCAGCAATTAGTTCGTGTGCCATTCCATGTGCGAAATGGTCGTGCGGGAGGAAACGAAAGTTTATTCTCGTGGGCCATCACTTTTCAATCCAGCGCCGAAGAGTGTCAGAAAAGTCTCAATCAAAGAAAGTTTGCGTGACAGCGTGCGGATCCATTTCTTTCATGCACACACAATCTCTCTCCCCGTATTCAAAATGCCATGTCGATCGATCTATTGATATTCTCGGAAAATCGTGGGATTGGTGCAGTGCTGCAAGAAGCATTGGTAGTAGCGATGATAGTGGTCGGATGCGGAGAAACCGATAGATACTTTCTCCTGAAGCGCAACTGAGCTAAACTAAAGATCCGAACCATCCACACGGGTGGAGGGAATATGTATATTATGTTAATTATTGTATGTTATTTTTGAAATGTCAAGGTAGCTAGGAGACGGCCCTTCTTAAAGTTCAGTGACAGGAACGATCAAGTGGTCTATGGGCGCCCACGTGTAGAAGGCCATGACATGCAGCGAAAGGGTCGCACGGGTGTGCGACATTTCTTCTAGCGTAGTCCAGAGGAATAATGCGTAGGATTGTGATAGTCCCAAGTCTTCCGCCACCACCAATGTCCCGGTATGGGGTGCTTGAGGTTTCGCAGAGAAGGTATCTCGAGAGGCTCTTCGAAGGCAAGACTGCTTACTGGTGCGGGTGTGTTAATTATGGATTTCCCGGGATGATCACCGCGGTGCGATCTACCCGCGTCGAATCGCAGTTGCAGTCACAGTCGCAAAGACACAGGACTAGATATACCATGCACAATAGGTATACCTACTAGTGTGTAGATGTAAGACAGAACCGACTTTGCGTCGCATTAGGAAATGCATGAGACCCTCCCTTTCGGCTCATCCTCGCCTCAAGAGAATGAGAGAAAAAAGGAACGACCCAATTCGTTCCGGGGTGAACCTGATCGACGCAAATGGATCTGCAGCAAATCATCTCGTCAGCTCAGCCTTTTTTTGCATCCTCCTAACGGTAGGTATTTCTCTGGCGCTTTTTCAATAATGCTCGTCGGTCGCCGCCGTCGCCGCCGCGGTTCCCCCGTCCGTTAGCTACATTGCCATGCCTAGGCAAAACACCCCTTTCTCGCCTTTGATCAATGGTAGATAGGAGTACACAACAGTTGATTTGTTCAGCAAATGCGAGAGCCTGTGCAAGACACCATCTATGTTCAAGACAAACAAGATGGTGGGCGCCATCTCATCCACATGCCCGTTCCTAACCTTCCCTTTCTACGCCGCCACCCAGCATCCATCGGAAGCGGGCAAGAGACCGGAAGCGCGAGAACGATTGCGCATGACAAAAGAAAGCATTCCTGGAACTCCAGGTGTGTGTACCCAGCCTCGCGACGATAGGAATGCCCAGGCGGAAGGTCGACACCCATGACGTCTCGAGAAGGATAAGGGGCGTTCCAGAAGGCTTCTAGAAGAAAAGGCGACCAAGCTAACGAATGTATTCTACCTTGTACCTCGCTGATGGAGAGGAGGGATTGGTTGTCTCTTTGGGTTTCAACGCTACATGGCTAGGTTAGGTATGTACGCATGTGTAGGTATGTGCCACGCTGCTGCCACGAGACTGTACAGGTCCACACCTCCATCTGCCCGTTAGTTGGGTAACTTTTGCGTAGGGTGATGGGTCTGTGGGTTAAGGGCGTTGGATGCGTGTATGCGTAAGTCGCCAGGCCGCAGCGTAGGAAAAGAGTAGGTAGATCCCTTTCTTTTAAAGTTTCGGAGAAGGGTCGTGACACTTCTTTTATTGTGGTTTTTATTTTTAATTTGGCGAATGGGATTGTCGTGATGGGGTTATGCGTGATGAGTGATGGAAGATGGCCATGGCCCTTCCCGTACATAAGGTTTGGGGTCTTTGGCTAGCTAGCATGGCAGGCCTGGTTACAATACCTTGGTTGCGTGCTGCCCGCGTGCGTGCTTTGTGTGTAAGAACGTGCAGAGGCGCGCGCACGCACAGGTACAGACTACAGTACAACAGTGCAGTCGAGAAGTTCAAGAAATCAAGAAGTCACCCATGTTGTTGAAAAGTAAGAAAAATACGCAATCTTGGGATCATGTAGATGACGTTGGATTACGGTTGGGATTGATCGCCTGAACAATCCATGTCCGGACGGGCGAGGCGAGGTAGATCTCGCGGGGGATGGAAGGAATTTCGAACTCCCTTTGCCATGTGGTGCGCGCGTGGGTCGTCATCGTGTGGAAGTACGAGGTTTGTACATCCTCGTAACGTAGAGTTGGTGATGTGCGCTCGGGTTGGGTTGGATCGTGTCTGGGTTGTGCAGTGTAGTAGTGTCACGTCAGTAAAGAATATACTGTACTTCCATGGTCGGCATGAATTAATTACAGGCAACCTGTTTCTCTATCATCGTCATCGTCATCATGGCTTCGACACCGACCTCCGAACGACTTCCGTCATTATTTGTATTTCTGCCCTGCTAAGCGCGGGTACATATGCCTTTGGTGCAATCACTATTACTATCGTATGTACCTAAAATCATAGAACGTCGTCGCATGTATGTACCCAGCGACCTACACAGTACTTGTAACTTGTTACCGTCGCCGCGGTGGCCCGTAAATCACTTAACTAACGCACCTAAGAACCTCTCGTCTCTTCGTAGCCCTGACGTTCCGTCGTGCCCCGTCCTGTCTGCATGCACGATTGTGGACCGGCCGGACCACTCACCACGTGCGTTCTGCAGTTCCCATTCCCACTTCCTTTCCTGTTTTCTTTGCCCGTTCGGCAGCGAGGAACCCACCTGTATGCAGGTAGACGGGCCTTTTTTGGTCGGGCTGCTGTTGTGCTGTTACGTTACGAGGTATTGTACGGAACGGAGTAGGTATTGTAGATTTGCCTGGCTACTGTTTCGTTCGAGTCGAGGCTTGGGGATCCGCGTGTGCATGCATGCATGTGCGTGTGTGCGTCCGCTCACGCAGCTGTGTCTATGCGCGGAAGTCTTGTGTGTGATTACTGTGATAGTTGTGATGGTCTACTTTTGGGTGTTGGAGAAGGCGAGGCGAAGTGTGGCGAGGGGAAGAGGAAGAGCACGCCCCTTATCTGATAGTGGGACTCGTGCGGTATGTATGAGCGCATTTTTGTTTCGCTATGTAGAGATAGTGCTTGAATCCTTTGTTTAAAGAGGAGGATCAATTGTATTGCATTGGTATTGCTCATTCGTCGTTGGTTAGATAGCTAGATATGATTACAGTGTGTGAATAGACAGATTCGAAAATAGCAGATCTAGTACAATACTCCTCAACCGCGAGCCCTACATCGCAGTCATACACACAACTCAACGAGGCAATGGCAATTTACGACAGTGATGTTGGTGGTGGTGGTGGTGGTGGTGACGATGACAACAGTTTCGGTACACAATGCATCCTACCGAGTCATTCTCTACGTCTACAGGTAGATGTACTTTCTCGGCCCCCGGCACCGTAAGCAGCCCACTTGCGTCCGGGGCGGGCGTGTGACTTGAGTTTTTGGGGAGGTTAGGGAGGATGAGATCATAGTTTGGTTGGAGGAGGAGGAGGAGGAGGTGGGAGGATGATATGTATTTGTTCGCCTGTTTTGCCTGGAGTTGTTGGGTTGGAGTGGAGGAGGGTGTGAGATGTACTTATATTGAAGAATCGAAAGTGGTGTAGAAACGTTGGCGTGCTGGTAAATAACGTGGGTTCAAGAGTGGTGGGGTAGCTGTGAACATACACAGTCTTTGTACTCCGTACATCCAGCAATTATTTCTTGCACAATAACGTCTACCTCTCTCCGCCTTAACAATCGCAGCCTCTACACACCCCTAAAAGCACATCTGCTTACAAGTCACGCCCACATAATCATAACAACATCGATTATTCCTCACAATACCCAATAGCCAATAGTCTCCCTCCGCAGCCCATCTCCTCGCCTGTCAAAGTGAAAAAGACAGCGAGCAGCGAAACTCTATGCACGTGCCCGTATACACAAATGCTACATGACTCGCGCGGGGGAGGAAGAGGGGGGATCCGACGACTAGATCGCCGCGCGTGGAAGGGTGGCTAGCCGAGTGGAAGGGAGGGCGCGAGTACTGCGGAAACATTGAAGATGAGGGTAAGGAAGTAGAAGTGTTTGTAGATGCATCACTCTGTGAAGGGTACTGGGGAGGGTATTAGTTGGGCGTTTGCGTTCATGTCACCAGCCGTTTGTGTCTAATAATGATAGCTCATCATATCCTCCCCCATTCGTAGAAAGCAAACTCGAAGAACGGCAAAGATGCTGGCGATCAACGCGGATCACCACCCGTCTCTTCTTTCCCTTATTCTTCTTGTCCAAGCACGTCGTACTCTGTACAAGTAACTACAGTTCCATTTTTATTCATCCATTTCCCTTCGCGAGACATCGGCTGCCTACCGATTAGCCAGCTCGCACAAATCCTACTCCGCGCTGCACCGCACTGCACTTGCACGTACTAGCCTCCGCCAATTCCTCCCTGAAGATTGGGGCGAGTGGGTTTTCCGGATTAGGCGCACGCGTTGCTTCTGGATTGGGATGGGATGGGATGGATTCACGTCCGAAAGGAGCGAGAATGTGAGACCGGATGGGGAGGATTGTGGAGAGATGGGATGGGGTCATGTTTGTTTATCATCTACGAAGTACGGAGGACCTAGGTAGGAGGTGGTAGGTGGTTATCGGGTAAAAACTACAAGTACATGTGTTGGTAGGTATTGTGTAGATAATCTACTTATACTTGTGCATAGTTAGGCACGTTGGGTAGGAAATCGGAGCATCGGAAGGGGGAGGGGGAGTCATGGAGCCGTTTGTTTATCAATTACTCGTGGTCTGTCTTCTTCAACAAGTCAAAATAAATGTTTATAGCACGTGTGATATTATCTAGTAGCTATAATTGATCTTTTTTATACCTCCGTTTCATTGAAAATTATCGTTTCATCTTTCTTCGTCGTCGGTTGCAGTCGAGCGGGTGGATAGCGGGCAAACGGGCAGCAACGGGGAAGGTGGGAAAATCCGAAAATCATCCCAGGACGATTGCAGTTAAGAAAGACGTCCCGCCCGTCGTCAGGTACATGTGCATATTGTAGTTTGATCGCACAATCAGGTCTTAGGCCTTTGACGGGCCGAATGGGGGAGGGGAAAAGGGCACGATGGCTGGTTCAGGGTCCTTGGATGGGAAGGGAAACTATAGATGCTAGTGGGAGATGGTATCTTGAGAGGGCAGGACAGGAACGGGAATTGTGGACTGGATTTGGAAGTGTGTTAGGACTGTTTGGGCATCGTGGAGAGGTTGGTGTCTGTTTGTTTCTCTTCGTATGTGGGAGTGTGAGTAGGAAAGATTGAGTGATAATAATTGCTGTGATATAGGGAGAGGGAGACAGAGACAATAGTCGGAGAAGAACAGAGGAAGAAGAATAGTGGGGAGCGTGAGGGCCAGGGGGGGAGGTCTCGGAGGATAGACTTGTTAGCGCTGAGAAGGAGGAGTGTATCAGTACTCCGCCATGTTGTTACTGTCCGAGTAGATGATTGTACGGAGTATGTGTACTCCGTAGTTCAAGCATATTGATTGCCAGCCGTAGTCAAGATGATTGATAGATAGATAGGATGAGGGGGGTGAATTGAGGCTGTTGGACATGATTGCCTAGGTAGTTAATAGGAGGGGAGAGGGTTAGGTAGGGATAGGGGATTCTAGCGAGCGCCACAGACAAAAGCCACTTACCGGAGACATGCAGGGCAGGGGATATAGTATACGATACAATACACGGTATGGTACGGTAAGGAAAAGGAGTAGGGAAGTGGAGATGGACCCATTGAAAAAGGTGATGGAATGGCTGCATCTCGCTTCTCTCGCCTCGTTCTCATGTCGCAGCAATTGCAGGTGGACTTGTGTCTATTAGGCAGTGTTCGGTCTGTGTGCTCCTTGCGACTTGCCCCCTCTGGGCCCTCTCCCAATTGTCATTGCCATCCCTACCAATTCATTGTCGCACAGATCCATCCACATGCCGCAGGGGCCTTTTAACATCCAACGCCCAAACGGAAGGATGTGGAAGTGGAAGCGAATGTGGCAGAGGGAAGAAGAAGAAGAAGAAGAAGAAGAAGATGCAGAAGAATGCAGAAGCACAAGAAGAAGCAGAGTACCTAGGAAGACGAGGCCGGCATTCAAACACATGCGGGCTTGCAACTTGCATCATGCCCCGGACCTTGTAACCTTTTCGTTCGTTCGTTGATGGTTTCTAGGAAGTTCCTGGTTCCCTTAGTTCCTAGTTCCCAGCCATGGGCCATGCATACAATACACACACGGACACCCAAGGGCCTACCCTTCACACTACACACTACTGTGTACACACTACGAGGTCTAAACTCTCGTATGGGCCATGATGCCCTTACCACCCCCCTCCCATGAAACTAAACTGACTTGGGGGTTTCTTCCTCCCTCTAGAGCAGGTAGGCAGACAGGCAAGGCAAGTAAACTAGCTAATAGTTCCAAAGATTCAAGTCAAGTCCAGTCCAGTCAAGTCCAATCCAGTCAAAAGTCAAGTCAGTTCATGTCAAGTCGGCTCTTGTCTCCTCTGCGACCGTAAACCCTGTTCAGTTACGTCCCGCCTTGTGCCTGCCTTCCTGCCTGCGTGCCTGCCCTTTCCACGGTCTACCTACCCTCTAGCCTGCTGGGTAGTTCCTTCCCACCTTCGTAACCTTCCATCCCATATTCCCTCCGCCTCGCCCCTACACTTGACCTTGACTTGACACTTACTCATTCACCCACCACTCACTCTCTCACTCACTTAATTACCCTCTCACGTCCCTTTTCCTTTCGTCTCGTCTTTTGGCGATCGTCTTGCGCACTCATCAATCCTCATTGCTTGCGCGCGCGTGTCTTCAATCGTGCCTCACAGCTCTTGCGCTGGTTGTGCTCTGTCGCAGAGAACACACACACACACACCACCACCGCTACCACCCACTCCCAGGTCCGCACAGTCACCAAAACCAACCACCACCCACAAAACACTTCCACTCTGACCAGGACCACACTTTCCCCCCTCACGAAACAATCTTGAACACATATATTACCAGCGATCTTAATCAACCTCCTCTCCCCTGTCTTCCCTTCCAGGTTCAGAAATCAGAGTCAGGATTCAAAAACTGGAAACCCACTCCTCGGACAAGGTCCTACAGCTCCACCACCGCCCACAGGCCACCATACAGCGATCTTCCACGCTGCCAGTCTCGATGCTGAAACGAGACTGACGCGAAGCAGAACCCAACCCGTCTCTGCTCCCTGCTTCCATGCTCCCTGCTCCCTGCTCCTTGACGGTTGACTACTAGCCATCCTACCACTAGCATTTCCATGTCGAACGTCTTCCACAAGTCCAAACCTGACCCTCATTCTTTCCATCTTTCCTCCTCCCAGAAACATCGCAACCACCATTCCTCACACGACAGCGAGGAAGACTCCCGCAATATCGAAGCAAACCTCTTCGAGCTCGGCTTGCTCACTACCAAGCAGCACCGGAAACCTCCCTCCTCCTCCTCCCTCCGCTCCAAGGGCTCAAAGAAACCGCCCAAGGCCGTCGGGTTCGGCCCACCTCCTCCCTCCCATACCCACAGTACTTCTTCCCTTTTTTACTTCCCTGACACCTTGTCTATAAGCTCAGACCGCTCATGTCTTTTCTAGGAGGCTTCCGTCCCTCTTCGCGCAGCTCCCACCACAAATCCCAAAATCAATCCTCCCAATTCTCTACCCACCAAAACATAAGGAGCACCGCTACCCTCGATTCGCAGTCACAAGTTCCACCTCGTTCTTCCAGAGGCATGGCTGGCGTCTTGGATATAGAGAGGTCGCGCACCCGCCGCGAGAGGACCTTCATTGGCAGCGAGTGCGCCGTTTGCGAAGAGCCTCTCGAGCACACCCTACGGGGAGAGCGTATCTTGCAGCTCTCCTGCGGGCACGTCTCCCACGAGGCGTGCTTTTACGAGTACATTCGCGAATTTGAGTCACATCATTGCCCAACGTGCAATGCAACATTAGGGCTGGACACCAGTCGGGGCGGCAACGTGCTCGACCTCGGTAAGTCTACAAACTCGCCTGGCGAGCCCTGCATACCCTCTCCTATTCGCAGAGAGACTGACCGCGAATCTGCAGAGAAACTGAGCACAATAGTCCGTTCCGTGCAGAACGACTCTAGCCAAGGCAGCCACAGGAGTAACCAGAACACCCCAACGCCGTGGGACCACCAGACCATCTCAGAATCGCATGCACCACAATCCCATGGTCGACCGCGGGGTGACAGCGACTTGAGCAGCCACTATCAACAATCACATCCTCGACAGCGGGACAGCAGCCACAGCCGGGACCGAGCCTCAGACCGGATGGGATCAATGTCACGGCAACATTTGAGGAGCGATAGTGGCGCGACAGGTGTGGCTTCCTCTGGCGACTATGCCGCGACCAACGACGGAAGGCGGCACGATTATGATCTCCAGTCCATGGAGACCACCCTGAGCAGCCCGCGTGGCGGTTTGAGGAGTCCGATCCCCCCACCCACCGTCACCGTTCGAAGCGAGTTCCCCACGCTCAGCCGCTCTCGACAGCAACAGAGCTTGACGTGCCTGGTCACCGTTGAAGTCGTGGATGGCAAGTGGAGGCCCGATCCTGAGGACATGAGAGCGGCGCCGCCACTCCCATCCATCGCCAGCGCCACGGAAAGCTTCCAACGCCCCAAGTCGCCGGTGCGCAACAGGCACTTCGAACCCCCTTACGAATCCGCCGAGGCACTGGACGAAATCACAGAAGATCTACACTCGCGCGTCGACAACTGGCACGGCCTCGATTTCTCCCGCTTTGGAAAACTGCGCCTGAACGGCCAGGTCCGCGTCGGCAAGGACCGACAAACCTGGCAGGAGTTGGACTGCTATCTGTTCTCGGAGATGCTCATCTGCGTGAAGGAGAAGAAGGGCCAGCAGCAACAGGCTTCGCAATGGGATGGCGCGGAAATGACCAATCGCAAGCCAAAGTGCACGCTCAAGGGATCCATTCTCATCAAGAAGCATCTCAACCAGGTGGAACATTCTCCCGACGAGGCCATCCTCACCTTGAGCCTCTCCGTCGCCGAGCTTCCCGCTTTCCATTTGAAGTTCGACAACCGAAGCCAATTGGAGCTCTGGAGGCGTGCACTGATGGATATTCGCATGGACTTCCCAAACCCCCATCGCATGCCCGATTACGACCACGACAACTCAGGCACCGAAGACGAGGACTATCGCGTGTCGCGCCCCAAGCGCGTCTCTTCAGTAAACTCATCTGCCTATGGGGCCGCCCGATCGACCGTCACCGCCCCCACCGAATATTCCAATTCTCGTGCCGGCCCAATCGAACCCCGACCCTCAGCATCCATCCACGTGCCTGTTGACATCGTCGTTGTCATTCCGGTTTCTTCCTCCATGCAAGGCCTGAAGATTAATTTGCTCCGCGACACTCTCAAGTTTCTCGTCAACAATTTGGGGGAGCGAGACCGCATGGGATTGGTCACATTTGGCTCCAGCGGAGGAGGCGTCCCCATCGTTAGCATGACAAGTAAGGCGTGGAGGGATTGGCCAAAGGTCCTCGACTCCATCCGACCCGTTGGACAGAAGAGCCTCCGCGCCGATGTCGTCGAGGGTGCCAACGTCGCCATGGACATCCTCATGCAGCGGAAGTCTAGCAATCCGTTGTCCAGCATCCTTTTGATCAGCGACTCCACAACATCCGATGCCGAGAGCGTCGATTTCGTCGTCTCTCGTGCTGAGGCCGCAAAGTAGGTTCTTCATGCGTTGACAAATATCATTCTTTGAATTGACTAACATTATTAACTACAGGGTTTCCATCCACTCGTTCGGACTGGGCCTGACACACAAGCCCGATACAATGATCGAGCTCTCAACCCGCACCAAAGCCTCCTACACCTATGTCAAAGACTGGATGATGCTGCGAGAGTGCGTCGCTGGCTGCTTGGGTTCTCTCCAGACCATTTCGCACCAGAACGTGAAGCTCAAGCTGCGATTGCCCGAAGGTTCTCCTGCGAAGTTCGTTAAGATCAGTGGGGCATTGCAAATCACGAAACGCGCTACTGGACGAGATGCCGAAGCCTCACTTGGAGATTTGCGCTTCGGCGACAAGAGAGGTATGTACACTCCACTCATCTAATCTCTATAGCTCGTGGTATACTAATTCTTCGTCAAGATATCCTTGTGCAACTGGCGATCTCGCCTGACACCGCCTCGCCGGAGCAGCTCCCGCAAGATCCTTGGGAGACAATCGTTTCAGGCTTAGAAGCTCTCGGCGGGCCGTTGGACCAGGACGAGTCACGCAGCCTCAGCGTCGAGGAAGTCCCTCTGATCCAGGCTGACCTCACCTACGGTGATATACTCCGGGAAGGATCGATCTCACATCTCCCTCGCCCCTCGCTATTGGCCATCACCATCTTGCCCTCGGTATCGAAGAAGAACGCATCTGGTCGACCCCCGACGCCACCCATCCCGCCACACCCCCATGTCGTCCAACGACGCATGGAATTGCTCACATCTGACATGTTGACACGAGCGCTGACGCTTGTCTCGCGTGGTCAGCACGAAAGAGCGCACCATCTGCTGAAAGAGACGCGCAGTATCTTGAAGGGACTAGGAAAGGGAGGACTGCCGCCTCTACCGCCACCACCTTCTCGTCGCAATGACGGCAGCGGCTCGGCCAGCAGCACCAGCCAGAACTCCCCCACCGTCGCCAGCGCTGATCGTCCACGCACTCCCTCGCCTCATGCCGAGAATCCCTTCCAACCCGCAGCAGGAATCGATGCCACGACGATGCACGCACTTGACGCAGAGTTGGAGTCCAGTTTGGAATGGATCAACCATCCCGCCGTGTTTGGCCGGGATTCGCGCAAGGCAGTGCTGCAAGCAATCGGAGTCATCAGCTCGCAGCGGGCTTATACTTTCCGAACTCCATCGGAAGCTCTCTGGGCTGATCGCATCTCTGGTGTCAAGCGTCTCTCTGGTCGATCACGAGACTGGCGCGAGACTGGTGACGACCAGGCACTCATGGAGGAAAATTAACGACAACCCACCCCAGCCACGGTGTTGGCTTACGCCCTCTATTCCTTGAATCTCTCCTAATCATATTCCCTTCCTACTTGTACATTGGTACGACCACACTACTTGGTGTTCGACTACTCGGATTGCGACCTTTCCGGCGGCTGCGGTCCTTTGCTCAATTTATCGGCGAAACATTATTACAGGATTCCAAATTTCCCACGGCTACTGCACTACTACATTCATGGTTCGGGGCGTACCCTCTGGGGGCGGGGCGCAATCGAGCGCCCAGATCTTTGCTTTTCCTTTTATGCACTTATTCCCTTACGAATGATACCACACACAGTTTTCGGCCGCCCGTCCGTTTTCTTTTTATCTCGTTTTCAATACACGCGAATCCCTCTTACAGGCCCCCCGGACTTCCAACCCCAAAATCTCTCCCACCATCTCCCGTACCCTTTCGCATCTATGCCCCCACCGGTTTTGTTTTCCCTCTGTTTTCTTGTTCTGGATGATACCAAAATCTCCCTGCCCCCCAATCTTGTCTAGCGATAAAGCGACAAAGCATGCATCTGTTGTACGAGAGTATAGAGCGCAGTGGTGCTTGCAGCGTATGCGGTCATTTACTACTTCTTTCTTTCTTCTTCTTTGCCTAGCTTTCCGGCTTCGAGAAATCGAAAGCCATGTCCGCCATCTATGTTTCATTTATTACACCATGTATTAGACAGTAGTGGAGAGAGAATCGATGGATGTAGAGATTTTAAAAGAGAGACAGGAAAAGATTATTTTTCTGGATGATGGGGAATCTACTGCAAGATAAAATGAAAATACTATTCACAACTTCATGAGATGAAAGATCATGCGTGATGCTCCTTATCAAAACGGACTGTCTACTTTAGAATGTTACGGTAATGGTACGTAGGGCCACCTCGTAGGGCGTACACCCACGCATACACTACGGGGTCCGTGGGTCGGGGTCATGGGTACGGTACGTGGTGGGTGCTGTGTGTGTGGGGGGATAATGGGATTCGGATGAGGTCAGATTCGTCCATGGGGGGATGAGGGGTTGTTCTTTTGAAGACCGTAGGGTGTGTGTGGGTGTGTTTGTGGGAGACCATAGGGAAGGAAGAGGGTGTATGTAGGGAGGGGAGTTGCGTTTAGGTATGTATGTCTTTCTTTCGTGTTTCGGATTGAAGAGGTAATGGTAGGTACAGTTGATGTAATAGCTAGCTAGCTGGGCAGACAGTGTGAGGCTGGGATGGTGGTGAACACAGCATGGGGATGGTGGTTGAATTGGAAGGGTGTGTAAAGGCAAGGCAAGGCAAGGCAAGGCGGATGAAATCCATATCCCCATCGCCGGGTGGGTTCGATTTGTTTCCTCACGGCGTACGCAGTACACTCTCACACACACACATATCGTCATCATCATCGATGCATACCTAGCTGCGTATCTCTGGGATTCCGTTTCTGTCTGTCCATAAGAGAGAAGGACGTCATGTATGTACTGTATGTATGTACACACGGGTGTGGCTAAACCTAACCCATTAGCACACCCGCTCCGGTAGTGCAGTGCAGTGCTGCTGTGCTCGTGGTGGTGTGGTGGTGGGCGTGGTTAGTGGAGGGTGGGGACGTCCAACATTTGTTTCGTGGACCGAAAGTGTACACACCTACACAACTACCCAGATGTAGAGAGAGGTGATGGTGCGTTTGGGGTGGAGGGGTGGGTAATCAATAGGCGACAGCGAACGACGGGGCGATCGTGCGGTATTGGTAACGGCGCATGGGATGTGGTTTTTCTGGGTTATGAATGTCCGGTTCGGGACGGGAAACGTTGGGGATTCGCAGCTATTGTCACGACGGATGATGGAGTAGCAAGCAGTGCTGGTAATGATGGAGGTATCTATTCGAATCTACGTACGGAGTATGGACGTACATGCTAATAACTAACTATACACATACATTCACGATACGAAGCGTACTTTGTAGTCCTCGCTTTGCGGTTTCGAACATAGCATAGCATGCTTGGTAGATATCCCATCCCTACGGAGTAATTACTCTACCTGTATCCACGGACTCGTTCGCTGGGCTGGGCTGGCTGGCTACTGTTCTGGTATCATGCATTGCCAGCCGGCAACCAAAAACAGAAACAGAAACATCTCCCACACACACACACACACACACACACACACACACACACACACACACACACACACACATACCTAGCCTTACATCCTGGCCTCCTAGAGGTGTAGACGTGATTGGGAAGCAGAGGGGGTAACCAACAGTTGGTCAATTGATTACCTCGAACCACACGTCCATCCATCATGCAGCCCTGCATGACGACAACGACGACGACGGACGGCTGTGGCAATCAATCATGTAGTCCGAAACGTTTACAGGTACTTACGCCCCGGGCCCCGTGGGTTCGAACTTCGCCCTGAGACTGCATTTGTGAGTTTGTGTGTAGAACGTAGGGATGGAGGGACGTATTGGTATGGCTGGGTGTTAAGGTGAGAAAGGATGATCATGGCCCCAAATTGGATTACATGACATGGGTTCGAAGGTGTATCCTTTCTGGGTTCGTTGGTTGGTTCGCGATACCCACGACGACGGAGATTGGACGTAGGTATCGAACCATTGTTATAGTTACCATACGTATGGGTGTATGGATGTACGGATGCATGTATGTATGTATGTATGTATGTATGTATGTATGTATGTATGTATGTATGTATGTATGTATGTATGTAGGATGCAGAGAGGGGAGAGTTCATGAGCGAGAGATTCAGCCTCGCTCGCTCGCTCGCATCGCGGTACGATGGATAGATGGGGAGATGCTATAAATTGATTCTCCTGCGTATTGGGATTTGAGATGAAAGCGAGCGAGCGAACGCGCGAGGGAAATCACGTCGTCGTCGTCGTCGTTCGTTTCGTTGTACAGCGTCTGCGGTGTGTATGTATGTATGTTTGTTTGGTTGTATGGTTGTATGTACGCTGTAATGTAATGTAGTCAGACGGCGCCATCGCTCCGTTCCATCGTCCCCCATCCATCCCCATATGCGCTCCCATGTACGGAGTAAAGTATGATACCACGAGGGAAGATGTAGCGTAGGGTAGGCCCGCACCGCACCGTACCGCACCCGCTACGGGAGTTCAGTCGAATCGAATCGAATCGAAGGAAAAAACATCGATGGACGCCTCGTTCCTGCAGCGGGCGGCCGGCCAGCCATCGAGATACGTTCGTTTCGCTGTGCAAACACCCCATCCGATCAGACTAACTATTACGAGTATACAAGTAGGCATATTTGCACCGTGGTTTACCCATCTAACTACCCATCTATATACCATCTGGAGTCCCCAGACTGGGTGATTGGCTGTTGGCCATGTATGCACTTGTATATTCCCAACAACATCCCAATCCAATGTCCACTCACCCCTTGCCCTTGCTCGCTCGAGCAAAGCAAGCAAGCATGCTGCAGCGCATTGCATCTGCAGCGAGCATATGTTGTTATCCTGCAGCCCGCAATCCTTTTCGTATGCAATACACGCACGCACGCACTCGCGCGCGCGGCCGCGCGGACGTACGGGCTTTTTCAGATAAGTAACGTAGTACGACGCGAAGACTGAAAGTAACATGCAGAGGAGGGAATATACGGGGGGATGTTTGGTTTGGATTTGGTTCCGGGGCGCGAACGAGATGACGGAACGGGGGGTTGGAGGGAGAGGAAAAAGCGCCCGCCTGAGACAAACGGTACAAGTATATAGATTAAACTCGGCGAATGCAAGTAGGCACTTGGGATTCGTGATTGGGTGGACCGGTCTGTTGGTGTGCTGTTGAAGGATCGTATCGTTACTTGTAGGTACTCTAGGCTTTCTGTAATTCATGCAAAGGCAGACAGGCAGGCTGGCTATCTGGTGGATGGTATGGCGTTGCATAGCAGTAGTGCAGATGTCCCCAGGACAAGGCATTGCAGGGAGGGCATTGCAGGGCCAGAGACATGGGCAGGTGTTTGTTGGTGACAGGCTCGTTGTCATGAATCTGCTATACTGACACATCCCTAAGCTCATTCATCTTGGGGTAGGAAGAATTGTGGCTGGAGGGTCGGTCGGACTTAGGTTTGAGTTGCTGTACGAGGTCCTCGTACCATATATTGTCATGTTTGTGTGTTTGTTTGTATGTGTATAGATTTGTATTTGTATTTCATCGTTCGTAACTTCGTATCGACAGCCCAAAACCGGTCTACTCCTACTCCTGGGGGAACGGAACGGCAACCACCAACGGGCAAACCAAACCCAACCCAGCCTCTACAAGTACCGTATGGGTAAGTTTCCTCTCGCGTAGGTATGAACCCAACGGCAATGTACCGCGTATGTTGAGAGGTGGATCTCTGGGCTTATTGATGGCATGTGCAGTGCAGGAAATCCTTTAGCGAACCTCGCCTGGCAATAATCGTACTGTAAAGTAACTTTGCCATTACCCTTTCTTTCTAACCTTGCAAACGAACAACAACTCAATCTCGATATCCATTCGCGTGGCCCCGACCAGCTTCCTCAAACGCAGTAGTCCATCGTAACGGTTCTACCACCTTGATCGTATTCCTTGCCTTAGACCCCAACACATGGAGACGGAGTCTGAGGCAGGTACCAAGCACAGGACTGCAGTTTTTGGACTTAGCCCACGGGAGCAATGCCAACCGGTTGAAGAGTTCCCACAATCCCCCCACTCTCATCATCATCGTTGTCGCCATCGATGCTATCGTAGCTCTTTCGTCAAGACGTTGCTTTTGATGTGATATCTCGGCATTAACTTCTTTTTTTGCTGACATAGACTGAGTGACGATCATACTCCTCCTGATGAAGGCAATTGCTTGTTACGATCGCACAAGCTGCCTGCATTACTCACGGAAATGATGAACGCCACGAGCTAGACGGGACGGCTGCATCCCCTTCCTCCCCGCCGGCCCCCCGTTTGCACACAAAAAAGACCGATGCTCTGGATTCGACGGCGATCTCGACAGAGAGGGAGAGAAAAGAAAGGAAGGGGGGTGGGAGGGAGATCTGGAAGGGCAAAGATAGTCGTACGATGTGGAAAACCGTTTTGATGGTGGCTGGGTACCCGCCGTAATGGTAAAGTATTACTCGTATGTACTCCGTACCTGACGCGGGCAGCTTACCAAGTCTTGACATAATTACCTTCGATTTCCCTTTGCGTCCATGTACCTGACCTGACATGCACGACGAAGTCGAAAAAGGATGGCTTGCGCCTGTCATACTCATGTCGTGCCCGTTTCGTTTTCTCCTCTGCTCGATGGGTGGAGGCGCCAATGATACTATCTTCTTTCTCCATTGTTATGTCCCTAGCTGTTAGGAAGTACGGAGTAGTTTGATTCTCCATTATCGTTCGCGCTCTCCAATAGAGGAAAATTCGACCTATTGGCTGCTTAAATTTAGGGTCTTGTTTGATCGTATTGTTCCTGATGAGGTCCAAGGTACCTGATTCAATCCTTCCATCGGCAGAGCAAAAGAGTACAAGTAGTTGCAGGGAAAACGTCGTGAAACCCACTCCTCCCATGCCCAAAGAACCCACCTAACCCGCGCGCTAGCATTCAGTGCCTGCGGCAGTCTATCCCTCACAAGGTAAGGACGCAATGCTCGATTCAGTGACACACGGGGGGGAACAGGCCCGTCCGCCTACCGACAAACGTTCGCCCCGACTGGACAGGTCGTCTCGGCTGGTCTAGACGGTTACCTCTGTGACAGGCTGTAACGTCCCGGCCGTTCGTTGGATCGAATGGAAGGAATCGAGGAGGAAGACGAGCCGATGCCGCGATCAGAAATTTACGCTTCTGCACGGCATCCTGGCATCATCACCAAGTTTCGCAGGGACATGGGCATGGCTCGTCGCAATTCCTAGCATTTTCATCTCGGTGCAGAGTTGAAAGGAAGGTAGAAAAAGAATCGGAAGCGGAGATCCTAATCATTCGCAGAGATACCTTTCGTCCGTCTATCGGTCGACATTTCTACCACATTCGGCGTGGCGTGGCATGGCATAGCATGGCAATGCAGCGTGGGAGAGATAGACAGACGATACGCTGTGAATGCTTGTACCAACGGTGGGGAGACATCAACGACAGTCCGCCTCATAATCCTGCCATTCTTAGGCAATTCCAAAAAACATTCCGCTGTAATTTTTCTTTCTTCGAAGTGATGTGACATCCAATTGTTTCCCCCATCCACGAACGCGCGGGAAATGAAAAGAGGAACTCAAAGGGCCATCGTATTGTCTCAACGGCGCGCCTCGTCTCCATCCCGCAGGCCTCCCCTCCCCCCGTCCCCATCAAATCAGAAACAAAATCCCAAAGATCTCGTTTGATCTCCTTCGCTACGTGTGCCGTTCCCTCTTTTCATTTTTGATTCCTGCTCTTTTTCTTTTCTCCGAAGTGCGATACGCGCCGTTGGGTGGATGAGGTGACTGGATGGAAAGGTGGATTGAGGACCCGAGGACATGATACTGGGTTTCTTCTGTGACTCGCTTCCAATTCGCCTTGCCTTGATTCTTGCCGATTTTTGCTTTTGCCATCCTTCATTTGTCTGGCCTGGCGTGCCATGCACCCGCGGGACGTGGGACAAGTTTCAGAAGGTTGGACTCTTTCAGGCGTCTTGCAGGTAGCACGACCCGTTTGAACGGCCAGGCTTGTTTTCTTTTGACAGCCAGTAGTGGGTCCTGTGGGAGGGCATTTTTGCGTCATGAATCTTGCTTTGAATATTTGAGGATATTGCACTTGACTATTTGAGCGGATTTGGCGACGGGTTTGGTGGCCGTGTAGCTACCGTAAGTGTCGTACAAGGTAAACAATTGCGGCATTCATGGACAAGTATGTATGTTTAAATTGATTCCCTATCCTATATATGACTCGAAAGAAATCGAGCAAGTTGGCTCGCTGCGTACAGGGTATGTACATTGTCCTTTTTCAGTTCTTCAACCTTCAAACCCCCTGCTGCACGTCGCAGTCAACTGGGCTAGTCTGAACTGCACGATGTGGATGATTCCCCCCACGGCCACAGCTGTCAGAATACTAGTACATGCAAGGCGGTGCTTTCACTCGACTTTTCGTGTAACGGGATTGGCCTAGATATCCAGAGGCAATAAAAAGGAAAGAAAAGGTCCACTAAGCTGTTGTACCTGTACTTCAAGATGCAGCCTACTGTATCCTGCTCTGTGATATTGCACAGGATAGGTTGGAGGGTGACGTTGCGGAAAAAGTATTCATGATTCGTGTTATCGTGTAACGATCGGGTGGGGTGATATTATCTAAAATATGTTACAATATGCGTACATTTCTAACTGGGCCTCCGTCGATCAAATCACCATCGAAGTTGTCCGAACGATGCCGCGAATTGATCCGCTATTTCATGGTCAGTTGTGAACTTGAGTTTCCAAGGGGCAAATTGTGTACCGTAGCTCATCATGCTGTGGCAGTCTGAATCCTGCTGCTTCTCGAGAGCCTGAGGAAGCCTGTATGTCCAGTCAGTGGGACTTGTCCGACCATGGAAGTAAGGACCAACTAACCACTCTCGAATCTTCTCTTCTCGATTGTGGTTTGACGGATGTGTCGAGAGGACCTGTGGAGGCGCTTGCTGGCCCAGTTTCTCCATCCGTGCCCAGAATTCCATGGCAGCTTCAGGTCTGTAGCAGCCCTGCGCCATCATGAGAAGCCCAATGTAGTCTGCCTCTGCCTCTTGTTTCCTACTTCCCGGCCATGACAGGAAGAGGTCTAGCAGTAGTTTGCTCGAGTAGAAAGATATGTCGAACATTGAGAGTAGAACGCACGCAACCAGGATCAAGGGAGCTTGGCTCATCCGTTCACTTGAATATTTCAGTATCAGGCTCAGGATCTTTAAAGATGCACAGTATCTTACGCGGTATGATGTGCAACAACATGGGCGATCTCGTGACCAAGAACGGCAGCAATGCCATGCTCATCTTTGCACAGAGGAAGGATGCCTGTGAAGACGAAAACCTTACCACTATGGTCGATTAGCACACCTTTTCAAATCTTCTTTTCCGTGCTTGCGGGCTCTCACCCAGGGATCACAAAAGCGTTCTGCTCAGGGCTTTCGATAACATGAACCTCCCAATTCAAGTCGTCTAATCCAGTTCCTGATACATATGGTAGTAGCCTTGCAAGAACCTTCTTCACCTGCCTGACCCGCAGGTCGTATTCAGGTAGAAATTTGCCCCTATACTCTTCCTTTATCTGTTCCATGGTGCCTTGTGCAGCGTAGGCCTCCAGCTGAGGGCTTATGATGTTGAAGCGGCGCCGTCCAGAGACCTTTTGTCCATGTCAACAATGACTTCTAGGCCAACAGTATTTTCAAAATCATACCGGCACCTCCTCCAAGTTGTATAAGTAGAATCCTCCCGCGCCCACGCTTATGAACCCGACGTCCCTATAGAATGTCGGTCTTGCGGCCCATCGGTACAGAATGTTCGATGCTGTGGCACCCCCGAAGCGTTGGTATTGTGGACCGCGGCCACCTATGCGATACGCGCGAAACTGGGATTGGAATCGGAAATTATCGAGGATACGGGATCCGGGACGCCATCGGAACATGGTGGAGACCTTGATGTGAGGTATTGCGCGGGGCGCGATGCGACTTGAATGTGTTATGATGTAGCAGTGGAGTAACAGCTCTTATCGATATGATGCGGGATAGCGACTTGTGCCAAGACTCTGCGATGTGTATTCGTGACCATTTCTCTAAGTAATTGCTTGAAGGTGATCAAAACTCTAGAAATTTTCACTTTGTAGCCCCATTGCCAAATACTTTAGGTAAGGTGGTTTCTCAGTGTGGTAAATTTTATTGGAATAGCAGTTTTCGTTGCGAAACAGCTTCATAAAGTACAAAAACATCTCTCGCGAAGATTATGTTGGAACAATCAAGTCATCCTTATGCTCTAGCTACTTCTCTCCGCATTGGGATGACGTAGTACATGCAGGTCGGGCAAGTAGCCAGCTTTGATACTATACGTAGTATGTTGAGTATGATATATTTTCAGGCCTAATGACAATTGGAATTTGGACAGACTACGATGAAGAAAGACTTATAGTGGGAAGCAAGGCCTGTGATAAATAATAACCCATACCCCTATTCTTATTATTGTTTAATCATCATAATATAAGGCAATTTAAGAATGGTGCAAAATGGTAATTGGGTTTGTAGTGTCTCAGTGAATCAAGTTTCCTGCTATGATAAATGCATCGCTATGCATCGTGATTAATGAAATCTCATAGTAGTGTAAGATTAGAACCTTCACATGTGCCCCTAGAACAACTTTGCTTACTTCACGGTAACTGTTCTATTTTGCCAAATTGCGCTACCAAAAAGCTACTTCCTGTGATATTCGGAGTCAGTGGCGCGATCGATGATCAGCTGTCTAAGTGATACTACGTTGTTGCACACATAATTGCTCTGTGGTCGAAAACAAAGCATGATAAAGTTTCAACAGTAAATACAGCTTTTCATTTTTCAAAGTCTATCTACAATAATCCCACCAACGCGCTCAAAGCACAGCTAAAGAACACACATTAAGAACTCCCATCCCGCTTTGGAATATTCAAAAACGACGATTAACCTTTCTCATACTGATGAGAAGAATTTATCTAACACTTCCTCCACTCTACATGCCACTGAGCGCTCTTAATGTTGTAGGTGCCTGCATTACCGTTGATCACAGGCCTGTGGTTGACGTTCAACAGCCCCCCGTATCCAGTGCTTCCTATGCACTTACTCCAAACCGGCTCATTGGTCGTAGTCTTCAACGTGAAGGGGCTGTTGTAGTCCGGGCCAGCACATGCGATTTGTCCTCTGAAAGTATTCTGTGCAGCATTGTTAGTTACTTTAATCTTGCAACTCCATCGAGCCCATTGAGCCATTGATATGGGTACGACTTACGGTACGGTCAGCCTCCTGACTAAAGTACACAGACGTCAAAGTATCGAGCTGAGACCCAGACTTCAGTGTCAGATCACCCCGATACGTGACCTCCTTGATGGCGAACTGCCACCCTTGACTCGCGCCATTGACGTTCGCGTGCAGTTGGCAGTTCTGGGTGTCGTCTCCCTTCAGTTGATCGAAGTCGATCGTCACCCAGTCGCCGAGTGTGTCTGTATTTATTCTTGCTGATGTGGCGGTTTTGCATCCATTGCCGGAGAAGACGGCGTCGCTGATGCTAGGAGGTGTGGGTGGTGCGGCTGCGGCGAGGATTGGAGCAGCTGCCGCGGCGAGGAATAGTGAGGCCTTCATTGTTGTGATGGTATTGATGTGTAATTGTATTCGGTGAGGTTTTATCAGTGAAGTGATATTGCAGATTAGATGGTGATATAAAGATGATAGATGTTGGTCTTAAGAGATGTTAAGTATTTTTTTTGAAATGATGTTACGATCTGATATGACTATATAGTTCTTCATCAGGTCTCAAACTCGATGCTATATATACCCAAGAAATATGACGATAGTGGCAGAAGCGGGTCTCTCCTCCACCTAATGCCCTGCATCCGTGACATACTATAATTCTTGTTCTAGAATCCAGAAAGATGATCTCCCCGGAATTAAGCAAAAAGTTGCCACCTCTGTCTCTTCCGAGCCAGACTGACGTTTGTTTTTAAGAAATTTATTAAAAGCATATTAGATTCCGTTCCTTGGTCTCGAAGGTTCCGCTTGCAGAGTGCGCGGACGTCGATCCCATTTAGCCAGATAGATTAAGGTTGCTGGCGATCCAACGGTTTCTGCCCAGGGTCATTTCGTCGTCCAGAAACACAAAACTAGTACCAGAAAGCCAGAATCCACTTATATTCTAAAATTAGCCAGGGAACCTCAATCTACAGTCTATAACGCCCTTCGGTTCCTCCGCCGAAGTCGTGGTGTTCGAGATTCTTGGTATTCATTTTGTTCCCTTCCCGTGTCGATCACTCAACCGTTCAAATTCATTCTCAATTTTGGCGGTATAGAGATTTCTCGTATTTATAATTTGGTTTGCTATGGATACTATGTCCTTTGGGCGTGCACACGGAATGATACTGTGTTCGGTCGTTCGACGTGAATTAGTGATAGTTGACGATGTTTCTATATTTGTATCCTTGTGGCGGGATAATTGATACAATGCGATGCCCAAAGAATGGAAGTAGGAGGAGCCTGTTTTCTTCGCTCCCAACATCTGCCCTCCTTTCCAAAGTTGTGGATTAGACTTGGGATAAATGTAAGTCGCACATTGTTCATAGTCAAAGGAGGAGATGAGAGATTGTTAGAGCGTGTAGCTCTAGGATTGAAACGATGAGATTCTCTATCAATGGCTTCGCTTCTATCGATTTTCAAAGAATCGTGACTCGGAAATTATGACTGCTTTTTCACTCCTCTCAAGCAACGGGAGCTTCGTCTTGAGTTCCCTCAGTCGCTCTCTGCTTGTCGTCCCTGGCCACAAAATACCAACTTGTGCAAACTGCACACAGACACGTCGACAGAAGCGCAATGGAACAGATGTAACTGACGCGATAGGTCGGTCCAAACTTTGGTTGATAGATCTGCGGACCCACGATGCCCATCAGTTGGCAACTAGCATTCGTTATTCCAATCGCTAATCCCGCAGTCGTGGTTCCTCGTGCGGCACGGATACGCTCAGGCCACATGAGTGCGAAGAAGGATTGCGAGGCGGCTGTTGCAATCATGACAAAGATGTACTTCGCGGTTGCGTTCTTGACGGTGATGAGCAGAATGTAGCAGATGATTTGGGTGGTTTCGACACCGAGTCCTGCCACCCAAGGCGAGAGGCGTTTGGTATGGATGAAAAAGGCAAGTCCGCAGAGAATTACGAAAACCAACGTGAAAGGAGGCTAATTTTACTGTTAGACTTTTATCCGATTTCGATTCAAAGAATACTTACCATGGTCATGACCTGTGCGATGGCAGTATTTGAAATACCGAGTTCATAGATAACTGTCGGAAGTACAAACGAGATACCCCACCCCCCGATACCATGGGTGATCCAAATCATGAGAAATGGTACGAACGTTGGGCTCTTGAAAAGACTCTTCGTCTGCTCGAAGCTGAACGTCTTTGATTTCATAGATGGCGCCTGCTTGGGCAGATCGGCAAGGATGATTTCACGCTCCTCTTCAGTCAAGAACTTTACCGTTTCAGGATAGTTGGGCAAAAAGAACCAAGTGTATATTGCGCACAGTACCGCGGGGATTCCCTCGAGGATGAAAAGCTGTAGTGTGTCAGTCCATTGCTTCGATGCGTGTTGTCGAACCCGCTTACCCATCTCCAGCCGGCTAGACCAGCAACTCCATTCATGAACGATATGGCGTACGCAAGGAGGCCACTGATAGTTCCTGAAAACATACCACATGCGTAGAAAAACGCAATACGAAGTGGAAGCCGTTCGGTCGGATACCAAAAGCTCAGATGGTACAAAACACCCGGATAGAAGCCTGCTTCGGCAGCACCGAGGAAGAAGCGACAAGCCAGTATGCCGGAGTAGTTCTGGGCTGCACCTTGGCACATGGAGATGATACCCCATGTAAACATGATGCGAGACATCTATAGATGATTAGAGAGAGTTCCGCGAAGTTTGCTTCCTTGGGCACCATACCCAGACACTTGGACTAAATCGCTTTAGAGCAAGGGTTGCCAGAGGCTCGAAGAACATATACGGATAGTAAAATATGCTCAAAGTCCACGCCCATTGAGAAGATGTAAGGTTTCCAAGTTGTTTGCGGATTCCCGTGCCTTGTTCAAGATTCATGATTGCTGTATTTGAGATATTGCTGACGTGGATGCGCATGATAAGATAGACAAAGGCATACCACAGTAGTAACCTTTTGTCTACTTTCCTATGCGCAAGCTTCAGTTTGGCCACTGAAGCCTCGGAACTGGCATCGGATTGTGGCTCATAGTGAATCTCTTTCGAGTCAATGCCCTTTGGGTTCTCAGTTGAGGCCATTGTGTATGGGCTGATTATTGAAAGACAGGAGGGAGTTCACAGTGACGACGATCCCAAAGACAGCAAACAGGAACAGAGTGACACTTTATACAAACGATCGGGATTGTTGCATATGTGCCTCGCCATTACATATGCTTATGGGAAATTGCAAGCACGTCAACTGCACTTTTCTTGCCAAGGTCAATTGGAGTCAAGGTGGATGCAGCATATGGTGCCGATCAGGTGCGTTATCGTTCGTTATACGACCTGCTATACTGTGTAAGGGTAGCCAATAATCCTCTATGATGGTTAGTTGTTCAACAGTGTAGGGAACCGACAGGAAAAACAATGGATATCAGGCCCTGCATAGCAATCCTTTGACATTGCGGAAATCGGCCAAGTTCCGATTGGGCCGGCGCGAAGTTTGAATATGGTCCGGGCCGTTTATAAGACGATAGGAAAAGTTGTCATTGGAGAATTGGACAAGAGTCAAGGTTTTGGCGTTGGTTGATTGCCATATAAGGTCGTCGCTATATTCCGATGGCGTCGACTGCCAGTACGAGCACGAATCTTAGCCCCTCGATTGCGTGCTCAACCTCCACCTTTGCACTTCCGCTCCAAGTCATTTCCTATCCAACAGGAAACACGTATCGATGATCGAATAATGGAAAAAGATGAATATAGGTGGATGAAAAGAATACGCAACAGCAAAGAAGGATACTACTGGTTATTCCCGACGCGGACAAAATGCAACATCACATCATGGTCTTGGAATTACCAGTCGGCGGCCAAACTAGTGCAACAGACTGACAATTCGGAATTGAACGCACCTGGATATATATACTTGATCTGCCTCCCACCAAAACTGTGTCTTTACAATCGCGCGTTGTTCCGAACCGCTAGGTATACACTGAGATTCCGTCAATATTCCCGGGACTAAGCTAGGGACTGAATCATCGATACTGTTCATATTCCGACTTGCTTCACATCATCACATCTAATAAGTTGACAACATCATGCCTTCTGCTGTATCACCAGAGCCCCCAGCAGTTCCGAAATGGGAGCGACCCGGAAAAACAAATGAGAAACTCGATTGGGCAGACATCAAGGTCATTGACCTGTCTACATTTGACGAACCAGGTGGCAAGCAGAGGTTGGCTGAAGAGCTGCGAGATGCTGTAAGTTACCTAATCGAACTGATCTTATATAGACAACTTTGACTGATCGTGATCAAGGTACACCACACTGGTTTCTTCAGTGTAACAGGCACTGGATTCACACAGGAAGAGGTTGACAGGCAGTATGACCTAGGTCAGGCTTATTTCGATCTGCCACTTGAAGTGAAAGGGGACTCAAAGTACCGCTGCGACTTTACGCAGGGAAATTACTTTGGCTACCGAGCTGTACGTCAATGTCAAATTTGCTTAGGAATAACTCAAGACTAATGATAAGTCAGGCAAATGAAAAGAAGATCATGGGCACAGACGTTCTCGACAACGTAGAGTCTGTCAACATCCCTAAGTTCATACTGCAAAATGAGAACGAGCCTTTCCATCCATTTCTTCGTCAGTACCGATCAGAGATCGAAGACTTCTCTCGTCGGTCTCTTGAGCTTGCATCCAAGATTTTTACTTTATTTTCCATCATTCTGGAACTTCCGGAAGACTATTTCTCAAAGCGACATCTCTACCAGGATCAATCGGAAGATCACCTTCGTTACATGATTTACCGGCCCCGCTCTGCTGAGGCAGATGACAAGGTGCAGAACACATGGTCAAGGGCACATACCGACTTTGGCTCACTAACTCTACTGTGGTCTCAAAATGTGGCTGGCCTACAGCTCAAGAACCCAGCTGGTGAATGGAAACATGTCCCACCTGTTGACAATGGAATAATCTGCAATGTTGGCGATACATTGGACTTCTGGTCTGCAGGATATCTGAAATCCACCATTCACCGTGTACAACGGCCTCCACAGGATCAGGCCCACATTCACCGCCTCGGTCTTTTCTATTTCGTCAGGCCAGGTAACGAGGTGGATATCAAGCCCGCGCCTTCACCGTTACTCAAACGGTTGGGAAGAATTGGCGAAAACCAAGAAAACGCAGCGCCTGTGAGGGGCCTCGAGTATGTGAGGGAACGAGTGAAGAATTACCACAACCATAACGACTACGCGGATATGAAAGGCAAAAAATTCAAGGTCGGGAATCTAGAGATAGAAGACGAAGCATCCTAGGATAATGAAACCGAATGTTCCGAGCAATGCGAATGTGAATTCTGATCGGATGTTATTTTAATGCACACGAACTTGCACATTTACCTAAAGAAGACTTCCGTAACGTCTTGGTCTTACCCACGTGAGCCAAGTTGAAACTGGCCCCATCAAAGCGCTCAAGCTGACATAATGAAAGCAGATTGTCAAGAAGTTCCCACATCGCAGTATTTTGTTCAGCTTGCACTGCCACCGGCTGCTCACCTGCGCATCATCTCACCTGTGGGGTCTAATTTCAGACATGCCAAATATTCTTGGTGCATACACGTTCTATCCCATAGCTAGAATGAATCAGGAAATTGGGTTCTCACCAATGTCATATCTTAAAAAGTATCATTTTAGCTGATGCTGGGTTTGCTCGTCCTGGACGAATCTCCGGTCGTCAAGTTGCCGGAAATCATCCACTAAGCCTCTTCACCAACATAGGCCACAAATGCGGAGCCAAAGCTAGCAGACAACATAGCTCCACCATGAATCATCAAGAACGGACAAAAATACATAAATGTTCCAGGAGCTTCCTAATCGCTGATATGTATGGGGGATATAAGTTACATGTTGACCGCTATCGACATAGCTCACTACAGGCATTGACAGCATTCACATTTGCTTCTCATACCACATCGTCTTCATTAATCTTTCTGTTTGTTGTTTAATTATCTCTGCCCACAAAATGGCTAACATCAATCTTTTGACATTTACCGGACTCCTCATTTCCACTGCCACTGCTGCACCATGGGGTAGGCGATTTGATCACAACGAAACAAATACGAATGGTACAAGCGGAATGGTATATGACTACGCTGATGTATGGGATCGATGCCACTATGATATGCTTATTGACTCGAGTAACTGATCCATATCAGATCACCCCATCGGCACAATTGGAATGGGTGCCTTGCTATGACAGCTACAAGTGTGCACTTCTCGAAGTTCCCCTGGACTATGCGAACCCAGAGGCCGGGACCACTACCATTCCCTGGATTCGACAAGACGTAGTCAACGGCACGGGCCAAGACATCATCATGAATCCTGGAGGCCCAAGCGTATCTGGCGTGGGCTTCGTGGTGAACGGTGGCGGCGACGACATGATCGAATATCTCGGTGGTAAATACAACCTCGTGAGCTTCGACCCGCGAGGTGTAAACAACAGCGGTATCAGCGTCACTTGCTATCCCGGCGGCCCTGAAGCCCGCGACAACCACAGGAAGCCTGGTTCTACCACTCCACTTACCGAACAGTGGCAAGGTGCGGTAGCAACAGGGCAGTTCTGTACCTCGGCAAACGAAGATACAGAGGCCAAATACGTGGGAACTTATGCCGTTGTCGAGGATATGATGCACTTTACAGAACTTCAGGCTGGATTAAACGGCCAAAATCCTGAAGAGGCGCTCATATGGTACTACGGAATTAGTTACGGAACAGTCATCGGCCAGACTCTGGCGACACTATATCCGGAGCGACTTGGTCGGGTTCTCCTCGACGGGAATGTCTATGGAGTTCAGCATTACGAAGGGATTGTACCTACTGCCCCCGAGGATGCCGATAATGGGATGGCATGGTTTTTCCAGCTTTGTTTCGAAGCGGGCCCTTCCAAGTGCGAGTTCGCTGGCAATTCGTCTTCACCCAGCGGCATCGAGCATCGCTTCCGAAGCATTATTGAGAAGATCGAGGTGGAGCCGCTCATCATACCTGGCGAGCCCGAAGGCTTTCCGAGTATCGTCACTAAACCAGACGTCACAGGCATGATTTACAACGCACTGTATAGCCCTATGACGGGATTCCAAACCATCGCTACTGTCGCCAACGCAATTGAGCAAGGAAACACCACGCTTTTAGCACAAATCGCTGCCGGTGCAGCTGGCTCAAACGCAGATTACGACAATTCTGCGAGTCAAGAAGCCCTTACCATAATCACAAACGTCGATTCTGCTGGAAGGTATCCTCTCAAGAATGCGAGCGACTTCATCAATGCTATCGAGGACCTGAGAAGGGAGAGCTATTACGGTGCCGATGCGATCGGTCTCAGCAATTTCCTCATCAATGCGGGAATGAACATTCAACCTCCAGAGAGCCAGTACTTCAAAGGTTAGTACCACCGACCTCATATGTAGAGGAAAACAATCGTGCTTGAAAGAAACATATGGGACTGACATTCAACTTAGGCTTCGAGCACACTCAGACCAGCGTCCCTCTTCTGTTCGTTGGCACTACCGGAGACCCTGTTACTCCTCTCTCCAGCGCCTTCAAGATGTCTGCGTACTTCGAAGGGTCTGTGGTTTTGACACAGGATACACCTGGCCATTCGTACTCGACTATTCCGTCGCAGTGCACGAACGGTCATGTGCAGGCATATCTCGAAGACGGAACGCTACCAGGAGCTGGAACAGTCTGTAAAGGTGACAAGAAGCCGCTCGTAGATCGGGAGACATTGCCGGTTGGCAAGCGCTCATACCGATTCAAATGAGAATCGTGTTCAGCGATATTTCTTGCGAGATGGGTAGATACAGTTCGTGGAGGCGTTTTGTGTAATAATCTTTTCTGCATTTCTAGATTGGGCGCATAGCATAATCATCGGTAAAGGAAGGTTTGCTACATCATTCAGTAAAATGTTACTAGTACTCTGGAAAACGTCTTGTCGACGAAAAATACTCTCGTGTTGATCATGTTCATTGCCAGTTAGGCCACTCGGAACTTTCGTAAGCCCCGAACTTCCGCTCTTGGGATGACTGAAATAGGTCTCATGAAGGCTATCTCCTGCAGCTATATTTGCCGAACATTGGCTATCCTGTAAAAGATGCCGTGAATCAGTGCTGACCATGGGGTACTTTCCCCCAAACCCCAGGTTTTCACCACACGCCCCACACCGCCTTGAGGATTTCACGACGAAACAGTATTAGATCCTCGCATTATTCAGGGCACGTTGGCCGTCTTGTTGTCTGGGCCAAATCCTCCAGGGCGGAAAAAGCCAATCGAGGGCAAGCTGGACAAGCATACGCCCACATTTCTTTGGCAGCGCGGCAAGGGTTCAAGATGTGGGGTGCGGGGGATGGCCCTTGGCTTCAAGTCACTTTCCCGGCTTGGGGTTGACTTCAAGCATCCTTCTGGCACCCTCAACTCCAATCATCATGATTTGATTTCAGAACTAATGACTATACGGACCTTTAGTAGTAGAAAGTAGGCATCGTCAGATCAAAATTAGTACATACATATTAACTGCCGTAGCAGTGGCTTCAAACCAAAGACATTCGGTAATGCATGCATCAGGTACTATAGTGCTGGAAACGGGGATAAGGATGACAATCTTCAATAGACCCACGAAGTTGCTCTTGGAATTTGGAGTCCCAGCCAATCCTTACCCTAACCCCGCGCTGCACGACACCGTTGTTGACCACGGCATGTATCATACTGCACTTCAATATGCAATCGTTCCATTGCCTTGGGAGCGTATAAGTATTTCGACAGAGCGCTCTTTGTACGATACCCGAATCAATCATCACCCCTCCTACTGAACGATCTACCAAAATGGCTGGGGGAGCAGTGATTTCGGCCAACCCGCTCAAGCTCGATTTACGGAGCCATCTGAAATGTCTGCTAATGTGCTTTGTTGCTACAATCTCCACTTTCCAATATGGTCTTGACTATGCCGTTATTGGAGGCTTCCTCAGCATGCCTGGCTTCCTCAAAGTGTACGGCTATTACGACGAGAAGCGCGGCACCTGGAATATCGACCCAACCGTACAACAATTGATTTCATCCCTCATGGTCATCGGAACTTTCTTCTCTTCGCTGATGGTGGGACCATTCAGTCAGAGGTTTGGCAGGAGGATGGGCTTATGGTGCGCGACTATTGTCAATTTTGTGGCTACGGGAATCATGTTGGGAACAACCAGTAAAGCCGCGCTGTACTTCGCGCGATTTCTACTTGGTAGGCAATGTTCAAAATAGTTATTGGGATATTCGGAGACGCTGACATAGCAAGGCATTTCCGTCGGATGGTTCCTTACCTTCTCACAGGTTTATGTCCACGAAGTGGCTCCGGTAAGCTATCAACCAGGCCCCTTAAAACATCCCATTCTCATCAAATGATACAGGCCCATCTTCGTGGTATCGCTTTCGCAGTGTACCAGACCCAGCTGTCAACCGGGTCAGTCGTAGGTGCCGTACTCGACTATGCTACGCACAAATTACCCGACAGAAGAGCCTATCAGATTCCACTCGCAGTCATGTATGCAGCACCGGCTATACAATTTATCTGTCTGTTCTGGCTACCTGAAACCCCTCGATGGTTGATGGTTCAGAAGAAGGAGGAAGAGGCCGAAGCTGCACTCCGGAGGCTGCGAAATGCGAATATTGATGAGAGCGAGTTCCAGGTAAGATCTTTCTGAAGTGATTTGTTCTGAACTCTGATAAGTATCAATAGGCCGAGTACAACGAGATCCGCGAGGGAACATTGAGGCAGATGGAAGGCAGTAAAGCAGTCTGGGCGGATATCTGGAAGGGAACGCATCGTCGTCGCACCCTCCTTGCTATCGCTGTGATTTGTTTCCACGCAGGGACTGGTAAGCTTAAGATTCTATTAACTTAGTTGACTTACAGCTAATCAATCTCGTTCCAAGGTTCCTCCTGGGTCGTGTATTACACAACGTACTACTTGGAAAAGGCCAAGGTCAGCGATCCGTTCGCTTACTCGATTCTGACAACTTGCTGTGGTATTCTTGGGGTGCTTTTTAGCTTCTTCTACGTCCGAAAGATTGATAGACGCGATATCATGCTTTATGGACTGTTAGGTTGTGGACTATTCCAGCTGATGCCAGCTGTTGCCTGGACGTGTGCGCCAAACTCACAGGCTGCTGCAAATGCCGTCGTTGCATCCGTCGCACTCTTCAAATTCGCCTACACGACCTTAGGTAAGTTGAGAAACTGACAGAGTTTACAGCTCGTCCGTTCAAACCTATAAGCTGACCATTCGCGCTTTTCAGGTCCGTACGCATGGCTCATCGGAGGCGAATACCCCAACAACCAACAGCGCGGCTATGTCTTTGGCATCGCATCTGCTTTGAATTTCCTCCTAACCTGGCTCGGCACTTTCACGGCACCGTTCTTCATCAATCCTGCAGCACTGGGTTGGAACGCACAGTACGGATACATATGGTTCGGATCAAACATCATCATGGTCGTTTTCACCTTCTTCTTCCTTCCGGAAACACGAGACCGCACGCTCGAAGAGATCCATGAGATGTTCGAAGCAAAACTGCCGGCTAGGAAGTTCAAAGGCTATGTCTGCGTTGGCGTTGAGTCGATGGCAGCCAAGGCTACTGGGAAAGAGGGGGTGCTAGACGAGGGAGTGGAGCATATTGAGAAGTCAGGTGTGCGCAGGACATCGAAAGAGACAGATGGATCTACTCATGTGTAGACTACATAATGATGTCGATGGTAGGACGCGCTTCTAGCTGATGCGGCCCATGATCGGTTGCAGAATTGGGCAATAGGTCTTCCTCGCTCTACCTGACGATACCGTTTAATGCCTTTTCAGGAGAACCTGTAGAGGAAGGACTTATGAGATTGTTCTTAGCTCTCTGAATAGACAGATCTCTATCCGGTCCAGTATTCGCCCCAGATTTTTGTCATTGGAGGTGGCGAGAAGATAATGAATTACCAAATAATGAAACAGATACAAGGACGTACCATGTCGTTATACAATACTTTTCTCTCGTAGCTGGGCATGTTAACGTGCCATTGCTTCTTTCACTCCTCTGATTTGACTGAATTTCGTCATTTGATGATATCCGAATGATGACCAAACCTTGGAGATCCAGAAATGCCGGTTAGGCTCTGCAGCGGAGGCAATCTGCCGAAGGGAACGATATATTTGAGGATTCCCAGCCAATGCTTGCACTGCTACCACGATATTGTCAACACCCAATCCTGGTATCACTACGTGAGCTGATTCGCTTACCACCTGGTGTATTTCATTTCTTGTTAATTTCGAACTCCTCAAATCTACACCCATCAAAATATAATGGTAGCGAACGCATGCATCGGATGCAAGAGTGGAGTAGAATTGCCGAAATACTGACAAGAAATAATGATCTTAAAGGATGAATGTCATACAGATACGCATCGTGTGCCGCTCTCTCGCAATTAACATCCGCTTCACATACCTTTCTATCTTCGTCTCTGGTGCAGCGACAACATGAAGTCGATTTCCACGGCTCTCGCACTCATCGCCTCTGTTGAGGCAGGCCTTCGCTTCCCATGCTCGACTCTCACATTCCAGCGTCTGGATCCTGTTGTTGAGCCAGGCAATACTCCTTCCGCCCATGTCCATCACATCGTTGGTGGAAATGCCTTCAATGCATCCATGAGCGGCGATGTGGGCAACCAGGCTTCTTGCACAACATGTCAGATGTCAGAGGACTTCTCTAACTACTGGACCGCTGTACTGTACTTCAAGCACCCCACGAATGGCTCTTACCATCGCGTTCCAGTACTCCCAGTCCAGCCTCTCCTTGGTGGATCGAACGGTGCTCAAGGCGGAATTACTGTCTACTACACACAGTTCGATCTCAGCAGAGACAACATTAAGCAGCAACCAATCAAGAGCTTCCAGCCGGTAAGTAATTCTAATATTCAATGATATCACCAAATACTAATACTCTTTTAGGGTTTCCGCATGACTGTTGGTAGCCCAACTGCAACCTCAAAACAGCATGTCGGCTTGACCTATCAGTGCCTCACAGGTAACAGTCGAGGTCGAGAGACAGCTGATTTCCCAGATAAGCCATGCACTGGCGGCATTTTCACCACACATCACTTCCCCGCGTAAGTACATCACCAATCTCCAACCCAACACCTCATACAAGTACTGACCTGGTCCAGATGCTGGGATGGTAAGAACCTTGACAGCCCGGACCATCAATCCCATATGTTCTTCACCAAGAGGACTGATGGCTTCACGAATGCTCCTGCATGCCCATCATCTCACCCCGTGAGAGTTCCCCAAGTCACCTACGAGACGACATGGGACACGTCCAAGTTCAACAGCATGTGGACGTCAGGCGCACCCAACCCATTTGTCTGGAGCTTTGAAGGCGGCAAGGGTTTCGGTACTCATGCTGACTACATGTTCGGATGGAAGGGCGACTCTTTGCAGAGGGCTATGGATAAGTCAGAATGCTTCTATGACGGCTGCGGCTCCATTACGAAGCAGGCCATGGCTACTGCTAACAAGTGCACCGTGCCGGACAGGATTAATGAGGAGACTGTCGGGTGTAAGTTCAGGTCATTATTGCATTAATGTGTATGGGCACTGACAACAAATAGGGCTTTCGGTTCTTCCCGGGCAATCGAAATAGATCTAGGTCGACATGAGCTTGTGGGACTTTTTGCTTTTGGACTGCTTCATCTCATGAACTCCAAGGCTGTCGTCGCATGTGTCGTTCGCTTGCCGATAATTATATTGGGAATGAGTCTGGATGCCGTCATATTCGGTCCGAGCAGGACTTGTTGTCGGAAACGGTTCCCTTTCCAGGTTATTGCTTTCGTGCTAAGTATGATGTGCTCGCTATCCAGAGACTTACCATACTGTCGTTAACCTGTCTTTAATATACACTGTTCATGGATGTGCGACATGACCCTGTGCTTCTTATGTATATATATACGCTTATGGGGCCAATTATATATACGGTTGCGCAGTTTGTATGGTATGTAGTGAGAACAATGCACTGTGCGACAAAGTGGCAGTGCCTTTCCCAAGTGTTCCATACATTCCCAGGATTGTGTTTGAGGCTACAGGTGGTGTCTTATCGGCGCAACCCGCGAATACACAACCCTCTACGGACAAAGCCCATGCATAGTAAATTAAATAATTGTACCTCCGTTCATGCACGTGAGGGGATCTACGGGGGAAACAATTGAGGCTTGTCCTTACTTGGCATCTGAGTTGATCCTTATCTGAAGCCCTTGCTTTCGGCGATCCACTAAGGGCAGGTGAATCAGATTGACGAATCGGAGAGAAGATCCAAACAAGAAGGCGTAATTCTCAGCAGGAAGCCGGGCGCGAATCATCACATCAGCCATTAAATTCCATTCATGCTATGAGCCACAGCAAGGAAAACAATTCGACAGGTGTTTAATTGATACCGAACATGGGGTAGCGACGGTAGCGACCGCAGCAGTACCATGGTAGCATTTAATTCTGGCATCGCCCACTGTTTGCAATGAATCTGGCAGACAATCTTTTCATTGTCCATCCATCACCATGCTTTCCCTTCTGCTTACTCTTCTTGCAGTTCAGAGTGCCTCTGCCTCTGACAACCTCGTGTCTGTCCATTTCAAGGCACCTACAGCGGCCCATTTTCGAGACCTTGTGCGCAATGCCAGTTACGATTTCGGATGTCGGGCTGCTGCTCACCCAACGGACGATGGCCACTTTAAGCTTCACGCATTACTCACCGAGGAGCAGATCGCACATGTGAGCAAGGAATATGAAACGATCGCTGACATCTCGATACACCGGGAGATCGTCAAGCGAGCAGCTGGCGCCCCCATCGGCACTGGGGATCGCTTCAAGGCTGGCACTGTGGCTCCTGTTGGCCTCGGTACACAAACGTCAGGATCTACGATCAGCAGCATCATGAATGTCGGCGAGATTGATTCGGCCCTCAAGGCTCTCGCTAGCGTCTATGGCGTCGGAACTGTCACTTTGCCTTTCAAGACGTTCAACGGCGCAACACAGACGGCTGGATTTGTTGGTGCCGGATCAGACAAGTCTAAATACCACCTGTACCTCAGCGCCGGCATGCATGCCCGCGAACGTGGGGGCCCCGACAACCTTCTTTACTGGATTTCCGACTTGCTAGCAGCGAACAAGTCAGGCGGCGGCTTGACTTATGGCAAAAAGACATACACCAATGCACAAGTCAAAAGCGTCTTGGCCGCTGGAATCGTCTTCTTCCCCTTGGTAAACCCCGACGGTGTCACATATGACCAATCCTCCGGATCCCTCTGGCGCAAAAACAGAAACACCAAGTCCGGCTCAAGCGGAAGCTCAATTGGTGTCGACATCAATCGCAATTTCGATTTCCTCTGGAATTTCAAGAAATATTTCGATCCATCTGAAGCCCCCGCATCTACTTCGCCAAGCTCAGAGACCTTTGCTGGAACTGCAGCTGCCTCGGAACCGGAAACCAAGAACCATGTCTCGCTATATGATTCTTTCCCCAAGATCCGATGGTTCATGGACATCCACTCTGCTGCTGGTGACATCCTTTACAGCTGGGGTGATGACAACGACCAGACCACGACTACTACCATGAACTTCCTTAACTCTGCCTACGACGGAAAGCGTGGTGTCGTCGGCGACTCGGTCTACAAAGAGTACATCCCATCTACAGATCTCGCCAACATCCAAAATGTAGCAGCCAAAACTGTCGCCGCAATGAAAGCTGTCGGCTCACGTTCATATTCCTCGATCCAAGCTGTCGGCCTGTACCCAACCTCAGGGGCTAGCGACGATTATGCTTTCAGTAGGTTCTGGGCGAAGAGTGGAGCAAACAAGGTCTACGGATACACGATGGAGTTTGGTTATTCGACCAACTTCTACCCAACCCTCACTGAGTTCAACCAGAACATCTTGGACACGAACGCAGGCTTCATGGACTGGGCTTTGGCCGCGATAAGCGTTGGCCTTGAATAATTATGTAGCGGATACCGTTTTCTAATGTTGCATGCATGAATCTAACGTATGTTTCTGATATGTTAACACTATGTTCTTGGTCGCTGAAGTGAACGTGAGATGAGATGAATTCTGCTTATAGCAGATGAGATGTTAATGATATAACCACTTCAAATACAGAGGTTTGCCCTACAGATAGTTGGTAAGAAGAATTTTCTATCTACTACAGCAACCAAGGTACAAAGAATCATTGGAAATCTAATTAGACATGAGCAGGACGCTGCTGACACTCAACATACATTACCATGATTGTGAGTCTTTGGACAGATTGAGATACCATCTTATCCTTGCTAGTTGTTAATACCATTCGCACAGGAATACAAGAGATTTCAATAGATCTCATGGGCAGGGCTTATTACATCACGCAGCAGTAATGTGCGGAAAGACTTCTCATTCCACATCAGAATCAATCATATGTTGCACTTGTCACAGCCAGCCATAGAACAGACACCATGTTTCTGAAGTGTCTTTCGAGTCAATATTAATAAATGGTACCTTGGCCAAAACATCGAAGAATCTTGTCGACGTTGTTCTGTTGACCGACAGCGACGTAGCGCGCAACTGTTAAGAGTTTCACGGTTCAATTAGCCGCGATATAAGGTATTCCTATATTGCTACTTGGCACACAATCTGAATCCTCGCAACCCGTCCCAATTAGCATTTATCATATTTACTATGACGACTACCAAGGTAAATGTAGTAAATTACTATATAAGAGCTACCGTTCGACCAGTCATACAATGTTGATTATGCTACTAGGCCTCTCTTTGCATACTGTCCGAACCCAAGGTCACCATGAGAACCAACGCACTGTTGACCAGTGTGGCTATATGGACTTCTGGTAAGAATATGACCTATATAATACCTTGTGTACTTGCTAACGAATGAAAAGCACTCGCTCAACAAGAGACAGTTCGGTACCAAGACCCCGAAACAGGAATCACATTTGCGTCCATTACGCACGCAAACGGCGCATCCTACAGAGTTGCATTGCCCATTAACTCTACTAGTTCTGACGCAGTTCTTCAGATTGTAGCACCAAAGGAATTTCAATGGTGCGGTCTGGCTTGGGGTGGCCACATGACTAACAATCCGCTGTCTGTGTCCTGGACCACAGGTGCTACCAGTGGGCAGAAAGCAATCGTGAGCAATCGCATGGCATAGTGAGTCATTTCCATCAAATCGGGAAAAGCTGATGCCTAATTACATAAGTTCCTACTATGCTGTGCCTCAGCAATACGACGGGGCAGAGCATACCTATCTCAAAGGGACTACGTCGAATGACACGCACTGGCAGGTCACTGCCCGATGCCAGGGATGCACTCGATGGAGTAGTGCTGATGGCGACATTGACATTACGACAGTGAGCGAGACAGTCTTTGCCTACGCTTGCTCCAGCTATGCTCCGGACACGCCGAATAGCAATACAAGCCAGTTCAACATTCACGAGCAATTTGGTATCTGGAATCATAATCTGGACCTAGGGAGGAGCGAGAGTTTCGGTGACTGGATACGAAACAATCCTTACGAGGCTTCTGTTGAAGTATAGTAATTGACCCGGCACACCTGGGATGCACGAGAGAAGAAGGCAGCACCAGAACGTGATAGAACGGATTTTTGAGTCCAAAACTAAATCAATACGCTCCTCCATTTCTAAGTGAAAGATATTATTTGTCATTCTGTAGAATAGAACAGGCTGTGAATGCATTGCTGATAAATGCTGCGACACTCTGTGGAAATGATTTAAAAGCTGCATGCGGTACCTGCATTTTGCTCATAATCATAGAAGTATGATCAGGAATCGTCTCGGGTTGTGAATTCTGGGTAACGATCTCGCATGGTCTGTACTTCAAGCGGTATAGTGCTAGCCTTTGTTTCAACCAGTAAATGGTAGTTGTGCTTACAGGCTTTGTAACAATCAGCTGTCTCGATGCGCAGTCACCGCAAAATGCTTACGGGTGACTGGCATTGTATGTAATTGCGGTATCACACCTCGCTCCAGAGCTCTGCATCACTGAGCAATGCAATACCATAATATAATATTAGCAAGACCACTAGTATAAAGTGATGAGAGCTCCCTTACTACATACTTACTTCGAATAATTACTACTGCCTTCATATTCATCAAGTCTCAGATAATCAACATGACTCTTTGCATTCTTGCACCAATCCTTTTACTTTTTGTGCTGGGAAGTCTTTGCAATGACATTGAATTTCACAATTTCCATCCACCCTATGCTGGTGATCTCAGATCGCCATGTCCAGCCTTGAACGCCCTTGCAAATCACCATATCATTCCGCACGACGGTCGTAACCTTACTGTACCAATGCTTGTCAAAGCATTCAACCAATCGATGAACATTAGCGATGAATTTACGAACTTTGTGGCGACTGCGGCCCTGCCTCTTGCACCTGACGGTGGGAAGAGTGGGACATTCAGTCTCCAAGATATTCAGGTTCACGGTGGCATGGAACACGACGGCTCGTTGTCTCGCAAAGACTTTGCGCTAGGCGGGGATGCCAACTCCTTCTCCCCTTCCGTGTTCCAAGAGTTCCTTAGCTTCTTCCATGGGAAAGAAGATATCGGTGTAGCGGATGCTGCGAGAGCAAGATGGTGAGTTTGTTCACTTGTTTCCCCACCAAGTCCAGTGATCAACTTCTTCATTACATATGTCAGAAAGATCGAGACTAACAAACTCAACACAGGGGCCGCATCGAATCCTCACGCCACACCAATCCAAACTTCACTTACACTGAAGGCGACCAAGCCAATAGTTATATCCAATCGGCCATTTACCTACAAGCTCTGAGGAATGATACATCGGGGGAAGTTCCAGTAGAATGGTTGAAGATCTGGTTTGAGGAGGAGCGATTGCCCTACAATGAAGGTTGGCGCCCAACGAAGAACCCCGTAAGTAGTTTGTCATTGCTTTTGGATGTGCTTAAACTTGCTCTCTACACGCCTGAGAAACTAGAGGAAGCATGTGAAGAAGGAAAGGGAACTCTGTAACGCAAATGATACAACACTTTCCTGTAATTACGGCGCGATTTATTGAAGGCGATTTATTGCTAAGATATAGATGAATCAATACACATGGTTCGTGGATATACAAATTACATACTCTTGAGAGAATATGAAAAGTGCTTCATTTAGGATTCGGGATACACTATTTCATATCATCGACAACATCTTATTCCATTATAGCATGCAAGAGCTCATAATTCTCTCCCACCTGCCTAGTCGACCACTTATTCAATAGTAGAAGCATACCTTTTGCGCTTCTGAATATCACCGAAGGGTGACTCACCAGTCCCTCTGCCCTCCCAAGCCGCCACTGTTTCCGTCATCTCCTCGATGCCCTTGCCCTCCTGTGGAGATGGTCCAATGGTCTTGAGATCATAACCCCTAGGCCTATATCTATCCCCCTTGCTACCCGGCTTCCTAGCGCCAAAAGTCCTTAAAAGCAGGGAACCCGGACTCCAAATTGACCAAAAGCTAGGCTGAATGTACCAAGGTTGGAAGCCGCCGTGGCTGAAGTTGTACAAACCATCTGTGTTCAGACCGGAAGATACGGGTTGATAAGCACAGGATGCCGGGCGAGGTAGACTGAGATGTCGGAGGGCGAGTTTGCGCGCGTTGGTGATGGCAGTGACTAGTGCTGATAGTAGAGGCCCTGCTGCCTCGATACAAAGGCTTTCTCGCATGGTGTCGTCTAGATCGAGGCCGACGAGTTGTCTTAGGAGCGATGTTACGGCTTTTCCCAATTTCTTTCCGGCGGAATCCACGTATACTCGAACATACTGGTCTCCGGTAGCTGTTGGTCTGGCCACTTCCTTTTCATACAGTTTAGTCCACTCGATCAACTCGGTGACGAAATGCAATCCGTCCTGCCATCCTGACTCAGAGCTTCTCAACGGCGTGAATGGGATCTCCAAGTCTTCACCGAGGTTGTAGTGGAAGACACCGACAGCGCACTTCTCAACGGGGCTGAGTTGTCTCCACTCTCCACTGTCTATAACGTGGAGGATTTCAAGTGCACCATCGCCAAGTGTATGTAAGAGATCTTTGTCGAGGATCTTTCCGGCCTTGCGATACCGTGCGTGCAGGTAGTTCATCCGAGCGACGGCATCCATGTAGCGCTGGGAGTTCCGTGGCTGTGTTTGTGATTCTCGTAGGAGAATCTCCGTGTCTACTGCCCGCTTTCCTGCGTTTCTGACATTGTTCTGCCCCGTGACGGCGAAGAGTTTCGACATTGTGGGTATACCACCAGCCTTGTACAGTGAGTAATTAGTGTGACACATCGAGTCATGGAAGGATGAGTACCTTGAGGAGTGCTACACTTCGTGCTTTGTTCATTGAGTATGGGAATTCGAAAGATTGAAGTTGCGTCATGATGTCAGAAGCCTCTTGTGTAGTCATGCTCGACATTGGCCTCTTCCCTTCTGTGAATGGAGAGGCGATCGAGTTGGCACGTCGGTATCTCAGACATCGAACAAGGATGAGGTACAAAGCAGTGATGCCAATTAGGATGCATGCTTTTGGATCAAGGAAAAATTGCTGTGCTACTATCTTCGGTGTTGGTAACGGGAGGGTGCTGGGAGGCATATTGAGAAGCGGTTGAGTGTATAAGAACGGATGTAGATTTAAGTATTGAGAAATGTCGACCCCTTTATATGCTAGAAGATACCACTACTGTTCCCTATAAAGCAGATAGATCTGCAGATATTTCTAGCAAAAGATTTTGTTCCAACCGTATGGATCCATCTACCATGCGTTCGCTTTGTCCCTTGATGTCCAATCAGAAAATACGCATAGCGTTCGATCACGAGCTGAAAACGGCACGAAGCAAATGGTACGAATCTCGGTCAGATGGCAATTACTGAAGTCTTTCGGAGATAGTGCGTTTTTGGTCCGCTATGAGGAAAATAAGCTGTGTGGTTTTGGAGTACAACACATATCTGCACTGGTCGAGTTCGGATGAGCAACGCTGGCCAATCGTATCTCGGCCGAGGTCCACGATTGCCAAGCGAAAGCATGCATTTACGGGTAGGCTTGCGAGCAAAGGCGTTTACGCCTTCTTGGGAGCTTACAAGCATTATCAGACGTGTTAAACACTCGTACTTCGATACTTATAACATCGCTGGACAGCTCCGGCGTGGCCCTGGAGTAACCCGAGTTTGCTGCCTTTTGTGATCTACGCGTTCTTCGAACTCAAGATTCTTTCCCCCTTCGGCTGCAGATCTCCCGAAAACGTGTCATTTCAAAGACCATTCCAAAGGCTACCATGGCACGACCTGGAGCCGAACTGGCGACTACGGTCGCCAAACCGCTGTCGGATTTTCAGAAAATTGGATACAACACCTATATCTGGACACCATCGACATATGATCCAGCCCGAGGACCGCTGATTCTACTCTTTTCTTGGAATGCTGGCGCTGCCAAACACATTGCCAAATATACTTTTTCTTATCAGAAACTGTTCCCCTCCTCGCGGATATTGCTCATTCGATGTTACACACCGGATATGTTCAAGTCCGAAGCGACGTATCGTGATCGTCTCACTCCAGCAATGGATACTGTGAAAGAGCATATCACCAATGGCGGCCACGTCCTCACGCATAGTTTTAGTAATGGCGGAGGCAATCAACTTGTTGAATTCTCGAAGGCGTGGGTGAAGAGGGAGTCCACTGTGTTGCCTATGCGGGCACTTGTGCTGGACTCATCGCCGGGTAAAGGAGGATGGATCCGAAGCCATGCTGCCATTGTTGCCTCGATGCCTAAGGGGTTTTTCTGGCAATTGTTCGGTGGTGCGATAACCCATCTGATGCTGGCTATGATCTTTGTGTTCAATGTTGTGACGATGAGAGAGAACAAGATGATCGTCATGTGCAGGGAAATGAATGATCCTCGCTACTTCGATCTTCGCACACCGAGGGTATACATTTATAGCAAAGCCGACCTGATGGTTGCCCACGATGAGGTCGAGGAGCACGCCAGCGATAGCGCTGCCAAAGGATGGGTTGTTACGAAGGTGCGATTTGAGTCGAGCGCGCATGCTGGGCACGTCAGAGAGGACGAGCAAAAGTATTGGAACGCGATAAGAGGGGCCTACGACAAGCAATCGTAGGAAAATGCGATGAATTCAGGGTTCTTTCTATAAACGCGCAGCGACTAGACTTAAATAGATGTTCCACATGAGGCCGCAACAGCTGAGGAAGATCATGCGGCGCTCAACGGGGCAGTATGTGGTGCTAAAGAAGTTGGCAACCGGCCAGACTTTGTACGAATCAAAGATGATGGGAAACATTTCCTATGCAATGATATATTAGCGAATTGTTCCTCCACATGATTAGCATTGCGGCTATGCCTTACTGTTCGTAGATCGGTCCCAATGCGCGACCATGTCTTGCCCTTCATGATCCCCATCAAGATAAGGAACATGGTTGTATTCAGTAGCGCTCCCATTGTTATACAATCCGTGAACCATTTTCGGAAAATGTTCCACCAATTCCTGACCCTAGCTTCCTCTTCCTGAACTTTTGGGCCTCCATCTTCCCGCAGGAAGATCTCCTTCTCCTCATCGTCGAGGCTTGAGACGTCCTTCTTCTGCACCTTGACTATCTTCCATCCAGGAAACCATCGCTCGAGGCTATTCTGCCAGTGGTAGTTGACCGGCGCGGTCAGGAAGACCATGAAGGCGAATTGGAAGAAGAGGACACGATCGAAGACGAAAGGCACGCCGGTGCGCCAGGCTTTCAGACGTTGCGCGATAATGTTGGAACAGCAATCGATGCCCAGTGCCATTAGGCACGTTGTGACGATCGGGGGGAGCTTCATCGTTGAAGATTTGATGTTCGGGTACTTTGAAGGGTCAAATCCGGTGTTCGTCGTCTTCGTTGTCTTTGTGGCCGTCGTGGAGTTGGAGTGGGTTATTGGTGTTGGTGTTGGTCGTTAACTAATAAGTGCAAGGGAGAGGCGGACAGACAGTTAGGGTCGTTGAGTGTCTGACAGCCCACTTTAAAACGGACACAAGAACGCCAACGTAAGCCCAACATCTTTCAGCACGTCCTAGCAATTTCTGCTATACGTACGAATCCTCTGTTTATGTTTAATGTCGGAAAGAAACGTCAAAATTTCTGATAGTATAAATGTCCACGCAATTTTCCCGAAGCTATGACCATCTCAAACAGCCATCAATGTCCCAAGTATCATCTTTACCCTTAGGGAGATGAAGATAATTGGTCGCACAATACAATTTATTATACGCGGTGGAACGCTTTACTTCGTTTCATTGGTCGACGCAAACAAATGTTCCAATAATGTATACGGCAATACGTCCATATATCTATCCACCTAAACTGTGTTCGCAATGACAAGTTTTGTAGGCGTGCTGCGTATGTGCTTGTCTACGTAGTTATTTTTAGGAGCTTTCGGGGTATTTGGGCTCTGGTGGGGGGGGGGGGCGTGGGAGAGGCCATAGGCCAGGGTCACAATCAAGGGAGATGGCCCACAGATAGTTGATCACCGAGTCAATTGATATTGGCAAATCCCTTGCTTGATTCCAGCTAGTTATTCACGATCCCAATATCTCCCTCATTACAATATTAATGAAGATTCGAAACTCTTCTTCAGTCTCAACTTGCGCTACTGATAAGTAGTAGCGATAAGTACCCCAGACTTGGCGGCGCCACACGACCCATCGGCCACTATAGTCAGGGCTTAAGCTATCACTCCTTACAGTCGACCTTAGTCGTTCAACATAAGCAACAATGCCAGTGACACGCAGATCTGCCCGTAATGCGACCAATGGAACCAACGTTTCGGCTCAGAAAAGGGAGGTTCTAGCTAAGGAGAAGTCGACGACCACAACCGCGAAGGCGACGCGTACAAAACGCGTACGCGACGAGGAAGAGACGCCTCCAAGTGGAAACGTGACAAATGAGTGAGTGCAACCGTCTCTATCATCAGTCACCATTTGTTTGCTGATCTCAGTGATAGTTCGTCAACTTCAGTACAATCAAGTAAAGATCCAACAGCTACTGGGCCATCAGCGTCCAAGCGAGCCAAAGGGTCAAAGGCCGCTACAGCTGCGTCGGGCACTGCGAACTTGCAATCCAACCGCGATGAGAACGGAAACCAAGAGGTGTTTTGGTTGTTGAAGGCCGAGCCGCTGCCTCGCTACGAGAACGGCGTTAACGTAGCCTTTTCAATCGATGATTTGAAGAATTGTACGGAGCCCGAGCCATGGAGTGGAGTCAGAAATCCACAAGCGAGAAACAACATGCAAGCAATGAGAAAAAATGATCTCGGCTTCTTCTACCACAGCAACGCCAAACCATCTGGTGTGGTGGGTATTCTCAGAGTTGTCGAGGAAGCAAAAGTCGATGAGTCCGCATTCGACCCAAAAGACCCATATTATGATGCGAAAAGCAACCGAGATAACCCAAAATGGTACTGTGTTGGGGTGGAATTTGTCAAGAAATTCGACGATGTGGTGGACTTGCATAAGATTAAAAGCCACGCCACATCCGGAGGTGCTCTCGAAAAGATGCAATTGGTGACGAACTCAAGACTCAGTGTGTCACGGGTAAGCAAGACGGAATGGGATTTCATCATGGACATGGCAGAAGGAAAAGGCGACAAAGAAACGAGTTGATATTAACTATTTGGATCAATAAGCAAAACCATGCTGCTAGTCAAACAGAATCATGAATCAAACAACCGCCCTCCTTCTCTGTTCAAGTTTCTGATCTTATTATTGGATGAGGTCTTGTATGTGCGCCCGCGATGTTTATTTGTTACATGCGGTGAAGATGAGGCAGCATTGCAGCGAACCTTTGAACGGCACTTAGACTTCTTTCCAGCATTATTGTATGCAATGTTGCTGACAGGGCGACGGCTCCCTGTCAACTACTATCATAATAATTGCCCGTTTATTGGTCGTGTCGAGTACCGAGTATTCACCTGCCTCATTCGTCTCCCAGATAGGATAATCTTTCGTGATCATTTTATATCAATCACCTGCTATTCTTAATTGGGCTAGCCATGTTGACTTCACTTGCGTCACTATCTACCACCTTGACGTCTCCGTCATCGGCTTTGATTTCACTCAACCTCTATTTGCGCCTTTGAATACAACCTCCGTACTTCTGCGGTCATGAAGCAGCAAATCGCCCTCGTTGCTGCTTTTTTGCTCGGCTCATTTGCAGATCAAAATAGCAACAACATCGCTGCTGTCGATCATTCCGGGGACATCAAGTATCTAGGTATCGAGAGAAATGGTGTTGAAGTCTTTCTGAATATACCCTATGGACAAGATACCGGTGGGGAGAATCGCTTCAAGCCTCCACGCCCGTTTGTGCCCGAGCCAGGTTCAATATTCAACGCCACTGCTGCAGGACCAGCGTGTCCCCAAAGCTTAGGACAATGGTTCCCGCCCGTGACCTTGAACAACATCACCGAAATATCGGAGAACTGCTTGAGCCTCAATATTGCTAGGCCCAAACCGAGTGACCGAAATGGTTGCAAACCATTGCCTGTAATGGTCTGGATTCACGGTGGCAGCTTTTGGGTGGGAAGTAACACGGAGCCTACGCACCAGCCAGATGGCCTCATTTTGCAGTCAGTGCAGGCTAAGAACCCCGTGATACATGTAGCCATCAACTACCGACTTGGATGTGAGTGTGCTTAAGTCTAGAAGTAACTTGTATCTCGTGTACTGACATATTTCAGTCTTCGGTTTCGCGAAATCAGATGCTCTACAAGATGAGGGTAGCACGAATGCTGGTCTTCGCGACCAAAGACTTGCCATTGAATGGGTCAGAGAGAATATAGCTCATTTTGGAGGAGACCCAGAGAATATTACAATTTTCGGACAGTCATCTGGCGGTGAGTATGATCTATTTATTTGAAACCTATTGGTTGAAAGATCAATCGCCATTCATTGCCTTGAGGTAATAAACAGCAGTCTGATCGAAAGTGCACAGGACTCGCCGTTGGAATGCAGCTTCTTGCGTATGGTGGTACAAAGCCTCTACCTTTTCGACGTGGTATCTGCCAGTCCCAAGCCCTCGAACCAGGAATTACCGGAAATTTCACCAGTGATGCGATGGCCAATCTGGTGGAATACATAGGCTGCGGGAACAAGTCGACTGTCAATTCTGCATTAACCATATCTTGTCTCCGTGGTCTAGACACCCAGACGCTCTTCAATGCCTCCTTTGATACATACGTTGGCGACATCGCACACAACATCGGTGACGTATGGCTTCCCACGGTCGACGGCGATTTCATTCCAGACACACCCAGTAAATTGATCAAAGAAGGCCGATTTGGACAAACATATTCCGGCGAAAATGTAACGTACATGTTCGGTTGGGCAGATGGCGATGTTAACTTCTACACCGACTATGCCATTGCCACGGCAAATGATACAGAGAACTTCATTAGCACTTACATATCGAATGTTCCAGAGGAAGATCTGAGTACCCTTTATGACCTGTATCCTGTCTCAGAGTTCGAACCTCCCACAGGTACAAATCTTACGGCAGAGTTCTATCGTTCGGCACGCATCTTTCGAGACATTCTCATGGTTTGCGAGCCACTGTTCCTTGCCGAGCACTTTGTAAAGTTCGGAGGCGAGGCGTATATGTATGATTTCAACCAAACTGTGCTGGAGTCCGTCGTCGAGGCCACATACAACATCTCGAAGATAGGCGTCATTCACACTTCAGAGTTTGCGTACATCTATGGCAATCTTTCTCACTACGAGGGCGCCGTCACCACCGAGTCCGATGAGTTGCTCCTCCAACGTGCGAGTCGTTCGTGGAGTGGCTTCGCAAATGGAGACCCTTCCGAAGGATTTGGAGCATTACAAGGCTGGCAGCAGGCTTTCGACACAGAGGGAAATGTGAACATTTTCGTTGTTGGTGGAGAGAATGAAGGCCTCACCTCCATCGATGGGCCGAAAAGTACAGATGCTATGAAAGCCCAGAAGCTAAGAGAACGGTGTGGACTGATAAACAGTGATGATTGGATCAAGTGGCTACAATACTAAGAGCGATAATTATTGAAGCTGCATCTTTTTGAAGTGTCTTTGGCCCAGCATAAAGAGACGGAGAACATGTCATAAAGCGATGGGGGTTATTCTAGCCTAAGCATTATACAAGCCAGGAAAGATATTATCAACTCAACCAGCGAATTGGTATGTGGCGGTGGAAAGTATTGATATCACTCTAATCATCTTGCATATTATTTAACTGTTTGCGTTTGATGTTCTGTAGTGTAGTGATGATTCTCATAAGCTGGGTCAATTGAGAACACATGTTTGCACGCTCCCTGCATAACTCGGCTATCGGCAACAACCAACAGTCGCCCCGGGCATCACTGTAAACCCAGGTCTCGGGTTTCTGACTACCAAGTCGGGACAACACTATGATTTCCTTAAAACGTTTCTATCCTAGTTTGGTCTACTACAGGTGTTCACGAACTAATCGTTCCCCGGCTGGAACCGCTCACACACCATGCCGTTCGCCCAGCTTGGGTACATCAGTGATTCGGCTGTGGGCGAAGGCAACTTGTACTAGACCGAGCATACGGACACAAACAGGGTTTCATGGCAATTTGCAAGACCGGCCATGTATTCCAATGTCATTGCAGGCCTAGTACAGTCACCAAGTGCCGAATACTCGCCTTCGCACTCGTTGGTAGTAGCCCAAAGTAAGTGAAGCGAAACTACTTTTTTGGTCCGACGATAGTGTGATTGGTGAAGTAAAATCAGATCAGCAAAGTTGCATAACGCGCTGGAATTGCAACATTGTTTTCTCGAAACCGGAAGTGGAGTTGTGGTCAGAAATGAGTGTTTACAATTCCGAGAGTGTATTGACCTTTAGCAGTACTGTAGGGACCAGAGTGCGTACTGGACAAACATACTTCGCGAATCCTTGTCCGGCCATGAAGTTTCAGACTGTTCGACGTCCAGGGCGAACAGAATTCTCAAGAATGGCGTTGACTGGCGTTGAATATTTGTATTCCGTGGTGGAAAACATAAATACTTCACATCTCCTCTCTCTAACTCATCATAACAGATCCACCATCACCAAGCAACAAAGCATCAACACTACAATCAAGATATCTACTCATCTATATCATCTTCAATTTTAACCACTCCAATCAATCCAACAACCACCATTCTAATATTAAAAATGCCTTTCACCATCGCTGCCTTCGTTACTCGCAAGCCTGAGATCAGCCCTGCTGACTTCGAGGCCGCCTACGAGTCCACCCACATCCCCGCCCTCAAGGAGGCCGTTGGCGATGCCTACCCCCAGACCGTCGCCCGCTACTACGTCAGGCGCGCCAAATCCGACCCCCAGGGCCTCACTCCTCTCTCCTTCACCGGCTCTGAGGAGACCTTCGGATACGATCTCGTGTCCCACCTCACTTTCGCGGACGAGCCTGCTGCCCTCGAGTTCCAGAAGAAGTACGCCGAGGCCAAGGAGTCGCTTGCAGCCAACGTCGCTGGGTTCGCGCAGTTGGAGAACTTCAGGGTCATTGCTTTCAAGGATGCTATCACCAACTAAGTTGGAGGAGGAAGAGTGATGGGTTGGGTCTATTACGACGGGACTTTATAAGTACATACTTGGAAGACTAGAATGCTCGGTACATTCGATTAATACATCATTTACCTAAACCGAATCGACCCATATTTGATGCACGGTGTGATGATAGTGCTTCAAGTACTGCAAGTAATCTTGTCGTTCTTGAATTTAAAGGAAATACCCAATGAGGCTTTATTACAAATGTATATATGAGTTGTCATCTACTCAGCAAGGAATATGTAGGTTGCCAGCAACATCGTCAACCACAGCACGGATGGACAGGGAACATGATACAGTTCATACTATATCACGAGCTAACGTCATCATCTATCAAATGCCCAACTTAAACCCTCCAGGTACCGCCTTCTGAAACAGCCCATTCGGATCATATTTTTTGCTGACACCACGCATAAATTGCACATTCTGCGCACCATACGACTTCACAGGCTCCTGCCACTGCGCAGCATAGTTAAGATACACATACTCGCTATAAAGGCCGCTCCTCTTAGCCAGATCCACAATGGCTGCCTCAGCCGTCTTCAAGGCTGCTTCGACTCGAGCATTGTCAATCGGTAGTTGCCACGATAAAGAGAAGAGGAAGTTGATAAAATCCTTATCAAATCGTTCCAGTCCGAGTACATTCCCTCCTGTTCCCGCTGATTTGGCGTAGATTGTCCGGGGGATTGGTTGAAATGAACATGTGAATATGAGACCCACCACCGTGAGGAGTTCTTTCGCAGTGGCGTCGACGATGTCGAAGACGGCGGCTAGGAATTCCGGTGTCGCTTCCACGTCGTTTATAAAGGTCAGGGTTGAGAATATGTTCAGACGGCCCGTTGTGATGACAAGAGTGGCCGCGAGCTCGTCCGTGAAACTTGTGAGAGCATCTTTTCGGATGGTTGTCGAAATCTTCGGCATGCTATCTAGGGGCTGGAGTGAGGGCGGTGGCCATGTCGCATCGGAGTCTGTATAAATAACGTTGTTTACGATGCTTGGGACACCGGCTAACCATGCGAAATTGATAATGATAGCAGCATAAGGATCGAAATTCGCGCTTGCTGTCAAGGTTGATAGAAATGGCCACAGCAGTTCCTTGTTAGTGATCGGTTGGGCAATGGTACCTCCCCAGAACTTCTCCTGCGGGTAAAGCGCCGTGTCAATCCGAGTAACGACTCCAAAGTTGTTACTGCCGCCTTTGAGAGCACGGAAGATGTCGGAGTTCTTGGTGTTGCTCGCCGTTATAATGCTACTATTTGCGAGCACAACCTCGAAACTTTTGACGTTATCGCATACAAAGCCGTAGCGACCAGAAAAGTACGATATTCCACCTGTAGCATGTCAGCACTGAACAACGTCATGCATGAGAAGCATTACCGCCGGTGACGAGCCCTCCAGTCCCGACCTGCGAGGCACGCCCGCCAACCATAACAAGATTCAGTTCATCTAATTTGGGATAGATATTCCTCCATCGGTTCCCAGGCCCAATGCTAACGGTCTTTCGATCGTCAGACACCACGACCTGATCCATACTTTGCATATCAATAGTCACGCCGCCGTCAATGTTGTTGGCGCCTTTGTTGGGAGTGTGCCTATATTGTATGAGCATTGATCATGTCCATTTGGTTGAGGAAGATCTGACCCTGCTCCTCTGATAGCAAATTGGCACCCTCTTATTGAAGCTTGGTTTGCAATGCTAAGGATGGCAATTGCCGTCGAGACATCCTGAGTGCTAGTGGGGATAACTATGCATGTAGGGGTCAAGCTTTGCGGCTGCGCAGCCCAAAAGGAGTGCTGAGAATTGGCATAGGCTGCATCCGTGAGGATGTTGAAGTGGACTTTGTCTGGCAAGAAGTAATCCAACGCGGTGCACTGGTAACGTTAGAAACGTTTCAATTGGGTCAAATGGATTCGCCTGTATATACTGGAACTCGCGGCTCTGCATTCTCAGGGTCATGGTGATGATCGAAACAGCACTTACACACGCTCCATTCTTTCTCAGTTGGGCTAGGATGCCTTGTTTATCTGGCACGGCTGCATTCACGCTGGAAACAAATATGAGAAGAGAACATAGCGATGCCCACGAGGCGATGAAAGAATACATCTTGATATCGATTACATATGATTTGGAGACAGGACCAAATGTCAATATATACCCCGCGTATAGCCACACCGTTGCATACATACATTAGCTTATGGGAATCTGAAGTCTTGAAAGTTATCGATTTGAAAGGTCGTACAGCATATGCGTGCCTTCATCATAGTCCAGGATAGGTGCGTCGTGGCTCAGTAGCGTTGCTGTAATGGGCGACCAAGCTTCGTGTATGCGGACAAAAGGCCAGGGGAATCCCGAACCTGGCTAGAATGGAAATCCTGAAATAGCCATCCAACGAAATAATGGTCCACAAGTGGATAGCTCTGGTGATATTGGGTAGTGGTGATTCAACGTTCTTGCTCAATCTAGGACGCCACAGAGGCACAGAGAAATTGTTGGTCCAGACTCTTGTGGATTTCTCCATTTGGATCCAGTTGGGATGCAGTGTATACTCCGTACTGTAACTCGAAATCCATCGTAGGGCACGAATTTGTTTGCTCAATCCTAATTTGTTCCAAACCTTCGTCAGGTCATGTCATTTTCTAAGACATTTGTTTTGATGGGGTATTTCGTGTAAATTAGCCTGCATGCCTACGGGCTCGCCAAAGCCCTGTGCATACGTATCAATATTGCTGCAAGCCTACGTCCGCCACACGGTTGGTGATGCGCTGAATATCCGGAGTCGTTCAATATTCAGCCAGAATGCAACGTGCGCAATGGTCACACGACATAAGCGTTGGTTGTCGCTATTCTCGTTTTATTACGGAAATGAACGCTCATCCTTCCGTATCACCACACTGGTTATCGTCCTTCTCATGTCTAGACACTTCGAACTCTATTGGCGGCCTTTTTCGTCGTCATGAGATGTCTTCTGATAGATCCAGTTCCAAGTTTTTCACTCTTTTGAGCAAAGCCATTTCCATAACTGTCGTGGTGGGGAAAGCCTCCCTTCTGTCATGCAGTTGCCTAGGACGTCAATGGCTTTTGATTCAGCTCGTCCGCCTTTTCGGACCGTTTCTTGTTGTATTTTCCTTTGGTCTTCCCTCCTTGTTGCTTTATTCGTTCTTGTCTAGTTCTTGCAAGCCACTCGCCGCGGAATCTTTGTTTTCGCTCAGGCTTTTCAGTAGAAACCTGGAGATCTTTCCATTTCGTTATCTGTTCTGTGACAAGCGATCCCCAAACATTTTCGCCTGCATTCAAATCATCATAAGAGATCGTAGGGATAGATTCTGCAGAGGTTCCGTGACCCGGAATTGAAAATACCGCCTGCCGCGATCGCAAAAGGGCAGCCATGGTTGCCAATGATCCACAGGCGATGCCCAAATCGTGTACGAAGCTGCGTACGTAGAATCCCGAAGATACGGTTAGCAGGATTCGTGCCGCCGGCGCCATGGCGTTTTCTGTGGATCCTGGCCAGCGGTAACTGTGAGTCCCGGCATCCATCCACTCAATCAGGGAACACTCTTCAACGTGCACTTCTCGACTCGCCAGTTCCCGTGGTAGTGGCAGTCCACTACGAATATACTCGCAGGCCTTGATGCCATTTATCTTTAGTGCGGAGTAGACGGGTGGCATTTGTTTAATTGTGCCTCGGAATTGTTCAAGTTGGCTTTCGAGGAGTTCTGCTGTGACATGGCTCCAACCTGCCTCTTCTGTGATCGAGCCATCGACGTCGTACGTGTCAGTACTTTTACCAAATAGTATCACAGTTTCGTAGGTCTTGCTGCAAGCAAGGTAATTGGGCAGCTCTTTCGTTCCTGCACCTATACCAACGATGAGGACTCCCGACGCGAGTGGATCTAATGTGCCGCCGTGTCCCATTTTGAAAAATCGGCCTTCACCCTCTTTGTTCTTGCATTTCTGATCATCTCGCTGGTGCAAGTCCTGCTCGAAGCGCTTCCGCCGCGTTTCTTCCAACAACGGCGCGAAAGTCCTGGAACTGGCGAATATTTTCTGTAAGTCTAATAAGACTTGGGGTGTTGAGGTCGTGGCTGGTTTGAACACTCCTTATAATATATGTTAGAATGGGCGTGTCCAGAGTTTGGTGAATGGGCTATGGAAAGGAGTGATAGCAAATACGCATTTACTATCGAGTTCAATAATCAAGAAAGTGCCTACCGAAGATGCCCTCCAGAACGACTTGCTCATTCTCCGCCATCCCTGAAGTCGGACCCTCTATTCCAATCTGTAAGGATTGAAACAGTGCACGAATTTGCAGATGCGTTGAGAATATGTCTGATCGCGCAAAGACGGATTGGGCGTGGGAAGATTTTGACTTCCTAGGTATTAATCTCGAGCACGCCAATGACTCAGCATCCTGGGAGAAGGTTGAATCAAGACAATGTGCAATGCCTATCTTACGCTAGTATAAGTAGGATGATAATAATTATTTGTAGCATGTATTTTCCAATCAAACCTTTCCCAATAATGAGCTATAAGATCAGCTTGAGATTTCTTCTTTGTTATGTCACGTGCTAATAGCCAGGCGTTGAAGGCCTCATGGAGCAAGGTAGATCATGAGGTGAAACGCAGCAGATCTTGATATATTCCTCCTTTCCAGGCCATGTTGGAAATTGCTTCCCGTTCGATGCTACCTAAGCCAGAAAATAAAAGGTCAAAAGAGGTCCAACTCAAAGTCTACTCTCTCCTTCCCGCAATGCCTGGCCATAATCACCCGCATTTGGCGTCCTTACAATCGTATGTGTATGGAACTTCTTAGGTTCGGTATTTGCTAGAAACACTCCCGAATGATGATCAAATTCACAAATGATCACCGGGCTCTGGATCCGGAAGTAGTATGCATCGTCATCGCCAAATCCGCCGATCCAGCTGAAGTACGTCTCCTCAAAATGAGATTGGACCTGCTCGAGCCGCAGCGCCCTCGAAGGGGAGGGCAGATAAAGGACAAACTGCTCGGCGATGGAAAGTATGAGAGATTGTTGCTCTTCGTTTAGGGTGGAAACCTTGATGCCTTCGTATGGCACTATGCGGTTGTCTCGGAAGGCACCACAGAGATGGCGCTGGTCGTCTTTGTTCCAACGATCGGTGATCAGATCGCCGGTCTGTTGCATACCATCGTCACGTAGATTTTTGAAGATCTGCGCTTGCTTCTGTTGATCCAGGGAGAGGCTTTGCATGAGTTGGAGGCCGAGGTTTCCTTCCTTGTGGAGGATCTTGGTTCCAGACCATTCGCCTTCATCGATGATGTTTGGTTCGGCACCCGTGAAAGTAGGCGAGATGATGATTTGTGGACCTTTGAAAAAGACGGATAGGCACAAATGGTGCCCGTATAGCAGCCAACCCCAGGGTTGCGTTGGAGAAGTCGATGGTGATCCAAATAGGAGGAAATTGTACGAGTATTTGTTCATAATTTGGGGCAGCCTGACGAGTTCTCCGAGGAAATGATTGATGCGCATGGCGGCGAGCGCTTTTTCATAGCCCTCGGGAGACAGAGATGCCTTGATAACGGAAAGAATCGCCTGGGCATTTTCTTCGGTTACTTTCGAGATGTCAGTGTGCGTGCTGCAAGATATACTGCTAGAAAGAGAGTGGGAAATGTACCTTCTTCTAGTCGCAGGCCAAACGGACGGAGGAGCATCTCTGGGTTGGACCATGCACGCCATTCCTTCGCATTCACTTTGTAGGAAAGTTTTGTCTTCTCATCTGCGCTTAGTTGCGAAAGTAGCAGATTGGCCTCGTGGACGATGCTATCTATGTCGACACCCTCATCCTGGGGTTCGAAGACGCCTTCTTTGACGGTTCCATCGCTAGTGACCCCCTTGAAGGGTTCCTCATAAAGCTTCGCCCAAGCTTGCGTAAGGTCGAAGAGCCATGGTGGGGCGTGGTTGTCTCTGAAAAAGTCGGCGTACTCATACACGTTTTGTTCTGCTGCAGTTGTGAAGCGTGGAGTGCTCAGGTCATGAAGATGGGCGCGGAATTCCGAGGAATCTTGTTGAAAGGAAGAGCTACACTCCGCCATGATCGCTCTATCACGGTCGATAATTGCCGTCTATGAGCGTGTGGTGAATGTTGCAAAAATGTGCCGACTAAATGCGATCACAAATTCCTTTTCTAAGTGCCAAAAACACAAGACTGAACGCCAAAGTAGGACTCTCTACGTAAAAGTGTCGCCGAAGGGTTGTGAACGAGGAGGGGAGTGGAGTTGGATGAACGGCAAATGAACCGGTAACCCACGACTATAGGATTACGATGGTGGATCTGACAACTTGAGATGGTAAGCTTGCGATAAAATCAATGCAAACACCGAGGTCGGCAGGGGCCGTGAATAATTATCAGTCGATAATGGTCTGAAGTCAGATGAAAGAGAATGGAAATGGACCATGCCGTAGATGATGCAAATTGCGCGGCGTTTGACAGGCGGAAGTGCCCCGCATCGGATCATCCACAGAGCTCTCATGCCAATGTAGTACAGCGGCAGGCTTAATGGAAGATGGTAGCCAATTAATCTAATTACACACGATCGAACAAGTAACATTAGTGCTTAGTTTTGTAGGTAGATTCAATTATTCGATTGTCGTACCCAACATCTATCGAAGGCTAGATTCATCGTTGTGGCTTTTGGAACCCCTGCCACTGCCGACATCGTTCGGCACCAGATCTGGAGCCCGATGGCATCCGCCTAGTCATTGGATACCTTGCTTTCCACCATTGACTTTATCTACAGGTACGAGTATTATTGCTCCATAATTCTACGGTTCTACTCGTAGGGATACTTGCACGTCCAGCTTTCCGCATCATTGACGTCTCCATTGCCAACATATCTCGCTTGCTTTGGGTACATGCATAGAGGACGTTGTCTCAAGACCTCACTGTGCAATGTTTCATTCACATATTTGGTACCAACAATCTTCTCTGGCTTCACTCCCTCCTCGACCCAAGCAAGCAATGCAAGCAGAACGTCATGATCTCTGTCCTCGAAGCCAGGCACGCCGTGCACCGTCGGACCAAGCTGGCCCGCCTGGTTGGGGCCTGCGAAATACCACGGCGCATCTACATCTGTACCTGCGCAATGTGCCATACCCGGGACGAAGAATGCGCGGAAGAAAGAATCGACGTCGACACCGAGAGGCTTCAGGGTGCGGTCGACTTGGTTGTAGAAGTATTTCAGAGAGTTTGTCGGGATGTGCGCATCGATCATTCCGTGGTAAGATATGATCTTTCCGCCCTTTGCGTGGAAGGAGGAGAGGTCGAACTTCACGCTCGCATTGCCTGGATCCGTACGATCGGCAAGGCGCTGGACGTCTTCGTTGAAGTCCTGCCAACGCCAATCCGCACCAAAACCCATAAAGAATTGTGGATAGCCAGTCCCTAGCGGGTTAGGTGCATCGGAAGCCAGATGAATTCGCCACTGGCTCTCCGTGCCTAGGTTCAGATGCGGATAGAAGAAAGTCTGGTTCTCGCCTACGAAGTCGCTGTAGAGCTTATACAATGTAGAGATTTGAGGGGCGGTTAGGCAGTCTGTCGAGTTTGTTGGACTTTCGCCGCAGAGAAGATCTTCCGGTCGGAAACTGCAGGTATCAGGGCTGGATATGATGCCATCCTTCACACCGTCTTGCGAATCACATTGCCGCATGACTTCCTTTTGAACTACTCCAAAAAGTGATGGTGGGATATGGTAATCCGCCGAGGTAGGCAAATTGTACGAAGCAACTTTGATAGTCCAAGGCTGCAAGTGGGATGTCCACCAGGCTGGAGCGCCTGCGACGATACCATCGAAATCGTCTGGGTACAGTTCTGCTTCCTTCAATCCCTGTCGGCCACCGGTCGAACAGCCAGCGTAGTAATTGAAGGAAATTTCTTGAGAATAGTAGGCAGGTATAACTGTTTTTGCCACTACAGTAGAACCATGCATGGCCAGATGGCCCCAATTCTCGATTTTCTCTGGTTGCTGATATGCCCAACTGCCATCTATGGTGGAGGAATTGTGTCCAGTATCAGTCGACATTGTCGCAAAGCCGTACCGAACACCAGGAGCCTGAACGCGTCAATCGTAAGCCAATGATCAATGTGAAGAACATCATCGAACATACCATATCCAGCCAATTGATCCCACCTGCAAATCCACCATTGCCAACCGCGAGGAATCGACCATTCCAATCATCGGGTAGAAACAAACCCAAACCGAACGTCGAGTTACCAATTGACTTTACTTGTATCGAGACCGCGCAGAGAGCTGGTAGACCAATTGGACTGCCAGGATACCCAGTGTCACTTTTTGGCACTTCGAACGTCGAGTTGGCTGGGAGGGCCTGCGCGAAGTTGACGGTCGCATTCGAGGGAAGGGCCGCTTGAATGGCTGAGGGAGAGCATTCCAACGCGCTCGTCGCACTCAGCACGGCACTGAATCCAAGAAGCTGGTTCACCTTCATCATTTTGCGAGACGACTTTTGTTTTTAAGATGGGAGGTTAGACATTGAAATAAAGCACATAAATTGGAATTTTGGCGGGTATCCATTTCTTAAGTTGGCATTGTCATTTCCACGAGTAATGTACAGACTGGGATCAATAACTACCTGGTGGGGAAGGGATGTGCAACTAGGACAACAAGTCGAGTTAAACACCCACTGGGGTAGATTGTCGTGCTAGGTTCCATGAGGAGAAGGTGTTAAGCGATGACACAGGGAGCATATGAGGAGTAAAATGTCATGGTGGTGATGCGTAGGAGTCTCAAAAAAAGGATGGTTCAACATACGTCTGATACGACAAAGTAATTGACTATAAGTAATATCACCAAGCTCAGGTACTCTGGCATATCGAAAGCTGCATTTCATCTCTTGAGCTCTGGACGCAATGTCGCCCCACCAGATGTGTGCTACGAGCATCGTGGGGTGCACAAGACTTGCGAGCTAATCGTGACGATGTGGTGGAACAGGCAGGACATAAAAACGCTGCATATGCAATCAATGCGGGGCCAGGGCAGCTTGACAATGATGTGGGCGTAGTGACGGAATGGAATGGAATGATGGGGGGGTGGATGAAGTCTTCTCCCTCTCCTGGGGCTTGTGGGGACGGGGTCAACCGTGTGGCACATTCGGTCGCGGGGTTCGGCACTTGAACGTCCACTTTCCAATCATCACAAAATATTATTTCGTACATCATCATCATCCCCCGGACCAGGACAGGAAGAGATCAATTCAATCCAATCATCTACCTAATCCTATTGAATGTTGTACTACTGAACATTTTGACAAGTTTCCATCTGGCCAGGATCTCTGTTCCCTCGTAGCCCTGTCCCTAAGGTAGATCTACATAGACAGCACACACGCAGGTACACACTTGCATCTGCATCGAATTATACAACAACCACCATTTTGTGCGATCCCACAGGTGGCCAGAAAAGACATTGCGGGAACAGTCCGTCCCTATCCCTGCCGGATCTTTCAATTCCGACTTTGTCGAATCAAGGCGTGGTGGTCCTCCGATCCCGCAGGACCACGCAACCACAACCACGGCGTTATATCTAGTTTCCGGCTACACGGTTAGCTTCCACGGGAGGGCAAGTCAACGTCGGACTTCACAGGTCTAAAAGACATATCATTGTCATTGGACCCAGACCACATCGCAACTTATCAGAGACAATCTGATTGACTTGTTTCCTCAATCTGATCTTGTCTATTCATTTGGTTCCTTGAATTTCCCTCCACAATGGCAGACACAAGGATAGCAATCATTGGTGCCGGTATGTCCGCGCAATTCCCTCCATGAAATCATATATACACACATACATACCAACCTCCTCATGAACCCCCCAAAATCCACCAGAAAACTAACCACCCCCCCAGGAATGGGCGGCCTCGCCAGCGCGCTCGCGCTCGCCAAAGCCGGCCACAAGAACATCACGATCTACGAGACGGCACCGGGACTCGGCTTCGTGGGCGCTGGGATCCAGCTCGCGCCCAACATGGCGCGGATCCTGGACCGGCTCGACTGCTGGAAGGCGATCGCGGCCGAGGCGGTGCAGTGCAGCGAGACGAGCATCCGCGAGGGGTCGTCCGACAAGGAGCTCGGGCACGTGAGGCTCGACTACGTGGAGAAGACGTACGGGTACCCGCACATGGTGGGCCACCGCGCGAGCCTCGCGGGCTCCATGTACGAGAAGTGTCAGCAGGAGCCTGGGATCACGTTTAGCCTGGGCAGCGTGGTGTCTGACATCCAGTTCACGCCGAAGCCGAGTTTCTTGATTTCCCCCGTTGCGCCGACAGTGTTCGAGCCGCGAAGGGTGGATGCAGATGTCGTCCTTGGCTGTGATGGAGTGAAGAGCCAGACGAGAGTCGCGATGCTGAAAGAGCTCAACGAGACGGCTGAGGCCAAGGACTCCGGCCAGGCGGCCTACCGCATCATGCTCACGCGCGACCAGATGGAGCACGATCCCGAGCTCCTCCGCCTCATCGACTCGGACGTCGTGACCCGCTGGATAGGAGAGAAGCGCCACATCATCGCGTACCCTATCCACAACAAGACAATCTACAACATCTCGACCGCGCAGCCGGACGTCAACTTTGCCGCCGCGCCCAGTGCGACGTACACGACCAAGGGCTCCAAATCCGCCATGCTCGACGTCTACAAGGACTTCTGCCCCATGATCCAAAGGATGCTGGATCTGGTTCCCGAAGGCGAGGTTGTCGAGTGGAAACTCCGCGTCCACGAGCCCCTGAGTACGTGGGTGCATGGAACGACTGCCTTGGTAGGCGACGCCTGCCATCCGACGTTACCGCATTTGGCACAGGGAGCAGCGCAGGCAATTGAGGATGCGGCAGTCCTGGGCGTCACGCTGGCACCAAAACGCATTGCCGACGGCTCGCCGGAGACTATCAACAGGGCGCTCAAGATCTACGAGAAGGTGCGCAAGGATCGAGCGGAGGCTCTGGTCGAGCTGGCAGCTGAGAATGGTCGGAGCATGCATCTTGGTGCTGGGAAGGCGAAGGAGGAGCGAGATAAGATCTTTGCTGCACTTAAGACAGGGAAAGGTCCGGTGCCGGATAAGTGGGCGGATGCGGATGTGCAGAAGATGATATACGGATTGGATGTCGTGGAAGAGGCGGAAAAAGCGTGTAAAGAGGAAGGCTTTCTGGCCAAGTTGTAAGTTTTCACACCAGCATGAATGGAATTTCCACGCGGATAATTGATGATATCTTTCAGAGAGTAGGAAAATGTAGGCAAGGAGACGTTGCGGACTCTGGTATGAATAATGAGTTGCATCAAATTATATAAACACATTGAAATCTCTTGATACTGGTCGAATCTCGCTTTCTTGTCAACATGCGATGTTGTAACTTGCACAGGTATTAATTACAACCTCAACATCACAATAGCCATGAACCTCCAATATAGGCACTTGTCAGTAAAGAGAGGCTAGTGACACTGGCACTCAGTACGCAGTTAGATCCGAACACAAACTCAGGCAGGAACCCTCTTGTATGAAACTTTCCATTGTAGGATATGAGATTGTGAATTGGTTCAAGGCGATGAAATGAAGCACTATGGGTTAGTGTCATTATCTTCTAGTAGATCGGTCCATACCGAAGGCCGTCCAGACGAGAGAATGTAATTGGTGGCAATTGACAATCCATAGCGAGCGACAGCGAATCCAGCCTTGAGCCATCTTTCTGTTTCTTTTTTTTTGGTGATTTCATTTTAGATTTTACGTTGTTTATTTATTTCCTGAATTCTACCCAATCTGGCAAACACAAAAGATCTGCCGGCCAGTATTTTGAGTTCATCGTACATCGCCTCCCCTGGCCATGTGTCTGTCTGTACGTCTTCTTTTTATCTATACATGCGATGCATTGTTCGGTCTCATTCATCCTGTTGCAATAGACACAACGCCGCAGTTCTCTCTCGGTTTTGTGCTTGCGTGTACCGGTATATCCATGTTAGCAATCGATAAAAGCCCACCAACCCCAAACAAATAAAAGAAACGGTAACAAGAGGAGATAAAAAAAGACAAAGCCGTTGTTGCACAAATTATGATGAACTCCGCTCTGATGCCAAAACCCGCACATGCATAATGTAGCAACTCCAATGATGAACAACGGGAAGACCATGCGAAGACCCAAATCCGCCTCGCAGATGTAGCAAACCTCTTCTGCTGAACCCTGCTATTTTCTTTTCGTCCGTGATGTCGAAGATTCGCTTGTTTAATCTTCAATGATTTTATCGTTCAAACAAATATTTTACTCTTTCCCGCTAGATGCCTGATAGCACTCATTGTGTGTGACCTTTACGCAACCACACTCCACCTTCTTCAATGGACCAGAAACCGCGACAATTCTCGTATTCGTTGCAAATGAGAACCTCGAATCGACAGTGTTTGTTGAAGCGAAGGCTGGAGAACCAAGAGGTCACTGCCAGCCAAAAACAGTCGCCTCGGATATATCTTGCAGACAACGGGCATTGTCAAAAATGAAATTCCAATATGTCGAGAGTGAGGCTGCATGATTGGGAATGATTGACGTGGTATTGTCAAAAATAGGCGACTGAGCGGACCGTTTCGAAGTATTCATGAGCTTTGTAATGCTGACCTTAAAGGCGAGAAACCGGAGTATGGACTAGCCTCCTTTCCGATCTGCTGCATTGGCCGGCAATGGCTCACCAGCAGTCTTGGGTTCTGCATTTGACTTTGACTTGGCCTTTTTTTTAGATTTTTTATGATTAGTCTGCCAGTTCCCTGTGTTTGACCCAGATGCGGCTTTGGTTCCCTTGTCGTTGTGAGAATTCCCCTTTTGTGATCCATTTCGAGAATTCTCTTTGGGCGAGGAGAATGCTGGTGTGTGTGATGCACGCCGCTGCTGGGTATGGTTCTCCTTTGCCTGCGCCTTGCCACCATTTGCAAGCTTGTGGTGGTCGTTTTGGCGGTTGGTAGTCGGAGACGAGGTCGGGGCCTCAAAGACTGGCGAGAGGAGTGGCAGGCCTGCTGACTTGATTTCCTGTGGTGGTGCTCGGGGTGCGTTGAGCGTTTCTAGAGGAGTTACTCCGTTGATGTATGCAACTGGTCGCCAATGTTGAGCCTGCTGCGCCTGCTGTTGAGCCTGTTGTTGAGCCTGTTGTTGAGCCTGTTGTTGCACATGTTGTTGCACATGTTGCGCCTGCCTCCGTTGCGGGGATGTCTCAACTGATTGACCGCTGTTGCTCACACCATTGGTCTCATATCCCGTCCAGTTCTCCGGCAGTGTTGAAAATGGATGCTGGCCACCACTCGGCACCCTAGTAAGGCCATTGATTTCACCAGTCCCGTTTTTCATCGAACCATTGGCAATCGTGGCCATCATATGTTCTGAGGCTTTCTGACGTTGCGAATCTACGCGCACGGGCATTTGCTGTTGGTCCGAGGGATATGCGTGGGATGCGGGGTTTGCTTGTATGCATAGTCCATTCAACGGTTCCGAATCCAAAGCAGGGATTGCGTCGATAGTTCCGCTTCGACTCCTCGGCTCCAACGGTTGGGTTGGGTAGGATCCGTTCACTATAATTGGACCATTGTCCACAGGACGGGATGAGTCTTTGCGAATCTGTGGCCCGATCTCTGGAGACGTGACCCCGGTGGCAGTATAGCTCCGCATATGACCACCCAGCGGCGAAGGTGATCGTGATACTCGTCGTAGAGCAGTATTCAACAAAGGTTGCGTTATCTCAGACGAGACTCGTCGTCGACGCTGAGCCAGCTCGGTGAAAGATGGAATTTGCGGCACAGTGTAGTCCTGTAGTGGTGTTCTTGCCTGAGGTTCTTCTACAACCTGATACCCAACGTACTCTTTCGAGTTGCCATGTTCTGGAGCAGCTGCGCCCTGGCTTGGCGGGGAGCTCTGAGGAGTTTCGATGATCGCCGAAGAAGAAGGTTCTTCTTGAGTGACGTGCGCGATGGGATAGCCTGCATATGATGAAGGGTCGAAATAGGCTGGCATTGGAGGATAGCCAGGTACAAAGTTCTGCGGGGCGCCTCCACGAGCGGGCTGCGACTGCGAGCGACTTGAAGCTGTATCGCTAGCATTAGAAGACCTATGAACACTTCTGCGTACACCGGGAACGCTGTGTGCAAGTGAAGGCGAGGAAGGATTAGTTCTCGTGCCATCGTGGGAGACACTTCCGCCACCTTGCGACGGATCAAACAGGCCTTGGTATTGGTAGTAGAGCTGCGGTATAGCGTTTGCAGGCATGGCCATTTCTTGCATGCGTGGGCTGGAGCCGTTCATGTATGGCGACTTTTGAGGGGATCCACTGGAACTGTTCTGTCCGCGCCCATGTGCGTGCGCCTGCGCGTGCGCCTGTGCATGTGCCACTGCATGCGCATGCATCTGTGCAGCCTGAACCTGGTGTGCTTGTCGTTGTTGTGCAGCCAGCTGTGCTCGCAGAGAGTTTGATTGCATCTCCAACGTCAAATACTGTTGGTACAGCTGATCATGCAATTGCTCATTTAATCCCCGCGAGAAGTATTCCTGTCCAGGCATGGCGCCAATGGGCGGACTGTGCATGAAGGGCGGCCGATTGTTGAAAGAAGCGCCACTAGATGATCTTCTCCCGTACCCGTGATTGTTATTCTTTTGGTTGAAATTGCCCCTTCCTGATCTATGACCACCACGTCCACCGCGGGAGCTGGGCGTTTGTAATATTGGCTTGACCGTTGAAGTCGGCTTCTTGAACAACGTAGTCTTCTCCTCCGGGGGAAACTCGAAGTGTTCGCATACCTTATCGAGTTGCTGGCCGTCGGCGAGAAGATCAAAGGCGCGTCGTATTTCGAGGTGAATACCACGCCATGCGAAATCATCGGCAGAATTTCCTAGGTTGCGATCGGTGTTGAAGGGTTCTTCTACACAGAGCCTATTGCGAGCTTCCTTGGTGAGGAATTTGGTCTCCCACCTTTTTTCTTCTCTGCTGAGAAGGCGACCTTCACGCACCGAAATGACATCCTTTTCATAATCGACCTCATGTCCGTAACGACGGAAGAACTGAAAAAGCAGTTCGCCCAGTGATTCGTCATTTCCAGCCCCGAACCCTTTCAGCTTCTCAACATCATCAACGAATTCGGAACTTGTGGAGGGTCCAGACAACGACTCGGTTCGCTGGGCTTTGAGCTTGTGTAACGAAGGTATTATGGGAGGGTCGCGGGTTTGGAGGAAGTTGAGTATCATGCATATCCAAGTATAGGAACTGATAGTACCGCCAATAGCTACAAGAACGTCAGCATGTCACCCCGCCGCCCTTGATGTCGATACTCACCAGCATCATTCAATATCCGTTCCTTGGTCCAGTGCTTAACAATCATAGCGAGCGGGCGAACACGATCGTCAATCTGGACATACGTCTTGATCATTCGAGTGTTCTCCAAAGCCAGCGTGTTATTGACGTTCATGTCGCAAGCAAGATTGAGCACAGGATCCCAAACTTTCACGATGCGAACCTTTGCTTGCGGTATGCAAACAACTCTCTCCATGCCATCTAGCATATGTTAGTAAGGATGTCATTCCGATTCGGGGACGGAATCGGAGGCGGAACATACGCTTGTCGAGTGCTGCGGCAAGTTGATGCATTTCCTCTAGCCTTTTCATGGGCGTTTGAATGCAGATGTCCACTATGCATGTTATTAGCAACGTCTTAGAGGCTGTAGGTGTTCCACGTACCATCGCTTTCATTGGTGTACAAGTCATTTCCAGACGAACCAAAAACGTGGACCGTGAACTCGTTGCCTGGCCACTCCGTATGGAGGATATTCTCGAGCTTCTTCACAAACGCTGCCCTTCGGTCTTTGCTATCCTGGCTCGGAACTAACCGATCGTACAGAGTGCGCATATCCCCAGTGAGCTTCTCCTTCTCCTTGGGGTCTAAACATTTCTTAGGCTCCTCCTTGGCCTTTTCCAAAATATCGGATGATGTGTATGGCATGCGCCTGCGTCCAAAAGCCGCATTGGTTTCGTACTTGCACTGATGGCCTGGTTTGGCGGCCCTCAAGGTCGGTAGGGGGCCATTCGCTTCTGACGATACAGAGCGCGGGGAATGGCTACCCAAGCCACTATTGGGGGAGGGCGAGCGTGACCGCGACTCATACTGGCGTGCTGTCTGTAAAGGTGTAGATGGTACAGAATTGGAGTGCTGCGAAACAATCGAGGGCCGCTGGCTTCGTGGGAATGAGACTTTTTCGTCACGTTTGGGCCCCATCGGTGCACCACCGTTTAGCGTCATCGGAGCGCTACGCTGAACGCCTTGCAATGTGCCTTTATTCCCATCGGTTTCTGGACGCGCAGGAGACGGTTCGGTGAAGTCTTTCTTCACAGCGGGTTGGAGGTCCCGCTCGTTAGTCGGGCCTTGATAGTGCGGCGACACGATGACGGTGGATAGGGACGAGGCAGGCAGCGCAGCTGCAGCGGCGGCGGCGGCGGCGACGGCTGGGCGAAGATCGGCGAGCTGCAAGAGGGGCTGCAGGAGAAGATAGGGGTGCCGTAGGTGCTGTGGATATCGGAGTGCACCCTGTGCAAGCCTGTTCTGCTGCGAGAGTGCAAGGGCAGAAGGGGCAATGGAAGAAGGACAGTGGCTGAACGTAACGTCTTGCGTACCTAGTCGAAATGGCTCAGAACGGATAGCAGAAAGATGCGGCGGATAAATATGAGTAGAGTCGAGACGATCGAGGGTGGATTCGCCCATCAACCTGTGTGTGTGGGTGTTTGTGTGCGTTTGTAGGTGGAGTAGAAGAATGGAAGTATTCGAGGGCGAGCGAGGAGGGGGCGGCCACTGGCGAAGGGAGAAGGTGTGGGTGCCGGTGTGGGTATGGGTACGGTTATGGGTATTGGTGTGAGCGACTAGGTAGGTAGGTATGAACGACGACGTGGGTGATGAGTATGACGAGGGTGACGAGAGCGTGGAGGAACGAATCGAGAGACGGTGGCGACCTATGGAGGTTAAGCTGTGGGGGAAGCAAGCAAGCAAGCAACCAGGTGGGCCAGCGAGCAAATAATGAGTACGGAAGGGGAGGAGGGAGAGGAGGAGGCAGAGGTAGAAGAAGAAAGTAAATACCTACTGTGTACGGTGTACTGGCGAAGTGGAGTAGAGTAGAGAGCAGCGGAGAGCAACCCTGGGCGAGACACAAGACGGTGTGAAAAGGAATATCGGAGGGGGAGGGGGGACCTGAGGAGGTCTTTGGGGGTTCAGGTCAGGTACACCGTCTAGGTAGATACAAGAGGGAATATGAAGTAGGAAGTATGAAAGAGAAAGGAAGGGGAAGAGGGTATATGAGAGGGTGTATATGGGGGGAGGAGAGTATGAGCGAGAGTGGTGGGTGTGGGAGAGAGAGAGAGAGAGAGAGAGAGAGAGAGAGAGAGAGTGTGTGTGTGTGTGTGTGAGAGAGAGTATGTATGGGAGAGTATGGGGGAGAGTAATGGACAAGAAGAGGTTAGGTTAGTGTTAGGTCAGAGGTTCAGAGTGATTAACTACTGACTAAACCAATACCTGAGTAACTTGGGTTGGGTTACTTTGGTAGTTAGTTCGTAGTTGTGACGGAAAGAGAGTGGGAGAGATGAGAGATGAGAGATGAGAGATGAGAGAGTACGGAGGACAGTAATACTGTTACCGTCTGTGTACAGTGAAAGAGAGAAGAGAGATTAAACCTCGTCGTCCACCCCTGCCTTGCCCTTACAAGTAATGTACCCAAGTACCCAAGTAGGGAAGTAGCCTTATTAGTACTCGTAGGGGAGGGGAGGAGTATGTATTAGGTGTAGTTGGCAGTTAGCAGTTAGGTAGCAGGTGAAGGGGAAACGGAAGGGCGGTCTCGCAAATGATCGCTGTGATTCGGCAGGCAATGAGGCGGGAGGCGGCGTGGGCGGGCGACACCACAACAACCACAAAACAATTGATTGGAGACAACCCCCGAATACAAGACAATGGCTGCGCGTTCGACTCGTCTAGATACACGGAGACGACGAGAAGAACAAGAAAAGGTAGAACCGCAAGGACGACAAAGATATTGACGACAATGGCGTAGAGTCTAGATGTGAAGGGGTGGAAAAACAAAAGGGTTCCCGAAGGAGACACACACATAACACACGGAGAGAGGGGGACCAATGTCTATGCGGGCGTGAGATTCGGTGGAAATCCACACGAGTAACGAGTATCGAGTGAAAGAGTACTCCGTATAAGTTTGTGTATAGTTACAACTTACCGAGTACCTAGGATGGAAACAATTTGTTCGTCTCAATCACCCTACGAATAGCAACCTCCCCAAGGGGGTGAAGCAAAGCAGTCACAGCAGTGAATGATGATTATTACTATCAAGTAATCAATGTCTGGGCAACTAAGCAATTACTCACGAGGTAACTGTGGACTACTACTAACTACCTGATGTATCAATCAAAGGGCGGCAGAGGGAAGAAGAATAGTAGGTAATGCAAGTCTAAAGAAGTTGATTCTCTTTCTGTCTGTGCCTCATCTCATCTCATCTCATCTCTCCTCTCATCTTCATCCCCTCCCTCTCTCCCTACGAGTGAGTACTCCGTAATTAATCTGCAGAGGTAATTAAGTGCTCGATCCCACTACTCAGACTACGAGGTGACATGTTTATTACCACCAACCACCAGACGGTAAATCACCGCTAGCAATTCGCCAATCACCCCCCAACTCCTCTTACTCCTTCTCCTTCATCCCCCTCCCCTCAAAGCCTCAAACGATAGGAATAATGAATGGATAAGAGGACGTGCGTGGTTCCGACTAGTACCCGTTCGGGTCGGAAATTGTACCCTTGACCTTCGTGATCTGCTACATCATGCCTACTCATACCTAATTGCAAAACGCGAAGGTCTAAATATAAGTATTTAATACTGGATACGTTCTTCAAGAATGTTCTTTTTGGAACCGGCTTGCCATATACCGGCCCACCATCTGTGTTCTTCCTTTTCCTACCGAGTAAATCAGCAAACAAATCGAATGGTCGCCTCTCTCTCTGTGTACCTGACTCAATCGAACAAGTCTATATTTTCACAAGCTTCATACACCGTACAGATCAACTAAAATAGAAATGACAATCCAGACATGACATTCTAGGACTGTCACTTGTTCCGTATCGATACGGTGCCGACGTCAAAAGCTACTATTGTACTTGGACTTGTACTTGTATGCGCCAGCCCTTAGCCGACAAGGCCGACCAAGGCATAGGGTCCACTCCACCACTTGGCAGGGAAGATGCATATGCAAATCCAAAAAGAATGCCATATCGGCCAGTTCGCTCAGTGCTGTCACTGGTAGGTTGTATCGGACATACATACAAGTATTCTCCTATTTGCCACATCGCTGCGAACGATTCGACCTTCGCTCGCTCCATTGGCACCTTTTCCGAACATCATGCAGCGAGATGCGAGCGAGGGGAGCGGAGTGACAATCCATACAATAATAGACTAGGGATTGGCATCCCCCCCCTGCCCACCCTCTACGGAGTGTCTTGCTGATGGACGTTGACTCTTCCTGACTCCCACATCGTCCGCCAATAATGCGATGTGATGCACCTCACTGTCATAGCCTGCGAGTATCCAAGGCTTACATGCTGTGTACATACTACAGAGTGCATACACATACATGACAATACCACCCGTGACCTCCTCAGCGGCTCTCTCCTGTGCGTGTGCCCCGCTCCAAGGATGCAGGCACCGAACAGCGAAACGCCTACACGCCTCATCACCTGCGCGCATCCCGCCTTCCCGGGGCCAGGGAATCCAAGCAGGTCTCACTACAGGTACCTATATCGACCAACTTGTAAGATGAGGGGCGCTCAGGTAGTACCACCAGTGGCACCAGAGTGAACGCGCACCGTGGACAATTACTACATCCAGGCTAGCTGCCGGTGCTGACCAGACTCATCATCGCTAACGCCAGCAGTGTGAACGAGCGAGCTGAAGAAGGCTGATGAGATGACAGCAGCGTTCATCGACGAGCTGCAAACCACTGCACTCACATGGGATATAGTTGCGTGGAATCGATTTTCGGGCTGGGCTGAGTCCTCCGAGATCTGCTGCAGAAACGCAGATCGAGCAACGGGACTGCTATAAAACATTCACTATTGTGAGGCATGTTGCGTGAAAGGGAAAGATGAGTAGGAAGTGATTATCATACTTTAGCCAGCCCGAGGTCGGTGGCATCGCTTGGGCCATGCACGTCTGACTGAGGTCCTACGACACAATACGAAGCAATGAATTCATGTCTGGCACAGCAATCAATCAAGATCAACGACCGTGAGACCCCGACTCGCGCATCAAACTCGCCCCAGAGGGCCACCGAAGAACGGGGAATGTCGAGGAGCTGCATCGACGACGCAGTATTCTTACGAGTAGGGACGATCCGCCAATGAATGAAGATTCTTGACGAGATTGAACGATGGTGAGCTGCAGCTTGAGGTTCAATGATTATTACCGCTTCGGTGCACTTTGTACGGGACCCTGATGTGTTTTGGTGTAGTTAGGTACAGACCGTCCAGTACTCAGTACTCAGAAGAACAGACTGAGTCGTCTAGGCTTGATCTGGACCCTGTCCCTGACATCGGCGGCCCACTCACTGAATCGTCATCCTCGTCCCATTTCCTATTTCCATCATCCCCATCAGCATCAGCACATCGTTCCAAATGTCAAATGTAATCTAAAACGGCTACTAGCTTTTCCCAGTGGAAAGGTGAGCCTTCGTAATTGTACCTGCATTGGTACTCGTACAAGAACAAGAAAAGAAGCCGAGCTCTCCCAGTACCGTGTCCCAACATCCTGCACCGTTGGGCCAAACTAATACTACAATTACTGAATAGCGGGGACCGCAGATTGGTTTCAGGTGCAGGGCCCAGTCGCCAGTGTCAGATACTTGTAGTTTACGCTCAATCTCGCAACGGTGAGTACCTAGGCACCCAGGTAGAGTAGGTAGAACGTCTAAGGGGTCTATCCGTGCTTCCGCCTCCGACATCCTAGGCAGGGCAAGCACAACGGCCCACGTCAGGCTCGTGGATAGCAACGACCCGTGGAGGAAGGGACCGCACCGCTGGCTAGCCAGACTAGCGATGTTTCGAGAAAAGGGATGGATGGCTAGAACGTGACGGAGAGGGAGGTTGTCAGGAAGCCGTGCGCACAGTGATTTACGCGAAGGGGAGGCGACTGGGAGCGGTCAAGCACGGTGGGTGTAACAATTGGGAAAGTACGGAGTAGGTTATCTAACAGGTATAAAGATGGCACTGCTGTTGTTTTACCTGGACATTGTCCTTTTCTTCGTCGATTGGGATAATCCATTATGTTACCTCGGTGCAGTACTGAATGTGAGGATAACATAACCTAAACGTAAACCTAGATCTGTTCGATGTTCTTCAAAGATTCTCAAATCCCAAATCAGGCCATACTATAAAATGGATAATATTGATTCTCGAGTAACGCCGCAAGTCATCTCGTAGTTATTACATCATTCAGATAATTAATACTCGTAGATGTTATTCGTTGTTTATTATCGAGTAGAACGAGTACATATGACAACAAGGGGCCGGTCATCGGGGGAATGGGAGTAGTTCCTCGTTCCTATTGGTTGGAACTCCTGATGACAACCCTCTCTCCCCCGCCAACAGCTCCCGACCCCACATGGGAAACAGACCGTTCCTATCCGTTGGCCGGCTCTGGGGACATCAACTGTGTACCTAGGTATATCCATAACTACCTAACTACCTCAGTATTAGGAACATGGATGGATGATATAATTATTCGTTTATTATCACTGTCTGCGTACTACTGCTGAAGATACGACATGCTATTGCAGCCACAACTGTCACTGTCACTCCTACCACGACGCCTACGACTACCTCTACCTCTACGTACTACACTACCTCGGATCTCTCATCCAGATAACACACTTACTTCCGCAATTGCGACTACAATTAATTGTTCTTCGGTCCCCAATCGCCATTTCCATCTTTGTATTCACCGGTATTCCACAATGGCTCAGCGTCGGATCAGTACGTTCACACCCTTCCCTCGCTCTCGACCATGCACTCACTCTCTATACAGCGAACCCCGCCCTGTTGTACGCGTCTATCCATCCCTCACGTCTCACACGCATGCGCCTCGAGCGCCCCATACTGATGTAGCCCCCAGTATCTGCGATTTGCAGGATAAATTCCGGCCCGCCATCCATGAGTTCCCCAAAGTCATTTCTACAACCCAGAAGATGCTCAAAGCGAGTACGTAGGCAATGCCATCCCCAACACCTACATATGTGAACAAGCATGGAAAATTCTCAATACTGGTGTGCCTCGATGCTGCGCCATTGGGATCTCCAGGCCCGCTAGACCGAGGGACTGGGTATACCAGTACCTGCTTCGATGTCACCCACGCACCGAACCTGCCCCATGGCCGCTGACAAGGGCGCAGGCCAGATACTCAATATCCCCGTCTTCGCCACAACCCAGAACAAAACACGACTTGGCGAGACATGCCCAGAGCTAGGGCTGGACGCTGCCGATGGCGTGAAGACAGTTATACACGCGGATAAGACCATGTTCTCCATGCTGTACGCTCTTCCCACTTCTTCTTTGGCCCGGCGCTCTTCCTCGGTCGTCTGACTGTGCCCCTGTAGAACTCCCGAGGTACGCAAAGCTTTGGAAAAATTCGACTCGAAGCTATCCTGCGTCATCGTCGGCATCGAGTCCCATATCTGTGTGAGTATAGCAATACACTCGGCGTCTCGACTAAGCCGCTAATCTCGGATCAGGTCACACAAACAACGCTTGATTTGTTGCACGAGGGACATAAAGTCTACATTCTCGCCGACGGTGTAAGCAGTTGTAATAAGGAAGAAGTACCGATCGCCCTAGCTCGACTCCGCCACGAAGGCGCCGTGGTCACCAGCAGCGAAAGCTTCCTCTACGAATGCATGGGCGATGCAGGAATCGAAGAGTGAGTTGAGAATTCAGGGTTTTGCCTTGATTTGCCTCTTTTCATACTCGCCAGTTTCTCAATCCCCCCAACAAACCCGTGTCGCAACATCACTGACGCAGTGTTCCTAGGTTCCGCCAGATAGCACGTTTGGTCAAGGAGACATCCTCATCTACGAAGGATACACTCCAAACACTTTGTAAAATTTAGTGTACCCAAGTTGCTTCGCCAATATCACACGTTTAATTGAATCTCGTTTCATCGCTATGAGTGGCGCTTCCTATTTCGTCGTGCTCAATTTATATCTATTAATATCAACGGAGAATTTCGCCAAATTCTCTGAAATGAGTCTGGAACGAATCATGACATTGCCGGATCGCTAATCGCCGTGCTAGGGCTCACGATATTGTACGGACCGTACCCACTTGGGACAATGAATTGAGTTGTCAAGTTTGCTGCTCATTCTGTTTCTTCTCTGTCGTCGAAAGCTCGATCGGCAAAGCTAACTCCGATGTACGAATCGCCATCCCGGGGCAGTATCTCCTTCATGCTATTATTTTATAATACAAAACCATAGTATTTCGAAAGCCACCCTGGAGGCTTCCCTTACTGGTATTCCAGAATACCAAGATTCCCATCTCTAACCTACCTACTTGTGGCTGAATCTGTCCTGGTCTTCGAGTACACCCCTTGCCATTTGCAGTTGCTCATCTGTTTGACATATCAAAGTCCTAAAACGGTTTCCAGTCTTACTGATATCAGTAACCACCTGTTCAGGCGATTGTTTGTTCTTGTCCAAATCAATTTCGAAGCCCAGGCACCTCACACTCTTCACCACCTCTTCCCGCAACCTCGTACCCTTCTCTCCGATCCCGCCCGCAAATACCAGCGCATCAACGTTCCCATCGAGTTTTACAAAGTACGGCCCCACGTAGTTCAAGATACGATCCACGAAGATATCAAACGCCAACCTATCCTCCTCTCTCTCCGAAGCACTGATCGCCCCGAAATCAGTCGTCCCCGTCAAGCTCTTCCAGCCCGACTTCTTATTCAGAATCTCTTCCGCCTGCGTGATGTGCAGATTCGCAGACGAAGCACGGGACGGCTTCCCCGCAGAATGCGTGAAGTGAAACATCAGACTAGGATCTATGGAGCCAGAGCGCGTGGCGCCAGGCAGACCAGCCAGAGGCGTCAGGCCCATCGAAGTGTCGAACGAACGGCCGCTCCGTATGCAACAAGCAGAGGCGCCCGAGCCTAGATGAAGCGCTACTATATTCAGCTCTTCTTTGGGCTTGTTCAGGTGCTGGGCGACCTAGACGCACGCTGTCAACAAAGAGATGCCCTCGAGTGGGGCGGTCTAGGATCGTATTCAGACCAGAAGCTACGGGTACTCACAGCATGAACAATAAAGTCGTACGAGATGCCATGGAATCCGTACTTCTTCAACTTATTCCTTTTCGCCACGGATTGGTCAATAGGGTAGGTCTGGATGTGCTCTGGGATGCTGGTATGGAATGCGGAGTCAAAGTAGGCGACATTGATAGCATGTGGCAACAATTCCGACACCGACTTGACAATGCTCAGCGCGGGCGCATTGTGCAGTGGCGCCAGGTCGCTCAGCTCTTCAATGTGGTGGTACGTATCTTTGTCGATGACCTGGCTGCGCGGGTAGTCCCCGCCGTGGACCACGCGATGGCACGTGTACTGTATATCTTCTTTCTGCGCCAGTTCCGGGAGTCCAGAATCCTGCGTCAGGTGGTCCAGGATGAAGCGGAAGGCGGATTCCTGCGAGTCGATGTCGGATAGCTCGCGGTCTTTGATGCGCGTTTCTCCGCGGGTGTATTTCAGCTTTGCGGGCGGTGCGGTGAGGCCTGAGACTTCGGCTTCTGCGAGCTGGATTGGGTCGATCTGTGAGGAAGATGATGGAGGTGATTTATAGACTGATATCTTGACGGATGAAGAGCCTGCGTTTATAGAGAGGATTATGTTAGACATTGTGCCTTTGGATCATGGACTTTTTGGTTGAAAAATGGTATCAGCTATATTATTTCGAAAATACTTTTGCCTCTACAGGTATTAAGGTGTTTTCCAGGATTGTATATCGTTCTCCAGCACACAAGCCTAGTATTTTATTGAAGTCTAATCATCGGAATCGGGCGGCAACTACTACGCAAGAGACTACGACTTAGTTCTCCCCTCGCACCTAACTAAACTCCACTCCTAGGACATTCATTTCGTCACTATGCGTCTATTGAAAATTCCCTTTCCAAAATCATTACATTTTCCGAGCAAATTGATGTTGCAAAAGAAGTGCGGGCAAAGTGTAAAGTGTAGACGGCGTAGTCGCGACGTATGACGTCAGAGATATTTATCTTTCCGAAGGAGTGAAATCCACAACAAGTGCGGGAAGTTGTCGATTTTATGGTTATGTAATTGTGATCAACGGATTTATCTTGTAACATATAATTGGTGGGTAACTACTGTTGCTCGTTCTCTCAGGAAGATGCAGTAGATTGATTTATCCTCCTGTCGAAGCAATTTTCCGGAGGCGAAAATCAGTGTCGAGGTTCGTTCTTCGGTCACTCTATCCTTATGTCTAAGGGCCAGGCAGAAGATGACTTACAGTTTGGGGGTTTCATCGAGTACATGATATTGAGGACGGCTGAAAGTTTGGTCGAGAGTGTGTGGAATATGACACCATGAGATGTTTTCTGTGGCTCGCAATGAAGTAAGTCTTGTATCTGGTTTTTGGTTTGTGCCCATATATAAGTTTAAATCTTGGTCTATTTCTATGTCTATGTCTATGCCTATGCCTATGCCTATGCCTATGCCTACGTCTACGTCTATATCTAAGTTCAAGTCTAAGTCTATGTCTATGTCTCATGATCTATTCTGATATGCGCCAGATGACTGAAAAGCTAAGGCCAAACTCCTGACAATGCGACCCATCCATCTAAAGCTTCCTTCCAGCACCTATCCCAGCTAGGTTGCATCTAGTCGCACTGCGTGGTGGAGTCCTCAATGTCACGCTTGTTGTACTTCTTCTGGTGCAGCTTGACGATTGCATCTTCGCATGCATCCATCAGGGTCTCAAGTTCAGCTCCCGGAAAAGCTTCGAGGTCACGCAACTCAACAATTGGAGCCTCATCAGTCGACCCGAAGACTTTTTCCATCTTTTTCCCCCGAGCTCCGATCTGGCCATGTCTCATTGCCTTGTCCATAAGACTCAAAAGATCCATCTGCTCCACAACCTTCTTTGCCTTAGGATCATATCCTTGCACATAATTCACAAACTTTTCCACTTCAAGCTCTGCCGCCTTAATATCGTCCGCCTTGTCATCCCAGGTCTCGGTGACTGCGTCTGTCTCGCCGACCTTCCACGCGAACTTGGTTTTGCCAAGCTTGTCGTCCTTCTTCGTGATCTTCTCGATGATATCGTACAGGGATACCTTCTTGTCCTTGAACTGTTCTGCTAGCTTCTTCTCGATGAATTTGTCGTACATCGCGACGAAATTAGTGCGTGGCATGACTGGAAGCAAATGCTTTGGCCCTTTCGAACGGTCCGTTTTCTCTGCGAGAACGCAGTACGAGGCTAAGAGGGAGAAGAAACCAAGAAATTCCTCATCTATGTCGGCTGGTTTGATTTTCTTGAACGTTTTGAAGTCGTCCTTGTCAACAATCTCGATGTTCTTTGACCACAGGATTGTTCCACTGGTCAGAGGACCCTTGGTTCCAGCCTTCCAATCTTTCAAAATTTGAAGAATGCCTCCCAACGGCAATGCAGTCGTCACCTGTGGGGTGATCTTTATGCTCTTGGCATCAATCGCATCCTTTGGCCACTGGACGATCCAGTCGCCTTGATCGTTAAAGTCTTCGACTTTGACTTTGCATCCACCGTTGCGGCAGGGTGCCCATGCGTCCTGTGCACGTATGTCATTAAGCGAAAGCATAGAAACGGGCAGTGAACATCAGTTCGTACCATGTACTTGATAATTTCTTGTGCGATCTCCTTCGTCTTCTGCTCTCCAACCTTGTACGTGAGACCATCGACGATGATTTCTGGCATGACTGTTACAAGATTGCTAACCTCGACAGTGAGTTTCCAAGGTTGCGTTATGTCAAAGTCAAGGCCGACGGGTGTCATAGTGCGGCCCTTGACCAACTCTCGCTTTGCTCCTTCCATATCGGTAGGGCCTTTGATGACAAAGTTACCGAGTTCGAATTCGAAACCAATCCCAGCGGGTTCTGCGCGCCGAGACAGTTCATTGGCAAACAGTTGAGATGGCACTGATGACACGGGGTCGAAAAGGCTTGTAAAAGCAAGAAGTAACGAAAGGGCGGTACTGGCCCCGAAGAGCTGCTGGCCTCGGGGTGTGGATAGCATATCGGTTGCTTTCCTCGAAGGCAACAGTGTATGATAGAGAATTGGTATTTCAGATTGATGAAGTAATGCAGAAAAGATATTATTGCGCAGCTAATGATGCAGTATGGTTTTGATAATGTACGGAGAGATATAATTACAAATTTATATATGAAGGGAAGATCTATAGAACAACGATTGAAGTCACTGTGTTCTTCTTGACTTCATCTTGCTACTGTGTACCATGCATTTCGTGTTGGCCACGATTGCCTACCCTTCAAGACGTATACCTGTATTGAAACCTCATACTTTGTCCATATGACAATGAAAGAAACTTGGAAGAGGACACTGTGAAGGCATCCAAAGCCACTGAACTCGGGTCTGGCCAATTTTGGGTCCGAATACGAGCATGGAAATGGAATCTCGACCAACTCTATCAAGATTGGACCGAATTCAGAGAGAAGGATTAGTTCCAAGCTTCTCTGGAAGATCGACCACTCCATTCCTGCAATCCGGTCATTGATTGGAGCACACTAAAGCCATGGCAAAGCCATGTCCTCAGAGAGGATTGTTCATTCAGGACACCTCTGGATTTTCATACGGCGGTAGTACAAATTCATCAGCCAGTCCGATAGCATAGCGAGCCTATATTGCGGTTGGGGCCGCCTCATGCAGCATCGATCCTACATCTTTGGTGGTCAAAGCCTGGTCATGAGCTTCAGTACATTCTTAGGAATGTATCCAGATTTTGCAGGCTACTCTTTTGCGAGTAAGGCACATAGATCTATGTCAAGTATTTGACTAGTCATCTTATCAAGAGATGAATCCAAATCAAAATGCGTGAGAGCTGTTTACCGATTAGCATTACGGTGGTCGGGATAAACTTCGATCTAACAAAATTACTAATAACCGAAAACAGAAGTATGCTGAGCGCCCCATGAGGCACAGCCTTACGCATCACCGACCGTGTGTCCAGTCGGCGCCTGCTCGTAAAACGATCCGATCTTGGACATCTGAGCACAAACCATGCCATGATCCTGCAATGACGAAACCTTGACTGAGATGTCCGCCAATTCTGTCAGAGCGACGCATTACCGCCACGACTACTACTCATGAGTTCTTGGGTTTTCCCAACCTAGAGCCTTGGTAATCACCGTTACTATTGTCAGGAACACCGGGCTATTCAAAGCACTGATAACATAAGCCAGCCCTGGCGCTCTCGTCCTTCATCTTGCGCCCTCGCATCATTGCAGGCAATTAAAGGCATTGTCAGCTCGTGCAACTTGCTTACTCACTCGCTACGTACAACCATCATTTCGCATGTCCGTCAACCTACAACCCAATAATCATCATGCCAGCTTCTTCCTTCACGTCTCTTCCGACTGAACTCATCTGTCAAGTGTTCCAATGGTCAGACGACTTTTCGGCAGTGGCCGCACTTGCCCAAACAGCACGTGTCTTTTACAACAGCTGGCGAGAAAATCCCACTCCCATCTGCCGGGCAGTTGCACCTCGTGTCTTGTCCAACATCGGCGCCGCCGAGCGATTACTCAACGTGCAGGAGGAAGCTGAAGCTGAAAGTCCAGCGCAGCATGAGCAAGGACCAAAGTCCATCATTCGAGCCAAGCGCCTCCTGGCCAACGCTCGTTGTGCCTCAGCTGCCAGTAATAGATGGGTACAATTTTGTCAAATTGAGCATTTCAGAAATGACAGCGAGGGTAACCTAGCGCCCATGAGACCACATGAGATCGCACGGTTTGAACATGCCTTCTATTGTGTCTGGACTATTGGAACCATGGCAAAAGCTCCACACTTGCAAAAGCAAGCATCCGCATTTCTGGACCAAGCTAGCCCGGCAGATTTAGCCCGTCTCGACGAACTGGCAACATGGGCTTCAAATTACAACGATAATGACTTCGAATCAGTGGGTCTTGATCTTGAAAGTGAAATCTGGCGGGCCGGGTACTCTCTGGTCTCGGATCGGTGGAGTGCATGGCAGGCTAGCGAGGAGAATAAGGGACCACGAATCTATATGGCCTCCAAATACGAAGGTCCCATAGGCTTCTTTGCTTTCTTTGATCATACTCAAAGATGGATCGATATGATAGAGGAGAACGGGAAGAAATGAAGATATCTTGAAGCTTATGCATCCGCGACCGGAACATTAGTTTCCAATGCAATGTATTTTCTGTCTCTGAATATATCTCTTTACATCAAGTGAACCTCAAATTGTATGGGATATCCCAGGAATCGCGCTCAAAAGAGTGCGAAGCCACAAAAAAAATAACTTATGTATCAAGGCGAGTTGGGGATTGATATTTGTTGTATCGTCATACCCAACCATATCTAAGGAGTTCTCCCTCGCTCCTATTTCGATCATATATTGAGATTTTATCATGATATTCTATGATAACATAGACCAATGACACAATTCATCTGAACGGCCTTTTTCACGTAATTCCAGAGTGGAGAAGACACGTACAAGGAGAAAGATGACTGTTTTCCTTCCCGAGGGCGATGACCGGCGTCACATTCATGTAGTTCGCTTTTCCATGCTTTGACTCATTGATGACTGTGGCGTGCCTACATTGACGGAACTTTCCAATGGTGCGGGCGGTTGTTCATGTGCTACACCATTGAACAGATACGCACTCGTAGAATTGTCCCTTTGTGCTCAAAATATCGTTGATGAAGCAATAGTAGACATCGCAAACTCCATACTCAAGATATCTGGATTTTATTGGGTGGAGTCATCAACATCCTCAACCCCTATGGGTACCTAGATAGGTACGTCGTAAAATCATTGATCCCCACGGAATCAAACGTTACGAGGTGTAGCGCGCGGCCGCGGTCCGGGTACCATTCCCGAGCAGGCCCTGGCGATTCCTTCCGCTAGCATGAGCGATCCTTATCGCCCACCCGCCGTGGAGAATGAAACCACAATCATTGTACTTACTGTGCACTGTATCACAACATGTTTGCATGTTCTTGACATCTTTGACTGAAACAAACATTCTTGCATCACGTTAGCACAGCCCTAGGATATCACAATGCCGGCGGACGGTGATGACGCCAGCCCCATTACCATCGCCGAAGTCAAGGATATTGCCCGCAAACGACTGCCGAACAATGTATGGCAATACTATGAGACAGGCACTGACGACGAATTCCTAGTCGAGCGCAACGAAGCTATCTACAAAGAGTAAATTTCCAATTTTGATATATTATCTTGTGCCGTGCCAATCGAGGACTAATTGCTCGTAGGCTTTTGCTTCGGCCAAAGTTTTTGCGCAATGTTCGCGACGTTGATACATCAACCACCGTGTTCGGGAAACATTATGACTTTCCCATTGCCATCGCGCCCAGCGCTTACCAGAGACTTGCTGGTCATCAGGGCGAGGTCGACATTGCTCGCGCCGCCTTTGCCCTTGGCACTAACTTGTGTCTCTCTTCCAATGCCACAACGTCGATAGAGGATACAGCAAACGCGCTTGACAGCCGCGATTCAAAGTACCCTAATCCATGGTTCCAGCTCTATGTTTTAGGTAATCGCAACGCATCTGCTGATCTAATCCGTCGTGCTGAGGCGGCTGGGTACGAAGCGCTGGTTTTGACTGCGGACATGCCTGTTCTGGGCAACCGTTTACACGAAAGAAAACATGCGCTCGTCATGCCAGATCATTTGAGTATGGCAAACTATGCGGGCCGCAAAGCAGGTGCGGTATCCAAGGGTAGATTATTGTTGAATGCTGCAACCGCGAAGGAGGCGCAGGATATCATTGCCGAGCATTCACCAGCCCTTCCGGATACAAGTATGCACTGGGATGAGGTCATCCCTTGGCTTCGCTCACAGACAAAAATGAAAGTACTTGTCAAAGGCATTTTGACCTCTGAAGACGCGCACTTGGCACTCAACGCAGGTGTTGATGGAATCGTCGTTTCCAACCACGGCGGGCGAGCCCTCGATGGCTCTGTATCCACTCTTGAGGCTCTTCCCGAGATCGTAGATGCAGTGCGTGGCCGAGTTCCCGTCATATTCGACGGCGGCATCCGTCGCGGCAGCGACGTCTACAAGGCTCTAGCTCTTGGTGCGGACCTCTGTCTCGTAGGCAGACCAGCACTCTGGGGCCTCTCGTACAATGGGCAGAAGGGTGTAGAGCATGTGCTTCATATCCTTGAAAGGGAGTTTTGGCGAACAATGACACTGACGGGCGTAGTCAATGTCAAGCAAATAAACAGAACCATGCTAGGCAAGGCGAAGATACACGGATTTGGGATTGCAAAACTATAGGTGACGTTGGAGGAGCATCTACAGCTATGCCTAGACTTTCCGAATTGCTGCATTACACCCATGTACTTGGCTGTGTACTTGTACCTGAGTGCATGCGATGCTAGTTGTTTTAACCTATGGTGGCAATTATACGGGAGGCGCCGCTGCGTGTTCAGGCACAATAGGGCCTTGTCTTGAGTAATTTCAATCCATTATGGCCGAGTTTAAGCGTTTTACATTCTCTTAACTGACTAAGATTAGTTATCGCAAATATAGAAGAACTAGACGTTAGTTTGGAAAAGCTTGCCTCCCTAGTGGCCGCCTTAGTGCGGCTCTACAATGCGAGAAACATAACTATTACCCTACCGAAACATGGTGATGGAACCTATAAAGTGATGCAGGAATGAATTTTTACAGTCATTCAAGGCATTTCACGTTAGGAAAGAGTATACAAATTTGCACGTAATGCCATTCAGATCAATAGGATGTTGTTCAATCTACATAAGTCAAAAGACTCCCAGAGTAATCCAAAAGTATGTGGTGTTACGCTTGTTCGAAGGCCAAAAACCAGTTATGGTCCGTTCGAGGGCATTAAAATTTCTTTCGATAGAGAACGACAGACCATGTCAAGAACTGGCCGACTAAAAGCGCTTTCGGGCTGGATTCGGCAATGCCTACATGTTTTGTCGAGTAAAGAAATTTTCTGTCTTTGAAACCTCACTGTTGGACACCCCAAATCCTGCCCCGCCCTTCATTCAATAGAACATTACACACAGTTTCCAGTTTCGTCATGGCGGAGCAAGTTGAACATACCCTCGCTGCGCATAAACGCAACAAAGTGGCAGCAGAAGATCCTGACGCCATTCAATCTGCCCTGGACAACGACATCTATGGCGAAGATACCGACATCAGGGATCAACAGCGCATCAAGAAGATTGCCGCAGAAGGAGATGCTCATTTTCATCGTTTAGGATGGAAGCGACTCGCAGTCGTTACTATCGTAGAGGCGATTGCTCTCGGAGCCCTCAGTCTACCTTCTGCATATCACACCATTGGCATGGTTCCTGGTGTTCTCTTGACAGTAGGATTAGGGAGTGTGTCCATATTCACCAGTTACATCATCGGTCAAGTCAAATTGGCATATCCCGATATTTCTCATTATGCTGATGCTGGACGCTTGTTGTTCGGTCGCATTGGATATGAGATTTTTGGAGCTGCCCTGCTCCTGGAACTCGTCATGGTTGTTGGATCACACGCATTGACTGGAAGTATTGCACTCATCGATATCAATGGCGGACACGTATGTTCTATCGTTTTCTCCGCGGTATCAGCCATAATCCTTCTGATCCTCGCCATACCGCCTTCCTTTTCTGAGGTCGCAATTCTGGGATACATTGACTTCGCTTCGATTGTGCTTGCCATTGGAATTACCGTCATCGCGACAGGCGTTCAGGCAACTGATTCGTCGGGTGGACTGTCTGGAGTTGACTGGTCTGCATGGCCCAAGGAGGGTGTCACATTCTCAGAAGCTTTCGTCGCGGTGAGCAACATTATATTCGCATTCAGCTTCGCCATTGGTCAATTCTCCTTCATGGACGAGATGCATACGCCAACAGATTATATGAAGTCCATCTGGGCATCTGGATTCATTCAGATCACGATATACACCCTAACCGGCGCATTATGCTACGCTTTTATCGGATCCTCCGTTCAGTCACCAGCACTTCTGTCGGCTGGTCCACTGGTTTCAAAGGTCGCATTTGGCATTGCCTTGCCTGTTATCTTCATCTCTGGATCCATCAACACAACTGTCGCTCTCCGCTACCTTCACGGTCGTATGTTTAAGAACTCCATTCTGCGCTTTATTAATACATTCGCTGGATGGACCTCTTGGATTGTACTTGTTGTGATTTTCACCATCATTGCGTGGGTCATTGCTGAGGCAATCCCAATCTTTTCAGACTTGCTGTCCCTGGCTTCTGCATTGTTTGTTTCTGGATTCTCTTTCTGGATTCCCGCCATCATGTGGTTTAAATTGCTCCGGAAGGGCAGCTGGTATTCGAAGAAGAACCTGATCATGAGCATGGGATGTCTTTTGGCACTTATCATTGGATTGGTCACACTCGGAGCAGGTACCTATGCTACTATTAAGGACATCGTAAGTCGCATACTTGATTTATCCTTCCACAAGATTTAGAACTTCAACTAATCTCAAGCAGATCAAGGAAACTTCGCAAGGAACGGCCCATAAGCCTTTTACTTGCCGGTCTACTACGACTTAAGGTGAAATTCAGCTCAGGATCGACATGTCTATAATGGTACATCGTTTATTGGAATGGCCATACCAGATGATTCAGAACATGTAATATAGAAATCCCTTTTCTAGGGAATGTTTGTCGAGAACGCAAGAATATATAGAGAAAGGAGCGTAATACAACGAGTTTATATCTTGATACAATTTCATAATTGAAGTAGGACGAACAATCTATAAAACACATCGGATCGAGTGCACGTCTAGAAAAGGTCGCTGAGAAAAGACAAATAGGTAATCTGAATTGGCACGAAACCTTAACATCTCACTACCTCTAGTGGAGTGTAACCACTAATCCATCTGTTTGCTCGACAATCGCCTCGCCATTCATTATACCCTGGATATAACAGTCACCCACGACGGTACGGTGAAAGTATTTCGAGGACTCAGCTGCGATCTTACTCCGGAGATTTTGAGATATTTCTGATGCAGCGCCATCTAGCCGTCGTAGCACAAAAGGAACCTTTGATCCGTAGGGTATCCACAATTCATCACCAGGACAGGCATCTGCCGGCCCAAATCCAATGCGACCCTGGGTGGTGGTGAAGAAGGCTCTATTGCATATGTTGTACTTGATGCAACTCCCCACCATGGCCCCCCTAGGTTCCTCCATTGCTGTTGAGTACCAGATCCAATCTCTCATCGATGCCAATACTTCTTGCGATGGCTCGATTCGTTCACCACGATTTCCTGCAGGCCTATATCTGTTTCCTAGCGTGGACCTTAGGAAGTCATCCCTGTCTCTGTACTGTCCTACACAGGGGGACTCGCGGTGACAAAGCTTCGCAGAAAGGTCTCCACATTCTCGGAGGAATGTAGCCATGCTCTCAAGCGACTCCGAAGGGAGGAAATTTCGGCTAACTGTAGCCACTGTTTCGATAAGGGCAGCGGTGATAGATATAGATTGCCCATCACAGTCCGAAACCATAGCTTTCTTGGGACCTGAAGCACGATAATCTTCTCTGTTATCATCCCTTAATTCCTGAATGATTTGGTCGACCCGACTTGGGATCACTCCAAAGTCCTTCGCCCATGTTGGTAGATAATCATGGTGCAAAGGATTATCGTATAACACTGAGAAATTTCCAGAAAGTAGCAATTTTCGGCTGAGTTGTAAATTTATGTCGTTCATCTGCGCGCCGTAATCTGCTCGAATTGGCCTGTCTTCTTCAGCCAGTACGCCAAGGAGTCCATAAACCTTGTCTCGTGGGTCGCTCGAAAGTCGATTGCTGAATTTTTGGAACAAACGTACAAAGTTTGCCTGATTCGGGAGCTTATCAGTGGGCAGTTCGTCAATTTTGGGTCGACGCTCATCCAAGGCCAGCACAGCGCGATGAAATGTGGATAACGACATGTAGGTCGGCTCGCCATGCGTTGGAAAACACATGAACCGGTAGATTCGGTCTCTCATGTGAGAACAGCAGTTATCCGCATGTATGTGCCAATTTTTGGCTGCCTGGACTACCGTGGCCCAGGAGATGGTCAGGGATCCGCACATCACAATTCCATCCTTTGGTAATACAGCCTCCTGAACCGTCCAGATCCTTTGCCACCAGGGGCGGCGCAAGAGCGCTAATAGAGCTTGGATCGAGTCGCCAAATCGATTATCACCCTGTAAGTGGCAGAGGCCAGATATCTCCCTAAGGTGTTGGTCTTTTGCAAGTTCTTGTATCAGATCGAAAGCTTTAGATATCTCCGGTTTTCGACCGTGCCAGCGGCATGTTTTCTCGTTTCCAGGATAGGGAGGTTCGCCTTCTAAGGCAAGATGGTAGAGGTTGTGATCATACTCGTATTCACCGTAGCCATGAGAGAATGGTGCGGAGATCATGAGCCGATCAGGAAAGGTATACCTGTTTCTTATGAAATAAGATACCGGCTCACAAGTTGAGTCATCTGTCTTAGAGGATTCTGTGAGACATGTCCCGTACGATTTGTTGGAGCACCAGCTGTCACTATCCTCGAAGTCCTTGCCCAACCAGATGATAACGGATTCACATGAGCTGTATATCTCACTCATCATGTTAACTTGCCATGACTTCTCATCTTGATCGTGTTGATTAATCGAGAGGAGATCGATCCAAAAAGTCCTGGATTCGGCCTCCTTTCGTACATACCGGAGCGCTATGCCTAGATTATTTCTCACTTGGAACGGCTTCCCATCTAGTGTGATTGTTTCTGTAAGCCCGGGCTCTCCCCAGACGTACGAAAGAGCACAATACTCTGGGTTGTTGTCAAGTGTCACTATACGACTTTCGCAAGATATCGGATCATCGTAGGTACCGGCGTGCAGGTCAATGATCCTAAATTCGTGACTGTTGGCTTTCAACGGTTTGTACCTGTGCTCCTCATTCATTTTCGTTTGATGACTTAGGTCTGCTGTAATGTTCGGGATAGTCAATGCTGTTGTTCGAGAAAGTGAATTGTTATTCTGGTATTTGATGAATGTAGTTGAATGAGAAAGAGGACATGGAATCTCGACACTTGAGCTTAGTAGGTACTTGGTTTCAGATGCAAGGCTGTGCAGCGTAGTGGGGGCCAAAACTAAAGTCTCCATGAATCCTCCTCGCTTCGTGCGATTAACTGTGGAAAACTAGTTGAATGCAAGCAGCAAGACCTTTTAAAGAATCATAACAACTGTATCTGTCTAAGATTTCATTCGTTCGTTCACGAAATCTCCGAGGATGTTGAGTCTGGTCCCGTAATAGCATCAGACTTTATATGGTGACGATGCGATCATTTTACTCTGAACCGACCGTTATTCGCCGTTACTGCCCCCGAGGAAACACCGTCAAATGTAATACAGAGATATGGATTGAATGAGCTGTCATTTACGTTTCCAGATATTATGATCTGTTCCACAGGCTTTGTTGGCAGTCACGTAGTTTGCAGAAATACAGGCTTTTCTTAGACGGGCCTCGGTATGTTGCGCTAAGAATCTTTATTTGGGTCGACTTCATATGGCGACAAGGTTCGATGCATTCGAATCCAGTAGACCTGCAGTGCTCATTCGCTTTTCTATCTAACAATTACTGTCTACCGAATGAACCGCCGATCGAATCTAAGCTCAAGTCAACATCGCAATGGTTTGCAATGTCAACCCATAACTGTGGGTCGTCATCGATACTGAAATGAAACGATTGGGGTAAAATCAGGCTTGGAGCATCGTTTGGCATATACGTCGATGAGCCATCCCCACATCCAATCCCCGTATCATTTGAACCATTTGCATTATCCCTTGGTTGTAAGGAAGCCTGAAGGCTCAGAAGTTGCTGGTGACGCGCTCTGATAAGGTGATTACCCCTATCTGCCATGCCTTTCAGTATTCCTAGGCCCTCTCCTATTGAAGTCTCTGTTTGGCCGGATGAGGATAATGCCGCGTTCGCCATGATAAGAAGTAAGGTTGCCGAGAAAGCGTATTCGCCCTCTAGATAGCCGTAAGTAGCTATGATGGATCAAGTTAGCTATCATCGGCTTTGACTTTCTGTCACTCATTCACGTACCTATCATATCGAACTTCTGAGCCCTTCCCATAAGAGCAGTCGCTTGTATCGCTGCTTCAACGGCGTATTGTACCAAGAAAACGACATTTTCAGAAAGCCCTACTTTCCAATCTCTAATACTCACTCCTGCAACCTCTGAATCTAAGAATTTTCTAATTATGTAGTAAAGAAGAGGTCTAGTTGTTAGAGCAATGCAGGAGTATAACAATAGGTAGATGTTAACGATTGCGCGGTCTGGTTTCTTGTCAGGTTGCGATAAATCGGATCGCACAATCTCAGGCATGAATTGCAACCAATCGGACAGGGAGTTGATGATGTCTCGAATAGAAGAGATTAGTTTCGGGGCAGAATGTGATCGCCTTTTGTAGATCTCTGTAAAGATAGATCAGCAACGGAAATGGAGCTTAAAGATATGGAGCTTTGCACACTCACCTTCCCCAATTTTTCCTAGCAATCTTGCGAGTTCAGTATACTTGACCAGAATGATATCCCTCGAAGAGATACAAGGACTGTCCTATTTCAAAGGTAAGACTTTGCATTAATCAAGCAAGATACTGGGGGCAGGTTGACTAACCGTGAACGTTGGGAACGGTAGCGTAATGTCCTCGTCGCGAATTGTAATCGCATGTCCGGATTTTATTGAGAGTATTCTGGAATATGAGTTAAAGTGGTATCTCGTAGGTGATTAATGGAGATGGGTTACCTGTCCAAAGAGTACAAGGACCACCAAACCTCTGTTCGCCGTTTCTGTAGAGAAGAATCTATCCCAGATTCTGCAACTTCCTGATGAAGACCAAGCGACAGAGCCATGCGTAACGCAACTCCAATCTTCCCAATGACTATGAGCTAGCGTACTAATTGTAATTGTAGAAAATGTAAAACTTACGTAAATAAAAGCTGCATCCGGCCGGTTCAGATTCTGCATGTAGTAGGCGACATAAGCCAAAACCTCAATGAACTGTAGCGACGGTCTTTCATGAATAGCTGGGAGGACATCGAGAGCTGACTGAAAATATGAGAACCCGGGGGGTCCTTGATTATTTGTCCACTGATTGATGGAATATAGCTGACCAAGAGATAGAACGACGAGAACTTGGCAAATCGTCAAACGCGTTTCTACGCGCGTTAGATCCAGCTCTTTCGAATGGACATAATCGAGCCGCTGGTAAAAATCATCTGGATGCAATGATGAAAATATTGATCCAATGAAGACATGCTGTGCCTGAAAAAGCTGTTTGCATAACTCAATTGGGGGTAAGTCCGGTATTGAATGGTCGGACGAACGACTTAAACAAGAGACATCATAGAGAGGTGGAGCTGCATAAGCAATTGGAAGTGTCGAGGGATTCATTCTCATGACAAGATGTGTTGAAGAAGACGCGCCAATGGAGTCTAGTCTACACTGTGAGTCTGTGGAACCTGTCTGTGAGAATGATAGCAGAGATTCAGTCAGAGCTTACGTTGTTCTCCTTCCGCATTCATGAGTATATTCTTGGAGCCATCATACCACCATTCGTCGTTGCCTTGCAGATTCTCCTGCATATCGCTGCCAGCAGTAGCCACATGATTTGACAAATTATTCCTACTAGCCTCTGAGTGCTCGTTGGAACGTGCTTGAGCCCGAAGTCGCAATAAATAGCTTTAAGTTTCGAGGATCAGCGAGATGTGTGTACTACTTACTATGCTTCACTGAAGCGGAAATCGAGATCTTATGGACAGAGAAAAGCTCACCTTTCAGAAACGAGGACTTTCTTTGGAGCCTCGAGATAGGTGCACTCGCGATGCACCGCGATACAAGCATTACACGACTGGGGAGGATTTCCTGTACATTTTGTTTTACGTCTGCGGCATCTGCTGCATCTATAAACACTCAGTGTTAGCAAATTGCATCCCCTACACAACATTCTCTTGATTGCTTACGCAACAGAAGAACGTTGAGTCATGACCTCTTCGAATGGGGCCGACAGTTGAATAGCTGGTACCCTATTGAGGAGGCGAAGTAGAATGGCGATTTAATTGAAGCGAGGAAGAGGTTGATGGCAGTTAGCTATCGAGTATCGGGCCCGTTCCCGGAACTTATCCAATACACGCACGGTTCTAAGTAATGAATAGTCCATTTAATTTTCCACGCATTTTGCTTTAAAGATTCGAAAGGAGGTCGGCGATATGGTAGGCCGGGAAGAAGTACCTGTCTGTAGAAAATCTAAACGTAATTAGTCGTGAACACGGAGTACAGTCAGTGAGTGGGTCCATCGGGTCATGAAGCCGATGGAGCTAAGGAAGTTCGAGGTGCCATGGTGCCCTACAAAATAAGGTTAATAATTCGGGGATGGACAAAAAGGATTTCGGTTCAGATCTTCCATTGCTCCTATAAGTCTTGTTGCGTTAGTTGAGACATTCTGCGTAAGCTTGTTAATGGCCAAAAAAGAACTCATATATTTGGCGGGATCAGAATCGCATTGAACGACACACCATTGGGATGATTTTAGATTGCTATAAATAATCACTGAAACCTTTTAGAGTAATAAAACCGTAGATATTCGCATTCTCTGCCTTCGTGTATGTAAAACTAGCAATGTATTGCTTATTGCTTATTGGACATGATTCAATTTACATAGACAAAGGAACATTGGCTTGCCTTGCGTTATTGTATGTCCCTTTTGTACAGGTCGGCTACCCGTACAATCGCTCTACTTTCAATTGGGCAGGACCGTGATTCAAGAAGCAATCTACCATTGACAATGGGGATGAATCACCCCATAGAGTATGCTTCACTCTTTTTGAAATCCATTCCACCTCTCGAACCCCCCAGTATCGAGATCGAACAAATCAAGCATCCTCCCAACGGTATGATCCGCTACATCCTCAAGTGATGAAGGTCGATTATAGAAGGCTGGTACAGGAGGAAATATTATCGCACCATGTTGTGTGACCGACAGCATATTTTGTAGATGAATACCACTCAGGGGGCATTCGCGCGTTACCAAAACAAGCTTGCGACGCTCTTTCAAGACAACATCAGCAGCTCGTGAGATTAAGTCGTCGCAATAACCGACATTTATCGCTGCGAGACTTTTCATGCTGCAAGGTACAACGATCATTCCATCGACACGATATGACCCGCTGGCAATAGGCGCAGCCATGTCGTGGTTGCTGTATACATGGTCTGCCAAAGCGCGCACATTTGGTGGAGTGTATTCCGTTTCGTACTTGATTGTGCTCTCTGCCCATTTACTCATAACAAGGTGCGTTTCGACGTTGAGTTGGCGAAGCGCAATCAGTGTCTTGATCCCGAGTATAGCACCAGTTGCGCCAGTCAAGGCAACAATGATTCGCTTCCGCCTGTGACATGAATTCGACACATCGGTGTGGTTTGGTTCCATAGTGATAACGGTAGTTTGATACAACTTTCGTTCGACTGGATATAAGTCCAATTGCTGGTATGATCTGGCTGCGTTGTTGTTGGTTTGGATGTTTATAATGGATCACCAAAGATCGACTTTTGTTAAAAAGGAAATGCACTCTTGTGACATGTTTAGACTAATCACCACATCCATGAAATATAAGGCAAGAAAAAGAACATCTAATTTATTGTGTCATTCTTGAAGGTGGTCGCTCAAAATAGCTTCTCCCTATGCGGTGCAAGTAACGGGTCCACTGCCCGATCGGTCCCCACAACCCGACGATAAAAGGTACCGTTCCACAACCAAGGACCTCTATCATGTGGTTCACCTGCACATGATCTGGAATGAAAATCCATTAGTCGGATGATCCATACGAGAATTTGGGGCCAGCATCGTGATATTAGTACTTTCGGTCCCAGCGGCCGAACAAGAGCGGGTACAGCCAAGGCGGAGACTGAACGACCTAAAGTTGAGACTTCTCAACATTGATATAATCCATCATGCCCGCGGGTTGACAGAGTAGATGTTCACTTGTCACTACAAATCTTGGGGTTCTTTCACCAATCTAAACCGCAAGGAACCAGGCTCTAATACTTCTAAATCACGATACGGCTTTCTCATTCATAATTTTGTGAGATCAGACTTACAGTTGAATCGTACGAAAACACTTCCAACATCTTCTCTACCAATTTTAATCCAATCATGCCTCTCAATTCTGCGCAGTGTCTACGCCAATTCATCAGGGAATTGGAGGATGAAGGGGACTTGTTGAGGATCACAGAAGAGGTTGATCCTCATCTTGAGATCGGAGCAATCACACGCAGGGTATACGAACTTGAAGAAAAAGCACCTCTATTCGAGAACATCAAAGGACGAAAAGGCGATGGACTGTTCCGTGTCTTTGGTGCACCAGTGGGAGCTAGTCGACTACCAGGAAAGAGGTTCATCCGGCTGGCGAAATCTATGGGTCTATCCGCTACAGCTACAGGACCAGATATTGTCGAGCAGGTGTGCAGAGTCAAGCAAAGAGCTCCCATGCCACCACGCGAAGTGCCAACAGGGCCCGTGAAGGAGTTCAAGCTTTTTGGCGACGACATTGACCTGACGTCTCTGCCAGTACCATTTCTTCGCCAAAACGACGGAGGAAAGTTTATACAGACATATGGCATGTACGTCGTAAAGACCCCCGATGGTTCTTGGGTCAATTGGTCCATCACTCGAAGCATGATTCACGATAAGCGGTCTCTTGTGGGCCCTGTAATTCCTAGACAGGATATTGGAGTCATTCGCCAAATGTGGACCGACCTTGGACAAGACATGCCCTTCGCACTTTGCTTTGGAGTGCCGCCAGCGGCAATCGCTGTTAGTGGAATGCCACTCCCAAAATGGACCAACGAAACCGGGTTCATTGGAGCCATGTTGGGGGAGCCTTTAGATGTTACAAAGTGTGAGACGAACGATCTACTGGTTCCTTTCAATGCGGAGTTTGTTCTAGAAGGTGTAGTTTCGAGAACAGAAACTGCGCCTGAAGGGCCTATGGCTGAGTACCCTGGGCTCGTCTTCCCCGAGCAGAAGAGGCAATGCCCTATCTTCAAAGTCAACGCCATTACTTATCGTCACGACCCTATATTGCCTGTGTGCGTCACCGGGCGCGCGGTAGAGGAGAGCGAGACCATCTGGGCGGTCACACAAGCAGTTGAGGTCCTAGACATTTGCCGGGCTGCCAAACTCCCCGTGAAGATGGTTTGGTCTCCATTCGAATCACATTGCCTTTGGTTCGTTGTGCAGGTCGATCGTCGAGAATTGGTCGCCTTGAAAACGAACATTAAAGAGTTCACGGAACGTGTGGGGCGGGTCATTTTCAGCTCCAAGCCAGGGTTTTACATCCCGAAACTATTCATTGTAGGGGACGATATTGATCCCACCAATCTCAATGATGTGATCTGGGCTGAGGCAACGAGATGTCAGCCTTTCGCAAACGAAGTGTTCTTCGACGAATATCCAAATATTCCGCTGATTCCATACATTAGCCATGGGATTCGGGCATCTGAGAATCACTATAAGGTAGTCAAATGCTGTATGCTGACCTCTGAATTCACGGACGAGGTATTGCCTTGGAAGGTAGGATCGTTTCGCGGTTCATATCCTGAAGACTTGCAGCAGAAGGTAGAGAAGAATTGGACAAAGTATGGATTCGGGGAGGTAACTGAATAATTTCTGTTTTGATTTCTTCTTCACGCATGACCCAGTATTATTGGACATTCTAGCTCAAATAAAATCTAAGTGCATACATGTTCGGAACCTATTTCGAAGAAAACAATAACGTAGACAACATAAGTCTGCATATACGAATTAACATCTCCTCTCTCCTGAAATATGTATAGACAACAACATTGCAGAGTCCACACGGTTTGACGCTGAAGACTGAACTGAACAGGGAGGGCTACAGTGTCTCGGGAGTCCCCAGGTAAATGCATATATTACGGCATACAAGTGCGTCCCAATTTGAATGCATGTACATGGCCGGCCCGCGCGTCGAATGCATAACATGAGCCAATACATCATCTTGCAGATGTCATTGAGGCAATTTTCAGGATACTTGACTCCGTGCGTCAACAAAGCAGGATTTCGTCCAACGGCTCGTCCCGTGAGACAAGGATTCCCGATGCGGGGAAAGTTGGCGAACCAGAGAAACGAACAGTCTCACGTTGCTTGCAAGACTACGGACTGTATGTACATTCATTAATATTGTAACGACCCCGGCCAGTATTTCGCTTCATGCATGCACCTGATCATCCCCACGTGTCGAATAGCAGTGGTTACCAAGAGTTCGAGCTATCGCAAACAGGAAGGTGGAAAGGGCATTCACAGACCGTCGTGACTCTTGACAATCCTAGCGACGGGCAACATTCTCCACAAGAAAAAACCTCCGACGCGCTAAAATGCACACCACGCTCAAGGTCATGGACGTACTCAATAGGCCCGACATCGTGAGGTACGTCTTGCCTATTATTGGACATCTATTATACACTTGGAAGCTTGATAATTTATCCAGACGGAGGTGCAGTCAACTCAGGAAGGAGACAAGACCTGTGACATGCTGCGTGGTATTCTGCCAAGGGTTAGCGATCATCGGCGATACTCCTTGACCAAGAACGCCATAACTATTGGATAATGTGTTCGAACTCATGGTTGTTGAAAATAGTAGGAGCGCGTAAATGAGTACAAGTAGTGGCATAGTTCTCTTGCGAATTATGTAGCTTTGGCACGAGTTGCAGGCAAGATTCCATAGTCTCACGAAGTAAACATTGCTCGCAGACACTTTCATCATGAAGACTTTCTTGCAATGCCTGCTCACCTCTTCGGCCCTACTTGGTGTGACGATCTCTGCGCCAACACCAGCACCTGAGCAAGGACCAAGCTTCCCCATTACTGATCTCCTCAATACCGATCTTACAATCGAGGAGTATGCCAAACAGCTAGAGGAGAAATCGACATCCGAAACAAGCGGATTGAGCAAACGACAATTCAACGGCGACACCTATAACCAGCTCACGGACGGAACGCCATGCCGTGAGATTACCGTGATTTATGCCCGTGGAACTACCCAAGATGGCAATGTCGGTGCACCGGACACTGAGGGGCCTAATTTCTTCAACGCTCTCGCAGCTAAACTTGGGGGAACCAGTCGTCTCGCAATCCAGGGAGTCACCTATCCTGCTAACGTATTCGGATTCCTAGCCGGAGGTGATTCAGCTGGAAGTACCACAACATTAAACTTGATAAATACGGTGAGTGAATCCATTTAGGGTTCAACACTCAAGATTGTGTAGTGGACTTGGCTGATTTCTCAGGCTGCATCTAAATGCCCATCGACAAAGATTGTCCTCTCTGGATATAGTCAAGGTGCTTAGCTCGTCCACAATGCAGCCCAGAAGTTGTCTGCATCTGTGGCCGCGCGGGTTAATGCAGGTATGTTTCTTCGCCAGTGCAAGCCTAGCTATGGTATGCTGACATTATAAAGTGGTTGTTTTCGGTGACCCAGATCGTGACGAGGGCTTTGGTCCCATCGCCGCCTCGAAAATACTTATCATTTGCCATGATGGTGATAACATTTGGTATGTCGTTGACTCAAATCAAACATCAACTGTGTCACTAATCAGTTGCAGTGACAATGGCATCATAATTACTCCTCAACATAGGAACTACGAGATTGATGCTCCCGCTGCGGCCAATTTCGTCGCTTCAAAGGTGTAAATAAGCGTATAGACTTTTGAAAAGCTTACGTCTTCCAGCTAGGCTTTTCGCAGATGTATTAAAAAGGAATGAACTCGAGGTACAGCCACCGGGCCGGTCATGCTAGCAAGCAAATGTGAGATGGATCACGCAATTGAGCCCTTCAAGACATTGTTCGAATATGAATTAGGAATCTCTATGAATACATGATTGGACTGCAATCTTTGGACCATGAACTTCCAGCCCCCTGAAACAAGTTGTCCTTCTCCGTGAAATAGAATCTGTCCACGCCTCAAACCAATGCTGCGATTTGGACCTGAGGGCGAATCGAAAGGATTGAAAACAAAATTAAAGAAAATACAAATAGGAAAAAGATGCTGATACAGTAGAATAGCCAATGACCATCAAAATCATCTCATGGTCGCGGGCGTCATTGGAACATACAGTATCATCTCCAATCACGACATTTCAATCCAGAAGAACTTCCAGATATCTGTCTCTGTATGATTCGCCTCAGCGGTGTGACGTTGAACTTCACCTCGGGTATTTGAGAGACTATCTTTTGCACTTTGAGATCTTCTGTAACACTCGGTACCTCTTCTTTTGGCGCAACACCGTTCGCCCATTGCTGGGTACGCAATGTACGGCTCTCACTGTTCGGATTCAGATCGGCAAACGGGCGATTCTCGCTTGATTTATCCTCGTTGGTTATCGGCGAATTAGAGTCGGCTTTCGAGCTTGATTCTCCTCCATACCCGCTATCGGCATACCGAATCTCTAGAATAACATTAGCTTAGATTTGCATGAAGTTCATCAAGCAACTACACACCCTTTTGTCCAGCAACTTGTCTTTGGATGAGGCGGCGCATTGGTGTATTGTTAAATCTTGCCTTGATTGACTCCAAGCGCTCAAACTCCTCCTTTGCCTCTCGTGCCACGCGTTGTTCTCTCTGCTCGCGGCTTTCGCTGTCTTTGTCGAAATATGCTGTGACAATCAGTTTATATGTGATTTGACATGAACGCTGGGATCATTTTACTTACGCTTCGCGCCAAATGAGAGAGTCTTGAACGTAGCAATTGACGAGGTTTTTGATTTCGAAATATCCCGATAAGCGGTGCTTCTGTTGTCCCAGATAGCTACGCTGCCGGCCTCCCATTTGAAGCGTACAGCTTCCTCGTCGGTCGAATGAATATGGTAGTCTAAGAACTCAAGCAGATTATCTGAAGTTGGTTAGTTATATTGTCTTGAAATCTCTTGCTTTCTGATCGTATTCTACCTGATTCTTTCTTTTTAAGTTCTGCGAAGCCAGTCACAGATCCCGGCGTAACATTGAGCGCCTTCAAGCCCGTTATTGGATTTGTCTGTACTGCCGGGTGGTGGCTTTCAATATCCAAGGTAGACCAGGTTTCCAGGATGGATTCGTCTGGATGCCCTTCGTCAGCTTGCGGATGATTACAGTATATGTACGCAATAACAACTCACTTGAAAGTTTAGATGAATGCACAGCGTGTAAACTGTCGAGAAAGGTTTTCATATGATCACTCAGAGCATCATATAGTCCGTATTGTGACACCTAGTTGCTATTAATCAATTGAAAAACGCTTACTACGGTTCAATCGCAATGCCTTACCCAAGAGCTTTCACATATGCTTTCAGTAGTATCTTCAATCCGTAGAATCGAGAAGTTCGGTGGGTTTTTGGCGAAGCTCAGGTCGGCGTGCCATTTGCTTTGCTGGCCGGGGGTAACATTTCGAATCTCTTTGAATTGGTGAACAGCTGTGTCGGCTTTGCCATTGCCCTTGTTGCCATAATGCTTGGATAGCTGGACTTGCTGGTCATCCGAGAGATTTTGGCCACGGAAGAAGACCACTCCTCGCTCGGAGACAAGTAGGGCAAGCTCATCAAGCTGCTCGGGGGAAAGGGACGACAACTGGATATCCGAAAGGAGTGTACCAATTGAGTCGGTCAAATCCTGACGGCTTGCATTGGATAGGAGCGTACTCTCAGTCGGTGGCGATGAGGTTTCAGTGACCATGATGTGTTCGAAAATTGGAGATGAAGAATCGGGATAATCGGTATTGGCTGCAGTCTGGTGGTCAGGTTGGGAAGATTTCAAGTCTTTAACCTCCTGTCCTTGCTTTTGGTGGGATACGAGTGCCCGTATTATGGCCGAGTCTGTTGATACAAATGCTTTATGATACAAATTCCAGGTGTTAGTAGCTAGCATACCCCGAACGAATTCCCTCGTAGCTAGACAGGCAAGGTGAATTTGTTGCGAGAAAGAAGTTAGGTGAGTAATGGAATTGTCCAAGGGTGCAGAGACAGACAGGAGCTGACCTGTAACGAGGTTGGGGAAAGTAATCTGAAGAGCAAACCGAATCCAACCCCATGTTATCTATTCGTGCAGCGGCAGAATATGGCATGGTATCAGGGAATTGAGGATAGCGTCAACCTATTAGGCCCTGGGCGACGGTATGTACAGCCCGGTTGATTGGACAAATCGGCTGTCGCAATGGCGCAATCCGCAGAGGAAATAACATCACCCTAGCCATAAAACCACGACCACTACTCCGTACTTCTACCATGATCAACCTATCCCATAGAGTTCTTATGTGTGTTGTTCATTAATTCTAGAACTCTCTCTCTCCGACTTCGGTTCGCTTGATAAGTTCAAGGGACTTTCTGTGTACTTGTACGATAACGACTACGATACCCCGTCGATGAGATTCAGGGTCTTCTTACCCCACGTGCCCATACTCAGCCAGACGTGCTCAGGAATACGCACACATTCACTCAGAAGTCTCGGACCATTAATAACGACATTAGAATTTGCATTTCCCTTACTGTATTTACGATTTTCAAAGGAGGTACAGGTACATGTCATTCTACAACAAAAGAGCACTGTCCTTGAAAGCACCTGTGCCTACACAATTATCCCCAACCTTAAAGACTTCATATATAATTTGTATCTGACCGGGTATAACAAGATGGCAATCGCGAGACTCTTGCCTGCAACCAAATTCCAAGCTATTCTCGTAAACGTCTGTGCCAATAGATCATATCGTACAAGCACACAGTAATCCTATACTCCAACATACGGTTCTGACTTTCGAGACCAGCTCATAAGACGTCTAATCGGTAGGCTGGAGGTCGATGTAGTCACCAGTCTTCTGGTTTGAATAAGCAAGAACATTCTTGCGCCTTCCGATCAACCATCCAAAGCCGCCTCTTCGCCAAATCATGAACGACGCGAGTCCTACCATCGCAGCCCCGCAGATAGCGAGGGGAATGGGCATGAGAGCGCCAATTTTCTTCGATATTACCAAATTAGAACTCGTGATTCATCACGGAAAAGGGTACGGGAAAGAAAGGGAAGGAATTGTAACGCACCAAATCCGAGCAAGCCTTCTCTGCCCAGGTCTCACGGTCGGGATAGAATTTGTCCATCATGCAAGCCCAAGCTTCACGCGTATACAACTTTCCTTGTGTGTCATACTTGCCATTGGCAAACGTGACCTCGTCCGCACTCTTCGCTTCGGGATTCTGGCTTTTGACTATGTTGACATATGCGAGGATGCCAATCTGGCCGAGAAGGTCGAGCAATGCCGGGCCGATGACTGCCCATCCCCATATGTTATGCCTAGACACATGGCGCGAAATGACAATGCCAGCCACCAAGAGAATGGATGCTATGATAGAGATGTAACCCCCGGCCATGACCGCATCTTGCGGGCCAGAAAGGAGGTTGAACGTGATTGTCGCGGTCTCGCCAGGCGCAGTCTTGATTTCTTTGGTGCCGAGAACAGGATTGGGCATATCGGTCTTCTCGAAGACAAGCGCGGCAGCGGCGACGGGAATACCGAGTACGAGAGCGCCGGCGCTCAATGCCGCCGTAACGAGCGGCTGTGGACGTTCATTGAACTGCGAAGACGTAGACATTTTGCATGCAGTAACCGACAGTAGGATAAGGAAACGGATAATCAGCGAAAGTGAAGATGTTGAACTTATATCAGATGAAAAGAAAACAGGAGAATAAACAAACGGTAAATAAAGAAGGTTCAAATGCTCTCAAGGTACACATGTAGATGCGCTGCGGCCAGCAAGATACTTAACAAAGCCATCACAGCCATCAGAGACACGGACGGAGTTGAGTGTTTTAGTGCTGATGATGGTCCTCCGCTGTGGCGTAGCTTGCTTCTGATTCGCCAGACTGGGCTTCAGGAGTCCGAATCCGGCAAGCGACTAGCACTGCGCAAATCACAGGGGTACGCCCGGCGTGTAAGAGATGCGTGGCAGATTGTTCCTATATCAACAAAAGTGGTACCAAATTGTGAATATCGGGGCGGAGCTTTAGGAATTTAACCAACCTCTCAGGTGGTGGTTGTCAAGTATGTAGCAGATCGCAAACAGGATGTCCATGATCGTCGCCATCCAGGAACGATTTGGGAAAACTGCGGATGTCCTCGAATGTTTGATCCACCATCGGAGCTGGGCTGTTTCGATAGTTCCGAGTGTCACAGTAAACGGAACAACGACAGTATATATGTTGTGTTCGTGAGAATGAAACCACCCTGCTCTTACTCCGTTCGAAACTTCTTAGCATAGGTGGTGAGGGAAGAAATCATTGCAAACGTTGGCCTTCGCAATGGGGTTCCCCGTTCTTCATTTCGAACTGTTTAGAACTCACTTCTTACAATCACGGAAGACTTGTTTGCTTTTACGGACCTCCTGTTTTGTGTTTACAGCTAGGTCTGCAACATCATATCGCGTTTTGCCTCTATTTGGTTCCCCAAGGCGATATAAGTTTACCAACACAGCTCTCCAATATAAGATATCAGATCGTTATATGAAGAGCACAATTGCTGGTCAAATACTGAAACCGGGCAGCCTCTCAATATGTCTTTTTCTAATAATTATTTCGTACCAGTTTAGTATCTCCAAAAATTGGAATTTTTCCAAAGACAAGCATCGACGTCGTCGTAAGAGAAGCGAAAATATATAGAGAATTGCAATGCGGCCAAACCACTGCCCCTTGATCGTCGAGTCCAATATCCTTCAAGGTTGTCCTGTTAGTTTAGCATGCAAATATGACGTCCAAATCCATTCCACCACTCATTTCACAAACCAACAATTGGGTCCATACACTATTACATAAAGCTACTTGTGCAACTTGTATGTCTGTATAAACTTCCCGAAACTTGAGTTTATTCTCAAGATCCATTGCCCTCAATAGAGATCATGTAAAAATGCCTCAGCATCAGCCCCAATATTCATCTACATGGTGCCAGCCTTTCTTCTACGAGGCGATTCAGAATAGGTGCAATTTCGAGTTTACAGTGTCTGCGCTAAAGTGTGAAGAAAAGCTGCAACCGGCAGCCGAAAATTCTAACATATAGATAGAGCATGATTCACTAGATGCAATAATGAACAGCAGGTTGAGCCCTCCGATTTCTCTCAATCAAATTAATATTAGATGAAATCCCAAGCCAATCGTTGATTAGATGAGCTTTGCGAATTGTGTTGTGGCAGGATGATGATAAGTATGGGTTCCACTTGCAAATGAGATTGTATCCCGGTGAGTGGTGTCCACGTTTGATTGTTTCAGTAGCGAGTAAATTCTCGAGAGTGGTCGCACATTGAAAAAATTCAATGCATGGTGTAGTTATATGTAGTCAGATTGAATTGTGTTAGTACTGCCCACTCTATGAAAATATCGAATCGCAACAACCAGTGTATTCTTTGATGAAAATGACCATGACCTTTTGACACAACAGTAAACTAGAATCATGCTTGAGAATGCGTATATGCTGCTTGTGACAATCCCCGTGAACGCCGTTCCATTGATTCAAGATGATGTTCGCGACGTCCAATTCCTGCAGATTTCTGAATGCACGGTGATAAATAAGAACGACCCTTTAGAGACCAATACTGTGCCAAAGTGAAAGGAGAAGTGATGGAAGACATGTTATATCTCCTCATCGGTCGAGTTTGGTACTGAATTAGTTGAGCCGTCGGGTTTTAGATCGTTGAGATAGACTATGCGAACGATTAGATTTCGATGGGGAAGTTTGCGGTGCTGGATACATACCATGTGGCTTGACAAACCAACTACAACAGAATGCTAAGCCGAAAGTCGCCGTCAAGCATATGAACACTGTTCTATCGAACGACCTGGTAGTGGCGCTGTATATACCGTTGAAGATTGCGGGACCTACGACACGGGACATAGCATGCAAGAGTCCCGTCGCGCCCAACAACTGCCCAACACGATCTGGCGGGATGTGTTTAGTCAATGCCGAACCGAGTGTTGGACTTCCCATGCCTCCCAATGATGCAATGACACCAGGTATAGTAAAGAGATCAGCCTTGGTGACAAGCGAAAAGCCGAGGTACCCTAACATATCGAACAGAATGGCAATGCGAATGATAGAAAGATCGAATGTATCTGAGCCTGAATTGCTCTGACCAGATGTTCCAGACCGACCGCGGACGATGCGAGTGATCAGGGGTAAGATGACAAGGAGGGACAAGACCCGACTTGCATTCACGACACTCACAAATTTGCTAGTTTCCCATTCCTGCCAGTTGAAATGTGCGCGAACATAGATGGTGATGACACCCATTGAGCTCATGGCGATAGAAAACATGATTGTGTCGGTTGCGGCAAGCAAGATGAGGTTGCGACGGAGTGCAGGGCTAGAACCGGGCCCTGTGGGATAGAGGATCTTGAGGGGACTAAGGAAGTTGATAGACCGAAGGCGGTTGATAATATCAGAACTCGGTCCCAATCGCTCCAATTCTTTCTTGCGACTCTCCCGGGCAGCCTGCTGCCGCGATTCAGTGAGAGACTCAGGGATCACGAAGAAAAGAAAGAATATGAAAAGAGTGTGAGCCCCTAGTGCCAGATAGAATATGATCAATACGGCTTCCGTCTTCCCAACTATGGGTTCCCGTTGTTTGATAATGTAACCTGCAAGGACAGGTCCGACCGCGATACCAGTAAACAAGCACGCGTGGAAGTAACCAAAAGCTACATTCCGCTTTTGGGGTGACGTGCAATCGGTGGCGTAAGAATGCGCCAGCGCCATGCCGACGATAAACGTACCGCAAAGGCCATCGATCGCGTAGCCGACCAAGATCCAATTGACGTCAACAGTTTGTGGATACTTTGCTGCAAGGATCGTGAGAAGCTCACTGACCAACAGGCCGCAGGTCGTGAAGACCATTAGTTTCTTACGGCCATAAAGATCGGACATGGCGCCAATCTTTGGAGAGGTAAAAGCCGCGATAATACCAGAGATGAGGGACCCATAGAGCAGGAATAACGAGGAGCGTGAAGCAACATCCGGGTTCTGGCAACGATCGTACCGATTTCCAGGATCCATTGGGCTGGAAATTGGATCCTGATTCTCGGGACTCCTCGAGGCATAGTAATCATCGCATAAAAGATTATAGATGAGGTTTAGTTTTGGAATCACGATGCCGCCAAAAGCTAAAGTGAATAAGAGAAATGGTGGCAATAGCCAGTAGATCTACGGTAAAATTAGGAGTGAGACCCGAGCATGGTTGTAGAGTACGAACAGAAGGTCTATTCCACCAAGGCAGCCCCTGGAGCTCTGCGGTCCCAAACCATTCCACAGCTTCACTCGAGGTGTCATTCAACAAGCTCTGCCTGCCATTGCTCGCCTCGTTGCTGAGCAGCGGCGCGTTTTCGTCCGCAGATCCTGAAGCACGATGAGGTCGCACGATCCCTCTCCTACGGTTGTTCTCATGCGTTTGGAATTGCTGGTCAGCATCAGCGTCGGCCGCGAAGGTACTGTCGTTGCTATTTGGGTCCATTGTGGTAATCGCGGATACGTTGGAAGGAAGGAGGGGTGATTAGCTGGAGATAGAAGCGTCAAGAACGCAGCTGATACTGCAGAGAATCGTGTTTCTAGATCTACCAGAGCATTGCTCGTACACTGTATCCATAATTCGTTAGTTAGAGCGTCTCAAGAAAGCGTAGTCCACGAGAAAAGATGATGCCGACGTGTTCTACTGCCAAGTTCTCGGGATTAACAGCATACCTCAGCCTAATATCGCGAATGTATCTTTCAGTCCCAATTTAGAGGTACTGAAGCTGCGGGACTAACTGGATAGCGAGGATTCAGCTGAAGATGCGTAGAATGCGATTCATCAGTACAGATGCTCAAGATATTGAGGTTGGCGGATGGCGAGTCATCAGGAGCGAAACTCGTCCGGGCGCGAATTGCTTATCGTCACGAATTCTTCATGACGTTGACAACCCATTTCTAAACATCGGTGATTCGGCTGGTTGTACCGGCCGATCTACGCTAACTCGAAATAGCACATTCATCCTCATATTTCGATAGTGTGGGTCTGAACGATTCTACAGTTGCTTGACGTGTACGAGTTGGGTAGGTTAGAGTTTGAAAAGGAATTTCCTTTGGAGACTATGTCGGTTGATAGCAAGATGAAGTCTTTTTGTCTAAATTTATAGCCTGCACAAGTTGCGCATCAGCATCGCCTAGCCCATAAAATCCTAGCGCGTCAGTTGTTGAATATGGTGAATGACCCTTACAAGTACCAACAAGGCATCAAATATTCCATAGTTAAGCGAATTCCCTTAGTCATAGAAGGATTGCAGTTGCGGTCGTAGCCTCGCAGAATATGTGTGTGTGTTGAGCAACGCAGAAGTTGCTCATTCTGGCTAGTCAGGCGCGCCGACTCAAGGCGAGCACACTGCATTTTTCAACTTCTGCATTTGATCTAAGTTGGTCGTATATCGTTATGACTCTGTCGCGTCTGTGGTCATCTTTGCTGACTACAGCCCGAGTGCCCTTCGCCCTCAGCGTCTGACTTCCTGGGGCATTTCCCTACCCATAAGACTCGATATAATCCTGCATGTCAATGAATGTACCTAGCCGAACACCACAGGAGAGACATACGAGACCTCCGTAAATCCCTATTGATGTACTCCGTATCGCACAGGTGTATGGCGGTCTTTGAAGACGAGCGAGGTGGCAGAGATCACTCGCATAGAACTGACCGATGGCCAATCTTCAATATAGCGTCGCTATGCCGTCAAATGATCCCGCGTTGAGCGCTTCCAATGAACGTGCATGTCCGCCCTCTTTGATCAGCATTGATACCTCCCTTATAGTGGGATCATTATTCGCCTCAGCCTTATGGTAATTCAAAGGAACAAAGAAGGCATGACCTGGCTGCCTTGCAGCGAAGAAAAAAGGCTCACCACTTCCGGCATCGACTGTCTTCACCTTGGCCATGTCGAATTCTTTATTTCCCTTTCTTAGTATTCCGAACATGCAGCCTGTACGGAATGCTAGGCTTGCAGCAGGGCAAGAACCAAGTTCATATCCACGACGATGATTGTGCATATGCAACAGGCCGTATACGCACACTTGGATTGCTAGACGAGATAGGTTGTTCAACCTCGTTACCCCGCTTACTATCACATGGTTTGTTGTGCTTCTTCCGTGGGGTCATAGGTCCAAAGAGGCACACAGAGCCGGTAAGGGACCAACCCGCAATCTAAGAGGCATTATTGTGTCTAGGCGCCGGCGATCCAGGTCGATTCAAGCCAGCATATCTATGCTGAAAGCTTTAGGCGCTCGTTACGATTACGCAGTGGATCGTGGTTATGCCAGTTATGCGAAGTGGTTGCCTTGTTGCCTAGCCTTGTCTCCCCAAGGCACTTTAGACGCAATTGTCATTGGTACACACTGGATGCACTAAACATCGTGTTACCAAAACCCATTCCCTTGTCACATAGTGATGAATTCAGGTATATGAAATCCGGCTGATATACGAAGTAGTGTGCCTGAATTCAAGGCTCATCTTGACAGGGCAGCAGGAAGATGAAAAGTCATGGACGAGACTGGGGAATAGGCGATCACGGATGAACGTGTGAATGAACCCGAGGGGCGGTGTTCGGAGAATTAGTTGGCTGATATTCGTGTAAGCATCGAAGGGCTAGGCTGTCGCAAGCCATCGGCTCAAACTAGATCTGAGACTATCATATTCGTAATGGACGGCATAACAGATAGAATCCTGCAATAAGAGGCCGCCCCCAGCATGTCAGGACTCGAATAAAAGGATCTCGAGCGATAGTACGACGACCGAACGACGAGTAGTTACATTGGGGGATGCGGCGAGTGGGTACAATGTATAAGAGTGGTTTGGTTTTAAGCATTTTCGGGATGAGGTATCGTTAGTCAAGATCAGTATAATACGAGAGCAAATCAAGATTGCGATTAGCTGGCTTCATCTGAGTTACTGGCTAGATAGAATATTCGCCAATAACAGCTCCGATCATCTTTGCTTGAAACACTGTTCCATTCGAAAGAAAGAAAATTGAAGGAAAGAAATATCTACTCGTGCCACTACTGTGCCACTGTACCAGAGGCGTGGGACTTACTGTGTATTGTAGATCCTTCTGCGGCACAGCAGGCACTGGGGGGCACGTTTTACAGGCATAGGCCCCCAGCTATGTACCGAAAGGTTATTGACTGTCTTGATATCACCATGATGGCGCTCAGTATCAGTTGCCTTTTTTAAATGTCTTGCCTTTGTTACCAATCATTTTCTTCGCCATATACCAGACAGCTGAACCGCGCGAGTAAAGAGTCGGTAAGCACAAGCGAAAGAGGCGGCCTCCTAGGAATGAATGGCCATGCCCAAGCGGACGGGCATCCACACAGTATTGTGCAATCATTGTGTAGATCCAGGACTATCAATGAATTTGCCTCGAGATTATCGACAAACATAACTCGCGGGTATTTATGACCCGGTTAAAGGTTAGGTATCATCACATGGCGAGCGGAATGTATGGAAGAGAGCGTTGACGTTGAGAGTCCCAATTCTGTCGCAACAATTGAAGCCCAAGATAGTAAAATTATTTTGGCCAGTGTACGGAATACTTGGTACGGATAACTCAGGATGCGGAAATGTCAGTGCAATAATGTATGCACACATGGCGTTGTTGAGCAGAACGTTGGCGTGACATCAGATACATTTAATGCAAGGGTCGTTCTCGATCACGGCCAGGCAACGTGAAGATGAGCAGACAAGCATGACGATGACATCTGCAAGCATAAATAGGGTAACGTGTTGATGGTGAATAGGTCCGCTTGACTCCCAAAGCCATCAAAACGGAGTGACGGGCAAACCGAAGACTATTACGTGCCGGCAACGCTTATGGTCCTGCGTGGTCCTGCATCTCCTGCTGTCAACACGAATGGAGTAATTCTGGAATACCGAATGTAGCTGAATGCAACCGTTAGCTGTAATGAATGACGGTTGAAATGACCGTACGGAACATACATTCAACCGTCGTACGTGTTAAATGATTTGATCCTATATTCGCGCACTGGTTGCTAGTGATCTGGCCGAAATCTACCCTGTTCGAGGTAATGAAGGCAAACAAGCTGGAAGCCCGGGATGGAAACTTCATAGACCAATCACTAGCGCGACCTGGCAAGGACACCGTACAGGCTCCAGTGGAATATTCGACTTTTTAGAGCTCTGATCAGTTCTCGTTAGTAGTTCAAGGAGTGGATGATGCGGTTATCTGGACTGGATAGGTCGCACGTGATGCATGTTCTAGAAACCTTACCTTGGTACCTACCTACCTACCTACCTAGGACATGTACTCCGTAACTCAGCTTGCTCAGGGCACTAGAAGCTAAGATACTCGTAATGACTGTGGCTATGTGTACGGAGTATCGTTGGAACATGACTTCTTGAAAGGCCTAGGAAGGCTCCGAAAGACGGGGAAGGCAGCGCAAATAATTGGCGAAGTGTTGACTGCATGGCGCGCTAAGGGGAAGGGAAAGACCCGGCCTCATGACCCACCCTGACCGCCGGGCAAAGGCGCAGGTCACTACATGGGCTCATGAGCAACGAAAATAAGGTTGCAGAAAGCAGGAAGCGTGAAGGTCTGCCTGGAACTGGTGTCAAATTCTGCCTGGAACTGGAATGGGGATCTCCAATTCAGCTAGGTGATCCACCTCAACCGCCGACGTATTCCTGTGGAGGTTGGAAGGGCGCAGGAAAACGAGGACGCGAGGCTCGCATTGGGGCAGGGAGGCGCAGAGGCTGAGAACTGAGTCGCTAGAGCGTCGTGCGAAAGGCGTCAGAGATATTATTTTGAACCTGTTTTCGTATGACGGCAGACGGAATGATTGTAAGAAGGATGTGATGATACGATATAGCATGTCTTGAATGTGCGTAGATGATACTCCATTTGCCTAGTGAACACAGACATGGATATTGCTGGGCCAGCTGGAAATAATGGAGGAGAGACGTCGTGTTCTCTGAGCTGTAAGCGCGCCTGATGGTCTTGCCTAGGAATGGTACGTCGCCGGGAAGAAGAAGATCGGGTGATGTATGCTTATTGGTTCAATGAATGGCCATGTGGAGAGCTGGTATGCAATATGTGAGAAAATGCAAGTACTTTAGGTACCGTCGATGATTGGAACAAATCATATTCAATCATTGTGCAGGCCAAGAAAAGGCAAGTTTCGAGACGAAGAGTACATGAACAGCGTGGAAGTGGACCTTTGTCGATACCCGTAGGCTGAAGGCTGTAGCGTGTAGCGATTGTCGGCCAGGACTCAGTGGATGAGAAGGGTGGAGTATGTCCTTGTCGGGCTTGATTATTAGCTGCCTGCGGCTCTGTACGATCATTACGATGGCGCCTAACTAGGTTTGTGGAGGCAATTGCTAACGGGATGTTGATTTATGCAATACGTAAGGGTGGTTGGGCATATAGAGTAGATAATCTGGTGAGGATCGGTGGGCGTCTGGGTAGAAGAGCATGTAGGGGTAGAGAAGCAGACTCTTGATCAACAAGACGGCGATGAGAGTCAAGACCAGGCGGAGACGGCAAAACCCAGGACAGTGGAACATGTGAGAATAACAGATCCCGGAAGGGGAGGGGAGGGAAGATGATTAGCTGTACTGAGGAAGTTGGTTTGATAAGAGTGTGAGAAGTGGTTGCACACGGGGCGGATAGGTTGATATGAGGGATGAAGGGGGGTGTGGAACGAACGAATCCGAAAACGGGAGGATTCTGGATGACTATCCGAAAGGATGGGGGAAGTTTGCCTTGTTATTGTTATTTTTATTCTTGTTTTTTCTTTATTGAAAGAAGGACGGGGAGGACGGACGGAGTATGTGCTGTGTAGAGGCAGTTGGTGTTATGGTTGGTGGTGGGATGTAGGCAACTTGCATATATGTTCATGTCGGTCTGCGCGTGTGGTGTTTTGGGCTGGAGCTAGGATTATTGAGGCATAGGTATGGTGCAGGTTGTTCACCTTGCTGCCTAATTTATGATGAATTAACATTGTCCCTCTCCTGTCAATGCCCTTATGGCCTTATTCTATAGTTATGGAGGGGAAATGAAGTGGAGGACGAGCATGAGGATGATAACGAGGTGGCGTCGCGTGATCCTGAGAGTGTCGAAAGTATCATCTTCATCATTAGTTACCCACTTAGGTATTTGTAGTTTTGTAGTTTGTAGACTATGATGGACCTGAACACCAAATACCTTGTGTAGGTATCAGGTAAGTACTTAGTCCTAGGTAGATATTAGTTTAACATTCTTACTCGTACCCAATCAGGTCAATCAATCGATCAATTAATCGATTCAACCAGACCATCAGCCAGAAGGATGCATTGTGCATAGCTACCCACATTCCTTTCTTACCAGGATCAAAGAGAATGAATCTTTGTCTCTGGCCTAACGGTTACACAGATGATATCCATCTTGGGTATCTACTCCGTACCACGTACTCTATAACTACTTCTCCGTACATACATCATAATGTCCATCACAACAGCATAATTACCTACCTAGGCAGTACTCATCCATACTCCACAGTTATATGGACTATCTATCACCCAACTGTCCACCTGGTAGTTGGTATAGTTGGTTGTGTGTAGTCTTCTAGATATCACTTAAACCTGATCTTGTCCTATCAATTCCTCCTCTGCCTCACCGACCTCATACTACCCAGGTACCTACTCGTACCTATACCTGGGTAATTAAACCACTCAACACGCAAATAAGGCTATCGCCCCAGTATCATTCATCATCATCATTGTCACCGTCACCGTCATCGTTCAATCAATCGCATCAATAAAACCTACTCACACCTTCTCGGATGAGCAGCCTTCCAATTACTCCACCAGTCTCCCAGTCAGCCCTTTAAGTTGAGCTCAATCACACACAGCACAGAGTCGCTCGGTCCTTCTTCCCTACCCTTCGTTATTCGACGCCCAATAAGCGCGTGTTCACAGTAACAAGGCGTCCTTTTTCCATTTTTTCCCATGGTTCATTCTCGACGAGCCATTCACTGCTACTTAAAATACACTCGTAATCATTGAGTTGTTAATCCACCAACACCAACAACAACAACAACAACAACAACAACAACTCCCATATCTACTTCGTGCCAACGGAGCAAATACGACACAGACTACCATTACTACTTCATTCCGCATTCTGAAATCCTTTCGGTCTGCGGCTCTTCATCCACCAACAACAACACCACCAACATTGGCATCAGCATCCCTCGTCACTTATCACTCATCACTCATCACCCATCACCCATCCCATCCATGGCCATCAGCAGGTCCTCGTTCATCTGACTACTTACTTGATTCAAGTCTCACGTCCACCATCAGTCTTACCTGGTCCTGACACACTAAGTCTCTCCGCCTCTCCGCCTTCTCCGTTCCTTAGTTGCCGCACAAAGGCTAGCAGCCACTCTACCACACGCGCGCGCACAGTACACACACACACTCTCTCTCTCTCTCTCGCACACTACCCATTCATTCATCTTACACATATTATTTACCTGGCCATCTGTCTATCTTTCTGTCTGTCTGTCTGTCTGCCTATTTGCTTGCTTACTCGCTCGCTCGCTTACATGCCTGCCTGCCTGCCTGCCTGCCTCCCTGCCTACGCCTCGCGCCGTTTGCACGATAGCTCGACCTTGATTAAAGTTACTGTGCACACACACGCACACAAGTACATGCGTACACACACAGGGTACTTGCTTCATCTTCTGCTACAAGGCCCTTTTCTCAACAACCGGCGGGAAACGTAGCGCGCGCAGGCAGCCGTACCACGATTCTCCCGACCTTGTGGCCAAATTCCCCTCCCTTCCTCTCTCGCTCTCTCTCTCTCTCTCTCTCTCTCTCTCTCTCGCTCTCCCCTTCGCCCCCCCTCTCATCCTTCTCGGTCTCCCTCGCCCATTCAGGTTGTTCCAAGCGCAACCGCATTTAAAATCACCCATAAAACCATAACATCATCACCCAAACCCCCCGCCTCCCCACTCACCCTCCCACATTTCGCCCCCAATACAAAAAAATAGAGGAATCCGATCAACTCACTCCCCGATATCACAAATCGATCCACATACAATCCAATCTACATCCCTTTTCGTCTCCATTCCCAGCCACCAGCCACCGGACACCCGCCACCAGTCGCCAGTTCATCCTCCTGCCGATCCGATGCACTTTGCCACCTGCTAACAAGCCAGCTGTAGCCGCCAACCATCGCTGGGGCCGTTTATTGTGTCTGAAGGTGCCTAGTCACAACAACTCAACCCAGAAAGGGACCTCTACCCACCCGGGCAAATGGTTTTGAAAAGCACCATAGCGGCCAGTTGCTATCTCGGACGCTCAACTCCTTGTCGACCGCATTCAGTCCTGTGTGATCATCCCTTCGGAAGCTTACGCTTGTCGGCCTTCCGAACATGGCCGGCAACGTTGATGTTCATTCCCGCTGGGTGAATGCTCTCCGAACCCAGGCAAAGACCACCGAAACATTCCCTTCAGAGCCCTTGCCCTGTCCCTATTGCAATCATCCAGGTAGGATCTTCCAGTCAGCCGATCAAGTATTCGATCATGCAAAGGCCGACCACGCATCCCTTCTCCAGGCTATGGATCCCAACCAGGCACGTGCCCGAGTGGTAAAGGACGCGGTCGAAAAGGCGTAAGTTTTGTTGATCCGGTTACGTGTACGTCGTACTGGTCGAATATCACGTTCTAACTGTGATTTGCAGGAATGCTGGAGCAGATCGCTCATCAGAAGCCACGGCAGGTGGCGGTTCAACCCCAGATCTAGGCGCACTCTCTCTCAATCCTGTGTCTGGTCGAGATTCTTTGTACTCATCGAAAAAGAGGCCCGCTGAATCCGATTTCCAGGCTCGTCGTGGCAAAAATCCCGGCCCCGTCCAGATCCTGGACCCCGATTATTCAAGAGATTTGCCCTACAACATAACCTCGGATCGAACGACCCGATCCAAACATGTGGACCCCCGCCTCTTCGATCCCAAGCAAGGCGCCAAAGGTACTGTTTCTCCCTATCGATCAACTCCAGAGCCCTCTAGTGAATGGTCAGTCGAGGCGAATAGGAGCCAGCTCCATTTCAAAAAGGGCGCATCAAGCCCAAACCGCCAGCCCTTTCCAAAAGGTTCGACTCCTAAGTCATCCCCCAAACAGCATACAGGCCATACCCAACATCGTCAACGTGGACTCATTGAACTCCAAAAGTCGGATCCCCGGTTTCCAGATCTGCTCTTACAACCAGATTCCCGCCCAATCTCACAAGAACAGCTCGCCTCCGAAGTGAAATCCATCTATGCGGGACTGACAATGGTTGAGAATAAATGCGTTGAAGTCAACGAGAAGGAGAAACAACGGCTTAATGACGCAGATGGAAAGCCCCTGTCCAATCTTGCTTGTGATCAATGGCAAGCCCTCATTGCGCTGCATAGGACTTTGTTGCATGAGCATCACGACTTTTTCTTAGCCTCCCAACACCCTTCTGCCTCGTCTGCACTGCGTCGCCTACCTGCCAAGTACTCAATGCCAGCTCGCATGTGGAAACACGGAATCCATCAGTTCCTAGAGTTGCTTCGACTAAGGCTACCCGAAAGCCTGGATTATATGCTCGCATTCATCTATCTAGCCTACCAAATGGTGGCTCTGCTATATGAGACTGTCCCGGCTTTTGAGGATACCTGGATTGAGTGCCTCGGTGATCTCGGTCGTTATCGGATGGCTGTCGAAGACGAGGACCTTCGGGACCGGGAGACGTGGGCCGGTGTGGCCAGGTCATGGTACAGCAAGGCTGCAGATAAGAATCCATCTATCGGCAGGCTGTATCATCACCTGGCCATTCTTGCTAGGCCCAACGCTCTTCAGCAGCTGGCTTACTACTGCAGATCTCTCACTTGTGTTGTTCCGTTTGATAGTGCTCGGGAATCCATATTGACCTTGCTAAACCCTGTACTGGACCGTAATCCTGCAGCCTTCTCCCAAGGACTGCCCATTGACATCCGGTTCATTCAGGCGCACGCGATTCTCTTCAAGAAGTTGTCCCCAGAGGATTTTGAAGATGCTCGGCAGGCCTTTCAGAGCCAATTAGATAATCACATCAATCGCGTTACAGCAAAGTGGAAGGAACAGGGGGTTTTTATTGGGATCACTAACATTGCAGGACTCTTCGATTATGGCTCAAACGAATCCATTCTACGTGAAATTGTAGTCTCTCACTATAGGCGAACCCCTCAAAGACTCAGCCAATCCTCTGAGTTAAGCAAAGCAGATAACGAGGCCAGCGAAGTTATTCAGCCTGGGGAGGATTCAGTTGACGTGAATTTGCTGCAGAAACTTGAATCCCTCTCTTCTGAATTCACCTTCTCAAGAGCATACCATCTAACTATGTCAACCATGGAGATGGTTTGTCGGCGCATCGGCGACAAAAATGTGCTACCCCACATCCATGTCGTCATGTCTTTCTTGTCTGCTATCTCTTCAATTTCCAGCATTGCGCACTTTCTCAACGACGCACCCTGGGCGGAGCTCGTCACCTCACTGAATGAGCTGTTAAAGGCGGAACAAGCGGAACAAGTGCTTCCTAGTCCCATGTTTCCACCCGATCAAGTCGACTCTGTTCCACTACCAGAAGATTATACAATTCGCGGACAAGTCTGGAGCCAATCATACTTTCCTAGTGATTGGTTTGCCCGAGAACACGACGAAGAAGATCGTCCTGTTGAACTTGCCTCAACCATCAGATCAAGAATCGAACGCATTTTGCGCATTGCGTATCAAATCTCTACTGTGAGTACAAGTAATTCTCAATTCATCAGTCTTTCTTTGATGGGCTGTATAGAATCTTTTCCTATTTGGCACATCCCAACGTCTTCCTTCTGAAATAGTTGCCAGCACATGATTACTGGCGCCTGACATCTCTAACATGATTTAGTTCAATCGTTGGATCTCGTATGATGCACACAGTCATAAATTCTCTGTCCTTATTTCCGGCCAGTCGTCATGAAACGGACATACTATCACTCGTTGCCATGGTTGGCGCTCAATATCCTCGATTGTTGGTGAGCAGTACCGTGACTACTTCACATTTCCTATGGAGGGTGCATGACAGTTAACGATATCCAGGGGAGTCTGCTAAAGACAATATAGAACCCTATTCAGATGACATGATCTTAAACCAATCCAAAACACCACCCTGGGGTCCACGCCACTCGATAAACGAGCTTTTACCCCGAAGTAACAAATTTAGTCTCGTCCGCAAGTCAGGGGCGATGAGGAGAGCCATTGCTTGAAGATTGAGAGCTCACCAAGACTGATTCATTTCAACATATTCGGGCAGAAGGATTTGAGATTGCACAGTGTATACTTTTAACACTGCAATCTGTTGAAGAAAAATTGGTTAGTAATTATCACTTTACCATATATCAACATTTATTATCATATCATACCATACGTGACCCTGTTCGGGCATCTTTACCATACATCAATTTCAATCAGAAAGTATTCTTTACCCTTCTTTTCTTTTGTTTGAACAAGAAAATTCGCAACAAGTGAAATTTTTGAATGATGTATTTATATGTACATTCTTCTATTACCCATTCTTACATATAATACTTGATGTCCAAAGCCCGTTCGACGAATATGTATAGTTAATGCGGTTCGTTCGGGGTTCAATTTGTCTGTCCAGGGTCTTGTCTCGGCACGTCCCGAAGCGACGTCAGCTTCCACCTGTCTTCTTGGGAAGCTCTATCTCTCCCCCGCGACCTCCGCACCTCACGACATACGGTCACTACAATTCGGGACTTATTCAAAGGCGGATTTCGTTCCCTTCCAAGCATTGGAGCATTGAATCATTTATTCGCATTCTGCGAAAGCACCGTATTTCATTGACACCTCTCCATGACCCTGTCGTAAACGTTAATCGTTATCAATCGCCCATTTCGGGCTCGCAATTGTTACTCTCTCAGCGATCATGTCTGAACGACGAGTGGATGGCCAATTCTACTCGCATCCCACGCAGCCCCTAGAGATGCCACCAACTTGGATGTTGTTCGTCGCATTAGGGCTTCTGGGTGCCGCGTTATTGTTCTGGGTAAGATAAACTGCTGTCGCATGTCCAAGGCGCGCGACACCCCGAGAGCATTCAAGTCTGGAGTCTAACATTCATGTTTTATCGCAGGCGTATATGGGCCTGCATATCGTCGCACCCAGGCCTCGCCCAGCGCATCCTTCGGAGAAGCAATACATCACTATCTTACCCAACGGGAAACCGAGTGCGCCTACGAACCTCCCCTGCTGGCTGGACAAGTGGACTGCCGAGAGGGAGACCTTGAAGCGCAGTCAAGGACGCAGCACTGAATCCAAGGGTCCACTGCCAACTGCACCGGCGATTGAAGAGCCGGAGGTATTCATGTCAGTCGTAGTACCTGCTTTCAACGAGGAGGAGAGACTAGGAGGCATGCTTGAAGAGGCGGTCGCATTTCTACAAGAAGAATATGGAGATGCGCATCAGGAAGAGACAGGCGCAGGCAATGCGAAGGGATGGGAGATTCTCATCGTAAGCGACGGATCCACCGACGGAACGGTCGAGAAGGCGCTCGAGTTTGCGAAGAATCACCAGTTGTCCAAGCGGGCATTGCCGGAACCGGGCCCTTGGACAGCAAACAAGGCCGATCAACAGTTTACGAGCATCCCACACGGCAGCATACGAGTCATCACGTTGGAAGAGAACAGAGGCAAAGGCGGCGCTGTCACACACGGCATGCGACACGTGCGAGGGCAATATGTGGTGTTCGCGGATGCGGATGGCGCGAGTCGGTTCGAAGATCTTGGGAAACTCGTGAAGAGATGCAGTGCAATCGAAGACAAGGAAGGCAAAGGAGTAGCCGTCGGTTCCAGGGCACACTTGGTTGGTAGTGAAGCTGTTGTTAAGGTATGCTGGGACGCCTCTACGGCAGCACACAATGCGCCTCTCCCCTCTTCCATTCACGCAAGAAACTAACTTTTTGACCTCTAGCGCTCTAAACTCCGCAACTTCCTTATGCACTCCTTTCACCTGCTCCTGCGCATCATGACACCACCGCGTACCGCCGCGATCAAGGACACGCAATGCGGCTTCAAGGTATTTTCCCGCAACGCCCTGCCAGACATCATACCGTATATGCATTCCGAAGGCTGGATCTTCGATGTGGAGATGCTTATGCTGGCCGAGAGTGCCAATATCGCTATGGTGGAAGTCGCAATCGGTTGGAAAGAGGTACTGGGCAGCAAATTGAATGTCATCTGGGATAGCCTGGGCATGGCGTGGGGCCTGGCAGTCCTGAGGCTTGCATGGCTTTTAGGCATATACACAAAAGAGTAAGAGAGAGTCTTCGTGGCTGTTTCCAGATCGGCGCAAAATGCATCTTATCGTTAAGCGGTTTCACCACTGTTCATGCAGCATTTTGAGAGGAGAAAAGGGAAGGTACATGATGGAGATGGAAACAATTTCAAGTTAGATACCTTATTCGCCTATGCTGTAGGGAAATAGATACGTAGCAGCAGGCCATGCTTGAACGCACGAGGTCATGCCAGTTTTGGGGTGAAATAGAACCCCTAGGAATTTAAAGACGAATTGACTTTGTTCATCTATCCTTACTGGCTGGGGATATGACCAACAATCACACTACTTATGGACCGAAAGTGTGGGGTGCGAAGGTTCTCATCATAACATGATCCGCCATCCAAATATAGGCACCCAAGAGAAGACGACGTATAAGCCTCTAAAGAGCTTTATCTCCATCAATTAGCCGATGGCCAACTATAAAAGTCTAGCTGGGCAAGTGTGTACGCCATAAAAGGTCCGTTCCGTCAGTCAAAATACATGATTATCACCATTCATTGACTTCTCCTAATCCATTACTACCATTTACCGCCCTTGCCCTTCTTCTTGCCGCCTCCTTTCTTTGCACCACCACCACCACCAGATGCTTGCTTGCCATCCGCGGCCTTTTCTTCAACAACCGGTCCTCCTTGAGTCAGGCCCTCCATCTTCTTCTTGCCCTTCTTGCCCTTGGGCTTATAGTACGTGCGGTCTCGCAATGGCAGCCAGCGCTCGGAGTCGACCTTCTTGTTCGCGTCGTAGTCTTTCGGCAAAAGCTTCTTTCGAATCTTCTTCGCTTTGCCGGACTTCGATGTCTCGGCCGCGGGCCTTTTCCTTGAGCTTGGAGGTTGTGCTGCCGTGGGAGCCAAGGTGGGTACGCCTGCATCTTCGAGCGCCGCAGCGTCGACATCGGAAACGAGACGTTCAACCTGGGGCAGTTGCGATGTCAAGTCTGAAGGGATCTTCGAAGGGTCAGAGGTGGCGTAAGCAGCGATAAGGCCCGCAATGGCAGCCCTGTCTGATTCATCCTGCTCATAGAGCTTGGAGAATATCTCGCCAGCTTGCACGAGAGAATCTTGATTGTGGGTGTCGAGCAGGGCGGTCCCCGCGGCGATGAGCAATGATTTTGAGGGCGATTTCGACTTGTGTCGCCAATAGGTTGCAGCCTTCGCTAGCTCAGACTTGGAATGTGTGTGGCGGCCCTGTTTGGCGTAGAGGGAGACGAGAGTGGCGACGAGGCCCGGTGCGTGTCGCACGTCGAGGTCTGATGCGCTGCCAGATTGCTCGAGGCGCTTGAAGAAGGATTCCAGAAGATGCGTGGCGGCCGCGAGGTTGTTGGTCAGGACGTACAGGTTAGTGATCGTTAGCAATAATCCGACGTCATTAGGCCTCTTCTCCAGGAGTGGAAGAATTCTCTTCAACGCTGCTTTCTCGGAAATATTCCTTGCGTGGGCAGCGGCATTCAAGACTGCGGCCATGTTGACAGCTGGCGACAGGGTTGGCGCAGGAGCAGCAGAAATTACTTTCGAAGTCGATGAGACCACACCAGCAACCTTCTGGACCAGGATATCCATCACGTACTCATCCTGTCGGAGGAGATTGGATTGGAAAGAGAAAAATTGGTCGGTTCTGGATGGTGTTGGTGAAGAATGGAATAAACGGTGAGACAAGTATGGGTTAGAATGCTCCTTCGATGCTGCAATGCTGTTAACCTGGGCGATATAGCGAGTAGATAGCTCTTTGATCTCCGCAAATGGTATCGTCGTTGCCAATTGTTCGGCTTCGTCCACCCGGCCCAGTTGCGTCAAGACGTAAATCTGTTGTACAATAATAGGCCAGAGCTCAGCCTGCTTTTCCGCCTCAGACAGATCAGAAAGATCATTGCACAGGTCTACATCGGTCAGTAACTCTCCTAAGCATGCTTCTTAGGAGGTGAATGTTACCTTTTGCTCTTTTCAAGCAGATCTCTCCTTGTGCCAATTCGCCTCTTGATATGCTCCCACAGGCAGCATTGAACGCAGTCTCGAATACTTCCAGATCCTCGCGCTCCGGTCTCTTCTTTTGCGCCAACTCTCCTTGGCCAGTCCATTCTAGTTGTGCATCTACTGCTCCAGAGTTGATTTTGATGTCTTGATATTCGTTGCCAGGTTTCAGGGCTAACTCCTTATATACTTCCACGGCCTGCTCGAAGTTTTCTGATCGATAAGCCTGCATGCCTCATTAGTTCCTCGTCGCTTCATTTCCAAGGGATCCCAACATACAGCCTGTGCCAGAACGTGTTTCATAGGTGTGCTAGACTCCCCTGCCGCTGCGACCTTGACCGCCTTTGCAGCATTGCCTGCCTTGTAGAGCGCATATGCATATTCGAACCGTGCCTTGTCTTGCAGTTCCGGCACATCCACAAAGACCTTCTCGGCATCCTCGAATCGATCTAAGTGTAGCAGCGCGATTGCCTTAGCATGATGTGCATCAATGTCTGTTTTTGACCTTTTGATCGAAGCGTTGGCAGCCTTTAGGATTTCATCGTGGTCGTCAAGGGAGGTCTGCGCGAGTAGGGCCGAGAGGGATTTGAGAGGAGTGGCCATGTTGTAAATCCGTCTACAACTTTACATCCATTGATGTCCTCTGGGTGAATTGAGGTCAAACCCTTGCTGTGGGGGTTCAGGTGCCGTGGGGAGTGAGGGAGAGCTTGTGGATGGGATGCATGCCTGGTCGCGGGGAAGCAAGTGGGATGCGACGTTCGCTAAAAGTTCGCGTAAGGCTGAATCCGCGTATCAGCCAAGCTTTAAGTTAGCATCCAATCTCGAGTTTGGTACTTCGTACACAAGAACATCGTTTTTCCTTGGGTCAGATCATTGAAACGAGGACCTAGATGATACTATAGACTGAATCGAAAATCTCATCTTCTCTTAAATCACATCACGCTGCAGTTGTATATATCAATCAAATATCTGGACACTCTGCACATGAGTAAAATAACATATGGGATATCTCGTAGCCGTGCTACATAAATGAGGAAATACGAGTCTATGCAGGTTTTGTATAAATTCAGGACAAGGTATAGAACGCCTGAATGGTAGAACGCCAACGCCATCGCTATGCAAAATCAATGCTTAAACATCGACGAACTCGTCTTCGTCGGACTCGTCACCCCCGTCGCCCGTCGACATGCCAGGTGTGACTCCATTTGCCGGCGAGGGTGCAGCAGAGGATTCAAGTTTGGCGCGTTTAGCATCGGGGGCTCCGTTGGTCTCGGTCGCTGCGTTTGAGACTATTACGTCTTCAAACTCATCATCTTCGTCGTCCGTCTCGTCTTGCTCCTCCTGCTTGATTCTATCCGCCTCAATCTTGGCGAAAATATCATCCAAGTCAGTTGTTGCAACGTTCTTCTCCTCAGTCTGCTCTGTCTTGAAGCTCGGCGTAAGACTTCCAGTAGCTTCGGTCTTGATATTTGACTCTCCATAGTCCTGATCTCTGACCGTAGATTTGGTATGCCATTCAGGAAGCAAGTTTTGCTGTTGGATCTTAGCCTGTCGCTGCGCCTCCGCAATTCTAGCAGCCTCCGATTGTTCTGAATTTGTAGCAATTGAGACGGAAATCTTCTCCGGTCCAGTAGCAACCCCCCTGACGGCAGTGGGCCGCACGGCAGGTGCTACCACAACTTCGTGTTGGGCGGCGGGATTGAGTTCCTGGTCGCGCGGGAGTTCAATGGCGCCATCCACTGCGTCTTGGCCTTCAATTGCGGGTATCACAACCTCATCAATCTGCTGCATAAGATTGAGGATAGGTTTGAAGATCTTATTGAACTTGGCTGGCACATCACCAGCATCGTGGCCGACGCCGTCGTCGGCTATTTCGTCGAGCGGGTAGCTACAATTTTTGCATATGAATCCGGTACCACCGATACGGTCCGGGATCGGATCAGGGCTGTCCATAGCCTCCAGAGCAGTCCATTGTGATTTGCACCGTTTGCAATTAAAATCCTTCTTCTCCTGTGAAGGGTTGACATTCTTCTTGATCTTTTCGTCGAGTACGTGTAAGCGATACTTTGTCGCATCGATTGCGCGGCGGTAGTCAATGTAATAGTATTCTCGGTTGGTAGCCTTCATGGCTCCTACTCGGACCTCTTGACGAGTAAAGCTGTTCATGTCAATGAAAGCCGTCGCGGCGCAAGTGTGTGGTTAGACATACACTGAGACTAGGCCTCCCTCTCGCAGTCTTCCTGTGATCCGCTGGGCGCCTTTTTGATTCTTCCCTCCATCAAGCACGGTGACCAAGTCCGATATAGTGAGGGCACCGTGGAATACCAGCGCATCGATGACTACAATGTGTTCGGTTTCGTAGAACATGCGCACCACCGTCTTAACGAACTGTTTCGCAAGCTGTAGTGGATCTGCCATGGCGGTGGCGGCAGCGACAGAGGTATATCAAGATCCACTTGGAGTGTAGACCACAGTTGACGTTATTGAATACTGCAGCGTTTGGGGAGTGATATCGTAGAAACACCAGGTGAAGGAGTAGAGGATCAAAGAAAGATGACCAGTTTCCGGGATGCCAAGCCATAATTGCTCTTATCGATAAGGTGCGCCTGCTTTGCGACTAGTTAACGCGCGCTTGAAGAATTTCCGGAGCTCCAACTTCCTACTTGCAGAGGAAATTTAAACTGCGATATTTAACACTCCTTGCCCGCCACGACATTATTCGCTCCATGCTTGCTCGTCCATCAAGATGGATGAAGCTTCTGAGCCATCAGCGCAACGCGCTCCAGATTCATCAAAGACTGAAACCCGTGGGGACGGAGGTCAAAATGGTGACAAGAAACGCAAGTTTGACGACCGCGACCGCAGGAGAGGCAAAGGCAAGCACCTACAGCACGGCAGCCATCCTAATAAGAAGAGAAGTATGGGACGTAAGGAAGCATCGTAAGTTTGTGCCCTCCGCAATGGCGTGCTTCTCTAACTAAGTAAGCCGTGATCAATTAGATCGCAGAGGCCGCAACGAAGCGCAACAAGCGAAGCGCAAGGAGAAGGGGGAAGACGAAGATTCCATTTTACCAGCAGCATTTCCGCAAGAGGAATTGGATGCCGAGGCGCGCAGACCGAAACGGAAAGTTGCTGTACTTCTGGGTTATTCGGGCACAGGGTACAAGGGCATGCAGATCGACAACAGACAGAAGACAATTGAGGGGGATTTGTTCAACGCATTTGTGGCGGCTGGTGCCATATCTAAAGCTAATGCCGACGATCCCAAGAAATCCTCACTGGTTCGTTGCGCTCGTACTGACAAGGGTGTTCACGCCGCAGGGAATGTGATCTCTTTGAAGTTGATAATCGAAGAGGAGGACATTGTCGAAAAGATCAACAGCCATCTCTCTGAACAAATCAGGATTTGGGGTATTCAGAGAACCACAGGTTCTTTCAGCTGCTATCAAGCATGCGATTCTCGTTGGTACGAATACCTGATCCCGACTCACTCGTTTCTCCCGCCCCATCCTTCCAGCTTCTTAGGCAAGAAATTGGAGGAGCTCGCGATTCAGAAAGAGGACCTGGAGAACTACCGTCAACGACAAGCCGAAGTCGCACATTTCTGGCCCGAGACAGAGGAAAAGTACATCAAGCCGATTTTAGAGAGTCTTGATGACTCGATCCGCCCTCTCGTAGAAGAGGCCCTTTATTCCACCGAAGCCACTGACGCAGCGGAGCCTGATCCAGTGATTGATGCCGCGACCGAAGAGGGCGTGTTGAACAATGCGAACACGGACGCACCAGCGACCGATGGGGTCTCAAAAGAGGTTGATGAGACTGCACGGGAAGCATCTGCAGATGGAGTTCAAGCGACAGTTGACAAGATCCAAGAGCAACAGCCTAATTTAAAGATGGACGATTCAACAGACGGCACCATTCCGCTTCCCGACTCTGTCGTTAACAAGCCTGCGCTTGAGACTGCCATCAAAGCCTTGAAGAGGGCATATATGAGTGCCAAGAAGGCCTATCGTATCTCTCCAGAAAGACAGAAGCGTGTACAGGATGCCTTGAACATATATCTTGGAACGCATAAGTTTCACAATTACACCGTCCAGAAGAAGTTTAATGACCGATCTGCTCAGCGATACATCAAGTCGTTCAAAGTTGCGGATAAACCCATTATCATCAACGATACGGAATGGCTAAGCTTGAAGATCCATGGTCAGAGTTTCATGATGCATCAGATCCGCAAGATGGTTGGAATGGCCTCCCTAACCGTGCGTTGCGGCACAAATCCTGCGATCATGCATGAGTCTTTTGGGAATGTCACAGTCAGGATCCCGAAAGCTCCAGGACTGGGACTATTACTGGAAAGGCCAGTTTTTGATTCCTACAACGAAAAGCAGGCGAAGCAAAATGGCAGGGATAACATCGACTTCAATAAGTATAATAAGGAGATTGAAGATTTTAAGGAGCGAGAGATCTACCAGCGCATCTTCCGCGAAGAATCTGAAGGAAACCAGTATGTTGAATGTCCTTCCCGAAAGATCATGTTAGGTTCTTGTATTGATGCAAATCCAGGTTCAACACGTTTTTCACCCATCTTGACAACTACAAAGATTCAACGTTCTTATTTCTTACCTCCGGGGGCATTGAAGCGACAAAGAAGAAGCTTGAGAATAAGGCCATACAAGGCAAGTGGGAGGACGAATCGGACGATGAGAATGCTTCTGGTGGAGAAGGATAGGTGACTAGACGCAAAGATATAGACCCATCTCCCATGTCCAGCAGAATAATCTATGCACATTTCTGCACTGACGCCATCTTCTTCTACCGCGTACATGACCAATCTATGAAGAATGTAGCCCATTACTGCTATCGCCTACTCACGCATCTGAACGAAGATGGGTGTTGCCCCACCGAATATTCTACATTCCCGATGTCATTTGGTGTTTTCCTACTCGTACGAGGTATGATTAACTGTTGTGAGTGACGTTCCGTAAATAGGAACAAGGCGGGAAGGAGTGACTTGGCCGAGATGACAAGCTTGATCAAGCTTGTTCGGTTGACGACTTAGCGCAACTCTTCAACGGCGATTCGACGTCATATCAACCAAACGATTGCGGATGCTACGGGAACAAAAACAAACCTTATCGACACAGAACTGACGAAACGAATAAATGCTTTGGGCCCAACCGCTTTTTCAGTTTACTGCTACACCTTTTTTTCTCTCTTTCTTTCTGGCTCTAGAATTTCCTCCTACTAGAATTGGGCATTTAATGAGAAGAAGGAAAGACCGCATTTGGACGAACGTATCTAGTAGTTGATCTCTCACCACATAGTTCGCAATCAGCGTATCAAGAACATGTCCACCAAATCCGCCCCGCTCGCGCCGCAGCGCAAAATTGAGATGTTCTCAGGAACATATTTTGCCGCATGCACACTCGGTGGTATGACAGGTACGCGTCTATTCTTCTGGATTCTTTCTTGCGCAATTAATCTAACCTGTACATAGCTTGTGGGCCTACGCATACTATGGTGACTCCGCTTGATCTGGTACAGTCCCTACTTACATGCCCACTTCCGCTCCTCTCTATGTACTGATACAAGGGAATAGGTAAAATGTCGTCGCCAGGTCGACGATAAGATCTACAAATCCAACACACAAGCATGGAAGATGATTTACCGCAATGAGGGGATCCGTGGAATCTTCTTTGGTTGGACGCCTACCTTCATTGGATATTCCTTTCAAGGAGCCGGGAAATACGGTTTCTACGAGGTTTTCAAGTACCTTTATGGCGACAAATTGGCTCCTGGCGCGAACAAGACCCTTGTTTATCTTGCTGCTTCAGCCTCTGCAGAGTTCCTGGCAGACATTGCACTTTGTCCTTTGGAGGCGATCAAGGTCCGTATGCAGACTACATTACCACCATTTGCAAACACTTTACGGGAGGGATGGTCCAAGGTCGTTGCGGAAGAAGGTGTCGCGGGCTTGTACAAGGGGTTGTATCCACTATGGGGACGTCAAATTCCATATACCATGGTTAAGTTTGCGACATTCGAAAAGGCGGTGGAGCAGATCTACAAGACCCTAGGCAAGCCAAAGGAGTCTTATAATGGCCTACAACAGACTGGAGTGTCCTTCTTGGGAGGCTACATTGCTGGTATCGGGTGCGCCATTGTGTCGCATCCAGCTGGTAAGTCGTGTTTGAACATTATACGATACACCTTGCTAAAGCAACCAGACGTCATGGTCTCGAAATTGAACAGCGATCGCAAGGCTGGCGAGGGTGCCGGGCAAGCAATGTCCAGAATCTACAGCAAGATTGGCTTCGCAGGGCTGTGGAATGGTTTACCTGTGCGAATCTTTATGATTGGCACACTCACGGTGAGTGTGCGAATCCAAGTGTTGAATGTGCATTTACTGATTAAAAACACAGGCATTCCAATGGCTTATCTACGACTCATTCAAAGTGAACCTCGGTGTAAGTAACATGAGCTACTTCCCACATAACAGTCTCTAATGCTTTCTGTAGCTTCCCACAACAGGCGGGCATTGAAATGTCGGCTATCCCGGCGAATATTCCCTTCGAAGAAAAGCGCAAGAAACCATAGCGCTCTGGTTCTGCATCAGGCATGTGCAACTCCATAAGAACCAGCAGCCAATCTTGCTCTCGGCAGTTACTAGGGGCGTTTAACGGACCTCATCTAGGTATCGTTTCTGGGCGAGTGTAGATCTAGATTGATTCAGTCTGGTGTTTAGGGAGCATTTGTTGAAGTTTTTGTGCATAGTTGGATGCGTTTTGTCTTTGGTTGCATTGTTACTCCTCGGTAAATATACGCTTTCTATATTAATAACCTCCTGAATAGGTCCTCTCCATGCGAGAAGAATGCTCAGACTGGCTGAAATTCCATTTCATGGAGTGCTTTGGCCGACATTTACCCGTAGACTGTCAAGGTAGTTGATTTCTACAAGGTACCCTCGTAGTTTATGTATCTTCCCCACACCTCCACATCGGGCATGGGCCTATATCCACCTCATCCCGCTTTCAAGCTCTCGCGAACCTTGATACGCGAGACAGAATTTGGTAAGAGTGCGGAGGTGATCCTTGACCTTCACTCTGCCTCCTGTCATGCCAAAACTTTAACCATGAGTCCCTAACACCGGCTTTGGATCATGGCATTCGATTCAGGTAGAGCTGCTTCCGGGCCGATAATGGATCATGGAAAGCACCGAAGTGACGACACCTACAAATACCCTTTGGGGACCGACTCAAGCAGGTCCAAACTCCTCCTCTCCAGAACCTTCGCAATGGCTCTCCTTACCTTCTTCCTGTTATCATTGTGGGCCAATTCTGGTTCTGCAGCCCCCCGAACTGGTGTGTGGAATGGTGACCCCCTTGCTCCCACTGTACGCATTAGGAACGGCACAGTCGAAGGCGTCCATTCGGCACAATATGCTCAGGATTTCTTTCTTGGAATACCCTTTGCACAACCACCTGTAGGAGAACTGCGCTTCCGTCCTGCCCAGCCAATCGCTTCCGCATGGACAAGCCCTTTGAATGCAAGGCAATACTCTTCGGCTTGTATAGGATACGGCTCAGATCAATGGCCATATCCGTCCATTTCAGAAGATTGTCTCTACTTGAATGTTGTTCGGCCATCTGGCTATGAGAATTCGACTCTGCCAGTTGCATTCTGGATCCATGGTGGTGGACTCGCGCAGGGCAGCGCTATCGATCAGCGTTACAACATGAGTTTCATTGTGGAAAGGAGTGTAGAGATAGGAAAGCCGATTATTGGTGTCAGCATAAACTACCGACTTAGTATGTTTGGGTTCGTAAATGGAGAGGAGGTTGTTGAAAGTGGAAATGCCAACTTGGGTTTCAGAGATCAGAGACTTGGACTTGCTTGGGTGCAAGAGAACATTGAAGCCTTTGGAGGTAGGTTTTACAGTCAATTTAGTCAGTTTGTTGGTATTCTAACTTCATCGCAGGTGACCCCAAGCAAGTGACCATCTTTGGAGAATCTGCGGGCGCTCTCAGTGTGGGCATGCATCTCACAGCCTACGGCGGCCGCGACGATCACATCTTCCGCGGCGCCATCATGCAATCCGGCAATCCAATCAACTATGGGACTTTTAACTATAATGCGAGCAATCTCCTTGTAGCCGGCGAGCACTTCAATTGCCCAGACAAAACCTCTATCCTCCCCTGTCTTCGCTCTATCGACACAGATACTCTCTCGACGTGGATTAATAGCACCCGACGTTCCCTTCGATGGAGCCCCATTATCGATGGCGATTTCATTCAGGGTAAAACCTCTCTCCAACTCGCCGCCGGCGCCTTCGTCCATGTCCCCATAATCTCAGGCGCCAACTCCGACGAAGGTACAGCCTTCGGCCCAAAGCCCATGAACACGACCTCTCAATTCTTTTCAAATCTGACACAAGTTCCCATGCCTGTCCCTTTGACTCCGTCTCAAGCCTCTGCCGTTCTAGCTGCCTATCCATCGAACATAACGTACGGGGCAGTCCCCACAAATCAGCCTTTGTCTTACACTCCTGGTCCGGGGTACGGGGCCGAAAGTAGGCGCTCAGATGCCTACTACGGTGACGTTACTATGATAGCGTCGCGCCGCAAGACATGCCAGACGTGGACGGCCAACGGCATCCCAGCATACTGCTACCGCTTTAATACCATCCCGCACGGCCTGCCTGCAGAAATTGGCGCAACTCATTTCCAAGAGGTAGCTTTCGTGTTCAACAACCAACTGGGCGTTGGGTATGGGTATCCAAACGTGTCCGAGAATCCCTTCGAGGGGATGCCGGAAGGGTATTTTGGCCTCGCGGAGATGATGAGCGCAGCGTGGATCGGGTTCGTGCATGACGGTGTGCCCAGTGATGGCGGAGCTGCAGAATTCTGGCCGAGCTACGGGGAGGGCAAAAACTGGGTTTTCGATGCCAATGTCACGGGGTTGGGGTACGAGGAGAAGGACGATTGGAGGAAGGAGGGGATTGCATTAATCAACTCATGGGATGAAGATGTATATCAACGCTAATATTGTGGGATGGAGAGGCAGAGCATCATATTTGATTAAAACCTAGTCACGTTCATACTTGGAATCAAGCGATGCCCGAGATCTTCATGTACTTCCAGCCCCGGAATGGGATCAAAGCCTATCTCGTCAACGGGTAGACAAAGTTATGCATCCATGCTGATAAATAGTCCAATGGCTTTTTTCTATCAACATTTCCTTATAGTATCATATTGAGAACTCATGGTGCGCAATGTCTGGACCCTTTCTCCCCTTTCTTCCTTTCCCGAAGTATGTCACTTCTGACATGAAAATCGTGAATGATTACACACAAAATAGAATCGAGAAAACCATTTCCCCCGCCATTCTGTCCTTCATCCATTAGATTCAAATAAAGACAACCTGAACGATGTGTTCCGAACGCCGCGGTCAAGGTTCAAGAGTCTCTCTACTAGACTGCGCATTTGAATAAACACACGCCAGCGAAAGCTCAAGAGCCGGGTACATGGATCAGGTACAGCTGGCTCCAATCGACTCTGGTCGGCTCCCTTACCAATGAAAGAGCAGCGTAACGGAGAAACAAATAATAAAATAATGGCGGCTAACGCCTAACAATGCTGAGCATGAATGCCTCCCCTCGGCGCAAGAGACCAAGTTCGCGCAGCTTGGTCAAATAGAGAGGAGTTGGTATGCGAACCGAACGAAATCTCAAGAGGCTGGCAGCAGGAAGAATGGTCCATGGCTGTAAGTACATAACGGTCGAAGATCTGTTAACAGACCGGTCTCAGAACAAGGTCCATAAACATCGAAACAAGGCTCTCAAGGTATCCAGGTGAAAGATGTAAACTCCAAACAACATCAACAACAAAAGCTCGCTGTGTGTAGGGTTGAGGCGCTTTATTTTCAGAATTATTTCGACGCAAGAATACATGTCCGCCTTGTACGTTGATACAACTTGCCGTCGAAGGGCTTGTGGGCCGAACTCGATATCGAATGAAAGCTGAGTGCTAGTGGTGCTGTTCTAAAATAATGGGTATCACAAAGGTAGGTATCATCAGCTAGTCAGAGCTCTTATGCGCAAGAATCGCCCGCGTCTGCCATCGTAACATCGTCGCTGTTCGCCAGAACATTCAAGGTGGAAGGTAGTGCGGCCGAATGCGGCCGGGAATCGTAGTCCATGGCGGAATCTGGCATACTGGCTGGAGTATTCGATCGAAAGTCTTCCAAAACATCCTCTTCTGGAGGGGAGAATGACCACACCTTGGTGAGAGTAAGCAAACAATGCCATTGGATGATCGATTGTCGTTGCACACGGGTGACTTACCTCCATCATGGTCCTGCCCCCTCTGCTAGCCATGATCACACACTTTTCCTCTTCGAAAACGACTCTCCAGACCGCATCTGCAGGTGTACTCAAATCCCGCACTTGCGTTCCTTTCTTGGTATCCCAGACCTTGACCCTACCGTCCGAGCCTCCACTGACTATGCGACTTTTATCGAATTGCAAAGACGTAACGCTATTATCGTGTGCCGCCAAACGATGTATGGGTTGGCCATCCACAAGATTCCATACTCGTACACTACCGTCACTTCCGCCGGTTACAAGGGTATCATCGCGCATTTGTAGTTGACCAACAAGTGACGTATGACCTTGAAGAATGTGCAAGCATCTCCTATTGGTACCGAATTAGCGGTTGGGGTGACTGAAACGGGGTTTATTGTGCTGTGAGGGCGGGGAATTGCCGATGCCACATATTGGACTCACCCTTCTGTAGGATCCCATATCCGGACGCTTGTGTCCAAGCTTCCAGTTGCGATCTTTTTCCCATCGAAGGCAATAGCATAGATTTGACTGAAATGGCCAGTGAGTGTGCGTAAACATTTCCCTTCCGAGATGCTCCAGATTTTGGCGGTGGTGTCGTAACTACCACTAACGACAATATCACCGTGCATCTCAAGACATCTGACGCTGGCTTGATGGCCGACGAGAACATGTTTGCAGATGCCCTTCTTCAAATCCCATATCCTTAGAGTCGTATCTCTTGATCCAGAGATTGCAGTATTGGCGTCGGACATCTTGAGACATCGGACGGTGGACGTATGGCCGCGCAATATGTGTACTGGTTGGCTGCAACAAGACTGTCAACGGCCGTTCCGGAAAATGAACCCAAAGAAGGGAGAACATACCCTGTTGCAAGATTCCAGACTCGCACGTCGCGATCACATCCACCACTGACTAGAAGGTCACCCCATGGTACCATTGCCCAAACGCCCATGACGTGGCCTGACAAAGTCTTCTGGTGCTCCCCGTTGGTATCGAAGACATGAATCTTAGCATTGTCCAATGCCACTACAATGTACTTGTTAGTGAGATGCAGGCTGGTGACGACGCCTTGATCAGGTGTAATCTGCCGTTGTTCGCAGATGCCGCCTGAACGCCATGCAGTTTCGACCATATAGCGCTGCTTGAAATGAGATCGATAGGTTGTTGCTTTTGGTCGACGGCGGGGCGCACTCCTCTTCGCTGCACGGTCGAGACTCTGGGTGCGAAGGTTATCAGAGCCGCTGCTCGATGCTACCGAAGCGCTCTCTAGTTGATCCTTCAAAGACACATCCTCGGATCTCGAGGCCCGGGGGGGCTGTAGCAGCTGCGGAGCCCGAGCATCATAATCCATCTCTTCTGGTATTTCCTCTTCCTCGCTACGCTCATCCTTCGACAACGACCGATACGAGTATTTTTGACACAACAGTTTCCAGGCACTGTCATCGTTGACCAGCTCCCGCCACTTCTTCGACACCTGGGACGCGCGGGCGAGGGTTGTAGGATCATCGACGCATTCTAATATCTGTGAAAAGTGTGTTAGCCTTAGGACCGGCTCTCAGACGCAATGCCAGTGCCGACGTACCCTGAGACAAAGCTCGGTGGGAAGCACCATGAACGGGTCCTTTTTCAGCCTCGGACTAACGAACTCGGCAACGAAGCTGAGTTCGTGACTGTCGCACAGGTTCAGTAACTCTCCCAGTAGTCGCAATCGTTCTTCCCGGTTCATGTCACTGAATAAAGACCGTGTATCCTTGATCTGCGAGTCTTCATGTTCTCGTGCGGTGCTCCAGTCAGGAACTCTAGCGGTGGGTGTCGGGCTTGGTGCAGGAGTGGGCGGCGAGGCGGGCGCGGACTGGAGTAGGTTGTGGGGTAGAGAGGAGTTGGAAGGGCTCATGGGAGTCAGTATAGGTCTAGGTGCGCCGCGCGACAGCCTGCTCTGTCTCCTAGTTTGAGGGGCAGGTGATTTTGTGGTGGTGTAATCGGAGCGCATGGCTGACGAGGAGGCAGAAGCAGAGGCAGAGGCGGCCATGTCTGTGTCAGAATCTAGTTGAAGACCAGGTGTGGTTTGGCCCTCGTTCTGGCCGAAGTAGTCGTCCTGTTCCATCCTGTCGAGATTGAGCTGAAGTCGTGGAAGTAGCAGCAGTAGCGGAGAGAGAGAGTGTGTGTGAATGAGCGTGTGTGTAGAACGGTGGGTAGGTGCAGAGGGACTGCCGGGTTCGGTGTCGGAGTTTGTGCTCGCAGGAGGGTATAAAGGATATGACAATGACAACAGAAGAGGGAAAAGAGGGAACGCAGCCGAAGCGAAAGTAGTGAGAGAGAGTGTGTGTGTGGGAAGGGCGACGACAGGTCGCGAATGGCGAGGGAGGACGTTGGTTATGAGTAAGTGGTTAAGTAAGGAGTTAAATAAGAGGAGACGAAGACGAAGACGAAGACGAAGACGAAGAAGAAACAGGAGGGAGGGTCAAGGGGAAGAGGAGTGAGTGAGTGAGTGTGTGTGTGTATGTGTGTGGGTGTGGGTGTGTAAGTGTGCGTGTGTGTGTGTGGAGGTGGAGGTGGAAGTGAGATGTGGATGGATGATGGATGTTGGATGTTGGATGATGTTGGGTGTCGAAAGCGTCTGGGGCGGAGGAGGAAGGCAGGCGGCAGTAGACAGTAACTAGTAGACTAGTGTTTCGAAGGCGCGCGACAGGGCTGTACCGTACACTATAAATGTATTGAATGTACAGTACTGTTTCAAGTCTGACGACGAGAGAAGGAGAGGAAAGAGAAGGAGAAGGAGAAAAAAAGACCCGATCCAGGTCCAGGTCCAGGTCCAGATCAAGTAGAGATCAAGATACCAATGCAGACACAGGAACGGAGGAGCGGTCGGGATAAAATTACTCGGGATATGTGTGCACGGAGGAGGAGTATATAGGTAGGTAGTTACGAGTATTACTCCGTGCAGAGAGAGACAGAGAGAGAATTGGAGAGATGAAGAGTAGGAGTAGGAGTAGGAGTAGGAGTAGGAGTAGGAGTAGGAGTAAGAGTAAGAGTAAGAGTAAGAGTAAGAGTAAGAGTAACTAAGAGTAACTAAGAGTAAGAATAAAACTTCCTATTAAAAGGTGATATCTGAGGTATTACACAGTAGGGACTCGGTAATTTAATGAATTGGATTCGTAAAATACGTTTGCTTTTGCCATCAACGTCTGATTAATAATTCAGAAGCTACATGGATCCATTGTACCTTGTAAGTGCGAGTACTACCAAATACATGCTGTGTAGGTGTAGGTAGTCAAAAAGGATGGATGTACAAGTACTTCCGTAATGTAATCAAAACCATTCCATCTTTTGGAGCTTTTCGCGGTCATCGAACAAACGCGTTGCAATGGAAACGATTCGCCTCACCAATTCGATCATGTTTCCTTGCCATCATTCGCAAGTAGGCGATGACCAGTAATTAGAGAGACCGAGTTATTATCAAGGTATAAACGGACACGCTGTGGACAAGCACGCGATCCGGCGGAGAGTGAGACGGAGGCGGCGGCTAGGCCCAGCGGCGGTCATACACTCTAACAAGTTTTCATCCCCCAGAATCCACCACATGATTGTATATGTGCATACTACAACGTACATACGAGGACGTCCACACATACATGCTGTGTGCGGCTCCGTATAAAGATTTCTTATGGCGTTTGCCAGGCATGACGGGGTAGTCATGCGACTCCTTTGTCACCACGGTGAGCTGGCACTGCATTCAAGTTCAATCTCTGTCCTGCTGTCTTACTATGACAAGTCCAGACCAAAATGCTCCTGCTCGTACTCGGCAGTACTTGTAACTGGTACTTGTAATTAGTGGTACATACCGGTACATAGGTACATATGACCCTGTAGCAGTTTGCTTCGGGGTATGAACTGGTGTGTTGTGTGTAGTATTATTAACTATAGGTACTACTCCGTACTTGTGAGCCGTACTTGTGAGTATTAGTACTAGTCATTGTCCTTGTTCAGGCGGTTGTAGCAGCCACCTACGTTCGTTCACAGTGCAATCTACCTGAAAACCGGCTGGGCGTCTGACGTTCTGCCTCCTGCATTTTGGCACTGTCTGGTCTCGCGAACAAGATTATTACAGTCCGATACGATACTGTGTACACAGTACTTGCAGTCCTCACCCTAAATATAGCCTGGACGGCCTCCGAGCTCACAGCCAATATTTTAACTAATCAATTGCACACACTCCAACCCATCATGTCCTTGCGTACTGACTTACGAGCATGCTTGACAACAACCTTCTAGATGGAATGCACATTATCTACTTGTTTGTCACAGGTTTATTTATTACTGATTATTGTTAAAAGCACAGTTGTTTCCCGTGTGCCTGCAAAGTCCTAGTCAAGCACCTTACATCTAAGTTCTAATAGTTACATCAAAATCTCCTGACAAATCAAACACCCACTCGATGGTTTCATGCACATCATCGGTACGACACGCAGGAATCGTTTCAATCTCACCAACTCTATCTATCGGGTGTTTCAATCTTAGAGAAGTGCATTGTGATAAAGGGTTGTATTAAGGCTAGAGAGATATCAAAGATAATCCGCAGGTTCGTCTCAATATCGGACATTATGGTCACGTCATCGTTGGTCCGATCCACGCAGCAAGGGGAAATGCAGACAATCGACCGGCGCCCGAGTCAGAGCCATGACATGTACACAACATGCAAGTCTACTCTTATGATGCTACACACTTACTTGTCTCTGCAATATGCAGCACAAAGGGACGGTTTGCCATTGTAGCCGTAGAGCGGGCGAGGTTAGTCCTGTCCATACTATCGACGCTCCTACTCACAATGCCCAAATATAGTACGAGGATTGTGGCACGAACCCATCTTGCCTGGCCGTTCGCCCCGCCTCCAACTTATCGTTCATTGCTGTCGACAGATACAAGGTAGCCGACGGATAGACCCTTGGCCTGACCACACGACTATCACCATCCATCACGATCTCGAGTCGGCAAGGTAGAGCAAGAACCTGTGGAGATTTACATATGCCTGTGTGCAATTTGGGAAGCTTGAAATTCTATTCATCATCTTACGTATCTACAAAGAAGTGGAAAGCTCCATCCGTCGACCTGACAGGCCTCAGCGTCCTCGTTTCTCAGAACCAATCCTTCAGCAGCTGACTGGTGCTGGTCCAGGAACAGTGTAAGAGTTGAAGTTATTATAGATGTTGGCGGTGTAGCCTGGATCGGATGCCTTCACGTGGCCAGGGATCTTGACACCGCTGAACGTCTTGGAGCCGCCGCCAGTGACCTTGATCTGTGCGCAAGAGATGTAGAATTGAGGGGTCGACCCTGGATTGTGGATGGCGAGCTGCTCAATGCGGAGGAGGTAGTCTCCAGCGGGGATGCATGACGGGATGTTGGCCGAGTAGGTGGTGCTCAAATCCCATGTGCCTCCAGGGAACTTAGGTCCGATCTCCTTGAACTTGAACCAGTCACCACTGCCGTCAGATGCAGCGGCATCGGCCACCTTGCTCAGATAGCTGGGGAGGATGGTCAGCATCGCCTGTTTACTCTTACATGTGAGTAACGCCTCAGAGATGGACTCACAATGATACAGGACCTTGGTGGTAGACAGCAATGTCCGATGTGAACGAGAACGAAGACCCTGCAGCGACACTCACTGTCGTTGTGCCCCCGCTGCTTCCGCCGCCAACATTGCAGCGAAGGTCCTTGTCCGCGAGGTCCGTTACGGGAGAGTTGTTGTTCGTGTTCTTGCGGATGTTTTGGTAGACGGCTCCTTTGACACCATTGGCGGTCAACTGCTGGAAGATGTCTTGAAATGGCATGTTAGCACCGAGTCCCTTCGTTGGTGGGTTACGCGGGCCGACTCTCGTCGATACAGGACAGAAACGAAATGCTTTTCACCTCCTCTAAAGAAGGTACAACACAGAAGACATGTATCTCGAACTATTGCAGAACTACTAAAAAGATAATCCACATACAGTGACCGTTGACAGCGTTCAACAAGAGCGAGGCGGCAGCGATGACAGAGAAAGACTTCATGATTGCGATCAGGTGTATAGTCGAGATGCTGGAGGATACTCGAAATTCATTGAGATCTGCGCGTTCCTATCCCCTTCTTATACACATTGTCTTCGCACACCCACTGCCCAAAATGATATTACCCACAGGGAGAATGTAACCTCCTCCAAGGGGCGGGCAAATCCAGAACACTGGAATCTTGTCCATCTCTCGCTCCGGCGACTTCGACACACGCTATTCAGTTTGACAAGGTTGACAACTCCCCTCTCATCCCACTCACCTATTACGCCTATGGGAGGAAACCTAGCTTTGCAACCTGATATTATATATCATCCTGGGGTTGAGGTGTGGTAAAGTCTCCAGATAGCCTATAGGCGGGTTGGGGACTTCTCCACCTATTAACATCCTTGCCCTATTCCTCAGGTTAAGCTTTTTGTATAACCAGGTCAGGTATATGAAAGGGACGGGCAAGGTAAAGTGCATACCCACCTCGTTGACATCGCAAATTGCACATACACGGCGCCTTACTCGAGGTGGCGAAAGTGCCAAATAGGTTATTGTAAATTCTAAGCCAGTGTAGTCCAGGTTGCCTACTTGGCTGCCCGACCAGACTCAGGGCCTATATTGCATGTTCTCCACCCCAGATGTATATGCAGCCATGGTCATATCGTTCGATTTCACCACCAACATGAGAAAGAAAATCTTAAACTTTCCGCTGGAATGTGCACAGAGTATGGGGGACAAAATGGGTGCCAAATAAACGAGACCTAGGTACGCCACATAAGGCTATTGAAGCGAAAAGGCGGGGTGCAGCGCTCCATCTGGTGTGTGGATGGGGATAAATCAAACAGAGGCGTGTGACGCAGAGCAAACAAACCCCCGAATAGATTAAACGCAATATATCCGCACCCCTGACGTTTGTAGCAGAGAAACACTCACAAAAACCGGCGTATACGGCCCGCAGACAGAAATTAAGAGGATGAAGTTGTGACCCGGGAACGATACCGTTGACGGAAGTTACTTCCTGCAGTCTTTTGACTAAATCCTGGAATATGTCCATGCATTGTAATATCGAGACTTCGAAATGTGTGATTGACGAAATGTGCACATCATTGGCGCCATAACGGCTGTGATGTCAGCCATGGAGAAGAAGAGATTGAACAGAAAGCAGAAACGGTGGCGCCCATTATGCAACGAGAAGCAAGAGACGCACGGAGCTGGGAGGCTCTTGGTCTGACTACAGAATACTTGTAGCTATAAAATGTCGGAGGGCCGGCCTGGCGGTTTTGCCCTTTGGTGAGCAAAAGGGCGAGCGAAGATCTGCTAGTGTTGTCTGCAGCAAACGAGGCATATCGCTCATATATTACCCGAATTGCAATAGTCAATGATAACATTGGTGGTGTAGTTCACTGAGTACTGTTCGCGGTGGAGTTGATGCTGATCGGAAGATGACTCCATAGGTATAGCCACCGGTCGGATCAGGAGCCTACCTTGTCCGAACAGGTCGGCAGGACCAATCTGTTGTCTACCTGAGTAGACAGGAGATAATAAATATGCCTAACGTCCCCCCGGATGTGTGTTCTTGTAATTATTCGCTCGTCGTGCTCGTGATCATGACCCTTTCCCTCGACTTCGAATTATCTTGTCAAAAGCATACGACGTCGGCGAGAAAATTAAGAACTATTTTCTGTTAATTGTCACATCATAATGCTATAGGTGAGGATAGCTACAGTGGTTTTTACTAATGAGTCACCAGCTAATTCCCTGGTTCACGAGTACCTGTGTATATCCACATCGTATCTACCTACCTACCTATAGGTACCTAAACACCTACTTCGGATCTTTACAAAGATTGATGATGATGGTGAGAGAGGGTTGTGCTCACACAAATCACGAAAATCCCAACTGAATCTTAGGGTGTCTTTGTGAGAGAAAAATTAGTATCGTATTCGCCCACTAGGTTCTGAACATATTCAATCACCATTTGGGTTGTAGGTAAGGTGTAGAATTATCGACATCCACTTGACTGTAGTCTGGACTCTGTGGATGTAGGTGTAGGTGATGGGGACTTCCAGATATCGCCTAGCGTATCACGCAATCTAGACTAACCGAATTCGGCTTGTGGACAGCTCCGATTTCCAATTGTTTGTGAGGGGAGGCTTCCACTAAGTAAAGGCATTATTGAACAAACCGATTATAAAATAATGTCGCTTCATTCCCTTCAACTATCTGTGTGTCTGGTACATGCACCGCAGCACTGCTCTATCCTCCCACGATGAGCATACGAAGGATTGTCGCGGCAGCTCGCCAACCCATTCATCATAGCTCGGTCCTCCGCATTTCCACCCCACAACCTCCGAAGCCTTCGTCATTGCTCTTCATACGACCCAAGTCGAGTACATCTAGGAGGTTCCATCAGCATGCGACACGCAGCTCTCAGCAGACTGTAGTTACGCCTGAATCCACGAACCCTGCGCTATCGTTCCCTTGCCTCGACGCCGTAGAATCTCGATCGGCCTCTTTATCACAGTCCCGCCGTTCACTATCTGGTCCCGAACCTTCATATACCTCTGGAAAACATCTCGATTTTCGATCCCGCGAACCTCTACTCCTAGACTGGGGCGGCATACTTCCGGATTTCAACATCGCGTATGAGGCTTGGGGAACTTTGAACAAGGACAGGAGCAATGCGATATTGCTACATACCGGGCTTTCGGCGTCGAGCCATGCACACAGCACAGAAGCCAATCCCCAACCCGGCTGGTGGGAGAAGTTCATTGGCTCTGGAAAACCGCTGGATACAGATAAATACTTTGTCATTTGCACCAACGTCATCGGCGGGTGCTATGGATCCACCGGTCCTTCTTCGATCGATCCAGCAAACGGAGAACGATATGCGACAAGATTTCCCATTCTCACAATGGAGGACATGGTTCGTGCGCAATTTCGACTACTGGACTCGTTAGGAATCGACACATTGTATGCCAGTGTTGGCTCGAGTATGGGGGGCATGCAAAGTCTAGCTGCGGGTGTCCTCTTCCCAGAGCGCGTCCGGCGCATCGTCAGTATCAGTGGTTGTGCGCGTAGCCATCCTTACAGCATCGCGATGCGACACACACAGCGACAAGGTAAGTCGCAGAACAGAGACTGTGGAATGAAACGTACATCATAATCATTTACAACGATTGACTAATCCACAGTGCTTATGATGGATCCGAATTGGGCGCGGGGATTTTATTACGACGGCATCCCTCCACACGGGGGAATGAAGCTAGCCCGCGAAATCGCAACAGTTACGTACCGGAGTGGCCCCGAATGGGAGCAACGTTTTGGACGCCGGCGCGCGGACCCTTCCCGTCCGCCAGCGCTATGTCCCGACTTCCTCATCGAAACGTATCTTGATCACGCCGGAGAAAAGTGGTGTCTCGAGTATGATCCGAACAGTTTGTTGTATGTCTCCAAGGCAATGGACTTGTTCGACCTCGGACAGGAGCACCGCAATCGCATCAACAAGGTCAGGCAAGAGAACAGCGGCAAGCTGCAAGCCTTCAAGGAGGGCAAAGGAGTCGACAGCACGGCGAATGGTGATGTCTGCAATCTGACTCTTCCCGATCAGCCCTATGAAGAAAAGGAACAGCCAGCAGATGTCGCGGCGGTGGATGGTAAGGATGGTGTTGGGGCTCCCGACAGCGAACCACCCCCGGATCTGGTTGCCGGCCTGAAGCCTCTCGCGAATACCCCGGCCTTGGTATTGGGTGTTGCCAGCGACATATTGTTTCCCGCATGGCAACAACGTGAGATTGCCAACACGCTGAAGCGCACCGGAAATCGCAATGTGACGCACGTAGAACTTGGAGAGGAAATGTCCCTGTTTGGGCACGATACATTCTTGCTGGATCTCGAGAACGTTGGTGGGGCGGTGAAGCGCTTCCTGGGATGATCGGCCATCGAGAGATGAAAAGTTGCCCGCTTGAGGTTGATGCGGGATGTGACCCTAGGTGCTTATTTTTTTTATGTGCTTACTTCTCTTTCATGCTATACTTCAACTACTGCGGCATCTCGATTGCATCTATTCAGGTTTTCAAATATTTGCCGTGGGCTGCGGCCCTCTCCTAGCACCATCTGTTTATTGTAGCGTTCTGCATCTGCTGGCGTCCACCAAACCTTTGAAAAGAAAATCGCTTGTACGGAGTACTGTGAATCTTTCGTCGTTCTGGTGCGGGGATGTCTCAAACCCAAGCGATCAAGTCCATTCAATCTGAATCAGGCGTCCCGATTTGGCACGCATACTACATAGTATCGCACGCACAGTCGGGCTTTTGGAGCTCTTGTCCTCTTTCCATTACATCGGGTGTTGTCAAGGTGAAGGAGCAACTGCAGCAGCCTACGACGACGGGGACGTCAGCATCGGAGGGTATGAGGCGCACGAAATAGAAACCCGACGATCTCTCATGTTCGACCACTGAGAGATTGATGGAGCGTGTCACCTTCGCGCTTGAGTGGATCTTCAGATTGGAAATGGGAGATACACAGCTATTTACTGCGGGCATGAGGCAAAGCGGCGACCTTAATGAGGCAGGTCTGGGTTTTAGAAATCCGAGTCCGACCGTAACGATCGCCCATACGGGAACACGAAGATGCATTATCCACTTAGCCTCACCAGCCATAGGGTACGGTACCTTGGAGTGCTTGGTAGTTACCTTTTGCACTGTGCACCCTGTCTGTATTGCTATTCCCAGCTCATTTGCAGCCAAAACTTGCAACCATTTCCATCGTTAGTAGGACATTAGCTTCGCCATCTTCCTTTCAACGGTTGGAACTTGGCCCCTTTCAATTCTTCTTGTGCACCGCACCCCTTGTGATTGTGCTGTAGCCCCCCTGTCATTGGCGTCCATGATCCATGATCCATCCATCCATCCATCCCTCCCTCCCAAGCAAAGCAAAGGATGCAAAGCCCCCCTTGTTGATACTTTTTGTTACTCCCCGATTTCCCCTCCCAGTAACTACGGGCCCGTTCTTACGCCCAGAGATTGTAGATCGCTATCCCCATTCTAGCTCGTACTCTGTGCTCGAGAGCCGTTAATTCGCTCCCATTTCCACTTCATGTCTGTCCATACCCTTGCTCGGTCAATGATCCACCCATAACATATAACCCTTCCAGCGTTGCGGCGTTCTCACATCCAGCAGCGTTCATTCATATTTCTGGCTCGCTCCCCCGCGACCAATTGAGCTTTTTCTATTCATTTCTTTCAGTCTTCCTTCTTTCTTTCCAGTATACCCAGTCCGAAAATTGCCCGCAGAGACGTATTTCGCGACACAGCACTCCGTACGTCAACGTACTCAACCCAAGCCACTCCAGCAATGGCTTCCCAGCACCCCAATGACAGCTCGGATAAGCTCCAGGCCGAGTTGACGAACAATGAGGTTCTGTCCATTGCTGCCAGTCAAGCGAGCGACGAACAGCGAACTCTTTGGCAGAATGTCAAGAAATATCGCAAAGTCGTCGGGTACACATTTTGCATAACTTCAGCCATTCTGCTTTACGGTTACGATAATGTGGTTGTCGGCACCGTCTCTGCAATGCCCATTTTCCAGTATGTCCCCCAATATCTTATGTCCTCGTCAATTTGTATTACGCCCAACATCTCATAATGTTTTTCCACTACATTGCCTCGATCCACGGCTCTGCAGCTTGGGGATGAGCCGGCTCCTATCGACAATGGTTGTCGCATCTGCTGACCGACCTGTAGAAAAGACTTTGGTGTCGAGAACCCCGACTGGCATAAAGGCAGCAGATCTGACCCACGCTACATCCTCCCCTCAGATTGGTTGGCTCTCTGGAATGTTTCGTCGCCAATCGGCGCCATGATTGGTTCTATACTCGGCGCATGGTTGCAGGACCGCATCGGACGCCGTAGGGCGCTCGCCATCTCCAGCTTTCTATCCGCGGTCGCTGTCGCTATTATGTACGTCTCGTATCTGCCTGCAGATGTCAATGGCCGACGTGGATGTTTTTTCGCCGGCAAATTCGCCCAGGGAGCAGCTATTGGCGCAGTCATGGCTGCCGCTCAAACCTACATGTCTGAAATCCTACCACCCTCACTCCGAGGTCCTGGAATGGCGTTCTTCCCCGTCTTTACTCTCCTCGGCCAATTGACCGGTGCTCTGGTAATCTATGGCGCGCTGGATCAAACCAACGGCTATGCTGTTGTTTTTGGCTCACAGTGGCCATTTTCTTTTGTGCCCATTATTATCTCCTTCATCGTCCCAGAGTCCCCCACCTGGCTAGTCCGCAAGCGACTTGTTGATCAAGCTCTTGTAGCCCAAACACGCCTTGATCCCCCCGGCACAGACTCCAAAGGCACCGTCAACAAGATCCAAGCCGATATAGAGCACGAGGAGTCCAACTCGGGTGCTACCTTTATGGAATGTTTCCACAAACGAAACTTCCGCCGTACCTTCATCGTCATGTGGGCAAACTCAATGCCGGCCATATTCGGTCTCCAGCTTCTGGCCAAGGCGAGCTACTTCTTGCAACTTGTTGGTATGAAGCCAAATACCAGTATCATCTTCCTGATTCTCGGCATCGTCCTCGGTCTCCTTGCCAACGCCGCCAGCATTTATGTCATGTCGAGGATTGGAAGGCGACCCTTGATGATCTCCACGCTCCTCATCGCCTCCCTGCTTTGGATGACAATGGGAATCGCCAACTGCTTTAAGCTCGTCCCCGCGGTTACCAAGTAAGTCTAATATACTCTGATGATTGCCCAGTAGCTCAAAGACAAATTACTAACTACGTATGTTTAGTTGGACCGCCGCTGCCATGATGATCACCATCGTTGTCTGTGGTGTAGGTGTATGGCCTTGCTCCTTCGCTGTCGCCGCCGAAACCTCTTCGCTCCAGCTCCGCTCCAAAGCCCAAGGAATTGGCTGGACAATTTCAGCCTTCACATCTGCTGTTGCCGGAATCGCCTTGCCGTACATCTTCAACCCTGATCAGGGCAATCTTCGTGGAAAGGTCGGCTTTACCTACGTAGGCTCCTGCCTGCTCGCTGCAATTATTACATGGTTCATCGTCCCAGAGATGAAGGGAAGGACTGTCGCCGACATCGACAGGATGTTTGAACTAAATCTCCCTGCTAGGCAATTTAAGAACTGGAAGGCTTCGGAAAGGCAAGGTTCTGGTGACCAGCAACCTTGGGTCTAAGGGATGTGGCTGGTTCATGTCTTTTTTCCATATCCTTCTCACGCGTAATGAGTCATTGCCACGTTAGTTTTACAACCCCCTTTCCCCTTCGCAGCTGTTTCTATCCATCTGTACATATACAACGGCACAAGCATGCCGGTTTGTCTTCTGCTCACGAGCCAATGTTTGTTCATTTCCTTCTCATCAATGGCGTATCCATGTCGAACAGTTTTTTTTCTTCTTCGAAAGTTCATCATACCCATCTCGCTATTTTACGCCTAGAAGTATTTACTGCCCTGTTCTCCGAGTTTGGCATGCGCGCGGATCGAATCCAATGTTGGCAAAAGGTAGAGAAGCTAGCAAGAAACCAACAATATGTATCGTTACTATATGCAGCCCTAGATTTCGCTAGTATGGATACGTTGCACCCTAGGATTCATTGACATTCGTGGGCTACTAATAATTACGACGGATACAATATCTGGACACCCCGTGCTGACCTGGGGACGCTTTGTGAAGTGGTACCGCTTCAACGTAAATTATGAAGATGGCATCTTCGAGTAAATTTGAGGTAAAATGTACACCACCTGACGCATCGATCCGCGCATGCGGTGTAAACCTAAGACGGCGTTTTATGCAGTACTGCTTCAGATCCCCATGCATTGTTTTGCAGCTGCTGACAATGCTGATCTTCGAGAAAAGGATATGGTGTCTTCATGCAGCTCCTTTCCCACTTGCGGGATGTCCGAGATCGTCATGGCATTCAAGATATCTGACAAACGAAGAGGGTATGTGGGCAGGGATTATGTCCGTTATCAGGCGAGATTCCATGTATGCGGTGCATGGTGTTTCGCAAAGCTACGCGTCTTGCTGATTGAGTGTCCGTAGTAATACTTCATCAGGGCTATCACTCCCCTTGTCTGGACGAAATGGCATGCGTAACGTAATTGATCAAAGTATGAAAGATAGTCTCGCGTGTTTGTTAGGCTTTCTGGATATGAATTTTTGGGCTTCGATTTGTGGTAGCTTGGCCTTAATTGGGAGCATCTATTATGTATAGTTCTGAAGGAGTAGAATCTCAAGACAATGCCAGGACCATGGACGCCATTCATATTGCAAGCTCGTCAAATGTCATGATCTGGTCACTAGAGACCTTTTGACTCGAGATAGTCTTGAACACGTTCCACCAGCTCCACTTTCTTCCCCGCAGTGGACTGTTTGCGTGCCTTGAGGAAGTCCTTCAGTGAACCCACAGTCTCCTTGCTCAGCTTCCCTCTGTCATTAAGTTCACCCATTTGGGCGTCTGTGAGTCCGCCTTCTTCCACTTCATCAAGATCCATCTCCACCTCCTGCGTTTTGGATTCCTGCTTGATTTTCTTACGAGCCGGTTTCGACTTCGCATCCACTTCATCGTCTTCGTCTTTGACTGCATTAGACGCGCCACCACGCTTCCTGGAAACGAGGTTTGCGGTTTTTCCTGGCTTCTTGGCGGACTGGTAGACTTCGTTAAATGCGTTACCAAAGTCTTCGATGTACTGGGAGGCTCGCTTGTCAATTTGACGATACTTGGGAATCGTTCTGTCATCGGGCTTCGTTGGTACTTCTTCTTCGAGCGCCATGGCCTGCAAAATGCGATAGAACCATTGCAAGTCTGGGTTAGGATATTTGGATGGGTCATAGATGCCTTTGGGCAGTTGAAGCTGTTCAATGACTATGCGCATTTTGTCCGTCAGCTCTTCTGTAGTTTTCAGGGTAGTGCCTTGGTCAGGAGGTTGACGCAGATCATCTGCAAAAGGAAGCGGGATAAGCCACAGGCCAGGGGGCATAGTCTGTTCGTCATTATCGTCGTACTTCTCTGCCGCCGGGATGATGGCAGCGATGACCGGTGCAGCGTTTTTTCGCGCTACGAACCATGCCACAGCCATCCTTTTACTCTTGAGGAGCTTCTGTTGTAGCGCTGAGAACACCCGCGTCGACCCCACGAATTCGGCCTCGGATGGGTACATAAATGTAGCCTTTCCTATGTTGGCCCATATGGAAGCAGCGGAGAGCGGTTTGAAGCCTATTATCCGGATGACGGGATCGCCAAAGCATTGCCTTATCTGGATGAATTCATCAGGCGTGAATGTGATTGTCTCACCACCAAATTTATAAGCTTTTCTCAATTCCCCTTTCTCAACAGTTCGAGCAGTATCATCGGCTAAGTGTGACGTTGATCCGGTTGCAATCTGGACTTTTTCCCCACCAACCCAGACATAGCATGATTTGACATGCTCTTGGCGTTTGATCAGAATGAACCCTTTGACACCTATCCTCAATTCAGGTCCAATCTCCAATGGAAGACTGAATAGAGCCCGCCGCGGGGCAGCTTTCGAGTTTATCGAGGAGAGAAGTTGCTTAAGGAGTGAGATACCATCTCCGCTAGTGGCAACCTTGGTTGTTGAGAGAGTCGACACGGGAGCCTCGGGATCAGAAGGTGACGAGGGATAGACAAGGTCGTCGTAGAATCGCGAACGATCAAATGCATGGTCCACTCTAGAGATGGGAAACAAATCAATAGTGCAACCAAGATCATACAAGTCTCGGGCTCTGGTCACTGCCGTATCCTTATCGTGCTTCGCTATGATAGGATAGTCGTTATCAGTAACCAAAAACAGTCGCCGCGAGGAGAAGTTTGGAGCCTTGGTGGTGAAGATCTGATTTGCACAGAAGAGTACTGTTGCAATGGTCGCTCCTTCGGCGGCGGGCCTCAGTAGCTTAGCAGCCTCCTCTTCATTTTCGACCATGTCCCGCAATTGCTTCACATCCTGGGCAGAGGGTACATCGAGATCCGACAAAAGATAGCAGTGCTGGAATGTGTTGTCGCCATCTTTGAGATCCGTCTTCTCAGTACCGAACAAGAGAATACCCATCATATCGTTTGGATTGGATATTATGCGCTGTTGCATAAGCTGGTAGGCGCATTTGAGCGCGGCAGACGTAGGGGAATCGCGCTCGGCTTTCTTGTCATCTGGTAACGGCGGCTGCTCCAGCATGGTGGGACTGACATCTATGGCGAATAAGACGGCATCTTTGATGGTTTTATAGCTCTAGATTATTGTTAGTCTTCCTGAAAGATGTATGCTAGCTCATGGTCACATATGCGCTCACAGAGTCATCCAGCTCCTCTTCGTCCTCGTCTTCCTCCTCGCCAGGGCGATTGTCGGTTAGTGGATCGGCCATTGCGTTGTATGAGTGTTCAAGTTGCAACGTTACAGTTCGCTCAGTCGCAATAAATGCGACGGGCGAGCTGTACTTAAGTGAGGGGAGAGCTCCGAACAAGGCAGCAATGGTAATACGGCGATCGTTCCTTGTACGCGACTTGGAGGGGAGTGCGCGTGGTCAGGTGATCTAGGCCGGGACTCGTCCAATAAGGCTTAGCGTGATGGCAGGTTAATTGCGGTTGATGACCGCATGGCTGATCGATTCGCTTATTCGCGATTGGCAGAGGCAACTCGTCCTCACTTCCGATCGAGAATTGAACAGTGGATGATTCATGTGAACAATCTGGCCATTAATATTACTATCTCCAAAACTCATCCATGAGGTTTTGACAATTCTCTTCGACTTCATTGCTTCTGTACCATGTCTTTGCGCATCCCATTAGCCCGCGCTGGGAAGCGTGCGACGGCATCCTACGTACCCGCCACATCCATCCTGTCACCATGGAGAAGACGCAACGCGACTGTTGCTCCGCCCGTCACACAGGATGCCACAGGAGCTAAAGGGCCCACCGCAATGGTGTTTATGAACATGGGTGGTCCGTCAACGACAGATGAAGTCGGTGATTTCTTGAGCAGATTATTTGTATGTCGCTCCCTCACCATCACCCATCATTTGAAAGCCTAACATCTACAGGCTGACGCCGACTTGATCCCTCTTGGCCGGCTTCAGAATTATATTGGACCTTACATTGCACGACGGAGAACGCCCAAGATCGAGAAGCAGTATGCAGAGATTGGCGGTGGCTCGCCTATCCGGAAGTGGTCCGAATTCCAAGCTGCAGAGATGTGCAAGATCCTCGACAAAACATCACCAGAGACTGCACCCCATAAACCCTACGTCGCTTTCCGCTACGCAAACCCACTCACCGAAGATATGTACAAAAGACTTTTGGAGGATGGATTTGGAGGTGGAAAGGGTGGCAGAGCTGTCGCGTTTACACAATATCCCCAATACTCGTGCTCCACCACAGGATCCTCGCTCAACGAACTATGGAAATGGAGGCAAAGGTTGGAAGGAAAGCGCGCAACAGGAGAAGTTGATCCTGAGGGCGCAATTCAGTGGAGTGTCATAGATCGATGGCCAGTTCATTCAGGACTCGTGGAGGCATTTGCGCAGAACATTGAGAAGACACTCGCAGAATATCCCCCCGAAAGAAGAGATGATGTCGTCCTTCTATTCTCTGCACACAGTTTACCGATGTCGGTCGTCAATCGTGGTGATCCTTACCCCGCCGAAGTTGCTGCGACCGTCTACGCAGTTATGCAGCGCCTTGGTATGAAGCACCAATATCGACTCGTATGGCAATCGCAGGTCGGCCCACAGCCATGGCTCGGTGCGCAAACTTCAGATACCGTCAAGTCCCTGATGAAGAAAGGCCAAACAGACATGATTCTCATTCCGATTGCATTTACGAGCGATCATATCGAGACATTATATGAATTGGACAAGGAGGTTATAGGAGAGGACGCTGAGGGACACGAAGGTGTAAAACGCGTGGAAAGTTTGAACGGCAATCCGGTCTTTATTCAAGCTCTCGCAGATCTTGCTAAGGATCATCTTCAAAGCGGAATTGCATGCAGCCCGCAAATGACGTTGCGATGTCCAGGCTGTGTAAGTGAACGCTGTCTTGCTCAGAAGGAATTCTTCGCTGGCCAGACGAAACGTTTACCCGCCGTTGCATAGCAACAAGGTCAACATTAGAAACTGTACATTATTGTAGCAATATTCCAATTGCAGCGATGGGACACCTGAGACACATCTCAATCGAACATTCCATGATTACCTGCAGCCACAACTCCGATGCTTTAGCATTTCGTGCCTATGATGGTGGATCGGGATTGGTATTGTCGTTGACCTGCTCGGACCGTATTGCAAGCACTCGCCGATCCGTGATTACCCGTCCACTACAACCTTCATTGACGTGGTATTAGAGGCGGGAGACCATTTTACACTGTCACTGTTGGCAGATCTCGATCCTATACTTTTTTTCTTTTTAATTATCCTTGACTTATCCAGCGAGAAGGCAGGGTGACTCCGTTGTTTGGGTACTTATTTTCCGATCATTTGACGAGGTGACCCGTTGTCAAAGCTCGGAGGAAGTGTTGAGCTATAATTCGGGCATTAGGTAGAAAAGTCTTGGCAGCAGAGCTCAACACCAAATTGTTCGCTCCCGTCTGACCCAACGTCCCTCCTTCTCACCTCCTCCCAACGCCTATTCATCTCCGCCCCGTCTCTCCCTTCTCCTGGTCACATTGCAAGATGTTGTCGCGGTCAATTAGGAGGACAATTGCCTCCCCTCTCAGGCGCAGCGCCTTCGCTCCCGCATCGCGACCTGCTTTCAGGACTGTCACTACCGATGCCGCTTCGTCGCACGCAGACAAAGAGGCCGTTCCCAAGGAGGATGACAAGCCTTTCGAAGTTCGTCTCTCCGATGAAAGTTTCGAGACTTACGAGCTTGACCCTCCTCCGTACACCTTGAACACCACCAAGGGTGAATTGAAACAGATGTACTACGATATGGTCGCTGTCCGGTATGGAGGAACCCATTGTATTCCATTAGCAGATCGGATACCACTGCAGTTTCCAGAGGAATGCTAATTGAGCCAACAGACGAATGGAAATGGCTGCAGACAGACTATACAAGGAGAAGAAGATTCGTGGTTTCTGCCATCTGTCCACTGGTCAGGAAGCCGTTGCTGTCGGTATCGAGCATGCAATTGACAGGCAGGACCATCTCATTACCGCCTATCGATGCCACGGATTTGCTATGATGCGCGGCGGCACCGTTAAATCCATCATCGGCGAGTTGCTCGGAAGGCGAGAGGGTATTGCCTACGGAAAGGGAGGGTCCATGCATATGTTCGCACCTGGATTCTATGGTGGAAACGGTATTGTCGGTGCACAAGTTCCTGTCGGTGCTGGTATTGCTTTCGCACAGCAGTACACCGACAAGAAGAACGTGACTCTTGCATTGTACGGAGACGGAGCATCTAACCAGGGCCAAGTCTTTGAGGCTTTCAACATGGCAAAACTCTGGAACCTCCCGGTCATCTTTGGTTGCGAGAGTATGTATTAATGACATGACAGCATTATCGCCGATACTAATCAAGTCCCAGACAACAAGTACGGAATGGGCACTGCTGCCAACCGTGCCGCCGCTCTCACCGACTACTACAAGCGTGGTCAATACATTCCCGGCCTCAAGATCAACGGTATGGACGTTCTCGCTGTCAAGGCCGCCGTCCAGTACAGCAAAGAGTGGTGCGCTTCCGGCAAGGGTCCTCTTGTACACGAATACGTCACCTATCGTTACGGAGGTCACTCTATGTCCGACCCTGGAACCACATACCGAGTAAGCGACTTTGGATGCACTCAGACCTGATGTGACGCTAATTTTTTTTCTCAAATAGACTCGTGAGGAGATCCAGCGTATGCGCAGCACCAACGATCCTATCGCCGGGCTCAAGCAGAAACTCCTTGATTGGGGCGTCACCTCCGAGGAGGAGCTCAAGTCCATCGACAAGGAGGCCCGCAGCAACGTCGACGCCGAGGTCGCTGAGGCCGAGCAGATGGCTGTTCCAGACGCCACTGGCACGGTGCTCTTTGAAGACATCTACGTGCGTGGTTCAGAGCCAGAGTTCTTGAGAGGACGCATTCCTGAGGAGAACTTCTACTACACTGAGGTCGACATGGGTAAGGAGAAGAAGCCGGTTGCCAGAACATAAGCAATGGTTGGAGGGACGATTCGTTATCGATTGTAAACTTGATCTTGGAAGAAAGATTGTAATATTACATCTATCCGTGCAGTATGCATGCTAGGGTAGCGTGAAGCGTGGATTGTACCTACTTTTTGATGTGTTATCCACGTCTCTTCTAAGCATTGAGAATAGACTTCTTTTCAAATTATTGTATCGTACGTAAGGTAATTAGATGGTGGGTTTGCTGATCGAGGACTTAGCTCGCGTTCTACGATCTATCACGAGGTTTGCCTCTCCGTTTTCACCCCCTGCCACTCTGCCCTAAGGCCTTCTCCAATCCACGGACACTCCACCCTCTCCACGTGCTCTCTGATGTATTGTATTAGAGGACCAGCGCCTGGGGCATCTTTCTTGATAGCGAGTGCACCCAGCCGTGGTATATGTAAAGCCGAAGCCAATCGGGTTTCCGCAGATGAGGGTAGACAGACTAATCTGGTGGGCTGCGCAGTGTCCAGGGAGGAAATGTATATCAATGTTGGGAGATGGGCATGAGCGAGGGAAGCAGAGGGTGTCGGATGAGGAATGATGACCACTGGGAGCGGAGCGTAGTGGTCTTTTGGAGGGGCTGCTCCTTCTTCGTCTGACCGCATCTCTACGTGGTTTTTCTCGGGATCACCATCATTTTCCGCGTGGCGTGTAACATTCAAGATTTGAAGATCCGATCGGTGGTCGTCCTGAGACTTGTCAAGTGGCATCTGACTGGGAATCTGCTTTTGCGCCAATGCGGTCAAATGCCGCGTCACGGTATTAAGGCCTATGAGGACGTGGTTGGAGAGCTGCGGTGCTGGTGGTGGGGTCGCATCGTCCACCGCTGCCGATGTATCCATTTTGAAGGAACCGCGGTTCACCGCCGAGACAGAAGATTGTTTCCCTCCAAGTTTCCTTTTCTTCCCCTTTGATGGGTTGTGGTGAGTCTGACGATGCTGGCCCAGGGGCTCGAGTAAACTTGTTGGTGCAAGGTTAGTAAGAAACGTTTCTTACAAAGACAGAAGGGTGAGCGGCATGGCGGATTGCAATAACAAAGAAAGACAAGGGGAGATATCAGAGGACCATATATAGAGATTGTAATCACGATTCAATCTGGCGTGCGAAAGAGTATCCATACGTACCCACATAGGATATCGAGAATGGCATCCTGATGCTTTTGGCCAATGGCAGGGCTACAAGATGTCTGTCAGTGGGTGCAACTGAGGCTGGGGACTATGCCATGATCAGAGAGAGTAGAAAGACATACACGCTAGTTTTGGTGAATGGGTTTTCGGTTCTATATATTGGCTTTGTGGTTTTTTTAACTGCTGTTGGAGGCATTGCAGACGTTTGATTGGCGTAGAGGAGTAGATGAAGGTATAGGATGCGGGTAGGGCGGTGGTCAAGTTTGCTTGGAAGATTGATTATCTCTTTATCAGTATGAGATGGATAAGTACAGCATAAGTAAGAGTTGGCAGGGCAGTGGATGATGATGTAGTAAAGTAACTACTGCATACCTCGTAGGTAATTCGATGAAGTATAAGTTTATCACTCTGTAGTTGGAGTTAGTGAAGATAATTATAATACTCGCACTAGAGAAGATTAGTCCTTACCGTCGACCTTAGTCATGAGGTACGAGGCACGGTGTACGGAGTACCTTTAGCTACTAGATTGTTACCTTAGCACTCACAGTTACAGGTAGTAGGGTTGAGTACAGTAAGGTAGACAGACTACTGGTACCTTTCCCTCTCCCCTCCAGGCTTCTCCCCCCCAAATGACCCAATGACGCTGGCTTGGCAAATCCCTCCCCACCAAAAAACTTAACGAGCCCCAGCTCCCGCCCGCCGCCAAACGCCATTCCCTCTCAACGACGCGTACTATCTACCCATACCCTACCTACCTAGGTAGGTATCGTACCTAGTCTATTATCAAAGCTATCACCTATTACTCTACTCCGTACAGTGAAAGTACATACGCGTGAAGCTTTGCTTTTCCCCTCTCACCACAAACCACCTCCCTACTATAGGTGTCTTAATCCATATTCACTCCTTCACTCATTCATTCATGGTTGATACCCGCACGCTCCTTCAGCCAGATCTCATGGTTCTCTCACATCCCTCCTCCCCTCCACATTGCTGTGGTTAGTTACGGCCAGGCTGCTGTTGCCTTGCACCGCGCTTTTATCACCACCAACCTTACTCTTCCACTCCCAGGTACATCGACCCCCCTCCTTCAATCGACTCGAACCAAATCTAATCAGAACAATTCATAAGATACACATACACATACGCGCCCGTGCCCGCGGCCGTCTGGGTCGAAGGAATAGCTGGTCCAACATTCGGTTAGGAAGAGAAGAGAAGGTGGGCTTGCTCGAGCTAGTTGCTTGCTTCCTGTCCTCACTCCTTCACCTGCACTACCTGACGCTCTTGCTGTGCTGCCCATTGCCACTACCCCACTTGACGACGGGTGAGCTTTCACTTCACTTTTAAGAGTGTTGCCTTGCCTAGTCATGAGTCAGCACAAGCAGCACCAAGAGCAGGAGGAGTACCAGGACCATGATCTAATGGATTCTGTTTCTGCAGGCGACGCTCATACAATCTCTCCCACCCCCGCGTCGCCGCCGCGCCGCGATCCCATGGAAGACGCCGACTCTTCCTTGACCCGCAAACGACCACGACTGGACACCGGAAGTCCTGACAATCGGACCATGGCCTCGGATTCCACGTCGACAAGCAGTCGCAGCGTCGCACACCCTACCGAGCAACCGCTTGAAATGACTATCCGCTCACAACCTCCGTCCGCCTCTATACACTCCGATGGGGCCTTCGAACAAGTTGATGCCACAGAATCAATGGGCAGCATGGAACCCGCAGCGGACGCACCTGGTGGCACACCTGTCGAGAACCAGCTAGATGGTGGAAACGACACGGTAGAGGGCAGTCCGCCTGTCGTCGTAGTGCCAGACGATGATGAGCAACTCTATGGGAGCATCCTACTAGACCAGGATGAAGAAGAATACTTCTCCAGGTTTCCTTTTGCAAGCCATGGCTTTCAAGGTGGGCATATGGGCGCTCTGCGCCAGATGGGGCAACATTTCCAACAAGGTAATATCAGGGCTTTCTTCTTATCATTATACTTTGACATGCGTGTATCTCGATGTGGCATAACTGACATTTGAGCAGCGCCAGATGTTGATGGAACAGTCCTGCCTCAAGTTTCGGTGTGGCTAGACAATCTCCCCACCTCACCTTCGCATTGGAAGAATTACTATGTCGACAAGCTACTTTTCTGGGACGAGTTCGCTGCGTTCGTGAACAAAGTCCTGCTCCGAAGGTGAACCATACCACCCTATTCTGACATGTCCCCGGCTGTGTTCCCCGCTAACCAGACCAGACATCCTTTCGGAGACGCTTTCTGTGATGATGATCAATCCGAAGAAGTGGTGTTTTACACATTCTTCCGCAGCTATATAAGGCTATGCTGCCGTCTCCTGCAAGTTGACGCTGCCATGTTATCGATTGGCACGTACGAAGATGTGTACGACCAGCATACGCTCAGTTGGAAGCACTTACGGCACCTCAACACCGTATTCCGGCACGAAAAGAGCAATGTCTTTCATCTGTTGTCGAAGGACTACAGAGCAAACATTCAAGACATGGGCAATCGTTTGATCAATGACTTCCTCGATCCTGCTTCTAATGGTGCCCGGTACTTGTTCGAGCTCGCCGAGTTGTTATGCGAAAAGGCTCCCGCAAACATCAGTATCGGATCGGCATGTTGGATGGCATCGATTGCGCAATCTCTAGGTTGGTACATCCTGGAGGTGCCCTTCTTTGAACATCATGCTCTTCACTCCAATTATTGCCAGTCGGTCCTCAGATTCTTTCGGCGATACAACGAGGAACTTCAATCTCCCAGCAAAGTGTTGGATGCCGGTGCCACCAAGGACCTCATCCAGCAATTAGCATCTCTTCTCGGTGAGCTTTGCCGTTGGGATGATTCAATAGCCTCGGATCTTGCTGAGGAACTCCTCAATTTCAACGATCCAAGTTCTCCCACTGTCGCCTCCGCGAGCCTAGAAGCAGTTACGCCGTTAGATCGCTTCCTGCAAGATCCCAATAATTTTCCCTCTCTAGTCAGCAACGCATGGAAATTTAAGTTGCTCAAAAAGTATGTCGTCAAGGGCCGAATGGAATTACGAGTCACCAGCATCAGCACTATGGACGAGGCATTGGTCGGTATCTGGCGTGAATATCACAACTCGGAACTGCATACATACCATCCTGTGATGCAGTATCTAGCCGAATACCTGCTTCATCAACGAGTAATTGATTACATCATCAGCGTCGATTCCCATCCCCAAATCATATCTCGGAGCGGGAATATTGTTGGCTTTCTTGTTGTGACCCATCGATACTCGGAGGACCAGACCGACGCGATTTGGAACACCCTTACCCACAGTCAGGATCCACGTGTTGTCTCGGCGACTCTAAAAATGCTCCATGGCGTTACCAACCTTATGAATTCAACAGAACTTTTATACTTCTGTGCCAAGCTATATGCCCTTCCAATAGAAGGCTTCACACCTGAATTGCTACGATTCCTGCGAGACTTAACGCAGAAGGCTCAGCAGAAGCCCGTCGATTGGTCGAGTACCGATTTGAAAGCACGCCCGTGGAATGTGTGTGTACGGGTGATGCAAGATACTTCTCCGAGCCGAGACAGCTCAAAGGTGGGTAACGTGTTGCACACCGAAGCGTGTGATCAACTACAGTGCATCTTGCCCCTTGTCGGTTTCGAAGAGCGCCTTCAAATATGCGACGACTGTGCTATACATATTGCAGAAAAGACAGCAAAAGCGACCGGGAGCGTGCGCGCCATCTTTCTACTGTGCACAGGCGGTATTCCCTATGACCTTGGGCTCATCCAAAATCGGCGCGATATCATTCAGGACCGCCCGAACATCACTCGGTACATTCTTGAAGAGTTATGTTCTTTTGTTGAGACGGAAACCCCTCGTGGCTTCCACCAGGCCTATCTGATAGCTTTAGACTGCCGGCTAGCTATGCTCCGTGAGATTTTGATTCGCTCTCCTGGCTCGATCCCCTCTGATCTATACATCGATATTTGGGATCATATTGTGGGCAAAAATGCACTCAATAGCCATTTCCGAGATCTTGCCTGGGCAAAGCTGGTCGACGTCTCCAAGCGGAAACCCCGGCTTGGATGCGGCTTCCTGGACCAGCTAATGTCGGAGTATGTTCCAACCCTCCAACCAGATTATTTCACTCCTGGACTCTTCGATTTTGTACGCTCTTACGGCTTTCAAGCAACCAGGGAACATATCGCGACAGCTGATGGGGAGAAGGAGATACTTCAAATCCGTGGCGTGGACCTTTTATGGCGCATGATCATCACTGCCCCTGCAAATACCATCGAGGATCTTGCGGCGAATGAGATGGCTTCACTCTATGTCGACCTAGATATCAGCCACGCATTCACATTGGAAGAGATCGAGGAGGCGCATATCGCTCTCGTTGAGAAATGCACTAAAGAGCTCCTTTCCGCATATAAAGGCCTCCGACAGGCAAGCAGATCGGTGACGGGGTTGGGCGACGCCATGGATGTCATTCCCTCTGACGAAGACCTACGGCGTACGGAATTGCGCTTCAGCAGAATCCTTCTCTTCGTAAAGCTGCTGCTGAACTTGATCCGCACCAAACCTCAATTTGCCCGCACTCAAAGAGCGGATTCCAAGGTTGATCCGCTTGAGCAAGAAATATCCTCCGGCAGCGCTATGGAGATCACATACACAGTGACAGGGAAGAACGAGAAACAAGTCATATTCATAGGCTCTGAAAACAAATTACGCGATCTGTATGCACGACTATGCCACATCACCGGCTTCACCAAGATCAACATCTTTGCTGGTGGTCAGCGCCTCAGTTTCCCCACCAATGCACACAGCAACTTGCTAGATCTTGGAATCAAGCCCAGAACACATTTGCTCGTTCAGAAGGCTGCCGGGAGCGATATACTGCAGCCCAATGTGGAAAGACCAACAAGCCAGTCCAAATTCGAGTCGACCCTAACGGAACATCTAGATGATTTGTTCGCTTGTATGGATTCAGAGGACTTTATCAGTGCAAGCATGTTTGACTTCCTGATCTGTTTTCCGTACCGGGAACGAATTTACCAGGATGTCATGGCTGATGTCAGTGCAACACTCGTCTTTCCACCTGGGAAGTTGTTCCAAATCAAATACGCTGCATTGGCGCTACAGTCTAGATTGCGAGAGCAGCTCCGCAAGGGTGCACTCGACGATACGTTCTTGCTCAGAGCTGTTCAAAAAGTAGTGGGGGCTTTTTTGAACCCAGACTTGTTCCACCACCCATTGTCGAACCCTCGTGAGACGCATGTTGCCGGTGTACTCGCAATGGTTCTCGTGGAACTACTCAAAGGTAAGGTGTCATTCCAATGGTTGAAGCACGACCACCCGCTGACCGCTGCTCATTCGAGAATTAGAACGACCTACACATGCCATTTCCTCGGCATATTTTGCTGATGCTTCAGCCCTCGTAGCACGTTTGACGGAAATCATCAGCGCCGGTGTCGACGCAGACCATGACAGCTCTATGACTATAGTGCAATCTTATGCTGCGCTTCTTGAGGCTTCTTTACATTCAAAAGCTATTTGGGATGCTTTCGTTGGAAGCCCAGACAGTTCAACGTTACATAAGGATCTGCTGCTTATTTACAACAGGAAGCAGGTTCGAGAGAACATCGTCCAAGTGATCGCATCCGTATGTGGCGGCGATTTGCCATCAAGTTCTCCCCTTACTCGAGCCGAGACCTCCAAGCAATTCTGGAATCTCGTTTCTGCCGTACTTCCCTCCTCTGTTGATTACCCCAAGCAATCGGAACAGCTATTCGACATTGCGGACCAGGTGTTCCGGAGCCATGACGAATATAGCCGCAATGAAGAGTCTTTGAGATCGTCATTGACCTCTTGGAGTGATTTGTTACTGCAGTACAGGCATGAAGAGTTCGTTGGTCGCGATGAGGTCGATCCCGTCGTTCTAGGGTTCACCAAGCTTCTATTTGGCTGTATTTCGTCACTCAAGTCCTTCAAGAAGCCTTTGAACTCGGGCACCTTGATGGAAAGGATCTTCCGCAAATTTCTTTTCACCCCTAAGGTCCATGAAATAGACGACTCGGGTGTGTTGCTTCAAGATCTCCCAGTCCTTGAAAGCCATACAAGGCAAGCGCTCTACGAACTCATCGTTGCTTTAGCCGAGGATCGGCACACCTTTGGCACGCTGCTTGATCTTGTGGAGAGCCTTACAAGTGACGAGGAGTCCATGTCTCTCCGGTCGTATTGCATTGACCGCCAGAACGAAATCCGATCCAGTACAGGCTACGTCGGGCTCGTCAACCCCCGCGCCATCTGCTATATGAACTCCCTTCTCACACAACTTTTCATGAACATCAATTTTCGAAGATTTATGCTCAGCCTACAGGTTGCTGATGAGGGTGCATCCCAGCGCCTATTGTTTGAAACGCAGAGACTTTTCGCTATAATGCAGGATACTTTCCGCAAATCTGCCGATCCTCGGGAATTTGCCTCATGTGTGAAGGGTTTGGACAGCCAGCCAATCGACATCAACATCCAAATGGACGCTGACGAGTTCTACAATTTGTTGTTCGATCAATGGGAAGCTCAGATGCTTTCGCCTGAAACAAAGCAGAAATTCCGTTCCTTTTATGGTGGTCGAACTGTCAACCAAATCAAGTCAAAGGAGTGTGAGCACGTTTCAGAGAGAATTGAGACTTTTTTCGTCGTCCAGTGCGACGTTCAAGGCAAATCGAACCTACAAGAGAGCCTTCAGGCCTTCGTAGAGGGCGACGTTATGGAAGGAGACAACAAATACAAATGTGAATCATGCAATGGCAAATTTGTAGACGCCATTAAACGGTAAGGCACTCATCATCCGCGTCAAATACTCTACTTGCTAATATGGCCATCAGCACATGCCTAAAGGATGTTCCAGACAATCTCATATTCCACCTAAAGCGCTTTGATTTCGATTTAGTGGACATGAGAAGAACGAAAATCAATGACCATTTCGCCTTCCCAGACTTCATTGACGTTAGCCATTATAACGTCGATTATCTGAGCGATCCCTCTACCCCACCAAATGAGGATATATTCGAGCTTGTGGGTGTACTTGTTCACACCGGCACCTCTGAAAATGGGCATTACTACTCCTACATCCGCGAACGTCCTTGTCCTACAAGTCGCTTACCTACCTGGGTAGAGTTCAATGATCGCGACGTAGATACTTTTGATCACCAAACACTACCCTACCATGCCTTTGGTGGGCTTTTCGAAGATCAATACCAACGTCAACAGAAACAATTCAGCGCTTACATGTTGTTCTACCAACGGAGAACGGCAATTGACAGAGACCACCAGGAATTTGTTAGTACTTCCGTGAGCAGCTCTCTGAAAGCTCCAGTTTCTCCGCAGCTAGAATCAGAAATCAGTTCTGATAACGAGGTATTCGTCCGAGAATACAGTCTTCATGATCCAAATCATTCGAAGTTCGTCCGGCAGATGATGGGTATTCTACGCACAGTCAACAACGGCATTTGCTCGACCGATCACCAACAGGAACGCAGAACAATCCACGTTGTGCTGGAACATCTTTCCCAAACAATATGCCGGCAGCGGTTTATGGAACAATTTGACGAAACAATGACTCAATTACGAAAATTGTCTTTGTCCTGCCCTAATTGCTGTCATGCTACACTGAAGTGGTTCGCTTCACATGACTTTGCTCTCACAAGTCTTCTTCTTCGATGCCCCCATCTCAAAGTTCGATCACATATGCGTGCTTTTGTGATAGAAAGCCTTCAGTTCCTCCGAGAGAGAGATCCAGTACTCTATGGAATCGAAAACATCGACACGGACAGCGACACTGGCAGTACAGTTCCCGTTGATGGCGCCCTCAACGAAATTGTCCAAAGATTACGATTAGTTGCCGAAGAGACGTGGTACAGCGCTCGTGGCTGGGATGACTTCTATCTGACAATGTGTCAAATAGTTGATTTAGGCTATGTGGAAACCGCTGTGGTGCTCAATCACGCTTTCCTAGAGTTCTGTCTAAAGATCCTTAGCATGCATGCCCACGCTCAATTCCGGGCTGCTGACCCAGATCTCTGGCGCCTTGTCGAGAAGAAGAAGAACATCTATAACCGCCTTATCGAGTTAGTCCATGCCCTACTGTCGAAAATGGATGCCTGCGCACCAACGGTAGGGACCTCGGCACAGGCTGTTGATCGCTTGGAGAGCTACGATCGCAGCACTTCAAAATTCCCCTTGTCAAGCTTTGAGCAAAGCACGCTACTCATGTGGGATGAAAAGAATCGGGCAATAGCGGCCTTGGATCGAATGCTAGAGAATTTCGACCGTACAAAGACGGATGTGTTCTATCCCGGTGAAGTCCTCAGGTGGATGCTGAGGCTACCAGATCAACGAACACAGCGCTTCCTCTTCTGCACCATCAAAGAAGGAATCGCTGGTCTCGCACCTCCATACTCCGATTGTTATGTTCGAGCCGCTCTTTTCTACTGTGAAGCATGTCCCAACCCGGACCTGGTTGAAAAAATGACCGAGGCCGTTGTTACTTCGGCCACTACTTTACGAGAAGCTGGTGGTGAGGTACACCTCCAATTCTTCGCGGGACTGCTCTCGATTCAAAACGACGCTACCATTGATCAAGACGGGCCAGACGCATTCTTCGACACTTGTCTACAGAGATCCCGTTTCTACGCAATCCCTTTACTCCTTTTCGACGATGACGTTGTCCGTCGAGAAACATTACTACATCTCGACAAACTGTTTTGCAAAACAAAGCCAGATGATGCTTGCAGTTTCCAAACGCTGAAGTCCAAGTACACATCTGCGCGAAAATTAGTAGAAGGCATGAGTAAGCGGATTGTCAATGAACATGAAAACAACTCGTCACGGGCATATATGCAGCCAATGATTTCGGCCTGTCAGATCTTAGTCAATCTTCTCATCCAGCTTCACTCCAGTTCGGACGAAAACACGATGCAGCTGCAGGACAATGTTCGCGATACAACCTTAGTTCAGACCTGGCAACTTGAAGTGGAATCTCGCGTGAGGATATGGGTTCTTGATGAGGGTACGCCTATATCTACAGGCGGTGAGCGTATTCCTTTTGGCACGGGATCATCCTCACGTACAGTTACTGACGTTGACTCAGAAGCCTACGAGCATTCAGATTATGCCAGTGATTCCGATGAAGGTCCTGATCTTGAATCATAAGGTAGCAGGATCAAATGTCAAGCCAATACTTTATTCTCAGCAAGCATCACGCCGAGCTTCATGCTCGTTCCAGGTGGCGATAAAAACAAAGCTTTTTTTTTGCTACTTTCAATCTGTCCGCCTACATTGAGGCTGGGGATGCGTTGTGATGTCGATTTCGTTCCATTCACTATGCTTCGGCTCTTCTTTCCTCGCAACTCTTTTGTTTTGTATCGGGTGGCATAGCGTCGGCGATCAGGATCTTTTGTTTTGCGATATTCCGATACCAACACCCTCACATGCTGCCGCCCTTAGTATTCCTGCGCGAATACACTGGGTTCCTATGCCTGGGTATCGCTGATACACATTGACCCCTGGTGATGGCATTACGTATATAATGAATTATGACTACACAGAACTCAATATCTGTCTAATGATCTGGACCCCAGATCATGACGTTGATGAGTTTACTCAATAGATGGTTTTCGGCAACGAGTAGAACTACTTCATGCATGTCTCCCATGATATGAATGCATGGACTTAACTCTATGCGATAGCACAATGTTCTCATGATACTGCCATAGTTTGTGGAATGTCACAATGCAACAATAGTGAGTCCTCCAGCTTTATATAACTTTCGGAACGAAGATTAGTCTTAATTAAACTGTAGTAATATCATGTTTGAGATACTGACGTTATCAGTTTTATACAAGAAGAAGAGTATTAGTATAATGGCATTTTTCCCCCTAGTAGTTCTGAGAGACAAAATTTTACAAGATAAACTAGAAAGACTAACTTTCAGTTACTCGATTATATCTCGAGGAATGACTATGTAGATAATGTGTTCTTGGAATATTTGCGGGTCGGTAGACATACCTCGTTATGCGTTTCTCGATGCAGCCCAAAGATGTTGCTAAATTCGTGGGCAAGCTAGACGAGAACTGTAGATGTGCAGAAATTACCCAACTAGAAAATATATTCGACTTCTCCTCTATTTTACATTGACTAGGTCATTATGGGGATCTAACCATTTGTGTATCAGCAGCCTTGTCAATGGCGCTGAACCAGTCACTGCATTTATCTGCACTGGTGACAATGTGACCTGTGACCATTGACAATATTACCTGTGACCATTGACAATATTACCTGTGACCATTGACAATGTGACCTGTGACCATTACCTCTTCGTTCCTGCCCTTTCTCCTCCTCCTCCTCCTCCTCCTCCTCCTCCTCCTAAAAGTACATTCTTGACCTTCCTCGCGATATACATTAGTCCGAGACTTGTTCTACCTTCTCTTCAGTGCGACAAAGTACCTACAAAGTAACAAGCAACGTTGTATCAACATATGAATTACGAGGGCGCTCCAGGGCTGGATTTTGGCGGAGGCAATGTGAAAATTGACCCCAGCGTTACTAAAGGTCTGCGTCTTCATAGCAACCATAGGCTCCGTTCCGCTTACCAGTCTACACAGTTCTGCCACAAGGCTGCCGAGTCATCTCAACGGAGACCCATGGTGTGAGCTTCTGGGCCAACACTGGTCGCATTGACGTTGAACTATGTGACGGATCCGCACAATCATTCTTCATCAAGGTAGAATCTCATGATGTTGGCAAGAACATGCTCAGTAGCGAGTTTGAGTCCATGAAAGCAATCCATCGTCTTGCGCCTGATTTTGCACCCGAACCCATCGCTTGGGGGACCTACGAGTTAGTGCCTGAGAACCACTTCTTCGTCAGCAAGTTTCATGATATGCGTCCGGATATGCCAGACCCAGGCAAGTTTGCCGCTCGATTGTCTGCACTACACCAGTCCAGCAGGTCACCGAACGGAAAGTTTGGATTCCACGTAACGACATATGCTGGGAACCTGCCGCAGTATACTGAATGGGAAGATAAGTGGGAAATATTTTTCTCAAAGAGTCTGAGAAAGGCTCTCGACTTAGAGATAGAAGCAAAAGGATACGATCCAGAGTTCGACACTCTGATTCCCGCAATTTTTAACAAAGTCATACCGCGCCTGTTAAGACCACTCGAGAGTGAAGGACGCTCTGTAAAACCATCTTTAGTGCATGGCGATCTATGGTATGCGAACTCCGGCATCGAGAGTGACACGGGTGAAGCTTTGGTGTTTGATGCGTGTTGTTTTTACGCACATAATGAGTGTACGTATAACAGTCCTGTTTAATTAATCTTGCTAATGCTAAACACCTGACGCAGATGAGTTTGGTCAATGGAGGCCGGCCTGCAACCGCTTTGGTGCTAAATATTTAGATGCATATCATGCTTGTGCACCAATTTCCTCACCTAAGGAGGATTTTGATGGCCGTGTGGACTTATACAAACTGAGATATATTTTTGATAAAAGCGTTGCCTTGAAAACTTCTAATTTATCATAGAAGGTTCAATACCCACGTATCGGCCCTGTTTCATGATAAACCAACTTTAAGGAATCAGTATGTGTTAACCTGCTAATAAACGTACAGTTATTGACACATAACTTAATAGAATGCTAGGAGACATGAGAGACTTAGTAGCAAGATATGGTAACCCTTTATAACTAAGTGTATAGGATATAATAAGTTATTTCCTTCTAGATATAGGAAGAGCGCTGTCTGCTTGCCTGGGAAATGCTTGCAATTGCCTCAATCTCTACATTAGCTCCTTGCAGTGGGAGTTGCAGAACTGCAACACATGTTCGGCTCTGCTATCTTGTTAGAACCTAAGAAAAAAACCCTTCTGCCTCTGGAGACATACGGGCTTTGGGTCCACTGTGAAAAACTCTAAGTATGCCTTATTCACCTCGCCATAGTGCTCCATGCTTGACAGGAAGATGGTTGCTTTCACGATTTCATCGGTAGCTGTACCGGCTTGCTTCAGAATTGCGCTGAGATTATTCAAAGCTTGTTTCTATAAGAGATCAGAACACATGTTCATTCAAGGATCTGAAGATAAGGGAGAGTAAACCGTCTGCTCATATGCGCTGCCCGCAAGTTTACGCGTCACAGGGTGGATACCGAGTGCTCCTGAACAATACACCATGCCGTTGCAAACAATTGCTTGTGATAGGTGTGGGCTTGGGGCCGGAGCTTCCCTGGTCAAGATTGGAACTCGTGACATGGCGGAAATTGTTACTGGAGTAGGACAAGTTGGTGGAAAGGTGAACGATGCTTAAAACTGCATATTTGAAGAGTTCTATGCTTCTCCTTAAATATTGATTTGACTTTCAGTAACTTTCCTACCCAGAGCCGTTTGGCCTACTGGTAACAGTGTTGATGGCCATCACTGCTGATAGACGATTGGCTGAGGGTTAACTAGCTTACGGAGGTCCATCTCCGACAGACATTAGCTTCTGTAGCACTAAACGCGCACGTGCACGCATGACATACGCATCTCGTTCATGCAGCGAAAGATTCTACGCATGCAGAACAAGCGGGCCCCGAACTCAGAGCCTTGGTGAACATTCGTCCTTTCGTGTTTTATATTTGCAAATTGCTTCGCGTAGCTACCAAGTGAAAGCTCGGTTGCCATCAGCTAAGGCAGGTCATTGAGAAGATTTGGCCACACCCTTGCTAAGAAAGAAGAACATCTATACGATTGAACCAGACTGCATGATATCAATATATGATGTCAGGTCTCGCTAATGGGTTGCAACAAGAAAAGGCGTTAGCGTTAGTCATATAAATCAAGTAGTTACATCGATCCGATATGGCTAACATTCAGCAGGTGCAAACGATGCCAATATAAAAAGGTATCATCTTCACACATATCCGACGATCTATAAGTCTTTCAGACTGACATAACAAGCTTAAATGCTCGAGGACCGTTCCTTGCAACGCTTGCCAGAAAGCGGGAGCTCAATGCATGTATAGGCAAACAGACCGAAAGCGCCAGCCAGCATCACAGGACCATGTCATTCTATTGCAAAGTAGAGTCGAGTGGCTAGAAGACTTCATCCTGGATCTTCAGGGTTCCTCCTCGGCAGAGAGAGATTCTAGATTGCGCACCATAAATCTCATCTCGGCTTCATCCAGGCGGGCAGTGTCAAACGCTCCGGCAACACAAAGCAGTTCAGCCTTCTATCGTACCGCGAACTCGCATATAACCCGTGATGGGATACTATCTTTTCATGGTCCCACAAGTATATACCATGTTTTTTCCGACGATAGTGATGGAAGGCCCAACGAGACCGACCAGCTTGGTCCGTCACGAGATTCGACACTCAGGAATGCGAATCATGTCTTGGATCATTTCAACATTGATATTGATGCCGATATCGTCACCCAAACTCTCCTCCTATTCTTCAAGTGGCAGTATCCAGATTATGTGTTCATTTATCGGGATGCATTCATCAGAGATCATTATGGTGTGCGCCAAGGGTCCAAATACTGGTCAACCTCCCTCTTACTGTCCATTTGCGCGTTAGGGTCTCTGATGCTACCAAAACTAGAAAGGGAAGATTTTGGCGTGCGTTGCATGGATGCTGCAGTGAGTATTGCCATAGTGTCTGACCTGATGCATCCATCCATCACCGCCGTCCAAACCTTTCTTTGCCTTGCCTTTTGCGAGATTGGTAGAGGCAATCTATCCAAGGGCTGGGCTCTCTCAGGTAGCTATGAGTAATATTTCCAATCAGACAATCATGCTTACATCGTTTCAACAGGTATAGCCTTCCGAATGGTTCAAGATTTGGGTTTCCAGAAAGATCCTGAGACGTGGCCATTTCTGGATCAGTCATTTATCACGAATGAAGATGTCGAGGTTCGTAGGCGAATCTACTGGGGCTGTTACATTTCAGACAAATTGATCAGTCTCATCTTTGGTCGGCCAGTGCAACTTTTGTACAATGAAGCCGAGGTTCGCGAACTGGGGACATTACCGTAAGTTAACGCTTTTGCTCCTAACATTAAATGAGAAATCAATAACGTATCCACAGAGACCCTGAGTTCATTTTGCCATGGCGCACTGTTGGGTTCGATGATGACGGACACCGGCAGTACACTGACTTATCCATGATCCCCTACGTGAAAGAACAGATCAAGCTTGCGCGAATTGTAGAACACTTGCTGAGCCTGATGTCGTCTGAATCTGACCGGATTACAAGCCCCCAGCTACTGAACCTCGACAGCCTCAATCATGATTTACTAGAATGGAGGAAGAATCTTCCCAATTGGGCCGATTTTAAGATATGGGACACGAGTGATGAGCCTTTAAAGCCAAATATAGCCGCAATCCAGTACGTTTATTGAATGCCGAAGTTCTTTGTCGGTAGAAGCTCATCTCATTGTAGTCTTCTTTATAACGCCACCCGAATCGCCCTCAACTTTAACGGAGCAGTAGCATGGGAGGGAAACAATCGCACAGAACAGACTAGTGAGGTTTGTATGCTTGCTGTCACAGAGATTCATTCTATTATCCGCCGCTATCGGAAGCAACATGGATTACGAAATAGCTCTTTGGTCATAGTATATGCGCTAGCTCAGTCCATCCGGGCCTCAAAAGCATTTGGCACCAGTGAGGAAACCCAAAAACTGGTCAAAGTTATGTCAGAAGTCGCACCAACATGGACGCTAGCAGAGATGGTCACATCTGCAAGATTATGATGAAAGCAATTTGATAATCATTCGGCACCATTCAGGTGGGGCATTCTCAAGACGAGCTCGCTAATTATCAGTTGATAATTTTCTTGACTAAATCGTTGCTCTATTGCCTAAGTTCTAAAGCATGTACAAGCCCGGAAGGTTGCCAGATACTTCAGTTCGAGCCAGAATTTTCTTGTTCTCCCTCCGTAATATCGCCTTCATAGTAAGGCTTAGGGCGATTTCAAGCCCACAAAAGGCAATGAGCAAGATCATTGCTCTGCTATATCGAGGTTCATCATTCGGATCGAAGAAATATGGGCTCCAGATATTACCAAACTGTCCCATGATGTTGATGATTGCAGTAGCGGCAGCCTTCTTCTCAGATGTATCCCCCACGGTGAACGCTGCCCAGCTGTAGACAGCAGCATTGGCCCCGAACACGCCAGAGATGTATATAAAAGAAGCGCAGTACCTAGCGACAATATTAAGGATACTGACGCTTAGAGTAAATCCAACTACAGCAAAGGCTAGCGGTGCACAGATATGGTATCCTCTCTCATACTTGCGGTCGCTAGACCAGGCAATGAAGTACGATACGACTGCACCAATGATGTAGGGCGGTGCTGTGCAAACGAGGGTGATAGTGCGACTTCCGAGATTAAAACCTCGGACAATAGACGGAAAGAAATAGTTGAAACCATACGCAGTTTGGTTCGAGCATAGAATCAGTGACTATATGTGATTGCATGTAAAGTCAGTCATCCTGGATTCGCCATGTAAAGAGCTTGACCACTTACAAAGATCCAGACCTTATAGTCGCATAAAGCCAATTTCAGACCATGACGAACAGATCTGTTGGTCTCTTGGCTCGAGATAGAATCGAGTGACATCCTGTAGGATGATATGCGGCGCTCCTCTTCACTCAGTAGCCATCGCGCGCTGCCAGTCGCTGACCCCGGGAAATCGGGGAGGAAGAAGAAGGCGATGAGGCCGAGAAGAAAGCTTACGGCGCCCTCGATAATGAAAAGCCAACGCCAGCCAGCAAGACCAGCTACACCGTCCAGTCCAGAGAAGATTCCTGCTGCCAAAAGGCCGGATACAGCGGTCGCTAGCACTAGGCCTGAATATAAAATTGCAAATCGTAGTGCAAGCTCCCCTTTTCTATACCAGCACGAAAGGAGATAGAAGACTCCAGGAAAGAAAGGGGCCTCTGTTATACCAAGGATAAATCGAACGGCGATCAGCCCCTGAAAGTTATGTACCGCAGCTGTGCTAGCCGAAACGCAAGACCAGAGACAAACCCAGAATGGGATATAGAGAGACGGTCGAACTCGAGTCAAGATCATGTTACTCGGGAGCTGCATCAACATGTATCTGTACCCATGATATTAGACCTCGCACGAGTGCATTCGGATTTGGATTGTGATACCCTGGGACCAAGATTGAAACAGCTGTACTATAATTGTTTCCGGTCAGCCCAAGATCCGCTTCAAAAGAGTCGAGCTTGGCTTGCCTAATACACGGTATATCAGTCATCGACAGAGAAGTATAAATTAATCGCATCTCTTCACTTACGCAATGTTGTTTCGATCTAGATAATTGAAGAGATAGAGAATGAATACAACTGGCATCAAGGTCCTATCCAGTTTTCGTACCAAGGTTTTCTCTGTATCCAAGAAGGTCTCGTCCGACATTCCGAGAGGTCGGGACCCATGTTGACTGACTTTGGGTACCGTATTGCCTGGACGTTCTAATTCCAAGTGATACATCTCATTCTTGTCCTCTGGAGATACCGATGATCTAATAGGATCGCTCATTGTGCGAAAGCGTTTCGTATAGAGTCTCGAGGCAGGAGGTGAATCACAACAAAGAGAGTATAACAGACCTTGATCTCGATCTGTGCTACTCAAACACTGGAAGGACCCTTTTTTATATGTTTTCAAGCCTCTATCAACGGAGTTCATACATTGATCTCTATCGCTCGAGTCAAGGAACCAGTAGCGTGGATTGTGGGGTAGGCTGGGGAAGATGAACATGTACAGAAAGCTATCCGCGGCCGTATCTTGTTGAATCGGTTACGGAATGCCATCTCCGGGAATATAGAACTTTTTTCCCCCTAAGATCAGCTGTGATAAATCGCGTTTGAAGTGTTATAAAGGTCCGCTTCCTCGGGGTTTGGTCTCCGTAAATACAGGCAGGGATTAATGGATCATGAAACATGGGTATTATTGCCTCAAGTAGAGTAGCACAACTGTGATCTTCTGTCTACTGATGATTGGGGAGGAGATGTATTTATCATAGCGAAAATTGACATTGCCGGGCCCATTTGCCTTTTCGCGCGGCCGATTGCAGGTGGAATCTGCACACCCTCGTTTCGTTGTTCGATTCTTCTCCCACGCAATTAGAGTTCGTTTCTTTTAATTCATGAGGAAGAACCAGTCTCGCAAAACTTGGCTGTTGCAAGTTTGACTAGACTGCCTCTAGTATTTTTTTTTTTAAAAAAAAGGAGGATCGGGCCAGCGTAGATGATCTTGTCAGAACTTTTATTGCACATTGAATCTTGCAAATTAATGATATACGTACAATCATTGACCTCTCTATTGAGCGGGTTAATCGTGGCACCTACCATGAAATGTGGATTACCGATCCGACCCTCCCTTAGTCTACGAGTAGACTGGTTCCGGAGTTCTGTCTCCGAATTGGAGCCATCCTACCAAGCCCTCCAAAAGAAATAAATAAAAGTTCGAGATTAGTTAGTATAAGTAGAGCTTTTGCGCAGGCGATTGTTCAAAAAACCATCGAAGAAAACTCCCACCTCCAACAGTAAAGCATACACAAAAAATGGCCGACCATACCACTATAGTTATCATCGGAGCTGGTGTTATAGGGCTTACTACTGGCCTTCGTCTCCTTGCTACAACGGATCAAGCTAAGTATAGAATTATCATCGTATCACGAGAATGGCCTACATCTATCCCAGGAGCTCCAGTCAACCACTCGGTCAACTACGCTTCTATGTGGGCCGGAGCTCACATGCGGCCCATTCCAGCAAGCACACCTCAGCTGCAACGGGAAGCAGCTTGGCTGAAGCATGCTGCCAGAACGTTCGAAGAGCAAATTCGGCAGACGCCATCGATTGGTGTGACGAAATGCAAGGGAATCGAACTTCTAGAGGCACCCACGGCAGGATATGAACAGCAGACCGCTGAGTCTTTCTTCTCAGAATCTGGCCTCAATAACTACCGTAAATATTCCCAAGCCGAGCTTCCGCCAGGGGTTCGCTTAGGTTTCGAGTACGATACATATTGTGTCAACGCACCCGTCTACTGCGCGAATCTTTTGCGTTCATTCATCCTTCAAGGCGGTCGATGTATGCAACGCGACTTGAGTAGCGAGTGGGAGGCCAGCAGTATTGCACCCAACGTAAGCTTAGTGGTCAATGCCTCCGGTATGGGCTTTGGAGATAAGAAGTGCTTTCCCATACGTGGTAAGGCGAAGATGAACTTTACATGATGATCAATGCTGGTGTTGACATAAAGATTAGGCCAGACAGTCTTGACAGATCTTTCCGCTGTGACTAAGACGGTCACGAAACAAAAAAGAGACGGTACATGGAGTTTCATAATCCCGCGTTTCTTTGAAGGAGGCACTGTGGTAGGGGGAACTAAACAGCCTGGAGATTGGACAGCCCAACCGATCCTCTCCACCAGGAGCTCGGTACTTAGTGAAGGAAGGAAAATCGCCGAGTTTGCATCGGATTCCTCAGCCGGAAGTAATGATGTGAGGGTAATTGCTGATATTGTAGGTCGCCGGCCCATGCGCGAGGGCGGGATGAGAGTTGAGGTTGAGCACCCTTATGGCACTAGTGTAAAAGGGCAGAGCAGTATGACACGCATAGTACATGCTTATGGGGCTGGTGGAAGAGGGTTCGAGATATCATGGGGGGTTGCAGAAGAAGTTGCTAGTCTGGTCAAAGCAACCTTATTAATAAAGGACTCTATTATTCAAGCAAAGCTATAATGTTATAATTTAGGAACCTATAAGGATTAAAGGAATAAAGGGAACTTAAGATAGAAGTCTAAAGTTAAGATAAGGTTACTTAATAATACCTAGTATTATATTAGTTATAAATACCTTATCTAAAGTATTGTAAGGGTTGCGCAGAGCTTGCAGATACCTGATAACAGTAATGAATTCGATAGAGGTCTTAGAGAGCCTCGAGTAGGGATTATAAGAATCCCTTACGAAAACCACGCTAATTCTAACTAGGAAACTCAGGAGAAGTACTCAACTACACTGGCCACCAAGTGCCCTCGACGGGCAGCTGGTAGTCGTTAGTTGTTCTCACGGCGCTTTGTCGCGATTACTACACTGGATCTCATCCAGGGTATATCTCCTGGGCACCAGCCCATTACATTACCCCCCTTCTAGCCTTGATAGTATTCTTCAAGGCGTAGTTCGTCGAAATCCTTCTGGCAGCTGATTCTTCTTGTTCCTTGCTTCTTTTGAGTACTCAATCCATCGTTCGAGTGCTGCCGTATCCTCCATATTCTGCGCAGGTTGCCAGTCGGTTTCCGCATAGCCAACCCACTTAACCTCGTATTGAGTCTGCCGGCCTCTACCGCGTCGAACTATTCTTTCAGCCACGATGTCTTCGACGGACCATTCTTGCTTCCCGTCAACCATGATAGCTTCTGGTTGTGAATCGTCGTTAGGTTGACTAGGAAGTGGGTCGTTTGCGGCAAGTCGTAACCGGTCAATATGGAAGACGTTCTCAGCCCCTGGGGGTATATTAAGACGTACAGAGTGGCTATCAATTACCTCGGTAACTGTGTACTTAGAATTCTTCCAATCGAGCTTCCTGTTGCTCCGTTGGGTCTTGAAGTGTTTCCCTAGCGATAGCCATACTTTATCGCCTACCCGTAGCTGTCTTGGTACCTTTCGTCGTCGGTTGGCTTGCCTCTCCTGTTCCTGTTGGGCCTCGGCCATGGTTGCTTGCGCTATTTCGAAGACCTTCTTGAATTTCTCAATTATCGCCTCTGCAGTTTGTTTGCCAGCCTGTTCGTTTGCTGTGTAATAGCGCGTTTCCCGCAGAGCTTCCAGCTGGGTTGGGTCGATGTGATACCCGTGCTGCAGGAAGAATGGACTAACGCCCGTTGACGTAGCGTTCCTTGACCTGATTGCGACCATAGCCATACTCAGTAGCTTCGCCCAGTTCTTCTGATCCCAGTCAATATAGGCTCGGAGATAGGCCTCGACGGTACTGTTCATCCTCTCAGTTGATCCATCAGTTTGTGGGTGGAACGCAGTCGATAATCGTCGATTAATTCCCAGGATTTCACAAAGTCGCTTCCACAAGCCGCTTGTAAATTGGCTTCCGCGATCCGACACTATTGCGTCTGGTAGCCAGTGGTAGGCTACTACATGTTTAAGGAATGCCCATACTACTGTTTCTGTTTCCATGTCTGGCAGTGATACCAGAACAATATCCTTGCTTAACCGATCAGTGATTACCAGGAGGATAGTGCATCCCTCGCTTTCTGGTAGGCCTGTGATAAAATCCATTGATATTTCCTTCCAGATTCGGTCTGGGATTGGTAGTGGCTTTAGTAGGCCGTGGAGACCGTCTCTCCATGGTTTGATCCTCCCACAGACGTCGCAGTTACGGATGTAGCGGCGGATATCATCTGACATACCTGGCCAGAAGTAGTCTCTTGCAACGGCTTGATAAGTCACTTGTCGTCCTGGGTGGCCAGCCACTACTGGTGCGTGAGCACTGTTGATTAGCCTTGTTCGCAGTGGTTCTGATTGTGGTACCCATATCCTGTCACGATATTTTAAGCGCTTATCCTGGTCTACTGAGCAGTCAGCCGTTGATACCTTGATGCCCAGGCTTGGTGGGATGCGGCGAACTCCATTTAGTATTGCTTGTTGGATAGTAGCGTATTGTTCGTCCTCTCTTATAGCAGCATTCCAGAGTTGGTCGATGGGTGCTTGATCAGGCTGTGCGTCTTCGGGCTCTGTATCAGCGTTCAATTTAGTTGCCGCAGAGAACGTGATAATACTGTCTTCCTCTTCTTTATCTAGCAGGGCACGCGTAGTTGGCCTCAGCAGTTGCATATATCGGTGCTGGATTCGATCGTCCGATACGTTTTGAGGCATATCTTGCTCACGCCGGGACAGGGCATCAGCTCGAGGATTCTGTTTTCCCGGTCGATAGGCAATTTCCATATTGTAGCGTCCTAGGAGGAGAGACCATCGCATTTGTCGTTCGTTTAACATCCTTGGTTTTGTAAAGTACTCGAGGTTCTTGTGATCAGTTATAATCGTGAACCTCTCCACCGATCGTAGTTCTGCATCCCATTCTTGCAGGCATTGAACTACTGCCAGCAGTTCCTTGTCATGTACCTCATAGTTGCACTCATGTGCGTTCATCTTCCGTGAGAAGTAGGCTGCTGGTTGCAGTATTCCTTGCTCGTTGTACTGAGACAAGCACCCTGCTACTGCATAACCCGAGGCATCTGTTTCCAGTATTGTATCCCTTTCTGGGTCAAATTGGACTAGAACTGGCTCTGTAACGAAGATGTCCTTTAGGGTAGTAAACGCCTTCTGCTCCATTGCTGTCCATCGGAATGGAACGTTGCCTGTAAGCCGTGTGAGGGGTGCTACCAGTTCCGAGAAGTTCTGGATAAAACGACGGTAGAAGTTAGCAAAACCTAGGAAGCTTTGGACGCCCTTAACTGTCTTTGGGGCTTCCCATTCCTTAATAGCACGAATCTTCTCAGGGTCCATGCGAAGACCTTTGCCTGCTTCAATGATGAATCCTAGGTATTTCGTTGATTGAACCTCGAACTCACACTTCTTAATGTCCAGTGGCAGGCCTGCTTGGCCTAGCGCTTGGAGCACTTGATTCACCTGCTTGCGGTGCTCAGATAGTGAGCCGCTGGTGTATATCAGCACATCGTCCAGGTACGCTGTGCAGAAGTCGTCAATATATTTCCGAAGCACCCAGTTGATGTATCGTTGAAAGGTGCTCGGTGCGTTTGCCATACCAAAAGGGGTAACCAGCCACTCGTACAATCCAAATCGAGTGCGGAATGCAGTCTTCCATTCGTCTCCAGCGTTGATCCGGATCTTGTGGAAAGCAGCAGAGACATCCAGCTTAGTAAACCATCTCGCTTTGCTCAGGTTACTTAGTGTCTCTTGTATGAGAGGTAAGGGGTACCGGTCTTTCCTTGTAATAGCATTGAGAGCTCGATAGTCAATACAGAACCGCAGGCCTCCTCCCGGCTTCCTTGCAAACAGCACTGGCGCTGCCGCCGGTGAGTTGCTGGCCCGGATCCATCCCTTATCGAGTAGTGATGTTAGTTCTTTTCGGAGGACTAGCAGTTCGCCCTTGCTCATATTGTATAATGGTCCCCATGGTATCTCTGGGTCCTTCCCATCCTTCTGTACCAGGTCGATTCGGTGGTCAATATCTGGTCCTCGAAGTGGTGGCATCTTAGAGGCAGTCCTCGGGTCAAATATCCATTGGTGATGAGCATACTGTGCGGGTAGAAGCTTCTCAATATCAATGCTTGACTTAGGAGCCAGGGCCTTATCAATATCAGCAAGGGACGCAGCAAAGACAATAGATTGATCACTTTCTGATTGCTGGAGGTGATAGGCATATGCAGCTGCTCCAATTTGCTGTAATGGAATATGCCCTTGTACTCTAGGGACTGGTTCGCCTTCTTTGCTTAGGATTCGAATCCGTTGGCGTGTGGAGTGAACATATATCGAGCGCTTTGCAGAAGATATTGTAACGCGTAGTCGATCTGTCCAGGGCCTTCCGAAGAGTATATCAAACCCCATACTGTCTGTAGCTACGTAGGCCCAGCCAGTATCCTTAAATCCTTCAATATCGACAGTATACTTAGCAACCTGTCGTATCAGGCCCTCGCCGTTTATTCCCAGTAGTCGTCGAGGTGTAATATTAATGCACTGCAAGCCTGCCTTCCTTACCAAGGAGGGCGATATCATTGCATTTGCAAGGGAACCAGAATCAATCATGCAAGAGGCGTAGGTGGTTTGATTGACTAATGCATGTACGCTAATTGCCTTTCCATCCATGTGCTGGTTCTTCTTGAATTCCTTCCAATCTGCAACTGCTTGTTGGTAGCTTGCATCCTGCTCCTGTTCGTGGCTCTGAACAGGAGCTATTCTTTTCCCGATTCTGGTTCTAATTCAATTGTGGACTCATCTTCCAGTAATGGTGGTGGGATGGCTCTTGCTTTAGCTGCTTGAACTGGTTCGGGCTGTCTAGGTGCCTGATATGGGCAGCGTTGGATATAATGGCCTCCCGCACCGCAACGCACGCAGAGCCCTTGCTCCCGGCGGCGCTGGGTCTCCTTGGGTGCTACCCATCGTGCTCGTCGCTTCTCAGTAGCTCCCTGATTGCTTGTCGTTGGCTGCCAGTCCATCTTTTGGTCCTCTGGTGATGAGGGACGATAGGTAGTTTGACGCCTATCCCGAGTGTTGTAGGTTGGATTCCTATCGGTTGCGCTCTGCAGATTGCTATGTCCTCGGCTAGCAAGGCTTATGCGGTACAACTGATCTGATACCTTAATTGCCTCGTTGCAGAACTTATCAAAAGATGTACTATCAGGTACCATAATCATGTGCTTTTGTACTTCAGGCTTTAGTCCTTCGGAGAGCATGCTCTTGAGGGTATCTTCCTCAAATTGCTGTCCTGACTCTTGAAGCAGCTGGTTGAACTCAGAGATATAGTCGCGTACTAGCTTCCTTCCTTGTGTAAGGTGTCGGAGCTTGTCTAGAGCTCTTACTTTCTGATAAGGATCCTTAAACTGTCGGTCCATAAAGGTCCACATGTCGTCAATTGTGGCTGTTGATGCATTCTTTTCTACCCAGGGTAGGATTATCCTCGATGCCTTCTCTCTTGTTCTTCCTACTATGTAGTCAATTCGATACGAGTGGCTCTTATGTGCATAGCTGTGGCGGAGCTTAGCCTTAGCCTCATACTGAAACAGGGGGTATTTGCTTCGGTCTCCGTC